AACCCTAAAATAAACCCCCCTAACCCTAACCCTAACCCTAACCCTAACCCTAACCCTAACCCCTAACCCTAACCCTAACCCTAACCCTAACCCTAACCCTGCCAGCACAGCAATTCCGTAGTGACAACAACAGTACCAACACGCTTTAATACGTTCATGTCTTAGCAGTTCAAGCCCTGTTCATCGGGCATTCGCCATGCATTCGCTATTGCTTCACAGGTTATGAGCCTTGTTATCCCGAAAGCCACGTCATCTGTCTCATCGCTATATTCACACTTCTGGAATTTTCGCCTAGCAAAATGTATGCGCATCGGTCGTCCAGGCCAGTGATCGTCTTCATCACTCTGCTCATGGATGGCAAAGATATCGGCCAATTCCGAGCCAGTAGGAGCCTCTGCATTTGCACCAATTTCGCCTAGTCAAGCTTATTGTCGCGACACCCTCTTCTATGTCTTCAGCAAAAGCGCACATGTAAATCCAAATGATCGCTTCAGCATACACAACGTCCCCATTTCCTGCTCGCTCATCGATTGTGGCCGTCGTATTGGCTCGCAATGCACTTCCTTCACGCCCTGGTCGCAGTATGGACCATCAAAGCATACACACCGTCAACCGCTGGTCGCAGTATGGACCATTAAAGTATACGCAACGTCAACCGCTGGTCGCAGTATGGACCATTAAAGCATACACACCGTCAACGTCGACGCTTCCGTTAGCCACGTATATTTATTACGTGTAAGGTCGCAGTATGGACCATTAAAGCATACACACCGTCAACGTCAACGCCTCCGTTAGCCACGTACATTTATTACGTGTAAGGTCGCAGTATGGACCATTAAAGCATACACACCGTCACCGTCCCCATTTCCTGCTCGCTCATCGATTGTGGCCGTCGTATTGGCTCGCAATGCACTTCCTTCACGCCCTGGTCGCAGTATGGACCATTAAAGCATACACACCGTCAACGTCAACGCCTCCGTTAGCCACGTACATTTATTACGTGTAAGGTCGCAGTATGGACCATCAAAGCATACACACAGTCAATGTCAACGCCTCCGTTAGTCACGTATATTTATTACGTGTAAGGTCGCAGTGTGGACCATCAAAGCATACACACCGTCAACCGCTGGTCGCAGTATGGACCATTAAGTATACGCAACGTCAACCGCTGGTCGTAGTATGGACCATTAAAGCATACGCAACGCATTCTCTCACTACTTCTGCACTCATCATCACGGAAATGGCGTGTACCTGTAAACCGTGGCTCACGTCCCTTTGTCTCTCCAAGCAATTGCCTCAGTATTTTTCCTTCTTCCAGCAATGCCTCGGTTTCTCCAGCGATGTCTCAAAGCGCTTTGTCTCCAGCAACGTTGCTCAAGCTACATGCGATCAACTAAGTTCCCTGATCTTGAACTGGACGATTATTTCACAATGTCTTCGCACTGCCAAACCAGAGCTGTATGGAACGCTACGCCTTCTTATGCATCATCCTCCTTTCTCCGCAACGATTTTGTCTGCGCTACGCTACACGCTTGCACGCATCATCATCGACCCTCCGCAGCGACGTTGTCATCTCACCTGCACTGTAGCGTCATGCCTCGGCATCGCCTATCTCAACGTCAAGTCAAAGCAACACTGCATCTTGCACCGCTTCCCATCTTGTCTTCGTCGTCGTCCGGAACGCTCTGCATGTAACTCTCGCACAGAGAGGATACAGAACCAGTGGAAGTGTTGTGCGCTGGAAATTCTGAGCGTGCGACGCCGCCGATGCTTGCACTACAAAGTGCCAGCACAGCAATTCCGTAGTAACAACAACAGTAACAACACCCTTTAATACGTTCATGTCTTAGCAGTTCAAGCCCTGTTCATCGGGCATTCGCCATGCATTCGCTATTGCTTCACAAAAGGGTGCCTCCCACCCAATGAGTGCGTCAGTGGCGGAGAGGAATGTGTTGAGAGCTTCGCAGGCGGTCTTGCCCTGGCAAGCGGGCCGCGCGCAGTGCGGACACGAACTTTCGATGTGTCGCGTGAAGGCGTGGCTCTTCCTGTCTTCGACAAGGAAGAGATGGGTGGCAAGGGCGAGCATAAGGTGACGACCTCTGCCAACGTCGCTCTCGACATTGCATTCCCTCCTGCACTGACAGTGGAACTTAGACGCGAGACCAAGGGAACAACGTCGCAGGAGGTCACCACACACCACACACCAGGGATCGGTCGTGCCGAGACTGCAGAGCTATAGGCGGATTTGGGTGCTTGCAACTTGACCACAGCTATCAGTCCCTTACGCCATCGACACCGTCACCGTATGGCTCTCAACGGGATGCTCTTCTCTGCTCTTCTCGGACAATGACCACATCTGAGCAGCGCAAAGTTCCACTTCACAATTCACATCATCGTCGCGTCCCACGACGACTTCTTCGAGGTGAAGCTGCTGCTGCAGCACAAATTTCCAGAGGCTGCCGGTCAGCAGTGCGCGCACGCCCAAGCGCCGCATCTGGTCCTGGCCGTCGACACAAGTGCAAGACAGATGTGCGTGCCTGCCTTCCTTCAGGTCGACGCCCAAGGCAGCACAAGGCTAGCCGTTAGCCTCAGGCGATTGACTGATGCTGAGGTCAAGGAGAGCGGAATGCCAGGCCCTTTCAAGAAGCGCGTAGATTTGGTCTGGAGCAAGCTGAGGCGCTGATCTGACAGAGAGTGGTGGGGCTTTTGGAGGTTTGTAGTCCTGGTTCAGCTTCTGTACATAGTCTTTAGTATGGAAAAGCTTACTGATCGAAATGAGGCTGCCAGATGAATGGCTGGGAAACAGAGATGCAGACAGAGAAGGAATGGCAGCCGTTGTCACCGGAACCTCGGGCGATCTTGAGTAGGACTTCTGGATCGGCATCACGACGCTGTGCACAGTTGGCACCGTGGGAAATTGCCGTCTTGTACATGTACAGGGTCAACCCTTACGGGCGGCCTTGATCGTCAACCGTCACTCTTGCGCCTTCTAAAGACAAGTAGTTCAGAGCCGTCTTCTTTGCTGTCGTGAATTATAGCTGGGTTATAGAATTAGCATGTCACGACAAGATATTGACCAGACACGGCGGACGTGCTTGGTATGGCCTTGGCGATTTCGATGCAGCGAACTGTGGATGTATGACCACGCATGACGCGGAGACATTTGCCAGAGGGCAGATCCCAGCTGCGTAATACTTTATCACATCCGCCAGAGACGAGGGTATCGCCAAAGACATCGAGTGTCCAGACACCCGATTCATGCCCGCTGAGTGTCCGTAGGAAGCGGCCATCTCTTGCAAAGACGTAGATTTTGGCATCATCCAAGCCAAGCACGATATAGTTGTCTGTCAACGTAGACCAAGTGACTGTGCATGTTACATGAGAGTATTGAAGATTTGGCGACTGTATGCGCCACTTCGACGTTTCTCTGTTTCATCAAAATCATCTTCAGAAGCATGGCTATTTTTTGGCGGTACGATATCTGCTGTAGCCCCAGTTGTGCTCACTAGCGGAGCTCATGACTCTATTGGCTGCTGCGATAGACGACATGATGCTGCAAAACTCACCTTCTACACACGAACTTTGGCTTGCGAAGGCAAAGTCGTGGAGGCAAGCTGTCCAGCGTTGACACATCCTTCACAAGCCTGAGCAACACAAGATTGGCAAGAGACTGCTGCCGATTTGCCCTTTGCGTTTTGGTTTGCCAAGATCGAGCCTCCGATTCCAGCACCAGCGCTGAAGCCGGCACTGATGCCACCACTAACACCAGCGCCGACAGCGCCTCCTCCAAGGACGCCTCCACCAAGAGCACCCCCACCAAGAACACCTCCACCGAGGACTTCTCCTCCCAAGACACCTCCGCCAAAGCCTCCTCCAAGAACGCCTCCGCCAATGCCAGAACCCTTGAAATTAGTCACGTAATAGAAACGTCCGAAACCTACAATGCCAAACGAGGAAAGGGCACCAAATCCACCAACTCCCTGCTAGTCAGCAATGCAACAATATAGATTGCAGCATACTCCAGATCCAAAACCTCCTAGGGAGCCTAGTCCAGTTCGCAAGCAATTGAAGCAAGCCACTCCCAGACAAACTTGGCAGCTTTGCAGGGGAATACCGCCGAATCCTGCCTGTTGATCAGTATCTTAGCAAGATTTGTCCGAACATACACCAACAAACGATCCGCCAAGACCAAGACCCAGGACTGACGAACTCAGGCCTCCCAAGCCGCCTCCCAGGCCGCCTCCCAAGCCGCCACCCAAGCCCAGTCCGTAGAACCCTCCTCCAAGGCCGCCCCCCTGTTGTCAGCTTGCTCTTCGTCATGGTGTCGGTATACCAAGCCTACTCCGCCCTGTCATCAGCATTGAGTGAAAATCCGAAAACTTACCAAACCGAGGCCACCGCCAAAGCCTCCGCCAAAAGAGCTAGATGAACTGAAAGATGATCCGAAGCTATATCCAGCAGTGCTGAAACCTCCGCCTCGAAAGCCCTTGAGTCAGTAAAGGGCCAAAGAAGAACGACATACGCCGAATCCACCAAGTCCGAATCCGCCGAGGCCTGCGAGAGGAGAGGAAGTGCAAGAGACGCACAATGCTCCAATACACGTCTGACAACTTTGGACACCCAAGCCTCCAATTCCCTGACTAGTCAGCAAATTTCACGGCAGTATACTGCATACGCCACCAAGGATGCCGCCAAGTTGATTGTAGCCAAAACCTCCGTATCCGCCAGAAAGACCTGCGCCGAATCCGATGCCACCGGAGATGCCACCAGAAAGTCCAAGACCTCCTGCTAAGAGACCGGCCTATTGTAAGTAGTGATTCGAGTTTTGGTGTGTATCATCATACGACGAGTGGACGCCCCAATAGGTCAATGTGGGCCCCGTGTTTCTTAAATTTGCTTTCGGCGCTGACGGGTGAAGGCGTTTGTCTCTTGACAACCTTGAAGCTGCGAGTCTGGTGAGCTGATGTTGCTGTACTAGTCAGGTTGGCCGCCAGCACATGTTGAACAAGGACACAAACTGAATGTCAGCTTCGCCGGAAGACAAGGCATGTTTACACAGGAGATTCAGGAGGTGCATCTTTTCGAGACTTTTTGAAAGAGCATCGAAAAGCAGCTTCGTGCTTAAGAAGAAAGCTGTGCGACCTTTGAGACGTGTGACAGGCATGAAACAAGTCTTCCCAACAAAGCGGACGTTGAAACATTGCAATTATGCTATCTGTGCTTTCGATTTTTGACCTTCTTGGGCTTCTGCAGACTATCTGGAAGCCAGTCATTCTGTTTGTCCTGCTGCGCTGTTGTCGGCTCCGCTGCGGCAGATGGAAATGGTTGTCCCATGGGTATTTCGACAATATCACGTCTTTCAAGGCGGGCGAGGAATTCTGGGTCAATATCCTCGCGCCTGAATGCCTTCTTGGCCGTGGTGATACGCACTTGATCTGTTTCAGTCAGCGACATGTATGACAGCTCCTAAGCGTACTCTTCTTCAGTGTAGGATCAAGATCATGCTGTGTGGGGCGGCGTTTCTTGCCAGAGCTAATATAGAGGAAGCCGCCTACGACAAGCACAGAGGCCGCAACAAGCCAGGCACTCGACATATCTTTATGTATTGAAGCAGATGAAACTGAGCAGAGCAAGTTCAGAGAAAGGTACAGGCGTTGGTTGAGTGTGGTTGTAGTGCACACACTTAAAGTTGCCCGCACGTGGGATTCGCCGAGAAAATTCAAAATACTCCCGCCATCTCGCTATCTACCGGCCCAACCTCTCTGCTCCTTACAACAAACCATATTCAGCAGACATGGTTTTGCACTCCTTCTACTGGCGGTACCCGGCCTCGCATGTCAAGCTCACCGGAGACTTTGACAACTGGGAGGGATCCCTCGACATGCTTCCCACCGAGGAAGGCCACTTTGTCAAGGTTGTCGATATCGAAGCAAACACAAAGGTCAAGTTCAAGTATATTGTCGACGGTAATTGGACCGTAGACCACGGTGCACCAAAGGAGGGCGAGGGTGTACATGAAAACAATGTCCTTCACACAACGACAACAGCCTCCACCGAATCGGGGACGCCCGTCGCAGCAAAAACCACCTCTGACTTTGACACCCTCCCTCCAGTAGGTGGCGCGCTTGCATATGCATCAACTTCGCCCCTTATTCCGGCAGCTGATGAGTCGTCAAAGACCCATGATGAAAGCGGCCCATCTGTCTCAGATCCTGCTGCTCCACGATTTGCCAGGGATGGCGTAGCACAGAGCGAGCCCGCTGCGCTTGCATCTTCCACTGCCAGTCCCGAGAACAGTGCAATGAAGACCAGCGAGTCTCAGGCTGGTTCAACACCTGGCCTCGTTGCTGCGTCCGCTCCCGTTAAAGACTCCGCCGTCAACTCAGAATCTCTTTCAGCAACATCTGTAGATGCGCCAACGTCCGACGCATCCAACCTGACCTCATCCAAGAAGTCGTCTGTAATTCCAGTGGCCCTTGGCACCTCTGCCACTGCAGTCGGTGCCGCTGCGCTGGGTGTTGCAGGCGTTGCAACAGCAAGGAAGACGGAAGGCTCTTCTTCAAGCTCGGCAGCCGCCAAGGGTCTCGAAAGTATTGGCGCTCAGACCACAAAGTCAGAGGGATCTTCGCTCGAACAAACAGCCGTCAAGGCTGCCACTGCTGCTGCCAATAATGCTTACACAGCCAGTGGCCTTGGAGGTGTCTCTTCGACGGCTGCCTCGAACAAGGATATCACCGGCGGCCAAAACGTCGGCTTTACAAGCATCGGAACTGCAGTCAACACCGCCACCGGAGTAGTGGGTACATCGAAGCTCGTACAATCCTCTGGTGACAGCAAGCCAGTGGAAGACACCAAGACTGCAAAGCTCAAGGACGGCGCAGCTGACCATCTGTTGGCTGAGCACAAGAACGGTGTCAAGACAGAGCGTATCGATGCACACACTGTGCTCGCTGAAGTCGGGCTCGGTGGCGCCGCTATTGGCACGGCTGTCGTTACAGATGGCACCGTCAAAGATGCATCCGCATTGCCCATTCCCGCCGCAGCCGCTGAGCACTTGGATCGCGCTACTTCCAAGCTGGCAGATGTCGCTCCGCCCCTTGCAAAGGATACTGCAACAGATATGGTTAAGAACGCTGGTGCTACCGATCAGAGCAAATTGTCCTCCGGAGTTGCCGCTCCCTCTGGCACTACATCTACCTCTACTTCTGCTGTACCTGCTGCTGTGGTTCCTGTCACCCCCTCCGCTGACAAGGCCGCCGTTGTGGCTCCCGTAGATACACCCAGGCCCGTCACAGCAGATACGCAAGGGTCAAAGACTGACGCATCGTACAAGACTGCCTCTTCCGCCAGCCCTCAGACTTTGGCTGCCGCGCCTGGCAAGACCATGCCTTCGTCGCTTCGTGCCGACAAAGCTCAAGCACCCGAGACGACCGAGCCTAAGAAAAAGAAGGGTGGTCTGCTCAGGAAGATGAAGTCTATGTTCAAGAACAAGGACTAAGTGGTTTTGAACTTGCTCGTGTATCTTACCCTGTATTTTCGATCGTAGAATTAATTGACCAAATAAGAATGGTGAACTGGATATTGCTAAAGGACAATATTAATACAGAGAGGCTCTACGAAAAAGGCCGGGCGGCACAACTCAAGCACTCTGCTCGGCCGACTTCTTCTTTCGCTCCTTCTTCTTCTTCTCTGCCTTTGGTGTTTCAGCAGGTGCCTCCTGGGCAGGTGTCTTCACCTTTTTGGCACTGGGTTGCCCATCCTTCTTGGCGGGTCGTCCTCGTTTCTTGGAAGACTTGGGAGTCGAAGGAACATCTTGTAAAACAGAAGCGGCGGCCACATCATCCTCTTCATCTTCGGCAGAGGGCGAAGTATTTGGAGAAGATGGTTCTGCCGCTGGCGTGGTCTTCTTGGCTGGGGCTTGCTTGGGCGCAATGCCGTGACTCTTGTTGTAAGTGTCCATCTCTCTGGTGTAGGCTCGTAAGGCCTCCTCATTGGCTGCCACATAAGGCTTCCTCGCTTCTGTGTCCATTTCCTTCCATTTCGCCGCCAGTGCTTGCTGCACGTCAGCTGCTGAGGCCGAGTCGGGCAGAGAATTCTTCATCTCCTGCCTGATTGCGTTTTGGAAGTGGAAAAAGGCAGTGACAGGGCGTTTGGGCATATCTGGATCACGCACCTTCTTTTCCTTCTTCTCCTTCTTCTTCGAAGCGGACCCCGGAATGACCGGCGCTTCGTGGGTAGCAGGCGCAGCATTCGAAGGCGCGACGAGCGTAGAAACGGAGGCCTCCGTGTCTAGCTCAGGGTGAGTTTCTTGAACATACTCATTCAGGTCTTTGACGGAGCGAATCAAGGCTGCATGTGCCTCAGTCAGCAGACGCGTGCATCCGAGTACCTGATTGAGGTGTTAGCCCGTGTTTTGCGCATGAGAAAGAGACGCGTGCCTCTCTCTCGTGTGTGGGTTGTTACCGAGTCGTATTTCTCTTGTAGCTTGTTGGTCTGCTCAAGCATGATTCGTCGTGTTTGTTGTGGGAAGAGAGGGCGCAGCCTGTGCGGTTGTTGTGAACTCTCTTGAAAATTCTGACTTTTGCCGTGTTTTGGGGGCCATCGCCAGAGAGCAGGAGTAGGGGAAGCAGGCTCAAGCTGAGGCTTCAAGCAGGGGAGGGTCACGAAATTTGATCAGGAATTGACACGGCGCGCTCCAGGCCATCACAAATTCACAATCATCATCAGTTGAACAATGCGATCTGACCTCAAAGTTTCCATACAGACGTCTGAAGTTGCTCAGAAGAGGACCGCAGGTGCTTCAAGAGTCCACCGAGTGCCACAATCTCCTCTCACCAGGCGTTCGTCATTCAGGCGAAACAGGGTCACGGTTGCCTATGCGTTTCTCCCCATATCAAATAGGCAGGACAGACAACTAGTGAACAGCTGACAACGCTTACACTGCACCCAATTGTGAAAAGCCATGAACACTTGAAGATAGGGCATCAATGGCACCTGCCTCTGCCTGTTGAAGTCGTCAATCCGCCGAATCTCTTTCAGGCATACTCAAATCAGTCAAGCTGAGATGGCTTGTAAGAAGACGCTTGATGAGAGGAGATGGTGAGCAGAAACAGTAAGCATGGAGCCACTGAGGCTTCTATCAAGCTCAAGGCGAAGATCACTATGGACAGGACATCCTTAAATGTCTAAGTAGCAGTTTGGAGGGGTCATGCCCTACAATTCATAGCCTCTCAGGCTCTGGCAGTCGATGATGGGCGATGTGAAGTAGTTGTAGCCTGTTCTAGCTTATAAGTGACTTTTGAGCCTCCCAAAGCACAGATAGGCCTACATTCAGCTCGGTCGTGCTTCAGTAGTTGCAGCCGGCCTTTGTCTGTGCCTGTCGCGTGGATCTGCACACGCGCACTTGGCTTCTCGTTGGCCTTTTGACACTTTGGATTCTCTCCGCCCTTCGCCACTCGGAAGCGCAGCAGCAACTGCGACTGCGACTCGACAACTCCCTCCCTCCCTGCCTGCTGTCCTACTCCTCGTCGACTAGCTCACCTGACCGATACAGAGAGGAGGCGGTTGTTCTCTCGTCTGCTTTGCGCTCGCCATGACATCCGTCGTCTTTGATATCGCAGCGGTGTGTTTGTCCCACTGTGACCACAAGCATTTGCTGACCAATAGGTCGTCATCGCCCTTGGAACGGATGGCATGCCTAGCGCATCCACATCTTTGAGCAGCGACCAGGCCTTCACGTCGAGCATCCGGCCCTCGTATCAGATTGGCTCGCCAAGCAATGAAGCGGCCCAGTATGCGGGCCTTCTCTATACGCCAACCGTGCCGGCAAGCACTTGTGTTGAAGCAAAACCTTTTATCGCTCACAACCTAACGCTTTCTATGCTGCCACAAGTGCCTAATTACATTGCCTTCGCTCCGTTTACAGAATGCTGGCTCAATTATCTATACAAAGCAATCGCGGACGGAGCACGAGCCGCGATACTCTATCAGCCAACCAATACCTCGAACATGGGCCTGCCAGCTAACGCATATGTTTCTTCGCTGTTGCCAGTCTACATTCTCAGCTACGATGCTGGCGCGCCAGTAGCGCAAGCGATGAATCAGTATTCAGGCAATCTGACGAGCGTTCCTAACGGAGATCAGCTCGTCACAATGTTTGATCCAACTAGCTATGCCAGACTTTGGCTTGTTGTGACACGAACAGTCTCCAATCGTACACTACCGAACTTGTGGATCTTCCTCCTCATCATCGTCGGTGTCCTGTGTGTTCTGGTGGGCATCATCTCGTTGACTTTGAACATGCGTCAATACTTTGCAAGAAGGGACCTTCGGCGCAGAATCGCAGCCGGTGAAGTTGATTTGGAGGCACTTGGCATCAAACGGCTGACTGTTCCACGGAAGCATATTGACGGCCTGCCGCAAAAGACCTGGAGATCTGCAGACAGTGCCGCTGGTGCGGCTGGCTTTGCACAATCAAGCTGCGCAATTTGCTTGGATGACTACGAGGCTGACGTGACGGTCCTACGTGAGCTGCCCTGCCATCACACTTTCCATCCGGCGTGCATCGACCCATTCTTGGAAAAACGTTCTTCCCTTTGCCCACTATGCAAGCGATCAGTCCTGCCAAAGGGCTTCATCCCGTCAGATACCCAATTGACTGCAGCGACCATCATGCGCGAGCGTCAACGTCGACGACGGGCTGCACGCGAAGGGCGCGAGACTGGTCGTGTGCATACGGCCCCGGAGAGTGACGAAATTGAGCTACAGCCTGTCCACAGTGGCGAAGCATCCGTCAATGAGGGATCTGCCACACGACCTAGTTTGCCGGGACGACCATCCTATGTGCAAATGACCAACCTTGCGCCAGACAATGAAGAAGAAGCGGCGCAAATCAGGCGACTGCCTCGTTGGCGACGGGCGCTCAGAACGCTATTCCCAAGTCATTAATGGTATCTGTAGGCATATATGTGAATCATCATTGTAATCAACGTACTACGTGGCTAATGCAAAGACTTCTAGACGTACACCTGGAGTTAGCACATGATGCGAAAATGCAAATGCTCTTACGCCGCATGCAAGTAGAAGGTAGAGTGCACCAAAGCCCCAACACAGACTTGCAGGGAGAGCGACCGCAAGCTTCTTTGGACCAGTGCTGATGGAAAATAGCGCAGAGCCAAGTGCAGCGGCAATCAGCAAAACGGTGGCCACAAGCGCCTGTGCACGCAGAGGAACTGTCGCATGGTAAGGCTGCCCTTGCGAGAAGAGGTCCTGCAGATTAGCGCATCTCCTTCATATCATGCATGCTTACCTGCAGTGTAGACATTGACATGCTCAGGTTTCCGCAGTGGCGCTTGGTCGCGATGCTTGCTAGCGCTGTGCTGGCGCGTTTGTTGCGAGTTTGGCGACGATCACGCGCACCGACCAGATATCAACTCACGATTTACATGTACAGAAAAGCCCCGCTAGCACTAGCAAGCTCTTTTCTCATTGTATCCGGCGTTTGACTAGCTTCGGCATCTAACACTACCTTGTTGGCTGCTCATATCTAGGTCGTCCGAAGACCATGTGGTGCAACACACCCGCTAGCGCTGACTACACTACGCTCGATAGACAACAGCAGGAGCTTGTAATTCTTCGGCATACAGCTTGCGCAGAGTGCTCCTGCCAAGGGCTACACCCGTCCGAGAACAATGAAAAGTCGTGCTCCTGCCTACACGAGCATAGGCCGCCTGAACATGAACAGGAATTCGTGCGGCGTTTGAAAGTCGCCGTTCGCATAGACGAGCTACTCCAAGACAAGGGAAAGCTGCAAGATTTTGATTATGAAGACGAGGACATTATCAGTCTGAGACAGCATATGACAGCGACCGGCCGAAGCTCTCCTAGCACCGATGTCCCGAGTAAGCGCCGCCTCAGCCACAACGTTGCTCAAGAGCCGGCAGCAAAGCGCTTCAAACCAAGCAGCGATCTTGGTCAATTGCCAGACAAGTTGCGCAAGTTTTATAATTTGCCATCGGTCAAGCCATCTGTTGTGGAGGAAATGGACGATGTCATTCAGTTTCGTGTGGTCAACAATGACAACTCACCCATGAATATGATCATCTTGACTGGTCTGAAGAACATCTTTCAAAAGCAGCTTCCAAAAATGCCTCGAGAGTATATTGCTCGTCTCATTTATGACCGCAATCATCTCAGCCTAGCCATTGTTCGAGGTGTCCCTACAGGCAAGATTGAAGTCATTGGTGGCATCACCTACCGGCCCTTCAACCACAGACGCTTTGCCGAAATCGTCTTTTGTGCAATCGCGTCAAGTGAACAGGTGCGAGGATATGGAGCGCATCTTATGAATCACCTAAAAGACTATGTCAAAGCTTCGTCACCCATCATCCACTTCTTGACCTACGCAGACAATTATGCGATTGGCTATTTCAAGAAGCAAGGCTTCACCAAAGAAATCACCCTTGATAGATCTGTTTGGGTCGGCTACATTAAGGACTATGAGGGAGGTACTATCATGCAATGTACGATGCTCCCAAGAATACGCTATCTGGATTCTAGCGACATTATGGCTCGACAAAAGGCGGCGATATTGTGGAAAATCCAAGCAACATCCATCGATCACATTGTCTACCCAGGTATCCAAGCCTTCAAGAATGGCAAATCAATCTCTCCAGAGGATATTCCTGGTCTCAAGCAAACTGGATGGTCGAAAGAGATGGATGAACAGGCACGTAAACCAAAGCGGCCCGGACACTATGCTGTCTTGCAGGCGTTGCTGACCGAAATGCAAAACTCGCCTGCTGCCTGGCCGTTTGTCAATCCTGTCAGTCGAGAGGATGTGCCAGACTATTACGAAGTGATCAAAGAACCAATGGGTATGTATTCCGTGACCAAGCCGCGATTGCTAACTCCAGATCTTACTTCCATGGAATTCAAGCTTGAAAATGATCAATACGAGAGCGTGGAACAATTTATCTATGATGCAAAGCTCATCTTCAACAATTGCCGCTCCTACAATAACGAGACGACCACGTATTACAAGAACTCGACGAAGCTCGAGAAGGCGCTCCGCGATATCATCAAGGAGAAACATGACGAGTATCTAAATCTTTTGTAGGCTTCTGAACCTTTGTAGGCATTATCTACCTAAACCCTATGACCACTCTACACATCAGGTTGAGCAGAGATGACCTCTTTTGAGCATCGGTCAGCATACTTCTCAAAGTTGGCACGGAACTGTTGTGCCAGGTCCTTGACAGCACCCTCGAATTCTGATTGCGAGCCCAACCAAGACTTTGTGGGATTGAGCATCTCGTCCGGCACGCCAGTGACCTTCTTTGGAACTTGCAGGTTGAAGACAGGCATGCTCTCATACTCGGCAGTTGCAAGCTCACCAGAGTGAATAGCATCCAAGATAGCGCGAGTGTACTTGAGAGGGCATCGCGAGGCCTTGGTACCTGCAGCACCACCGACCCAACCGGTGTTGATTAGGTATGCTTCGGCACCAAACTTGGTGAGCTTTTCAGCAAGCATGGTGGCGTACTTCATTGGGTGAAGAACAAGGAAGGGTTGACCGAAGCAAGCAGAGAAAGTCGACACAGGCTCGGTGATACCTTCCTCAGTACCTGGGGTCTTGGAGGTGTAGCCAGAGATGAAGTGGTATTGCAGGGTAGCAGAGTCGAGCTTTGATACTGGTGGCAAGATACCACGAGCATCGCATGTCAGCAACACAATGTTCTTGGGAGGACTGTCGGACATGCAAGGGATCTTGGCGTTCGGAATGTACTCGATTGGATAGGCACACCGAGTGTTCTCAGTGAGCGTGACATCGTCGTAGTTGACGACACGAGTCTCAGGGTCAAAGACAACGTTCTCGAGCACAGAGCCGAATCGAATAGCGTTGAAGATTTCTGGCTCCTTCTCGGCTGTGAGGTTGATAGTCTTGGCGTAACATCCACCTTCAATGTTGAAGACACCAGTATCGGACCAACAGTGCTCGTCGTCACCAATGAGCGCACGGTGAGGGTCAGCAGAGAGAGTTGTCTTGCCGGTTCCGGAAAGACCAAAGAAGAGGGTAACATCGCCGTCCTTGCCTTCATTAGCAGAGGAGTGGAGTGTCAAAACATTGTGCTTGATAGGCATGAGGTAGTAAAGAACGGAGAAGACACCCTTCTTCATCTCTCCAGCGTACTCTGTTCCGAGAATAACCATCTCCATAGCTTTGAAGTTGATGGCCACAGAGGTGGTCGAAGTCATACCAGTGGTGAATCGGTTGGCAGGGAAAGCACCGGCATTGTAAATGGTGAAGTCAGGCTTGCCGTAGTTGGCTGCCTCCTCCTCGGTAGGGCGAATCAACATGTTGCGCATGAACAGAGCATGGTAGGCACGGGCACAGACAACACGCACCTTGATGCGGTACTTTGGGTCCCAACCAGCGAATGCATCAATGACATAGAGACGCTTGCGTGTGTTGAGGTAGTCGATGGCTCGCTCACGGTTGATGAGCCAGACAGCCTCAGGCTCCTTGATGTTGACGGGTCCCCACCAGATGTTGTCGGTGGAGGTCTCCTCGTCCACAATACGCTTGTCCTTGGGCGAACGACCTGTCTTCTTGCCGGAAGAGGTTGCGAGGGCACCGGCACTGGTGATGGCAGAACCAGACTCGCTGAGACATGTTAGCACTTGCTAAGTTACATTGATAAAGGGACGTACTAGACGAGTGCATCTTCGTACAAGGAAGGCACCGAGGGGTTGTAGATGATGGCGACGCTGTCAGGTCAGAAATTGGTTCATTTGCATCGGGAAAAGAACTCACTGGTCATAGTCAATGCGTGCATTGTCATGTAGCTGCTCTTCAATCTCAGCTAGGATGGGTTAGTCTTCTGGCAGCCATTTTGTGGTCGCGTTCTCTGCCCCGGGGAGCGGTTTTTTGCGGGGAGGGAAGCCGGGAGCTGCTTACTGTGGTGGGGCACAATTCCCGTGGGCTGTTGTCGTTAGCAAGAAGACTCGGAGGGGCAGGTCAGAGAGGAGGAGCATACGTTGAGAGGAGTCTTGTTGACGGCGGACATGGTCTCTTGCTGCTTGTGAAGAGACGATGTGAAGAGAGAGAGAGGGGATGGAGTTCGGTCTGGATGCCGAGCAGCGGTCGCCGTCGCTTTATACAGCGAAACAACCACGCACCTCGGAATCACGCACCCGGACGAATACGGGACCACCACCCGGAATCTCCCCGCACCTGCTACGACAATGTGCAGCCCGGCGACACGACAGGAACGAGGCAGAGGTACACATTAACAGGGGCCCAGTAAGCAGGTGCGCCAATGCACCAATTTTAGCATTTGTGGTTCACGATACAGATCATGAATGTATAGATGCAAGGTAATTCTGCCACACATATGCTTTTGAGAACTTCCACTGCTCAAGCCACGCCAGCCCATGAGCCAGCAACTGATTGCTGTGATGTTGACGAAGCCTCATTCTCCTCCACATTGCCAAGGATGGCATCCCTTCCGAGCTGTGCGCTCATCTGCAATCCAGTCCACAATTTAAATTGCTGCAGTCCTTGCTCAAGCAACACCTCAAGTCCATCCACCGTCTGCCAATCATGCTGTTTCGCCATTTCCATCATCGGTGTGACTCGCGGCTTGTATGCCAACTCCAAAAGACACGCTGCAGGTGACTTAGCCTTCAAAATGCTGGAAGCAATAGCAGCCATAGAGCCGTCAAGCGGAGCATCTCCGGGCACCGTCGAGACCACGACCGATATGGGACCAAGATCAGCCACGTCGTCTTCGCTGTGAAGTAGACGAATGAATGGGAAGGCCGTCTTCAAATCTTTGAGGTTGCTAGCGCTGCGGTTGGCGACAAAGATGCATTCTGTCCCCAGCCGATTCAATGCATAAACAGCAGCGCGGGCAGTACCGCCAGCTCCGAACACGACAGCATTGTCTATGCGAGTCGGTGGTAGTACAGATGTAAGGGCACGGGTGATGCCGATCCAGTCAGTGTTATCGCCTAGCAGGCCATGTTCACTGGGCAAGACAGTGTTCACAGCACCGATCGCTTGAGCCTCTTCCGTCAGTGATGCCAAGAAAGGCATGATGGCCTTCTTGTGAGGAATAGTGACAGAAGCGCCACCGAATGCGGGAGATTGTAGCACAGAAGCATAACGATCGATCTCATCACTCTCAAGCCTCTCGTAAATATGAGGAAGCCCGAATGCAGTGAAGCCAGCATTGTGCAAAGCAGGCGACCGGGAGTGGCTAATGGGACAACCAAAGATGAAGAACTTTTTGGGCGCAATGCGACCAAGCAGAGTCAACCCTTGATGAATTTCCTTGACCGAAAGTTGTCCAGGAGCTGCCTTGAACGGAAGCAAAGCATGGGTGACAGGCGTCAAAAAGCTGCTGAGCAATCTCGACAGAGTACCCTGACTGCCCATATTGATGGCAATCAGAGGCATACCAGATTGAGCGACTGCGGTTTTGAATTCTTCAAGTGCAAAATTGTCGTGCAACGATTTGGCCTGGCCGACCAGCTTGACCAAATCACCTGCCTCACACGCACGCTTGTAGATATCCTGCCAGCTGTCTGTAGCGAAACTCATTGAGCCAGTGACGTCGTGATGCGATGCAATGATCTTGGAGCGCACAGCAGACTTGCGAAGTGTGCGCAACGCCTTCTCAGACCAAGTCATCTCGAAGTCAATAAATTCAATAGCCCATTTTGCTGCTAGGCACATGAGCTCAACGGCCAAATCCTCGCGATCATTAGGGAAGTTGCCACCTTGTGACTTGGTGCGTATCGTAAAGATGATTGGCATGTCGAGACGCTCGCGTAGTAAGGCCACTTGCTCAGAGACGTATGCAATGGATGGGACTGGCTCCGGACCATCTTGAAGCAAATCAACGCGCAACTCCACAGCGTCGCAGCCAGCTGTAATCTGTTGCAGGAGCTCAAGACCCTGACGAATGTCAGGGTATGTCAAACTGAGGAAGAACGAACGAGGTTTGTTCGAAAGCATCGACATGAGATCGGTTGGCCCTTGCAGATGATGCAGAAACTTGGCAAATGCTTTAATCTGCTCAGTCCGCAGCCCGTTTGCCTTTGATGAGTAGTATTGAAAATTGGCCACTTGCTCAAACAAGGGTCGGCGCCGCTCCCAAACATCCATAATCTCTGGTGTTGATTTGCCATTTGCAGCATTCCAGGCAGGTCTTGTCTCGTCGGCACCGAGGAAATCAGCAATTTGCTCAATGTCTCGATGTACTTGGAGAACTAGGCCACCAGAAGCAACGAATTGCTGCAAAAGCGTGACAGCGGCAGGTGTTTCAACGATACCTCCTCCACATGCGCAGATGTATCCTTGTGCGTGCTCCTTGAGTACTTTCGAAAGTGTAGCCAATTCGAACTCGCGAAATTGCGTCCAACCCCGAGTTGCAACAATTTCTGGAATCGTTTGCTTGTAGTCTTGCTCCAAAAGCTGGTCGAGATCGATGAATGGGCGATCAAGAATTTGAGCCGCCAGCACACCCATGGTGCTCTTGCCTGCACCTCGCATACCTACCACAACAACAGTCGCAGCGCCATTCACAGTCGCTTTTGGTTTTGCAGGCAGATAGTCGACTCCTGCCAAAGTCACAACAAAGTCGCGAGACAACACATCCCACCAATCAGGCCAGGTTTTACTGGTGCAATCCTTGTCCAAGATGAGACTCTGCCCTGGTGTCACAGCTGCAAGCAATGAGAAGGACATGGCTACACGATGGTCGTCATGGGTATCGATACCATCGCCTTCAAAGGCATCAGGCGGCGAACACAGTCCAGAGAGACCGACGCCTTGAATCGTGAGACCGTCGCCAAACTCACTAGATTGCGTACAACCAAAGGCCGCCAAACCTGCTCGCATGGCCGCTATCCGGTTGCACTCCTTGACTCGCTGATTTGCGATGCCTTTGATAGTCATGGACCCTTGACTAGCGGCAGCCAGTACTGATGCAGTGAGGAAGGCATCCGTCATGGGCTCCATATCAATTGAAGTGACAGCTCGCAAAGAACCTGGTGCCGGCCCTTGAACACGCGTACTGGTCGCAGTCTGCTCGATCGAACATCCCATTGGCTGTAAGACGTCACGCGCAAATCGAGCATCACCTTGAAGACTTTCTGAGCCGATATTGGGCACCACGACGGAGATTCCAAGCAGAGCAGCTAGCGCCAAGGGATATGTAGCAGAACTCGCATCACTCTCAATTTCATAAGCCTCAGGAGCCACGTACTGCGCGACAGGTATCTTGTACTCGGAAGATGAAATTTTCTCAACCTGAACGCCAAAAGAAGCCATCATGGCAGTAGTCATGTCTATGTATAACTCACTGATGACTTGACCACCGGTGAGAACGAGATGGACTTCCTTCCGCGCCAGCGGTGCTGCCATCAGAATTGAAGAGACATACTGAGAAGAGACGCTGGCAGACAGTTCGATTCTACCGCCTTGAAAGCCAGGCAATATGCTGAGCGGCAAACAACCTTCCTTTGCAAGATAAGATATTGTGGTTCCATTTGAGCGAAGCGCATCGACAAGTGGTCCTATCGGCCGGACCTTCATCCTGTGGTTGCCAGTAAGCACGACAGACTCAGTCGAATTCACCAGGCAAGCAACACTGGTCAGAAAACGTGCTGCGGTTCCAGCGTTCCCGAGAAAGAGTTCCTTTGACGGATGCTTGAACCTTCCAGTGCCAGAGACGAGCAGACTACCATCATCGTTCCAAGTGAAAGAGGCAGCGCCAAGCGCTTCTAAGGCAGACTGCATGTACCGCGTGTCATCAGAGCTAAGAAGGTTGGTCAGCTTGACCCGCCCACCGCTGAGAGCTGCCAAGATGAGGGCACGATTCGATATGGACTTCGATCCAGGAGGCTTGCAGACAACTTCCCTTGGTACCTGAGGAGACTCGAGCGCACCTTGCACAGATACATGAGGGGCAAGCACCAGGCGGATGAAGTGATCCTGGACATCTGTAGCTTTGAGTTCGTAGCACTCTCCGACTCTCTTGAGGAGAACGACTCGCTTCGAGCTACCAGAATTCTTCTTGTCGATTGCCATGATCTGCAGCAAGCGATCGACCGGAGTTTTGCGACCACGAGTCTTAGAAGTGATGAACTCGTCATCGACACGAGTCGGGAGGCCCCAAGCAGATAAACACTTAGATATCCGTCCAACTGCGTCAGGAGACAAGTGACCAAGCAAGCGTGAAAGCTCGGCTTCCTTGACCATACCAATAGAAACTGCTTCGCCGTGTAAAATTTCAGGTGTCAAGATAGCCTCGTAGGCATGGCCAATCGAGTGGCCAAAATTGAGAAGGTTCCTTAGACCGCCTTCCTTTTCATCGGCAGACACGACTTCGGCCTTGACGTGAATTGACGAGATGACCACATCTTGAAGCAGTTGCCTAATACCGTTGAAACGATCCTTTGACACAGGCTGCGACAAGATTTGAAGTATCTCAGGCGCGGCTTGCTCTAGTAGACCAAACCGATCTTCGTTCCAGATTGCCGCCGTTTTGATGACCTCGGCCATGCCATTGATGAACTCACGGTTTGGCAATGTATTGAGAAAGGCCAGATCTTCAAAGATAAACTCTGGTTGATGGAAAGAGCCGATAAGATTCTTGCCTAGGGGCGTGTCCACGGCAGTCTTGCCGCCAATAGCAGAGTCAACCATGGCCAGCAAGGTTGTAGGCACTTGCACAAACTTGACGCCGCGCATAAATGTTGCAGCAACGAAACCGACCATGTCCCCGATCACGCCACCACCCAATGCAATGACAATAGTGTCTCGCGTGCATCTTTCACTCAAAAGCCAATCTTCCAAGTCCTCCTTGGTTTTGCGGCTTTTGCTTGTTTCCCCAGGAGCAACAAGTTTGGAAATGAAGCGCGCATTGGCCGGCAATGACTTGAACTTTTGCTTGTCATCTATGCCTGCCTGAAACAATCGTGCCAGCTGATCAAGGTACAGCGGAGCAATGTGCGTGTCGGTGATGAGGGCATAATTGGAGGAGGGTAGCTGTGTCAGGCAGGTGTCGACGATATGTTGCAAGAGATTGTAGCCGACATGAATGGAGTCTTTGCCCAGGATTGAGACCTTGACAATATCCACTGCTGCCATGATGCAGCCTCTGGCGCCAGACGTTTCCAGAGATGGCCTTGATTGTATGCGAGCTGCCAGTATGCGCCCAACTTTTGGATTTCGCACGCGGTGGACGGACGAGATGGAAAGACAGGAGACCCTTACTCCTCAATATCTAGTAATCACCTCTATCTCTATGCTGGTGCTCTCTATTTGATATTTACATGCTCTGCTCGAGCTTCTTAGTGAGCCCGTCAATCTCCGCCTTGAATTCGCCAAAATTCTCTCGTCCTTCTGCGTCCTTGTTCACCCAGACACTCACGCTTACGCCAGGACAGTAGAATTCACCAAAGCCATCGTCGCCAATGGTGACCTCGCCCTGAGACCAGCCAAGTACATCAGTCCACTTCTCACCTGCATGGAGCTCCCCAACATGCATGCGCTTCTGACCAGCTTCAGCGTTCGACAACACACACGCCAGACCATCAGGCTTGTCCCAGGTACCCTTGCGCACCCAGCCGATGCAAGTCGGGAAGTCAAAGTAGTCGTCCTGTTGGCCATACGCGTATTGCTTACGAGCCAGAATTAAATCACCAAGTTGTCCACCGCAAGATGCTGGCTCGCCATCTTCAGGCCCAGCAGTGCCGTAGAGGTCGCCGAGGAACACGCAAGGGTAACCCTCAGCGCGAAGAAGAATGAGTGAATATGCCAGAGGTTTGAAGAACCCTTCAATCGGGATTTCGAGAGCTTGTCCAGGCTGTGTGTCGTGGTTCGTCACTAGCGTACACGAGTTGACTGGTTCACACTAGCAAGGTTAGCTGGCAACAACCACAGGAGGGTTCGCACCTTGGTAAGCGTGTTGTCAAAGACAGTGCGCAAGTCAGACTTCTCTTGCTTCGACAAAGAGCTGAAATTGTTCACCAGTGGCGCGTCAAAGAGCGAAAATTTGCGGCCCATGCGCTCAATGTAATCCATCATGTCTTGCACAGACATCTTCCAGAACTCGCCAACGCAGAAGAGATTCTCGGCTGCTTTGTTGCCATCCTTGGATTTCGCATTTTCTTCTTGAACATGATCGATAAAGTCGCGCAGGAAGTCCTCGCTGAAGTGCTTGACAGCATCGAAACGGAATCCAACAAGGCCGAGCTCCTTGGTCACCCATGCTCCCCAGTTTTTAATTTCTCGGGCGACTTCTGGGTGAGAGTGATCGATATCGGCAAACATCTAACGTTAGCAATAGGAGATTAGGCATGGATCCATGCCAAATAGTCAAAGTTGCCCTTCTCTGTATCAACGCCGTCTTCGGCCCAACCTTTGCCGTCGCCCAGAATTTTGTAGATGGCCGACTTCTGGTTGTCGTCGTTGTAGTCTGTGCCGGTGAAATGGCTCCAGTGCCACTTGAAGTTGCTGTACTTGTCGCCGCGTCCGGGGAAGGTGAATCCCAACCAGCCGTTGATCTCGTATGGGTCACTGATTGTCTTTGTACGATCGTCACTGTCGACTTCTTGGGCACGACATTTCTCCAATTCATCGGCTGCAGCCTTGTGGTTCAAGACTGCGTCAAAGATCAGGCCGATGCCATGCTCTCGCGCTTGTTTGACGAGGGTAAGAAGGTCGTTCTTTGTGCCCCATTTTGTTTCGACCTGGCCTTTCTGGTCAAACTCACCAAGGTCCCACAAATCATACACATCGTACCCGTTGCCGTCTTTTGACGAAGCTTTGCACGCAGGGGGAATCCACATTGATGTCTTAGGTTAGCCAGGGAACCCGACCGCGGCAGTTTACAATTCCAGTCTTGCTCAGGTCTTCCAGGATGGTAGCAAGTCGCTTCCAATGTTTTCCGCCAGCAGCTGTCATTAGAATAGGCCAGACCAAATTCAGAACGTACGCGAATACCACTCAAAAGCTTGCAACATCGTAGCATTTCCAGGTGTCGGCGCAGGGTTACCCTCGACGGAAGTGTTGGTCAAAGTAGACTCGACCATTGCGGGTATTGATGCTTGCGATGGCTAGGTAGTACAAAGCTGTTGATGCACAGATGAATGTGTTGTTGTTGGCGCGGAAATGACGCAGGATGGAATAACAGTTCGCTGCAACGGATTTGGATCTCCCGAGGACTCAAAATACAGCTTCTGAATGCTTCAATGCTTCTACGTGCTCATACAAGGGGCCAATGCTATATGTGCATTGAAGGGGTCTGACACTGTGACCATAGAAAAGCTCTGTACGAGTGTCTAGCTCAGCCTGCAGGCTTCTCGCAAACCAGCAGTGCAGTAACTTAAAAATGACGCACACGCCTGTGGCCTCGCCGCGTGGTAAACAAAGAGCCCGACTTTAGAGAGAATGCAAATGCTCCCGTAGGCCGGTCCAGAGACGCTGAAGTCCCTGACAGTCACAATGTTGGTCACTTGAACGACCGAAATTGACTGTTTCTTGCACATGAAGTTGAAGCTAGACTGCCTTGTTGGCAGATCCAAAGGCTGGCACATTCTCTGTTGCTGCTTGTGCTTGCCACATCTGGGCATACTTTGAGTCATCGCGAGCCACAAGCTCGTCATGAGTTCCCGTCTCGACAACAAGTCCGTGTTCCAGCACGATGATCAAGTCGGCGTCTTGCGTAGTCTTCAGACGATGCGCAATGAAGACACTAGTAAGCTGGTGCTGCGAGATGACTTGGTTGATGTTTTGCAACAATTCCTGCTCGGTCTTGGTGTCCAGAGCACTCGTCGCTTCGTCAAAGAAGACGATTGGAGCATTCTTCAAAATGGCCCGAGCAAGCGCAAGTCTCTGCTTCTCGCCGCCCGAGATCATCATGCCTCGTTCGCCGACCTGGGTCTCGTAGCCGTCCGGAAATTGTGAAATGTTGTCATGAATACGGGCCGCACGAGCTGCTTCAACGACCTCTGCATCGCTTGCAGTCACCCTGCCGTATCTCAGATTGTGCAGAATGGTGTCATTGAACATGGGCTGATCTTGCGGAACAACGCTAATCTGCTTTCGTAGTGAGTCGAGCTGAACGTCGCGAATATCTTGCCCGTCAATCGTAATGCGGCCTTGATCAACTTCGTAGGATCTAAACAATAAACGCAGAATTGTGGATTTGCCGCATCCACTCGAGCCAACGATAGCCACCTTGGCTCCTGCCGGTATTGTGAATGATACATTGTTCAGTATTCTTCTCTCGGCGTTATAGCCAAAGGATACATTTTCGAATTTGATCTCGCCACCTTGCACTACAAGTGGTTGCGCGTCTACCTTCTCCTTGATGCTGATATTGACCTTTTGCAAATTAAACAGGACGCCCATGTCAATGAGTGACTGACGAAGCTCGCGATACACTGAGCCTAGGAAATTGAGTGGCAGTGAAAGCTGGAAGACGAGCTGATTGATAAGGACAAGATCACCCACAGTCATGTATCCTTGCTGAACACCTTGAGCTGCCATGAACATCATAGCAGTGAGGCTAGTGGAAAAGATGATGTTTTGACCAGAATTCAGCAGAGCCAGCGAAGTAGCAATCTTGATGCTCGATGCCTCATATCTTTCCAGGGCCTTGTCGTACTGTTGGACCTGGTAATGCTCGTTATTGAAATACTTGACACTTTCATAATTGATGAGGGAGTCCACGGCAATGGTGGCAGCCTTGTTGTCTGCAGCATTGGCCTCTTTCCTGAATCTCGTGCGCCACGCTGTCGTTTGTATCGTGAAGATAGCATACGCCGTCATGGTAGCTGCCGTCACTGCAGCAAAGCTAGGCCCAAACTTGTACGTTAAGATACCGCACACCAGAGATATCTCGAGAGCCGTTGGGAAGACGTGGAAGACCATAGATGACAAGAGAAAGCTGATTCCTTTAGTGCCACGATCTATGGCGCGACTCAGACCACCTGTCTGCCTTGATAGATGGAATTGTAAGTCGAGTCTCAGCAAATGCTCAAAGACATCCGTGGCTACTTTGCGGATGGCCTTTTGGGAGACATTTGCAAATATTGCATTACGAAGCTCCTGAAATACCGTTGAACTGATGCGCGCCAGACCATATCCAACTACCACAGTGCCTGCAATTGTCCAGGTTGTGCTTGACGTCGCTGCAAAATCGATATTCATGCTGTCGACTATGTTCTTGAAGAAGAATGGCACTTGTACATTCAAGAGCTTACCAGCCACCAAGAAGGAAAGCGAGATCACGACCCGCGTCTTGACACCAATGTTGTCCTTCGGCCAAAGGTAGTGCGACATTTGCTTGATGATGGCCCAATCAGTCTTGCGCTGTTCCGCTTTGGATCTGGCTGTTTCATCTTCTGGAGCTTTGGCAGGCCCTGTCGATGTCTTGCTTGCATCTGTTGTCTTTGTAGATACGAAGCGTTGTCTGGAAGGATTACAGTTGAACGACGATGCATTGTGTCGTGGTATGCGCTCACATGCCCTATGCCGCAGACTTGCTCTCAGAAGGCTTCGCAGTTGTAACCGCTGCATCAAGAAACAACACCCTAGGCCTTCTTAGCCATTTTAGATGTACAATGCCTGGCAGGTTGTGTCGTTGTCTGATCATGAAGGTGATGCCATCCGTGTGCCAACTTTCGCCTGCCGCCTTCCTGCTACAACACAACAGCGTGAAAGATTCTTGCTTGGATGTGCCTGGCAGCCCGAGCAGGGACCATCAAAGCTTGCAGATGCTTCAGTTGTTATATCGACTACTTGCTGCTTCAAGGCAGTCATGACATTAAAGACCTTACTATGCTGCAAATGATTTGAAATTTCACCAGGGCTTGCTGGCCACAGATGTGTACATCAATATGCTACATGGCTGTTGCTTCCAATCAAGCGACACAGTCCCAGTGGACCTTCTTTCTACGAGCTACCACAAACAAGACACGCTTATGAGTCATCGACATCTGCAGTATCGCCATCATCCAGTATGACTCACGAGCAATTCGTCACCAAATACTGCTTGTAATATGACTCAAGACCAGACCCAGGCCCACGAAAAACATAAGTAGGACCCGATTTCCCGTCTTATGCTCCTCACACCTCTTCCCTTTCCTACAACTCCGAGAGTCCCTTCATTTGAATACCCTCACCGATTCAAGGTACATCCCTCAAAAGATGTCTTGTTTCAAAGTAATTCCCTGTTCGCCTCAAGCCGCTGAAGGTTCTCCTTCTTCGGTGCGACGCAACAGTCCTCATGTCGCGCACGATGTTACTCACAGTCGTCAGTCGTCCTCACTCCTTACTGCAAGCGAGACAGAGACACTTTCAGCTGAAGAGAACTCGCTGTTGTCGAGCATTTGGAACCCTATCGCAGCTTGCTGCACCCTTGGAAATGAGGAAAACACTCTCGTCTCAGTAGGTCTATGCGGACCGTTTGTTTTGCTGGAGGATGACTCATTTCGGTACATATGCCGTGTGTTGAGTCACCTACTAATGTTCAGATCTCGCGCTGGTGTTGCTTCCCCTTGGGTAGACTCAGCAGAAGACGAGGACGGCGACGGCGACGATGAAGCGTTTGATTTGCCATGGTTGAGAACGACCAGTGGTTTGCATGTGTGCGTCAAGGTTGACGGCTCATTTGTTGGCTATGTATCGAGTGCGTGTCGCGAGCTGGCGAATCAAGAAGCTGCAGATCTCCTGTGGGACGACATGATGGCTTTCTGCAACTTCCAAAACGGTCAACAATCCGGCGAACCATTGCAGTCTGCTGTGCGAATTGTAGATCAACAGCCAGAGCAAGACCACGAAATGTCCTTCACCGATGAGTTTGAGCATGACCTTGATGAATATCTACTCGAATTCGCTCAGTGCAAAGCTGAGTTTGATGCATGGCAAGCTTCGAGAAGGCGTATCACAGATGTCACATCAACAGATGAAGCTATCATTCTTTCATCTACAGAAATGGAGGTCGCTGAACAAATGGTATCTGGCCTCGTCGTATCGGAGCCTATTACTGCTCTTCAGGGATCGCAAGATGAGGCCCCTCAGGCAATACTTGTGCCATCATCCTGGGCAGAGATGATCGACGAGTCGGATGAGGATGAAGACTTTGATATTCCTTGGGAGTCGAAGACCTCGTCCATGAAGACCGAGATTGCCACTTCTCTCAACGCTATCGAGCCCTTTGTTCACCCTTCTCTGTCCAGCCCAGTCGAGCTGCACTCCGGCACAAATCGATCTGATGCAAGTGAAGAAGAGCGCAAAGAAGTCGTTGGTGAAGATGCCCCAGTCGACGACTCTCCTGCAGCATACCTGTGCACTGCGCGAGTGGCAATCATTGAAGAGCTGGCTGCATACAAGGATGAAGTGCATGATGCTAAGATTTGGGCGATTCGCCACTCACAAGAGAAAATTGAGGCAAGAACGGAAGCGCCTCCTGTGCGTCGTCAACGTGTAGCCTTGCATGGCAAGGCATACTGGACCCATGATGGCAATCCAGTTGCGTCTCCTTTCGCCACAATTGCGCTTACAAGCATGTTCACGGGGAAAGCACCTGTGCAGCCAGCATGCGCGATAGACATTGTTGACAGCGCAGGTGCCACTGCCGCAGGATCTCTTCCAGCTCAACATCAAATGCCCACTCCTTCTGTCGCATGGGCCGATATGTCTGACGACGATGAAGACTTCGATATGCCCAACTGGCTTAAAGACTCGCTTGAAGCGCAGGCCGCCCAGGCCCAAGCTCAAGCTAAAGAGATTGCTGCGCTGGAGGATCCGGCCAGTATTGGTGTTGTGCACGTTGATGAGCCACAAAGGCAATGTACTGTCGGTCGCCTCCATGGATCGCTCTATTGGACAGCGATTTCGTGCGACAATCGAGACAGTTCGCTGCATTACGAGTCCATGTCTGAGGTGGACGAGGCGCAGACGGAGAATGATGCTTGGCATGACGATAAGACCATGGAGGCCATTGACGATGAAACTGCAAAGCTTTTTGGGCTGCCTTGCTACGATGTCCAGCAGGGTATTGATGAAGATGCTTGGCAAGACAAGAGCCGACGTCCAGTAGATGCAGCCAGGTGCAGTCCTTTCACTACCCACGGTACGACTGCAAGCCTTTCTTATGATCATACCTCCCTTTTCGGCCGCTCTCCTTCAGGCATTCGTGCACGTTCACTTGAGAGGCCTGCTGATTGCGTTGCAGGTTCAATTTTGTCCTTGATAGACAGGAGCATTTGGCATAGCGAGATGTATAGAAGCGTAGATTAATGAATGCATGGCGTATGGATGTTCCTTGCTCTCTTTGTCAGCAGGTGCACAGCTGAGCGTGAAAGGCAACAGGGTGGTAGCCGAAAACATCGTAGTTTCATAAACTAAAGCTTGACAACAGAAATGCTTCGAAAGACAAGAAGCTAGGCCTTCTTAGCCATTTTAGCTGTACAATGCCTGCAGGTCGTGTCGTAGCCTCAGACTTGAGCTTCACAGGTGGCATGTTCAGCTTATCATGTTCATCATCCTCGTCCATCATGTCTGCCCAAGAAGCGCTACGTCGATGCTCAGCTTGTGGGTTTTCCTCAACCTGCTCACTTCGTGATGCTTCAGTCGGATCGATTTGAGCTTGAGCTTGAGCTTGAGCATCGTCATCTTCGATATGCCCAACTTGCTTAAAGACTCGCTTGAAGCGCAGGCCGCCCAGGCTCAAACTCAAAATGATCCGACCGAAGCATCACGAGGTGAGCAGGTTGAGGAGGACCCGCAAGCTGAGCAGCAGCGTAGCACATCTTGGGCAGATATGATGGACGAGGATGATGCAGATGAAGAGGATGATGAAAACGACAAGCTGAACATGCCAGATTGGCTGCAGCAGACAGTGAGAGCTCATGCCAATTATTTGATCAAGTTGGACGAGCAATGCCTGCTAGAAGCAGACCCTGCGGCCTACTTGGTCGAGGCGCGAAGAGATTTCTTTGCCTATCTCAAACGCCAGGAAGGTGGCGACTTGAGAGCGGAGATTGCTGCGCTGGAGGATCCGGCCAGTATTGGTGTTGCGCACGTTGATGAGCCACAAAGGCAATGTACTGTCGGTCGCCTCCACGGATCGCCTTATTGCACAGCAATTTCGTGCGAGAAGCGAGACAGTTCGCTGCATTACGAGTCCATGTCTGAGGTGGACGTGGTGCAGACGGAGGATGATGCTTGGCATAAAAATAAGACCATGGAGGCCATTGACGATGAAACTGCAAAGCTGTTTGGGCTGCCTTGCTACGATGTCCAGCAGGGTATTGATGAAGATGCTTGGCAACACAAGAGCCGACGTCCAGTAGATGCAGCTAGGTGCAGTCTTTTCACTACCCACGGTACGACTGCGAGCCTTTCTTATGATCATACCTCCTTTTTCGGCCGCTGTTCTTCAGGCATTCGTGCACGTTCACTTGAGAGGCCTGCTGATTGCGTTGCAGGTTCAATCTTGCCCTTGATAGACAGGAGCATTTGGCATAGCGAGATGTATAGAAGCGTAGATTAATGAATGCATGGCGTATGAATGTTTCTTGCTCTCTTGTCAGGTGCACAGCTGAGTATGGAAGACGACAGAAAAGCTTCGAAAGACAAGAAGCTAGCCCTTCTTAGCCATTTTAGATGTACAATGCCTGGCAGGTTGTGTCGTTGTCTGATCATGAAGGTGATGCCATCCGTGTGCCAACTTTCGCCTGCCGCCTTCCTGCTACAACACAACAGCGTGAAAGATTCTTGCTTGGATGTGCCTGGCAGCCCGAGCAGGGACCATCAAAGCTTGCAGATGCTTCAGTTGTTATATCGACTACTTGCTGCTTCAAGGCAGTCATGACATTAAAGACCTTACTATGCTGCAAATGATTTGAAATTTCACCAGGGCTTGCTGGCCACAGATGTGTACATCAATATGCTACATGGCTGTTGCTTCCAATCAAGCGACACAGTCCCAGTGGACCTTCTTTCTACGAGCTACCACAAACAAGACACGCTTATGAGTCATCGACATCTGCAGTATCGCCATCATCCAGTATGACTCACGAGCAATTCGTCACCAAATACTGCTTGTAATATGACTCAAGACCAGACCCAGGCCCACGAAAAACATAAGTAGGACCCGAAATCCTGTCTTATGCTCCTCACACCTCTTCCCTTTCCTACAACTCCGAGAGTCCCTTCATTTGAATACCCTCACCGATTCAAGGTACATCCCTCAAAAGATGTCTTGTTTCAAAGTAATTCCCTGTTCGCCTCAAGCCGCTGAAGGTTCTCCTTCTTCGGTGCGACGCAACAGTCCTCATGTCGCGCACGATGTTACTCACAGTCGTCAGTCGTCCTCACTCCTTACTGCAAGCGAGACAGAGACACTTTCAGCTGAAGAGAACTCGCTGTTGTCGAGCATTTGGAACCCTATCGCAGCTTGCTGCACCCTTGGAAAGGAGGAAAACACTCTCGTCTCAGTAGGTCTATGCGGACCGTTTGTTTTGCTGGAGGATGACTCATTTCGGTACATATGCCGTGTGTTGAGTCACCTACTAATGTTCAGATCTCGCGCTGGTGTTGCTTCCCCTTGGGTAGACTCAGCAGAAGACGAGGACGGCGACGGCGACGATGAAGCGTTTGATTTGCCATGGTTGAGAACGACCAGTGGTTTGCATGTGTGCGTCAAGGTTGACGGCTCATTTGTTGGCTATGTACCGAGTGCGTGTCGTGAGCTGGCGAATCAACAAGCTGCAGATCTCCTGTGGGACGACATGATGGCTTTCTGCAACTTCCAGAACGGTCAACAATCCGGCGAAGCATTGCAGTCTGCTGTGCGAATTGAAGACCAACAGCCAGAGCAAGACCACGAGATGTCCTTCACCGATGAGTTTGAGCATGACCTAGATGAATATCTACTCGAATTCGCTCAGTGCAAAGCTGAGTTTGATGCATGGCAAGCTTCGAGGAGGCGTATCACAGATGTCACATCAGCAGATGAGGCTATCATTCTTTCATCTACAGAAATGGACGTCGCTGAACAAATGGTGTCTGGCCTCGTCGTATCGAAGCCTATTACTGCTCTTCAGGGATCGCAAGATGAGGCCCCTCAGGCAATACTTGTGCCATCATCCTGGGCAGAGATGATCGACGAATCGGATGAGGATGAAGACTTTGATATTCCTTGGGAGTCGAAGACCTCGTCCATGAAGACCGAGATTGCCACTTCTCTCAACGCTATCGAGCCCTTTGTTCACCCTTCTCTGTCCAGCCCAGTCGAGCTGCACTCCGGCACAAATCGATCTGATGCAAGTGAAGAAGAGCGCAAAGAAGTCGTTGGTGAAGATGCCCCAGTCGACGACTCTCCTGCAGCATACCTGTGCACTGCGCGAGTGGCAATCATTGAAGAGCTGGCTGCATACAAGGATGAAGTGCATGATGCTAAGATTTGGGCGATCCGCCACTCACAAGAAAGGGTTGAGGCAAGAGCGGAAGCGCCTCCTGTGCGTCGTCAACGTGTGACCCTGCATGGCAAGGCATACCGGACTCATGATGGCAACCCAGTTGCGTCTCCTTTTGCCACAATTGCGCTTCCAAGCATGTTCGCTGGAAATGCACCTGAGAAGGCCAAGTCTTGGGCAGACATCGATGACGACGACGATGAAGATATTCATATGCCCGACTGGCTCAGAGATTCGCTTGAAGCGCAAGCCGCCCAGGCTCAAACTCAAAACGATTCGAGCGAAGCATCACGAGGTGAGCAGATTGAGGAAAATCCAAAAGCTGAGCAGCGACGCAGCACTTCTTGGGCAGACATGATGGACGAGAATGATGCAATGGACAAAAATGATGCAGATGACGAGAATGATGAGAATGAAAAGCTGATCATGCCAGATTGGCTGCAGCAGACAGTGAGAGCTCGTGACTGTTATTTGAACAAGTTGGACGAGCAATGCCTGCTAGAAGCAGACCCTGCGGCCTACTTGGTCGAGGCGCGAAGAGATTTCATTGCCTATCTCAAACGTCAGGAAGGTGTCGACTTGAGAGCGGAGATTGCTGCGCTGGAGGATCCGGCCAGTATTGGTGTTGCGCACGTTGATGAGCCACAAAGGCGATGTACTGTCGGTCGCCTTCACGGATCGCTCTGTTGGACAGCAATTTCGTGCGAGAAGCGAGACAGTTCGCTGCATTACGAGTCAATATCTGAGGTGGACGAGGTGGACGAGGTGCAGACGGAGGATGATGCTTGGGATGACGATAAGACCATGGAGGCCATTGACGATGAAACTGCAAAGCTTTTTGGGCTGCCTTGCTACGATGCCCAGCAGGGTGTTGATGAAGATGCTTGGCAAGACGACGGCCGACGTCCAGTAGATGCAGCCAGGTGCAGTCCTTTCACTACCCACGGTACGACTGCAAGCCTTTCTTATGATCATACCTCCCTTTTCGGCCGCTCTCCTTCAGGCATTCGTGCACGTTCACTTGAGAGGCCTGCTGATTGCGTTGCAGGTTCAATTTTGCCCTTAATAGACAGGAGCATTTGGCATAGCGAGATGTATAGAAGCGTAGATTAGTGAATGCATGGCATGGCGTATAGATGTTTCTTGCTCTCTTGTCAGGTGCACAGCTGAGCATGGAAGACCTTAGAAAAGCTTCGAAAGGCAAGAAGCTAGGCCTTTCTAGCCGTTTTAGATGTACAATGCCTGCAGATTGTGTCGTTGTCTGATCATGCAGGAGCATTTGGCATAGCGAGATGTATAGAAGCGTAAATTAATGAATGCATGGCGTATGGATGTCTTTGCTCTCTTTGAAAGGTGCATAGCTGGACATGGCAGACAAAAGAATAACTTTGAGGGACAAGAGAGCAAAAATCATTGCATTAACAGCTCGCAGAGTGCAGCGTGAAGAGGGGCTATGGAGTTGAGGTGCTACTTACTGAGTTCGCTCATCACGTTTCATAATGTCAATGACAGGTCCCAAGAGACGCACAAAGGCGCGCTTGCCGAGGGTAGCCACCTTGAGTCGTGTTGCAGCTTGAATGGTGGCATTGCGAGGAGCATCTGTAATGAGTGCCGTCTCTCCAAAGTAATCGCCCTTCCCTAGACGTGCAATGACGCCTTCGCCATCACGAATGACATCGGCTTCTCCGGATTCAATCATGAAGAATTGCTCACCGACGTCGCCTTGCCGAATGACGACGGCACCCTTGTCAAAGACGCAGGTATCGAGTGAATCTGCAATTTTTTGTCGCTCGGGTACCTCGAGTGCTCGTAGAATGTTGACGGTTTCGAGAAAACTCTCATACATCTTGCGCTTCCTGGAGGTGTTTTCCATGAGGATGCGCCTGAAGGTCATGCGATCGAGTGCCCAGACCACACAGTTGGGCGTGTTGGAGACGACGGTCGCTGCACGGGGTGCATTGTACATGAGGGCCAGTTCGCCAAACGAGCCACCGGCTTGAGCACTGGCGACTTTGGTACCGAATCCGCGTCCTTGGGAGTCGTCTGACTGCTGCTCTTGACCACGGACGTAGATGTCGAAAGAACCCGCCTCGACCACGTAGAAAAAGTCTCCTACATCGCCTTGCTTGATGATGACGCTACCGGCAGCTGTGAGTTTCTTCTCCGACATGGCATCCAGGACATCGCGAAGCTGTTCCTCATCTAGATTTTTGAAGAGGAGGTTCTTTGAGATGGCGGCATCGATGCGTTGCAGCTGGCTGGAGCTCTTTGGGATGACGATTTTTTGGTAGGAGTTGTCTGCACTCGGGAGCATGGACTCTGCCGAGACGGATGTACGGCGTGTGGCATTGTAATTCATTGGGTAGCCATTGGCGGTTTGTGTGGTTCTGCCGCGTGCGAGATCATCGAAGTGCGAGGCGGATGTGTCGCTTTGTGGGAAGGAGTAGCCTGGTCCGCCTGCTGCTTGGCCTGAGGGCACGCCTGAGCTCGGTGAGGGTGATCGGTCGCGTGAGTCATGGAGCTGGCCTTGTCCAAAGGGGCTGCTACTCGCGAAGAGGGATGCGCCGTTGCCGCTGACATCTAGGGGGCCGCCTTCGCTGCCACTGGACCTGGTTGCCAGTTGTTGTGGTTGTTGTGAATGTTGCTGCTCGTGCTCTCGATGTTGCTGTTGTTGTTGTTGTTGTTGTTGCTGCTGCTGGAAGTGTGGTTGACGCAGCGATCGCCTTTCCTCGTCGAGCTTTCTGTTGAAGAAGGCTGCGCAGAATTGGAGGACGTCTTCTGGCTGTTGCTGGTTGACTTCGCGGTTGAGCTGGTTGAGGAGGTCTGTGTAGGTTTCGGCCATGTGAGAGCGATGATTGAGCAGTAGTAGTAGTAGTTGTAATAGGAGCAATAGCAGTAGTAAGAGCAGTAGCAGCAATAGTAGAGTAGTAGTAGTTGTAGTAGAGTAGTAGCAGTAGAGCTGAGTAGTTGAGTTGAGTTGAGTCCAGATGCGGAAAGTGGCTGGACATGCACGTGACCAGGGAATACATGATACTTATGTATATAGTGTATATATGTGTATGTATAGTATACTACCTACTCCGCGAATCAATTTCTATCGTAACAGCTACCCATCAGCAAGACTCACAAAAAGAAGCAGACTCACGGCCATCATTCTCGATAGACACCACCATCATCCCTCCAAACACACCAGCCTGCACACGCTCTGGGAGACTCGCACGCAGGCCAGACAGCACAGACTCATACAGTACTTCTGCAGGCTCACTCTTCATCGCGAGGTGAAAGTCCAGCTTGTTGCCCTTCAACTTGCCATACAGTGTAAATTGAGAAATGAGCAGAATGGAGCCTGAAGCCTGCTCGATGTTATCGTTCCAGTGCCTAAATAGACGCACCTTGAGCAGCTTGTTGATGATCCAGCGAGCATCCCCCTCCGTGTCATCTGCTGCAATCCCAAGCAACACACAGTAGCCATGGCCAATCCGCCCAACCACCTTCGAGTCGACACTCACGGCAGACTTGAGCACTTTTTGGATGACAGCTCGCATCCTCTCTAGTCTATATAGCAGCTGTCAGTAGTCTTGCCTGGTAAAGCAGAGGCAGCATGTAAGTCCAACAAGCACAATCCATGACTTCTGCCACGACCCTTTCAGATGGAATTGAACCAGCTACGACACAGACAAGTTCCTATGCAAACATCTTGGCATACGCTTGTTTCTGCTTCTGCACCTTCTCAGCAATCGCTTTCTTCATCTTGGCCGTTTCCCGCTTCACCTCACCATCCTCAGGCATCAACTTGCCAGCCTCAGCCAAATCCTCCAAGGCACCTTCCTCATCCTTGCTACCACCCCTGCCCAGCGCGCGTCGGTAGTAAGCCTTGGCACGATCTGCATCAGTCAATTCAGGCGCAGGCGACTCAAGCACAGTCGTGGCAGATTGGACAGCTTCCTTGAAGCGCTTCAACTTCAATTGCAGCAGTGCAGAATTGAGGTTCAGGGACGTCCGCAGCGGTCGAATTTGAGTTTTGATGGTGTGCGCCTCGTCAGAGTTGATGTCAAGCAGATAGCGTAATGCCTTGCTGTACTTCTCCAAACCCTTCTCCAAGTTGCCTTCTTTGAAGTGCTTGTTCCCGAGCGCCTTCAGGTCAGAAGCAATCTTAAACATGGCCTCACCCGATCGATCACCATCGTGGTCATCGGGATAGTCCTCCCAGGGGTCTTCTGCATCCGCCGCGGAAGAAGAGACATTCGACTCGTCTACCACACCGCAATCAATAATTTTGACGGCCGCCAAGGGGAGATCAGCAGGGCCAGTCTTTTGATTCTCAATCTGCCGAACCAAGCCTTTGCCTTTTGTTACTTCACCAAAGACCACATGCTTGCCGTCGAGATGGGATGTTTCCGTGGTGGTGATGAAGAACTGCGATCCGTTTGTGTGTTGACCTGCATTCGCCTGTCGTTAGTATGGTCTCTGCCAAACTGTCATCACGCTTTACCATGCTCAACAAGTACGGCTTTGAGTGCTTCACTTCAAAGTTCTCATCCTCAAATTTAACACCATAGATGCTCTCACCACCCGTTCTGCTCGTTAGCACCACAGACCTGCAGTTTCAGCATATCCTACCCGTCGCCATTCGTGAAATCTCCGCTTTGGATCATAAAATTCCTGATGACTCGATGGAAGGAGGAACCCTTGTAGCACAGCGGCTTCCCCGTCTTGCCAATACCCTTTTCGCCCGTACACAGCGCTCGAAAATTGGCTGTTGTTTTGGGACAAATGTCATCATACAGCTGCATGACAATCTTGCCTGCCGGCTGGTCCCCGATAGAAATGTTGAAGCTGCACTTTGTCAGTTCGGGGGTCTTGTGGTGAGGTGCATTGCACTTACAAGACGTTGCTAGACATGTTGAGAGTGGTCTGGCGATGTACTTTCGAATAGCTGTCCAAGATGAAGTGATGCCTTGTGCTGGCCTCCCTTTGCTCCTGTTGTGGTACGCTTCCAGAGTCTTCTATAGCAGCTCCCTTGGCGTGTGGTCGCGTCTGGGTGGGTGGCCCGTGGGAGAAAGACGGCGAAATGCAGCGAGATAAAAATTGTTTGAGCAGCGACTTCAATATACATCTACCTGCCAATGCCGTCGCTCACAGGACAAGCTGGAGAGCAGAAGAAGCGCAAGAGATCACATGCAAAGGCAGCATCTAGCAAAGGCGATGTTCAACAAGCTGCAGAAATAAGTGAAGCAGCCGCTGAACCGACAGTGTCGAAAAAGGCAAAGACAGAAGTAGACAATGCATCAGCGAGTGAGTCTGAGCCCGAGGACGAGGAGGCAGCGTCAGGCGATGATGCGCAGGATGCAGGTGAGAAGCTTATGGAAACAGCCATTCTGCCATTGCCCCAGGCAAGCGACCCAAAGCTCTTCTCAGAGCTCTCCTTGTCACATGGGACGGCGCAGGCGCTGACAGAGATGGGCTTCACAAAGATGACTGAAGTACAAGCTCGCACCATTCCGCCGCTGATGGCTGGCCGTGATGTGCTTGGTGCAGCAAAGACCGGCTCCGGCAAGACATTGGCCTTCTTGATTCCAGCAATAGAGATGTTGCATGCCCTCAAATTCAAGCCGCGCAATGGTACAGGTGTCATCGTCGTCTCTCCTACTCGCGAGCTGGCTCTTCAGATCTTTGGCGTGGCCAAGGAACTCATGGCGCATCATCATCAGACCTATGGAATTGTTATTGGAGGCGCCAACAGGCGAGCAGAGGCCGAGAAACTCATCAAGGGAGTCAATCTCATCATTGCAACACCGGGCCGGCTGTTGGATCATCTACAAAACACAAAAGGCTTCGTCTTCCGCAACATGAAGGCGCTCGTCATTGATGAAGCCGACAGAATTCTGGAGATTGGGTTTGAGGATGAGATGAAGCAAATCATCAAGATCCTTCCCTCAGAAAACAGACAGTCTATGCTCTTTTCTGCAACACAGACCACCAAGGTGGATGATCTAGCGCGAATCTCTCTTCGACCAGGCCCACTCTACATCAATGTAGACTCCGACAAGGAGTCGAGCACTGTCGAGGGCTTGGAACAAGGCTATATCGTTTGTGATTCAGACAAACGATTTCTCCTCCTCTTTTCCTTCCTCAAACGCAATCTCAAAAAGAAGATCATCGTCTTCTTCAACTCTTGCAATTGCGTCAAATATCACGCCGAGCTACTCAACTACATTGATCTGCCTGTTCTCGATTTGCACGGCAAGCAAAAGCAGCAGAAGCGGACCAACACCTTTTTCGAGTTTTGCAATGCAAAATCAGGGACACTCATCTGCACAGATGTAGCAGCGAGAGGTTTGGATATTCCTGCCGTTGACTGGATCGTTCAGTTTGATCCGCCTGACGATCCACGAGACTACATTCACCGCGTCGGTCGAACAGCACGAGGTACAGGCGCCAAGGGACGATCTCTCATGTTCTTGACACCGTCAGAGCTTGGCTTCTTGCGATACCTCAAAGCCGCGCGTGTCCCGCTCAACGAGTTTGAGGTGCCCGAGAATAAAATTAGCAATGTGCAGAGCCAGCTTGAGAAGCTCGTCTCGAAGAACTACTACCTCAACAAGTCTGCGAAGGATGGCTATCGCAGCTACCTGCAAGCCTATGCTTCTTATTCCCTCAAGTCCATCTTTGACATCAACAAGCTTGACCTCGCCAAGGTAGCCACATCGTTCGGCTTCACCGTACCACCACCAGTCAATATGAACCTCGGCAGCATGAAGGCATCCAAACGGACAGGCAAGGATCGCGTGGGCTATCACTCCAAGAAGGTGGGCAAGGAGCACTATGACAAACAACGCTCTGGCTCTGGCTTTCACAAGAGTGATGCTGGAAAACAGAGTTGGTCAAAGTAGGACATGATTATTTAGCATAGCTTTGAGCAAATGGATTTTTCTGTATGTATGAAGATGTATCGCTTCGTCTATGAGACATGCAGATGTGCTTCAGCAGGACTCTCAAACATCCGGCGAGTCTTGAGTCTAGCATAGTTGTATGAAATACATGATCCTCGTCAGCGACACGGTCATTGTCGATCAGAGGGCGAATACTTGCGAAACACACACATGTCAGTATCCTCCGTACTCTGACTGTCCATACTCAGCCTGCATCTCTTCTCTGTCCTCTTGCTGTTGGTTCAGAGGTTTAATTTAGGTAGCTAGTGTTTTTTTTACATCACCCCGAGAGGTTCCAACCAAATGCCTAGAGTCATCCTTATGAGCAGGAGAAGACGAAGAAGAGACGCTGCAGGCTGGTCTGCTGTCTTGTTAGAGGAGGAACACGGTGGACTGGTGAGTTGTGGTGTCGCTGCATCTCTTCGCTGTCCTTTCTTTCTTTTCCATTCAATCCGTCCTGGTCTCTTCCTCTCACGCCCAAATAATTTCATCTGCCGGGCACAGGAGACCAGGGGAAGCAGCAGCAGCGAGGCAAGGAGGCCAACGAAACCACCCAACCAACAGCCTCGCACAAGTTGCACAAAGAGGCCCGCACAGCTCTAGACTGGGGCCCGCCTGTTCTGCTCCAAGTCGAGGGCGCGCATCCTCCCCTCTGGCATGCTGCCGTGCATCATAGATGAGCTCACACCAAAAAGACCCTTGATTGACCTTTGCTTCCCCTGGGCTCGCTGTTTCTACACGCTTCCCACTTGATATAAGACCTTGACTCGCCTGCTCTGCTCTTTTGACATTCAACGCAATACCTACAAGCCTGCTACCCACACTCTTTCATCCATTGACAAAGATGTTCACGCTCATTCTCACCAGCATGGCTGCCATGGCATATGCACAAGTGCCCATCATCACACTCAACCCAAATGTCCTCCTCCCATTGTCGAGTACGCCTTCAGTGGTCGTGCCTTCATCTTCTGTCGCATTGCCCATCTTCACAAATACGGGCGCCCCTACAACTATCACATTGCCTCTGAACGCGTCTCCTCCCACACAGGTCGCGTCAATCCTGCCAATCTCGGTCCCAGCAGCGGTCATTAGTCCCATCACATCCACCATCACACAGACCATCTGTGCAGTCTGCTCAAGCACACCCGTCGCATCCATTCTTCCAGTCGTCGTTGTTCCGGCAACCCTGGCGAGGAACTCTACTCCCACATCTGGCTACACCGGCCCTATCCGCTCTGGTGGCAGCAACTCGACTCTGGTTCAGGCGAGTGGTGCTGGTAACTTCGGTGCTGGCACTTTCGCCTTCTCGGCTGGTCTCCTCGCTGCATCGTGCTTCACCTTGCTTCTTTGAGTTGGCAGATAGTCACACTGCTCCACTCAATCATATTAAATACATACAAAGGCCGGCGGTATAGGTCAGGCTCATCCATATAGCAAGCGTCACATGATGATTACAAGACTCTCATCTTGAGGTTTAACTGCTCCTTCAACTTTTGCAGTCGTTCACCCAGAGCTTCCGGCTCTATACTGCGTTGCGCTTCATCATTGATGCTTTGCTGGTCTCTGAGAATATGTGCCAGCTTTGCCCAGGCAGGCTCACCGCCTTGTGCAGACGCGTTGATCCACGGGCAAAAGTCATAGTGCTCCTGCACACACTTGAACGGTTCTTCGCGAATCAAGACGCGTCTCAGACAATCTTGACATCTGGCCATGGACACGGCATTTTGCCTCTCGATAGACCAGCCCAAGAGCGCAGCGCAGTCAGAGGGCCCCGTCAAACTTTCAACCCCCTCCTGATCTGCTTGTGAAAGGCCTTGTAGACTGCAGACCATATTCGACACCTTAGAAACAAGATTTTGCCGTTCTTCATACTGCTCAATTGCTTTCTTGATGTTATCAAACTTGAGAGCGAGGAGCCGTATTGAGCAACTCTTTGACTGCCAGGGACAATCTGATCGATGAGTCGAGACAGACAGCTCTGCATACCGCTTTTCGAGCGCAGCGGAGACTTTGGCCTGCCCCAAGAGAAACGTGAGCATAGCCTTGCAACAGACACAGACAATGCTGCATTGATCGACCTGGCGCCGATCGAGCGTCCAACCACTGCGCGACAGATTGATGGCACTGATGGGGCTGGCAAGAGAGTGGTATCTGTAGAGTTTAAAGGTAGCCAGCCTGCTGAGCAATTGTTCGCGAGACCGTGGATTGTAAGCAACAGAGGAAGATCGCTTCTTATGGACTACTGTAGGATCATGCGCTTTGGGCGAGTCGAGCACGTTGAGGAGCTCATCTATCCGACGCTTTCTGGATTCGGAAGCGGCCTTTTCTGACTGTTCCTCAGCAGCTGTAGACATATCAGTGGTTCAGCTCCAGAAGGTAGCTAAGATGGAGTGAAGACTTGATCAGAGTGTTTCCAGCTTCACTGCTCTAGACCTAGCTATAGCTTATAGGCCTGTTCGGCGTGTATTATGCCGTGTAATTGCAACTCTCATGCGCACCAAAAAATATCGCGAAGTCCGCACGGCGCACACAGACGACACCTTGATCTTCTCATCGCTCGGCTCTACATTCTATACCTTCGCCTCATCTTCAGGGACTCATATCCAGATAGCACATTGTCGTCAGATGCTATCCGTACATTGCTGAAGAGTCCTTGATGAAAAGGTGCTTTTCAGCATTTGTGCAGTCGCAACGAGTCGCTTGTCGGCGTGTACACACTCCAGCGGCCAACTGCAGGATACGATCCGCGACACCAACCACGACACATCGGTTGCTAAATGCGAAATCTTCAAAGCCGAAAGCTCTCCCCAAAAGCAAGTACGAATGGTCTCTAGTCGCACGAGCACGGCGGAAAGTGATTGAGGATATCACAGAGCCTACAGATGCTCGGACAGCCCGTGCAATGCGGGCGACAGAACTCGATGAAGCGCTCAATCTACTCATTCGGATGACTGGCACGGATTGTCGGATGCATCAAGCTTCGAGCAGCTCCGGTGCACCAGAAAACCCGACACGCGCGCTACAGCATAGCGCTTTGGTTGTCCAGGTCTCCTGCTTGACTCGAAGTAAGCATAGAGACACAGCTGAGGTCTTGCCAAAGATCGATGCGTGTCTTCAATCTGCGCAAGCATCCAATGAAGAGCTTCGTGAAGCATACGGACTGGCCATCGGCTATGCGACCAAGCTGCGCAACTTTGCCTGGCTGCGAAGGCTTACAAAGGCATTTGTCGCGCGAGGTCTCAGTCTGAATACCAGAATCATGAATGCTACGTTAGGACTCTTTGCTGCCGAGCGCTCCTTACAGCGCTATGCTCACGTGTTGCGCATATTCTCAGATGTAGGGCTTCAGGCTGATATCAGTACCTGGAATCAGTTTCTCACTATTTGCGAGCCCGACGAGAGAGTGAGAGTATTTGCAAAGTTTCAAGCACTCGAAATTCTTCCGAACCATGTCACACAGGCCATCATGATGCCTTTGTGGCGAAGTCAGCACGCTTCTGCTTTTGAGTTCATCCAATCCTTCAAGGCAGCTGACTGGACGCCTTCTTTAGGAGACATTCTCCTTGCCATGCTGGTCCGTGAAGGTCTGTTTCTCATGGCTCATGGCTTGGTCATGACATCAGGTGTTCTGCAAATCTCATCCAGGGGCGCGGCAACGTTGCTTGAAGGTCATTTGGACCATGTCAAGGCAAGTAGTCTAGGCCGAAGCGTCAAATACAGACGCATATTGGCACTTCAGGATCATCTTCTGGACAAGGGCATCAAGTTTTCGCCAAGAATGTACCATACACTGATGAAAATTGCCATCAAATTGAGGAAACGGGTTTGGTACGGTCTTTTGAGAGAATCATATGAGCTGCAGTGTCAAATTGAACCACACTTTGCAAAGAGTACCGGGAAATTTAGGGGACCGGTCTATCCAACCGTATTGCCGCGGTGATAGCGAACAAGCAATGAGCATAGCATAAGCATGAAAGTAGATAATGATGAACTGACGAAGTGATCGTCAGTAAAAATTGAGGTATGCACGCTAGATGAGCTTGGTTACGAAGAAGAGTGCAATGAAGCTAGAAAGTAAGCCCAAACCTGCCAGAGTGCTCGAGACGTGATTCTCCGGATAGACCTCCGCGCGTTTGTTTGCCTTCTTGGCTGGGGACCGCTTCGTGACGTTCTTGTCAGCTGGTCTAGCTAGCGGCGCAAATCTCTGGTCTTGAGAGGCAAGGTCTCCCTTGTTGACTCCACCAAAGAAGTCAGTGACCTTGACTTGATTCAGTGGTCTGTTGAAGAGATCTGTGCGTAGTCCAGGCGTGGAGTGACATTTGTCTGCATCGACGTAATTGAATTGATCTGCCAAGGTAGCATTTGAATTGCCGTCTTCAACGAAGTGTTCGAGAAATTCCAGGTGGTAATAAGTGTATCGGTCAATGACAGCAACACCGATGTCCATATCGGCATGATGAGAGTAGGAGCTTTCTTCTATCGCACTTGAGCCACTCGCAAGGACATTAGGCGAGTGGATTTGACTGTACATCGTGTTGGCTTGACAAGTATCAATCATGAACAAGATCTCATTGTACCTTCTCTTCTCATGCATCTGTGCAATTGCATCTGCAATGTCAAAGGCACTAATTTCTTCCGCATCCTGAAACTTGAGGAACTCATTACCACCATGGCCTGCCATGTAGATGAGAATATTGGAGTTTTCGTCAGACAGCAGCTTCTTACTCGCTGGCTGTTCTGGGCCCCAGCGGTTCGTGAGTAGTCGGATGAAGTTCTCCACCGTTACTTCATAACCGCGATAATCCACCTCGATATTCTCGCCGTAGAGGTCCAGCGCTCGGTCCTGGTTGTTGAAGATGGCGCCGGGAAATGTATTCCGTGGATTGCAAGCAATATCATCTGCCAGCATGAGGATAATCTGGGAGTCTGGGATACCCAGCCTTTTGACGGTCCGATAGAAGGAGAGCACGTTGGACATGTGTCTGTAGTTGAACCAAAAGCGCGATGTAGAGACTAAGATAGCCCAGTTGTTTGTATGCTCAGCGCATGTGGCAGCAAGGAAGACAGAGCAGAGCAGCAGAGTTATGCGCATTGTTCTAGTAGTAGCCTGATTGCCAGGCCCGCAGCGCGAGTAACAAGAGGCCTTAGCACTCGGCGTGAAGTAGACAGCAGCCAGTCAATAGTGGTCGTCTCCTATCTCACGCCAAAATTGATCGACGGCAACGACCACACTCAATTGCAACCCATCCGTTGGAGAGGCGGCCAGCATCAAGAGTCCGCGAGGAACCCTAAGGGCCCCAGGGAAGGAAGCTATCGCAAACGAAATGAGCTACTCCGGCGCCATGTTTAACAGAAGAGAAAGCGCCGAACAGCTCGACCCATTCATCCCGGCCAGTCAGCTCTATGCCAGTGACAATCTCAAGCAGCGGGAGCGTACTGCGCGCTCAAGGACCATGTCAGCTGTATGTCTGATACGTTACTAGATATTGATACTGACCAGCAAAAGGGAAATATCTTCAATCAGGCGGAGGGTCCAGCCAGGATTCCACCTTCAGCACCAAGACGTCGCTATTCTCAAGGTATGTCTGCGTGCACAGCATGCCACAAGCTTACAAGCAGATGAAAAGACACAGCAACCGCGCAAGTTTCTCGTCAATGTGGAACAGACGCTTCAGGCCCTACTTGAAAGTGAAGACACAGACAACAACATGCAAATCACTATTGAAGACAGTGGGCCCAAAGTGCTAAGCCTTGGAACTGCCAATTCACATGGTCTCAAGTCTTTTGAGATTCGTGGCACCTACATGCTTTCTAACTTGCTGCAAGAGCTTGTTCTTGCCAAGGACTATGGACGGCGTTACATTCTGCTTGATGAGCGTCGTCTAAATGAGAATCCAGTCAATCGTCTTGCGCGGCTCATCCGTGGCACTTTCTGGGACGGTCTGACTCGAAGGATTGACAAGTCTATGCTGGAGATCATTTGTGCAGATACGAAGAACCGTTCCAAAGACCAGCGCCCTCGCATTTATGTGCCGCATAGTGAAACGGAGATTTACGAATACTATGTGCGTGCGGCAGCAGAAAAGCCCAACCTCGGCTTGCTTGTGGAGTACCTGCCAAAAGACATCACGCCCGAGTTTGTCCGCGATGTCAATAAGAAGCCTGGCCTGCTGGCTCTCGCCATGAACAAGTACACAAAAGAGGATGGCACAGAGGATCTCATTGGCGTGCCTTTTGTTGTGCCAGGTGGTCGTTTCAATGAGTTGTACGGCTGGGATAGCTACTTTGAATCTCTTGGTCTCATCATTGACGGTCGCGTTGATCTGGCGCGCGGCATGGTGGAGAATTTCATCTTTGAAATCACACACTATGGCAAGATCCTCAATGCAAACCGCTCCTACTATCTTTCTCGGTCGCAGCCTCCATTCTTGACAGACATGACCCTTCAGATTTTCGATAAGATTAAGCACGAACCAGATGCGCTTGATTTCCTGGAAGCTGGTTTCCGTGCGAGCATCAAGGAGTACTTGACTGTTTGGACTGCTGAGCCGCGCTTCGAGCATACTACTGGCCTATCTCGCTACCGAGCAAGGGGTATCGGCATCCCTCCCGAGACTGAAGCTAGCCACTTTACGCATCTTTTACAGCCGTACGCGGATAAACATGGCCTCACTGTCGAAGAGTTTACAGAAGAGTACAACTACCAACGCATCAGCTGTCCGGAGCTTGACGAGTACTTCATGCATGATCGTGCATTGCGTGAGTCTGGGCACGATACATCGTACCGGCTAGAGCACGTCGCCGCTGATCTCGCCACGGTAGATCTCAACGCACTGCTGTACAAGTATGAAACTGATATTGCTCGTGTCATTCGCGAATACTTCAACGATCAGTTCAAGTATGATGGTTCTGTCCAGACATCCAGCATGTGGGACCGTCGTGCGCGCAATCGCAAGGCAGCCATGGACAAATTCTGTTGGAATGAGAAAGCTGGTATGTATTTTGACTACAACACCAAGTCAAAACGCCAGAGCGGCTTCGAGTCTGCAACAACGTTTTGGGCGCTTTGGGCTGGTCTCGCGTCTCCGAAGCAGGCCAATGCGTTGGTGGAGAAGGCACTACCAAAGATGGAAGCCGTGGGTGGGCTGCTTGCTGGTACAGAGCGATCTCGTGGGACCATCACGCAGGCTCGACCAAACCGACAGTGGGACTACCCATTCGGCTGGGCACCTCATCAGATTTTGGCTTGGAAGGGTCTCGAGCGATATGGCTTTGAAGATGAAGCGAAGCGTCTTGTCTACCGCTGGATGTACACGATGACGAAATCATTTGTGGACTACAACGGTGTCGTTGTTGAAAAGTACGATGTGACGGCAAGTAAGGATCCTCACAAAGTCTTGGCAGAGTACGGCAATCAAGGTGGGGATATCAAGGGAGTTGCACGCGAAGGCTTTGGCTGGGTCAATGCATCCTTTTCCGTCGGCTTGTCTTATTGCAATACAGCCATGCGACGTGGTCTAGGCACGGTGACACCTCCTGATGCCTTTTTCAAGGGACAGATCAACGATATTCATGACCTTGGGTCGCTAGAGATTGAGGCAGATGGAATTGAAGAAGATTATGTGGAACCAGTGGATGAGGCTGCATTACAACCGCCGGCGTGAAGAGGTGGATACGATTGATGAATGATACTCAATGCATGATGTGTAGTACAGAGGCCGCCGTGTACTTTGTTCAATGCGATTTGATTTCCTGCTCTTCTGCTTGAATGATGCTCAGCCATTGAATGTTGTCGCAACAGAGCCATCGAGAAAGTTGCCCTGATAGACGATGGCAGCTGTGGATTCGCCCTTAATGACAATGGCATCCTCAATTCTGCCAGCACGTTTGTAGCCAAGTTGGTCCCATAAGCGCGTACTCGCCACGTTAGATTCAAACACTAGGTTAAAGACGCTGCTCCGGTATTTGAGTCTCGAAGCGAAGTGAGGATAAGACTTGGCCAGCACTTTTCCATCTGGATGTTAGCCTCGCCTTGGTCATGGGTGACGAAGTCCTTACAGCCTGCATTCCGTTTCGTGATGGGTACAAGGAAGCCTGCATTGCAAATATGTCCGCAGTGTCCGATGTAGTTTGGTTTGATGTAGTACGTGCCCAAGACGTCCTGCTGCCAGTCTCGGTCATGGTCCAAAGCAGGGGAAGTTGCGAGCAAAAGAACAGCATTGTATTTAAACCAGTACTCCTTGAACGAACTTTGGTCGAAATGTTCATTATGGGGGTCTTCACCATCAGCAGTCATACAGAAGCAGCTTGAAGCATCTTACAAGTGTCTGCTGCATCTACTTCGTTGTTGAAAACAGTGCACAGGTAAGCAACGAGTGAGTCTGGAGCGATTTGGCTGTTTACAAGTACCAAGTAAGCTGGGCCTGTCTTTGTTGAGCATGCCAGAGGCTTGTAGAGCACATCGCCCTCAATTTCAGCAGGTGTATCAAGCATCCTAGGTATCCAGTGTATATATACAGAGTGTAGTTCAGTCTATACTTTGACATCCCTGCACGTGTCTCTCCGGCCAACTTCCGCCCACGACGAGCATCATCCAACAGACCCAACAACACCTGCTCCTCCAGTCGTAGTCAGCGCGCGCTCACACCACTGCTTGCTTCAGAGAGCGTCGCTTGACTGTGCTCCATCTAGCGCTCTCTTCAATATCTATTTAAACCATGTGGGGCGTATTTGGCGGCGGCGCGAAACGTGCGGATGAACCTAAAGATGCTATTGTCAAGCTACAGTCATCCCTGAACCTGCTAGAGAAGCGGCAAGCCTATCTGACTAAGCAGGCCGATGAGCAAGAGGTACTTGCGAAGAAGAATATGCACAACAAGAGAGGTACGCTGAGTATATTATGAGCACGTCGGCTGACATGTAGTTGCAATGGCTGCCCTGCGGCGGAAGAAGCAGTATGAGACAGAGGCGGATAAGCTAGAAGACACGAAGCGTACTGTTGAGACGCAGCTGTACAGCATTCAAAATGCCAATGTGCAACACGAAACACTCATGGCAATGAAGCAAGGTGCGGCTGCTATGAAGAACATTCACAAGGGCATGAACATCGACAAGGTGGACAAGGTCATGGACGATATCCAGGACCAGCTCGACATCAGTAATGAGATATCAGGTGTGCTTGGAGGGCGTATAGGAGCAACGAATGCAGAAGATGAGGATGAGCTGCTGGCTGAACTTGAATCAATGCAGCAAGAAGACATTGAGCAAAAGTTGCTGCAAGGGGGCAGTGTACCTGTACAGCCGGTCTCTTCCAAAGTACCAGCTACAAAGGTAGCAGCGACCGAGGAGGAAGAGGACGAAGAGGCGGAATTCGCGAAACTCCAAGCACAATTCGCCATGTAAATGGATCTTCGTAGCAGAAAGACATTGTCACGACTCTCTGCCTCGTGAAGGGTTCATTTCGGGCGTCAATCGTACAGCTCCTGTACGAGCCATTTGCAGCGCACCATTTCTCGTTTCACATGCTCAATCATATCTGGCCTCCAAACAACCTTGCGTGTAGAGAGAGGCTCATCATCCTCAATCTGTAGCCGCTTCCATGCGTTCTTGCCTGATCCTAGTGCTTCCAAGATCTTGCTCGAATTGGTCACATAGACATGCTTCCCTGGCACTTTCCGTTCAAAGTCCGGCATGATCCAGTCCTCATCCTTATTCGACGGGTGTGGACACAGTGAGAGGGGTATCATGAGCGCCCGAGGCATTCTTGTGCGCGTATATGCACACAACCTGACAGGCGACGCCAGGATTTGAGCATGCTTGTTATCTCTGAGCTGTTTACGACGGCTTTTATCTTCATTTGAAAGTTGTGCAAGCGCATGCCTCTGCTTTGGAGTAGGCTTGATGTGGAGAGACGCCTTCCTAGGCTTTCCCTTGTGCTTGTCATACTCGCGGCCAAAGATGAAGGATTCTTGCTTTGGCCGCTCTTTAATGCTGTCGGGTAGCTTAGAGGGTCTCAAGAGCTCAGTCAACACATCAGCAGACGGACCGACAGACGACATGTATCGCCTCGTAGCAGCTTGCACTAGTCTCATATTTAGGATGTGTGGTCTTGGGTTGAAGGTGCTACAACAAAAAGGAGAGGCTATCAAGTCTCATCCTCGAGATACTCGTACTGGAATTTGAAGTCATTCTTCTTTCGCTGCACCCAAGACGCCTCAAAGTCAAAGTACCTGTACGTACCACTCTCGTACTCGTCCGTTATCACTTTTGGCTCTTCATGCCGTTGGAACCAAGTAAGATACCGCTTGTGGAAACGCCACGCCTGCTTCTTTAGTTCTCTTGACGCGAGATACTGCTGATATGTGCTCTTTTGGTAGTAGAAGATGTAGAATAGCGTGTCAATGTCCATCTTCTCCATGATTTCAGGCTCATCAAAGATGTCGAGCGGCGTTGAGGGGTAGTAAGGCGGTGTCGGGTATGGCTCTTGTGGCACATAGTGATTCGGCCGCTCGCCATCAATCTCATGCGGCATGTACTTGTACGATGTCTCCAACATTTGATTGCGCTCCTCTTCAGTGAGGGTGTGCTCCTCGGGAATCAGATCCGCTAAGCATGCCGGGATGTGGTAATTTGGCTGTTGGGGCTCTTGAATCGCTGGCGTTGATGCACCTGTGCGTATGGCCGAGTCAACTCGAGGCGGAGCAACAGGACGCGGACTAGACACCACAGGGCTGGCTTTTGAGCCGATTGTTGTAGACATCATCGTCGGTGAGATGACGGGAGCAACAGACGGCGCAGGCAGCTTGTCTATGCGAGGCTGCTTGTCGCGGATATTGGCGCCTGTCGCAGCAGCTGAAGCGTATTTGAGGACAGGAGGCGGCGCTCGCTTCTCCTCTTTCTCGTCTTGTACGGGTGCTTGCGCAACTGACTTGGTGGGAGAGTCGTGTACAACTGCTGAAGGTACCACAGGTGTCGACGCTTTTGCAGCAACGAGTTTTGGAGCAGCTGGCGCTTTTGCCGGTATGACGACGGGTTTGACAGGCTCGGAAATCTTCTTCGGTATCGGTCTCGCCTTGAGGACTTCTGGCGATTTCGGCAACGGGGCAGGAGCAGCAGCTACCGGCGCCGGGGCTGGCGGTGCGTCCTCTTTATCTGAACTGGAGTTGTCATCATCGTCTGAGTTCTGGTTCTCACCGAGTTCAAGCTCATCGTAGATGTTCTCATCTTCGGCAAAGTCGACATCTTGATTTGAGTCGATGTAGTATTGTACATCCTCTTTGATGTCAGCAATTTGCTCCACTTCAAGTCCGCCATTTTCGACAAGCCGCAGTATTTGCTCGAGTTTGTCGTTGTGCCACTTATGGCGCTCAATCAGGTGCTCAACCTCTTCAAGTCTTTCGCTTTTCGATGTATCCTTCTTTCCCTTTTTGACTTGCGCCGACAAGAGCTCAATTTCTGCTTCCGCCTGTTCGACTTGCCGCTCAAGCTCATCCACGGATTGTGATAGCCACTGACACATCTCCATCTTTTCCCTCTCCTTGGGGTCAAGCTTCGCTGCAGCATTCAGTCCCTCTTTCGAGTATTGCTTCGTTTTGATCTCCTTCTCGCAAGCCTTAAACTTCTCCATTTGCACCTCGATGAGCCGGCGATGATCTAGCAGCGGCTTCTTGTCCTTGATGTCATTGCTAGATGCCCATGTCTTGATCTGGTCACGATAACGCTGAAGCTTCTTGATCTCCTTCTTCAAGTCCTGCTCAATCTTCTCATTTTGCGCCTTGTTGGACGAGGTGTTGAGCTTCTCGTAGATAGACTCAAAGACGACGATCCCTTCCGCTAGAATATGTTAGTATGGGTAATATATGAGGCACCAACGCCATACCGACTCGCTTGAAGGTCCTGGTTCATGTTAGCATGGATTCTAGACGCGCTGAAGAGGGATTGCCTCACCTGTCGATTTCAGTTTGTAGCTTTCGCGCTGCCATCGTTGTGCGTCGCGCGCAGGTTCTGTGTCGCTGCCTTTGTACTGTGCTCGCTGCGTCGGCACTATGAGTCTGTCCACTGGGCTGTGCCCTTGTCTCTGAGTACCTGGGCTGGAAGTGCTGGGGATACTTAGAAGGTGATGGTCGTTGTCGGTGAGTTTGAGCGCGTGAAAGTCAAATTTGAGGCAAGAAAGCGGACGACCAAGTGGATCAGCTGAGTACTCCTGTTTGAGAGGCCTAAGTTTAGCTTGATAGGAATTATTCAAGGCTGCTGAAGCTATAGAAGGCTACTCGTCAGCTTACTGCATGGGCCTCTATTTCCCTGCTGCTCGAAAGCTCAGTATTCGCTCAATCACGCTCTGCAAGTGCTCCTCCAGGCCCTTCTCTGCTTCACAGTCTCTCAGCAAGGCCTTTCACTTTGACTACGATCCAGAGCGGATACGTAACTTCTCTGTGATTGCTCATATCGACCATGGCAAGTCGACTTTGTCATCCAGGCTACTGGAGCTGACAGGAACTATACCAACGGTTGCCAAATCTTCACAGATTCTAGACAAGCTGCAAGTTGAGCAAGAGCGTGGCATCACAGTCAAGGCACAGACATGCTCCATGATACACCGGCATACAGATGGTAAGGATTATTTACTCAATCTCATCGATACCCCAGGTCACGTCGACTTTAGAAACGAAGTATCTCGGTCCCTCGCTGCATGCGATGGCTGTCTGTTGCTGGTGGATGCTTCACAAGGTATTCAAGCGCAGACAGTGTCCAACTTTTACCTTGCAGCCTCGCAGGACTTGCACATCATCCCTGTCCTCAATAAAATTGATTTGCCAACAGCTGAACCTGCACGCGTGGTGGAGCAGATTGAGGCGACATTCGATATGCCAGCTTCTGATGCACTCCAAGTATCGGCAAAGTCCAATTTGAACGTTGAGTCAGTCTTGCCGGCTGTGATTGCTCGAGTGCCACCACCGCAGGACACACTGCATCTCCCTCTCAGAGCTCTGCTGATTGATTCTTGGTATGACAACTACCTTGGCGTCATTGCCATGGTCCGTATCTTTGGAGGACTGATGCAAGCCGGCCAAAAGATCAAGTCCTACCACACCGGTCGCAAATATGAAGTCAGCGAGGTGGGCGTTATGTATCCAGAACGCACCAAGACGGACGCTCTGCGAAGTGGTCAGGTTGGCTATGTCGTCACCGGCATGAAGGAAAGCTCGCATGCGCACATTGGAGATACATTCCACCTAGAAAACAAGCCTGTTGAGCCTTTGCCCGGTTTTGCAGAGACAAAGCCCATGGTATTTGCTGGTATATTCCCGCTAGATTCCGGCGATTTCGGCAAACTTGATGAGGATATCTCTCATTTGGCTCTTAACGACCGGTCCATCAGTGTACACAAAGAGTCATCAGCGGCACTAGGCAATGGCTGGCGAATAGGCTTCCTCGGGAGTCTTCACCTGTCGGTCTTTGAAGACCGCCTCAAGAATGAATTTCAAGGGGAGGTCATCATTACCAATCCTACTGTGCCATACCAGGTGACTGCGCCAGATGGACAAGTCACACATATCAGCAATCCAACAGACTTTCCAGATCATGGCAAGCTGCATGGAAAGGCATACACGTACGAGGAGCCTGTTGTGGAAGCCACAATGATCTTCCCTGCAGAGTACATCGGACCTGTAGTGACCCTTTGCGAGGAATCCAGGGGCTCTATGATTGAGACGACCTATCTCACAACAGAACGTGTCTTGCTGAAGTACACCTTACCATTGCCATCTCTGCTAGATGACTTTTTCGGCAAGCTCAAGGGGTTGACGCGTGGTTATGCAAGTTTGGATTATGAAGACGCCGGATATGTGGCAAGTGATCTCGTCAAGCTCAATATGCTGGTCAACAATGTATCTGTTGACGCGCTCTGCATCGTGACGCACCGCTCGCAGGTAGCAATGCTTGCAAAGCGATGGGTTACTCGTCTCAAGCCACTCTTGACGCGAGGCTTATTTGACATTGTCATTCAAGCTTCGTGTCAAGGCAAGATCTTGGCTCGCGACACAATCAAGTCTGCGAGAAAGGATGTCCTTGCAAAGTGTTATGGCGGAGACTCATCGCGAAAGATGAAGCTGCTCAAGAAGCAGAAGGAAGGTAAGAAGCGGATGAAGACTTTTGGCAATGTTCAGATTGAGAGCACGGCGTTCTACGAGTTCCTCAAAAAGTAGTGCATCGAGCTACCACGCGTCAATAGTCCTGACCCTTTCTTTACTCATCCTTTCAAATTTGTCCACTGCCATGACGAAGACGCCGCGGCCACCAGTCAAACTTCGCAAGGCCCGTGAGTAGCCCACCATTTCTCGAAGTGGCACTTTGGCCTGCATCGTACGCAACTGGCTCTGGCTACTCGCAGACCCACTCCGCATTGTTGCATCGGGTGGGCTGTAGAATGATTTTTGCTCTGGCACGTCTTCGTTCTGTACGCCATCCAATGCAAGCACATGCCCACCTCGAGTGCCAGATAGGTCGTTCATGACTTGGCCCAGTACACTCTCCTCGACCGAGATTGCCACTGACATGATGGGTTCAAGCATCGCCATGCCATCTTGGCCCAGTTCTTGGAGAGTTGCCATACCAATAGATCGAGAGGCATACACGAGACTGGCAAGTGTAGTGTCGGGGTCGTACTCTGGTACAGTGATGGTCATCTTAGTGCCATGCAAGGGGTAGCCAAGAATCAAACCCCGGGCAAGGACAATGTCTGCTCCGTTTTGACACGCCAAGAGTGCTTCTTCCTTGCTAAATTCTGTCTTGCTTGACGGTAACTTGACTGCGACGACATTGCCATCCACGAGAACTTCATGCTTCCCAGGCATGTAGTCTTCAGGAAGGGGTTCCAGCTGTATTGTCATTTGTACAGCGCCGCGCTTGCCATTGACGATACGTTCACAAAAGTCGCTTTTAGTAGCAACGCGAATCACAGTTTCACGATAGCCGATTCGCAGCTTGCCTACCGTAGCACGAGCTTTAAACTCATTGACTAATCGGTTTGCTGCAATTTCAAGGTGTAGTTCTCCCATGCCGCTGAGGAGCGTTTGAGCAGTGTCTTCGTCATGCGTGACGCGCAGACTAGGATCTTCACGCAAGAGATTGTCGAGCGCAGCAGTCAAGGCCTTTGTCTCTGAAGCTGTCGTCGCTTCCAATGTGGCCATGAAGACTGGTGGCGGCACATCAATAGGCTGCAAATGAAAGTCTGTCTTGCTGTCCTTTGTTGAAACCAGTGTATCACCCGTCCGAGTGTCCTTCAAGCCGAGAATGACTGCAATGTTGCCAGCACTGACTGTTTCAGCTTCTTGCGCCTCGTCGGCATACATCTGAAGCACTTTCAACGCGCGTTCTCGACTTTTGGTGGTCGTGTTGAGGAGCATGGTTCCTCGCGCGATGGTACCTGAGTATACACGCACGAAGACCATTGGACCTCGTTGAGCATCGATGATGACTTTAAAGGCAAGGGCACAGGGAGGGTCATCATTGACCAAAGCGCGTTCGTTTCCCTTGACCACAACCAAGGCCTTTGGTCGTTCGTCTGGACTTGGTAAGTAGTCAATGACTGCGTTGAGTAGCGGTTGCACGCCGATATTCCTGAAGGAAGCCCCTGCAAAGGCAGGTACTAGGTTGCCTTCGAGGCAATGCCGTTTGATTGCAGCCTGCAAGACCTGTGCCGAGATGGTCAGGACATCCTCGCTTTCCATGAAGGCGTCAAAGACTGGCTCATCTAGCTCTGAGAGTAAATCTACCATGGCAGTGCGTGCTTGATGCGCCTCCCGGCGTAGAGCGTCATTCGCATATTGATCGAGGGGCGTGATGGCGACTTGCCGACCATCCGAGTCTTTGGGCCAGACCAAGCACTCTAGCTTCACTAAATCGACGACTCCGATGAAATCGCCTTGATCAGTGCCTTGCTCAAAGATGGGCAGCTGCATGACCAATGGCCGAGCAGCAAGCTTTGAGCCGACTTCTCGAATGGTTCGACCAAAGCCAGCACCTGTTCGATCCATCTTATTGACAAAGACAAGTCGTGGAATTTGCCTCTTGTTGGCTTGTCTCCATACCTTTTCAGTTTGTGCTTCCACACCCGCGACGGCGTCTAGGATTGTAATGGCACCGTCGAGTACACGCAATGAGCGTTCCACCTCAAAGGTGAAGTCTGCGTGTCCCGGTGTATCGATGAGATTGAATTTATGGTCTTGCCATGGGAATGTGATGGCAGCAGACTGAATTGTGATGCCCCTCTCCCGTTCAGCAGGGAGGTAGTCCATAACGGTGTTGCCTTCGTCGACATCACCTATTCTGGGGATAAAGCCACTGTAGAAGAGCATACGCTCTGTGGTTGTTGTTTTGCCCTTGACAGTCAGTGTGAAGCATCAATGAGCAAGTGACATACAGCATCAATGTGAGCAATGATGCCTATATTACGGATTTTGGAGGCAGATGCAGCTGAGGAAGCAGTCGATGCAGCCCGAGCATGTTTCAATAGCAGAGTTTGATGTCTGCAGTAGCTGCATAAGCGAGGTAGAAGCATAATAGTTCTTTGAAATACTAGTATAAGCTTAAGTATAGTACAGAATATATAGTATACATGTAGTCTGGTATAAGTTTGGTATTTCTTCTCAGATGGCACACCACCAGCTCACGTGCAGCAGATGACGGCAACCAGCACAAGCACCAGGACCAGGACTACAGCTGGGATACAAGGCATCTGGAGGAGCAGGGATGGCGCAGGAGCAAGGCAAGGTGGATGCAGCAGTAGCAGAGGACATCATCAATGGACCCAACAATCGCTTCAAGCAGCCCGTCAAGCAGTACTTCCTGCGCATCTTTGTCACTGCCATCGAACGCGCCGCCAAGAAGGACCCCATCATTCGCTTGGATGCACAGACAAACCTCCCCGGCTTCCGGACGACGCAGTTTAGGGATATTCGGCGGACGCACCATGAACTAGAGAAGCTGGCAGACCACCTCGTCATACAGAACCCCGAGTGTATGGTCCCCGCACTCTACCCGGCAGTCAGCTCATTTGGCGCTGGCACGGAGGAAGATGAGCGGCGCTACAAGCTCAATGTACAGCACTGGCTCAATCTTATTTGCAGTAATTTGGTACTCATTCGAGACTCGGAGGTGGTCCATTTCATCGAGGCAGATTTTGGCTGGTCACCCGTCATGAACAAGGGTAAGCCAGCGACGGGAATCAAGCGTAGAGCCATCAAGCAATTACAACCTCCGCCAGACGACTGTCATGAACTAGCCAATGCGCGTCCACTTGCAAAGCAATTCTACCTACTAGCGCAGGACTCTGGAAGCAAATTGAAAGCCGTCATCAAGTCAAGACGCCACCTATCCTTGGCCGAGCAAGATTTCGGTCAGCTCGTTGGACATTTGGCTGTGGGAGAGACACATTCTGGTATGGCAAATGCCTTTTTGAAGCTTGGCAGAGTCCTCCAAGCTGTGAGCGACGCGCATTCTGCCCATGCAACACTCGAGGCGGGTACCCTGGGTGACGCCTTGTTCTACCATGCATCCGACGCGTACGTCGTCAAAGAGACCCTCACCACACGGCACTTTTTGATCCGCGAACTCAATCAGGCGCAGAATGCATCCATCACCAAGACTGCTAATATGTCACGCATGAAGTCGTCGGCAAGTATTGCGTCCTCGAAAGTAGACGAAGCACTTGCAAGTCTGGAAGAAGCAAAAGCACTTGAACAAAGTCTGACGGCCAAATTGAATCGTGTCACGGGCAACCTTCTACAAGAGAACAGGCGCTGGCAGACACGTACATCCACTGAGCTCAAGGTTGCAATGCAGGAGTATGTTCGGAAACAGATTGAATCGGAGAGACGCATTCTGGCGGTGTTTGAGAGTTGCAGGCCAGATATACGGTCTATTGACCAATCTGGTGGGCTCAGCAGACTAGGCCGGGAAAAATTCCAACGCTTGAGCAGTCAGGGTCCCAGTCAAACAGCCGAGGGCGATGCCTGGAGTGGTGTCAAACGGCAGCACCCAATCAAGGGCGCCATACCGGATATTGTTGCTGCGGGTCGTGCGCGAAGTCTGAGCGAAGCTGGTAACGGACTAATGGGCAACGCTGCGGGCGGTCCAGCTGAGATTCCCGAGGGGGAGCGTGTTGATGCGAAGAATGCAGCCTCTTTGCTGTCTGGTCTATAGCTCTACTCAGTCTATGCTCTTGTCAATGGCTGTGCTCCATCTCTTGACTGAAATTCGCGACTTGCTGCAGATTCACCCTCGACGTGACCACTTTACCGACTCGGGACGCGCAGTCTTAGTAGACAGAGTCGCTAGCTTTCATCAGTGCTCCTTCTTTTCCGTATCGCTATTATGCAGCTCCCTGCGCGCTTCATCTCCTTATCGCTCCTCCTCTCCGCGCCCGCGCTTGTCTATGGCTGGTCCTGGACAGGCCACGAGCTGATTGCTGATATTGCACAAGACTTCCTTACCCCCAATGCCAGCGCCAAGATTTCAGAGATGCTTGGCGGTCGACCTCTCTCCAGTATCGCTGCATGGGCTGATACCATCCACTGGATGCCACGCTACCAATTCTCAGGGCGCTTGCACTATTTTGACTATGAAGGGGTCAACCCACCAGAATCGTGCCGGTTCGAGTGGCATGCGCCAGGAGGACAGGAGGTCATTGCCGCTGTGCACAATTATACAGCTAGGCTGATCGATGCCGAGGATGGAACATGGACGCAACAGGAGAGTCTGCGCTTTTTGGTGCATTTTATCGAAGATACCCATCAACCCCTTCACCGTTCGTGCTTGTCAGGACATCAACAGGTGTACTAACAATAGTCTGTGGTCGTGCTCGAGGTGGCAACGACTACTTTGTCAAGTTTGAGAACCGCAAAGCCAAGCTGCATCAAGTCTGGGATGGGCTCGCACTCATGGTACGGCGTTGGTCTTTGTGGTCATCGAGCTAATTGTAGAAACGCATGAAGCAAGTCTATGCCTCTCGGCATGCTTTGCAGCTGCAGCAGCAGCTAGCTGACGAGCAAGACAACGATGTTCAGGCATCAGATGACTATGTCCATCAACTCACGGCTGTCTACAAGCACTATATTCTTCAGTTGATGCAGGAAACGCTGTATGCCAGCCAACACAAGACCTGGCTGCTCTGCCCGAGCAATACCGTCAATCCACAATATGGATGCCCTGAAATTTGGTCAAAGGAGACGGCCCAACTCAACTGTGATTATGTGTGGCGCGATGCGCTCGAGTGGCCTCAGGTATCGCCTGATGCGTACTGGGAGCGTATTGAAAGGGATGCCGTGATTGAAGTCCAGGTGATGAAGGCTTCCTGGCGACTTGCGGCGATTTTGAATGCTGTGTTTGAGACGATGCTGGCATGATCTTTGTCTGTCTTTGTTCCTGGATTATGTCCCTTCTCTGTCTATAGTCCCCATCCAAGGCCTGTCCATCTCTCCCTGGTCCATCCTCCCCTGCTTCTCTCTCTCTTTGCTTCTCCTCCACAAACTTCAATTTTGACAACTTCCAACAGCTCATCCACCCACCACACTCCGTCAGCGTGAACACTCGCCTTCTTCCTCTCCTGCTCTTCGTTATTTAACCAGTTGCCCAAGCAAGTACATCCCTATTATGTCCATATTCAAGCGCAAGCAAAAACGGTCTTCCGCCGACGAACCTTCGCTGCTCGACGACGACCTTCCCACTGTCGCGTCGGCGAGTCAACCACAAGCAGCTGCAGGCACAACGCCCAAGAAGAACTTCCTCAGCACTTGGAGCGGCAAGTCGTCCTCGCAAGCGGCCAGCACACAAACGTCTGCGTCAACACTACCGTCCCCGCTGCAGCCGACCTTACTCAGCTCCCCGCGCATCTCGACCTCCTCCAGCACCAGTATCTTTGAGCGCAGTGTCGATAATCTAGCGGGCGTTGGACCTCCACCCACTGCATCCTCTGCACTTTCTTCGCCGCTCTCACCAACAAGTCTTGCTAATTCGGGCGTCTTTGGACATCATACAGACGGCGTGACACAAGTCCCCGCGGCACATCAGCAGCTTGTGATTGAACAGCAGATACCAGCCGTTCTGGATGCGAGTGTCGAGGCGATTGTGAGTGATACAAACTTGGACCAGGTTGAAGTTGTTACAGCGCAGCGAGCGACACCGGGTCTAACGACACACTCGAGCGCCTCTTCACCGCCCCTCACAGCAGACACAAGTATCAGTGCAGCGAGACATGCGGCAAGCCCAGGTACAGCATCTCCAGTACAATTGCCGAATCCTTGGTCAGAGGAAGAGAATCCCTTAACTGAACCTGAGGCAGATCAAATGCGCCGACTCTCCTTCGTCAGCTATGCAGATCTCGTTCATGTTGAACAGAGCGAGCAAGCAGCTCAATCTCGATCAGCGTCCCTTGTAGGACCTGCTGCTCATCGGCCCATTTCACCTTCTCCACTCGGTGCCACGGCGCCTGCGTCTGCGGATAGTACACAAGATCCCCTGACGCAGTCGCTGGGGAAGTTGTCTGTTGCTAGAGACGCAACGTCTAGCTTAGACGCATCTGCGCTGAGACCTGCAACAGCGTCGTCTAGCATGTTGCTACCGCAAAATCGTCCTCGTCAGCGTTCTATTGTCACTCTTGGCACAGACCCCATACAGCCGAGCATGAAGATCTGCACTTCGACCATGAGTGATGAGTTGCTCAAACCGGTGGTCGTCTCCACTGCCCTTGACAATGAGAATCCTTGGGCCGTGTAATTGCCTTCAAAAAATGAATCACATAGGCAACGAGTAGTATGAGAACATGAGACCACAAAAAAGGACCTTACCTACGCACGCAAGTGCTATATAATGCCAGGAAAATGCTAAAACTTGAAGAACAAGACTGTAAGATACGCCCTTCGCTCCTCTTATACTTTTTGCTTCAACAAAGGAAAAAGGACAAATTGCAAATACATGGTGAGACCAGAAGATGGTGAATGGGTGTCATGTTCGTGCCGTCTTCGCTGCAGCTGGAGCAACCGACTGTTCCTCAGCAGGCCGCTTCATGGCTCTCACAGGGCTCGCTTGTCGCTCGACATTGGCTTTCGCAGGTGACATGGACCGTGTCGTGCGTTGCGTAGCAGGCTCTGCAGAGTGTAGTGGAATCACGACGGGCGTTGACAAATCTGCAGAGAAGCGCCCACCGACTTTCTGTTGCTGTTGCTTGACGGTCGATGGGCCTTGAACGGGACGACCGGGCAGGGCTTGCATCGCCGATGAAGCAGTCTGGACAGGCCTCCCAGGAAGAGGTGGATGCGCCAGTTGCACAGGACGCCCCGGGAGTGCTTGGTATGGCGCTCGACCAGGGACAGGCACGCTACTCACTGGCGTCGGCTTACTGCTCGCCTGAATATTCGTCGCCGCATCTGACTTGACTACTGCAGGTGAAGCAGATCGAGCAGAGCCCTGCACGGTTTGTGGCGCTGGTGAAGGCGCTGGGCTCGCACTGCCACTTGCTGCTTGTTGTTTGACTGCTCCATTCATCGTTGATGACTCAATTGATGCAGAGCGCTCGGCTCCAGTCTTGTCCATTGCCATACGAAGCGCCGCTTGCCGTTGGCGTTCATCGACACTAGGGCCAGAAACGGGCATGGCAACACCATTCAGAGGTCTCACATGGCGAGGAGCTGCAGTAGAAACGGGCAGACGCACGGCAGGTTTGGGCTTTGCCTTCTCCACGCGCTTGGTCTCTGTTGTAGTAGCAGGTGTAGCTTTGGGTTTGCTTGCATCGTCTGAACCAGCTTGCGCTTCTTCCAACGTTACTTTTGCAGCCTCGTCAGCTTGCTTCAATTGCACCGCCAGAGCTAGTGCTAATGCTTGAGCAATCTGTGCCGCCTTTTCCGGTGTTGTGTTTTCACCTAGTTGCTTTTGTATCGCTTCCTGAAGAAGCTTGACGGCTTCCTCTGCCTTGCCTTGTATCGCGCCAACGAAAAAGTTTGGATTCAATGCCAACTTGCCGTCCTTCATGATGATGGGATTACCACGACTGGAGAGCGGTGGAATGACTGGCTTTGGTGGTCGCTTTTTGTAGACGCCATTTTCGAAGAGAGCTTCCTGTTTTGGGTCCACCGCCCAGAAGGCTCCCTTGCCAGGCTCATTCTCCGTTCGAGTCACCTTCATAAAGGCCTTGTTGAGACTGAGATTGTGGCGGATCGAGTTTTGCCAGCCATTCATGACATAGCGGTAGTATGGATGATGAATGCAGATCCAGTTGTATATTTGAGCCAAAGTCATCTTTTTGTTGGGGTGTGAGGTGATGGCGTTGTAAATCAGCGTCGCGTACGAGGCTTGCGGTCTTTGGAAGCTGGCAATGACCTCGGGATCCGTCTCTTCTGGTGGCAAAATCAGTCCTTCCTCTTCAACAGCCTGTTGGCGCGCAAGTGCCTCGTTGTATGCTTGCTGTTCAGCCGGTGTTCGGCCATTTTGTGTAATGATTGAGGCCTGCTGGCTAGGTCCATCCAGATCGTCATCGTGTGTAGGCACTAATCTGAGAAGTGCCTTGTCGATATGGGAATCGTCCACCATGTTCATGTTCATGTTCATGTCTGTTGTATAGTGTTCCGTCGGTCTTGTGCTTGACAGGTATTGCAAATCCGCTAGGGAGTTTCTGCTGGTTGCATCGTGATCCATCGGAGTCTGTATGTTAGAATGGCCCTTCTTGTGGCAAAACTTACTTGTTCAGCGTTGAGCGACACTGGCACAGGGACAGGTATTTGCAGTGCGCCAGCTTGTGCAACATTTGGCTCTGCCGGTGCAATCACACTAAGAACAGGTTTTGGCTTCCTCGTGTACTTTTTCCGCGGCTTCTTTGGCTTTGTGCCATCTGCCATGATGGTATCCGTGCCCTGTTGCGCAGGAGCATCTTCTGACCCTGATGGTTGTACTGGGCCTTGCTGTGCTTCCGCAGCAGCCTTGGCTTGCTCAGCAGGTTCCAAGAGTGCCGACAAGCCAGCCAGCGTCGGTTCTGATACATGTGGCTTGACATATTGTAATGCCCGTTCACTGTCTTTTTGTCGCTTCTCTGCCTTTTTCCGCGGCTTCTTCTTTGGTGTTGGATTGTCTGCTTCTTGCGGCGTCGTCAGCGCAGGTAGCGCTTGTGGCAAGGGCAAGGAGACCTGCTCGGCCGGTAGAAGCAACGAGTCATCTAGTTGTGGAATTTCCATCTGCATGCCCATCATGAGGTCGTGCGGTGCAAGCGGCGTGGTTGGATGCAGCATATCGCTCATGTACTCCATATTCATCGTATGGCTCGGCATCACTGTCTCAACAGGCATGGCCATGAGCGGATCAAAGTCGCCATGCGCCAACGCTGACGGATCAATGGGCGGCGCCGCTCCTTCTGGCAGCAGAAAAGTAAAAGGTGTCTCTGCAATTTGTAGCTTATCCTCATTATGCAGCGGGAATGTTTCGCCTGCGCCGACATAGCGCTCATTAACAAAGGCGCCATTCTTGCCCAGTACCTCAATCTCCCAGGCAGAGGCATGGAAGTGGTAGTGGATCTTGGCATGGTTCCTCGATATTGACTTTGAGGCGCCGAGATGGACATCGACATTGTCGCCCGGTTTAGCTTTGCGGCCGAGTAGGAGGGTCAGCGTTTGGATGAAGAAGCTGAATTGCTCAAACTCGAGCTTTGCATAGGCGCTGATGGGCAGTCCGCCGTCTGGGTCCAGGGCTTCTGGATCCATCTGTGCGTGACCTGGTCAGTTTGTTGTGAAATCGTCGCTCGTGGGAGACGGCGCCCTGTCGCCCTATTTTTTTTGCGGTAGAGACGTAGTTGGCTATAACGAGCGCTTGTTCCCGTAGCCAGGAGCAGATGGAGGGAGCAGGGCCTCACCGGAGCAGATGGATTGCGGGTGGTTTGTTGATGGCTTGTTAAACTGTGTCGCTGCTGCCTGATTTCTGGATGCGACAGACGGGAGCACGTGATGGTATGCTTTACAACACTAAAGACTGTAGACTGTAGACTGCAGATACACAGTTCATACCACAGCTGCAATGCATGGCTACCACTGTTCCATCTCAAGTCATGCTCCTGAAGCATGTATCGCTTCAATCTCCTCCTAAAGTACGAGTGCTCGGCGCGTAGGTCCCCTTGTCTGCTTCTCAAGTAAATGACTGACTGGAGAGCGTCCTAGATTATAAGCCCTGTACAGGCGGCCTACTGCTCCATCACGATCATCATGTGCTTGTGGTGGACATTTCTAGCATGCTCTCTCAAACTCTAAACCTCAAGCTGGAGATTGGGCAATGGCTGCATGTCACTGGCATGATTGAACCGTGCTCAACCTGGCCAATCCACGCTTCTGCAGGGATTTCTACAGATTTGACTGTGCAACAAGGCGTGCAACTCTCTGCCATGATGATTCGTGATGCAGGTCGCCTCAATAGTCAAGATCTGGAAGCATATGAAAAAGCCGTTCACAGACGGTTGCGGTATATAGCGCACGATGCAAAGAGCATTTTACAAGGCCGGGCATGGTGGATGGACGCTGATTGAATATGAGAGGATCAGCGTGACTGATACAAGGTCTACATAAGGACACCCAACATTTCAACTGTTTTGAGAAGCTGTTCACGACCCCATTCCACGTGACTGAGTGCTTCGGCACCTTTGAGCAAGACAACGCCAGCGTGTTCTGCATCAAGGACACCCACACTCGAGACAATGGGGATACACAGTCCTGTCTCGATCCAACGCAACATCGGTCCAGACCCCTCAATGACTGTATCCAGCTGAATTGGCTCAAGTCCCATAAGATTCGCTGGGTAGTACTTGGCAAATGTCAGCATGGCCACCACCGAAAACAACCCCATCGTTCCGGCAAATGGTCCGAATTGATGGCTGCATAGGAGAATAGCAAGGAGTTTTGCAGCACAGATGACTGTCTCGCGCGCAGCCATAGCGGTCCGTTCATTTGTGTAGAAATCCTTGATTCCCCTATCATCTCCCGTCATGTAGCAGCGCAAGAGTTGCATATCCAGGAGTGTTGTCAACTTGACGAACTGCAGATTCAACAAAGCATCCGATTGTGTTGTTTGTGAGGGAGAAGGACGTGCAGCAAGGACTTCTCCTAGATGCGTCAAAGCCTTGTGGCTCATCATTTTAGCATTTGCAAGGACAGATTCTGCATCTTGTCGCATTTGTCGCTGCATGTCTGATTCCGGTGCGAGTTTCTTGGGAACAGCACCAGCGAAATCAAAGACCCGCCTCGCTTCCACTAATCCCAACACCACACGACAGCATTGTCCATACTCGCGTGCACCGCGTTCCTCTATACGTCCAGCACCCCAGAGTGTGCGCGTACGCAAGGGCAGGTGTTCTGGTTCAAAGACGGCAGCCCACTCGGCAGCTGTATCTGCTTCCCAAAGTGATTCAAGACAAGGGAGGGAAATTTTGATGTCATCCACCTCAATCAATGGCCGCACGCCAAATAGCAATGCAAACATGGTGTCATTTGCAAAAATTCCCCAAGCAAGACGACGTCGTTCCTCTGCACGTCGCAGAATCTGCCAGCGACCTTCCGTATTGAGGTGGTCTTCTGGTCGTTCGTCATAGTTCTCGTTGAACATGTTGCGCAGCCTAGCACGCTTGACGAGTGACGAACGACGTTCCTCTGCAGCTTCCATAACAGCCTGTGATTGTAGACTGTAGAGATCGGCGATATCCAACAGGCATTGCGCTTGCATGGTGTAGAAATTCTCTTGCTCAATGCGAACGAGTTTATAAGCAAGTGCCATGAGTGGTCGATGCATCGTCGGCAGCGTGTCGCGCAGGTAGTACTGTGCGCCAATAGCAATCACAGCGAGCGTTGTGATCGATGGACTGATGCTTGCCCCGAAATTAGGTCGATGCAGGAGACTCATCACTGGATGAAAGTGCTCAAAGTAGAGCTGCACAAAGATATTGAGGAGCCGCGCGGAGGGTAGCTCGAGCTGCACATAATCTTCGAGGTGCTTCTTATCCTCTGCAGTCAGCCTGGGGACGTGATTCTTGTCTTCAACGATCGTATAGGCTTCATCGACTTCCGCAGAAGTGAAGCTGGGTACGGGCGATGCTGGCCGCGTGACTGGGAAGCTTGCATCACGGAAACTGCTGTAGCCGTTGCCAGTCTTTGTACCGGCTTCAAAGCCCATACCCAGTTGAAAAATGCTGGTGGGCATGAGTGTTGGTAGGATCGATGTCAAGGTTGGTAGATGCATCGGCTTTCGAGCATCTTGAAAGAGAAATGTAAAAACGGATGGCGCAAAGGCAGTCGACTCGAATTGTGCATCAAAGTCGTGACTTGGCGAAGGAGCCCTGCTCTCAAACACACTACCAGGCTGTAGTCCATCGGTGTGCTGTGCGAAAAAGAGATTGGCGCTATCTGGCTGCAGAACCCCTGGCTGCGTCGCAAAGACCTGTGGTGGTTGCATCACTGGTTCGCTATAACCAGCCATGGGATCCTGAAGATACTCTTGCTTAGGACTCACATTGGCACTGGCCACAGCGAGCAAAACCTTTGCAGCAGCGGTAGAAGCACTTGAATCGGTTCTTTTCCTCTTCGTGGGTGTGGGTGCAATCGGATACTCACACTCCCAACCACGGCTCTGACATGTCGAACACGGATGAACGCCATCACAACGGCACTTGCCTTTTGCACAGTTGCTGCAGGCCTGTTGGATGCGTTTTGTACCACGCTTAACTTGTTTCTGCGGCATTTGAGCACGCACGTCTGCGGGCACATGGACGATTTGATGACGCGAAAGGATATCCCGCCTGGCAAATTCCTTGTGACATGTATCACACTTGAAGGGCTTCTCCTGGGTATGCCTGCGAGAGTGCCTCTATGCGGGATGTCAGCCGGTTCTCTGTTGTTACTCAGAATTTGGACATACAATGAGATGTTCGTGTCGCTTGAAGGACTCCAGGCAGACCGGGCACTGGTACTGCTTCTGCGGGGGTGTTGGAGCATCTTGGCCGTCCATGGCCGTGCCCTGTGTGTGCTGCTTGTCTGGGTCCAAGGTGGAGGCTGCTGAAGTGTGGTGAGTGGGGTAGAATCTGACAACTCGACAAAAGTCAAGGCAGCCAGCAGGACTACATCTTTTACTGCTGAAACTGCTGGTTGCTGGCCTCAGAAGACTGCTGCATTGCTATTGCCAGGGCCGAGGCTGCTTGATTCTGCATTTCATTATCCACTAGACCCTTCAGCTGCATCTGCTTTAAGCCCTGCCCTCTACGCTTCAATCTTATAGCTGCTCTATGCCCGTCAAAGTGCTCTTCGTCTGCCTGGGTAGCTTATCTTCACATTCCAAGACCCATCTCTGACGCAGCTAGGCAATATATGTCGCTCCACGATGGCCCAAGGCACGCTACAGCACATCATCGAGGAACGTGGGCTAGAGTCCTTGATTGATGAGGTAGACTCGTGCGGCACAGCTGCCTATCACACAGGCAATGCCCCCGATTCTCGAACACTCTGGACTCTCAAGGAGCACGGCATTACGCTCGATCACAGTGCGAGACAGCTTGAGGCTGCGGATTTTGACAAATTTGACTATATCCTTGCCATGGACCGGGAGAATCTTGCTGGCATTGAATCTGTAGCACGCAAGGTCAAGTCGGGGAAGAAGCCAAGGGTATGCTTGTTTGGCGAGTATGGGAAAGGGAAGAGCAGAGTGATCCAAGACCCGTATTATGGGCCAAGCAATGCTGGCTTCGACAAGGCCTATGAGCAGTCTGTGGAGTTTAGCGATGGGTTGATCCGGGCGGTACAGGAGAAGGAGGGCCCTGCTCTGTAGTGTAGCTAATGGACAGTTCTTACTTATTAGACACTGGATACTAGTACTAGTAGATAGATAATCATAGACTGTGCGGTGCTACGTCATTTGGCTCGACTCCATCAGAACCCCCGAGCCATCAACACCCAGCAGCACCTCCTCCCTCTCCTCCATCCACACCTCGACATACCCAAGCACATACACTCTGCAACCATGTCTAACGTCCCTCCTACGTATGTCCGCTCATTCAAGACTACCTGCCATCTGACCCATCTTACAGCGGCCCCGGCACCATCCCTCCCCAGGCTCCCCGCATGCCTCCCGCACCCAAGGGACGCAACCCTCTCCCCATCATCCTCGGTCTGGGTTTGGCACTCGGTGCAGGCTACTACCTCATGAACCCATCGCAGGCTCAACACGACAGCGACAAGATCAAGGAGAAATCCCAAGCTTACGGCAACAAGTTTGATAATGCTGTGGATAATGCCATGGACAAGGCAAAGGAGTATGGTAAGGAAGCCAAGCAGGACATTAAGAACACGTATGAGGATGTCAAGGCAAAGGCTTCCAATGCCGCTACCGAAGTGCAAGGCGAGGCTGAGAAGCTCAAGGTGGATGCAAAGGCCGAGGGCAAGAAGAAGGGATGGTTCTCGTAGACTCTTGTGTCAAGGCGAATCCTGTAGTAATGTTTTCAGTAGCTGATCCATGTCTCTCGTCGATTGACTCGATATGACCTGACATCTACAACTAGAAATAGAGGTATCTAAACATTCAGATCTGTCCGTGATAGCTCGTACAAGTAAGCCCCCAGCAGCTTGGTTCCCTCGATATAATTTCGCTTTGGAATCGACTCTGCTGGACCATGCGCATTGTCATTGCCAGATCCCATTGGCAAAAGGCATACATTGCCAATCTCCGCCAACACAGTCGTGATGGGAATCGACCCGCCTTCACGCGTAAAGTCTGGCTCAACACCATACACACGCTTCGTAGCAGCTGCTGCAGCCTGGAAGTTTGGGTGATTGGGCGAACTGTACCAGTACGCACCGGCATGCAACTCTTCAATGCTCAAACGATTTTTAGAACCAGATGTATTGAAGACTTGTTCAATGTGCGTCTTGACACACTTGGACACCTCTTCAGCTGTCATGTCCGGCACCGTACGGATAGAAAACTTGCCTTGCACTTTGCCGGGAATCACAGTCTTAGCGCCAGATTGCGAAAAGGCACCTTCAATACCATGCAACGACAAACTTGGGAATCGCCAGCGAGACATGAGAGTATCGGCAATATTGTCCTTGATATTGACATTGTGGCCAATGGACTTTTGAAACTCCTCAAGCGTAAAGTCAATATTCTCATACAGCTTTTGTTCCTCTGCCGTCAACTTGGAAACTTGGTCGTAGATGCCAGGAATCAAGATCTTTCCGTTGCTGGCAACAAGAGATGCGAGAATGCCAACGAGGTCCGTCATGGGTTCATGGACGGTACCGCCATAGACACCCGAATGCAAATCAGTTTGTGGACCGGCAACAACAATGTTGAAGTACTGGACACCACGCAAGCCATATGTCAGACAAGGCTTTGTTTCGCCAAGCCAGTAATTATCACTGATGCAGACGACATCACAGTCTGCAAAATACCGCTTTGCTTCTTGCTTCACGAGTTCTTCAAGTCCTTCACTGCCATACTCTTCCATACCTTCAAAGCACATTTTGAGATTGACGGGGAAGTCTACTTTTGCCTTTTGAAAGGCCTGAATAGCGTGTAGCCAGCCGAGTACGGGACCCTTATCATCTGTTGAACCACGACCAAAGAGACGGCCAGTACTTTTATCTTCTGTCAATGTGAATGGCTCAGCAGCCCATCCATCTTCCTTTTGAGCAGGCTGTACATCATAGTGACCATACACCAGGACAGTCTTCTTTGCAGGATCAGTACCATAATGACCGAGCAAAATATCTGGCAGCTCCATCTCTGTACCTTCCTGCTTACCGAGTGGGTTTTTGCGAGACTCAACAATGCAACCAATGGCTTTCATTTGTTCAGCAAGCCATTTCCCCATGGCAAAGACATCTTTGCGGTGTTCGGGGTCAGCGGAGACACTGGGAATGGCTACAGCAGCAGCGAGATTAACAATGAACGTGGAGGAGAGCTCGTCTACAGCGGTAAAGACTTGTTCAAGCGGGTCAGACATATTTAGCTGCTGTCGTGTTTGATGTGCAGTGGTCGTGTGCTGCTCAGTTCAAGTCAGTTGTCGTCTCACTGCGGATTTAGGGGATCTGCTGCTAGACTGCTACAGCTGCTGCTTGCTTGCTCTTCCTATGCCTATGCACATAGTAGTATGCACAAGTCACCTGCAGCTGGAGACAAAGACCATCAGCCTCAAGATGGATGCTGCGTAAACCGTAGCAGTGCAGCCACAGAGTCACTGGACGAGGTCTTCTTCAGCTCAGCCAAGTCTGTCCACAAGGCCGTCCTCACGAGCAATGTCGAGCGGATTGCCGCGCTGCTTGAGAGGAGGCCTGCAGATGTTCGTGCTCTTGACTCTGCTGGGTATGCGCCGATCCTGTATGTCAAAGACTGCAAGGTACTGGACATGCTGATGCGCTACGGGGCTGATGTGGATGCATGTACGCCAGAGGGGAGAAGGACACTCTTGCACAGAGCCAGTCTACAGGGCAATTGCACCTTGGTCAAGCAGCTGTTGGATCACGGAGCACGTATAGATCTGGAGGATGCAGAGGGAAACACAGCACAGAGTCTGGCTCATGGGAAAGAGATCGTTGAGCTACTGACATAGACAGCTGCATAGACCAAACCTGACAGCGTGGCCGCTACTTCTTGGGTCCACCGAGTGGCATGCCAATGTCCTTGCCACGTAGCTTGACACCCAAGGCACGCTCCAACTTGCCCAACACAGCCTGCGAAGGGATAGCCCGCGCCTGCTCGTAGTCGTTGATCACCGTCGCCTTCTCATTCACCGTCTTGGCAAGATCCGCCTGCTTCAGACCTTTATCCATCCGCGCCTTTGCAATCGTCTTGCCAATCTCCGGCTCAAGCTTCTTGGGAGGTGCCGGCTCATCGTCCCGGTCAATCTTGGCGAGTTTCTGACCCTCTGTGTCCTTGTGGTTGGCATTGACATTGGCATACTTCTTCTCTGTGCCTACAACAGCACCTGAACGTGCTGCTGCATTCTTCTCTCCCTGCGTCCTGGCAACACCTGTGCGTGCTCCTGCGCTCTTGCCTATGATGACCTGCTCGAACTGATTCTCCATGATGATGTTGTATGATGATGGGAATGGGTCTTGGGTCAATGCTGCCTTGTGCTTGACGTCAGCAGCTTCTCTGGATTTCTTCTTCCACACAGTCACACCTACACCGACAACTGTCCCTGCACAAGGGGCCTCTGCTCATAGATGAACTGTATCCAGTCTGTCCAGCTAGAGGGATGGCTACTTGACATGGTTCCCCTCGCAGACAGCACATTGGCCATCAGTTCATCCATCAACAACAACATTCTCCTTGTTGATCAAGACTCCCTCGCCGTGAAGCATACCTTGCACAAAGCCCACGACGATGTCATCACGGGCATGTGTCAGGGGAATGATCCTTTTGAATTGTACACCAGCAGTCGCGATGGAACAGTCAAGTTATGGGATGCACGCACGCGTCGAACAGCGCGTCAATACCGTGCAGCGGCAGGTGTCCTCTCTCTAGCGCATCATACGGCACAAAATAAAGTGGCACTCGGTACAGAACTCAAGGGAACGGATGCCCTCGTTTCTGTATATGATGCGCGCGGTAGCGCTCCGCTTGTGGTGTATGCCGACTCGCATGCAGAAGATGTAACGAGTCTCAACTGGCATCATACCCATAACTTGCTGTTGTCTGGTGGTGGGGATGGGATCGCGACGTTGTTTGATACAAATGTCACGGATGAGGATGATGCCGTCCTCCAAGTCATCAACCACGGCGCCAGTCTCCATGTTGCTCAATTTGTGGGCAAAAATGAAGTCCTTGGCATCTCACACATGGAAACAGCCTCCCTCTACAAATTATCATACGCACAGGAAGACTCGCCGCGCGACGCAGTCAAGGAATTTGGCGATTTGCGTGCAAAACTCGGCGTCGACTATGCCATTAGCTTCTCCTCCGGCTCTGAACCGAAACTCTTTGCTGGCTCAACAGAGACGGGACTTGTGTCTATTATTCCATTCAACCTCAATACAATGGACTTTGATCTTGATGGACGACTCGACATGGAAGGCGGCACAGAGGTCATTCGTGCATGCTACCTCGATCAAACACCAAAACAAGGCGGTGATGTTCTCTATACCTGCGGCGAAGACGGCGTGTTGCGTTGCTTTTCACGCACAAGTGTCTTGCAAGAAGAAGAAGCCAAGCAACAACGCAAACGCGAACTTCGCGAAAGTAAGAGTGCACAGCGCAAGCACAACAGATTCGAGCCATACAAGAAATGAATTGCATCTATGAATGAGCTTTACTACTTCGACGGCCGCGCGCCATCTTGGACCACAAGGATGGTTTGGCGTAATGCATCTCAGGGACCAAGGCGCTCAAGCGTGGGTCTGCTTCGAACTGCTCCAGGAAGCGACTTTTGCCCGCTGGCTCTTCTGCCCAGGGTGATACGAGCGCTTCCATGGCATCCACAATCACAATATCGCTATCCGTGTCTGCGGCTGTCGATTTGCTCTGGTGACGCGTTGCGGGATAGGTGAGACTGCGTGAGAGTGTCATATCTGGAGAATCTTTATCTTCCATCAGACCCGGCATGGTGCGAGCAGAGTGCAGACCGTCCTCGAGCTGATGCGCATGGGAGCGATGCAGATGCTGATTTGATAGACCCTCTTGCTGACGTGGAGAGAAATGTTGAGGTCTGGCCAAGGGGCGTTCTTCAAGAATGGCAATGTTGCGCGGCGACATGGGATCCACTGCGTGTACACCGTACGGGTTCTCAGTCTCTTCGCCTGCGAACCACTGAATACTGCACCGCGGCTGTCCCACACGACGAACATTCAACAGGACAAGCGTCTCAACGAGATCTTGGTATTTGATGGGCATGCGAACGCATTTGGGAAGGCCAGAGAGGAATCCCAAGACGCGCGACGGGCTGAGTGGGCGGCGTGCGTTGGAAAAGTGATGGCGCTGTTGCTCATACGGCAGACCACCGGATAGACGCATAGATTTTCTCATGTCTAGTATTGGACTCGATTCCAGTATAATCATCTCCTGATAGGCCTCTTGAAGCCTTCACTCCATCTGTTTCACTCTGTGTTTGATCGTTTCCTACAAATGAACTGTGCGCCAAACTTTGACATCCCATCTCGTCGCCTGCAACCGCCCAAACGACGGACAGGCGGCGACATCGTCACACACATCGTATACTGCTTGCGCTGCTCTCCATATACCTGCTGTCGCTCTCACGATGAATGATGTTGTAGCTACTCAAAAGAAGCTAGAAGCCAAGTACAAGTCTTCCAATTCAATCGCTTCTATCGAGCATGCGATCGAAAGTCTCCAACAGCTTCGTCAACAACTACAAGATGGCGTAGTCAGTGAGACTGCTGCGCAAGACATGATGGGCGATTCCGTGAGAACACTCTGCAGGAATCTTGGAGAAGATCAGAAAGAAACATACAACGTTCACGCCAAGCATAGCAAGGCTATTGCAAAGCGCTTCAAAGCTGATATAGCCAGCGATCCAGTGCAGAACGTCATCCACGATCAGCGCCCGCTGGTTGATCAAGCCATCGTGATGCATCTGCTACGACAAGGCGATTTTACAAACGCTGAAGCTTTTGCGCGCGAGGCATCTGTGGCGCGTGACGACAAACTCTGGGATGCTTTCAAAGTTCTCTATGAGATCACTACCTCGCTGAGTCGCGGAGAGCTGAGCGATGCGATCGCTTGGGCGCGTGCTCGTCGTGAACATCTACAGCAGCGACGCTCCTCTCTCGAGTTCAACCTTCACAAAGCTCAATACATTCGCATCTATCAAACCTCACACGTCTTTGAAGCCATCAAATACGCTCAGCAAGAATTCCCAGCATTCGGCAAGACGCATATGAAGGAAATACAGCAACTCTTCACAGCACTGACGTTCCACGGCAACAGGGACAAAAGTCCATACGGTCACTTATTTGCCTCCCCGCAGCCTGCTCTTCGGGAAATATTCGCTCGCGACTATCTCGCTCTCTTGCAGCTTGGCGTGACGCCTCCTATTCAAACAACAGTAGAGGCTGCCGCGATAGCTCTCCCAACACTCATCAAGCTTGCATCCCTCAAATTCAACAAACCCGCGGAACAAGAGCCTACGGGGTCAGGGGTGGACATCGACTTGCCAGCCAAATTTAGACACCACAGCGTCTTTGTTTGCCCAGTGATGCGCGATGTCAGCGCAACTGGCTTCCTACTTGCTTGTGGCCACGTCATTGGGTCAGAGGCTCTGCAAGGACTAGCAAGAGGGACCAACAAGCTCAAGTGCATCTACTGCCCAACCCTTTCCAATGTTGCTGAAGCGCGGCAACTCATTTTTTGAAGGAAAGCGCGAATCAATGGAGCATGTGCTCAAGAGGCACCATTGCCTGAGCACGTTGTGAACTGAAATCAGAAGTCTGCATGGCGGAAGCTCATTGGTTACGACTCATGCTACACGATGCGTTTCAGGTGGGCTAGTCAGCTGGACGATGGCCTAGACCTGGCAGACTAGACGGACTCAGGCGGTCTGTTGCAACAACACTTTTCAGGGGTGCAGCTTGGCAGAAATTGTCATTTGATCTCCCCAAGATGGTCAAGAAAAGGGGCTCGCACCCAAGTGTCTCTGGTATGGCAGTCCTCAGCAAGCCATCGTTTTCCCTGACTCCGAACCAAACCATCAATGATTTCCACGAGAAGGCAATCAAAGTTTTTAAACCCTTGAATCAGACTATCAACATCTCCGACAGCTCCCGGCCCTACGAGGATACGACCAAACACTTTGGCCGAAGCAAATCCAAGTACCGTAATGATCCTTTGGTGCTTGACACACATCTCCACCAAGTCTTCTCCATGCTGAGAACAAGATGACGCTCAAGCAACACCTTGTTTTGACTTGCGGTGATCAACTCAGCGACGTGGCCTGGGCGTCCAAGGATATGGATCTCGCTGTTGGCAGGTTTTCGGGTGCTGAGACTGATTGTGCCAAGCACTTGAACGGCTTCAAAGTGGGTAGTCGCTATGATGGCACCTTCAAGAACACGACCCCAATGGGCAGCTGCGATCAAAAGCAGAGTCTCAAAATGATGTCTGACGCAGCCAAAGAGGAAGTTAAGGAATTTATCAGTGCCCAGTTGGAAGCGTACAGCGCTTCCGGTACCCGGTGGCTCTTCTGGGCTGGTAAGGCCGAAAAGACTGCTGATCTGTAGAGCTTCGTGGCATTGTACGACGCTGGACTCTTTGATATCGAAGGCTCTAAAGGGTTTTCTTCACGATACCCATAGTGCACGATACCAATGTAGTGCAACGAAGGAGCTAATGAAGACAAAAGGAGGCACCGCCGGTTCTGCCATTCAGAAGTGAGCTGTTGTTCTGGTCGTTGGCTGGTGCACCTGTTTATATTTTCGATGAGGCTGCATGACCCCCGATGCAGTGACACTCTTTCCTTAGGTTTCATTCTTTCTAGCGTTCGCCTTCAATTCTATACACTCTTCCCTACCATGTTCATGCCGGACCTCCATCTCCGCTTCACCGATGACCTTGTTCAGCTCTGGTTGAGGTTGGACCCTGAGACCCGTCTCGACAGAATGTTGCGAATCCTTTCTAGATTATGCAGTGCCTCTCGTCTTCTCTAGCCTAGCCTACCTGCCTTCTACTTAAGCATATGACTGCCTTCTGTTCCTGCAGCCGTCTTGCCGTTATCTGTTTGTGACTGTCTCCTGCATCATAGCTCGCCAGCCTGGCGCAACCTTCAACTCCGCAGCTCGAGCTCATGACCAGCGCTAGCACTAGCCTTGAGTGCCGACACTTGCTGAGCCTACAGGTGCGTATAAGACACTCTCCCGACTGAGCGTACTTCATTTGTTGGATACTGCACAGTCAGATACGGCCAGCTTGAAGTGAACATGGCGTCACCAGCCGACTCTGCTGGAGATGCACTGCGGCAGCAAGATACCAATGCTTATCAATTCCGGACAGATATGACACCTGAGCAAAAGAAGCAAGAAGCACTCAAGGCTCTACCCGCTGGCGCAAAGATTCACAAGGCAAACAGGGCTGAAGCAGTCGTCACAGACCAGGATGCTGGCCAAACATTGCCGAACTTGCCTCCCGTTCTTGGTGGACCAGGGAATGGTGCCACCAACGCTGGTACAAGTGGTGCAGCACAGACTGCGACATCGCCACCTCAAGTGGAGGGTGCGCTAATTGGTCTTAAGCAAGGCATCAAGCAAATTACAGATGCCAAGCCCACCAAAGCTGGCTGGGCTGAAGTGGGTGGCGGTTCCCTAGAGGAGTACCGTCAGCTGAAGAAGGAGGAGGATGCCGGTACTGGTGACGATGAAGTACGCGAACATCAGACATTCGTCGAGGGTATCCTTCCCGCAAATTTGTATGGCGAGTGGTATCACAATGTCGCTCTGATTCTCTTTGCCTGTCTGAGTGCGTGGGTCGTCGGCAAGCTCGGTCTAGGCATCATTTATGTGATCATCTTGATGGCCATTTGCAGCACCTACTATCGGACGTCCATTCGTGCCCAGAGACGCAATGCGCGAGACGACATTGTGCGGTCGCTTGCCAAGCAACGTCTGGAAACAGAGGTCGAGACGGTGGACTGGATGAACACCTTCCTGGACAAGTTCTGGGTCATTTACGAACCTGTTTTGAGTGCTTCCATTATCGCCTCTGTGGATCAAGTGCTTGCGACGACAGCGCCAGCTTTCCTGGAAAGTATGCGCCTTGCTAGGTTCTCACTGGGAACCAAGCCACCACGGATGGAGCATGTCAAGTCGTATCCTCAGGTGGAGGACGACATTGTACTGATGGACTGGAAATTCTCCTTTACGCCCAGCGATGTTGAGGATCTTACGACACGCCAAATTCGAAACAAAACGAACCCAATTGTCGACCTCGCTATTCGCTTGCCAGCTTTGTCGATCGTCGCAGGTGATTGGAACATTCTCGTGGAAGAGCTAGCATTTTCAGGCCAGATGCAAGTGCGCCTCAAGCTCATGAATGATTTTCCCCACATCAAGCAAGTTGATTTGTCCTTCTTGCAAGAGCCAACCTTTGGCTTTTCGCTTGATGCAATTGGCTTTGACATCAACAAGCTGCCAGGTATTGCAGGCTACATCAAATCAATTGTTCACAGCTCTCTTGGCCCCATGATGTATGCACCCAATGTTTTCTCCCTCAACATCCAACAAATGCTGTCTGGTGCGCCTATCGATAGCGCTATTGGCGTCGCTTACATCACTATCCACTCTGCGACCAATTTGCGCAATACGGACAAACTTGCCGGCAAGCCTGATCCGTACATCAAGCTCGTCTTGGGCACTGCCGGTGAAATGGGTCGTACGCAGCGTGTTGAAAGTAATGCCAACCCACGATATAATGAGACGATTCCAGTCTTGCTCACTACGCTCAAGGAACCACTCAGTCTGGAGGTCCTCGACTTCAATGACATCAGGAAGGACAAGTCTCTAGGTATTGCTACGTTTGACCTGTCCAAGCTTGAAGCGGACGCTGAACAGGAGTACCTGTCTGAGCCTGTGATCATCAATGGCAAGCCACGAGGTGAAGTACAATTCAGCATCAGCTATTACCCAGTCATCAAGCCGGTGACCCTTGAAGACGGGACTGTTGAGCCAGTACAAGAGATGGAGACTGGCATTGTTCGCTTCACCGTGGTGCAAGTCAAGGATATTGACGGTGTCGCCAGTCGTTTGAATCCTGAAGCTGTAAGAAATTGGACATACTCAAGTTTTGCTAACAATAGGCAATTTTGCTCAATGGAAAGGAGATTCACAAGAGTCAAAAAATGAAGCACACAAAGAATCCCGTGTTTAGCTTTAGCAAGGAGATTCTCATCACTAAACGTTCAAAAGCTGTTCTTGGCTGTCAGATTCGCGACGATGGCGACTCTCTTGGAGCTCTTCAGATAAAGCTGGATGACCTTCTCAAGCGACTCGACGAAGGCGAGGATTGTTTCAGGCTGAGTGGCTCGACAAGCGGCAGGGTCTTTTTGAATGCAACATGGAAGCCTGTCAACATGGCCGGACGTCAGGACGGCAAAAGCTACATCGACCCAGTCGGCGCTTTGCGCGTTGAAGTCAAGCGGGCGACGAATTTGCGAAACATGGAGCTTGGCCTGACCGGCGGCAAGTCTGACCCTTACGTCCGTGTTTTAGTTTCTGGAGTCAGCAAAGCACGCACGGTGACCTTCAAAAATGAGCTCAATCCAGTCTGGAATGAGATTGTTTATGTGCCTGTACGTCATGCAAAAGAACGCGTCGTGCTGGAGTGCATGGACCACGAGCAGCGTACCAAGGATCGCTTAATTGGCTCAGTCAAGCTCGATCTGGCAACGCTTGTCCGACAAGATCCCATCTCGGGCGAGTATCTGACACATGAGAGCAATACTACGGTTGCAAGCGGTCTAGTGGACGAAAAGGGTTCTACCAATGGTGTGCTCGAGTACAATGTTCAATTCTTCCCGTGCCTCAACATCATGTCTCGGGAGGAGCAAGAAACAGCTGACAAGGAAGCCGCTGAAGAAGCCAAAAAGGCTGCATTGCACGCATCTAGTGGGTCTGTGACCGCTACGGGCGAAGAGGCTATCCCCGGCTCCGGCAAATATGTAGCTGCGACACAAGTCGGCTCTCGGAACAGCACAGACGGTGCACCGTTCACTAAAGGTCATACCACATTGGATAGCACGTCAACAAACGCCACTGCACTGGCGACCAAGCGACTCAAACTTCGACTAAGCAAGGATGAGCTCCTGACATACGACTCTGGCTTCCTCATTTTCGATATCATCGAAGGCAACGTCAACCAAGTCGGCTGTTACCTACAAATTCTGTTTGATGATTATGCTCACCCCGCGTACGTCACCCAAAAGGCACGAAGCAAGCATGTCAAATGGGCCGAAACGGGCGAGGGCTTTGTCCGGGAGCTTCAAGCTTCCAATATCTTCATGCGACTGAACAAGGAACAACACGGTGATGCCGACGACGTGGTGGCCAGTGCTGACTCCTCTACGTTGAGCATCCTCAGGCGTGCATTCGATGAACCTGTCACTGTTCCGCTTAAAGACAAGGAAGGGCGTGTCAACTCTGTCACTTTCAAATTGCGCTATATCCCCGTCAAAATGCGGCTCGACCCTGTTGAAAGCGTCAATAATATGGGACGCTTGCGAGTGGAAGTCCTCTCTGGCCACAAGCTGCCAGCAGCCGACAAATCTGGCAAGTCAGACCCTTACTGCAGGTTTTTAGTCGACAACCATGAAGTGTACAAAACGGAGACCAAAAAGAAGACACTCGACCCTACGTGGAATGAGCCATTCGAATGCGATATTGCATCCCGCATCACGGGATCATTCAGGGTGGAATGCTACGACTGGGATCTCGCTGGAACAGACGACTTCTTGGGTGCCGCAGAGATTTCGCTTGCCGAGCTTGAAGCAATGAAATCCTCTACGGTGGAGGTGGCCCTCGATGGTACATCTGGCACTATCAAGCTCCGCCTTTTATTTACACCTCAATTTGTGCAACGCTCGAGGCGTGGTAACACGACGCGAGTTTCGACGATTGGGAGCTCAGTGGTCAAGGCGCCAACGCGCGGTGTCAAGGGCATCGGCGGCGGCTTTGCGAAAGGTGCTTCTTTCCTACGAGGACGCAGCAACTCGCAGAAAAATGAAGTCCCAATGTTGGCTGTCGACGAAGCAGAACCTGTCCCACCTCTTCCAACAACGCCGAATCGCAATGCGCAGCTGGTTGCGCCCATGAGCGCTAATTCTGACATGGCGAGTGCTCGACCGTCGATGAGCTTGGCCAACGGCGATGCTGGTCTCTTGTCCTTTACCGTTCTCCGAGGTTCAGGCTTCGCAGACGGCAAGAAGATTCAAGTTAAGGTGCGCACGATGGGATCTGGCCGGGAAATGCTCAAAACGGATGCCGTCAAAGGCCCTAGTCCAGTGTGGAAGGATGAGCACGGTAAGACCATGTGCAGCGGTAGCGATCAGCTAGTCATTCAAGTCAGGGAACACAGTACATTTGGAACTGACAAGGAGATTGGGGAAATCACGGTTCCGGTAGTTGACATTGCTGCTGCTGGAGGCGCCGGTCTCGACAAGACTCTGACAATTGGTGAAGACGGATCGACATTGCAAGTGCAGGCCACTTTTGTGTCGTCTGACCAAGCCAGTATGGTGTCCAAGAAGCGAGTCTTCTCTGGCCTGTCTATGCTGCGGAACCACGATCGCGAATGAACAGTCTAGTCAAATTTCCATTACTTCTGGTTCTGCTTTCCAGATATGTATTGTTATAGCATTTCTCAAGTGTGTAGTCTGAACGTGAATCGTAAATGACCTGATCACGAGACTGTTGAGTGCTTTGTGGAGATGCCTTCGCTCGGAAGGCTTGCAACTCCTTCCAATACATTTGCGGTCCTGTCTGCCCGCTCGCTTCTTAGCTGATCTTCACAACAGAGTCTGCGCGCTCGTACCCACAAACTTATGTCCTCACTTGCTATGTAAGTCTCTGCTCGCGTACATCGTCGATTGATGTTGACGCCGACAGAAAGTGACGGTAGCGTGCCTATGAGCTCCATAGGGCTTTCCTCCATGATTCAACAAAGCCAAGACGAGATGTTCTTTACAGAGGACTGCAAGTACGAAGACCGGCAGATGAATAGCAACATCATTCTACAGATCTAAAGTATTCGCTATGCCAAATGCTCCTGTCTATCAGGGACAAAATTGAACCTGCAACGTAATAGGCAGGCCTCTCAACTGAATGTACACGGAAGCCTGAAGAAGAGCGGCCAAAAAAAGAGAGGTATGATCATAAGAAAGGCTCGCAGTCGTACCGTGGGTTGTGAAAGGACTGAATCTGGCTGCATCTACTGGACGTCGGCCGTCGTCTTGCCAATCATCTTCATCAATATCCTGCTGGACATCGTAGCAAGGCAGTCCAAAAAGCTTTGCAGTTTCATCGTAAATGGCCTCCATGGTCTTATCGTCATCCCAAGCATCATCCTCCGTCTGCACCTCGTCCACCTCAGACATGGACTCGTAATGCAGCGAGCTGTCTCGGTTCTCGCACCCAATTGCTGTCCAATAGAGCGATCCGTGGAGGCGACCGACAGTACATCGTCTTCGTGGCTCATCAACGAGCGCAACACCAATACTGGCCGGATCCTCCAGCGCAGCAATCTCCGCTCTAAAGTCGCCACCTTCCTGGCGCTTGAGATAGGCAATGAAATCTCTTCGCGCCTCAACCAAGTAGGCCGCAGGGTCTGCTTCCAGCAGGCATTGCTCGTCCAACTTGTTCAAATGACTGTCATAAGCTCTCGCTGTCTGCTGCAGCCAGCCTGGCACATTCAGCTCGTCATCTCCATCATCCTCGTCCATCATATCTGCCCAAGAAGTACATCGTCGCTGCTCAGCCAGTGGTCTCTCCTCAACACGCTCATCTCCTGGTGCTTCAAGCGAATCGTTTTGAGCTTGAGACTGGGCGGCTTGCGCTTCAAGCGAAGCTTTGAGCCAGTCGGGCATATCGATGTCTTCATCGTCGTCAGACACATCGGCCCATGCGACGGAAGTAGTGGGTTTTTGCTCGTGGCAGGGGGTTGGAAGAGGTGCTGCAGCAGTGGTCTCTGCCCTGTCGACAATGTCTATCGCTTTCATGTGCCCTTTTTCAAGACCATGCAGTGAGTCACCTGGACGATCAAGTATCGGCTCTCCATCAATGGCATGGTCCTTCTCCAGCCGAGCGTCTCTGACGGCAAGGGCAACTTCATTCTCGACTGGATCGGTCGGCTCTGCTACATTGAGACACGCATCCTGCTGGCTCTTGTTTTCACTGTTCAAGTCTTCGGTCTTCTGGAGCCAAGGAATCTCGAAGTCGCAATCGTCATCATCATCATCCATGTCTGCCCAAGACTTGGCCTTCTCAGGTGCACTTCCAGTGAACATGCTTGGAAGCGCAATTGTGGCAAAAGGAGACGCAACTGAGTTGCCATCATGAGTCCAGTATGCCTTGCCATGCAGGGCCACACGTTGACGACGCACAGGAGGCGCTTCCACTCTTGCCTCAAACCTTTCTTGTGAGTGGCGAATCGCCCAAATTTTAGCATCATGCACTTCATCCTTGTATGCAGCCAGCTCTTCAATGATTGCCACTCGCGCAGTGCACAGGTATGCTACAGGAGAGTCGTCGACTGGGGCATCTTCACCAACGACTTCTTTGCGCTCTTCTTCACTTGCATCAGATCGATTTGTGCCGGAGTGCAGCTCGACTGGGCTGGACAGAGAAGGGTGAACAAAGGGCTCGATAGCGTTGAGAGAAGTGGATATCTCGGTCTTCATGGACGAAGTCTTCGACTCTCAAGGGATATCAAAGTCTTCATCCTCATCTGACTCGTCAATCATCTCTGCCCAGGATGATGGTGCAAGTATTGCCTGAGAAGTCTTATTCTGCAGTACTTCAAGAGCAACAACAGGCTCAGATACGACGAGGCCAGATATCATTTGTTCAGCGACCTCCATTTCTGTAGATGAAAAAATGATAGCCTCATCTGTTGATGTGACATCTGTGACTCCATCTTTCGAAGCTTGCCATGCATCAAACTCGGCTTTGCACTGAGCGATTTCGAGTAGATATTCATCAAGGTCATGCTCAAACTCATCGGTGAAGGACATTTCGTGGTCCTGCTCTGACTGTTGATCTTCAATCTGCAAACCAGGCTGCAAGAGGTCGCCAGATCTTTGATCGTTCTGGAAGTTGCAGAAAGCCATCATGTCGTCCCACAGGAGATCTGCAGCTTGTTGATTCGCCAGCTCGCGACACGCACTTGATACATAGCCAACAAATGAGCCGTCAACCTTGACGCACACATGCAAACCACTGGTCGTTCTCAACCATGGCAAATCAAACGCTTCATCGCCGCCGTCCTCGTCTTCTGCTGAGTCTACCCAAGGGGAAGCAACACCAGCGCGAGATCTGAACATTAGCAGGTGACTCGAAACACGGCAAATGTACCGAAATGAGTCATCCTCCAGCAGAACAAACGGGCCGCATAGACCTACTGAGACGAGAGTATTTTCCTCCTTTCCAAGTGTGCAGCAAGCTGCGATAGGGTTCCAAATGCTCGACAACAGCGAGTTCTCTTCAGCTGAAAGTGTCTCTGTCTCGCTTGCAGTAAGGAGTGAGGACGACTGACGAATGTGAGTAACATCGTGCGCGACAAGAGGACTGTTGCGTCGCACCGAAGAAGGAGAACCTTCAGCGGCTTGAGGCGAACAGGGAATTACTTTGAAACAAGACATCTTTTGAGGGATGTACCTTGAATCGGTGAGGGTATTCAAATGAAGGGACTCTCGAAGTTGTAGGAAAGGGAAGAGGTGTGAGGAGCATAAGACAGGATTTCGGGTCCTACTTATGTTTTTCGTGGGCCTTGGTTTGGTCTTGAGTCATATTACAAGCAGTATTTGGTGACGAATGGCTCGTGAGTCATACTGGAGGCTGGCAATATTGCAGATGCCGATGACTCATAAGGGCTCCTGTGGAAGTTCGTAGAAAGAGCTGTGTAGCTTGCATGAGAACAGCAGCCGTGTAGAGCAATCGCTGCAGCGGTCGCAATGGTACAAAATATATCTGAGTGTCTTCGTTGCCATCCGTACTGAACGATGTTGTGGCGCGTCAACGAGTAGGCAAAAGGCAAACGGCATAAGGCCAAAGTTTACTCGTGCAGCTGCAGCTTCATGGACCACAAGACGGGGCCCTAGGCGACAAAAAGCAGGTGCCTCAGCTAGAGGATCTCTGCAGCTGTCTGGTCACTGTCTGAGGCTTTCCATGTGGAAAGAAGAGCACATACACCCAGTAATTTTGCACGGTGCGACTGTGTTGGCCAAGTGTGTATTGAGATCATCTGCATCAGTCGTAGTCCTCCGATGGAAGAAGGTAAGGCCCTGCAAATATCAGCACAATCGACATTGCTATATAGTCCAGCTCGTGCGAAGTGACGTTGCAGCTGATGTAATGTTATGGCCCGACCAGCTAGGCAGCTACACTAGTGCTAGATGTCGTGTGCCGTCCGCATGAAGTACGCATCGGATATGTGCGAGGCCGGTGCCTTATCTGCTGATTCTGCTCGCTTCCCCGGCCGTCGAGATTAGATTTCGCGTAGCACCGGCAGACCCGCGCGTCTGACCTTCAGGAATACAGCGCCAACGACATTGGATAGCGGGCAGACCTAGACTCGTCTGCAGCTGCTTATCTGTCTATAATATTAATTGCTGCTTGTACATAAGAAGCTCCAATTGCTCGCCTCGATAGCTCGAAAACTAGCTTGGCCTTCCCAGACCACTACAACCAACTGTCAAATATGGGCGTTGATAGTCAAACCAAAGTCGGCTCTTTTGACGAGATCTCGCACGAGGCACCAGCCAATGGATCGCAAGGCTGGAAACGTCACTTCAGTAAAGCTGCTTGGGTCGGCGACTATGACTATGGCTTCATGTTCCGTCCGAATCTGCCATTCATCAAGAACCCGTACGACAATATCGCTCAGCCCTTCTTTGGCGTAGATGCCAAACTCCCCTGGCTACTCGCTGCTCTTCTTGGTTTTCAGCATGCATTGGCTATGCTTGCAGGTGTTGTGACGCCTCCTGTAAGCTTGCTCGTCTATCATACTAGTGCTAATCACAGACCATCATTGGTGGCGCTGCAAACTTGGACACAGCTACGCAGCAGTATCTGGTTTCGGCCTCTCTCATTGTCTGCGGTATTGCGACTACCATTCAAATTACACGCTTGCACATTTACAAAACGCCATACTACATTGGCACTGGGCTGATCTCAGTTGCTGGCACTTCATTTGCTGTTGTGCCCATTGCCCAAAAGTACTTTGCACTGCAGTATGCTCGTGGGGTTTGTGCGACTATCGATGGAATCAAGCAGCCTTGTCCAGATGCATACGGCAAGTTGATTGGCACCTGTGCCATTGCTGCACTTTTCCACATTGTCCTGGCATTTGTGCCACCAAAGACCTTGAGTCGGCTGTTTCCGCCACTCATCACTGGCCAGGTCTTGCTCTTTATCGGTGCTAGTCTAGTCAGCTCGGGAATCAAAGACTGGGCTGGTTCTTCCGGTCCTTGCTCGAGCAGACCCACCACTGGCATCTTCACGATGTGTCCGACGATCTACGCTCCCAAGCCGTACGCTTGGGGCGATGCGCACTTTCTCGGGTTGGGCCTCTCGGTTATTGTCTCCATCGTTCTGATTGAGCGATTCGGCTCGCCCATCATGAAGACGTCTGGAGTCATTCTTGGCTTGCTTGTGGGCTGCATTATCTCCGGTGCCACGGGCTATTGGGATACTTCTTCCATCACCAAGGCTCCAGCCATTACCTTTGTTTGGGTGAAAACCTTCAAACTAGGCGTCGATGGTACACTCATTCTGCCCCTGCTTGCGGTCGTGCTTGTCCTCGTCTTAGAGAATATTGGCGATGTGACTGCCACTTGCGATGTTTCCAAAGTGGAGGTGGAGGGACCTATTTTCAACACACGCATACAAGGTGGCATTCTAGCTGATGCCCTCAACTCGTTGCTTTCGGCCCTCATGACCAATACCTCCCTCTCGACCTTTGCACAGAATAATGGAGTCATGGCCTGCACCGGTGTGGCTTCTCGCCGCGCCGGCTATTTCGGCGCTGGCTTCCTGCTGCTTGCTGGTGTCTTGAACAAGGTTGGAGCTACCTTTGTGGCAATTCCTTCACCAGTCATTGGCGCAATGAAGACATTCTTATTTGCTTCCGTGGCTGTGTCTGGTATCAGACTACTTGCTCTGAATGAGTGGACACGCAGAACGAGATTCATCTTGACGTGCTCCATGTCTATTGGTCTCGCTGCGCTTCTTGTGCCAACGTACGCGAGCTACATGTTCACCTATTCTGGACCCAACAAGTCTCTCAGGGCGTTCTACGATGCGATTGTCATTGTCATTGAATCGCCATATTGCGTCTCGGCTCTAATCTCCTCGTTCTTGCATTTGGTCATGCCAGACTTGAAGGAGGCTGAGATGAGCTCGGGTGCGCATGCTTTGCCTGTACACAATGGCGAGATTGGTGCCATCAATGGTACAGCAGTCAGAGATGACACGGTTGAAGTGCTCCCTTCGAAACACTAGGTTCAACATAGTTGTAGCTTATTGTACATGTTTTTCAGAAATAGAAGTACTCCATCTTAATTCGCGACATATTTGATCAGATGGACTTGAAGACATGAATGTGTTCGTATACTACCTATCCTCTAGCTCAATGCTAGCCTCATCTACGCCAATGCAGACACATCATGCAATTTCACTAGCACAAGTTTGCCTTCACTAGTCTACATTTTCCAGAGGTCTCCCGGTCTCTGACAGATATCGACTGCACCGTTACGACATATCTGGATCGTCAGGTCCTTGCGATGAGCAATGGAAAGGGGAAAAGTGCACGGCAATCTCGAGCTCAGCATGCGATCTTCTGATAAATTCGCCTTCAAAATGGTGCAAACTAGGCAGCAGATAGTTAGAAAGATGAATTGAATTGTAGGGTAAGCTAGAAGGGATTAAGGCAAGGATAGGAGTGGTCACCGTACTAGGAACCATCCGGTCTCTTCAAAGTCATATGATCAAGCGTAAAAACAGCTCAGCAACCAAGACAATTCACTTCTGAGTGGAAGGGCCGGCTGTGTCTCCAGGAATTTCCATTGGCTTCTTCCCTGCATTGTATTTGTCACAAAATCCTTTGGAGCCCTTGAAATCAAAGAGTTTAGCGTCGTACAACGCCTCGAAGCTCCACAGATCAGCAGTCGCTTCGGCTTTACCAGCCCAGAAGAGCCAACCAATACTGGAAGAGCTGTACGCGTCCAATTGAGCACCGATGAATTCCTTGACCTCCTGTTTGGCTGTGTCAGACATCGTTTTGAGACTCTGCTTGTCCTTGCAGTCGCCCATCGGCTTCGTGTTATTAAACGTGCCATCGTAGCGACTGCCCTTCTTGAAACCATTCAAGTATTTGGCACAATCAGTCTGAGCACCCGATAATTCGCCAACAATGAGATTCATCTTTGCAAATCCAGCGGCCACCTCTTTTCGTCGATCACCGCAAGTCCAATTAAGGTGATGATCGTGCGTGATGCTGTTCTCACCGTCAGAGAAGACCTGGTATAGATGCGTGTCGAGTACCACATGCTCACTGTACTTGGCCTTGCTTGCGCCAAAGAGTTTCGCCGTTTCCGCGTAGGGGCGGAAGCTGTCGGAGATGTAGATATCCTTACCCAAGGGCCTGACAACTTCAATTGCCTTCTTGTGGAAGTCATCGATGATTTTGCTGGAAATCAGGAAAGATGCTGGCTCGTTGAGGACTGCAATACCATAGACACTCGAATGCGAGCCCCATTTCTTGACGATGAGCTCCAGTGTCTGCAGTGTGTGCTTCACCGATTCAGCATCACCCCAGCCTGCCACGCCGGCTCTAGCAGAGTTGTCGAAACCGTTCTGAGACTTGTACGCAGCATGCCTACACTGTTAGTCGAGCGTCATCATCGCAGATACTTACAGATCAATGATGACCTTGAGGTTGGCTTTCGAAGCCCATTCGAGAGCTTTGTCGACATAGAAAGCAGCTTCCATTCCCATTCCGTAGGGATCACTTGCAATTGGGTTGACTGTCCAGTAGCCAATTGGCAATCGGACGGTGTTCAAACCCGCTGCACTGAACTTGTGGAAATCTGCAAGTCAGCATTGAAGGGGCATCAAGTGCTTACCATCTTCAGTGTACCAGGTGTCCCAGTGCTTTTCCAAGAGTTTGAGAGCCTTATCATGACCCAACACACTCCAAAGCGTGTACTCACTAGCTGTTAGCGAAAGTAGAGGGAGAGAGTTGCATACTCGATGATTGCAGGCTTGGCATCTTTAGGAACATTTTTGCTGAAGACGACCTTACCATCCGTGCCAAAATGCCATCCCGCAAGTTCGGGATCTTCGTACAATGAAGGCACCATGTACGGCTGCTGTTAGCTACGGTCAATGAAGGCATACATACCTCCGTCAATAACCAAGAACCCAGATTGACACCATGCATTGTGCCAGTAGGACGCGTTCCAGTATCGGCAAGCACATCGGGATTGTGCTTATTGAAGGGGTCAGGCGATGGGGAAGCCAATGTCAAAGCGGCAAAGAGCGATGCGACAATCAGATACTGCATCTTCAGAGGCAGTTTGAAGAGAACTTTTGCTGTTATGGTGGGATGGACCGCCTGTTATATTCTGTAAGAAGCATGTCGCAAGCAATGCCAAGTATCTCGAAGGAGACCAAATGTTAATTTTAGCAAGCTGCACCCCTGAAAAGCATTGTTGCGTCCGACCGCGTGAGTTCGTCTGGTCTGCCAGGTCTAGGCCATCGCCTAGCTGGCTAGACTCACCTAAGTCGCATCATATAGCGTGAGTCGACACAAATGAGCTTGCGCCATGCAGATTTCTAGTTTCATTTCTCAATGTGCTTAGACAAAGGTGCTACTGAAGCACATGCTCCATGGATTCGCGCTTCTCTTCAAAGAATCAAAAAATGATTTGCCGCGCTTCAGCAACATTTGAAAGGGTTGGGCAGTAGATGCACTTGAGCTTATTGGTTTCCCTTGCTAGTCCTTGCATAGTGCCTCTGACCCAATGACATGGCCACAAGCAAGTAAGAAACCGGTTGCGCTGACATCGCGCATCGCTGGACAAACAAAGACGCTGTGGTGTCTAAAGTTGGCTGGCAAGTCAATCTCTACCCCTGATATCGTAGCCTCTTCTTCCGCAGGTTTGTTGAGTTTGAGGGATGCAAGCTTCATGAGTGTTGGCCCTGTTGGGAGAACGATCGCGGCGGCCTCATCTGCTGTTTCAATAGGTGGCTTACGCCAAGCTACAAGAGAGCGAGATAGTTGCGGGCAATGTTTCCTGAAGAGTAGGCTGTGGGCTGGCAAACAAGCGACCTTACGGTTGCTGAATTCCCTCATATGCGTGTTGCCGAATGCTGGGAGTTCTTGCTGAGCGTATTTGATGGCTTCAAAGACGGGTCAGGTTTGATAGATGCGAATATATTGAGCTTTGTGAAGGTTGAACTCGAGTGAAGAGCGTCGCTGCTGTAGATGTTCACGACGAGCACGCGCCCAGGGGATCGCATCGCTCAGCTCTCCGCGGCTCAGCGAGGTAGTGATCTCATAGAGAACTTTGAATGCATCCCAGAGTTTGTCATCACGCGCCACAGATGCCTCGCGCGCAAAAGCTTCAGCGTTTGCAAAGTCGCCTTGTCGTAGCAGATGCATCACGATGGCTTGATCAACCAGCGGGCGCTGATCGAGGATGACGTTCTGCACTGGATCGCTGGCTATATCAGCTTTGAAGCGCTTTGCAATAGCCTTGCTATGCTTGGCATGAACGTGGTAAGCTTCTTTCTGATCTTCCCCGAGGTTCCTGCAGAGTGCTTCCACGGAACCACTCATCATGTCTTGCGCAGCAGTCTCACTGACAACGCCATCTTGTAGTTGTTGACGAAGCTGTTGGAGACTTTCAAGCGCATGCTCAATAGAGGCAACTGAGCTTGAATACTTGTACTTTTCTAGCTTCTTCTGAGTAGCTACAATATCATTTATCGAGAGAGCGACAATCAGTGTACGCAGGTCTTCTGAGTAGCTACAGTATCATGTATCGAGAGAGCGACAACAAGTATACGCAGGGCAGCAGTTGAGACAACTTGACTGTGTATGTGTGTCGCGGTGTCGCTGCTTGTCCGTCGTTTGGGCGGTTGCAGGCGACGAGATGGGACGTCAAAGTATGGCGTACAGGCTGGTTGTCTTTCAGATAGCAGGGCTGAATCGGTGTCTCGCGAGGTTGGACAGCATGACGCGGCCCAGCAACTTGTTCTAATCTGATTCTAATTGCAAGGATTGGGGGACAATTTCTAATTGCAAGGATTGGGGGACAATTCGACATGAACGTGTGGTCGTAAATATGGTCGTAATGCTATATACCCTCTAACTCAATGCTAGCCTCATCTACGTATCCCAGCGGTGATTCATGACCAAGGAAATGGGTCACAGAAACCACGCGCACCGACAGGGAAGAGACCATAGTCAAACAACTTTTGGAAGTTCCACAAGTCTGCCGACTCTGTCTTTGCCGTCCAAAAGATCCATCCATCGCCACCGGCCTCGAATGCATCGAGTTGCGCAAGGATGAATTCCTTGACTTGATTCCGCTCATCGCCATTCATTGCATCGAGGGAATTCTTGTTGGCGCAAGAACCAATGTAGTAGCTGTCCGGGAATGAGCCATCGTACCTAGCACCTCGGTTGAAGCCATTCAACCATTGCGCACAGTCCGTCTCGGCGCCAGACCATTCACCCACAATGATGGGCATCTTGCCTTTCGCTCCGGCCAAGGAACTGCGTTTCTTGCAAGCGACCGTGAGATGCGTCTGGTGGCTCATGGCATTCTCACCGGGTGAAAAGACTTGGTAGAGGTGTGCGTCCATTGCTGCATTCGGGTACTGCGATGCTGGGAAATTGTTGTACGTTTGATCCGGTCGCAAGAAGGCATCGTGGATGATGACGAATCGATCAGTTGACTTGGCAACCTGGTAGCCACGTTGATGGAAGTCTCGAATGATGCTTGGGTCAATGGCGAATCCAGCCGGTTCATTCAAAAGCTCAATACCAGCAACACCTGGGTTTCTACCATAGCGGTTGACGATAACTTGGAGGGTGTCAATGGTATGTTGCACAGTCTCAGCAGTACCCCATCCTATCCGTCCAAATCTGCCGCTATTGTCAAAGCCGTTTTGAGATTGCCATGCACCGTGTAAGTCAATCCAAAGCTTGAGGTTATACTTTTGTGCCCAGCCAATAGCCTTGTCGACATAGATAGCTTGACCATCAATAAACGGTTCACCAGCAATCTTGTTGAATGCCCAGTACCCGACAGGCAAGCGAACGTGATTCAATCCAGATGCTGCAAGACGCGCGAAATCACCTTCCGTGAACCAAGTATCCCAGTGCTGACGTAACTGTGCTGCTGCCGCGTCTGGACCGAGGACTTGGCAGAATGTGTATTCATCGACTGCTGGCGTGCCTGTGAGGAATTGATTGAAGAGGGATGGCTTGATCCATGGCTCGAGGACTAGCCAACCACCGAGGTTCACGCCACGGACTTTGTCGACGCCATAGGCGAAGCTGGCGGCTCGCTTGGCAGGTGCTGCGAGGACAGTAGCGACGAGCTGCAGTAGTAGTGAAGCGGAAATGAGATGCATGATGGGAGCAGTCTAGAGAAGCTTGTGTATCGATAGTAGATGCAGGAGAAGGTAGCTGTAGCATGCAGTGGCAAGATGTGTCACAAGGATGTTTCATGAGGAGGAGGTGGGGAGCAAGGTTATATATGAACGTTGCCTGGAGCTCGGTGGCGAGTCTTGGAAGACGGCGCTTCATGTTCAGTCATGTGGATGCAGGCACACATCATTCTTGCCAGTAGCAGTCTCGTGGTGTTGAAGTGTCGGCAGCAAAAGTGGCGCGTGTGCATCCAGGGCGGAGAAGCTTCACACGGGAAGAGGGGTCACATGGATGTATTCATCGACAGATCTACACTTTCCTGGGCCGTGGCTACGAGGTCTGTCTGCTGTCTATGGCAGATACTAGCTAGATAGCCATCATAAAGGGGCCTTGTATTTATCTGTACAGTTCAGACAGATGGCAGCCCCGAAGTCTAGTACTAGCCTGATGCTTCTTTGGGCAGTCCATCTTCTCAGTGTCCAGCGTTCTTGCGCTTCACTCCTGCAGTCAGCCTCAAGACACCGGTAGCTGAGGAGGCAGGCCTACCTGCCTACCACCTCTTGCAAACCGTGCTGAGTTGCGCAAGTGTGATCTCCCTTCACAGATTTGACCTCAATGCAAGACGACGCGACGGATTTGCAGCGGGGAAAAGGCGAGACTGGAGATCGACAGAGACTCCAACACCACGCTCTGCACACCAGGGCATACACTTGATCTCACGCCGACACACGATTGGCAGACAGTCTTGACTCTATAGATCATGATACAGAAGCGCTGTGAGAAGGAGCGTGGTGAGAGGCAAGACGAGATATGCTAGAAGGGACAGATTAAACCCTGTATTTGAAAGACTTGAATGCATCGTCGTAATGGTGCACACGCACATATCCATCCTCACCGCCACTCGCAAAAGAACCCTTTGACGCCGCAATTGTATTGAGCGGACCAAAATGTCCCCTGATGCGACCGAGTTCGTCGCCGTAGATGCTGTACACCCGCGACTCAAATTTACCCTCACGCGCCGAGGTGGTCGTCACGTCTCGCGCTTCCTGACCACCACCCACAAGCACCATTGGCTCTTGCAGGCCAGAATTCTCCACCTCCACAAGACACGCGCAGTTGAGAGGTGTATCTGTGTTGTAGACCTTTTTGACATCCAACGTAGCGACATCAATAATTTTCGCAGTCTTGTCCTTGGAGGCGGTAATGAAGAAACTTCCATCAAGCGACATCTGTAGGTCTGTGATGGTGGCATCGTGTGCAGGCAGGTTCTTGAGCCGATCACCCGTCTTGGCGTCATATTGCGAGACGGTACCGTTTTCATGGCCAGCAAGGATATATTTGTTGAGGTACGACCAACCTGCCATGGTGACTTTTGAATCAATGGTTGTCATGGTCAGACTTGGCTCATCTGCTTGCGGCGCGCTCAAGTCCTCGTGAATGGGAAACACAACAATGGAGCCAGGGTAGCCCATACGCTTTTCAGTCACTCCCAACAAAAATGCATCATCCTCGCTGAATGCCACACGCTTCACAGCTGTTGGGAACTCCCAGGTCTTGAGACACTGTCCCGTTTCGACATTCCAAAGCTTGATGGTATTATCTGCACTGCCAGACGCCAACATGGTTGAGTTTTTATTGCAGGAAACGGTCCAAATAGCACCTACATGGCCGTTGTAGGTTCCTAGCCGCTCTCCGTTGTGAGTAAACCACGCGTTGATGACATGGTCCTTTGCGGTGGAAAAGAGGAGGTCGCCTTCGACATTATAGACGATATGGGTGATGCTGCGCTCGTGGCCTTGCAACTAGATGTGTCAGCAGTTGTCATGCGCACCAGGGCCTTACGAGAATGGGCCGCATGTCTCTTGTAGCAGGTGTAGAACGTATAAGTGTTTTCTATTTCTTTCTCAATTTTCATCCAGGCCTGCACGTGATGGGCCGCCAAGTGACGACGAGCAAGAGCATCTACTCTACTTGTCCTTCTACGTGCACCTGTGCTGCTTCATAGCTCCTGCAGCAACAGCACTGCCAGACAAGTAAGCCATGGACTCTGCGCCGCCCATCGTCCTCGACCAGGGTACCGGTTTCGTCAAAGTAGGCTACGCCGGCACAAACTTCCCCGAACACCAATACCCGTCTATCGTCGGGCGTCCCATCCTGCGTGCAGAAGAGCGTACAGGCGATGTGCAAATCAAGGACATCATGGTCGGTGAAGAAGCGGCTCAGGTCCGTTCCATGCTGCAGATTTCATACCCCATGGAGAATGGAATTGTTCGCAATTGGGAAGATATGCAGCATCTCTGGGACTACACATTCTACGAGGCACTCAAAGTTGACCCTGCAGGCCGCAAGATTCTACTCACTGAGCCACCAATGAATCCCGTGGCGAACCGGCAGCGTATGTGTGAAGTGATGTTTGAGCGGTATCAATTCGATGGAGTGTATGTCGCTATTCAAGCAGTCTTGTCACTGTACGCACAAGGTTTGTCGAGTGGATGTGTCGTTGATTCAGGTGATGGTGTCACACACATTGTCCCGGTCTATGAGTCAACCGTCCTCAATCACCTGACGCGCCGTCTCGATGTCGCCGGTCGCGACGTGACGCGTCAAATGATTTCTCTCCTTGCTCGACGTGGCTATGCCCTCAACCGCTCAGCTGATTTCGAAACGGTGCGTCAAATTAAGGAAAAATTGTGCTACGTCTCATATGACCTCGAGCTGGATCACAAACTAGCGGATGAAACAACAACGCTTGTGGAAGACTATACATTGCCAGATGGACGTGTCATCAAAGTCGGCAGTGAACGATTCGAAGCGCCTGAATGTCTCTTCCAACCACACCTCGTTGACTGCGAACAACCCGGTATGGCGGAATTCCTCTTCAACACCATTCAATCTGCCGATGTTGATATTCGTGCAGACTTGTACAAGGCTATTGTCTTGTCTGGTGGATCGAGCATGTACCCAGGTCTCCCAACACGTCTTGAAAAGGAACTCAAACAGCTTTGGCTGACGAAAGTTCTGCATGGAGATCCAACACGCTTGTCAAAGTTTAAAGTGAGGGTGGAAGATCCACCGCGTCGGCGGCACAGTGTGTTCATTGGTGGTGCAGTCTTGGCAAATATCATGGCTAATAATGCACATATGTGGGTTACCAAGGCTGAGTGGGAGGAGTTTGGCGCAGGTGCTTTGAGTAAATTGGCGAGGTAGACGACGCAGCACACAAATAGCATAGTGTCGTATCAAGGTACAGAGATACAAAGGCTAGCGCTAACGAAGTTGAAGAAGCACTTTACTGAAACTACGATAAGGAACAGGATCTGGCTGGGACCTGCTGCTGATGACAGTTTAAAACAGATGTTGCGAGAGCTCGTGGGAGTCAATTCAGGGGTCAACCTGCGACACAAAGGCATTATTCTACAGAGCAGTTGTCCATATCGGTTTGCCTTTCTCGGTCGGAGACGTCGACAGACGTGCTTTCATTCTTGGGTAGCATGCGAAGAATGCATAAAAGAGGACACTGGCTCTGTGACTTACTGACGATCGCAAACAGAAAGGTCTTGAGCATGCCCATGGGTCACTATATCGAATTGGCCAGTTTGGCGGGCCATTGAAACGGTTGACGGTGTAGGAAAGGCAATATAGAGATAAGCAAGAGTCGTTTCCTGTACGCCAAAGCTAGCGCTAACGAGTCGATAGAATACATTATATTTGACCAGCAGTGGTGATCACTGCGGCCGTGCCTTAATAACGATGGGCCGGCTTGTGCCACTCATTGGTGTCGTTTTGACACGAATGGATCCAGCTGTTGGCGTTTTGATGGTGCCCGGCAATGGCTGCTGCGTTGCTCGCTTCACACCCGTCGGTGTGCCTTGCTGAAGGGGTGCCACCTTGACACGAATGCCGCTACCAGCAATGGGCGATCCAGCCCCTTGGTTTGCAAACCGTGCTTTACCGCTACCAGGTGTCAGTCCAGGTGATGAGGCATGCTGCGTCAGTGACCGGCTCGTTGCTTGTGGAATGCGCGAGCGCAACATGGCTGACATGACTGGCGATGCTGTAATCTGCTGGGTTTTGGCAGAAGCGACACTTGAATGCATCGGACGGCTTGCGGGTGTACTGTGTGTGGCTTTAGGCGTACCGCGCTGGATGACCGGTGAGCCAGCAAACGACGTAGTACTGCTTTTGGCATGGCCACCTGTATTGGCTGGGATATTGGGCGACATAGACTGCAAGGTAGCAGATGAATCTGATGAGGGTATCGATGGCCTCAATTGTGCTTTAGATGCTTTGACGCGAATAGTCCGTACAGGCGGCTGAACAGTTTCTGTCCCTTGAGACGTTGGCTTACGCTGCAAATTGACGCGCTCGCCAGCAATGTTGGCGCCACTTCGTACAGTGTAGCTTGTAGGCCTTGCACTCAGCGGTTCACCGGCATTAGTAGACGTCTTCTTGGCCGCTGGCTGGCCGATGGGAAGAGGTCCATCGCCGCGTTTGACACTCTCGAACTGGTCCTTGGCGCGTTTGCGCATCAACGCTGTCAAGGAGACACCACGTGTGGCTATTGCAGTAGTTTGTGTAGGCGCCTTGCGACCGGACGAGGATGCTTGCTGGCTCATGACAGCTCTGAGAGGTTTAAGAGGTCGAGAATGTGGTGATTGTGATGACTTGTGGAGTTGAAATAGGATCTCGTTGCCAAAAGAAAAAGACAACGACCGCGACCATGCCAGTTTCTACATCTACGGATTGCTGCCACAGAGCGCTATGGTGCTGCTTTAAGCCCGAATACGGTCGCTCGATTGCTGAGAGAGGCCAAGCTTTGGTCAAGATATTAGCTGGGTGCGCATTGGTAGCATGTAGAAAGGCTTGACATTCTTCAGCGTTATTGAGTCTCGAACAGAATGGTGCTGCGTATCAATGTGCTTGCAGCGAGAATGAATGCAAGGGTCTGTGCAAGCTTTACAGCAGACCGATTGTCGGCTAAGATGGGGACACAACCGTCCATGGCAAGGTCAGTGGCTCTCGCTGGGTGTTCTAAAAGACTTCCAAAGCTGATGACACGCTGACGGCACGGTGGACAAGTACAAGGCCTGGCTCGTCACCATGGGGTATTCTCAATAAGGGGGCATCGACTATACCAACATCTGCACCTTTCTGGCGCATATGTTCGCGCACTGCTCACCCTTGCATTAATTCACGGTTTCGAGATTCGCTGAAGGGACGTGTTCATACACGGCCTACCTCAATGGCCATCTCACGGAAGAAGTCTACATGATGTGCCCTACTGCTCGACAGTTGTGTCTTGCCGCATTGAAGCGCTCGCTCTATGGCCGAGCAATGGGCCAAATCTCAAGACAACAGAAGTAACGCCACTATACTCTCCAATAACTGCGTTGCTCTGCTTCCGTCTTCGGCCTTTACCACCATATAGCAGACAAGCTATTTGTCTGCGTCTGTTGACGGCATCATGGTTGCGTTCAAGCATCCTGTCGACAAAGCTGCCTGGGTCAAGGTACTTGCGGCGAGTACGACTTGGAAGACTTTGGACTAGGTCACTCTGTACTCAACGTTTGCGTCACCAAGAACAACGACGGCTACTTTATCGACCAGCAGGCCTGTATCATCGATGCAGCTCACTCTCGCGACGTCAACACCTTTCGACGTCATTGTTGCCCATGGACGCCTTGATCAAGCTTTACAAAGAGGGCACCATCGATAGCAATTGCGTAGACTCTTTTGTCAACACTCACAAGTACAGTTACTTCGTTGGTGAGTTCATTTAGCCAGAACACTGCACGACCAGACATAACTTACGCTGTGTCCCTCGTGTTGAAGGGCCTCGCAAGCTCACGTCTCGCACACATGAAGGTTGTGTGAGGTGTTCTTGCTTATCTTTGCATCAATCCTGCCTCGAAGCTCTATTTTACCAAATTGGACAAGCTCCTGTCGTTCATCAGAGCGACTACAATCATGATAGCGACTATGGCGCTTGCCGCTCTACTCTGGTTGCGTCTATTTGCTCGTCAATGGAGCTTTTACTTGGATGTTTTCCCGAAAGCACATCGTCATCATTCCATCTACGGAAGCTGGATATGTTGATCTCTCCGCGCTGCAATAGAAGCGCTTTGTTTCAAGCATTCGCTTACTCGCTACTCTGTCTCATACTGGCTGTCGACAATGACACGACATCACGGTCTCTTTGTTCACCTCGCCATTGTGTCCAACTCTGGCCACCGCCGATGCAGGTGCAGTCGTTTGTCTCCCTTAGTACGGAGCCAAGACACGAGCCCAGATGCCACATCAGCTTCTCCTGACCAAATCTGACCAGCAAGAAATGCTTGAATTGCTTGGCATTACAATCGGATTAGCCGGACGTCAAAATAGTAGGTACACGTCGCAACGCATGCTTCGCCCATGAGTATAACAATGCTGCTGTTTCGCCTACCATGCTTGATCCTGCGATATGCTTTAAAATTAGCGTGTCTGAGAAAGACAATATATCGCTTCGCAGTCTTTTGTTAGGAATTCAAGTGCATCCCCTGATCACTTGCTTCCGCTGTTATCTCTCTGCCACGTCAGCGCTCATGCACGTGACCTTTAGTTTAGTCTTAGCTGGCAAGAGTGCTATACTCTTGTCCCCTATTCGAATCAAGTCTTATCTGCAGCTGCCCTGCGTGCCTGTGTCTGTCACCTACGACTACAGCCTCGCATATCCGCCAATCTCGATTAGGTTATGAGCACTGTTGCTATGCAGCAAGACGCTACTGCTTCGGGTCAACGTTCCGGCCCGTCTAGCAACGCGGTGTTAAGGAACACCAAGAGGATCAGCAATGGCCTAAGTGCTTGGAAGGATGAGCTGCTGCTTGTCGCTCAGCAGGCTGGCGTTGAGACTTACATCTTTCAGGAGATACACGCACGCCGCGTCAAAGCAGCAATACGCTGCGCAGACGCCATGCAGAAGGCCGACGAAGACGCTGAGGCCCGTATCGCCGCTCTCGAAGCCCTCATGAAAGATGACAAGCTTAAGGCCCCAAAAGCCTATAGCGCCCCCTCGACTCGCTCCAAGTCCAAATCGATGGAGGAGGAATCAAGCGAGGATGAAAGCACAAAGCCTTACACTGGTCCGTGCTACATCAACTCTGAGGGGTATCTTGCACCTGCCCCCTTTGAAGAATGGTCGCATCTTGAACCAACTTGGGACAAGAACAGCAAGGCGCTTTTCTTGCTGAAAGGAGGTCTCGACAGGTCTGACCTGGAAGCAATCAAAGACATCGCAGTCGCCTGCGTTGCTTTCAAGACTGTCTTGTCTCGACACAAGCAGCCTGACACTTTGCGAAAGTTGCAATTGGTCACGAAGCTCAATAAGCTCTCTTTGCCTCCTGGCAATACCACATCTTCAGCTATTGAGACCCTGATGGTGGACGTTCAAGCCACCATTGCCCAGTTGCGCAGCCTTGATCCCACCGGCAAGACGTTTGACGAAGACATGGAAATTGCCATGATCTACGCCAAACTCCCAGGCGATTTGCAGGACCTCACGCTGCACACACTCTCCTCGGATGGACCACACTCTATCCGCAGTTTTGTGCAGCAAGTGCGCTTCAAGATACAGTCGGATGACTATCTCAAGACGCACGGCAAGCACAAGTCTCTGGCAGACTCAGCCGCTGACGCTTCCCAAACCCTTTACCAATCATCAACGGAAAAAGGGATGCTCGCTCAAGAGCATAAGTCTCAATTGAAGCAGAAGTCTTCAAAGAAGCCGAGGAAAAGGCATTCTCTTCACAAGCCTTCATCTGAGACGAAGCAAAGTAGCCCTCCAACTGAATCAAAATCACAGTCTGAGGGCAAGCCAAATCCCAACACGGCATACTTTGCTCGCGAAACAACCCTAGCTGAACGTAGCTGGGTGATCGACTCCGGTGCCACGTCGCATATGACACCGTCGCAAGAGTTGATCTCTGATCTCTCTCATGATGCTTCCATTAGCATCACGTCCGCCAATGGCGAAGAGATGATCTCCGCTGGTTTTGGGCATGCTGCATTTGCCGTGCCAGATCAAACCAGCTTGGTGCCCTTGTCCAAAGTTTGGCATGTGCCAAATCTCACTGAACATCTTTTATCAGTGAGCGCACTCAATGAGGACGGTTTTGACGTACTGTTCTCGGCCAAACATGGACCAGCCCTCCTCAAAGACAGTGTTGTCGTCGCTACTGGCAGGCGTGTCGGTAAAGGCTTTGTCCTAGACGGCACAATTGCTAAAGTCCAGCCTCAGGCAAGTGAGTTTGCCCTTTTCACAAAGGAAAAGGCACCGACGGATGCCCTTGAGTGGCACCGACGACTTTGCCATATGTCCATCAAGGACATGAAACGACTTTCGAAGTTTGTCGACGGATTTCCCGACGATCTGGTCTACCCGGAATACTTCGATTGCTCTGGCTGTGCAGCTGGAAAGAGCAAGCGCTCGAGCTTTCCCTCTGTGGCAAATTCTGCCACTCAGCGGCTTGACATAGTCCACATTGATGTTGCTGGACCAATGCGCACCAATTCTATCAATGATGCACGATATTTTCTCATCATTGTTGACGGGTTTTCCAAGTACGTTTGGGCGTACATGCTGAAAGATGTCACTGCAGACACCGTCTGTAACATCTACAAAGCTTGGGAAACTGTTGCCACCAATCACGTTGGCGACAAAGTCAAAATTGTTCGCTCTGATGGAGGTAACGAGTTCAAGGGGAGCTTTCGCCAGCACCTCATTACGCAAGGCACCACTCACCAAACAACTGTTCCGCATACGCCTGAGCAGAATGGTGTTGCAGAGCGCCACATTCGCACTGTTGTCGAAAAGGCTCGCTCATTGCTTCTTGATGAGACGTTTGGTCCTCTCCCGCGCAATTTATGGGCTGAGTTGACCTCCACAGCCGTCTACGCCATCAATCGTTCGCCTCATACTGGTCTCGACAAGACGCCATACGAAATGTGGTATGGCAAACGACCAGATTGCTCGCATATGAGGACTCCTGGTACCATTTGCTGGTCACACAACCCGCGAATCAAAGACAAGTGGGATGCGCGCGCCAACAAAGCTATGTTTTTGGGCTACAGTGATACTTCCAAAGCTTGGCGAGTCTTAGATCTTGCCACTGGGAAAGTTGTTCTCAACCACTCGGTCATTTTTGATCATGCTGTGGCAAAAGAACTGTCTGTCAACAAGGATGTCGATCCTCGTCAGCTCACAGACGCTCAGCTCGAAGCTATAGCTAGCGGCAATGCTGCAAGTGTCGAATTTACTGACGAGCAGCTCGAAGCTATCGCTACTAGCGGTCTTGACGTTACTACTAATGATGACGAGCTTGATGAATATGCTTTTATGCTTACTGCTCAAGATGTTCTCCCAGCTCCTGTAACTGTCAAACAAGCTTTATCCCGCTCTGACGCACCTGAATGGCGTGCCTCTATGGAACGCGAGCTCGTCTCTCTTGAAGGCAAAGGAGCTTTTGAGTACGTCGACGACATTCTGATGGTTTTCTCGGACATCGCGCACAAAGAGCATCTTCTCAAGGCTCTTACCAAACGCTACGAGCTGTCCGATCTCGGCCCTGCCAATTCCATTCTCGGCATGCGCGTCTCACACAACAACGGCGTATACACTCTCGATCAATCCACCTATATTGAATCGATCGCCACCGACCACGGCTTAGCCAACTGCCATCCAAGGCACCTGCCAGCCAGTGTCGGCACCATTCTCACCACTATATTGGCCTCTCCAACGCGTCAAAAGAGGCTCTCTGGCTGCGCGAGCTCATGCTCGGCATCAAGATCAGCAATGTGCTCAACTCCGACGGTTCCATCAATTTATTTGGGGACAATCAGGCTGCGCTGAAGTTGGCACACAATCCTGTGTTTCACGCCAAGAGTAAGCACATCGAAGTGAAGTACCATCACACTCGATCCCTGATTGAGCAAGGCAAGATCAAGCTACACTACGTCGGCACAAAACTGCAAAAAGCCGATCTCCTTACCAAGCTCCTTCCACGTCCTGCATTGGAGACGCAACGACTGCTTCTCGGCCTCGTCTAAGCACTTCGCTTTATCGAGATAGAGGGAGTGTTAGGAATTCAAGTGCATCCCCTGATCACTTGCTTCCGCTGTTATCTCTCTGCCACGTCAGCGCTCATGCACGTGACCTTTAGTTTAGTCTTAGCTGGCAAGAGTGCTATACTCTTGTCCCCTATTCGAATCAAGTCTTATCTGCAGCTGCCCTGCGTGCCTGTGTCTATCACCTACGACTACAGCCTCGCATATCCGCCAATCTCGATTACTTTCCGGCCTAAATACTGAGGGGCGTGCTACAATTGCGAAATATGGGCTGCATGCATTTCGACTGCTCTCTTTCGGCTTGGTGATTGTGATTTAGGCTGTTTCAAACAGGTGTGTTTGGAATAAGACTGACCCGCAAGTAACATAATCTACTCCTGACTCCTGAGACCAGGCAATTCGAAAAGAAAGAAGAATTCAAAGACACATGCGATGCTTGTCACTGCGAGGCTATGCCTGCTGGCAGTGATCTGGAACGATACGGAGAGTCGCGCCCATGTCTTCGAAGGGAAGAAGCGCCGAGGGACTGACCTCTGCGCTCACTCGTCTTGTCTTCAGATGGCATGTTTGGCCAATTGGCCATCAGTCGCCTCTCCTCGGCTTCCTCTATCTCTCTTGAGTTCCCAGCGCTCTTGACTCCACTCCATCACGATGATATACTCAAGCGCTCAGTATTATTACACGGCCTGGCGTATCTCTTTCCTGATGCGGCCTTCGCCGGCATCACGATCACCTTGTCGCATGGACCACGCTCCAACATGTTACGCTCGCAAGCGGCAGTATCACCTTGCCTCATGGTCCTTGCAGACGCATTACGCCCGAACGTGTTGATGTCTCCCCAACACAGCCCCAGCGTCAGTCATCAATGCGCTGTCAGGGTCTAGGCCATCGCCCACCCCGTTCTCGTCTGTTCTTTGCTCGAGGCTGGCAAAGCATAAAAGGAACGTTCTCGCACCTTTGTTAGCAACATCAGTTTGTCTCTTACACTATCTTGTGTTTGAGAGTCTCGGTCGCCAAAACCCTCATATTACGCTCAAGCTTCCCTGTCTCAATCAATACGCCTCGCCTGTTCAGTTGTGTTCATTACACTGGGCTTGCAGCATCTGAAACTAGCGCTATTGAGTCTATCAAGTCAAGACACCGCAGCATGGGCTCTTCATTCTCGCGCAATTGGATGCGCAGAACGACGCACTTGGTCTCTATGTGGCTCATCCCGGTAATGATGAGCATGGAAGAAGTCACCTCTCTCGGCATGTGCAACAGTGTCTTTTTCGAGCTCAAATTCATTACGTACATCAATCCTTACAGCATCCCTACTGGGGAGACAGCAGAATCATTCTGTAACACTCTGTGTAATCAGGCGACACAGATGCCATGGGCGCATGGTATGAGCAGGGATGTCTGTCATCGGCATGGACCGCTCTGTTTGATGCCTTCGTCAGCCGTTGCCGGCGATCTCGATTATCCGAAGAATCAGGACACCCACTCAGACATGTACTATCATCTCGACACTGTCACTTCTTATGGCCTTGGAGTTGGGGGCGCATCAACCTCAACCTCCGTTTTCGATTTTCCGTTGTTTCGAAAGGGCCACAATGATAAAGCCAAGGTTGGAATTTACCAAGTCCCCAAAGTCTATACGTGCGACTGTTCTATAAAGGCTCACTATCCAAAAATCTCTCGGGGACCCCTGGCAGCGACCCACTTGGGGATTGAAGGCGGCTCTTATCAATCAGCCGATTGTCATCCCGAAGCTGTCGCAAGAAGGCATGTTTCCGGAAGATGGCAGCTTGACAGCTTTGGATCATCTTCCGGACCTATCGAGGGGGTCGAGAAAGATTGTAACGAGGAATTGAAAGTAGGGCGGCTGACATATACAGACGAAGGTTACTGCACCAAACTGACCTACCCCGTTACTCGGAGCTTCAACCATTATTTACCTCAGATGCTCGATCTCCATGGCCAACTTCCCTTCGCGTATATGTGACCAATTTTCACAGTCTTCATCAATGGTCCCACTACAGCCATCATGGTCTGACGGTCGAATACAGCTTTGGCCGTGGTCGCAAAAGCCGAAGCGGGATAGCCTTCAAAGGTCGTCGGAAAATCCTGCTAATGCATGTCTTAGCCCGTAGTCGCTCTCGTATTTAACAGATGTATCTGATCATCATAATCGTGCAAAGTCTATGTGAGCAGTCCTTCGAATTGTATTCCGCTGATCGACCTGTCCGATCTTTGCCGGGCGCGCAATAAAACTATCTTTAACGACCGGGCCGATGAATGACTGAACAGAGCGGAGCGAGTTCACGTCGAACACATTAGACAATAAAAGAAGTGGCATAGATGATTCTATCAAAGTACAAAGTGGACGAATTAGAAACAAGACAGCAGAAGGCTGTCCTTGTATCTTCACAGACTAGGGATAGAACCATAAAACAGCAAGACAAGAACAGGGCCAATATACAAAGACGGTCGGCGACGTCTTGCCAGACGCGCCAAGAGACAAAGAGATGTCTCAGATTGGTGAGGCGAGAACAAAAGACTGGAGCCGGAAGAAAGCAAGCAACTGTTGAATATGCTGAACAAGAAGTACCATGGTCTAGATGGCGACGTCTTGATTGGGTAGTTGTGCACAGACGAATGAATGGAACCATCGACATACTCCCTGGACTCGTCCTGTGCATCTTTCTTGTGAACCTTGAGATCGTCGTGAACAGATCGCAAACGAGCAGTCATATCGTGACTTACAAGGATAGCAGAACTCGACTTGAGGAAAAATAGATCATGAATCGTCTTGGGCGTGGTTGATGTAGCATCGCAGAAATTGTTTGAGGTCCGAGTTGACATGTTCGATCTGACCAATGGTCTGAGGGTTATATGCTAGCATGTGGACAAGAGAGACTTGATTTCTGGGTCAAATTACAGGAGAAGTGACTGCAAGAACTTGGACGTGAAAATAGAGCCACGGTCAGAGACAATAGACGTCGGAACGCTATGGTTCGAGATAAAACGATCCATGAAGGTCCTTGCGAAGGTGACTGCACCAGTGGCCTCGACAAAAGGGATGAACTGAGCTTTATGCGTGAGACGGTCAACAACAACCATAATGAAATATCGTCGTTGGACAAAAGAAGCTTGGTGATGGAGTCGAGGGAGATAGCAGGCCATGCTGTGTCAGGAACCGGGAGCAGGTCGAGCTTGACATAGGATTCGTGTCGAAATGCCTTGACGCGTGCACAATCGTCGCGGGTGCACACGTATTGCTTAACATAAGCTCGCATGCTGGGCCAGAAGTATTGTCGTGAGAGGAGCTTGAAGGTCTTGTTGATACCCCAATGTCCGGCCAGGATAGAGCCATGGTGCTGGCGTAACGTGAGAACTTCGGTACCCTGTCGTTGGGGACGTAGAACTTTGAATCGATCAAGGGGTAGCTGTCGGCCAGATCCTTGAGAGCGTTAGTTGTTTGGTTGAGCAGCTCCAGAACTCCGCGGGCATCCTTGTCTGAATCATAAGCAGAGACTGAATCATAAGCAGTGACGATCTGCAGAAGCATTTCGTTTGCCACAGATCTGATTTGAGCTCGCATTCGAACAGCATCCAGAACCATTGTTTGATATCCAGTAGCGGTCGAAAATTGACAGGTGAGCATCTCCTTCCCTTGAGCGGAGATCTTCAGACGAAAAAGCGCGTCTGGGAGCCCCTTAGTCTTACCAGGCCGGTAAGCAATTTTGAAGCTGTAATCAGCGAGCAGCTCAGAGCACAGAGCTTGGCGACGATTGGCTTAACGCATCGTGTGAGATACTCCAAGTCTTTGTAGTCTGTCTAGACAGTGATCGGATGAGCGGAACCTTCAAGATGCCGACGCCAAGTGTTGAAGGCAGTGGCAATAGCCAACATTTCTTTGTCATAAATCTGGTAGTACATTTTGGCAGGAACAAATGTGCGACAGAAGATAATAACAGGGTGCATCAAGCCGTCGGCGAACTCTGATGAGAGATCGCATTCTAGTGGGAAGTCGGAGGCATCTGTCTCGAAGAAGATCGGTTTGTCGGGGCCGAAGTGGACGAGACTGGGAACGGACGTGAAGGATTGCTTGAGGGATTTGAATGCAGCTTGTGTCTCAGGAGACCAGCGGAATTCAGAAGTTTTCTTCTTGAGGAGATCGTAGAGTGGCTTGGCGACCTTTCTGTAGTTGCGAATGAATCGCAGATAGAAGTTGGCAAAGCCGTTCAAAATCGGATCATCCTTGACTGACTTGGATACTGGCCACTTGAGACTTAAGTCGACTTTGCCGGTGTCCATAGTGACGCCAGAGGGTGAGATCAGAGAGGCAGACTGTTCCACTCGATTGCTGTCGAAAATACATTGCTCTGGTTCGACACAGAGAGGATGCCTTTGCAAGACTCCGAGGACAGAAGCAAGATGTTGGTCGTGTTCTGACTGAGACTTGGAGTGGGTGAGAATATCACCCAAGAAGCAGACCACGAAGACATCCAAGATCTGTCGCAACACATCATTCATTATGCTTCGAAACGACGCTGGAGCATTGATCAGACCAAAATGACATGACGTAGTACCCATCATGCCCGCGTTCGGAAAGCTGACTTCCACGCATCACCGGGAGCAATGCGCAGGATCTTGTAAGCAGCGCGCAAGTCCAGCTTGGTGAGGACACGAGCATGATGGAGGCGATCGAGGGTCTCTGAAACCAACGGAAGTGGTGCGCGATTCTTGATCGCGATATTGTCGAGACCTCGATAATCAATGCACAGGCGCAGAGAATCATCCTTCTTCATGACAAAGAGGGCGGTTGCACCGACGGGACTTTCGAGACAGAGATATTGCCAGAAGCCACTTCCCTTTCCAAATAATCTTTCAAGACTTGCAACTCTGTAGCGCTCATCGCATACAGAGGGCTCCATGGAGCTGTAGAGTCTTTGACGAGGAGAATATTGTGGTCGTACTTGAATAAACGGGAAGGCGCGCAGCTTCTACCGCAGAAAACATCGGAACCAAATGATATGTTTCTGGGATTGCTGAGTTGACGCTGGACATGGTGTTGGCTGCAATAATGACGGACGCTGGGTTACTGAGAGACCTTGAGACACTGGAAACAAGATCGTTGCCTGGGAGCTCCGTGAGATGAAGCTTCTGAATAACATGCGTGCTAGCTAGGCCTCCAAAACTAGCGGCTTCCAAAGGGCAAATTTCCAGAGCTGGGGTACTAAGATGGGGTGAAGGTTGACCAGATCCACCTCGAGACACCGACAAGGTTCCGAACATAAGTCTGGGCAAGAAATCTGCCGTTGGCCCAATCAATAGAAGGATTGTGAAGTTGAAGCCAAGGCAAGCCAAGAAGTTCCTCGGACCGTCCAAGGTCTGAGATCACGAAGGAAGCATGCTCGTTATGTGTACCAGCAGAGAGTTGCACAGGAGCTGTAGCATACGTAGAAGAACAAGCGACGATGGTCTCAAGTTGCTTTGTTGCACTGGCTGGGCCAAGGGTGTTTGTTGACTTCCAATGCGCGAGACAAAAAGAAGCCGCGAGAGCACAACCGTTCAACAACGACCGCGACCATGCCAGTTTCTACATCTACAGCTTGCTGCCACAGAGCGCTATAGTGCTGCTATGAGCCCGGACACGGTCACTCGCTTGCTGAGCTAGGCTAATCTTCGTTGAAGATATCATCAGCTTGCGTATTGGTAGCATGTAGACAGGCTTGACATTCTTAAGCTTTATTGATTCTCGAACAGAATGGTTCTGCGTATCAATGTGCTTGGAGCGAGAATGGAACATAGGCTCTTCTGCAACCTGAATAGCAGACGGATTGTCGGTCAAGATGGGGGCGCAACCGTCAATTTCAAGGTCAATGGCTCTTGCTTGGTGTTCTGAAAGTCGTTCAAAGCTGACGACACGCTGACGACACGGTGGATCAGTAAAAGGCCCGGCTCGTTGTCATGGTAGTTCCAACAAGAAGGCATCAACTGCACCTAAATACGTTCCCGCCTGGCGCATCGAATGTGTTCGCGCACTGCTCATCCTTGCATCAATTCACGGTCGTCGGTCTCGACGTTCACCAGATGGACATTGTCACACACGGCCGCGTACACCTCAATGGCCATCTCGCGGAGCAAGTCTACCTGATCTGCCCTCCTGGTCAGCAGTCGTGTCTTGTCGCATAGAAGCGCTCGCTCTATGAGCGAGCAATGGGCCAAGTCTTCAGACAACCGAAGTAACGCCACTATATCATATAGCAGACAAGCCATTTGTCTGCGTCTTTTTTGACGGCATTATGATTGCATTCAAGCATCCTGTCGACAAAGCTGCCCGGGTCGAGGCACTTGCGGCGAGTACGACCTGGGAGACCTTGGCCTAGGTCACTTTGTACTCGGCGTTGGCGTTACCAAGAACAACGACGGCTACTCTATGAACCAGCATGCCTGCATCATCGATGCAGCTCACTCTCGCGACATCATTACCTATCGATTTCGTTGTTGCCTATGGACGCCTCCATCAAGCTATACAAAGAGGGCACCGGCGACAGCAATTTCGAAGACTCTGTCGTCAACACCCACAAGTACAAGTCCCTCATCGGTGACACAAGCTAAATTCAGAACGCTGCACGCCTAGATATTGCTGACAACGTTTCTCTCCTGTCGAGGTATCTCGTTACACTATGGCTCTCACGCATGAAGGTTGGACGACGTATTCTTGCTCAACTTTGGACTATTCCTACCCTCAAGCTCAACTATATTAGATCTGACAAGCTCATTTGTCCAACGACTCTGATCATGCTGGCAACTATGGCGCTCGCAGCTCTACGTCCTTTCGTTCGTTGATGGCGCTGTCGCTTGAACATCTTCTTGACAGCACACCGTCATCCCGCCTACTACAGAAGCTGATTTTGTTGGTCGCCCTAATTCTACAAGAGGAGCGCTTTGGTTCAAGCCCATGCTTGCTCAGTGGAACTTGACTCAGCTTTACATGACGAGCAAATCACTTTCTTTACCAACGATCAGTCTGCTATCAAGCTTCCGAAAACCTTGTATACCTTTCTCGCTCCAAACACATTGATACCCAGAAACATTCTGTTTAAGAGAACATAACGCTGCACCACGCCAAGCCTGTCTACATCGCTATCGGTACGCAAACTGCTGTAGTCACCAAAGCTTTGCCTCATAAAGCACTCGAGCGACAGCGCTTAGATTCGAACCTCTGCTCAACCGGCTTGTGCCTCCAAGGGATGAAAAATGTTGAGGATCGCGACTTTCTGTCACTTCGTCGCTTTCCGTCCAACACTATTCTCTGGGGGAACACCAAGAATAGCTCTCGGTCTATCCTTGCTACCATGTCTCACACTAGCTCATGAAATCGCAGTGTCTTTGTTTATCTTGCCATTGTGTCCAACTCTGGCTATCGCCAACGCAGGTCGCTTTGTTTATCTCCCTTAGTTCGGACACGAGTCCAGATGCAGCATGAAGCTCTCCTGAACAAATCTGCACTAAAAAATGACTTATCGAACTGTTTGGCATCATATAATTGGACCAGTCGAACGTCATGATACACACGCATCGAATGCTTCGCCCGCGCGTGTACTAATGCTGCTGCTTCCTTTCGTGCTTAATCCTGCGATATGCTTTTGAAATCTGAAACTCCGACTAAGGCAACAATATGGTCAAAGGAGATATCACATCGGAATCTTCTGGGCCCGCCTCCTGTGGAGCTTGGCTCAATTTGCAAAAGCTACGCTACATGCATTCCGGCTAGCACTTTCGGCTCGGTGATTGTTTTGAGGCAATTTCAGACAGGTGTGTCGATCTGAACCAATTATGACGGAGACTCAACACAGAAGTGGGTTGAGCTACTCCTGACTCCTGAGACTAGGCAATATGGAAAAGACCCGAAACCCACAAAGGGCTGATGTGATGCCTGTGGATACAAGGCTGTGACTGCTAGCAGCGGCATGAAGTACATATGAGGAGATGCGCTCACGCTTCCAAGGAGAAGCGCCGTGGGCGGACCAACATCAGATACTACTCACCAGTCAGCTAGTCTGGGCTTGCAGTGTCCGGAGCTTGCGCTGTGTAGCCTATCAGGTCAAGACACCGCAGAATGGGCTCTTCTTTATCGCACAATTGGATAAGTAAAACGATGCACTTGGTCTCCATGTGGCTCATCCCCGTAATGATGAGCATGGAAGAAGTCACCTCTCTCGGCATGTGCCACAGTGTGTATTTCGAGCTCACATCCACTTTGAGCATTCGGTCTGACAAAATCACTGGTCTAATGACAAAAGAGGACGTCTGTCATGATAAGTGTCTCGACAAGACTGAAGAGCTGGTGTGGATGAAAGGCCGGGAACACGATACCTGCCATCGACACGGACCGCTATGTTCACAGCTCGTACCAGAAATTATTGGCGACCTTGCTTACCCGTCTGATCAGTACACCCACTCAGACATGTACTATCAGCAAGGCACTGCCGCTTCTTATGGCCTTGGGTTTAATCCCGCAACATCCTCAAGCTCCTTCTTAGGCTCTTTATGGCCCGGAAGTGGCTACAAGCAGACAGCTCAGGTCGGGGCCTACAAGGTCTCCAAATTTTTTACGTGCAAGTGCACTATGAGGGCTCACTATCCGAAGATCTCCTTGGGACCCTTGTCAGCAATCCACCTGCCTCCTCAAGGCGGCATTTATCAATCGGCCGCTTGTGATCCCCAAGCTGTCGCAGAAAGGCATGTTCTTGGATCATGGCAGCTTAGCAGCTTTGGACCATCTCTAGGACCATCGGAGGTGGTCGAGTTTGAGTGTGACGAGGACTTAACAAGTGACGACGGATTCAAATATGAGGATGCCGAATACTGCAGGATACATGGATACGAACCGCTCAACACTGAGAGCTTTGAAACATTTGGAACTGCTTTTCTTCCAATCCAGGGCCAAATTGAGGACCCATAACGATGACCAACTTTCACAGTCTTCACCATTGGTCCCACTCCGGCACCATGGTCTCACGCCTGAATACAGCTTTCGCCGTGGTCGCAAAGCTGAAGCAGAATGACATACAAGTCAAGGGCCGTCGTCGGAATGAATCTGCTGATGCCTGTCTTAGCTTGTAGTCGCTCTCGTATCTTAAGAACACATCTGATGATCACAATCGTGTCAAGTCTACGCGAGCACTCCTTTCAAGTGTGTTCCGCTGATCGACGTGTCCGAGTGGCTGCCATCTCTGCCGAGCGCGCAATGACTCGGCTCCTGAGACTTGGCAGATCAGGAGAGACATTTGCTGCCCATGTCTTGAAGTTACCCTTTTTGGAAATCGGTCCTGCACACGCATAAGGGGCATGCTTGCAAACTTGTAGTTGCGAGCGCCTTCGCTGCTTTGTACACGTATCTTTTTCACCATTCTCACCGCCCAGCCCAGTATCCTGCAGCGCCGCTCGTCAAGCCAAGACACTTGAATGGCGAGATGGCGTCTTCTTCATTGACAAGCGCATTGGCTCGACTCCCGCTGCGCTTATCAAGTCCAATTCTCGGACTGCTTCTCCTGTGCTCCCTCCCAACACTAAACAACCTACTTCAGGTGAAATCTGACCTCATGTGTCGCAGTGTGCAGTTCAAGCTTCAGACCATCATTCACATCGTGTCTTCCGGGCAGGACAATGAGCCGGCACCATGGGACCTTTGTGAAGACACTTGCAGAAGCAAGCGACGAGACTTGAGGCAGTTGCCAGTGTTCCGATGGCATAACGCTCAGCCCCACCCATGTCAACGACAAGGACCAGTTTGTCTAAAGTTCAGAGCATACCTTATTGGCCGTCACCCGACGGACATGCCCAATCATGACACTGCATCAGATGCATACTGGCAGCAGGCGACCAGTCCAGATCAAGGCTTCATAAGGCCAATCGACTTCGCAACATCATCGAGCTCGTATTTTGGCCACTATTGGCTGCAGTTCAATCACAAACGCAACACAAAAGTCAATGTCGCACCATTCAGTGTACCCAAAGCCTGGCCCTGCGCGTGTGTTTTGTCTGTGCACTATCCAAGAATGTCGTCTTCAAGCGTTCTAGTTCCTTACGGCTTTCCTCAAGACAGCGGAGACTTTCCTAGAACTTTGACAGACTGTGATGATGCATCAGTGGCTAAAATGCACGAGCTGAGAGGGTGGCAATACCTCCCGCCTGGAGTATCTCATGCATATGAATCTGGCATCACGCCGTCACAGGACGCACCAATCCCTTGTGACACTCCACTAGCACAAAGTTATTGCCACCAGGCCGGTTATGACGAGCAAATGACTACCGATGCAGAATATATCTTTCAAAATGCGCATCTTGGTGGCCCACAAGGCCAAGGATGGAACGGTCTTGTTCCATATCTCTAGCCTTCTCTTGTCAAGTTCATGACGGCTTGGCAATCGCTGTTGAAGTCCAGCAACTGAAGTGCACCGATACTAAAACTGACTATGTCGTTGCATTTGTGCATGCCTGTATCACTGGATTCTTAGTTTGAGGTGAGTATAGATCATCACAGCAATACCGCAAGAACAAGACTAGAGTATAGTTTGAAACATCATCCTGCAACTTCTTGGACTTCGTGGCCCGTAAACCCTGGATTCCTGTAACTGCTGCAAAAGTTTCTCTAGCTGCAACTCTGTAAACATTGAGCCTAGCGATGCAACTTGTTCCAACGCCAGGATAATGATGCTATTGTTGTATATGGCAGGTGAAGTGACCTTTGAGATTCTGTGGGCTTCAAAGGTGGATCCAGGAGGTGTCTGCTGATGAGCACTGACTCCTGGAAGTAGTCCTGACCTAGAATTCGAGGGTTAAAACCTATGCTGTCCTCTCGGGACCAGTCACTTTTGGCTCGATGTGAATGCGATGCGGACTCTGAATAGGTCTGAGTTCGTCTGACACAGTCATCCTCCCTATCCGATATCAGCAGGCCAACTAGAAGAGACCGGCTAGAAGGATGCATGCGCACCAAGCAGCACAATGGCAAAAAGGGGCAAGATTCTGATCTAGGTAGCCATGAGCAACGTGACAGCTCGGGTGTGTACCGAACAGGATGCCTGAACAGTGTTCATGCTGTTTGCTACTGCTCAGACCACGGGAACATGGTTGAGCGTTGAATGGTCGCGCACTGCACAGCCTTTGCAGCCAGCCGCATGGTCGAACCCAGGGGTCGTATTGAGCATGTAGCATTCAGGTGCGCGGGTGGTCAGCGCAAGACAAATACAGCTGTATACTTTTGCCTCCTTTATCATTGAACATCTGCGAGATGCACATGGATGCGAGGCTCATGTAGTATCGGATGAGGACCCCGTCACAGCACAGCAGCTGGTGCAGACAAAATACCGCGAATCAGCCAAGAAGATTTAAGACAGCGTGGCCTGTTCTTCACTTCCCAAACTTCAGACCTACAAGGTCAGCAACACCGATTGAGATACCAACACTTCGCCAGCTCGACACAGCTACTGCGGCGGGTGCTGCTGTGGCGATACTTCCTACAATCAGCATGCAGCACTCCCTGAAACGGATGTTTATCGATCTGACGAGACCACTCGGCTGGATCATGCTACTTTGCATTGCCTTTGATGCCGTTGACGCACAAAAGCCACGACAATGCCGCAAAGTTGGGATGCAACTATCTACAGTCATATTCTTGGATCTCCTGCAACAAGCGCAATTTGAAAAGACGGGCGACCAAAACAAGGCATGCAAGAACGCCTGTTCAAGCCATATTAACCACGTGCGTTTCAACCCCCCCGCTTATCCAGATCCGTCTGCTTTTCCAAATGAACAGTGTCACGAACAAGGACCATTTTGTCTAAGCTGGTATTCAGTGCCCTTGCCTCTGGCACTCCCACAAGAGGAGCATCTCTATGCTCGGAGATTTGACGAGAATGCACATTATCTTCAACACACCCTCGATGGATTTCCAGCCGGGATTTACGCCCAAGGCTCATCAATAGCTGCAGGCTTTGGGTTGTGGCCCATGATCAAAGCGCCAAGATCCAAGAAGAAGACCCCAAACGCAGTCGGTACAAGCAAATTGGGATGTCAATGTACGATGGATCTGTATTTTCCGACGATGTCCGTGATCCCAGCTGTATTTCCAGCGAATTGGCGATGGACATGGAACACTGAGAGCGATATATGCCATCCCGATGCAATACAGGCCCGTATTCGGACCAGTTTGGGCGAACTTGGGTTTCCTTCTTTTCAAATAACCAAGAAATGGAGCGATCATCCTGGTTATGGAGGGGAAGAGGGATCTGCACAAGTATTTCAATGTCCCGACTCATCAATGGTGACTGAGGATATGTGTTTACCATATCCAGAGGGCTTCACACATCTCCTGCCGAAGTATACGCTCATGCGACGACTCCCTGATGATGGCGCGAGCTCGAGCTCAGGGAACCAGCCTCATGGACTTGTCTGACAAGAGCCAACTCATGGTCTCCAGCTGCCGAGAGGCCTAGAGGAATCAAGCAGAACACACACTGGGCTTCAGGACGCAATGCACTGACTGGAACAGGTATGAGAAGAATTGTCTTGCTTCTTTTGGAGCATTGGTCGTATAGCTAGCAGCCGTAGCTTTTAATTAGACTTTATTGTCAAGCTTTAAGGTCACATTTTGCAACTGCAGACCGTGGGACTTGATTCATGTGCCAAATTGTCAATTATGTCATCCACTTGCATCGACTTCCCCTTCCACATCTACGACAATCGACGATGAGGACAGCCTGTGCCATGCGCTCCATGAGGGCCATCCGACTCCTTCAAACTCGCTCCTATACGTCTGCCACTATGCTGCTCGCGCGCCAAGCAAGCCCTGCCGGTGCTTTTGAAAAGTCAGACTTTCAAGCACAAGACCCTTACCCACTGGTTGGCCGTGGCAATGCAGGACCTATTGAAATGGATGAGACACTCGTTCCTCATACGCCCATTGATCGCTCTCATGAAACAACCAATACCAAGCGCGCGCGGTTGTTGTGGCAATCACGGAAACGTGGTATTTTGGAGACGGATCTGCTCTTGTCTACCTTTGCAGCCAAGGCACTGCCTGAGATGGATGCGACAGAGCTTGAGTTGTATGATAAACTGCTGGATGAGCCAGACTGGGAGATCTACTACTATGCAACTGGCAAGAAACCTGCACCGGCTGCCTTTGAGGGTAGCCAGCTGATGGAGCGACTGAAGCAACACACAGCCAATGAGGAGAAGCAAACGCGGTCAATGCCGAGCTTGAAGGGTATGAGTGCAAACTTCCGCGCTGACCAAGCGACGGACACCATGCGTTTTGGCAATAAGGAGCCGGCACCTGAAGCGGAAGAGGCAGAGAAGAAGCCAGATTTGAAGGAGAAGCTCAAGAAGGACGAAGACGAGCCAGCCGTGATTGCCTCGTAAGCTTTCCACTATAAAACGATAACATCATGTACGACTTTTGAAGGCTTTTCTTTGACTTGGCGCTGTCTCTCCATCCGACTCGCTGACTGTGGCGAATCCATCAAGTGACTCTGTGCTGCCTTCTTCCGTGTCCTCTCGAATAGTTGGCGTCTGCAAATGTGAAGAAGACAAGATGCTGCTCAGTGAAGGTGGTGACCGTTTCGACATACTCGGGCCAGGGCCGCCAAAGTAGCTGCCATGACTATAGCCACCAGCCTCAAAGCGTGGTGTTGTTGCTGGCGTCGATGCAGCGGAATCATAGCTCGTATAGCCAGACGTCCGCGTACTGCTTGTCCGTCGCAACAACTCTTCCTCTCTCAATCTCCGCCGAGTCACTTTGTCCATGACAGATTCGGTCGTTGATGATGCTCGAATCGATGGTTTATGTCTTGGTCTGACGGCATCTGGAAAGATTTTGCGTACGATACGTGATGAGCCTGCGAGACCCAAACCTACCATCAAGCCCAAGACGGCTGCTGAGCCGAGGAAGAGCCAGGCAAGGTACAAGACTCCGCTGAATTTCTGAAGCATAGCGAAAGGGACACCGATAAAGATTCGCCAAGTGAGCTGGACGAGAACAGTTCCGGGTCTGAAGAGCACATGCAGGATGCCCAGTATCTTGAGTAATGGCTTGCCAACGAATATGCGGAACAAAAAGGCAATGAGCCCGATTGTTCGCCAGAGCGTTGCACTGATTCTTGCGAGTGATTTTTGTGAGATTGCTGGCGCAGGCTCGATATCTGGTTGAGGAGCAGTTGGAGCAGATGGATGTCGTACAGCAGATTGAATAGCCTCTTTTGCTGCTGACCCGGCTTTTGTCGCTGCTGAACCAATACCTGCAGCGGCTACACCACCTGCTAGGCCAGCAACATGTTGAAGCCCCTGCGCGACTGCTTTTCCGGCATACGTGTCATGTTTGTGGTTATGCAATGCTGCATTCTCTGCAGGTGTTTGACGGAAAGGTGCTTGATGAGCAAGCGTACTGCTCCAGAATGCGGCAAACACTACTCCTGCGGCCCTCATCTTCCTGGGCCTGCCTGGCACCACTAGCTGTTGACTTTCGTTTGTGCGAGGTCTTGTGTCTTGATGTTTTGGTTTTTGGCTGAATGACGTCGGCGGGGATGAGCTGCCACGGAAGCAGACAAAATCAAGGGGAAAATACTAAATAGCAGTGAGAAGGCAGTCGATAGCTATGTGCACGCTGTTCTATGCTCGAAAGACAAGGTTCTCCACCAAAGAAGCATACTTGACGCCCTTGTATGGTTTCCAGTCCCCAACACGCGCCATCTTGAGACTCTCCACTTTAATCCCCGTCAATGGCGTGCCTGTCATGGAACACGAGACAAGTGCATGAGCAGCCTGACTGATTGCTTCTTTCCCTTCTTCCACAGCAACATTACTGACAGCTAGAGTGATTCGAGGGGAGGTCTTTTTCAGCGGACCGAGTGTCCAGATGGCAGTCATGGTAGCATCCTCTTCTTGCCGTACAAGCGATGTGTCTCCCTGTGATGCAGCAAGCCTGACCTGCTTGCATGATGCTAAGGGCAGTGATATCCGCACAACCATATCTGCAGGCAGTTGAGCAGCTGTCGTTCGAACAGTGACAACGACATCAAACCCATCCAGCACTGAACGCGATTTCGTGAATTGCAATGAGAATGGAATCGGCGAAGAACCTGTTTCAGGCAACGTACTCGACCATGTCGCCAATTGAAACGTACCATCCGGTGGAATGAATGAGAAACTACCTGGTTGCTCAAGAAAGCGATCGACTCTGACGCAACGATGAAAGGTAGGCAGCTGCATGGCATTTGCAGGCTTCATTTGCAGCATGACATCAGGTATGCCAGACAATTTAGTCTCACAATGTACTGCGCAATGTACGTCGCTGGTGATCGTCTTGCCCTGTGCATCAATGATACCAGTGACGTGCTCAACAACATCAACGAAAATCTCATTACTCGTATACTTGGCCTTGCCGCGTCGCCAAGGCGCTTGTGGTGTACCCATCGCTTTACTGGATGCATTTTGCTCTCCGCGAGATTGCAAGCCCGTCGCGCTCATGAGGCGCGTGAGCAGACTCGGTGGCAGCACCACTTCATGCAATGCATTCGGTTCGGTCGTTAGGACCTGTCCGTGATCGACCATTTCGCACAGCAACGCAAGAACCGTATCTAGATTCGCTGTTACAAGATCAGGCGTGAGTAGCTGCGGAGTGGTGGATGAACCGCTTGAGAGCGTGCCGCCAAGTAAATAGTCTTGCAAGACGAGCAGTATCCGTTGTAAAATCCCCAAAACACCCGCTGCTTCGACTTCGCGACTCGTTGTACATAGCAAGCATAGTGAACCATGACTGAGATGGTGTATTTGGAGTGTACCGCCCGGTGCGTCGATGATGCTTGGACGTGGATGACGTCGTTGTGTGCGGTCTTTGGCAAAGTACTCTGCTGCTTGGCGCGTGGGTCGGTTGCGAAAGGGATGCTCCATGAGGATGTCGCCTGTGTCATTGAGGAGGTAGAAGCACTCCATTGAGAGCTGAAGTCCAATGCTTTACTGGCGTGGACAAAGGACAAGATGATGGTCGATGTGATGTCGTCGGAGGTTGCCAGGACGCGACAAGACTGAAGCTGCGACGCGCACGGAGGGAGTCTTCAGCTGTGTTTGATGGAGACGCAGCCAGCTGAGACGCAGGATGAAGACTGCCTGTCTTGCCGGTATGTCCCCTACCCAGCTCTGAGTCCATCAGGCCATGGAGGACAGGGCAGAGACGACGGCTGACTCTGTAGCATCACAGGCGCCTTGACCTTCATCGGTGCAGGCGGCTATGTCCTCTATGAAAGCCGCAAGCAGCTAGCAGGTGAGCGCAAGGTGTATCTTGCCATGAAGCAGGCGGGCAGGCAAGCACAGATGACGCGACAAGTAGCTGCCTATCCGATACGCGCTGGCGGTGCGACGGTGCTCGCTCTGGCTATCATGGGACTGGGCGTGTATCGCGGGGTCATGTAGAGACGCTTGTACCTCTCATGAGGCTACAATTTCGATGGACTCATGGCGAGACTGCTTAGCTCATGGCTGCTGCTATCGACTTGCTTCGCACAAGACCGAGACCACACATCCAGCTGCTTTCTAGATGGCCCGCACGTTTGACTTTGAAGAGCTCAAGAAGCTGGCATTCGAGGCAAGAGACCTCTCGTACTCGCCGTACTCCAAGGTTCATCCAGCTCCTCTTATCAGGGACTCTTTCAGCTGACACACTGCCAAAGTTCCGTGTTGGCGCATGTCTCGTGGATGATCAGGGTACTTTCTTTCAAGGCGCCAACGTACGTTCACTTGCTGCATGACTCCTGTCTTGCTAGTCACTGACATGGATGCATCTAGGTAGAGAACGCAGCGTACGCAGGACTCTGTGCAGAACGAACGGCCCTCGTCAAGGCCATCACCTCTGCACCTGGCTATGCGCGCAAGTTCAAGGCGATTGCCATCACGGCCGATATCTCTGATCCCATTGCACCCTGCGGCAGTAAGGCATTTTCTATGAGCAACAGGACTAATGCATCTAGGTTGTCGCCAGTTTCTGCGTGAGTTCAGTACGGATCTCGTCTTTTACATGTTCAGGGCGGATGGCAGCTACGTGGAGAAGACGCTGGGGGATCTGCTGCCGATGAGCTTTGGGCCAGAGTCGCTTGAGTCGTAGCTGATATATCCAGTAGCAGATAGACAGACACTCCAGTAGCAAGTAGACAGACCTGATCCAGTAGCCATTGACAGACACTTTCTGCAACTGGTCCCGCTCAAAACAAAATCAGCGACAACCACACAAGAGACACAGCAACAGCGCGAGGGAGCAGGCAGGGATACAGACCAGCTCAGCATCCTCCATCTCTCTCATCAACCCTTTCCAGCCTCTCGCCAGCCAGCTCTTGCAATTAGCAAATCATGGCCAGCCCGACAGGTGCAATTGCCACTGGCCAGCCATCAACAGCACCAGACACACCCTCCCGCACACGGCGGAAACGCGGCCTCTTTGATTCTCTCCTATGTTGTTTATCTCCCAGCACAGATGAGACTTCCCATGCTGCCTCCAGTGCAACACCTGCGCGAAAGGGTCAAGCAAGCGCGACTGATTTAGCCCCTAAAACATCCATTGAGCGTGAAGCGCCAGTACAGGGACGTGCAGGTGTACAAGAGACTGCGGTGGATGTTGAAAAGGCGCATTCCCTGATAACAGACTCACCATCAACCCTGCAAAAGGAGCCAGAGCTCGTTGCACCGCATGTGCCAGCAGCACCAGCAACAACAACAGCAGCAGCAGCATTATCGGTATCAGCGCTAGCGCAACAGGATCAGGCTAGAGATGCGCGTGGTCCTGAGCAGAGCCCGCTCTTGTCGCAGAGTACAGTCCCGCTCGCCATGCCAGGTCTCGTGTCGCCTTTTAAGAAGCACACCCCAACAGCCTCGGTGGCCGCTTCTGAACAAACAAGCAGTGATCAACTGACGGAGGAGAAGCAGGCACTTGAAAGAGATGAACCTCTGTTGCCTTCTAGCAATGCAATTGTGGCAACAGTGCCCGTGACAACCGATGGAGGTGCAGTCCTCGTTGCAGATACGCAAGATTCAACTGCAAAGTCAATGAGTGAAGATGGCGAAAGTTGGCTGCTACCACCCTTGACAGAGCCATTCAAGCGGAAAAAGTGTCTTGTCCTCGACTTGGATGAAACACTCGTCCACTCTTCCTTCAAGATCATCTATCACGCCGATTTTGTCATTCCAGTGGAAATCGACTCGCTCTATCACAGCGTGCACGTCATCAAGCGGCCAGGAGTCGATGAGTTTATGCGTCGTATGGGCGAGCTCTATGAAATCGTTGTCTTTACTGCGTCTCTTGCTAAATACGCCGACCCAGTTCTCGACAAGCTCGATATTCACGGTGTCGTTACGCACAGACTCTTTAGAGAATCCTGTCTCAATCATATGGGCAACTACGTCAAGGACCTCTCTCAACTCGGCCGAGACTTGAAGGATGTCATCATCATTGACAACTCACCTGCTTCCTACATCTTCCATCCAGCCCATGCAGTCCCCATTTCTTCATGGTTCAACGATGTGCATGATACAGAGTTGTTGGATCTCATTCCCTTTCTGCATGATTTGGCAGATGTCGAGGATGTCAGCGCCGTCTTGCAACTCAGCATTTAGCAACCCTTTCGTGCATCCTTGTCGCTCGATCATTTCCCAACCTTTTCTTTCGCATCGGGCAGCGCAAATTGTTTCATTCTCGCAAACAGGTCCATGTCGTGTCCTACGCCAACATCTTAATACTCCCAACCAGGACCCCCCATCTCAACCTCATGATCAAAGACACTCTTTCCCATTGGCAGACATCGGACGTTAGATCTGCAACACTTTACAAGACCCCTTCCGTACGTAATAACCAAGTACTGTAATGAATTGTGACTGAGGATGATACGTGAGGGGTCAGCGCGAACAATTCGTAAAAGGCCTGTTTATTATAGAAGAGTCTGTCCCGCATTCTCTTCCAGGATTACTTGTAGTGCCAGAAGCTGCGCTGGAGCTTGCGATACATTCGCTTCAAAGGAGATTTGAAGCTTCAGTGGTCTGGAGCTCGAAATTATCTGGTCAGTAATGGGCGAGATAAGAGTAGAGCAGAGATAAGAGTAGAGCAGAAGGAAAGAGCAAAAAAATAGAAGAGCTGACGACCGATGCTTCCACAAGTGATGTGAAGGTCTACAACAATAACAAGCATAGTAGTGGTGGAAGTTGACCACAATATCGAATAGTTTGAAATTGACTTTTAGGTCAGACACCTGCGTTCGATACCTAGTTGCACCTACTGCAGTCTGGAATTCCACCGATCCTGACACAACAATTTGGCAGGGCATGAACGATCTCCAACTGAAGAGCAATCAAAGCCATGTAAAGGCAAAAGGTTCGAAGACATTCATAGATGTTCGTCTTCATATGTATGTTTCTGCTCTTGACTCTTGTTAGTCTAAGGCTGCCTTGCAAAGGGGTAGAAGTTGGAAGGATCTTACGGATAAACGAGTTCTGGACTTGACTTTCGTAGGTTTAGGTGTATGGTTGCGATTGAAATGCCCTGCAGACACAGATTAGGGCAGTTCAGAGTTTCAAATTTGTTCGACGCGGTGAACAAAAAACAAATGCGAATAGAGTTGATCGCTGTGAAAAGGCCGAATTTAATTTGTCTACTCAGTCTACCTCCCACAGGTAGACTGAGTAGACAAATCAAATTCGCGACTCGACATTCGCGACAACACACCACCTCTTCGACACGCGTTCCCGCAACATCTGCCCAGACTTGCAATGCCAGCCCAAGCTACGAGCTCCAATGAGGTTTCAATGACTCCACGTGCTTCGGAGCGTATCACAAGAGGAGAGACACCCTCGCGATACCGATATGGAGCTCCGACTTCGCCAACAAGCTCACTAGTCTGGGCCCGCGCGACGCTCATTGACCTGGCGCTCAGCATCTCTTCATCTGCTGTAGGCCATGTCACTTTTGTCTTGCAAAAGATTTCTGAGTGCCGCAACTGCGCGCCTGGCACAGCCAAAGATACGCCCTTCTGAGCAACCCTTGACACTTGCCACATGAATAAAAGAGCTTCCGTTGCCGAAGTTTCTCAGCCGCCATAAGGCAGGCAGAGATTGATAAACTGCTGTTGCTTGTGGCGGTCCGCGTGCATTTGGAATTACTGAGTGGTCTTCACTCGATGCCACGAAGCTACGGTAGTGCTTGCTGCAGCGGAAACGTCGTCGCAAGCGATCGTCGTCGTATCTTGGTGGTACACTCAATAGTCGTGCGAAGGTTTGGGGACAGATGTCCTTGCCTGTAGATACGTAGTCATATCAGCGAATACAAGGATTTTCAGCAGACGGATGTGCGTCTTGTACTCATTATCTACGGCGGCGAGTTCTTCTCATGCAAGATAGGTCGCCAGGGCATTGTCCTTGTCAGACATGTTGCCCAACGCATGTAAGTACGTTCAGGTCTCCAGCAGAGCTGCTGCTGCTGCTGATCACTCCAGCCAGGAGATGAGCTTGGAGAAGGAGCTGGATCCTCTCACGCAAAGACTGTGCCGGCATCGATGTGTTCAGTGGTCGTTGCGCGCGCCTGGGTGGATTTTGGGTGATGGCGCGCGTTTGAGACGTTCAGAGTTTCGGCACCCGACACTCGCGAAATTTAATTTGTTCACCGTGAAATTCGAAACCCTGAACTGCCCTATTGAAGGAGCTCGGAAATCCCACTCTTATAACAATCGCACTGGCCATAGACTACACAAGCAGTTTGTGCCCGTGAGAAAGCTTCATTACAAAAGTTCCCTGATTTGGCCGATCATATGCTTCGTCGTGTGTCTTGTTACCTCAAAGCTTTGGTCCTCGGGCGTAAGTCATTCGCGTGTTTGCCAGATACTGCAGCCACAAGAGGAGCAACAAACAAGCAGTTTCATTTCCAATTGCAAATTTCGGCTAGTGTCGAAGCCTGAGGCTGAGGAGCTCATGTAGCCTACAAGCCCATGTGGCAGTAGCATTTGCAACAATCTGTATGTTGCGCCGTTCTTGCTATTGACCTTGGATAGCTATAACTTGAGAGACACGGTGGGGCAGCGGCAAGTACATGGAAAGGCTAGAAAAATGTTCACTGCAAGAGACCGCGAGAGTCTACAACTTGTCGAAGACTGTTCTTGAAGTAGCATACAGTATACATCTTCGCAGGCCTGATGCGTCACTCAACTGGCTCAGGAGCAAATAAAACTTGATCAGGAGCTTTGTGCTCGCCTGAAAACTATAACTGTCACATGGGTCGCCCGACGCATATGGTTGCGAGCTCGATCGCGGGCTGTCAACAAACATTAAAGTACGAGATTCTCTACTGGGCATCATCGCAGCGGTCTTATACATCTTTAATGCGCTCGACAGAATTCACATGAACGTAACTGAGAACGTGGACTTACCTTGGCTTGTTCAAGAGTCCAGCTGAGTCTGCAGTTCAGTGATGATAACCGCAGCTGTGAGCCTGCGAGCATAAAAGGACAAACCTCCGGTCTTGTTTGTTGCGCTACATGTGCGACTTTGTTGCGAAACATCTGTTCACAGTGCACTCGCAAGCAGCAAATAAAGTTGAAGGTCGCAGGGGTAATACTATTTGGCTGAACAACACTGCGAGTGACAGCAAAAAAGCATAAGAAGGGGGCATGCCCGCTCAGAAGCCTTTCGAGCCCAGATCCCGCAACAACCGATATTCGAGCACCTCTGGCATTCATGAAGCAGTGGACCCTTCTGTTTTTGAGTATGCCTCTCGTGCACCTGGTCTCAACTGAAGCTACTGTGAGAAACAATGCTCCGGGACAAAAGGTCACATTCGAACTAAAGCGATATTATTCGAAGGCATATTATGCGCAATGGAATCCCAATAGTTATTGGGATATGAGGTCCTGCTATCAGGAAATTTGCACCAAAGCAGCTGGATCCCCAAATGACGGGATACAAGATATTTTGAACGGGTTTCGTTCGTTGTGCTCCTACGGCCACCTTCCACCGACACAGATCGGGCATGTCGACACATATTGGCCCACAAAAGGCCTGAAGGTCCAAGAGGTAAAGACGTATTGCTTGTGTACGACGCAATTGGTCTTTGATAAATTGACGGTGGACTGGGCGAAGGGGGCAAGGTGCAACCCGGAGGAGATAAGCAAAAGACTGAAGGAACATCTGATGAATCTGGATCATGGGTTCCGTGACGGATCACAAATTCTCTCCATCACATGGTTAGCTTCAGAATGACATCCTCCATATGTGATGAAAAGTGATAAATTGAAGAGAGACTTTGCCTTCTATAGTTGCAATATCACCTGTGCAAATATTTCTCTGGTTCGAGGGTCAGCCATTGATACCGTACCCAATGGTCGGTGAGCTTCGGCAGTTCAGCTACAACTCCAGCAGGGTATTTGATGAAGACTTTCACTCTCTTGAAGAAGAGTGCGGCAGCGATATCTGGCCGGCGAATAGACTTCTTGCGTCGGCGCTCAGTGGCTTCAGCATCACTAATACCCTCTTCGAAGAATCAGAGTCTGGCGTCTTGATAAGTTGATAGAGATCATAGTCAATTCGCTCACCATGGCCGATTCTATGGTGAGCGAATTGACTATGATCTCTATCAACTTATCAAGACGCCAGACACCTCCAACCTATGTAATCATGGGACGTAGATGGCCGCGCTGCTTGTACCAGTATGCCGGCGCTCCCTTGACATTCTGTCCAGGCGACGCAGACCACTCATCAGCACTTTCTGTTCTGCGGGAGTCTTTGCGCCGAGACTCTGACGGAATCCTCCAGCTGTCATTCGGGCGAGATTTTTGTGTAGCTTGGAGCGCCGGTGGTGCCTCATATCTGTGATTTGAGGATTCAATGTGTGGCCTGCACTGGAGCTGACGCGATTCTTGTCCAGCATATTTTGCAAAAAAAATGGAAAGCAGGGATGCCTGGCAAAACGGCCATCACCCATCTGCATAGCCCTCTTCGCAAAGAATGAGAGTGTGAATGGCCGAGGTCTGGAATCATGGACAAAGAATTCAAATGTGCCAAGAGGAAAAAGCTGTGGAAAGCACATTGAAAGGAGACCAGGTGTCTGAGCATCCAGCACGGTGCCTGGACCGCGGGCTGGCATATTGATCATATCGTTTCCCAACTGTAGCCTCGTTAGTATGGCAGCTTGGCGCTCAGTCTCCGACATAGTATCGCGACCATCGACCCAGAGCCTTGTTGGCAGCTCAAAGGTGTCATGTGCCTCAGTCTCTGGCGCCTCATAGTCAGGAGTACCAGGCGTTGTGAGAGCAGATGCAATAGATGCGATACTGGCTGGCCACGATGCAGGAATATCATCTGGATTCTGCTGAAGACGTGTGCCAAAGCCTCCATCCACACAATTACGATCAATCTCAATATCAGCATAGAATGGGCTGGGGTCCGTGAGGTAGCGAAGCCAATCAAGCATGACGCCCTTTCTGACAGTCAAGTTCGCTACCTCAAGGAACACAACCCATACTATGCCGATTTAGAGTTCCTCTTGCATCGTCGCGTCTGAGATGTTCTGCGTCTTCAGGCCGACGCGGCAAGACACGAGCAATATGGTCATAAGATTGCTGCAGAATGACACTGCGACCCTTGAATGCACGCTGTCCGCCATTTGCCAAGCTAAAGATGCGGATGATGGGAGCTGCGCGTGCAATGAGCATCTCCTCAAGACGTGTCAGATGCCCTGGCCTCGGTGGAAGCAAGTCTGCTTCAGTACCATTTGTGAAGTAGGCCTCCGGGGAGCATAGATTTTCTCTGTTGAATATGTAGACAGCGTCTGGATGATTGGGATCTTTGGCTCTAGCGCACGACGTCTCTTGACAGTAAGACATTCATTGCTGGTCGTATGTCTGAAGTGAGTGGTGCAATTACAGTGTATGCAAGGTGCTGGCATGCGCAAGCTTTTCTCCTTTATGGTGGACCATGCATGACTGTGTGACGTCGTCCAATGTAGTCCATCTAGCTGCCGGGTCGGTTTGTGCTAGCTCGGGAGTCACAGCAGGTGCATGTCACGCCGTAAGTCTCTGACGCGCCTTGCCACAATTTCCCTTGTTCAGATGACCTCGGCCACACAACTGCCTCGCCATGTACCGGTATCTAAACTCGACAGTCAGGCTCAGCTGTGCCGTTAAGCAATCACAGGCAGGCAGGCAACGAATGATTAGCTCGCTCGATATGCTCAAGATCCGAGCTAGCAAGCCCGTGTACTGATACGATTCATGCGTCCGAAATGCATGCTTGCAATACTCGTGGTATCAGGCAAGCGGAAGGGTAGCGTTTGCTTCGACAATTTCGTTTAGTACAGTGTAGACAACATGCTCAATTTGGAACAGACACATGAACGGTGAGTAAGTGATAGAGATGCGCTTTTAAAGTACGGTTATAAATAGATGTGAGAACGGGCGCTGCGTTATGATCCTGCCACCAAGTGACAGAAGTGATTTGCATCATTGGATGTTGCCCTGCTGCTGAAAGGTTTGAATGAGCACAGCAAGAGGCTCAACGTCCCTGCCATCCAGCAACTCAAATTCTTTGCCAAAACAGATAAAGTGCTGGAAGAATGAGTTCCAATGCGCTTCAAGTCCAAGATGCAGGATAATATCGAAATGTGCATGATAGATGTGTGCAAAGATGCGAAAGAGTTGTTTTGCAATGGCTTTGCAGGTTGGTAGGAATTGCGAGGAGAAGGGCTGTCCGGCCTTTGTTGGAAACAAGCCTTCTTCATTGACGCGATTGTTGATCCATGCCAGGACATAGTCAATGTATTGCGAGGCCGGTAGCCGCATCTGTTTTCTATTTTGATCGAGCCAGGTGTAGTCGAGGCCTGGTCCTGCAGACATGCTCGGACAACTGTTTGGCGTGCACCCTTCACTCACGACGCCGTAAAAGTGGTTCAAATGCGTAAAGAACTCAAACAAGTTGAGGGCGAGCCATTCGCCTTGCTCGATATACTTTGGTAGCACGACAATCGTTGCAAAGGAGCCCTTGACGAGCGCGCTTTGAACAAATGGACGCGAGAGGTAGAGTGGGCGTTGTGCTTGTTGCTGTGTATGTTGTTGTGGGAAGCCCATACCAGACTGGGTATGCGCATTGCCATTTCCCTGCGACTGCGGTAGCTGAGGGATAGGCGGACGTGCACTTTCCTTCTTCTGACGCGAACTGCGGCCAATACGGCCCCTATTGTTGGCGTGTCAGCTGCCTGCTCTAGCAGATGAATCAAGAACTTACATGGATGAGAAGAAGGACATGGCTGGAAGTGGTGGCTGGGCCTTGCTTGTGCTTGCCCTCTTGCTCCCTTTGACCGGCTTCTTCCTCTCCCTCTCTTTATCCCCTAACTGGTGGTGTCTTGTTCTGGTGTCTTGTTGTTCTTGCACAGGAGCGACAACCACGACCACGACCACCAGAGAGCCTCAGAGCCATGTCGGACTCAGACTCGGACTTCGACAATGAGCTGCTGGAGCTCGCAGGCCATCCATCAGCCAATAGACGCAAAGTCAGGGAAGATTTGTATACTACTCAATCAACCAGAGACCGCAAGACTAACGAGCCAGCTCCGATTCAGACGAAGATGCAACAGAGACAGAAGATGCCTTGCCGTATCCACTTGAAGGCAAGTACAAAGACGAAGAAGATCGTGCCCATATTCTTAGTCTATCAGAAGTCACACGAGAGACAATCTTGTATGAACGTGAGGAGGAACGCAATAGTCTACGAGAGCGACAACAGCTACAAGCTCGACTGAAGCAACAACAGCAACAGCAGCAAAAGCAAGATAAGCAACAGACAGCACGTCGCTCTGCACGTGAGGCGACTACACCGAAATCGTCAGCGTTGTCGGAATTGAAGCGGAAACGAGAGGCAAAGACGAAACGTGCGGCGGAGGATGATGCGACACCTAGAAAACGCAGGGCGCCGTCATATAGCTCGGATGAGGATTCAGAGGAGGAAGGTGCGTTATCTGATGAGAGTGAGCATGAGGTGCGTGGTGGACGCGGGAGAGCCGTTCACGGTGGCAGACGCGGACAAGCTAGTAAGCCCTCAGGTCCACCTCTCACTGCTGAACAGCGTGCAGCGCAACAAGCACAGCGGGAGCAAGAAGACAAGGAAGGCAGTCTACCGCTCACCTTCAAGGATGCTTGCCAAATTCGCATGACGCGCAAGCAACTCGTCAAGTTCCTTTATTACCCACAGTTTGCGGATACAGTGCGGGACTGTTTCTTGAGAATTGCAGTGGGTCAGGATCGAGAGGGCAAGTCCTTGTATCGGTTGTGTACCATCAAGTCTGTTGCTGAAGCCTCGAGGCCGTACAGATTGCCGGATGGACAACTCTGTAACCGCACACTTGAGTGTGCGCATGCGAATGCGGTTCGGACGTTCGAGATGACTTATGTCTCTGATACGGCCTTTAGTGAGCAAGAGTTTGATCACTGGAAGCAGTCGATGGAAAAGGACAAGTCATCGCTTGTGAAAAAGCGTAAAGTCAAGACCAAGTTGCGATCACTTGAAGCGATGAATGCGTTCCAGCTCACCGACAAGGAGATTAGTGAGATGATTGCAGAACGCAGCAAGCTCTCCGCTATCCCCAAGAATGTGGCCCTTGAAAAGATGCGATTGCAGTCGCTCTTGTCTGAAGCGAGAGATGTTGAGGATTACGCACGAGCGGATGAGATTGCCTCACAGCTCAACAAGATTGAGGAACTCACGCGTGATCGTCGTGGTAATGCAGATTTGGATAAGATGTCCAAGCTCAATCTGCGAAATCGACAAAAGACCATGGCATCTGTGTCCAAGGCCGAGTTGGGGAATGCCGATAAGCGACGTGCTGCAGAGAGTAGTGGTTTGGCGACGGGAGATCCCTTCTCTAGGCTCAAGACAAGGCCCAAGACATTCTTTGAGAGTACGCCGGGGACACCTGCACCTGGCTCGCCGGGGCCCGTCGCTGCGACCTTGCCTGCTACTGCCGCAAGTGGAGGAGGTGTGACGATTGTGCCGAATGCAGGGAGTAGTCCAAGCAAGAAGGAGGGAGCAGGTCGGCCCAAGGGCGTTGAAGGGTTGATTGGGGAGATTGAGATTGACTTGGACTTGTAGGTGAGTAGCTCATATCCTTGTACCTTAGGCCTCATCAGAGTCATCACCTGCTTGACGACTTCATCACCATGGACGACAAGATCCAGCTGATTGAAGACTGGCTCCGGCCACTCTACGAAGCACACTGTACTGCTCACAAGGATACACCCAAACCACCGCCATTCTTCCTAGGCCTCACAGGTCTCCAAGGGTCAGGCAAGTCATACCTCGTTGAACTACTCGAACGTCACTTCTCGGGTCCCTCCACAAAACTCAAACGACTCCATGCGACGACAGCGGGTAGTCTCCACGTCGTTGCGTATTCCCTCGATGACCTCTACTTACCCCTCTCTGAACGCCAAAAGCTAGCAGAATCCTCAGGGAATGCACTATGGCGCGTTCGTGGACAATTCGGGACGCATGATACAACGTGGGCACAAGGGATTGTGGGGTCACTACGAGCGCAAGCTGCACAGACAAAGATTCCGCGATTTGACAAAGCAGTTGCTGATGGACAAGGCGATCGTGTCTCGCAGGCTGCATGGCAGGTCGTTGATACAACTACACGCGAACTTGTGGATCTTGTGTTGTTTGAAGGATGGAGTGTAGGGATGCGTCCGCTGGGTGAAGCTGGACTTGCTGCTCGTCTTGAGACGCTCAGGACAGTCGACGATGCGCATGCACAAGCGAAGTATCATGCCCTTCAGGATCTGGTGCAGGTGGATACAGCGTTATCCACGTACTTATCCTGGATGGGCCCGCTCCAGCCTTTACAAGCGTTATTGGTGCTTGAGGCAGAACAAGTTGGGTATGTCTATACATGGCGCTTACAGCAGGAACATGCACTGCGGCTGCAAAGAGATGGGCAGGGCATGTCGGATGCCGAGGTGGTGGCATTCATTGACACGTATTACCCTGCATACGAGCTTTACCTGCCGGCATTACTCAAGGATGGCTTCTATCATGGGCTAGCGGAAGCAGAGGAAGGGCCACGGCAGCTCATCTTGACGCAGGATCTTGGGCGCGTGTTGGTCAAGACGAGGACATTGCCATGAGCAGATTCACCAGCAAGTCCATTGCACAAAAGAACAGGAAAGACACTCCACGAAGGGTATGTTTGCAATCGTACAAAACAAAACAAAACGAGCGACTCTCAATGCGATCCAAGAGGGTTGAAGGCATCAGGAACAGACAAAAAATCGCGTAACCCAAAACCATAGCTCCATCGTCATCCATCCTACTGCTCTTCAATGGGTCGGTACCGCTGCATGAGCAACCTCTTGTACTCTGCTGGATCACGCGTCCATAAATCTGCCGCTTGTGCATTCAAGGGTGAGGCATTGTTGGGTTCGCCGAGCAGGGACTGAAGGGAGAGAAGGATGGTTTGGACGTTGTAGACGGCAGACCATTTTTCCTTGAGGATATCGAGGCAGATATTGCCAGACATGTCGACATCTTTGAGTTAGCAGCATTCTCTGGCTTTTGAAATGATAGAACAGACTTGGATGCCACATGGGAGAGGTGAAGAGGATGGTAGGCGCGCTGAAGGGGTAGTTTGCGGGAAAGTCAATCTTGAGCTTAAACGTCAATCCGGCATAATGCGTGTCTGCTGGTCCACAAATTGTACCGAGCCAGTGGAATAGGTTGCTGTCACTCTCGGGGAAGGCAGAGATGCCGGGTGTCGAGGACATCATGAGGGTCATGAGCTCGGATTGCAGGCGTTTCGTGACGGAGTGGGAGTCTGTGCTGGGTGCGGCATGTGCGACCTGGCGTGTTGGCTTTACAAAGAAAGAAGAGAGGGATGGTACCTTGTGAGATGTCTGTCCTGGTGCCATGTTCTGTGAGTGCATGCTCATGTCTGCGTGCTGCCGTGAGTGGTCGTGGTGGTGTCGCTGCTTTGTGGTCGCGTCTTTTTTGTTTTTTGTTGTTGAGCAGAAGGAGCAACGAGATCAAATGCAGGAAATAGTCAGCTATTCACGATATTCACTGATATTCATTGGGCATTCACTGGATATTCATGAATTCATCAACTCATCTGCGCTATCTCATCAAGACTCACATCGGCGTAGACGGAGCAGCAACAGCCTCCTGCTTCACCGGCAGCACAGGCATATCATTCGTAGACTGCGCCGTCTTGAGCACCGGTCTCCTTTGCCCAGCAGCAGCAACTGGACTCCTCACCTTGACTTCTGACGCTGCTGAATCAGGTCGACTGGGCACTTTACTCGCCGCAGCAGCAGCAGCAGCTCCCACACGCTTGAAAACAAGTGTCGATTTTGCCCATTTCGCCATATCCACACGCTTCTTCTTTGCTTCACTCACAAACTCACAATTCAGCAGTTCCTTCAGACTTGCACGTTCAGCGGGGTCCTTCTTCAAACAACGACTCACCACCACGCTCAAACTTGGAAAGACGTGCGAGTCAAGTGTCGGTGCTGGTTCGCGTACAATGAGCTGTAGCAGGTCCAACACACCCATTGCTTGCGAACCAAGCGGGAATTTACCCGTTGCTAGTTCAACGAGCATCAAGCCAAGTGACCAGACATCACCCTTCACAGTATAGGCACCGCCTTGGATCCGTTCAGGCGACATGTATGTCGACGTTCCGACAAATGTATTGGCGATGGAATTGATGAGTTCACCACTCACACCGAAATCGCACAATTTGATCTTGCCACTTGAATTGACGAGAACATTGCTGGGTTTGACGTCGCGGTGAATGATGCGATGGATGTCGTAGAGGTAGATGAGTCCCTCGACCACGCTGTAGGTGATTTTACCGAGTACCTCGAGCGGCAGGGGACCCTTCTTTTGCAAGACTGTATCGAGTGATCCACAATCCATGTACTCCATACACACATGGATATCATTATCGTTGATGTACGCACCATAGAAGCCAATAATGCACGGAGAATTGCAATCATGCATGATTTGAAGTTCCCGTAGGATACTCCGCCGTACCTGTGGTTTCGCTTCAATTTTGATGACTTTCTTGGCCATGATGGTACGTGTGGGGATATGCATCACTTTGCTCACTGTCCCACCATTCCCAAAGCCAAGCTCACTGATCATCTTAAGGTCCTCTTGCTTGATATCAACCTTGAATTCAATGCCAAGTTCCAATGCACCCAAGCCATCTGCAAGTGTACCCTGTGAAGACGTCGTTGCAGCCTGTTGTTGCGCATGAGCAACAGAAGCAGGCAGCGCAGTCAGGCCACCGAGGCTTGCTGCGGATGGGTCTGCAGGTTTGGCAGAGGGGAGTTGCAGACCTTTGAGGTTTTTGCGCTTCATGGTTGCTGGTTGGGCGAGCATGATGGCCGTTCTCTAGGCTGCATGCGCTGTGTCTCTCTCCCTAGCTGTCTTTCTAGTAGCTGTAGTAGCTGGTCCAATAGCCACAGTAGATACAGTAGATAGTAGATACAGTAGATAGTAGATACTAAATACTCTTCTACGTGTTGTCGCATTCGTCTGGCTGCACGTGCAAGAACCGAAGAGACACAACTCATTGAACTCAACAAGAAAGAGACCGCTCCTGCTCTGTACTCCATCATGTCTGCCTTTGTAGACACAGCAGCAGTCAGAGATGACCGCGATGAGCTAGACAGTCAAGGGTACTTCATTTGAAAACAGTATCACGACCTAAAACTAACACTGCACAGGTCCGACGACGATGTGAAGCCAAAACAGGCACGCAACCCTGCATCAGGCGACGATGAAGACGAAGATGACGACGAGGATGACAGCTCAGAGGAGGAAGACGATGATGACGCAGAAGAAGCGCGACGGGTTCGAGAAGGGTTCATTGTCGATGACGATGAAGATCAAAAAGAACGGAAACGTCGGAAAAAGAGCAAGAATAAGAAGAAGCGGAAGCACAGGGACCTAGCGGATGGTGAAGCGGACGCTGCTGAAACGACGGCCGATAGTAGGGGTGATCGTCGACGACGCGCAGAGGAGGATGAAGAACTCGATGAGGAGGATCTCGACCTCGTTCTTGAAAATACAGGCGAGGCAGGATCAGGCGATCGCTTCAAACGTCTCAAACGCGCCAAGGAAGCAAACGACTTGACCAATATCTTTGACGAAGACGAAGAAGCCGCAGAGGAGAATGCGCCCCTCGAACCACTCCGTACCTCTCTCCTTACGCGTGGCGGCGAATTTGACGACTTCATCGAGGATGACTTGTCTGAAGATGACCTCGATCGTGCAGATCGCGAGCGACAAGAAGCTCGTATGCGCAATAAACCAGCTGCACAAGCGCGACAAGAACTCACCGCTGAGAATGTCGGTATGGATGAAGATGCATTCGAGCAGATCTTCGAGGTATTTGGTGATGGCGAGGATTATGCAGATGCGCTTGAAGATGACGAGGATGCCTTGTTGGAGGATGCAGCCGCTGAAGGGGAAGACCTCAAGGAAATCTTCGAGCCCTCTGATCTCAAGCGACGCATGTTGACCTCGCAGGATGAGATTATCCGTATGACGGATGAGCCGGAACGCATGCAACTACTCCGTGCTGGCTTTAGAGAATCACAACTCTCAGACGACGATTTTGAGTGGTTGTGCGATTGGGTCCATCAAGAACTCTACCCAGTCTTCCTTACAAACAAGCAGGAAAGCTCAACGGAAAGCATCAAGCAGAACGCAGACATGGAACAGCTCCACAAAAAGGCAGTCAAGGATGTTCTCATCTTTTATACACGGGAATTTGTTGAGATTCCATTCATCTGGCATCACAGGCGCGAGTATCTTGTTTGCAAAGACGAGCGTGAAGCAGATATTGCAGATGAGGCGCGGATTGATATTTCACTGTTGACCTTGGATACGCTATGGCAGCTCACACGACTAGAGGTGCGTGCACGCGCTATCCTCGAACGTCGTGATGCGCTTCGCAAGACGTACGCTGCGTTGGAGATTCATGATGAAGTCTTTGAAAAGATGATTCAACCGGAACGCCTCAAGTCCTTGCAGCAAATGTCAGACTTGCACGATTACCTCTTCTTCAAGTACTCTGAGCAAGTCAGGGATCTCCAAGCTGCTAATGCTTCTTCTACATTCAAGCGACCAGCCTCAAAACACGCGGCATACGAACGTGCACGCAAAAGCCCACTCTACGAAGTCGTTCGCGCTTTCGGCATCACAGCTCCTCAATTTGCGGAAAATTTTGAAGCTTCAACGAAAAGACATTTTGCAGAAGACCCAGAGCAATACCCTGATGACCTGGCAGATACATGTGCTGCTGCAGACGGCGATGCACGTGCAACGCTCAATGCCGCACGCGACTTGTTGGTTGAGGAACTCATTCATGACCCCATCATTCGTCATGAATTGCGTCATGTGTACCAACAAGCCGCACTCATCTCTGTTCGTCCAACGGAAAAGGGAATACGTAAGATTGACGAATTGCATCCGTACTATGCCTTCAAGTATGCTGAAGATTTGAGTACAACGGATCTACGCCGTGCACCGCATCTCATGCTGCAAATGTGTAAAGCGCAAGAAGAACGACTTGTTCGATTGGATGTGAAATTGCCGCGTGAGGAGCAGATCTTGGAACAATTGGCATTCTTCATGCACTCTGACAATGTCAGTGCCATTTCTGATGAGTGGAATCGTGAGCGGACAGAAGTCATCAAGCACATGATGCAGCGGATGAAGGGCCCTTTGGAAAAGCTGGTTGTGGATGGACTCAAGTTACAGTGTGAGGACAAGATTGCCAATACCTGTCGTTCGACATTGTTTGGTAAGCTCAATCGACGTCGCCCAGATTGCAAGAATCTTGACAAATTGGAGGAAGTTGCGCGTGTCATGGCCATTTCAAACGGTCTCGGCGAATACAACAAGGACGCAACGGTCACAGTCATTGTTGATGAGGAGAGTCGTGTGCAGAAAGTCGACAAGTACGCCAATTTGAACTCTGACGATGCGAAAGCAGCTCTGCGCGAACAAATTACAGCATTCGGGATCGACTTGATTGGCGTTGCTGGCTTCTCACCAGCGACGTATAAGCTCAAGCTCGAGATTGAAGCAGCTATCTTGGATATGGATGAAAAGGACAAACCCTCCGTCTTGTATGTCAATGATGAAGTCGCCAGGCTCTACCAATGCTCGCCGCGCGCAGTCAAGGAATACCCGCAATATGGTCCCTTGTATCGCTATTGTGTCGCTTTGGCGCATTACGTGCAGTCACCTCTGCACGAATACGTTGCCCTAGGTCGAGACTTGCTTGCGCTCAATTTACATCCACAGCAGTCGCTCTTGCCAGAAGACAAGCTCTGGGCGTCCCTTGAAACGGCTATCGTCGATGTCGTGAATATCGTGGGTGTCGACGTCAACAAGGCACAATTATCGAGCTATGAGGAGAACTTGCTGCCGTATGTGAGCGGTCTTGGTCCGCGCAAGGCGGATTCCCTCATGCGACGACTTGCACAACAAGGTGGACATCTCAAGAACCGCACGCAACTCCTTAAAACGGCGAATCTCCCAAAAAATGTCTTTGTCAATTGTGCGAGTTTTCTCAAGATTCCATTTGATACGGCAGAGTTTGAGGCTGCGCGGACGGAGGAGCAGCAGGAGATGGATATTCTTGATTCCACACGGATACACCCCGAAGACTATGAGCTTGCCAACAAGATGGCGATGGATGCGCAAGATTTGGATGAAGAAGATCTTGTGAATCTCGCAGGCGGCCCTGTCTTGCTCATGCGCGAATCCGACGCAACAGACAAGATTGGCGATCTCATCTTGGAGGATTACGCAGAAGAACTCAAACGTGCCTTCAACCAGCCCAAGTTGCTCACCTTGCGTCTCATTGCTCGCGAAATCGTCAATCCCTATCAAGATATCCGTCGGCCTTACCACACTCTCACGTCAGATGAGCTCTTCATCATGCTGACGGGTGAGCTGGTATCGTCCCTCGAGGCAGGATCCGTCATTTCAGCGACGATCCGCCGCGTCTCTCGTCATGGTCTCTTGTGCAAGACGGAAAGCGGCATCGAAGTGGATGTAGCGCCTGAATGCTTGGGACTTCCACCGGGTGCTGATATGGATCCACAGGCTCACTTGCGTGTTGGTCAAGCTGTTCAAGGTGTGATTCAGCAGCTCGATAAGCATAATTTCCGAGCGACCATGACTTTGGACAGACGCGAGGTGGAGCGAGCTCGAGAAGATGCAAAACTCAAGGCTGTTGAAGATCGCAATGGGCTAGGTTGGGCAGACTTCCAAGAGGAGAGTGATCGTGCGCTGCTTGCTGCTGCCAAGGAAGCGGAAGCACGATCGAATCGTGTCATTAAGCACCCATTGTTTAGGCAATTCAATGCAAGACAAGCGGAAGAGTTTCTTGGACCTTTGCAAAGGGGTGATGCTGTTATTCGACCTTCATCCAAGGGACCAGATCACATTGCCATTACGTGGAAGGTCTCGGATAGTATTTTCCAGCATTTGGATGTGCTTGAGATGGGCAAGGACAAGACGCACTCGATTGGTCGTGTGTTGCGGATTGGCAAAGCAACTTACAGCGATCTCGATGAGTTGATTGTGTCGCACGTCAAGGCAATGGCACGAAAGGTGGATGAGATGTCTGGTCATGAGAAGTTCCAGCGCGGCACACGGCAAGAAACGGAACAGTACTTGACCAAGTACTCGGAAGCCAATCCACGACGATCTTGCTATGCGTATTGCTTCAATCACCAGCACCCGGGATACTTTGATCTTTGCTTCAAGGCGAATCCCAAGGCGCAGATTGGATCATGGCCCGTCAAGGTCGTCCCGAATGCATTCATGATGCGAGACAATGTGTATGCCGACATGACATCGCTGTGCAATGGGTTCAAGCTGCTGTTTGCGGGAGATGCGAGTCGCCAAGGTGGACGTCGTTAACAAGTCTGTTGTCGCCAGCCCCCTGCCTTATTCTATCTACTAGCCATTGTACAAAAGCATAATTCCATCGACTATTCGCCTGTAAGTCTCTCCGTCGCGTCACGAATTTTGAAATTTACGCGACGCGACAGAAAGATGCACAAAAGCCCCGAGCAAGGAGCAACAACACCACACAAGACAAGGCTCACCGCGCAGTAGACCAACAGCAGCCTAGCCGTATTGTATTCCCGCATCTTTGGCTTGCTATACTAGACCTGCGTCTGGCCATGGCGACTGTTCAGCGCACTTACGGGTCTCGCAAGAAGGACATCGAGATGGAGGATGCCGAACTGCCGGACATGCAGATTCGTGCTGATCTGCACGATGAAGACGACGATGAGTTGACGCCGCCGACCTCTCAAGTGTCGCTCATGTTGACGCCCAAGGCCAAAATCGCAGCTATGCTTGCAGAGCTGGACAAATCGCCATCCTCGCAGAGTGCGACGCATGCCGCCGCGGGTGCGGATGTGGAGATGGAGGAAGGCAGTGACGAGGACATCGAGCTCCCTGGCGCGCGTTTGCATTCGTCGACGACGCAGCAGGCAGAGTCGCACCCAGCATCACCAGCAAATGAAGATGAAAGCACAAGGAATGCGCAATTCAAAAGCATTGCTGACATTATGGCCGACAGCAATGATGAGCTAGAAGACGATCTCGATGAAGATGCTGCATATCTCAGAGCACGCCAACGTCTCATGAAGCCAGCCCCTAAAGAGATCAAGTCCGCCGACAACGACGCCGAATCTGACTCTGATGTGGACTTGGCGATTGCTGCCCCAAAGAAGCTGTCCAGTCGTGAGAAGCTTGTTGCTCTTGCACGACAACGTCGTCTTGCAGGAAAAGTGGATGACGCATCGAGTGCAGATGATGTCGCTGAGGAACAAGTCATTGCAACCAGTATCAAGGACAAGGAGCAAACCTCTGGCTCTGGCTCAGAAAGTGAAGAGATCGAAGCGGAAATGCGGCTTTCCTCTGCTCGTCGGCCACGACGTGCTGCTGGCAAAAAGGCACTGGAGGAGATGCACAAGAAGACTGCGAGAATGGAGCGTGGTATGGGTCTAGTGCCTGAAGCAAGAGTCAACAAGAAGCTCACGGTGAGTGACTTTTTCAGCAAGATTGGATATGGCAAGAAGAAGGAGGAACCGATTCAAGGCGTTCCAGAAGTGATTCCATCGCGGGATGATGAGGTTGTCGTTGCTGAAGACTCCACATTTGGTACTCACACTGCTGATAAATCGCCCAGACCGCTTTCAAAGCCCTTACCTGTGTCGATCGCATTTGCTCCTGGTCTCGAGGACAGTGATGAAGAAGACATTGCGCTGCCATCCATTGCGGATATGATGCTTGCTCGACAAAAGTCTCCAACGCCAGAGCCAGAAGCAGCAGAGGTCGTCACCGCCAAGCCCGTCACACCAGAGAAACCATTACCTAACGCTCAAGCGCATGTCGACATTGTGCTCGAGGACAGCAGTGAAGAGGAAGCACCACTGCCAAGCAACCTCAAGTCTCACAAGCTCCTCTTTGCAAAGCGTGATTTCGCCAAGATTGAAAAAGACCGCAAAGCAGCCAAGTTCCATGCGCTTGCACGACCTGATTCCCCAACCAAGGTTGAAGCACGTCTGGAGAAACAACGGAAAGCGGCACTACTCGCTCGTGTTGCGCAGCAGGCAAAAGTCGAAAGAGCGGAACGTGAAGCGGCAATGAAGGCCGCCGGGGTCCATCTGACGAGTGCTGCGGACCGTGCCAAGGAGGCGATTGAGGTGGAAGATCTTGTCGAGCGTGCTAGACGGCAAGCTGACGAATTGCGCAAGCTGGAGAAGAAGGAGGATGCAAAGCGGAAGGCAGAGCAAGATGGCGTGAACGACGAGGAAGAAGAGGATGAAGACTACCATGAAGGCTCGCCTATGCAAAGCGAAGGATCTGATGCCGATCAGAGTGGCAGCGTGAGTTTCCCCTGGCCATCTGAAAGTGCTAACATCCAGGACAATGAAGGCGACGACACAGACTCTGGCTCAGAAACAGCGGATGTACCTGAGAAAGTCCTTGTCGGGCAAGAGCCAACAGATGAGCCTGATCATTCTACATCCATCTTGTCCGAAAGGCTGTTGACTGACGAGGACGATGACATGCCCGCGAAACATCGTCAGCCGCCACGCACAAGAAGGCATCATCGAGTCCTCGACGATGGCGACTCTGACGATGACAAAGAAAATTCTGTGCCCAAGGATGCGCCTGCTAGTCCAAACAACTGGGGACTGACCCAATTCTTTGAAGCGACGCAAGCACAAGATGGTCCTGTTGCAGCCAATGTATCAGCCACCCAATTTGCAAGGTCGCCGGTGCAAGGTAATGCGCCTGGACTTGGACGCAGCTTTGCTGCCTTGCGTGAAGGAATCTCATTTGATGAAGAAACAACTTCACGTCCGCCAGTCCTTGCCGAAGACCGGGCGGATGTTATACCTTCATCATTTGTTGCGCCTCTACCAGCTCTTGGCATGGCGACGCAATTTTCAGTCTTTGATCCTTTGTCGGATGATGAAGATATAATATTGCCAGCTGGTCACAGAGCAGTACCTGATTTTACACAAGCAACGCAGGTCGACAGTGCTTCTATGCAAGAGGCCTCTCCTAGTGATGACGCTGCTCCACGAAAGTTGCTGCGAATGCGCAAGGCTGATGCCGCGGATATGCCTACCCAGGTCTCGCCGCCAAAGAGAGTCAACCCATTCCGACTCATGAAGGCTGCTATGGACGAGGAACAGAATGCTAAAGCACGAAAGGCGTTTGTGGACGACCGTGCGGTTGAGTCGGATGACGAGTATGCCGGCATGGGTGGTGCATCAGATGATGATGCTGAAGAGTCGGCGGCTATGGCTAAGGAGCTTGACTTGATGATTGACCACGATGCTGCAGAACTGGATGGGGAGGGTCGAGCAGAGCTGGCTGCCATGTATGCTGCTAAAGACCTGGAACTTGACGAGCAACTGGTCACCAATCTTATGAATGACATCAATAACGGAGGCTTGCGTAAGAAGCGTGGTGCTGGCCTTCTCGACATGGATGATTCAGAGGATGAGGAAGAAGAGACTGCTAGGCACAAGGCGCGTCAGCAGCTTCGCAGAGCGCAGATGCTTGAAACGCAGAATCTTGCATCACTCGAGGCCAATCCCAAAATGCAGCCCTTCATCGCAGCCATGGAAGATCGTGACAGTCAGCTCAAGTCTCTCATTGAGATTGACGGAGAAGACGATTTCTTTCCCTCCATGGTCGCCGAATCGCAAGTCAAAGCTACACAATCTTGGTCGATGGAAGCGGATGACAATCAAGACACGCAAGCTGATGTTGGTGAGCAAGAGGCGCAAGCAGACACATTCGCTGCTCCTCTGGTTGTACCAGTAAAGCGGCCGAGTAAGACTGCCGTTGACGTTCGCCAGGCGCTTTCCTTCTTGAAGAACACTGAAGACAACTTGTCTGACGAAGACGATCATGACATGGCCACATCGCGAGCTACGGACCCAAGGTTCAAGCCGACACTGAAGCGAGAACGCTCGTCGCTGTCTATTGACGATCGCTCCAAGACACCTTCACTATCGCACGGCGACTCAACCAGCTCGAATGGGCCTATCTGGCGAGATCCTCGCACCTCTGGCTTATCGTTGGCCAGATCACAAGAGTCAATGTACGCAAAGCTCAGCAAATCACGCTCGACTGGTGGCAAAAGCGACAGAGCTGATGCGGGCGTTGGCGCAGCTGTCACTGTTGTATCCCATGGTGTGCAGCAGATTGCAAGCCGGAAGGCTTCAAGTAGTGTCAATTACATGCGAGTTATGAAGGAACGCCAGCAACTGATCGATGCGCCGCAAGTACCAGTCAAGCCCAAAGTAAAGCCTGACGGCAAGCGCAAGAACGTGATGGCGCTTTTCAAATAGTACATGTACATTAAATCTGCCTTTGTATTTTGGTCGTATACTTGAGACTCGTTCGACATTGCGCTTTGCACTTCCTGTGTAGTAGGTCATCAAGCCAAGCTTCGGCATCGAATTTGGCCGGCCGGTGATACATTTTCTCCTTCGCTCTAGTTACTCGAGCTGGTGATTGCAATCTATAGTCTACCAAAAACAGACGTCTTGCCAGTGCATCTATGCATATGATGACTCGATCATATGCAGTCATATAGTTGACCAAAGGAAAGAAGTCAAACCCGATTAAGCCTTTTCTCGTAGGGGAGAATTTGGAAACTGAACCTGCAGCACAAGGTACGAGGCAAATTTGAGCAAGTCTTCTTCGGAGACATCAAACAACAAGTAGGTAGTGACAATTCTACCTGTCTACGAGATTGGTGAATGAAGAACAAAGCAGCAGAAGGCTGTCCTTTTTTTGAAAACAGACTAGGGCCGAAAGGAAGCAAGCAACTGTTGAAGATGCTGAACGAGTAATTCCATGATCCAAGTGACGAGGTCTAGACCGGTTGTTGTGGTTGTGCACAGAAGGATAGCCGCGAGATGCAAACAGAAATTTCAGGTGATGATGCATCTGAATCGAGGACTTTTTTAACCGTCATCTCACTCGCAGCCACCCAACACGAGCTTATGCTTGCCCGTTGTATCATCGACTTCAATGTTATAGATAAGGGGTTGTTGACGACCGTCATCCCAGAACAATTTCGCATATGGTGGACCATCAGGCCCGAATTTCTGCTTCGCTGAGACCGGAGGATGACAATAGCCAGCCACTAAAGATTCAAGCTTCTGAGGCCCAGCCCTGTTCACAATCTCATTTTCGAAGCAGTCTCCGTCGTCGTCCACTCCTCTCTGGTAGCTGCGAATAGCGAACCACTTTTGATCTGGGCAATTTGTTCCGTTCATGTCCACTGGCATACAATTGTCTGGAAATCTTGTGCCGCAAACTCGGTTCAAGTTGCACAATCCTGGGGTGCTCTTATAGCTCGCTCCAGCCTTCAATTCCAACCAACAAGGTCGAACGCCTGTTCCTGCAGCCATGTGACTCATACTGGGAGCAGAAATGAAGACCAAGATAAGGCTTAAGAACCCAGCGTGGCGTTTGTGTTGCAATGAAGAATCTTTGGAGGGAGACATTTGGGTACCTTTGCTGTGTATCAGTATAAGTCCTTTAGCAGAAAATTCAGGGAGTTGTACGTACAGTTTGGAGCAGTGTTCTGAGCAATCGTCAGGTCGCTGTCGTTGCCTGCGGTCTAGGTCGTTATAGAGGGACCTCTACTTTTATAGCAATTGTCCATCAGCATGACATAAACACGCGGAGCTATTCATCGAATTTTTGTCTAGCCGAAATAAGTCACTTAAAATTGCCAAATGCATATTTTTGGCAACCTTCCCTGCCTCAGGGGGTTTTGTTTCCACATCGCTGACCCTCTCAAAAAACGCCAAGCTCAGCTCAAGTTTGTAAGTATGTCTGCGTAGTTAAAACAGGTTTATACCAAAACACTTTCGGAACTTGCGTCGCATTTCCAATGTGCCAAAAGTGATCAGTGAGGACAACGGTGAAGCTCTTGAAAGATGATTCCTAGACTGCTTCCAGAAGGCCCTTCATAAGGAGCATTTTGGAAAGTAGGGGCCTGCGCCTGTCTGCTTGCCATGAGCTAGCCAAGATAAGTCAATTCTGTTACTCAATTGCAAGTGCATACCTTTCGGCAGTTTGCCTACTATGAGTGGTTCTTCCGTGAGCATCCGCAGAAGCATCAGGCAAATATTTGTAGCAATTTTAAATCGTATGTGACCATGACTGATCAAAAGCGACTCAGGGGTCATGTGTGATCGTGCGAAGCCTTTTTGTAGGCTATTGGAGCTCAGATGTACAGGTCTAGGCCTACTTGAGCAGATCTGCGGGCCGAAGAAGCCAAAGCCCTGAGTCTACAAGCGCACCTAGACCAATAAGTCGAAAATCCAGTTGCAATTGCAAAGCGAAGGAAGTCTTTCAATATGTGGATTGTACTCAATGTTGCTGATTCATCAGACAAGAGCAGGAATGCCCTTCACCAGGATTGAGCGATGTTGCTTCGACTGGAAAGCTTCAACAGACCCTACCTATGCCGCATTAGACTGATCTTCACGCACGGGCTCAATCGTATCCTTGCCATGCACCACAGACACTGGTCCACTTTCCTGCCCGGAGTGCACCACACCTCGCTCATCCCACGTCGCCCAGCACGGCATTGCACTACGTTCAACCATCGTTGAAAAATCCACAGCAAGACCACGCGCATCACACGCCAAAACAGATTGCCAAAAGTCAGGGACACCAAATTCCGTATCACCAATGATGCGACCTGTATCAGACAAAACAAAGTAGGTATACCCTTCCACTGTTGTCACAAGACACAAACCATTACGCAAGCCAGGTGGCATATCAACATGCATGACAGCATACCGGTATTCAGACACGTAAATGGGCGTTGCGATGCCACGCTGAACAATGTGGTCGTAGCAGGGCGTCTCTATACGCGTTTGTATCAAGAAGCGTTTCGCAATGGCAATGTGAACTTCGCTTTGTGAGTAAACGTCTTTGTGAACACCAAGATGGAAAGAAGAGCCTTGTTCGTCGTCATTGATTTGGAAACGGACGCAACGGGCGAGGAAATCCAGGTCGGGAGTTCCTTCAAGCGCTAGAGCGAGTGCGGCCATGGGGTGATTCGGCGGTACGAGTTCCCTGTATCATGAGCTTGTCTCTAGTAGAGTATGACTTACCCTGTTTGCGTCAAGACTGTATGCTCTTGACCATCCTTAGTGATGACTCTTGAGAAGCAACCTCCCGCAAGCATTGCCAGCTTGACGGTATTGTCCAAGACTGAGAGACTACGCTCCAAGACGACTGACCAGAAGAAGGGTCCGTGATCACGCTCACAGAGTTGCTGAATCCAAAATCGAATGCTGAGTTCAAAGGCAAAAATGTCTTGTCCATTCAGGAGTGAGGTGACGGCATGTCGTACAGCTTCATACTGGCCTGCTACACGCTCGAGAAAAAAACCTACCCAGTGCGTTTGAAAGGAAGAGGAGACAGTCGCCACATCTGCATAGTTCGAAGCAGACTGCGTCTGAGGCCACGTTCCTTGCTGCCTGTGAAAGACGTGTGCTTCCATGGGGTTGTAGCTACTTGCAAACATGATGCCTTGTACCCTGGGCTCAACTGGATGTGGCGACAGTGGCTGAAATGTAGGTCTATTGCGAGGTGCAGGCAGTACGACGCTATCATCGACTGGTAAACAACAAGCATCTTGAAAGAGATCATGCTGTTCATGCCATGCATCTTGTATGAGCGATGGCGCGAGAGCCAGATCGTCAGAAACAAAAGCTTGCATCTGCTCACGAACATGAGCGCTGACTTTGAGAGTGTCTAGTGGTTGCAGCGCGACAGGTGAGTTGAGTAGAGTCATGTCTGAGTCACGACGCATGTCGAGCGAGTCTTCAAAGAGATGATGTGGTGAGGGCAAGACCCTGAAACCAAGTGGAGCGGAGGCATCTGGCAGGGCCTGCAGTTGTGATTTAGCACACTTGAGTGGTGCAGGAGTAGGCGAGGTGATTGGCTCTGGCTTGTCGGATGCTAGGCCTTTCTGGTCTGTTGTGCCGTCCAGTGCACGCTTGGATAGATTCGTCAAGACGGAGGCAGTCTTGACATCCAAGGGCGAACTAAATGAGACGTGTCAGTGACCATCCTGCTCGCAAATGCTGGAAGAGACACACAGTGTATCCATGCGTGGTTGCTTTGTGCTTTGCACTGCCTTTTGAGCTTCGGCTTCATCTTTGCCATCTTTCGCATCCTCGCGAGGGCGTTTCTGTCCTTGACCCTTATAGGCTGGTGTACGAAAGACCACTGTGCACGGTGGCGCGTCTCCCGAAGCCTGTGTTGTGATCTGTGTGACGGACGCGTCGTTCGTGGTCGATGCCTCGCTGACAGGAGCGCTCGGCACGGTAGAAGACTGGCTACGCCTGTATCTGGGAGCCCAGTCCGTGACTTGTGCTGGTCCTTGCTCTGCCAATTGCGGGTTGTCTCGTAGATGCTCTAGCAAGCGCTTGAATCAAAAGGGTCAGTCATTCCCTGCTTGCTTCTCTTGTGCTCGTATAGCGAGAGAAGGGCGCGCACCTGTTTGAGGTCTGACTTGTTGCCTGAGACTTTGATCTGCCAGGCACGACACTGTGCTTTGAGTTCTGGGATGGTCATGGCGTCGTTGATGGCGGTCTCCAGGGCGACCATCGTGGATGAGCTTGAACAGAGCAGAGTAGAGCTGGAGCTGAAGCTGAGGAGGATCAAGGGAAGAGCAGAGGAAGTGAGCAGGTCTGTGTAGTACTGACAGTGAACCTGACCGTGTCTTGTAGAGTGCAGACGACGACGACGACACCAGACCAATACAAGAGACCATGCCAGGCTCAGCAGAGGCGTACAGCCTACTCGCAAAGCAGGCAAAGGGCAAGGCGCTCGTTCACCTCATCCAGCAGGCTATCGACGACCCAACGCTCTTCTCCTTCAACTACCTTCTCACAGCACCGCATATCGACGCACTCAGGCAAGACGGCGATGAGAGCGACCTTCAGCAGCTCAGACTGCTTGAGCTCTTCTCCTACGGTACATACAGTGACTATACGCAACATACACCATCATTACCCAGCATCTCCCCGAAGGCGACTAGGAAACTCAAGATTCTAAGTCTTTTGACACTCTGTCATGCGCCATCCATCTCCTACGCCGACATGATGCAAGCGCTCGACCTTACTACCCCAGCACAAGCTGAAGAACTCGTCATCGAAGCACTCTACGCGTCCCTCCTCTCTGGCAAACTCAATAGCGCCCAACAAATACTCACCGTTGAGTCATGCGTCGGTCGGGATTGTCGACCAGACACGCTCCCAGAGATAGAAGACAAGTTGTCGCGATGGCTAGAGACGTGTGAGGATATGATGACTGCATTACAGGCGCAACGGACTACAATCTATGAATCAGCCAGGGCGAGAACGTTGAAGAAACAGCTGCATGCACAGGCAGTTGCTGAACTCGCTGGAACATCAGCCACTACAGAAAGCAAGACGTCTGGCAGTGCTCGTGGGAAGCGACCTGCTGTGGCGAGTCGTGACGGCTTGCAAGAGGATGGAGAGCATGCGATGGATGTGGATGGGGAGAATGTCTCGGGTGTGACCAGGAAGCGCAAAAGCAGTGGCAGACGCGCTTGATGTACGCTGCACACATCCTCTAGCCGCAGAAACGATGGGAATGCTGTGTTTGACAGACGCGAGAAAGACTGATTGTCGAGTTTCGGCATCATTTGGCTCTATCAGAGTTACGAGGCCATGGGCAGCGCGTCAATTGGCTTCCATCATTGCCAGACACTTCTACACCTATCATGAACACTTGCACATCATATCACGTATCATACTAACGACTTTTATGTTTCAAGGATCCAAGTCTCCTCGAGTGCTGCCAGACGTGAGAAATTCAAGACTTCATCCACAAAGCACAAACTGAGACTGAAACTTGGACCTGGACACAAATGCTTCAGTTGCTATAGCCACTGAAAAGAGAGATCTATGACCCGAGAGACTAGCTCAAAACGAGCTGCTGAACCGGCTGTTGAAGAGCCACCCACAAAAGCTGCAAAACTAAGCTTTGCTTCTCTACCGCCTCCGGCAGCAACCGTCGAAGATCTTGCTAGCGATGAAGAAGTCTTTAGTGATGAAGACGCTCGATTCCTCGAAGGTGGCATTTCTGCCGAACAAGCAGAAGCTATTGACTTTGTCAACCAGCAAGATGACAACAACAACGAAGAGTCTATTGCGCCCACTGTGATTGATGCGACGCTTGTCAAACGTCGCATCACGAGCACGCGTAAAGCCCTCAATAAGAATGAGAAGCAACGTGCACGCTTCTCTGATGATCCATCACGATTCATGGAATCAGAAGCGGAGCTCGATGCGGAAGTGCGGCAGCTTGATTTTCTTTCTGAAGCGGCACATTTGTACCCCGTGGCACTGGAAGCAGGACTTGCTGAGCTGTGTGCTGAGTTGCTCGGGCATGAGAATACAGATATTGCATGTGCGGCTGTTGAGGTGCTCAATAGCTGCTTGGACGAGAATGTGCAACACTCAGAAAAGGAAATGGAGCAACTTCTGAAAGGCTTGGATGCTGCAAATGTCTTGCCAGCACTAGTACAGAACCTTGCACGTCTTGACGAGCAAGTGGCCCACGAGCAACAGGCTTATTACGACACATTGCTCATCTTGGAAAATATCTGCAATTTGGACAATACCTTCAAGCGAAAGCTTGCCGAAGCAACACGTATAGTGAATGTATTGGTTGCACGGATACAACAAAAAGATGTCAAGTCTGCTCTCGATATCGCCCAAAACAAGCAGTATGCAGCAGAGCTGCTATCACTGATCGTCAGCGATACTGCCTCCCCAAACATTGCTCTCCAATGCATTCGAATGCAAGGTGTTGAAGCAATGTTGCTCTGTCTCGCGCCGTATCGCAAAAAGCAGCCAGTCAAAATGTCCTTTGACGAGGAGTTTCTTGAGAATTGCTTTGATGTGCTCTGTCGCCTCGTCTCTTTACCTACTGGGAAAGATGACTTTCTCGAACAAGAAGGTGTTGGCCTCATGGAACGCCTCATGACTGATCCGAAAGCTGCAAAACAAGCCAAAAGGCGCGCTTTAGAGGTCCTCGACTTTGCATGTGGATCTTGGCAAGGTGGTGCTGTTTGTGCTGCTGTCGTTCAAGCAGGTTTGCTCAAACATCTCTTTGCAACATTCATGAAGAAGCCAGAACAGTCAGTACTGCGGAATCTCCTCGGCCTGTTTGCATCCTTCTTCCGCACCTTGAATCCAGGCGAGCCAGAACGTATCCGCGTGCTCAATAAATTTGGCGAGAAACAGTACGCCAAGCTCATTCAGCTCGTGGGCGTCCATGTTCAACTCTTTGCTCGACGTCAAGAAGTACAAGCAAAGATTGTACAGGCAGAAGCTGCGCGTCCAGCGACCATGAGTGCCGTCGAAAGACGAGAGTATGATCTTGTCAACCTTCTCAGTCTGATGGATGAAGGTGGTCTCGATGCGTTGCAGCTCTGCGATATCACTCTGGCTTGGCTATCTGCGGAAGATGCCGAGATGAGCAAGTTCATTCTTGCCGAGTTGACAAAAGCTAGCCTGACGCCTGCATCAGTCATTCAGACCGTGCGCGAGATGTCGACGGGTCTGGAAGATGTGGTCAAGGAAGCAATCTCGGAAGGAGACAAAGAGGCAGCGGACCGCGTTCGAGAGGCCAAGGAGGAAAGAGATATGGTCGAAACCCTTGCGGATGCGATGGAGCAACATGCAAGCGCTACGACCTTATGAACAATCAGCAATCAGCAACCGTCACTCGAGTACATTGATATGACTTGACTCGATGCGTTCACCCTTCAGGATAGATGGAAGAAGGCCAATATTCATGGGCGTCATCGGTTTGAACAGGCAGATACGACTAGCCATGCTATCATGGCGTCTCTTGTTGCTCGAGCAGCTCATTCAGTGGAACCAGCTGTGTATTCTCTCGCTCACTTTGCCTATCTCTCCGGAAAGGGCTATAATCAAGCCAATTATCATCAAATGTGTGCCCTATTTCTATTGCCTGTGTTCTGGTCTCGCCTAGGCCTCATCAGCTGCTCCATTGTGATCGCCTTGTTGCTCTTTCAGCCCTTCAGACATTGTGTTTTAAGGCAATAGCACACTCTCAGAATTTGTAACGCATTGTGCCCGACAAGAGAGAGGCAGATGCAAATAGTCGAATTGCTGACCAAGGAGAGAAGGACGGGCTATTGTCCCATGATGTCCATAGCTGCTTGCCAGATCTACAGAAATGACTAGCAGAGAAGAAAGACAAAGGACAATCACGGTGCTTGGAGGCCAAATCGAGACGTTGTTGTTGAGCAGAGTGTTACCGACGAATGTCAAAGACGTAGACCGAAGAAGCTACGTACGGGGAAGACAATGTGTGGCACCAGCGGGGTGTTGCGGGTTTTGCAGAGGGTGAGCAGATTGGTCCGTGACACGACGCCTAGTGTAATGACTGGACTCAAATTGGCCTCGTAGGGGAAAGGTTGGAAGCTGAACCCTCAGCACAAGGTGCGAGGCAGAGCTGGGCGAGTCAAAAAAAAGCTTGGTAGGCAGTGGAAGTTTTACCTGTTTACGAAATTGGTGAATGGAGAACAAGGCAGTAGAAGGCTGTCTTGACATCTCCGTCAGACTAGAATAAGAAAAAAGCAAGCAACTGTTGAAGATGCTGAACGAGAAATTCCCATGAACCAGGCGACGAGGTCTAGATCGGTCGTTGTGGTTGAGCACAAAAGGATAGCCGGGGGACACAAACAGAGGTTTTAGGTGATGAGGCGTTTAAACAAGGACATGTTCAGTCATTCCTCGTCGCAACCACCCAATACGAGCCTGTGCTTGCCCGTTGTAGGATCAACTTTGACCGCGTAGTGAAGTTCTGTCTGATAATTTTTGTCCCAGAACAACTTCGCCAATGGCGGACTGCCACGATCGGAAACCGATTGCCCTTTCGACGGGCAATAACCAGCCACTAAAGATTCAAGCCCTTCAGGTGGAGCCCTGTTCCTGATTAGCTTCTCGGAGCAGTCATCGTAGCTCCCACTTTTCTGCCAGGTTTGAATTGCGAACCAGTTCTGATCGATGCATTTTGTTCCGATCATATCAACCGGCTTACAGTTTTCCGGAAGCGTTTTGCCGCAGACTCGCACTAAGTTGCAGGCTTGTGGGGTTTTCTGATAGTCCGCTCCAGTTTTCAATTCCAACTAACAAGGTTGAACGCCTGTACCTGCAGCCATGTGACTCACGCTGGGATCAAGAACGAAGACCGAGATTAGGCTTAGGAGCCCAGCGTGGCGCTTGAGTCGCGATGAAGAACCTTCTGCAGGAGACATTTGAGTAACTTCGCTGTGTATCAGTATAAGTCTTTGATGACTGAGTCCAGGGATATGTACGTGTAGTATAAAGCAGTGACCTGGGGGATTTTTTGGTCGCTGTCGATGTCTTCCGTAAACGTCGATATGGAGGGACTCGCCGAGTCGCCTGCTTTTATAATGTTGCGAGACGGAAGTTGCGGAAAGTCGCGTGCAGACTTTGTTGATCGGAGATGTTAGCCGAGAATTCACATTTAAAATTGCAAATGCTGGGCTATTTGTTACTTACACCGGAAAGGGGGAAGCACAAATATTGATTGCAATTTCAAGTCGAAGGAGAATAATATTTCCGCTCGTGGTTGATACGAGACATTTGCTTCGGCCTGGCCCAGAATCATTAGCGACATGATTATTTTGCAACATACGAAGTCTGTGTTCAAGAGCTGAGAGCATATTGCGAGAAATGTGCAAATTGGTTTGATATGATCTGTCCATCATGCAGTTAGCCGTCCGCATGGCAAATGCACGCGGAGGTGTTTATCCAATGTGGAAATATTTGATGAACTATTGTTTGCATGGATGAACTTTTAGCCGAAATAAGTTATCTATCCCTTAATGAGATTTTAGCGAGTCGTTTAGAAAGCGAGGTGCACAGCTGAACATTCCTGGACTTTGCTCCTGATATCGAAGGCTCGTATCTTTTGACAAACACAACTTTGCTGCAGCTGCTGCGATTGGTTCTTTGTTTTGGAGCGTCTGCGAAAGTCTGCGAGGACGAAGCAAATATTTGTCTTTGTGGCAATTTCAAACCAAATATCACACATGGGCTCCAACGCTATTTGTCCGAAACCTACCAGCTGTATTTGGCGTCTCGTATGAACGAACGAATATTTGTTCCTAGCAGCTACAGTTGAGTCAAATGTGCATTTGTAGTCAATAGCATTCGCATAACCCATATCCAGACAGGGCTCGACTGGCAGGTAGCTGCCTCTTGCCAAATAGATACGCTGAACTTTTTCACTTTTTGCGCGTCGGTCAAGCTCAGTTCACATTAACTGAAGCTGCAGCTGCAGTAAACCAGTCGGGTAGCAAAGATACTTGCTATGTTTGTTCAATAGCTACAGCCCAAACATATGCGGTCTGACCAAAAGACATGACCCCACGAGACAGCTACGAGTGAAGATACGAGTGAAAATACATGTTTGTTTTTCGCAATCGATGCCCATGTGTATACGCCACGAGGTCATTGTGCTCTTACGCCCTACGGAAAATTTGGACCGGCAGATTACCGGCGGAAATTACCAGAAGAATACCGGCGGAATACCGGCGCAAAATCCCTAACTTCGCAGGCGCAGTAATACCAGCAGACTACCGGCAGACTACCGGCAAACTACCGGCGGAAATAAGCACGCCTTTACCAGAGTCAACCGGAGGATTACCAGAGGATACCACCTGCCAACGGCTAAGCTCAATAGATGCTGTAGCGACAGTAGGTGTAGCAACTAGACCATCTACGACACACTACAGACGTGCTGCCGTTTTCTTGGCCTTCTTGGCAGACTTGCGCGCCTTTTGTGCTTGTGATGCTGCTGTCTTGGCCTTGGTCATAGTAGCGCTGCCCTGCTCAGCGTCCTGTGCTCTGCGTGATAGCTTTGATGTTTTTTTAAGACTAGAAATACATCGTTAGTAAGTCATGGTAGGAGTAGCAGAAGTGCATACCTTGCGAGACGAGGAGGTGGATCGATCTTTGCTTGACTTCTGGCCACTGGTCAGTCTTTTAACATCAAAGATGGGACGGACTTGCCTTGGAAACATGCGCATTCTTGTCTGCTTGATGCTACATCTTGTTAGCCAATGTTTCCTCCGCATAATAGGCTCACATTGTGCTGAGAAGAAGTTGGCTGCAACTGAAAATGTTAGTGAGGTACAGCAGGCAAGAGGAGAAACCCACAACTCTCGATGCAGTCTCGTCAATATCATCGTCTTCAAAGGGGACGGAAGCGGGTATCTCGCAGCGAATGTTCTCGTCATCGACGCGAGCAGACGACGCCCCATGGACAACGTCGTGCGCGTCGTTGAGGTCATCGTCTTGGGGAGCAGCAGCAGTAGTCTTCTCTCTGTAGACTTTCGCTTTGCGCTTTTGTGGGCGCGTCAGTCAAGAGCTTGCAAGGTACAGGGACACTCTCACCGCTTCATTCACCACCTTGACGTGGTCTGACAGATAATCAAGGCAATCCAATGTCCATGAGCTCGTTCCAGGATAGGGAAAGCCTTTTCCAACTTGTGAATGACCGTCTGGACCTTCTCAACGTGCGGTGATGCCATGTGACCGTCCTGCCTTGCGCATCAACCAGAATCTGGTGTGTTTCCATCAAGTAACGTGCATGTGCCGTGATGTTGTTCCATGTGGCGTCGCGCAATGGCGTTTGTGGCCAGAGTGCCGTTGCGAGTCGTAGTGTCTTTGTAGAGGGACTATCGGTCCTAGAGAAGCCATGCGACGTGCGCTTGGATCTTTATGGTATATCGATACGCTCCATAGATCCTGCGAGCCTGTTGTACTCGTCGAGACTGTCTGTGGGAGACTTCTCTTCTTATCTACTTGTAGGTCAGTCGAAGGTCTCGCGCTTGCAGCATGCACTGCTCACGTGAGTAGAGGACGACATGTCTTGAGAAGAGTGATCGAGCACCTTCAGATGCCACAGGCTCGAATGTGTAAGCTCAAGGACTGTGAGGTGTTGTCTACGAGCAGCAAGACGGTGCAGAGCAGATGCATGCGCTGATCATCCCATCTCGTCCTGAAGTGACAAGACAAGAGTGGAGCAAACCGCCAAAGTCGATGAAAATCAAAATTCGCTAGCTGTAACGATCACGACTAGACGAGGCAAGGCGTACCGTTGGAGACAGGGAGCGTAGTAGGAGTGTGGTTTTGGCAACAGAGACTTGCAAACAGAAGATAGTATTGAATGTAAACTGATGTTGCTGACAATGCTACAAAGGTGCGAGAAGCGCTCCTTTTATACACTGCCAGCCTAAAGCAACTGAACAGACGAGATAGAAGTGGGCGATGGCAAAGACCCTGAAAAGAACACTGGCAGTTGCCGATGAAGGTCTTGGCGAAGACCGAGTGATGCTAGCGAGCGAAACGTGTCTGAGCACGAACCATGCGACAGAGAAGCCATGCGGCATGGAGAACCAATAGGAAGGGATACGTCGGAACGTGAGGTAGCGCTGAGAGCTTGCAGGTGCCATCGTGATAGCGGAAAGATAGGAGCGCTGGGAGCCCGAGTGAGACAGACGAGGCTGAGTAGCCGGATGAAGACGAGACCACAGTGCGACGAGGTCAGTGCGTGACAGAATCCCCCCCTCGAGGGATTCGTCTCGAATCATAGAAGCTGGACGAAGGGTGGAACCACAGCGTTGGGATGGCCATGATGAAACTCGCGGACGTAGTCTGGAAGAGAGTCGTAGATCTCACGAGCAGGCCGCCAGGAATCTTCTGAGTCGGCGTAACCTTCCCAATGAATGCGATACTGGAAGCCAAGACCCCGAGGGCGTACATCGACAACTCGTTCCACAACGTACTCAAGATGCTGGCCGACAACCAAGGGTGGAGGTGGCAGCTGAACACGACCAGGACCAGCAACGTCGCCGGTGGCTTCATGGTAAGGCTCAAGTAGTTTGGGGTGGAAGACGTTGAAGATCTTGGTGCCAGGGTCAAGTCGAAGGGCAAAGGCGCGGTCGTCGTAAGACTTGGTGATCAGGTAAGGCCCACGACGAAGAGCATCCAACTTGGAAGAAGGCCGATCGGACCGGATGTGCTTGCTGCTCAGCAACACTCGTTGGCCAATTTGGAAGTTGGGCTGCGGAAGGCGGTGAGTGTCAGCGTGATGCTTCTGCAACTCCTGAGCCTCTTGCAAGTGTAGCTTGAGCTCGGCGTGAATATCCCGCAGCCGTTGGGTCATATCGAGACTGCCAACATTGCGAGTGTCAGAGCCGTGGCCAAAGTGTAAGCCAAAACGTGGATGATAACCGTATGCAGCGAAGAAGGGCGAGGTCTTGATGGACTCTTGATGGGCGTTGTTGTAGGAAAACTCGGCCGTCGGGAGTAGAGACACCCAGTCGTCTTGTGCATGGTTGGAGTAGCATCGGAGGTATTGTTCCAAGATAGCGTTGACGCGCTCGGTCTGCCCATCAGTCTCTGGGTGGTAGGCAGTTGACAACAGAGCCTTGACTTGGGGGTCAAAGTGACTGAGGAACGCTCGCCAGAATTTGGATGTGAATACCGAGCCACGATCGGAGACGATGGAAACAGGCATGCCGTGCAAGGCGAAGATCCGATCCAGGAACAACTGTGCAAACCCGTCCGCGCTGGTAGACTCGTGGTAGGGCACGAAGTGAGCCATCTTGGTGAACCGATCAACGACAACTAGGATGGAGTCGAAACCATTGGAAGGCGGCAGCTTGACGATGAAATCCAGAGATATCGAGGACCAAGGACCATCAGCGATAGGCATCGGCTGCAGCTCACCATAAGGCTTGTGTCGAACCACTTTGTTGCGAGCACAGGTGTCACAAGAAGCGACGTACCGTTTGACATACGCGCGCATACCTGGCCAGTAGAAACAACGAGCAAGGAGCTCGAAAGTCTTCAATGCTCCCCAATGACCCGAGACGGGGCTGTCGTGGTGCTGGCGCAATAGAGACAACTTCAGATCCACACTGTCGGGGACGTAAACTCGGCAGTCGTGAAGCAAGAGGCCGTCATGTAGCTCGAAGTTGTCCAAGTTGCGCGCGGGAGCAGAGGAGGCCGGAGCTTCTGAGGAGAGTGCGGCCAAGAGCTCTTGCACAGCGTCATCCGTAGTGTAGGCAGCCATAATTTGCTCTTTGAGGGAAGAAGCGAGAGCAGAGATGGAATTCTGCGTAGCACTCAAGACAAGCTGTCCGGGACGAAGAAGTGCGCGCAAGTTGGCAGAGCCAGGAGTATCCCCCCTGGAGTGCGGAGATCCTCACGACGCGAGAGAGCATCGGGCCGGCCTTGCTGAGCGCCCGGGCGGTAGACGATGGTGAAGTTGTAGTCCGCAAGAGTCTCGGCCCAGCGTGCCTGGCGACGATTGAGTACTCGCGTAGTGTTGAAGTACTCAAGGTTGCGATGATCTGTCCATACCGTGATAGTGTGAGCAGAGCCCTCAAGATACTGTCGCCACACGCGAAAAGCTTCCACAATGGCCAACATCTCCTTGTCATAGATTTGGTAATTGATTTCAGCTGGCGCGAACGTGCGGCTGAAGAAGGCAACAGGGTGAAGGAGCGAGTCGGAACCATGTTGAGAGAGAATGCAGCCCAGAGCAAAGTCAGAAGCATCGGTTTCGATGAAGATCTCCTTATCCGGGTTGAAGTGGATCAAGATTGGGGCCGTGGTGAAGCGTTTTTTTCAAAAGTCCAAACGACGCGGCAGCCTCTTCAGTCCAAACAAAGGGTCCCGTATCTTTCTTCAAAAGGTCGTACAACGGCTTGGCAATCTTGCTGTATCCCTCGATGAAAGCGCCGATAGAAATTGGCGAATCCATTGAACACCTGAACATCGTGAACTGATCGTGGAGCTGGCCAATCGAGAATGGCCGATACCTTTGATTTGTCCATGCTGATACCCTTGGAACTGACGACATATCCCAAAAACTCGACTGTGTCGCTGTCAAAGACGCATTTCTCTGGCTTGACGTACAAGGAGTGTTCTCGAAGCACTTGCAGAACCTCTCGGACATGCACGTCGTGAGCTGCTTGGGATTCAGAGAAGACCAGAATGTCGTCCAAATAACACACCACTGAAATGTCGAGAAAAGGGAGCAAGACATCGTTCATCATGGTCTGGAACGAGGCTGGTGCGTTGGTCAATCCAAACGGCATGACATTGTACTGGAAGTGGCCGTAACGCGTGCGGAAAGCGGTTTTCCACTCATCTCCGTTTGCAATGCGCAATAGATTGTACGCGCCGCGCAAGTCGAGCTTCGTGAAGACCTTCGCCCCGTGAAGACGATCCAAGGTTTCCGATATGAGTGGCAGCGGCGCACGATTCTTGACAGTGATGCGATTGAGGCCGCGATAGTCGATGCATAGACGTAAAGACCCATCCTTCTTCTTGACAAACAGAGCCGAGGCGCCAGCGGGGCTTTCGGACACAGAGATATTGCCGAGGGCTAACCCTAACCCCCTAACCCTAACCCTAACCCTAACCCTAACCCTAACCCTAACCCTAACCCTAACCCTAACCCTAACCCTAACCCGGGAACCAGGGGTATCTTGTGGTCATGCTTGGTACGCGATGGGAGTCGAGAAGCTTCCACCTTTGAGAAAATTGAGAGAAAGTCATGGTATTTTGCGGGAATCGACGCTTGTGCAGGCTCGAGAGCAGTTGGACTTGGCTCGACATCGATTTCCGCAAGACCTTCGACGAGCTCTGGCCGTGCGCCAAGCAAATCCGTGAAATCCAGGTAGAGAACGTCATGATCGCGGGCAAGACGTTTGAAAGACCCCGGTGCAACAATGTGGACGTCCGCGACTGTGAGAAGGCGAGCGTCACTTGGCGGAGTCCCCGTGTGAGTGTGCAGCGAGCCGTCGCAATGTGAAGCGCATGTGTCAGGGAATTTGAGGTCGGCTGTTGACCACGTGATCTGGGGATCATGGCGCTCCAGCCATGGCAACCCGAGAACAGCGTCGTAGCGACCCAAATCCGTGACAGCAAAGGACAAGAGCTCAGTATGACTTCCTACCCGGAGGTTGAGAGGGGAAGTCATGAGCTCCACATCTGAGAGTGAACCACCGTCGATCGTTTCGAGTTTGACCGAGTATGGCAGCGGCGAAGTGGGCAATTGCAAGCGTTCGACGAAACGGGAATCGATGAAGTTGCTGGTTGCGCCGCAGTCAAGCATAGCAAAACTGTCCGAAGAGCGAGACCCCGAGGAGATGGTGACAGCGAGCATGCGATGAGGAGACGCAAGGGCGAGAGTGAGGAGAGGAGACAAGCCCGAAGGGAGGAGCTTGCTTTCCGTCGTTGCGCACAGAGTGATGGAAGAGAGGATAGTCGGGACTACTTCCGATTGCCCTGGCCTTTTGGGCGTTCGTTGCAGTCATGCACCTTGTGATCAGGGCTAGCACAGTATCTGCATAAGTCCAAATCTCGTCGACGCTGACGCTCGGCATCGGTGAGGGGTGCGCGAGTTGTGGTTGCAGAAAGGTCCATTCGGTCGCCTCCTTGAGTGGTGGTGGCAACAGGCGCAGTCTTGATGACAACTTCTCCAAAGGCGCGAGGAGCGGTGGAGCGGACGACAGAGGATATTGGGTTGCGTCCTGAGAGATAATGGTCCAACCCCTCATCCTGGGCGTTCTCGAGCAAGTTTTCGTCACACTGAACCACCTTTTCGCAGAACTGGGTAAAGTCCTTCTTTGATGGGTTGGACAAGGAAAGGATCGAACGTAAAGTTGGATTCAAGGTGCGACGAAGTTCGAAGACCTTGGTCTCATCTGTCAGATCCAGAGGCGCGGTGATGGCGCGGAACGCAGCCACATGACGGGATGCGGACGTCTTTCCTTGCTGCAACTTCTTGAGCTCGTTGCGAGCTTCGACATTCTCGTCACCTCGAGAAAAGGCAGTGTCCAAGGAGTCAAACAGCTCCTTGACAGTGTTGAAAGTGAGGCGCGTCAAGCCGGGGTTGTGTGGATCGGCCACGACAAACGAGCGACGCCACTTGAGGGCAGCACCAGTGAGAAGCCCACCAACGTAAGAGATACGCTCGGCTTCCGTGACGAGGCGCTCTCGCTCGGCGGAGAGCTTCAAACCACAAGAGTCAATAAAGTCTCGTACGGGCACGGCGTCACTAGACCCATCGAATGACTTTGGGTCTGGGTGAACCTTACCAAGGTGTCGATTGACGTGGGCTGAGGGTGCTTCGGCCGTGGCCTGGCGCTGAAACTCCAGGCTAGCGGCCTGAGACTCGACCGTTGCTCGAAGCTGAGCATTGGCTTCTCCAAGGCGCTGCATCTCGGTGATGAGGCCACTGACTTGCTGATGCAAGTTGAAGAAGTCTTCGGGTGTTGGAATGTTGGACATGTTTGAAATGGTGTCTCTGGTAAAACCTGCCGTATGGTCAGCAAACTGTAACGATCACGACTAGACGAGGCAAGGCGTACCGTTGGAGACAGGGAGCGTAGTAGGAGTGTGGTTTTGGCAACAGAGACTTGCAAACAGAAGATAGTATTGAATGTAAACTGATGTTGCTGACAATGCTACAAAGGTGCGAGAAGCGCTCCTTTTATACACTGCCAGCCTAAAGCAACTGAACAGACGAAATAGAAGTGGGCGATGGCAAAGACCCTGAAAAGAACACTGGCAGTTGCCGATGAAGGTCTTGGCGAAGACCGAGTGATGCTAGCGAGCGAAACGTGTCTGAGCACGAACCATGCGACAGAGAAGCCATGCGGCATGGAGAACCAATAGGAAGGGATACGTCGGAACGTGAGGTAGCGCTGAGAGCTTGCAGGTGCCATCGTGATAGCGGAAAGATAGGAGCGCTGGGAGCCCGAGTGAGACAGACGAGGCTGAGTAGCCGGATGAAGACGAGACCACAGTGCGACGAGGTCAGTGCGTGACAGAGCTTTCTCTCGAGGGAAATTGATATGCACTGACCTGCGCAACCGTATGTCTGGACAAACACTCGAGAGTCTGATGTGCCTCGGTAGCTGGGTGCCCATGTTCCACCGTACTGTCTGATGAATCATGTTCATCATAATGGTTGACGTGCTGAAAGACATAGCGAACTGTAGTTGACTGTTGACATTATCATCTAGTGACTTGGCATCTCCCTGGACCCTCGGCTCTCGGTCAAGATACCGCAACGTAAGCCAAACTCAGCCCAAACTCGTGTTTGAGTTTGACAAGTTTGGTCTTTATTTGGTACCAAACTCAAGCACAAACATGAAGAGTCTGAGCTGCTTGGTTTGGTCCAGCATGCTTGGGCTCATGCTTGGTCGACCAAACTCAAGCCCAAATAAATAGGCTTGTTTGGTTTGAAAGACCAAATTCCTCACCCTAATCAGATTCAGGCTCAATGGCACTGTAGTAAGAGTGTAGGAAGCAGCAAGTATCCATAAGTACGCGACCAATTGCTCTCCTCGGAGCACAATGCGAGCATCTTTTGCATTGTCTGATTTTGCAAGCCGAGTCCCTCGCAGTGACTGCCAATGCCAGCTAAGAGTAAACTAAAGGTCACGTGCATTAGCGCTGACGTGGCAGAGAGACAACAGAAGCAAGTAGTCGGGGGATTATGCACTTGAATTCCCAACACCTTCTCTTCCTCATACAACAACATGCCCTCCCGACATCAGCGCCAGCAAAGATGGCAGCGCCGAAAGCAGCGTAAGCAACCGACTGACGGCGCTTGATACGACAAGCCAGTTCATGACTTTGCTTGAGAAAATCCTCCAACCACAAGAGGATCAACAATATAGCTGCTCAAAAAACTGACGCTCGAAGTGCATGATTTGACGCGTGGATGGCTCTCGTTTCAGCACTAACAAACGCAGCGGCAATCTACAGTCACGACGTTGCTGGCCAGATTCCGCATCCCAACTTCTACCCGCAGTTGACTGGTCCCTTTCGGAGTTTATGTCGTCTGGGAATCAGTATTTGACCTCTACAAACCCTAGCCTCCACACATCCTGTCCACAGATCCTGGCTTTCTGCAGACGACATAAACCCCGAGGATTTGTACAGGTCAAATACTGGTTCCCATATGAAGTACACGCCGAACAAGAACACCCAACCGCTGGTGGACGTCGGCATACGGAAGCGAGCGAGCAGCTTTGCAATCGTTGACTGCTGCTCCGTTTGATTATGCTGAAACGCCGTCCACCCACGGCTAAGGTCTTGCACTTCGAGGGTGAGCTTTTTTAGTAGCTCTTTTTGGTCCTGCTGTTGTTGCTGAAGACTTGCCAGCAAACTCGTGATCTGATTTGTTGGATCCATTGCAGGCGTCAGCTGCTGTTGTCGACGCTGCTTGCGACGTTCGCGTCTGTGCTGACGACTCCGCCGAGACGGCATGTTGAAGAACTATGAGGGAGAGAAGGAGTTGGGTCAGTGGCCTTTTTTTGTAGCATTCGAGTAGCAGCACACTCAATGACGCCAGACAGAGATGAAGGGTGTGCATCCAATGCAAGAGCAGACGGTTGATTATAAACAGCTACATGACTGCTAAGTTGACTCACTCCCGTCAAGGACTGCGTCGCTGCACATCTTGCCATGGCAAGGCGCCAAGATCACCACCATGGCTAGGTGTCCACTAAAGCGGTTCTCTCCACCAGTACTATAGGGGTGCATCATTGCATCGCTGGTTCCTCTGGTGTGTTGCCGTCATTGCCATTTCAGAATGGTCGCCAGACATGTCTTCACGTCGACTGAATGTGCCACTCAAACATGTCGGCGTCCAGGGCAAAGAGAGACACTAACAGGTTGATATGGCTTAGGCATCAGCTCAGACTCAGTTTGATAATCCCGGTGTCATGATCCTAGCATCAATGTATCATGGTGCGTAGACGACATAGTGAACTAAGTGAAGTTCCGGAAAATTGGCCAAGAATGGAGATCTGGCTCACAACACCACCAGCATCACCATCACCACTTCCAGCTGCCAATCACGTAGTGGTACACGCTTACTCACCCGTGCGCACAGAGGACTCCACTGATGCCAAGGGGAAAGAGCACCAAGAATACGTTGTCAATCCACTGCGCCGATGGGATAATACGCACGGTCATCGTGTGCACTTTGTGCATTGCAAACAACCCCAAAGATATGGTACACGAATTTCGCAACAGGAACACCCTCTGGAATCACACCAAGAAGGTCCACCCTTCTTCACTGGCGACAGCAGCGAGACCGAAAACTTGCGCAATGCTTTACCGGCACAGCCAAGCAGGCAAGGCTTTAGCAGCGTTCTTACAACTCCAATTCGAGGCAAAAGGGGTGAACGTCTGGCGCGATGTGAGGAACTTCCAAAGCTCACAAGACCTCAAGTTCGAGATTCGATCACAACTCGCGGCGTGTGACTATGCTGTTGTGCTTCTCACCAGCGGCGATTTGGATAAATGCTTGTCAAATAAGGATGATCTGTTTGCTTGGGAGTTGCGCACATGCATGGAACAGTTTACTGATAAGACTCACATGATCATGCATCAAGAAACCTTTGGTCAAATCGTCAAAGATGGAAGTTTGACCAGGACAGGGCTGTTGGCTGAATTGAGTACCGTTTGCGAGAAAAGGGTGATCCTCAAGTGGGATACTGATTTTGATTTGCATCTGCTAGCTGATAAAGTTGTACGATCCGATGAGCACTCAAAGATGGATGAATGAAGAAGTAGAAGCTTGTATGCATGGCTGAACAGTGAGAGACCTTCATAGACTGATACCTGGCACGACTAGAGGCTGATGCTTGCGCTCTTCCAAAAGCCAGTTGCAGTATGGGGTCACTTGCTGCACCGCAACACCCCTGGCACAACGATGAAGAAGTTCAAGGCGCCGCAAAAGGGCCCATCCAATGCTTCATCTTGATTTGTATGCAATGCGATGGAGAGATCATTAGTGTTCCAAGCATACCACCTGCACTGACAGAACAGCCCGAGGAAGACAGATAGATTTCTTGGTCTTCAACATTTGCTGTCTATACTCTGCTTCTCAATGCTCTATCCATGACTATGGCAGGTCAAGAAAGCCAATAGCCCGATTAGTTGCAACATGCTTGATCCAGCGTCCATCCGCGGTGCTCTCAATCACCTTCTCAGGGAGTACCACCTGCACAGGCAGCTCGTCCAGCTCAATCCCTCTCAGCCTTGCATAGCGGGCTGCATCACTGAAGCCTTGCACAGAGACGAGACTTTTGAGGAGCTCAGCAGTATGCAGATCACGCTCCAAACACAGGGACTTGAGCACCGCTGGCGGGTCAAGTGCGTCATCCGCTTCCCGTTGAGCAAGTAATAGCATCCAATCCTTGAGTCTCGACAGAACGGGATCGTCTGCTAAGGCTGCTACGCCAGGCTGACTGACCTGTGTGCCCAGAGCGCGCGAGCCGCTCTCCAACATGACTTGTCGAAAGTGCGGCTGACATGCAATGACGCGATCGAGCAGAGGGTCCCAAAGCGCGTGGGTGGTATCTCGGTGTAGCATCGCTTTAGAAGTGCACAAACAGGTCACCCATATCTCTGCACCTGCTCTTGATTGCTTGATGGCACCCACTTGTTTGAGAATGGTCAACGAGTCTCTCGTGAGCTGATCTTGACTCCCGACCTTGAGCTCATGTTGAGGACTAGATTTGCGAAGCTTGCGCCATTGCTTGACAATGTCTGTGACGTGAGCTGCTGTGACTTCATCGACCTTTACGGGCAGGTCTTGTATAGCGACGGGTTGCCAGTAATGCTGCCAGAGCCAGTCGCGGGCTCGCATCGCTGCCTGCTTGAGGACAACGAGCGATGGTAGTGCATCGTGTGTGGTGGCATGCCGAAGCTCAACAAACGACTCTGGTAGGTCCAGCTGACGCGCCAATGCCACCATGGATATGGCATGCTCTGCCTGTTGTGCTGGGTCCAAGAGGCCATTCACGAAACGAGTGAGGGCCATTGCCAGAACCATACGGCATTCCAAAGAAGAGCCTCGCATCTGCAAGGCAGCCGTCAGCAGATGGGTAGAGATGACTGCATGTGCGACCCGCCCGCGACATGCCCAAGCACGGACTCTGTCGCTGGCAAGCTGGATCATGGCTGGATCTTGGCTGTAGAAGAGATCACGGACACGTTCCCACTCACGCTGGTCACGCCAGGGAGTGATGCGCATGGCAGCTTCTTGGACGATAAATGATAGCAGTATATACAAGACGCGCAGAGATCATCCAGAGTGTCCCCCGAGGATGTGTGGTTGCAGGATCAAAAGACGCCTGCTCGTCCCAGGATTTGGCCAAAGTCGTGCTGCGAGATGCCCTGGCCCAGGACGTCCTTGCGCCCGTCGTAGTGCCGGTTGGCCTCCTCCAGCATGTCCACCAGATCCTCGTCCGTGACATCCTCGCCCAGCTCCTCAGCCACACGCCGCAGGTCCTCGATGGTGATGCGGCCTGTCCCGTCCTTGTCAAACAAGGCGAATGCCCTTGCTACTTCGTCCTTGTCCTCGCCAAGCTTGAGGCTGCATAGGTCTATGAATCCATCGAGGCCCAGGTCGCCGTCCACAAGCTTGAGCAAATTGCTCTCGTCTGCCTGGGAGAGCTGCGCGCCAAGAGCCGCCATGGCCGGGGCAACTGCTTTGGCCGTGATCCTGCCGTCTTTGTCTGCATACTCCTCAAAGACGGCGACGATGGCTTCTCTGTTTGCATCGGAGACTGCTGCCTTCTTCTTGGCACGCGACATCTGCTGCCAGCACTAGCACACACTTCCCAGCCAAGCTCTAGCCAAGCTCCAGTCAGCTGCAGGCCTGCTCACTGCTCAGCGCTGCTCCTCGTCGCGCGACATTTTCAACAATTTTCCTCTGACCAACTTGACCTTCAACATTCGCACTCATCAGGAACGGCGCGGATGGTCGAGATTGTCCGTTTCGAAGGGCATGCGCATCTCAGACAGCGGCTTGTTCTAGCAACACTGGCGGGCCGCACCTTGCGCTTCGACAAGATCCGCACACAGGCGGAAAACCCAGGTCTGCTCGACTGCGAAATCTCCTTCTTGCGCCTGCTCGAGCGCTTCACCAATAACAGTGTCATTGAGATCTCCTATACCGGTACCGCACTGCTCTATCGGCCGGGGCAAATCACAGGCGGTGCGGTGGAGCATGCCTGCACAGGTGGGCGAGCTGTGGGCTACTTTCTGGAGCCTCTCTTGCAGCTAGCTCCTTTCGCAAAGCAGCCGTGTAGCTTAACACTGACGGGCATCACAACAGACAATCTCGATGCAGGTGTGGATCTCATTCGAACATGCATGCTACCTGTGCTCAAGCGATTTGTCGGGGACGACTTGGAGCTTCGCATCCTCAAGCGTGGTGCTGCACCAGATGGCGGCGGCCAGGTTCAGTTTCTGTGTCCACAAGTCAAGTCATTTCCTACACTACATCTACTACAAGTCGGGAAAGTACAACGAGTGCGTGGTATTGCCAGCTCGACGCGCGTATCGCCTGCTAACGTGAATCGGCTGGTGGCGGCTGCGCGAGGAGTCCTCAATCCGCTTGTGAGCGATGTACATCTCTACACAGACGCCCGTCGTGGCGATGAGTGTGGCCTGTCGCCTGGATTTGCACTGTCCCTTGTTGCAGAAACAGCGCAAGGTGTCCTCTACGGCGCCGAACAAGCGGCAGGACCAGGCGAAACACCTGAGGATGTGGGTGATGCCTGTGCCAAAAGCTTGCTTGAGCAAATAGCTCTAGGCGGTTGCGTGGATCGCTTCAGCGCGCCCATGGTCATCATCGGCATGCTTCTTGGCTCCGAGGATGTTGGTCGGTGTCGTTTTGGCAAGGGTATTGTGGATGCGACGATTGTCACGCTTCTCAGGGATATTCAGCAACTGTTTGGCAAGCAAGTAAGCATCACAGAGGGCGAGGAGGATCTTGTCATTAGCTGCGTTGGTACAGGCTACATCAATGCGAATCGTGCCGTTGCCTAAAAGACAATCTTGGTTGGCTTGACCTCTTGCTGCAGTTGCTTCTGCAGCTGTTTCTGCCTTTTGGCTGCTTGCCACGAGTCGTGTATTGGCCGCAACTGTCGCTCACGTCGCTCAGCACGATTCTTGGCTGCCTCCTCATACTGTATTGTGTTGGCACCCGTCCGCTCAGCACGACGCTGTTGTCGCTCTTCGTACGCTGCTTGTTCCTGCGCACGTTCTTGGAGCAAATGATTGGCATTCTTGCCGTGCTTCTGCTCAAGAATCTTGCGTCGTGCTCTCTGTCCTCGTCTATTCTTGCGTGGCTTGGGCTGTGCAGGTCCCTTGACTGCTGCAAGCTCGCCTTCATCGTCCGAGTCGTTCATTGAGGGAATGTATCCAGACTGCAGCGATGGCAAGAATTGTGACCTCGACGCATCTGCAATCCCTTGACCAGTGGATATTGGAGGCCGTGCAGGTTGTTCACTTTCGCTCTCCTCTGCAAACGTAGTGAACGGTATCTCCACAGCTCTTGCTTGATCCTCGTTCTTTGCGTCCTTCTTTGTTGCCTTGATCTTGACTTTCTTAGCTGGATAGATGCCGGCCGCCCGCTCAACAGTGCCTATCGCTGCTTCGATCGCCTCACGCAGGGCCTTCATACCCAAGATCCGTGCCACGACATTCTTCTCTGCATCACTAGCCTGCGCATGCGGCGCCTTGCCCGGGTCGAGGGCCAAAATCTCTTGCAGAGCTGCATGGCCCTTGACGAGCTGCAACTTGAGCGCGTAATCGGCAATCGGCTCAACAGCAAGCTCCTTTGCCTTTTGCAGCTCCAGTGCAAGCCTCTCTGTGTCTCCTTCCTCTGCGCGCTTCAATCGCTTGGTTGCATTGCGGGTCTCTAGGGCGACACACTTTTTCACTGCGCGTCTACACTCGACATGGGCATGATGCAGCTTTGCCTGTATCCTGGCCTGCTTCTCCTCTTCTGTCTGGACTCTCTTCCGCTTCAACATGGACAGGGCTGCTCGTTCACTCTGCTGCAGTAGCTCGTCGCTGCTTTCTGCTCAAATTTCAAATTTCAAAAGACGACGACGAGCTGAACGAGCAAGCCAAGGACTACTTGTGGAAGAGGCGGACCAGAGACTGCTAAGGACTGATAGAACCAGGCTAGACCGGACTGAAGCTACAGACTACATGAACAGGCCACAAGACTCTTGGGAACTGACAGAACGCAGCCTAGCGTCACCTAGCTCACGCGCTGCAAGCCCTCTCCCTTCCATCCCAGCACTCGTGCGACAGTACAAGCTTAAAAACACAGAGATACGGCAGGCTATAGAGACAGCTCGTGCTGAGCTTCCTTCTGTGCCTTGCGGTACGCCTCGCGCTGTGCAAGACTCTTGAGCCAGCGTTCGACGTTGGGCCATGTCTTACCTCCCGTGCCTAGCTTGCGGACAATGGCAATCTCGCACGAAAAGGCAAGCATAATGTCAGCGGCCGTGAGTGTGCCCTCCTCAAGAAAGTCGCGGCCCTCGAGGTGTGCATTCACGTAGTCCAAATCAAGCTGGACGTTGATGCCCATGAACGACTCGCACTTGGCCAACTGCTCGGGATCGTTTGGCAGCGACCAACGTGCATACAAAACAGCTAGGGCATGGACCATCAAAGTGGACTCGGCGTAGTGCACCCACATGCGAGCCTCGTCGCTAATCTCAATGCCTTTTTTGCGATAGAGATACTCGACAATGTTGCCAGACTCGATAATCTGCTTGCCATTGTCCTCGAGGAGTGGTGCTTTGCCGAGCTTGTGCTGGCTCTTGAGGGCATCGGGGGCCTTGTTGTTGATGCGGGGGTAGGACTTGAGGGTGTAGGGCAAGGCGAGCTCGTTGAGAAGCCAAACAATGCGGAATGACCGCGAGTTGCCGAGGTGGTGAATAGTGAGCATAGTGTACTGTATCTTATGTGTTCTACCTGCCGAGGCCTCTCTCTTGGATGTTTCCTCGAGTACTTGAGTAGACGGAGCTCGTCAATTGCGGGGTGTAGACGGAAGTCGCGGGAAGTTGGACGACAACGACAACGACAACCAAGACCAACTTGGAAGACTGCTGCCTGCAAGAGACTGGCTCGAATTAGCTCACTCGTCGCTTCTACCTCATTTGCTTCTGATCTGCTCTCAAGTCTCCTCATCTTAAATGAAGGCCTCTGCCATCCAGATCCACTGGCACGAAGAGGCCCCCATTTACTCCTGCCACTTTGAACCGCACGGACGCGGCAGACTCGCTACTGCTGGCGGAGATGGGCTCATTTACGTATGGGAGCTCACGCCAACAGAAAGCATCCCAAAAGTGACACACCTTTCGACGCTCAAACGCCATGCAGGCGGTGCAGTGAACGCTGTACGCTTCGATCCAAAGGGCGAGCACATTGCTTCCGCCGGTGATGACGGCTGTGTCATCATTTGGGTACCGTCAGATGCAAAAGATCCAAAAGATTTGGACAATAGCACCTCAGAGGACAAGGAGTTTTGGCGGGTGCTAAGAACGTGTCGCAGTGCATCAGGTACCGAAATCTACGACTTGGCATGGTCACCTGATGGACGCTACCTCATTACAGGCGCAATGGACAATGTGGCTCGCATTTACGATGCAAGGGATGGACAATGCGTCAGGCAGATTGCGGAACACTCCCATTATGTGCAAGGCGTCGCATGGGACCCGCTAAACGAGTACGTCGCCACGCAGTCTAGCGACCGCTCTCTCAACGTCTACAACCTCAAGACAAAAGACGGCGTACATGTCACAAATGCTCAGACATCCAGCAAGATGGTGCTCCCTGGCTTCTCCAAGCGAGTGCCTGCAGCGCTCGGCTCGCCTGCAGTGGAAGCACTTGCGAGTCCCTCGCCTAGCGCGCCAGGAACCCCGACACTCAGCATGATGCGGCCGCCGGCCATCACGCCATCAAGGCGCTCTTCCTTCAACGAGAGCAATCGAGGTCGCTCACCAAGTCCAGCGCCGGTAGTACCACTCCCCGCAGTCATGGGCTCACCAGCAAAACCCAAGTCAAGCGTCCTGTTCCATGATGAAGCGCTTCTTTCCTTCTTTCGCCGTTTGACTTTCTCACCCGACGGCAGTCTGCTACTCGTGCCAGCCGGGATCCACAAGGGAGAAGAGACGGTTGACACAGTCTACATCTACACCCGCGCTGGTTTCCACAAGCCGCCCGTTGCGCACCTCCCAAATCAGAAGAAACCTGCCATTGCGATTCGCTGCTGCCCCAAGGTCTTCAAGCTGCGTGCGCCACAACCAACGGTACATGCAACCATGGACTCTTCTTCCAGCGAAGAGATGCACCAGCTGCCACCTGCAGAGACCTCGGCGTCGAGTGCAGAGGGTGGTCCAGTGAGCGATGCATTCCACCTGCCGTATGCCATTGTCTATGCTGTCGCAACTCAAGAGTCCGTCTTGATCTACAATACTCAGCAACTGCACCCTCTCGCGGTCTTATCCAACTTGCACTATGCCACCTTTACCGATTTGACTTGGACGCCAGACGGTCATACGCTGCTGATGAGTTCAACAGACGGCTACTGCTCTGCATGTGTATTTGAGCCAGGTGAGCTTGGCCAGGTCTACGAGAATCCACCCTTCGTGAAGCCAACTAAGCAAGAATTCACCATGCCTGAACGCGCAGTCTCGCCCGCCCGCAGCAACTCTGTGGCATCCAGTGGCAAGGACCATGCAGCGATACCGAGCCCACTGGGCGCGCTGCAAACACCTCCGGCGACACCTGCTTCTGGCACCATCCCAGCTCAAAGCTCCTTGACTAGCAGCACAGGTCAACCGGCACCAGGGACTGTCGCGCCTGCGCCTCTCGCGGCAAAATATACCTCGTCACCTCGCCCACCCACGAGTACAGCGATTGGCGATGAGCCTCCAGCAAAGAAGAGACGTATAGCGCCGACTGTTGTGTCGAGCGCTGAGCCGTCGCGCGATACAAGTTCATAGAAGGACGAGGAGTAGGAAAGCAGCAATGACGAATGGTATTGAATAAGGCAGGATGTGCCAAGCATAGCATTTGACTTCAGCCCAAAAGGGTGGGTTATAGCTTGGAACAGTAGAGATGAGCGGTCTGCCTTCTTTGCGAGCTTGAGTGTTCATCCTTGAGCTTGTGTGGGTTGAGGATAGAAACTACGTCGCGTGATGCAAGACATCTCGACCAGACCCGCACAGCTTACAGAGGCATTCGAGGCCACCAAAAAGAACAGATGGACACGCCTTATGGGACAATCCTCAAATGCTATGCGCTAGCAGGCCCGATCAGCTACTGGGTGCCTGCACCTTTTGGCCGCTTCAACGTTGCTTCACGCTTCTCGTTGCCAGGACGCGCCTCATTCATGATACAAGAGGTCGTTGGGCCTATTTGCTTCCTGTACAGATTGCTGAGCTATGGTTCGTCGCTGAGCGGTCTCCAGCAATTGGCATCAGCCATGTTCGTGCTCCACTACCTGAATCGCTCGATCCTCTTCCCACTTTTTGTACAGCCTAGCTACAGCGATTCCCATCTTGGCGTTGTGCTATCAGCTGGGCTGTGGCAGCTATGTAATGGCACTATACAAGCAATGGCTGTCCATAAGCTGCCGTCCGTGAGTGGTCTCAGGACCACATTGGCCCTGCTGGTCTTTGCTGTTGGCATATTTGGCAACATCTAACATGACCGCATCCTTGCCAGGCTGCGGTCTAAGCCAGGCAGCAAAAAGTATGGCATACCGCATGGCGGCCTCTTCAGTCTCGTCTCTTACCCACACTACCTTTGCGAGTGGATCGAATGGACCGGCTATGGTCTACTCATTGGCCATGCAGGCTCATACGCTGGCTTCTGGTTCGTCTTCCTTGAAGTGATGGTGATGCTGCCGCGTGCTCTTCTGGGCCACGCCTGGTATGCGACACAGGGTCTTCACCTGCCTCCATCCCGGCGTGCCATCCTACCGTATCTGCTGTAGGCCCCTCGGTAGCCTGCATCCTGCTTGCAGTGCTCGGTTTTGTGCCTGACATTTGTCAATTTTCAAATTTGAGACCAACACCAACCGCGACTTGAGAGCCAGCAACCGGTCGGCCGCTCGAGAATCATGCCATGAGCCAGCAGCAGACTACGCTCAATGCCTTCTTCAAGCGCAAGCCAGCTGCAGATGCGAGTACAGCGTCGCCTCCAGCAAAACGACAAAAGGCCGCGCCATCACGCGCCGCAGCGCCTGTGCCTCCAACACCACAGCCTGCATCGGCCAGGACACAGCAGTGGCATGCGACGGAAAGCGCAACACAGCCAGTATCTTCGCCTGCAAAGGATGTTTTGCATGAGCGATTCGTTGCAAAGCTAGGCCGAAAAACAGACGCGCCAAGTCTAATGTCGCGCTTTGGTCGAACAGAGGATCCAGCACCAGCCAAGGCCGTCAAGCTCACGCCACTCGAGGAGCAAGTCAGTCAAATACAAGCAGCAAACCCAGATACGATGCTGCTCGTTGAAGTTGGCTACAAATTTCGCTTCTTTGGCCCAGATGCGCAGCAAGGTGCAGAGATTCTTGGCATCGCTTGCTTCATGGATCATGCCCACCTCACCGCCAGCTTTCCCGTGCCTCGACTTGATATCCATGTACATCGTCTCGTCAAGGCTGGCAAAAAGGTTGGCGTCGTACGCCAGATGGAAACGGCTGCTCTCAAGGCAGCAGGGGATAACCGGAACACAACGTTTGAGCGGCGTCTTTGCGAGGTCTACACACAAGGCACGTATTTGGACCATACTGACATGGGTGGGTGGATTCTAGCCATTGCCGAGGATGTATTGCCAGAGGACGAGGCACAGGACGGCGTCGGCCAGCGTGCGCAAGTTGACTTGGCCATTGTCGCTGTGCGCGTTGAATCGAGTGAAGTCGTGTACGACACATTCACGGATACTGCTATGCGGCATGAATTGGAACGGAGGCTGCAGATGCTTGATGTAAAAGAGGTCTTGGCGGTCGGGGAACTATGCTCCAAGACGCGTCGCATCCTTGGGTCTGCTTCACTCATCTCTGCAAAGCGTGAAGCCGAGCCAGATGATTTGCCCGAAGCCATCAGATCGTGTCTCGCAGCTCTCAAGTTGTACTTGGCCGAGTTCAAGCTTGCGACGGTCATGACGACCCCATTGATTCCCTTTGAAAGTAAGCTGTCCATGCAGCTTCCAGCGACCACAATCGCTAGCCTCGAGCTGTTTCACAACTCAGTAGATGGGGCCAAGTATGGCACGCTTTTTTGGATGCTGGACCACACACGTACCTCGCCTGGCAAGCGTTTGCTCCATTCTTGGATTGCACGACCACTAGTTCATCTACCTACTTTGAAGGAGCGTCAAAAGGCAGTCAGCGAGCTAGTCAACGCCAAAGGCACGCAGTTTGTGCAGTCAGAAAAGCTTCTTGGCGTGCTCAAACGTTTACCAGACCTGGATCGCAGCTTATCCAAGATCCTTTATGGCAAAGCCTCTAGACCAGAAGTCCTGGCCATGCTGAAAGGTTTTCAATTGCTTGGCCAATGCTTCGATGCGAGGGAGGCGTTCGCATTTGACGTGCTCAACGACAAGCTCTCCGCTTTGCAAACAGCTGCGCTGGTCGAGTCTTTTCTTGGGGAAATTGACGAGAAGAGAACGCTGCAGGACGACAAGTTTTCCATGTTCAAAGAGAGTGATGCTCTTGATGGTATCTCCGATCACAAACTGGGCATCCTCGCTATCGAGACTGAACTAGAAGAGCACCTCGAGGAGATTAAGGCAACGCTCAAAAGGAAGCACGTAGACTATGTCTCTGTCGCCGGTATCGATTACCTCATCGAGCTCAAGAATGATGCCTGCAAGCTCGTCCCTAAGGAATGGAAAAAGATGTCAGGCACCAAGTTTTGCTCACGCTTTCATACGCCGCGCATCACAAGACTGGTTGCTGAGCGAGACCAGCGTAAAGAAAGTCTCGCCATGGAATGTGACGCCGCTTTTGCAGCATATATGAAGCGCATTGCTGAGCACTATGATACGCTGCGCTGGATTGTGAGTTGTGTTGCAGAACTCGATTGCCTACAGAGTCTCGCATCCGTTTCCCGAACGCAAGGCTACGTTTGTCCAGATTTGCTGGAAGGCGCACCCATGCTCGACTTCAAGAGTTCATCCCATCCAATCCTGCAACGAATTGTTGATGCCTTTGTTCCAAACGACATCAGCCTCTTGCCTGGCAAAGAGAAAAGTACGCTTCTTATCACGGGTCCAAACATGGGAGGCAAATCGTCCTTTGTCAAGCAGGTGGCACTGTTGACCATTCTTGCGCAGATTGGATGCTATGTGCCCGCAGAGTCTGCAAAACTGACGCTGGTTGATGGCGTCTATTGTCGCATGGGTGCCAGCGATTCACTGGCCACGCGTGAAAGTACGTTCATGGTCGAACTGCACGAGTGCGCCGATATTATGAAGGCCGCTACTGCCAAATCGCTGGTCATTCTAGATGAAGTCGGTCGAGGCACTAGCACGATGGATGGTCTTGCTGTGGCATATGGTGTCTTATCCCACTTTCTTCAATTGAAGTGCCGCACGCTGTTTGTGACGCATTATCCCAGCCTTGGCGACGTTGCGCAGGAAAGGCCTGGCTTGCAATGTTGTTACATGGACTACGTTGAGGCTAATGGCAGCATCACATTCCTCTACAAATTAGCTGCCGGTATTGCTGCTCGCTCATATGGCCTCAACGTTGCCAAGCTTGCTGGTCTGCCAGAATCTCTCTTGGCTCTTGCCGACAAGAAGGGGAAAGAAATGGAAGAGGCGTTGGCGAGTCGAAGAGACTGGCAGTTTGCAAAGAGCTTGCTCGATGTGCACATGGGTGCCGACGTCGAGGATATGCTCGAGATGGCCCTCGGTCTATAGTCATTCTGGAAAATGGAAACAAGCGACATCCGACATGAGTAAGAAGCGATTGCACGTCTCAATGATAGATAGTAGACCGGAAAAATAGCGGAAATGGGTGTTAGTATGAGACTTATAATGAAAGTGTAGCATCATGGTGGCCATCAGCTGCTGGTTTGATTTTGGTGTTGCAAGTGTGAGTAGCGATCCTGACACTCGCCCAAGCAGCCAAAATGCTACGACATCGAGCTCCAGACGGAGTCAGAGGCTTGGACCGGAACAGACAGCTCAGCACTGCTGGACATGTCTATCAAGCTAGCCAATTGGCTATAGCTGCAATGCAAGCACAAGCAAGCCTGTTCTGTGGTGACTAGTCGTACTTGGCGAGGATTGTATCAAAGAATCGCCTACTCAAGCTTTTCTATCATTCTCGTCTCGATGCGCCTTGTTGAAGGCTATCAGGCTCTTGAGCTTGAAGACACGACTTCGACATCTCTCGATAAGCGAGCTCCGACCAAATACTCAATATCCTGCGTTACTTTGGCTCACGGTCTCGATACTTGAAGTCACGCGCTAGGTCACAAGAGCCGTTTGCCCTCTCCTGCTGCCACCACAATTGCTTTGTCTATGCTAGCTAAGACTTGCAAGTAGCATCTCACAAACTTTGTTTGGCTAGCGTAGACTTGATCTACAAGGTGCTGATCGAGTGAACGCCTAGGTGCCCTCTGCAGTTGTCAGAGCGGCTGGGCTAACTGCTACCATGGAGCCCAGCAGATTGATGCGGTTTCTGTGATGCCAAGATCAGTGACTGCGTAGCTTGACAAGCATCCCAAACGGAGCAAATACCGGCAGAACGTCGTGGAAGAGGTCGTCAATCAACACTACTGCACAATGACATGTCAATCCCATTGATCTCGCACAAGACTCGCGCCATTTCAAACCCGCTTTGGTGAAGTGACGACTACAGGGATGTGCGCCGCGACATCTCGACACCTATGCGTCAACGAGCTCAGCATGCCTTCTGCGCCTTCAGGCCCATCACGACACACTCGGAGACAGTGTCATGCAGCAGCCGCTAAGCTGCATCGTCGTCTTGCTGCTATCGAAGTTTCCCCAAGAGGCGGTCCGCGATCCTGTCTGTCGAGAATAGCACGCAGCATCCCTCATCAGGTCTGGCTTATGGATCTGCCGCTATGCGATCATACTGCAGCTGAGTGAGTTGCGCGATGCCGCTGCATCTGAGACAAGGAGCGTGCTATGAAGCATTACGATGCGATTGTCCAGTACCATGTTGAGCACTACTATGCGCTGCTTTGGATCCTGGCTTGTCTCACAACTGTATTGCACTGCTTGCAAAGCCTGGCCTCCGTCGCTCAAACTCGAGGCTATGTCTGCCCAGATCTGTTTGAAGGCGCACCCACACTAGACTCAGACGCGTCACGTACTCTTCTGCAATGCATGGTGGGAATATCTGCTCCAGACAATGTCAATCGCTTGCTGGTCGAGGCATGCGTGCTACTCATCGCTGGTCCAAACATGAAAGGCGCTGTTGACTATTCTTGCGCATATTCGATGCTATGTGCCTGCACAGTCCGCACAGTCCGCAAGAACCCTGGTCAATGATATTTACTGTCGTCTTGGTGCGGGCGACTCGCCGACCTGGTTGCGACTGCCGATTCGCTCGTCATTCTTGACAAAATTTACTCAGGGACAAGCACGATGGATGAACCTGCTGTGGAATTTGTCGTGCTGTCCATTCTCATGCGGTTAGAGTGCTTGACGCCGTTTGTGGCGCACTGCTCTAGCCTTGCTTACCATCCAGGCTTGCAATGCTGCATCGTGCTGCCTCGTGCTGCTTCGTGCTGCTTCGTGCACTCCCTTGAAGCCAATGGCCACATGACATCTCTTTACAAGTTCGCTGCTGTTTATGTCGGTAGGTTATACGAGCCCAATGTTGCCGAGCTTGCTGGTCCGCAAGAATTGCTCTTGGCCTTTGCCGACAAAGAGGGCAAAAGATGGTGGAAGCGTTGGAGGGTCGAAGGGATGTGTAATTTGCCAAGTGCTACATGGACGCCATACAAGTTGATCTTGAGGAAACGATCACTGAGTTTATGTCGGACTCGGGACTAGTCTGTCACTTATCTATAGCAAGGAAAGTCATCTATAGCGAAACCCACCGATCCATGAATTCATGATCATTGGGCATGAATAGACAAGGAATGTTAAGAAACTAGCAGAATGCACTGCAAAGGCCCATGATTGCAAGCGTCAATCACTGAGCCAACTCTGCTGACCATACAGGTATGGGGCGCGGAAAAGATGGCGACTTCATGGAACGACCAGGCAGGGACTTATCTTGGTCGGGAGCTCTTTGACGGGGAGAGCACTAGGTAGTAGTCTCCGCAGCAAGTACAAAAAGAGAAAAGTAGTTGCTAATAGCTAAATTACTGACCAAGGAGCAAAGGACAAAGCTAGAGGCTCTTCTATGTCCGAAGCTGCCTTGCCAGACCTATGGAAAAGACTTGAGAAGGAATAGAAGGACATGGGAGATCGGAGGCCAGATTGAAGAAGCTATTGTTGAGCGGAGTGTGGTTGACGAATAATAGAGGCGTAAACTGAAGAATCTCCGTACGAGTAACGCAGTGTAGTAGGATCAGATGGCTCTTGAGGGTGGATCAGATGGTGAGCAGACTGGTCCGTGACATTTCAGCGTCTAGCATCCCTGAATGGTCCACTTTCCTGAAGACCCAATGCTGCATAAGAACCAAGCAGGTGTACAGCGTTGTCCAATATTGTTGCAGAGAAAGGCTCTCGAGTCCAAATAATTGTGTAGGTCCTGGAGCGGTATCTTCTCCGCGTCTTATCTAGGAGTGGCGGGTCCGATATTGGAAAAGGCTTCTCCCAGAGTCCGCCAAATGACTGGGCCATGAAAAGTGCGAAGGGACCATCATTTTTGATTACCATCGAAGCTCTTGACGGCCTTTGCTTCCTGATCACCGTGTCTGGGCTGGGATGATTTTTGATGTCATATTTTTTCGGTGCATGCGCAACTATCCCTCGATCACCTGGACCGCCGTTCAGGCGCTTCAGCCACATCAAAGCATATTGCGGGATGCCGCTGGTGAATCTCTCGGCAAACATCAGTGGGTCGCAGTCCTCTTCATTCACAAAAGCATCCTCAACAACAATGCCAATGTCGCATGTACACATCCTCGGGTCTTCTTTTGCTGGTTTGCTACCCTTCTTTGCTCCTGCTCGTTTGCCATCCTTCTTCTCTTCTGCTCTTTTGCGACGTTCAGCCTCTGCAGCTTGGTGAGCTTCCTCCCTTCTTGCTTTGCCAATATCACTTGCACGCCAAAACTGAGCCGTGATTGCTGTCAAAAGGTATTTGAGAGGGAGTAAGTTCGCTTGACTTGATGAGGCCGTAGAGCACGAAGCTGTCGAGGCAAAAAGTAAAGCTGAACAATGGCCAATTGCAGGCTTAATTGCTGGAAAGTTTCCAGGTTCTGGAACTGGAGTTTTGAAACGAACCCAATCAACAGCCCTATCGATTTGATCCCAGAGTCTATCGATGTAGACCGACAGCGTGTTGTTTTCGAATCTGGGAACGAGCTCGGAATGCATCGGTTCTTTTCCCTTGCCATGCACTGAACTTGGTTCGCTTGGTCTGATGCCTGCTTCTCCGTTCATTTGTTGAAGCTCGCCAACTAACGCCTTCGTCTGATCGCTGAACAGTCTGACGTCGAATGGCAAATTGCCTAAGGAGAATCGCCAGCCGAAGTACATCCAACCAAGATTGCATCGATCATGAGCATAGGGACCAGCTTTGATCTCCGAGCGAGCCTCTTTGTATTTTTCCATTATATCCCGGCATCTTTTTTCGCACTGCTCTGAATCGATGACAGGGAATTCTGTGGAGAGAATGAATTCCAGCTCCCTCGACATGAGCTCACCGGCTGCATCGCCCCCAGATACTGCCTTATTTTTGCCCTTGAAAGGGTTAACAGAACGAGTCGCAAGGACCAGAACCAACAAGACCACGAGAGCGCTGAGATTGATGCGCTGGAGGGCATGAAACATGATGGTTTGTCTGTTGTGAAGGCGTAGCTCGGGTGTCTTCACCGCGACCTTGCAGTTGTAATCGAGATGAGCGAGAAAGCCAAAGGGCCACGTCAGACTTTTGCTTCAGCATCAGGAGTCAATCACTTCCTCAGGGGCTCTTTGATTCGGAAGCGCAGCAAGGGGCTTCCGCGCAGAATGCCTATTAGTAGGCGGAAAGGAAACGCTGACCCCTTTGCGGAGCGCTTGAAGGCGGACTCTTCCACATAGACGTGAGAGCTGATGACTTGCGACTCAAATTCAAGAAGATATCGGCAACGGGCCCTCTAGCCATGACCACGAAGCTGTACAAATTGAGCCAAACGTTCGGAAAAACTGATCAGGTTGAGCGGTTAAGTACCCAGTCACATGGCTTGACTTGCTATTGCATCTCTGTGCCAGACTGTCCACGTAGCGCGCGCTTGACGTAATGGCTACCCCTGAATTTGCTTTCAGGTACTGACAGGTAGTATGAGCCTCTACTCTGCTCCTCATCCGTAGCAGTCCTATTTGCACTTCCCAATTTGCTTGTGCTTGGCAAGTTGACATCTCGTCATCCACGTCATCCCTATTTCCACGCACTATTCCCGTAGGATCAGCCGCGATCCGGAGCAAGTTGCTGTAGTAGATGTTTGCTAAAATTTTCCGCGGACATGACATGGAGGGCCTAGACCTGCGTTGGGTGCCAGCATTGTCGGGCACGCTAGATTGATGCGCAAAAGGAGCCAGGAGTCACAGCTGGCATGACAGAAGGAAAGAGAGTGAGAAGGTCCTTGCGGGCTTGTGAGATTGGCCGATGCTGCAATGCCTATGGCGATTATGTCAAGAAGCGAGACTGTCTCGTATGTGGCCATCAAGAAGCGATGTGAATGCGGATGCAGCGTCGGAAGATGAAACGAGCCCGGGCTAGATACTGCTTGCAGTTGTGTTTATGACTTCCACAGAGGGATGCAGGAATCGACGAGAAGTGAATGTAGTGGCCTGCAGCTGTAGACACTAGTACAAGCCCGGGTGAAAGGGAGATGCAGAGGGCTATGGCACGACATCGATGCACTGAGTGCTCGTGAGTGCGTATGCAGATTGAAGCGAGGGCATCAAAGCCGAGGTGCAAGCTTGAGATGAGTTTCATGTGCCATTGTCATTGGCCCATTGATACGCTGTGCGGAAGCTTTTGCACCTATCACTTTCGAGATCGGGCATAGTCATGAGTGAGGGCGCTTCAGGCGAAGAAGAGACTGTACATGGTCCTGCAGGCGGTGTGGTCAGTGTGGTGGCAGCTGAGCTACACTCGGTGGTGTTGCTCTCAACACCACATTGCGTAGATTCGCGAGTACAGAGACTACATCATACATATACACTTCATGAGTTCGCTGATGGTCTGTGCACGATAAGTACACTCTGCGACCTACAGCTGTGTCTGACATCACCGGACCATGCTCAAAGCGAGTGTTGGTAAAGGAACCTGGGTATGGAGAGGAGCACATGGTCATGCATACTGCCGGCATACGCACACCTGGTAGAACCAAAGTCCTTGTCATGTGCTGGATGGCTATCCAGCGCTCTACTTTGGGGCACTCCTGCTTCTTCATGCGCTATGACACGACTACCTCGAGCCACATTCGACGCTGTACAGTCTCTGCTTCAAGTTTTAAGCTGTGCAACGGCCAGACCATCGCATCACCCAGCCTGACGCTTCCTGCCCTGTCTTTGTGGTCAGATCGTGCGTTCTCCTCACATCTGCTGCAATGGTACATTCGACGTTGACTAAGATTGGCCATTATGTCAAGGACCAGGTGTTTTGAGCCACAACATCACTTCGCATGCCTTCGTCGCCGCCCTGCAGTAGATGTCATTCAGTTTCCTCAAGTAGCCACTGGCATTGCAGGTGAAACATGCCAAACAATGCAAGTATTGCGACTGAGCCTGTGGCAGCCTGAGGTGCGATCCTGTTTGTCAATGAATGCACGCAGCATCTCTCATCAGGCCTGGCTTATGGATCAGTCGCTTTGCGATCGTACTGCAGCTCAGTGGATTGCGCGATGCCGCTGCATCTGAGACAAGTAGCGTGCTATGAAGCATTACGATGCAATTGTCCAGTACCATGTTGAGCACTACGATGCGCTACTATGAATCTTGGCTTGTCTCACAGCTGTATTGCACTGCTTGCCAAGCCTGGCATCCGTCGCTCAAACTCGAGGCTATGTCTGCCCAGATTTGTTTCAAGGCGCACCCACACTAGACTCAGACGCGTCACGTACTCTTCTGCAATGCATGGTGGGGATATCTGCTCCAGACAATGTCAATCGCTTGCTGGTCGAGGCATGCATGCTACTCATCGCTGGTCCAAACATGAAAGGCGCTGTTGACTATTCTTGCGCATATTCGATGCTATGTGCCTGCACAGTCCGCACAGTCCGCAAGAACCCTGGTCAATGATATTTACTGTCGTCTTGGTGCGGGCGACTCGCCGACCTGGTTGCGACTGCCGATTCGCTCGTCATTCTTGACAAAATTTACTCAGGGACAAGCACGATGGATGAACCTGCTGTGGAATTTGTCGTGCTGTCCATTCTCATGCGGTTAGAGTGCTTGACGCCGTTTGTGGCGCACTGCTCTAGCCTTGCTTACCATCCAGGCTTGCAATGCTGCATCGTGCTGCCTCGTGCTGCTTCGTGCTGCTTCGTGCACTCCCTTGAAGCCAATGGCCACATGACATCTCTTTACAAGTTCGCTGCTGTTTATGTCGGTAGGTTATACGAGCCCAATGTTGCCGAGCTTGCTGGTCCGCAAGAATTGCTCTTGGCCTTTGCCGACAAAGAGGGCAAAAGATGGTGGAAGCGTTGGAGGGTCGAAGGGATGTGTAATTTGCCAAGTGCTACATGGACGCCATACAAGTTGATCTTGAGGAAACGATCACTGAGTTTATGTCGGACTCGGGACTAGTCTGTCACTTATCTATAGCAAGGAAAGTCATCTATAGCGAAACCCACCGATCCATGAATTCATGATCATTGGGCATGAATAGACAAGGAATGTTAAGAAACTAGCAGAATGCACTGCAAAGGCCCATGATTGCAAGCGTCAATCACTGAGCCAACTCTGCTGACCATACAGGTATGGGGCGCGGAAAAGATGGCGACTTCATGGAACGACCAGGCAGGGACTTATCTTGGTCGGGAGCTCTTTGACGGGGAGAGCACTAGGTAGTAGTCTCCGCAGCAAGTACAAAAAGAGAAAAGTAGTTGCTAATAGCTAAATTACTGACCAAGGAGCAAAGGACAAAGCTAGAGGCTCTTCTATGTCCGAAGCTGCCTTGCCAGACCTATGGAAAAGACTTGAGAAGGAATAGAAGGACATGGGAGATCGGAGGCCAGATTGAAGAAGCTATTGTTGAGCGGAGTGTGGTTGACGAATAATAGAGGCGTAAACTGAAGAATCTCCGTACGAGTAACGCAGTGTAGTAGGATCAGATGGCTCTTGAGGGTGGATCAGATGGTGAGCAGACTGGTCCGTGACATTTCAGCGTCTAGCATCCCTGAATGGTCCACTTTCCTGAAGACCCAATGCTGCATAAGAACCAAGCAGGTGTACAGCGTTGTCCAATATTGTTGCAGAGAAAGGCTCTCGAGTCCAAATAATTGTGTAGGTCCTGGAGCGGTATCTTCTCCGCGTCTTATCTAGGAGTGGCGGGTCCGATATTGGAAAAGGCTTCTCCCAGAGTCCGCCAAATGACTGGGCCATGAAAAGTGCGAAGGGACCATCATTTTTGATTACCATCGAAGCTCTTGACGGCCTTTGCTTCCTGATCACCGTGTCTGGGCTGGGATGATTTTTGATGTCATATTTTTTCGGTGCATGCGCAACTATCCCTCGATCACCTGGACCGCCGTTCAGGCGCTTCAGCCACATCAAAGCATATTGCGGGATGCCGCTGGTGAATCTCTCGGCAAACATCAGTGGGTCGCAGTCCTCTTCATTCACAAAAGCATCCTCAACAACAATGCCAATGTCGCATGTACACATCCTCGGGTCTTCTTTTGCTGGTTTGCTACCCTTCTTTGCTCCTGCTCGTTTGCCATCCTTCTTCTCTTCTGCTCTTTTGCGACGTTCAGCCTCTGCAGCTTGGTGAGCTTCCTCCCTTCTTGCTTTGCCAATATCACTTGCACGCCAAAACTGAGCCGTGATTGCTGTCAAAAGGTATTTGAGAGGGAGTAAGTTCGCTTGACTTGATGAGGCCGTAGAGCACGAAGCTGTCGAGGCAAAAAGTAAAGCTGAACAATGGCCAATTGCAGGCTTAATTGCTGGAAAGTTTCCAGGTTCTGGAACTGGAGTTTTGAAACGAACCCAATCAACAGCCCTATCGATTTGATCCCAGAGTCTATCGATGTAGACCGACAGCGTGTTGTTTTCGAATCTGGGAACGAGCTCGGAATGCATCGGTTCTTTTCCCTTGCCATGCACTGAACTTGGTTCGCTTGGTCTGATGCCTGCTTCTCCGTTCATTTGTTGAAGCTCGCCAACTAACGCCTTCGTCTGATCGCTGAACAGTCTGACGTCGAATGGCAAATTGCCTAAGGAGAATCGCCAGCCGAAGTACATCCAACCAAGATTGCATCGATCATGAGCATAGGGACCAGCTTTGATCTCCGAGCGAGCCTCTTTGTATTTTTCCATTATATCCCGGCATCTTTTTTCGCACTGCTCTGAATCGATGACAGGGAATTCTGTGGAGAGAATGAATTCCAGCTCCCTCGACATGAGCTCACCGGCTGCATCGCCCCCAGATACTGCCTTATTTTTGCCCTTGAAAGGGTTAACAGAACGAGTCGCAAGGACCAGAACCAACAAGACCACGAGAGCGCTGAGATTGATGCGCTGGAGGGCATGAAACATGATGGTTTGTCTGTTGTGAAGGCGTAGCTCGGGTGTCTTCACCGCGACCTTGCAGTTGTAATCGAGATGAGCGAGAAAGCCAAAGGGCCACGTCAGACTTTTGCTTCAGCATCAGGAGTCAATCACTTCCTCAGGGGCTCTTTGATTCGGAAGCGCAGCAAGGGCTTCCGCGCAGAATGCCTATTAGTAGGCGGAAAGGAAACGCTGACCCCTTTGCGGAGCGCTTGAAGGCGACTCTTCCACATAGACGTGAGAGCTGATGACTTGCGACTCAAATTCAAGAAGATATCGGCAACGGGCCCTCTAGCCATGACCACGAAGCTGTACAAATTGAGCCAAACGTTCGGAAAAACTGATCAGGTTGAGCGGTTAAGTACCCAGTCACATGGCTTGACTTGCTATTGCATCTCTGTGCCAGACTGTCCACGTAGCGCGCGCTTGACGTAATGGCTACCCTGAATTTGCTTTCAGGTACTGACAGGTAGTATGAGCCTCTACTCTGCTCCTCATCCGTAGCAGTCCTATTTGCACTTCCCAATTTGCTTGTGCTTGGCAAGTTGACATCTCGTCATCCACGTCATCCCTATTTCCACGCACTATTCCCGTAGGATCAGCCGCGATCCGGAGCAAGTTGCTGTAGTAGATGTTTGCTAAAATTTTCCGCGGACATGACATGGAGGGCCTAGACCTGCGTTGGGTGCCAGCATTGTCGGGCACGCTAGATTGATGCGCAAAAGGAGCCAGGAGTCACAGCTGGCATGACAGAAGGAAAGAGAGTGAGAAGGTCCTTGCGGGCTTGTGAGATTGGCCGATGCTGCAATGCCTATGGCGATTATGTCAAGAAGCGAGACTGTCTCGTATGTGGCCATCAAGAAGCGATGTGAATGCGGATGCAGCGTCGGAAGATGAAACGAGCCCGGGCTAGATACTGCTTGCAGTTGTGTTTATGACTTCCACAGAGGGATGCAGGAATCGACGAGAAGTGAATGTAGTGGCCTGCAGCTGTAGACACTAGTACAAGCCCGGGTGAAAGGGAGATGCAGAGGGCTATGGCACGACATCGATGCACTGAGTGCTCGTGAGGTGCGTATGCAGATTGAAGCGAGGGCATCAAAGCCGAGGTGCAAGCTTGAGATGAGTTTCATGTGCCATTGTCATTGGCCCATTGATACGCTGTGCGAAGCTTTTGCACCTATCACTTTCGAGATCGGGCATAGTCATGAGTGAGGGCGCTTCAGGCGAAGAAGAGACTGTACATGGTCCTGCAGGCGGTGTGGTCAGTGTGGTGGCAGCTGAGCTACACTCGGTGGTGTTGCTCTCAACACCACATTGCGTAGATTCGCGAGTACAGAGACTACATCATACATATACACTTCATGAGTTCGCTGATGGTCTGTGCACGATAAGTACACTCTGCGACCTACAGCTGTGTCTGACATCACCGGACCATGCTCAAAGCGAGTGTTGGTAAAGGAACCTGGGTATGGAGAGGAGCACATGGTCATGCATACTGCCGGCATACGCACACCTGGTAGAACCAAAGTCCTTGTCATGTGCTGGATGGCTATCCAGCGCTCTACTTTGGGGCACTCCTGCTTCTTCATGCGCTATGACACGACTACCTCGAGCCACATTCGACGCTGTACAGTCTCTGCTTCAAGTTTTAAGCTGTGCAACGGCCAGACCATCGCATCACCCAGCCTGACGCTTCCTGCCCTGTCTTTGTGGTCAGATCGTGCGTTCTCCTCACATCTGCTGCAATGGTACATTCGACGTTGACTAAGATTGGCCATTATGTCAAGGACCAGGTGTTTTGAGCCACAACATCACTTCGCATGCCTTCGTCGCCGCCCTGCAGTAGATGTCATTCAGTTTCCTCAAGTAGCCACTGGCATTGCAGGTGAAACATGCCAAACAATGCAAGTATTGCGACTGAGCCTGTGGCAGCCTGAGGTGCGATCCTGTTTGTCAATGAATGCACGCAGCATCTCTCATCAGGCCTGGCTTATGGATCAGTCGCTTTGCGATCGTACTGCAGCTCAGTGGATTGCGCGATGCCGCTGCATCTGAGACAAGTAGCGTGCTATGAAGCATTACGATGCAATTGTCCAGTACCATGTTGAGCACTACGATGCGCTACTATGAATCTTGGCTTGTCTCACAGCTGTATTGCACTGCTTGCCAAGCCTGGCATCCGTCGCTCAAACTCGAGGCTATGTCTGCCCAGATTTGTTTCAAGGCGCACCCACACTAGACTCAGACGCGTCACGTACTCTTCTGCAATGCATGGTGGGGATATCTGCTCCAGACAATGTCAATCGCTTGCTGGTCGAGGCATGCATGCTACTCATCGCTGGTCCAAACATGAAAGGCGCTGTTGACTATTCTTGCGCATATTCGATGCTATGTGCCTGCACAGTCCGCACAGTCCGCAAGAACCCTGGTCAATGATATTTACTGTCGTCTTGGTGCGGGCGACTCGCCGACCTGGTTGCGACTGCCGATTCGCTCGTCATTCTTGACAAAATTTACTCAGGGACAAGCACGATGGATGAACCTGCTGTGGAATTTGTCGTGCTGTCCATTCTCATGCGGTTAGAGTGCTTGACGCCGTTTGTGGCGCACTGCTCTAGCCTTGCTTACCATCCAGGCTTGCAATGCTGCATCGTGCTGCCTCGTGCTGCTTCGTGCTGCTTCGTGCACTCCCTTGAAGCCAATGGCCACATGACATCTCTTTACAAGTTCGCTGCTGTTTATGTCGGTAGGTTATACGAGCCCAATGTTGCCGAGCTTGCTGGTCCGCAAGAATTGCTCTTGGCCTTTGCCGACAAAGAGGGCAAAAGATGGTGGAAGCGTTGGAGGGTCGAAGGGATGTGTAATTTGCCAAGTGCTACATGGACGCCATACAAGTTGATCTTGAGGAAACGATCACTGAGTTTATGTCGGACTCGGGACTAGTCTGTCACTTATCTATAGCAAGGAAAGTCATCTATAGCGAAACCCACCGATCCATGAATTCATGATCATTGGGCATGAATAGACAAGGAATGTTAAGAAACTAGCAGAATGCACTGCAAAGGCCCATGATTGCAAGCGTCAATCACTGAGCCAACTCTGCTGACCATACAGGTATGGGGCGCGGAAAAGATGGCGACTTCATGGAACGACCAGGCAGGGACTTATCTTGGTCGGGAGCTCTTTGACGGGGAGAGCACTAGGTAGTAGTCTCCGCAGCAAGTACAAAAAGAGAAAAGTAGTTGCTAATAGCTAAATTACTGACCAAGGAGCAAAGGACAAAGCTAGAGGCTCTTCTATGTCCGAAGCTGCCTTGCCAGACCTATGGAAAAGACTTGAGAAGGAATAGAAGGACATGGGAGATCGGAGGCCAGATTGAAGAAGCTATTGTTGAGCGGAGTGTGGTTGACGAATAATAGAGGCGTAAACTGAAGAATCTCCGTACGAGTAACGCAGTGTAGTAGGATCAGATGGCTCTTGAGGGTGGATCAGATGGTGAGCAGACTGGTCCGTGACATTTCAGCGTCTAGCATCCCTGAATGGTCCACTTTCCTGAAGACCCAATGCTGCATAAGAACCAAGCAGGTGTACAGCGTTGTCCAATATTGTTGCAGAGAAAGGCTCTCGAGTCCAAATAATTGTGTTAGGTCCTGGAGCGGTATCTTCTCCGCGTCTTATCTAGGAGTGGCGGGTCCGATATTGGAAAAGGCTTCTCCCAGAGTCCGCCAAATGACTGGGCCATGAAAAGTGCGAAGGGACCATCATTTTTGATTACCATCGAAGCTCTTGACGGCCTTTGCTTCCTGATCACCGTGTCTGGGCTGGGATGATTTTTGATGTCATATTTTTTTCGGTGCATGCGCAACTATCCCTCGATCACCTGGACCGCCGTTCAGGCGCTTCAGCCACATCAAAGCATATTGCGGGATGCCGCTGGTGAATCTCTCGGCAAAACATCAGTGGGTCGCAGTCCTCTTCATTCACAAAAAGCATCCTCAACAACAATGCCAATGTCGCATGTACACATCCTCGGGTCTTCTTTTGCTGGTTTGCTACCCTTCTTTGCTCCTGCTCGTTTGCCATCCTTCTTCTCTTCTGCTCTTTTGCGACGTTCAGCCTCTGCAGCTTGGTGAGCTTCCTCCCTTCTTGCTTTGCCAATATCACTTGCACGCCAAAACTGAGCCGTGATTGCTGTCAAAAGGTATTTGAGAGGGAGTAAGTTCGCTTGACTTGATGAGGCCGTAGAGCACGAAGCTGTCGAGGCAAAAAGTAAAGCTGAACAATGGCCAATTGCAGGCTTAATTGCTGGAAAGTTTCCAGGTTCTGGAACTGGAGTTTTGAAACGAACCCAATCAACAGCCCTATCGATTTGATCCCAGAGTCTATCGATGTAGACCGACAGCGTGTTGTTTTCGAATCTGGGAACGAGCTCGGAATGCATCGGTTCTTTTCCCTTGCCATGCACTGAACTTGGTTCGCTTGGTCTGATGCCTGCTTCTCCGTTCATTTGTTGAAGCTCGCCAACTAACGCCTTCGTCTGATCGCTGAACAGTCTGACGTCGAATGGCAAATTGCCTAAGGAGAATCGCCAGCCGAAGTACATCCAACCAAGATTGCATCGATCATGAGCATAGGGACCAGCTTTGATCTCCGAGCGAGCCTCTTTGTATTTTTCCATTATATCCCGGCATCTTTTTTCGCACTGCTCTGAATCGATGACAGGGAATTCTGTGGAGAGAATGAATTCCAGCTCCCTCGACATGAGCTCACCGGCTGCATCGCCCCCAGATACTGCCTTATTTTTGCCCTTGAAAGGGTTAACAGAACGAGTCGCAAGGACCAGAACCAACAAGACCACGAGAGCGCTGAGATTGATGCGCTGGAGGGCATGAAACATGATGGTTTGTCTGTTGTGAAGGCGTAGCTCGGGTGTCTTCACCGCGACCTTGCAGTTGTAATCGAGATGAGCGAGAAAGCCAAAGGGCCACGTCAGACTTTTGCTTCAGCATCAGGAGTCAATCACTTCCTCAGGGGCTCTTTGATTCGGAAGCGCAGCAAGGGCTTCCGCGCAGAATGCCTATTAGTAGGCGGAAAGGAAACGCTGACCCCTTTGCGGAGCGCTTGAAGGCGGACTCTTCCACATAGACGTGAGAGCTGATGACTTGCGACTCAAATTCAAGAAGATATCGGCAACGGGCCCTCTAGCCATGACCACGAAGCTGTACAAATTGAGCCAAACGTTCGGAAAAACTGATCAGGTTGAGCGGTTAAGTACCCAGTCACATGGCTTGACTTGCTATTGCATCTCTGTGCCAGACTGTCCACGTAGCGCGCGCTTGACGTAATGGCTACCCCTGAATTTGCTTTCAGGTACTGACAGGTAGTATGAGCCTCTACTCTGCTCCTCATCCGTAGCAGTCCTATTTGCACTTCCCAATTTGCTTGTGCTTGGCAAGTTGACATCTCGTCATCCACGTCATCCCTATTTCCACGCACTATTCCCGTAGGATCAGCCGCGATCCGGAGCAAGTTGCTGTAGTAGATGTTTGCTAAAATTTTCCGCGGACATGACATGGAGGGCCTAGACCTGCGTTGGGTGCCAGCATTGTCGGGCACGCTAGATTGATGCGCAAAAGGAGCCAGGAGTCACAGCTGGCATGACAGAAGGAAAGAGAGTGAGAAGGTCCTTGCGGGCTTGTGAGATTGGCCGATGCTGCAATGCCTATGGCGATTATGTCAAGAAGCGAGACTGTCTCGTATGTGGCCATCAAGAAGCGATGTGAATGCGGATGCAGCGTCGGAAGATAAATCGAGCCCGGGCTAGATACTGCTTGCAGTTGTGTTTATGACTTCCACAGAGGGATGCAGGAATCGACGAGAAGTGAATGTAGTGGCCTGCAGCTGTAGACACTAGTACAAGCCCGGGTGAAAGGGAGATGCAGAGGGCTATGGCACGACATCGATGCACTGAGTGCTCGTGAGGTGCGTATGCAGATTGAAGCGAGGGCATCAAAGCCGAGGTGCAAGCTTGAGATGAGTTTCATGTGCCATTGTCATTGGCCCATTGATACGCTGTGCGAAGCTTTTGCACCTATCACTTTCGAGATCGGGCATAGTCATGAGTGAGGGCGCTTCAGGCGAAGAAGAGACTGTACATGGTCCTGCAGGCGGTGTGGTCAGTGTGGTGGCAGCTGAGCTACACTCGGTGGTGTTGCTCTCAACACCACATTGCGTAGATTCGCGAGTACAGAGACTACATCATACATATACACTTCATGAGTTCGCTGATGGTCTGTGCACGATAAGTACACTCTGCGACCTACAGCTGTGTCTGACATCACCGGACCATGCTCAAAGCGAGTGTTGGTAAAGGAACCTGGGTATGGAGAGGAGCACATGGTCATGCATACTGCCGGCATACGCACACCTGGTAGAACCAAAGTCCTTGTCATGTGCTGGATGGCTATCCAGCGCTCTACTTTGGGGCACTCCTGCTTCTTCATGCGCTATGACACGACTACCTCGAGCCACATTCGACGCTGTACAGTCTCTGCTTCAAGTTTTAAGCTGTGCAACGGCCAGACCATCGCATCACCCAGCCTGACGCTTCCTGCCCTGTCTTTGTGGTCAGATCGTGCGTTCTCCTCACATCTGCTGCAATGGTACATTCGACGTTGACTAAGATTGGCCATTATGTCAAGGACCAGGTGTTTTGAGCCACAACATCACTTCGCATGCCTTCGTCGCCGCCCTGCAGTAGATGTCATTCAGTTTCCTCAAGTAGCCACTGGCATTGCAGGTGAAACATGCCAAACAATGCAAGTATTGCGACTGAGCCTGTGGCAGCCTGAGGTGCGATGGCAGATCGGCTCAGTGGAGGTCCAACATTGGCAGACATGCTCGCAACGATAGCCCACTATCAACAATGCTCTGACTTGCAAATACCCGCCTGCTCTGGACTCTATACCGACACGCTATGCACTGCTTTTCAAAGCAAGCGCGCAGTACGCAATATGACTTGAGTCAAATACCAAGACTTTCCGTCTATGCCAAGCGTCCCTGAGCCCGGTAACCGCTACCGAACTTTTGCTCGACGATGCAGAGACTGGGCAATGACCGACCTTGTCGGTACGACATCCCAAGCTGTACTGGTCAGCATACCTTGTGGAAACAAGACAATAAAGGCGATCCCAAGTGGGTCGATATGGAGGTGGGTAACCTCATGTAAGGGGATGATGAAAATGATGGTCTCAATACTGTTGACTGGCCGAGTGCACAAATACACGCAAGTCGGCGTTCAACAGTACCGATGATTGTTGTGTCGCCGACGGACTACATCTCGTTCTATGGACGGACTGATACATCAAGTCGCAAAAGGGAATCTTGCCTCACGGCAATCTTTGTGGTGCAACTAGAAGGATTGCACACATCGAGATTGCCACTCACGCCTCATCTCTACTGGCAAAACGACCTGGAAGTAAGCGATCCTTTGCACACGGAAGGGTCCTGGACAGACACCGTCGCATCTTCTGCGCTCAACAGTTCAAGAGGCAGACTCTGAGGTTCGACAGGCGCAAGCTTCATTGTGACAGTCGGGAAAAGCGCTTTGAGGGCTCATGCTTGTCTGGGCAACACAAATTGACGCATAACCAATTGTTGATACGCATAAAGCCAGCGTGTCTTACTGTTATCTGTATTTTGCCTGCTACGACGCGACGGCAAAGTACACAAACGGCCCGTATATCTTCCACTTGAGGACTGCATAGTCAAGTTTTGTTCGCATCAACAAGGCTTTATCGAAGAACGGATTTCTTCAAGCACTGGAAGTAGATGTACAGCAGTCTTGAGAAAGAGTATGAGAGCAAGCCATGAAGCTGCGCTGGTACGAGCGACAGGTCGGCGTTTTTGCAGACACAAGACATTGCGATCTCAGACTGCAAAGCCAACTGGACTTTACAAGCAGATCCTAATCGATTAAAGACAAGAAAGAGATCGTATTCACCTAGATAGTGGATCCTGTGGTGGTTTTTGACAATCTTTCTGTGAATTGAGGCTTGTCGGCATGAAGTATAGATGATACTTATAAGCCAATTTTCAAAATCGTTTTTTTTTTTATATTTCCTTCATTGCTATAGACTATAGCTATGGTTGAATAAGTAGGATGAAATGAGCTTTATCTCACGAAAGCTGCCCAGTGGGGCGACTAACAGTGCGGGACTGGCTGAAGAAGTGAAGACTTCAACAAGCACACCCGCTAAAACACCCTTCGAGTTACGCGCGCGCGCGAGCGCACAGCGTTTTTGTGTCTTTGATCACCCTCGTGATCTCTCTTTGCGTCAGTGGTGAAGTCAAGCCCGTTTTCCTGAATCGGCGAGACCTTGAGAGTCTCCAGATGCCGTGTACAGTGGCAGCGTAGGTCATGATCAGGTCACGATCATCTTTGCTGACTTCGGGGCAGACGATGTCGATGTAGGTTGGAGGTTGCCGAGGTAGAACGGCCGACCAGATCTCTTTCGCGACCGGACAGAGTACAAAGAGGTGCTCGGGCGTCTCGAGCTCATCACCCGTACAGTTGATACGCTTAGTCAGCAGTGTTTCTAGTTCATAGTTGTTCTCAAGTGAGGATTTGTTATTTTTTTTTTTATATATTTGCATTCAAAGCTATCAAGTAGCTATGAGTCTAGAATGTAAATGGTAGGATGAAATGAATGACTTCACGAACGTCTGTGAAAAGGAAGAACAGACGAACAGTGCGGGATTCTCCTACAGGCCTTGAAGCAGCAAGCTACTCCTTTCCTGCGGCATACCCGCTAAAACACCCTTTGAGTCTCTCCACAAGTTCCTGGCAAGTGGAGTGAATGGGTCGCGGTACAATAAGACTGCGAGTTGACAAGATAATGCAGGCCTCGGCTTAGGACTTCGGCTGATGCGATTTCTGTCGTAGATGACTGCGAGTGAAAAATTTTCGCTGCAGTTGAAAAGCGCACTGGTCTTGCACAGAACGCAGTCTGCCGCAAGTGATCCTGTGAGTGTATGTGTGATTGCAAGGCCGCGTGCAACAGCCGCCAGAGCCTCTCGCGAGAGGATAGCTGTCCTGATGTGGAAAGCGGTCTTGTGAAGTGTAATCTCGCTGGTGGCGCATGCGTCGCCGCGAGTGTCTGAAAAGGCATGACCTCTGGAGGCCGCCTTGAAGTTGACGCCGTAGACCTGGCCCCTATCTGCGCAGCGTCATAGCCGCAGAAGGTTTGTAGCATTTTTTTTTTATATATTTGCATTCAAAGCTATCAAGTAGCTATGAGTCTAGAATGTAAATGGTAGGATGAAATGAATGACTTCACGAACGTCTGTGAAAAGGAAGAACAGACGAACAGTGCGGGATTCTCCTACAGGCCTTGAAGCAGCAAGCTACTCCTTTCCTGCGGCATACCCGCTAAAACACCCTTTGAGTCTCTCCACAAGTTCCTGGCAAGTGGAGTGAATGGGTCGCGGTACAATAAGACTGCGAGTTGACAAGATAATGCAGGCCTCGGCTTAGGACTTCGGCTGATGCGATTTCTGTCGTAGATGACTGCGAGTGAAAAATTTTCGCTGCAGTTGAAAAGCGCACTGGTCTTGCACAGAACGCAGTCTGCCGCAAGTGATCCTGTGAGTGTATGTGTGATTGCAAGGCCGCGTGCAACAGCCGCCAGAGCCTCTCGCGAGAGGATAGCTGTCCTGATGTGGAAAGCGGTCTTGTGAAGTGTAATCTCGCTGGTGGCGCATGCGTCGCCGCGAGTGTCTGAAAAGGCATGACCTCTGCCGCCTTGAAGTTGACGCCGTAGACCTGGCCCCTATCTGCGCAGCGTCATAGCCGCAGAAGGTTTGTAGCATCAATGCAGAACGTTATGTCCGTTTTATGATGTGTTGGTTCAGCCTCAATGCAGAACGTTATGTCCGTTTCATGATGTGTTGGTTCAGTCTTGTTAAGCGCTGGCGTTGCCCAGCAGCAGATGTTGCACAGCGTCAAGAGTTCGAAACTCCCCAATAGTGTAGAGGTTATCACTGCTCGTTTTCAATCTGAAAATCCGTGCCGACTCGGGTTCGATTCCCGATTGGGGAGGCACCCTTTTTTTCCCCCCCATCTCTTCACAGGAGTCCAAAATGACTGTGAATTTCGAGCAAAGCGACTCAGAAGAGACAGCAGACTTTTGTCATGGCCTAGCGCTTCAAGAATAGAGTGTCGCGCGATTGCGAGACTGCATGACTCTAAAAATGGGCAATACAAGAATAGATTGCACCATCTGAAAGGGACTGTACGGTTTTTGGAAGGCGCTTCTCAGTCACTTGCGCAAGGTCGAAAGGAAATGTCAGATGATACACATGCCTCCGAGCAGAGACTTGAAGTCGAGTTATCACAGAAATGATGGAAGCAACGCCAATATACATCGCCCTGAGTTGGCTGTAAGGATGCGACATTCTAAGAATGAAATAACATATTTGAATAAATCAAGCTAGACCTTAAGATATTTATCGAGACTCTCACCTAAAAAGCCTTCGATGGTAATAGCTAGGGAGCTCGCCATCCGCTCGACTCGCTCATCTTCGTCCTCGAGTGCCTCGGCAATAAACGGAATCAGCTGCGGCACATGAGCCAGCCATTCTTCCCCCAGCTTGGCACACAGTTGATTCTCACACGAGACTGCCGAAAGCCTGACTTGTGCATCTTCATGTCTGAAGCGAGCGAGCACGCGCGTATTGAGATGCTTGGTGAACTGCTCGCTTCCTTGCAACGCACTGGTGAGTTCAACAATGGCCGGCACGGCAATCTGACTCGGGTATGTGGAAGCGGCATCGAGCTGACTGACGAGCAAGTTGATGAGCTGTTCGGCCTTGTCGCCAGCAAGGACATTCTTCCAGTGCTCTTGCGTGTCATGTCGAAATGCCAATGTCAAGCTCGACACGACACCAACCCACAATTTGCGATTGGGCTGACTTTGTAGGAGCTCAATCATGTCCTCAAGCAGGTAGTTGTAATAGTTGAGGATGATGCCCTTAAATGTCGAGGTGAATTGCACCATGAAATTGAAAAAGGTGATTTGACGCGCCAAAGATGCTGCAGGCTGGTCCGTGCCGGTAAATGCCCAACCCTTCAACTTCAAAAAGAGTGGCCTGAAAGTTGTGTCATTGAGCTTGAGCACCACCTTGAGTAATGCAGCAATCGTTTTCTTCTCAACCTGCTCGATACCCTTGACATCCCAAGACTTTGACTGCCCGCGAATGTCCAACGCTTGCAAGAATAAAGACAATATTTCCTTCGAGGAGCCCGTGACAAACTGCCGAGTGGATTGCTCGATCGTCTCCTCCAGCACAGCAATGAGTGCAACAAATGACTTTTTGTTGGCCACCTTGCCGTATGCTGTCCATGCGGTTGAAATGGCACCAAGCACGTTACGCGTTGGCATGCTCGTGGCTAGAGTTGAGAGCAAGGACTTTTTCTCATTGGCAAGCTCGTCCGTGGCAAGGTGGAAATCGGCCGCACGCTGCATGATGGGTGCAGTGTAGCTCGTCATAAAGCTTGGAATAGTCTTGACGAGCGATTCGAGCAGAGAGCAAGTAGCCAGAGGCAACAAATCAGCATCTTCTTCTTTGCTAATACTGGTGAGCTGCTCCAGAACTTGCGGCATGAAACGTGGCAAAAAGGGCAAGATGCGAGGACCAAGCACAACAGCAAGCGTTGTTGTCGTGTCGACTGCTTGGATCTTGGCCAGCATGTCAGTTGTTTCCAGCGATACGACTGCTTCAGCAACAGGCACAAAGATGCCAGGCTCTTGCTTACCAAAGCGCCGACCGAGGGTGCTGAGCGTTTCCAACGCCGAGCACAAAAGAGGTCCATCAGAAACCAGGCCAGCAACTTTGCCAACGAGTGTCGGCATATCTGCACTGCCACGAGCAGCAATCATTTCGAGTGCCTTGACTTGCATAGACTCGCTCTTCAACAGCAAGTCTTGTACTACAGACACAAAGAGCGGTGCGGGCAGGAGCGTAATGGCACGGTCCAATGCATCAAGTGCTGTATCTGCAGCTTCTGCCTCGACTTCATCGCATAGCATGAGGAGCGACTCGACCAGTTTTGCAAACGGCTCTTGCGGAGCAACTTCAAGCTCTGACCGCACCTTTTTGGAACTCAGGTGCGCTGCGATCACCTTGACGAGGCTGGTGCGCAACTTGTTGAGATCAACATTAACATGAGAAAGGAGAGAGGGCTCTGGCACGTCTGGTGCTTCGTCTGGCACTTGCCTGCAAATCTCCGACAGAGCTTGCAGTGCCTCGAGCTGAACGGGAGCACGGAACTGACGCAGCAGAAGCAAACAAAAGTCCAAGTATGCAGCAGCGGACTCCACACCAGGAGCCGGCTTTTGCCTGGCTGGTATTTCAGCACGCTTTTGAGCAAAGACAGCCAGCAAGGGCGCCAAGAATTGCTCTTCGCCAAGTGTCTGCACCAAGGTAACGAACAACTTTGGACGACGGTGCTTGGGAACATGTGGGAACGCATCAACAAAGCTCTGCAAAATGCCAGAAGCGCCAAGAATACGGTCTTCTGCTTTGCTGCCGAGCGAAGCAAGCAAAGGCGGCACAACATGCTGGATAGTCGTCTCGATGACATGTGCACTGAATCCATCGTCCTGTCGAAGCAAATTGGCACCCATGAATGTGAAAATGGGCATCACACCATGCAAGACTTGCTCTGGTGCTGCTTCTGCGAGCGCAGCGACGAGCAAGAGTGCGCGATTGTGAACTTGAGGTGATGAGGAACCACGAATGCAGCTAATGAGAATATCAACCCGGCAGTCCTTGGCATTCTCCGTTGATACCATGGGCAACATGCAAGAAAGTAGCAGCTGTTCAGTGAATGAGACTGATACATCCGAGTCTGCTTCTGCAACAACAAGATCATTAAGCTTGCTGAAGAGCAGAGGAAGCAATAAAGCATGTTGTTGAGGCTCATGCCGTTCAACCACCTCCAACAACGAGGTGAATCGACGCAGGGCAATGTCCGGACTGTCCGCTGTAGTCTTCAGCCGCTTGGCCTGCGCGGTGAGTGGCTCAATGTCGACGTCATTGATGAGCTCTGCAAGCAGGTCAGTTGTCAGATCAACCTGATCGATCGTCGCATTGGCCTGGCGAGAGACTTGCGAGGGTCCATCGACGATGCCATTGACAAGCGACCTGACAAAATCTGCCTTGTATTCTCGCTTCATGGATGGGTACAGCGAGGCCAGCCAGATGATTGCAGGTGGCCCGAAGACATCATTCTGGTCGTGGACCAGTTTGAGCAGCAATTGAAGCGCGCCTGTCTCTGAAGCAACCACCTGCCGGATGAGCAAGCGATGGATGACGGTCGCATCAATCAACTCGAGGCGACATTGAGCGGCAATGGGCGAAGCATCGTTTATCACTTCCTCCAGCCTTTGAGAAACTGCGCGTGTTTTGGCAGATGTTGGCTCAGGCGTCTTGTCAAAGCACAGGAGGAGCTTGAGTACAATCTTCGCCAATGGGGCGTGCAGAATGTGGCTTGCGAGCCAATGAAGCGTCGTTGTTCTGTGAGCGAGATCCTTGCCCTTGTGACCGTGCGTTTGCATAGCGTTGCCGACAGTCTTGTAAATCACCTTATGATCCAAAAGACAAGCATGCTTCTCAGTCAACAAGACTTGAAGAAAGTGCTGCACTTCGGAAGCAGAGAGCCATTTGAGATCTGCGCTGTGCGGGCCATACAAGTCGTCAATACCCCAGATGCGCTTTGTCTTGGGTGGCCTAATGAGTTCAATGACAGCAAATGTGGCAGTCCGCACTTGCTCGCTCTTACTGGACAACAAGCAGATGAGAATAGGTAGCAAGCCTTGCATGTCATCTTTGCTAGAGCTCACCATGCTTGCAAGCTGACGGAGTGCCTCAACTTGCAGAGTCACTTCGTTCGCAGAAAGCGAGACGCGTGCTAGGAATGAGATCTTATCGTCGACCTGAGCTAGCGTCTTTGCAAGTTGACCAGGAGCAACGAGATCATTGAGCAGCTTTCGCGCATCGAGAAGAGAAAGCCAAGTCTCTTCATCGCCAAGCACAGGAAGGCTGAAGGTTTCTTCAATTTGCGGCACAGGCGCGACATCAATCGACATGGGCTCTGGCTTAGTAAGTGTCATTTGTAGGGCAAGTTCAACGTCAGCTACCTTGTCGCCGACTGCTGTAGCAAAGAACTTGAGAAGATGAGTGTCTTCCAAGAGCTTGCTGACTGAAGCGCGGTAGTCTGTCAGTTCTGCTGACTCGAGCACTTGCTTGGCGACGGCCTGCAAAACAAAGACTGTCTCTGCACGGGTCATGAGCCCACTAGACAAAAGTCTTCCTACTTCCTCGACCGATGCAGGTGTGCGCGACACACACAGAGAGAGCGCAAAACTAGTCATCAGCTTGTCTGCACTGAATTGCTTGCACAAGTCTAGCACATCCTGAGTAAAGAGATGAGAAGCGACTCCTTCAGCCAAAGCATGGAAACCCTCTTGCTGCTGCACAAGCTGGGCGAGGCAGATGAGTGCCGAGCGCTTGGACTGATCAGAGAAGCCTGAGACAATCTTTTGCATCACAACAGCAACGACATCACCAGAAAGACTAGCGCGAGCCGACAAGACGGCAATGACCATGTAATTGGCGATCTGGAACTCTGGATGCTCCCTCAGTCCCAAGGCTTCACCGGCAACAGGTAAAAAACGACTGACAATATCTTCTTCAGCAATGTTGCAATCTCGCTGATGAGCAATGGCCCTGACGCACACGTCTGCATAGAGACCCACCTGGCGTGAATGCTCTCGATTCGTCTGTACGCGTGCCCAGACATGCTCAATGAGGAGTGTGAGCATCGTTGGCGTCGCGCAGCATGCCTTGACAAGAAGCGACAAGGCTGGAGGATCCATTGACTTCTTGGACGCACCGAGGAAAGCCCACTGCGGTGGCAGCTCGAGGATGCTAAGCAGCTTTGCAAATGTTGGTGTCGAGTGGAAGGGCATGAAGGTGAGGATGAGGTACTCTGGGAGCGTGAAGCACACATCAAACCGCCTGACGAGCCATTCAAGGCACTTCTGCGTAGGCCTGAGCAGAAAGTAGGGAGCCGCTTGATCCAGGAATGAACGGATCTTTGCCTCGAGCTTGTCATTTTGGGCACGCGTCTGCGTTGCTCGATCAATGAGCTTTGCATCTTCGGCAAATAGTGTCCTCTCGAAGGAACGCAAGGCAGGCTGAATAGAAGCTAGCTCCTCGAAGCCGTTGGCTGCAATAGCAAAGACTTGGTCAATATCTTGATCAGCTGCCTCTGAGGGCGAGAAGAGCAGTGAAGGGAGCTTCTTTCGCTTTTGAAAGTTGATATTTTGTACAGCGGCATTGGCTCTGATGCCTGCAAGCTGCTGGGCGAGGCTCGTGGCCATGATCCCTGTCTATCAAGTAGACTCTCTATCTCTTCTCCTTGTCGCTGGTCGCTGCTCAATATTTCTGAAATTTCCGTGAGATTTCCCACGGTCTCTCGCTGACATAATCACTGAATTTTATCTCGACGGCGAATCTGGAGGCGACGGAGCAAAAGGCGCAGGGTCAGGCTACTTGTGCTCCATCTACTCTCATATCTTAAGCTCAAGAAGATCTAGCAGTATGGCAGACGTACCCACCAACATCAAGACAAACGGCGTCAAGCCAGACAGCCTCGCCAGCATTGAAGGATGGACCGTCAAGGCAGGTCTCGCACAGATGCTCAAGGGCGGTGTCATTTGCGATGTGACAAACGCAGAGGAAGCCCGTATCGCTGAAGAAGCAGGTGCTTGTGCAGTGATGGCTCTCGAGCGTGTGCCTGCTGATATCCGCGCACAGGGCGGTGTTGCGCGCATGTCTGACCCGCAGATGATTAAGGAGATTATTGAGGCTGTTACGATCCCCGTCATGGCCAAGGCCCGTATCGGCCATTTCGTTGAGGCACAAATCATTGAGGCGTGCGGCGTCGATTACATTGATGAGTCGGAGGTGCTGACACCAGCAGACCCAGTCAACCACATCTACAAGCACCCTTTCAAGGTGCCCTTTGTGTGCGGTGCCAAGAACCTCGGCGAGGCTCTGCGCCGCATCTCGGAAGGTGCAGCCATGATTCGTACCAAGGGTGAGCCAGGTACCGGTGATGTGATTGAGGCCGTCAAGCACCAGCGCATAATGCAGTCTGAGATTAGACGCTGTGTCAACATGTCAGAGGAGGAGCTGTATGTCTTTGCCAAGGAGATCCAAGCACCCATTGATCTTGTTCGCAAAGTCAAGGAACTCGGCAGACTGCCTGTGGTCAACTTTGCCGCCGGTGGTATTGCAACCCCTGCCGATGCTGCGCTCATGATGCAGCTTGGCTCAGATGGTGTCTTTGTTGGCAGTGGTGTTTTCAAGTCTGGTAACCCTGCACACCGTGCTGCTGCCATTGTTCAGGCAACGACGCACTTCAAGGATGCACAAAAGCTTGTGGAGGTGTCGACCAACTTGGGTGAAGCCATGGTGGGCATCAATTGCTACCAGCTCTCTGCCGACCAACGGATGCAGGATCGTGTGGATCACGTAGAGAACGGTGTAAAGAAGAGCGAGTCGTATGGTTCCAAGAAGTAGATAGCACAAACAAGCGTCTTTCTTTGTTCATCTGGCTCAGGTTGTCTCCTGGAACACTGACGCTCTCCTACCAAGCGCATCATGTCGCCCGTGAAGAACCCAAGTGGACATTGGCCATATGCGCTGCGCCTGCGTGGATCAGTGACACCCAGCATCTTGAGCAAGATTGTCTTCATCGGTGAGTAGCAGCGTGGACCCAAGTCAGGAGGATGCTGACGTCGCAGGACTCTATGCTGCACTCGTCAGTTCCATCTCACTGCTGACAGAGCGCTCCCTTGGCATCTCACCCATCCTCATCTCTGTCCTTGGTTTCGTGTATGTCGTCTATGTGCTATATTGGTACAAGTGCTAACGCTATCCAGGGTGGGTCTTTCACTCTCATTCAAGACCACAACCGCATATGCTCGCTGGTGGGAGGGACGCATTGCCTGGCAGACGATTGCAACCCAATCACGCAGCCTCGCTCGTCTCATGATGGTGCATGTCCCCGAAAACACGGCAAAAGACTGTTTCATCAAAAAGTCAGCCGTGGATTTGCTCAAGATCTATCCAGCTGCCGTGATGCATCAATTGCGTGAGCGTCGTTCCGAGGGAGCACGCTTTGTGTTGCGAGTGCCACATCTCATGACATATGCGAGTGTTGCTGGAACACCCGTGTCGCCACCTTCGAGACCTCGGACGAGCGCTTTTAAGCGCGCAAAGCAGCACCGCGCAGAAGCAGTGGATTACAACAAGGAGACTGCATTGCATGGGTGTCTGCCCGTTGGTAAGACGAGCCTGACATGGTACGTCTGTTGCTGACTTCGCAGAAATTGCCATGCACTTGTCGGCGTTTGGTGTTTGGGCGACCTGCACGCAAGGCTGTCCCAATTACGTTGGTCAACAAATTGCTTTGTGTGTAGCTGGCTTAACGGATGCATTGGGTGTGTGTGAGCGTCTTCTTCGCAGTCCGATCCCACTCGCCTACAACATCGTCATTAGCCAAATTGTGTGGGTGTTTATGCTTGCCCTGCCATTTCAGCTGGAGGACCAGCTTGGTTGGTACACGCCAGCGTTGGTGATGGTGACGGGTTTGTTCTGCTTTGGTCTCGAGGGCATTGCACGAGAGCTGGAGAACCCATTTGGTGACGATGCGAATGATTTGCCGCTGGAGGAGTACTGTGAGGCGATTGAACTGGAGCTGACGGTCATGACGGCTTTAGACCGAACTGAATTTGCTGCATGGGCTCTAGATGAGCGCAATTTAGCCTTTGGCAAGAGTGGTATGGAGGAGAAGCTGGAGGGGATGACCATTGAGGAGGCCCATCGCCAGGTCTTACAGCTTGCTTTGCAGACCTGTTCAAAGTATCTGTTTAGAGCAGGCAACGACATGGCTGGAGTGTATGACGGGATTCATGAAGCAGCATGAGGGTCAGGCTGATGAGGTTGGTGGACAGAGCAGAGAGAAGAAGCAAGCAGTAGACAGAGGATAGAAGAGATGATGAGGGCAATGATGGCAATATTTGGCGTGTCAGCAGGAGGAGAGAGTCAGTACAAGGAGTCAATACAAGCAATAGTAAAGTAGTAGAGGAGAGTAAAGCAGAGTAGCAGGGTAGCAGAGAGTCAATACAAGAAGTAGTTAGGTAGTACAGTAGAAGAGTAGAGTAGAGTAGAGGAGTAGACTGGTAGAGGAGAGAGAGAGAGAGACCTAACCCAACCAGCTCAACTCAACGGACAAGAAAACACCCGACAGCGACACCACAAGCAAGGCACAAGGGCGCATCTGTAGGCCAAAGCGAAGCCATGCCGTCCACTAGGCAGAGCACCACCAACGGGTCTCGCACAGAGCTTCAGCGATCCACATCCGGGCGATCCGCCTCGTCTTCCTTCTTCACGGCATCCCCAAAGCCGACATCCCCATTCAGTAGTCCGTCTGCTACAACGGTGCTTTCCGTTGCAGAGCTACAAACACAGCCAGAGTTTACAAAGCCAGAGACAAATGGCATCGCCCTCACTCTCCCCAAAAAGGACCAGAAAAACGCGCGACAGTACGCGCCATTGCTGAATAAGCTTCATAAAGTACCCTCTACGGCATGGGGCCCGCCCGAGAAGTTTGAAGAAGCTGAACCACCCCTCTACTTCCTCATGACCACCTACATCTCCTACCTCATCTTCATCGTGCTAGGTCACATTCGCGATTTCTTCGGTAAGCGCTTTGCCAAGAAGCGGTATGCGCATCTCCAGCAGCAGAATGGCTACGCACCCCTCAACTCTGACTTTGATAATTTCTATGTCCGCAGACTCAAGATGCGCATCAATGATTGTTTCAGTAGGCCAACGACCGGTGTTCCAGGTCGCTACATTACGTTACTCGATCGCGAATCGAATGATTACAATTTGCACTGGCATTTCACAGGTGAGCAGACAGATTGTCTCAATATGTCCAGCTACAACTACCTTGGCTATGCAGAGTCTGTGGGTGCATGTGCAGATGACGTGGAGCAGGTCGTGCAAAAAGTCGGACTCTCCTCGTGTGCAACACGCTCAGAGGCAGGCACCATGGATTTGCATGAAGACTTGGAGAAGCTCGTTGCGCGCTTTGTTGGGAAACCAGCAGCATCCGTCTTTTCCCAAGGGTTTGGCGTGAATGCCACCATCTTTTCTGCACTCGTCAATAAAGGTTGTTTGGTGATTAGTGATGAGCTCAATCATGCTAGTATTCGATGGGGTTCGCGTTTGTCTGGTGCTGCGATTCGTATCTTCAAGCACAATGACATGCATGCGCTCGAGAAGCTGCTGCGAGAAGTGATTTCGCAGGGTCAACCACGCACACACCGACCCTGGAAGAAGATTCTCGTTGTGGTGGAGGGCTTGTACTCGATGGAAGGCACCATGTGTGATTTGCCAGGCTTGATTGCATTGAAGGAGCGATACAAGTTTTACCTGTTTATTGATGAAGCACACTCCATTGGCGCACTTGGCCGTCGTGGTCGTGGTGTTTGCGATTTCTACGGCATTTCCCCAGACAAGGTTGATATCCTCATGGGTACCTTTACAAAGTCCTTTGGCGCAGCAGGCGGGTATGTGGCAGGCAATCGACACATGATTGATGCACTGCGGTTGACGAATGCTGGATCAGTGCTCGCTGAAGCCATGTCACCCATCATCATCCAGCAAATCAACACCTCCCTTCGCAGTATCGCCCTGGAAATCCCGGGTCTTGACGGTGTCGAGCGTGTTGAGCGTCTCGCCTTCAACAGCATCTACTTGCGATTGGGACTCAAGAAGCTAGGCTTCATTATCTATGGACATGCCTGTTCGCCCATCATTCCACTTCTCCTGTACAATCCAGCCAAGATGCCGGCGTTTTCCCATGAAATGCTCAAACGCCGCATTGCAGTGGTGATTGTCGGATACCCTGCCACACCACTCGTTCAGTCGCGTGTCCGCTTCTGTGTGTCTGCAGCGCACAACAAGGATGACTTGGATATGTTGCTTGAAGCGTGTGATGAGGTGGGTGACTTGCTGCAGCTCAAGTACAAAGGTGCCAAGAAGCTGAGGGGGAACTGGAAGCAGGAGCTGTTTGAGGAGGTGAGGAGAGACTTTTCAGGGCCGCAGCAGGAGGCTAAGCATGTGCAAATCAATGGTGGACAATAGATGTAGATAGGTCAAGCAATTGGTACTATGAAACAGTTGTCTTGAAGATTGAATAGATGCTTATGTAAGCAATTTTTGACACTAACTTTATATATTATGCGTAGCCGCCGCCCGTTTGTCCTAGCGGTTAGCGGCGTGGTTCTTCCCCGAGCACTGCCCGAGTTCGATTCCTGCGTGGGGTTTCTGGCTGCATGTCCATTAATAAATGTGCAGCCCCCTCTTCAATGAGCGATATTCGTCAGGCCAGCAATGGAGCAGCAACTCGTGAAGCGTAGGAAGGCGGACTCGACTAGTGGGCGCTCGTGAGCAACGCTGTGCTGGATGCCGCGGTTGGACTTTTGCTTTTGCTTTATACATCCTATCTAGTCACTTGGCTGCTATGTACTTCCACGGGTATGGGATCGGTGTGGAGCCTGGCCCTCTTAGTCTCTAACCAAAGACTACATACCTGTTTTGACTTACATTCCAGCCCGCACATGGTGCTGTGCTTGCCCATGTTGTATCGAGATCGTGTGCAGTGATGCGTGTCCTTGCGTCAGACTGACTCCACCAACAACCAGTGTCTAAGACATGTGACACTTTTCAACTCACATCGACTCCTCTCTGCTTTTGGATCTTCAGTCTTGCAACTGCAGCAGACTGCGCGCGTCAAACTACTACTTGTCCTTCTCAGCTACTAGAAGCATTTGTAGCATTACAGCCAGAATGGATATGCTCCATGCGCTTCAAGACGACTTCAACAAGCACTGGCAATGGGAGAAAGAGGGCCCGGACATTGCAGATTTCACGCAAGACCCGCTTGAATGTCCTCGTGATTGGCCGGCGCCTTTCCGCAAAGAGGTGCCGCAAAAGGACTTCACAACAGGTCATATGTCACACTGGTGGATGGCAGGCGGCGACAATACTGGCACGTGCCAGGAGCTTCTCCTCTGTCGCAGTGTGTCCTTTTTGAAGCATTACGCCCAGGTGTGGCTGTCGTGCCTCTCAGATGGATGTCTCTGCTGGGTCGTCAATGTTTGTTCGCTACGCAGGGGCCATGAATCCCACTTGCCGGTCGCGCTTGCTGGATTGCCGGTACACATCTGGTCGGATGACTTGATCTATCAGCCAATATCGGGCTCATATTTCGAGAAACGATACACTCCACTGAATCCTCATCAGCTGCACGAGGATGCCACGATAAATGCGATTCTGAAGGCATTTCCTCGAGCTGTGGGCGTACGGATCATGCTCTCCGGATGCTGCGAGATCCTCTATCCCTCATCTATGACTACCCTATGGAGCTACAAAACGACCAGCAAGCAGAGTAGGAAGCTCTTGTCTCAATTTACTGGGGTTCGGCATACGACGCTCCGCTTCCACGATTGCTTGGTTTCCCCGAACGCCGTGGGCCGGGTAGGACCTCCGACGTCGGATCTTCAAGCTTCTCTGGAGGTCAAAGTATGCTTCGATGATGATCCCAACACTGAGTACTGGATAGCCTCCAGCGGATTGACGCGCACACCAGGGCGATGTCGTCCGTCTCTTTTCAGTCGAAGCGCCAAAAGACACATTGTGCCAGGCGAAGACGTTTGGCTCAACACCGGAGGCGAGGAGGAGATTATCGGCTTTGTGTCTGAGGTGGTCACCACAGAGTCCTCAATGCAGACTTGCGACACCTTCATTGACACAAGTCACTCGAAACTATCGCATAGTATGCTGACAGCATTCCGAGATAAGCTCAAAATGAACGAACAGTTTGCCGATCCAGAAGGAGTTTTGAGAAGACCTCTGGCAACCGAATCGCGGATTCTTGCTGTAAGCGATCTCGCAGATGAAAAGTATTCAGTCTCGTTTCAGGGAAGTTCCAAGTGCCCTTATCTCAGCTGGCGAAATGCTGGCAAGATCGATGCAGACTCAGTTCACTTGGATGATTTTGGTAATGCCTCGGTTGTCGAAGGCGTCCAGTACCTGAAGTCAACAATTGCTGGTCAACCTGCTTTCTCTTGCAGTATGCTTTGGCGTACAAGTTTTCCTGCCGACAGGTTTGCGAAATTGCCGGCGACTAACATGCTATGCCAATTGGACGCTGCTCTGATGCAAAGCCAGATTGTTCTGTTCGGAAGTTTCGACGTGGAGTTCTCCAAAAAACGATGGCCCAGCTTGAAGAAGGAGGAGGACTCCATTCTACTCGACATGAACTCAAAGATTTCTTGGCATCTGAGAGGTGGTCCTCTACTTTCTGCCCGTCTACAAGGTGCTCGTGTTTGTGTCACGAACCGAATCATCTGAACCGGCTCAGAAGGACATCAGACGCAGGACGACCGCCAAACTCCCCTCAACCACAACACACTCTGCTCACCCCTGTCCTCATTGTTCCCAGCTCGTACATATGGCATGTCTCCAAGAAGATATTGCTGCTGAAGCTTAACCATCTTAGTTTTGGCTTGCAAGCTACGACTGTCTATCAATGAACCGTGGCTACTACTTGGTTACAGATTCGCAGTATCGCATCAGTCACAGTTCGGGTCGCACGGGGGATATGCGCGCATCTCGCAGAAACGCCTCTGGCAGAAGGAAGGAGCCTTTCAACGAGTAACGAGTGATCAGAATATCTTCACCGCGATCCTTTTCCATCTCCCCTTGGCTTTTGTTGCTGCTTTGTTGGACCCGGGCGTCCTTGAGGTAAGTGTTCTGCGCGACACACAGATGCTGACCCATGGGATACCTAAAAATTCTGAAATCCGACAACGCTTGATGAAGCCGCTGAGGGATTGTCGAGACAGAGAGCAGAGCCCGAAACCCCTTTGGCCGAGTCATGGTCCTATGCCGTCCGCCACAGCACAGCGCGGGACCAAGAGGCAATTGAAGCGGCGCCTGGCTTTAGGTGCTTGTATGCGAAGCAGTACATTGCCCCACGCAGAATGTCGAACATGCTGGAAGGAACTCTGAAAATGGCTTTCATCGAGGTAGGGCGAACGCCGCAACTTGAGGTCTACCTCGATGAAAGCCATTTTCGGAGTTCCTTCCAGCATGCTTGACAAGACTTTATGGGCAGCCAGGTCTGTCATCAACTTTTCCTTCTGGGCTAGAGGCAGACTTTCGCCCAAGTTTTTACGCTCAGTCCGCGTCTAGGCTGCAAGCAAAAAGCATGCCGACGCAAGATTGAGCGTGCTTGGATCCTGAAACTGTGGATCCAAAGCAGGAAGGCCAGGAGCGACCATCTTGAGTGGACGATGCGGCTCAACAAGGGAGAGATTGTGCCAGAATCCACTTGGGTACTTGCCCAGGCTGTTGCCGTCTTTGCGGTCGTAGCAGATACTGACCCTGCCGCATGGTACTGCTGCTCTGTTCCCTTCCGGCTGCATCTCACCTACGCCGACTGCCCAGACGCTTCGGTTCAGCGCTTTTCGACGCCTTCCACCACTGGCCAATGCCACCATGTGAGTAGTACACGTTAAAAACTGGTTGCCATTCAGCTCAACCACCAGTCCAGACGTCCAGAACCATCTTTTTGAGGCTTGAGGCTTGCTTTTGCTCCTGAAGGCAAACTTTCCAGGGCTGGTTGCGATCTTGACGGAGCTTGGCGTGCAGATTTCGAGAAGCTACCGACACTGGGCGTTACCAGCTGATCAGTCTGCACCAGGTATTTTGGCTCGAAGAGACCACCCGGAAAGCAGCTTGGCGACCTTTGCGCTTGAAGCCTGTCCGCTTACAAAGTAGAGTACACATTGGCCACTGGACAGCACAACGAGGCTTGTGCTGCCAGGGAGCCTCGTTGTGCTGCCAGGGAGCGTCCTTACGATGCGCCCAAGGTCTGTGTCAGATAGAATAGAATAGACAAGACATCAAAATCGCAATCAGCCCTGAAAAGTTTGCCTTCAGGAGCAAAAGCAAGCGTCAAGCCTCAAGAGGATAGTTCTGGCCGTCTTGGACTGGTGGTCGAGCTGAACGGCAACCAATTTCTAACGTGTACTACTCACATGGTTGCATTGACCAGTGGTGGGAGGCGTCGGAAGGTGCTGAACCGAAGTGTCTGGGCAGTCGGCGTAGGTGAGATGCAGCCGGAAGGGAACCGAGCAGCAGTACAAGGCGGCAGAGTCAGCATCTGCTACGCTCGGAAAGACGGCAACAGCCTGGCCTGGGCAAGTACCTAAGTGGATTCTGGCACGATCTCGCCCTCGTTGAGCCGCATCGTCCAATCAAGATGGTTGCTCCTGGCCTTCTTGCTCTAGATTCACAGTTCCAGGATCCAAGCGCGCTACAAGACGAGTATTAGTAGGAGGGCAGCGTGCAGAGCAGGTGTACAAGCTGGCTAGTGATTTACTGTGGAAGCAGGAGACAGAATGCTGATGAGGACTGTGAAAGAGTGGTGGAAGCACGGACATTGTGAAGATTCAGGAGAAGCAGCAGTGCAGTGCTACACAAATGATCGAGTGCAGTTGGCATACCACGCAAAGACTATCCAAGGCTGATCCTTCGCTGCTCTTATGCTAGATGAGATTGTTTCAAGTATGTGAAGCACTAGATATTCATCTACCCGACGACATACTTGCCGCGCCGCTTGCCGACATTGGGATCCACAATGAATTGCTCGCCCCTCTCAATGATGTCCTTGTATTCTATTCGTTAGTACCAGCTTTGCAAGGATCAGCATACTCGACCACCATCGTGCCATGACTTTCTTGTTGTCGAGTGCCTCTGTGATTTCATTTGCTTGCTCAATACGCTGTTCGTGCGTCATAATACTCCTTGCATACTTGTTGACGGCTGAAAAGTGTCCCCATTCACTCAACTTGTCGGCAATGTCCATTCGAAGATGCTTGCGCAGGTGGAAGAGCTCATGCACCACTTCTGTCCGCTCAAAGCAGTTGACACCCAGGTTGAATTCTTGCCTCAAGGCACGTTCCTGACGTTTACGCTCTTCTATTGGATCATCGAGTCGGGCTGCATCAACGTACAGGTCATCCTCAGACGAGTCTGCATCTGCATCCAAGTCTTCGAGCGTGACGTGGTCGTAGCGACTCCCTTCAAACCGCACAACATAGGTAGCAATACGGTTGGAGCGACCACAGGCGTCACAGTAGTACCCAAGATTGCCCGTCTCAACTGCTGCTAGATCAGGTCCATTTTGCAGAGCACGCATGAAGGTGCGTTTCCAAATGGAACTGAGTGCAATGTCTGCCTTTGCTGCTGTCCGATCGCGAAGCCAGTTAATTGCGGTCTTGAAGTAGCGATCGGGCTCTAGGCCTCCTTGCGGTAAAATCAAGTCAATGACCTCCCACTGACAGCAAATTTTGAAGAGCTCGAGTGGTGTCCTTGGCTGCATATACTCGGCTGGTACCTCTCCATCCAATTCTTCAAGGCCAGTCCTTGGGTTGTACACTTCAATTTCTTCATCACCAGAGACCTCGAAAGAGCCAAGCGACTGCCGCTCATCCACATCGTCATCCAGCACATTTGTGTCATCTGCATCAGATGCTTCGCTACTTGAAGGTAGCCCTGCTTTGCGTCGCTTTAGCTTCTCTAATGCTGAACGATATTGCTTCTTGCCAGCATTCCGGCCGGAATTGGCAGGCTTGATGGCGAGTTGACGCTGGTCGATATCGTAACCAGGAGCTTCTTCATCTTCATAGGCATCCATATCTTCGCCTTCGAACGGTTTGTGGTCTTCCTCCTCGTCAGGTGGTGGCAAGTATCGCCTCCGACGACGCGCAGGGGTGATGAGCTCATCCTCGCTATCTTCATCGTCTACCAAGGTTGTCAGTGGTTTATTTCTCTGGCGAGGCTCATCGGGCGCTTCATCCAAGTCAATGATGGTGCTGTGTTGGGCACGCGAGCGATCACTCTCGCCGAGCTTGATGGTGCGAAATGCCTCTTCCTCGCTATCTGGTGTCGAGACACGCGATGTGCCTGGTCGAAAATTAATCTTGCTCTGCTTTTGGTACGTTTTGGAACGGTTCGCGTGACGTGGCTCTGAAGTGTGCTTGACGGAGACGTGCTTGTCTTCGTCCCTCTTCCTCTTGCGTGCATTCGACTTGCTTTTTGTGCGAATTTCTTCTTCCTCCTCGCTGCTGAAGATCAAGCCAAGTTCCTGCGCAGTTTTCTTCGGTGCTGGTCCAGATACTTGGACCAACTCATCGATGGAGGTATCTTCATCATCTGAAAAGAGACTAGCCTCTGGTCTTTTGGCTCCTTTGTCACCTGAAGGCTTCCGCCTGTCATTGACACTTTGGGCAACAGACTTGATGGGCGACTCGAGCGTTGTGAGTTTCGCCTGCTTGAGCCTATCTGAGCGCTGCTTGTCTGGCGTGCTCCTGTGTTTGTTCCTTTTGGACTTGAGTTCGCCTGTAGCTAAGGCGCGCTTCTGCTTGTCCCTGTCCATGGCAGTAGCTATAGTATAGAGCAATTCAAGCAAATCAGAGCAGAGTACAGAGCATCGTAGCAGATAGAGCAGCAGCAGATTGAGTGTTTGAGCTTGAGGAGTAGTCCTGGTCCTGGTCCTGGTCCAGCAGTTTGACTCCTCAAGCAGCAGCAGCAGCCCACACAACACCACAGACTCCAGGATGCCGCGCAAAGTCCTCCTCAAGGTCATCATCCTCGGTGACTCCGGCGTCGGCAAGACCTCTCTCATGCACCAGTATGTCAACAAGAAGTTCAGCAATCAATACAAGGCCACCATCGGCGCGGACTTCCTAACCAAAGAGGTCGTCATTGACGATCGCGTCGTCACCATGCAGGTGCGCGCCCTCTTTATGTTGCTTGAATGCACAAGCTGACTTGCCTTTTAGCTATGGGATACGGCGGGACAAGAGCGCTTCCAATCTCTAGGCGTAGCCTTCTACAGAGGCGCAGACTGCTGCGTCCTCGTCTATGATGTCAATAACGCCAAGTCCTTTGATGCAATTGACTCGTGGCGCGACGAGTTTTTGATCCAGGCGGCGCCCAAGGATCCAGACAACTTCCCGTTCGTGGTACTCGGCAACAAGATTGACGTCGAGGACAGCAAGCGCATGGTATGAGATCATGACCCTATGACCCTATAAGCCTATACTAATGTCAGATCTCACAGAAACGGGCGACGGCATTCTGCCAGTCCAAGGGCAATATCCCGTACTTTGAGACCTCTGCGAAAGAGGCCCTCAATGTCGAGCAGGCGTTTGAGGTGATCGCCAAGAATGCACTGGCACAAGAGGCAGCAGATGACTACGGCGGCGACTTTTCAGACCCAATCAACTTGAGCCTGACAGACTCGAGGTCGAGTGGATGTGCGTGCTAGTGTGATTGGGTGTCCTTGTGCGAGGTTGTAAACGTCTATAGGCAATGTGCCCGGTGTCTTTGTTTCTCTACCTCATACCACACATCCTGGATATTGAAGCTCATCAGGTCTAGCTACTACTTCTGCTATTACTGCTACTGCTGCTGCTGCTGCTCATATGTCTCATAGCTCCATCAACGACAGGATCGCAAGAGAAACACGCGCCGTCCATGCGCGCAACAACAGACTCGCCAACGTCAAGCTCCTGCTCGCTCTCAAGAGTGCCGCTGCCTTTCGTGCATACATCGTGCCCTTCTACTTTGTCTATAAGACATTCGAGGCAGAGCTCGCTGCAGTGAGAGGTACATCGCAAGACGAGGCCACTCAGCATGTCTTCCAGGAGCTCTATGAACCTCTCCTCGAACGTACAAGGAAGATTGAACAGGACCTACGCTTCTACTACGGGCCCGATGCAGATGTTGTAATGCGCGGCCCTCAGACAAGGACACTCCAAGAGTATGTCGAGCACATCCAGAGCATTGCAAAGCAAGATCCAGTCAAGCTGCTTGCGTACAGCAGCGTCATGTACCTCGCGCTCTTTGCTGGTGGACAAATCATCAAGAGCAAGATGGTCAAACGCTACGGCTTCTTCCCAACAAAGCCAGGAGTCTCGCAAGAGGAAAGCATACGGCAGGGAACCAACATCTTTACATTCGACACGAAGGATGTGCAGACTCTCAAGAAGGCACATCGAGACCGTTTCGATCGTGTCGTTGCGCAGTCTCTGACTGCAACACAGCAAGACGCAATTGTCGCAGAAGCCAAGGAGATTTTTGTGCGCAACGAGCAGCTCATTGCCGAGGTGCAGGTTCCTGGTGCTGCTTGGATCACACTAGACTTGCTCAAATGGCCATTGCTTGTACTTTTGCTGCTCTTTCTTGCTATCTACTGGCTGCGATCGTGAAAGGACATCTCGATTGAATGACGCAAATCGGCATCATACGACTCTTTATCAACCAAGCTCCCGCCATTTCGCTTCCCCTCTCGAACAACACCATGTCGAACCTTGCTGAAACTGCTCGTGAGGCTGTCACTAGCGCAACACAGTCCTTCACGCCCCTCAAGTCGGTGTGTGTGTGGCTCAATGGCTTCCACATTTACGCCGATGATTTGCACCGCAATGTCGAAGCCAATCACTACTGCTCGCAGATCAAGCCTGACTTGAAGCAGTGCTTGCTTTACGACTCTTCAGACAAGGATGCACGCTTGATTGGTGTGGAATACATGATTCCTATCGAGCGATTTGAAACGTTGCCGCCTGATGAAAAGAAACTCTGGCATACACACTTCTGTGAAGTCAAGTGTGGTATCTTGACAATGCCCAAACCAACTGGCGTACCGTCTGCGGTGTGGGAAGCAAGCGAGACGGCAGAGATGAAGGAGCTCGTCAAGTGGGTTGGCAAGACGTATCATTTCTGGCAGGTGGATCGAGGCGATGCATTGCCCCTAGGTGAACCAAAATTGATGATGTCCATCAACAGCGAGGAGCAATTGGACTTGCAAAAGATCAAGCTGCGTGATGACAGGGAGGCAGTGGACAGGCAGCACAAGTGTGCCGTTCGAAAGGATATTCAGCTACCTGAGGCTCCAATTGGCGCTGATGCCTTCAATAATGTCAAGTTTTGCGTCTAGCGTGTAAATCAGTCACTATCGAAGCTCTATGTAGCCATAGGTCAGCCAATATCTTATGGATGCATGGTCCTCGACGACTTTGAAAATTTGATGTGCTCTAACCCGCTTGTTCCTTACTGAGACTACTCATCAGAGCAGATAGCTAGAGTGCTGAGGGGAGAAATGCCAGCAACTATCCTCATGTTCATCCCGGGCAATCCGGGAATCGTGGACTACTATGGTCCTTTCTTTACCGCTCTCAAGGAGCACCACAAGCAGCTACAAATATACGCGTACAATCACGTCGGTTTCACTTCCAATCCGACCAAGTCATTGAAGCTGCCGCCGCACCAGATCAATCTCGATGCTCAAATTGCTCATGCCATTGATCGATTCGATGCATTGCTCTTGGCACACAAGGGATCAGCTGGCTCACAACAGCCACAAATTTATCTCGCCGGGCACAGTGTCGGTGCCTATATTGCCTGCAAGGTACTCGAGGCGAGGCCTGATGTCGTACAACGCATCTATCTTCTGACTCCCACACTGACAGAGATCGCGTTGTCGCCTCAAGGCCGTCTACTGACACCATGCTCACATATACCTGGCTTTCTGCAGCTCGTAGCAGGCTTCGTATGGCTCTGGACTTCACTGCTGCCTCAACAGTACCGACTCAAGTTCATTGCCTGGTGGACCGGTTTCTCAAAAGAAGCTGTTCGTGTAACGACAGACAGTGTGGTTCAACCAGGCAATGTCTATACAGGACTCGTCCTTGGTGCTTCTGAAATGACAGACATTCGTAGCCCAGATGCCAAGTTTTGGAGAAAATACGGCAAACGCTGCTCAGCGTACTGGGTGATGCGAGATCACTGGATTCATGAAGCATCAAGAGATCAACTGCTAGCAGACACACGCATTGAGAGCTACTTTTGCAAACGAGCCAATCATGCATTTTGCGTACGGCATAGCGAGATTGTCGCGGATGTGGTCGCTGGCTGGCTTGGTCGGGATCTGGCAATGAAGTTTGCAGATGAGCTTCACTAGATATAGACGTGTATAGAAGTGCCATGTACATGGGTTGTGACTAAACTGCGAAGCGTGACTCTGCCAGTAATGTGTGCTCCGCAAGGGACTGCGTCACCCAATCAGCCCGAACGATGTGGCCAATCTTTGATCTGAGGGCATTGATTGAGCGTAATCGTCGGCTCTGTTCATCGTCCGAGTCTGACACGATGAAGTGCGTTATTTCTTCGCTTTTGACGTCTAGCTCAAGCTTTGCACCATGCACTTGCAAAAGCGAGCGGTAGTCAGGTCCAGTGTCATCTTCGGCAACTTTTGCAAGATGTACTGTGCAGCCTGCAAAGATCCACCATGATTCGTCTCCTCTGTCGACTGCTTGTTGATCAAGATCTAGTTGCAGAGACACGAGCTCTTCTCTGGTAGGCATATGTGAAAACAAAGCCTTGTCTTGCTCCATTTGGTTGAGTAGTAATTGGAGTCGACTGACATCGATGTGTTCGTCCCACGAATCGCCATACTGATCTGTAGATCGCTCGACTGATATCCTCGTCGCTTCTGTGCAAAAGTGCATGTAGCGTGTCTCTTTCCGCAACAGATGTCCTGCTTCAATGGAATCCAGAAGCCATTGTGGCGTCATGATGTCCACTAGTCCACGGTTTCTGATGGCTGATTGTTTGACCGACCATATATCACCAATACAGTGCACATCACTCGTGAGTCGACTCTGATCGGGATTTGATTCTCGCTTGCGCTTTTGAGCGGCAGTCTTCTTGACTTCTGGCGGGAGACCATCGTTTTGCACAACCTTGCCACCGTGCTTAACCACAATTTTCTCGAGTTCCTTCTTGCTGATCTTGAGGGACCGAGAATCGGCTGTGATGAAAAACGTCTTGCCCACCAAAGCTTGATCTTGCACTTTCACGGCAGCCAGCCCAGTGTTTGCATTGAGTAGCATTGGTTGAATTTTCCTGGTCGCCACTGCACGATTCTTCCGGACGTGCTTTTGCATCTCCTTCTCCTTCTTCTCTCCTTCTGCTGTGTCTCGCAAATCAGCGAATTCGCGTTCAGATACACAGTTTTGCCAATTCCGATCATCGCGAAGCCGCTCAAATCTTGGGAATCGCAGAGTCACGGCTGTTGCAAAAGTCGTGGTCGTCTCCGCTGAGGCGGCCTTGAGTTGCAGCACAACAGAATCTTCCGGTCTGATCCAAACATCGGGAGCTTCGAGGATGGTGCCAGAGTTGGTCTTTCGAAAGACAATGTGATCTGGAGGATGCTTTTTGTCGAGTGGCGTCCACTTTTTGTCCGTCAAGTGGGCAATACGACGATAATCATCACTGCTAAAACCTCCGCCAACTTTGCAAAAGGAGACAAACTTTCGAATAGGCCCCTGTTGGCCATGTTGAGGATCGCAACGTAGGCCGCAGAGAAATGAAGAGAGCCTGCTGCCACGACGTCCACTGCCATGATAGGCGCCAAGCACAATGAGGTCAAGATTTGTACCGAATTCGGACATGTACTCGGGTTTGACTTTGATCCAGGATGTAGATCTATCATTGAGCTTGTATGGGCGACTTGGATTTTTGACCAAGAGGCCTTCCGATGCATTTGCAACGCATTCGCGAAGCCGAGTCTCAATATCATCAGCGCTGGCAGTCTCTTGAATGGCGAGAATTTCGAAACGATGTGGTTTTGGGGTGATGATCTTCTCCAGGTAGGCTCGTCGTTGTCGGAGCGGCTGGTGTGTAACGCTCTCATCATTGACAGAGAGGACATCAAATACACAGAAGCAAGGGTACGGGTCGTCTGGCGAATTCTCTGATCGACTCTCTCGAGCAGCAACACCCTTCAAGGATCCAAATGGAACAGGCGCCATGCGAATTGGATCCCATGCAAGCACCTCGCCGTCGAGCACGATTGACTTGATTTTGGGGTGAAAGACGCCTTGAAGATGGCGTGTGATGGCACCGCCTCCGATGCCGTCGATGATCTGGGAGCCGTAGATATCTGTAGATTCATTGCCGCCCCGTGACCAGTAACGGAATTTTCCATGCTTCATATGGAGCTGCAGGCGCTCGCCGTCGAGCTTTTCTTCGATCCAGAATGGCTCGCCATCCATGAGCTTGACAATCTGCTCAAAGGAAAAGCTCTTCCACTCCGCTAGTTGCGGTTGAAAGCAGGAAAAGACACGAACTAGGCTTTCGCGCTCCGAGAGACGTAATTTGGAATCGTGAAGTTGCCAACAAACGCGTGAAAGGGAAGAAGTGAGGTTATAGAGTTGCATGGCGTCAGGGTGAATGAGTGGAAAGATTGCTTTTTCAGACATGCCAATCTTCATAGCTTTCAAGACAATCGAAACAAGCCATTTGAATTCCAATGCAGACATTTTCTCGTAGAGGGACCTGAGAATTGGCGTCTGTTCCGCGCTATCGTTAGCTTGGCCTTGAGATCGCAAATCTTACGCCTTCTGCGCTGCCGCAAGGAGGTCCAGCTGATCATTGACATCCTTAATTGTCAATGTAGAATCACTCATCTGCGTGCTTCGCTTAGCCACCACATAGTAAGCACACCCTGGAAAGTCTCCTGCGGGCGCATCAGTAGATGATGGATGCTTCCAATGTGTCAGGGAGCGGGCATCATCTGACTTCTTATTGATACCAAGCACATTGATGAGCAGATTGGCAAATGTCAGCTCCTTGACTCTGTAGATGCGATCACGATCTTTCTCCGGCATGACTTGCATTAGTATTCAGCTGAGTCTGGCAACAGAGCGCGTACCTAATCGCATGGCCGGGAACATATCTGGCCCAACACGCGCTTTCCACTTTTTGATGAAGCCTTCGACCTTCTCTCGTTTGCGTTCTGCAGGTTTGGCCAAGAGGGTACTGGCTCGTGTCTTTGACAGCTGCTGTACAGGCTGCAGTAGCTCATTGACCAGCTCACTGAAGCGCAGCGTCTCCCCACGGTTGGGCGGGGCCGCCACCTCCTTAGCAGGCATTTCGAGACATGAATAGCTAGAAGCAGCAGTAGCCTGTCAGTCTGTCTGGCACAAGTCTCGTAGCTGTAGCACTGTAGCACATGTAGCACATGTAGGAGTGACTGAGTAGTCGAGATCTGACGTCGCTTGTCGGTAGCCCAATTTGAAGCGACTCAAGCGACAACAACGCGACACCACGCAGAGACGCATAACAGCAAGGGATGCAAGCCTGCTAGAGCTGCAGATGCTCTCCTCTCACACTGCGGCGACAGTTGTGATCCTTCTGGTAACCTGTGCCTATGTCTTACTCGAATACATCCGCCACAAAACAGGTTTGCGCATCAAGCGCTTTGGATACTTCTCCATTCGGTACATCGACATTGCGCTACCTGCAGATGGCGAGCTGAGCATCGGGACATTTGGCTTTCGGCCGCATCGCCCGACCTTGGCGCATCCTACCTGGCTTACATTGTATGTGGGTCAAGTGGTATTGACTGTTGACAAGGACGTCTTGCAGGCGGGCCCGACAAAGAACACTGGCCCGAAGCGCGAGATCACCAAGCAGCACATACAAGAGAAGGCGCTCAAGCTGCGTGAGTTACTCAATCGGAGCATTCTGACATGGGTCGACTTGCATCTGTCTGAAGTAACGGTGTTTGTACGAGATTGTGGCAAAGTGCAGCTCGGCGAGGCGACCCTCGCGCTCACGCACCGTCGCCTGCACCCTCATTTTCATCCTGGTGAAATCCTACCGCATTCTGCTGTGCTTCAACGGGGAATTCATGGTGATCTTTCAGCATCGAAGCTTTTATTTCAACGGCATGGCAAGGCTTCATTCGAGGTAATTGACACCATCCAGATGGACTTTTGGACCTTGTTTGATGGTGTCTACAGCTTCAGGGACGGCGGCATTTCCTTCAAAGTCGGCAAGGTGGATTTGGTCATGGATGAGCTACTGCAATTCTGGAAGGAAGTCAAGCCAGTTCACAAGCAGGAACACGCGCCGCAGGCCGGCCTATCGAGACAGCCCTTTGGACTTGACGTTGATTGTTTGGATGTTCTCACAGAAGTTCAAGTGCATGTCGGCTATGTTCGTTGCATCATGACAATACAGGATGTTGCACCGCACGGCAAACCTATCGCACTGACGGCCAAGTCGAAGGACGTTGCATTTGACTTGAACCGCATGACTGCCAACTCACCAGATGCTCGTATGCTCTTCATGCCAGGTATGGAAGCCCACCAAGCCCTCATCTCGGCCATCGCTACGACTGTCACCATGACTACGGAAGACCAGACTAGCGAAGTGCTCTCCATTCCCATGATTACCGTGGCAGGCAAGACGAGCTTCCTCGGCACTCTATTTGGCGACAAGACAGCTTCGCCCAATATGAATGCCGTCTTCTTCAATACTGTCATCACCTCACCTGCATCCGACATTCATTCGTCTCAATTGCCAGTGCTGATTGGCCTCTTCAGACCGCGACCTCACACCTCAGCAGCGTCAGCAGCGTCACCTTGGCAAAAGAGTCTGCTACCAAAGTTTCGTTCGTCGCTGACCATACACGAGCCGACATTGCGCGTTGTGCTAGATCGTCGGTGTGGCAATGATCTTCCGCCTATGATCATTGTCCGTTTCGCTGGTCTCAATTTTGATGCAGAGGGCAGCCATCATGGTGACATTTTTGCATTCATGGCTCATTGCCGACTCGCTGCTGGCAGGATTTACTATCATTCGCCAACCAACGAGGAAGTGGATGTGCTGAGTACAGAAGGGGCCGTGTTTGAAGTGCGTTCCCAGGTGCTACCACTCTCTGCTGCACACATTAGCGGCAGTGTCGTCAGTCTACACTCTGAATTGTCGAGGACTGAGATTATCGAGTGTTTCGCTGCCATCACACAGGCGTCCCAAGTCGTCAGTCTGGAGCCGGATGTGCTTGCTCACTCAAAAACTCACAAGGAGCCTCAGCCTTCTCTGCAAAAGGTGCCCCAGTGGATCGACAGTATCCAGGTTCAGATTGAGCGCTGCGTGATTTCAGTGAGTGGCGCTGATTTGCAGATTGCACCCGATGTGCGTGGTCTCAGCCTCTCCCTCGAAGACTGCAAAGCATCGTACACTAGGCCTGACAGTACTCCCTCCAAGGAGGTGCTCATGTTGGGTCATGGACGATCACCGAGTAAGCGACGATTCTCAGCAACACGTCGTGCCAAAAACGTTGCAGATCGCCGAATTAGCGTCACTCTCAAGGGTTTGCACTTGTACACGATCGATTCAGAAGATGTCATGAATATTGTCAAGCCTATCATTTCTATTCCTGTAGCGGATCTCGATATTGCGCTATCTTACAACAAGGAACGCTTACAGCACAACATCAATTTCCGTGTCGACAGCGTTGATTTGGGATTCTCACTCTTCAAGGTGTACGCTACCCTGCAAGCCCTAGGTGTCCTTCGGAAAGCGTTTCAGTCTGATCATACGCTCGCAAAACCTAAGCATGAGGATGTTGTGAAGAGCCAGCCTGTCGACATGCTTCTTGAAGCGCGCGTCCGTCTTGTTCGGCTCAAGCTTGATATGCCGGGCGACGAGTTGCAAATGATTGATCTCGATCACATTGCCGTTGTTGTGCAGCCTGGTCAAGAACCAGCCATCAAGCTACGGCACGCTCGTCTTTACACTGATTCTCATGCATTCCCCGGGACCTGGGATCGTGTGCTCAGTATTCGGGACATTTCCCTCGCTCGACAGACACATACAGAAACCACGTCTGCAGGTGTCCAGGCCAGCAAGACGTTCGTCTTGAGAACGGATGGTGTTCGGCTGCGACTGCCGCATGAGTTTGTCTTTTATCAAATGCTCGAAGGCTTCATCAATTCACTCAAGACAACCACACAGATTGTCCATCGCTTTGTCACGCGCAGTAATGACTACGTTATCGGCCAGCACCCCAAGCCACCAGTCAAGCTACCTCGGATTCGCGTCAAAGCTCGCACATTGCTGGTCCAGGTGGAAGACGATCCGTTCGAGTCGCGCCTTGGTATGATCTACCGAGTCGGACTGTCTGAGCAAATCATGCGTGATGCACGAGAAACGGCATTTGATAAGAAGGTGGAAGGCCTGCGTCAACAAGGTGAGCATAGAGACTTTCTTCCTCAACTCAATAAACTACAAGAGCATAACTCGCGTGCCTGGATCATGCGCATTACGCATGCTCTCAATTTCCGAGCACAACATGCAAGAACAGCGCATCTGGCTTGGGGTGACGATGATGTCTCGCAAGGGTCGCACCGGTTTGAACGTGTCTTGGAAATACCAAATCGACCGCCGTTATTTGAACTCATGTTCAATAATGTCGATATTGCCATCGCTGAGCCCAGTTTCCCGCTCAAAGAGTATCCAGAGTTCATTCACAAAACTGGCAAGAGCATGCCTAAAGATACATTGTACTCCTTGCTCATTCCAATGAGTATTGACTGGAAAATGGACGAGGCTCGTGTGCAAGTGCGCGATTATCCCTTACCCTTGATGCATGTTCCACCGCTACACAATCGGCAGCGCATCAAGAGTCGGGCATGGGAGTTCAAAACTGATCTTGTCATTGCAGAAGAAGCGCCTGAACCAGAATCTATCCGACACGTCCGTGTCTGTGTTGTACCAGGAGATACCGGCCGAAAAGGTTCGCCTGCTTTTCACGTCGATGTACAGCGCAGTGTATCTGCTGTCAAGACTTATGCTGCAATCAACATTGATCTCAATTCTTCTCTCCCAACGCGAGTCCACTGGGGCACCTCGATGCAAGCTGGTATTGCTGATGTGATGCGCATTGTGGATACATTGTCTAAACCTCAACAAGACTTGTCGGACAAACTTGGCTTCTGGGACAAGATTCGCCTTGTGATGCATACAAGTCTCAAGCTAAATTGGAAGCAAGATGGAGATATGCACATCACAATCAAAGGTATGAAAGCTCTATCTATCTCAATAAGCTAATAATAGGCTCGCGCGATCCATATGTTATTCTTGGCAAAGGCGCTGGATTGACAAAAGTCTTTCGCGGTAATGTGGAGTGGTTCATTGGCTGCGCACCAGATCCGCATGTTCTGATGGCCGTGAAGTGTGACGAGTACATGCTAGCTATACCTGACTTTTCCAAGCGTGCCTCTGGTCTCACGGAGCGCGACAAGGGTCAATCCAATCAACTACATCATTACCATTTGAGGCGAAAAGAGATTGACTTCCAAAAGATTCTCATGAAATTGACTGGAGATGTCTATTGGACCGCTGGCATGAGATTTGAAAGGCACTGCCGAAAAGGTGAATGCAAGCACTGTGGCGATGAAAGCTGCCGCATCTGGGACTTTGATCCGCACTGGACTGTGAAGCAAGTCACACCAGAGTTTGGCAAGCTGCCAGATGATTCAGTGCGGGATGCATTCAACGGTTTCCGAAGTCATTACATCCATGGTCAGATATCAGTGACGTCCAGACAAAGGGAAGGCGCCACACAACAGAGCTACAACACTATGCACTTAACGCCCAAGAGCTTTTCTCACTTCTTTGACTGGATCCATTCTTTCTCTGGCAATCTCTCTTTGCCATTGCGCACAGGAAGTTTGTTTCCTTCTGATGAAGGGCCCAAGAAGAAGTTTGGTCGCTTCCTGGTGACGCTCAAGTACAGTTTGAAGCTTGACCCCCTCTATATCAGTCATGTCTACCGCCACAGCAGTCTTGACAAGCACGGCAAAATCAATACGACTGGCATCAAGGCCAAAATTGATGAGTTTGTTCTCGATTTGCACCAGCGCAAGGAGGAGCGAGTTGAACGAAACAAGACCCTGGAGACTGAACGACAGGCATCGCACATGAATATTTATCGAGCGCGTGTTGATCTCAAGCGTGTCGATCTACGAGTCGTGACGGCTGAATTCAGCGCTGATTTGCATTCGGATGCCAGGGCGGAAGTTTTGACGAAAGATCCGCTCGATCCAGATGATAACCCTCGCGGCAAGGCAGCAGCAAAGCAAGGCGATTTCAATGTTCCAGAAGAGGATCTCGCATGGGTCGATATGGATGACTTTGATGAGTTGGACAACATGCTCCCTACCATTGATCCATCTTGCCAAATTCTTCCCCTGGCTTACGCGCCGCGCTTCGTCTACGATCGCGACACTACACCACAAGACGGGAATAGCCAAGACTGTGGTACGCATGTGACAAAAGTGCAGAAGCAACGCTTTGGCTACGAAAAGTCGCATTACTGTTACATGGTTCCTGGCGAAAATGAGGAGCAGCGTTTCATGGGTGAGTTCCGCTGTGAAAGTCCATTATAAGCTAACATCAGGCACTGATATCGTACAACGCGAGCTGGCAATTGAGAGGTATACGGCGCTGCGGGGTGAGATTTCCTCGAATAAGACACAAAGGGATCGTATCTCTGCTGCGCTTGATGAAGCGCCTTATAGTCATGCTTTACGACAAGAGGTATGAACCAGAGCTCATATCCCATGCTAACCCAAGCTTGACAACTTGCACGACTATTCCGATGTACTCAGGCAAAAACTCGGTCTTTTTCTCAATCGGAAAGGTCAGAATGGTCAAACAGAAGTCTACGACCTGGAGGACACGCTACCTGATCCCTCAGATCTGCCGCATCATGAAGATCAACATCGTAGACTCAAAGCTCTTGAGGGAGAAATGGAGTCATTTAACAATCGCTTTGTTGTGCATGACGCACAGCTAAAGTGGAACAACGTGCTGCGTAACAATCTGATTCGCTATCTTCAGCATGTCAATCAGCGGCGTGGTTTCAGTTACTACATGTCGCAAAAGGCAGTGAAGTTCTTGATGGACCTTGTGCAAGAACAACAGCGAAAGGCCAAAGAGCAGCGCGCTGAGAGCACAGAGGAGAAGTCCTCTACACATGTCGACGACAAAGAGGAGCTTGACGACGAAGTCCACAAACTCATTCAACAGCTTCTTGATGACAAGGACAATTTCTTCGTTTCTGACAAAACGACAATCGATTCGGGCATGGAGTCGCGAGCCAAAGTCATTGCAAAGGGCGAAGACATCACTGACCTCAATACGAATTATCGCGCTCACAACAACTACATTTTCCTCATGCTGGGTCCGCAGGTTCAGCTGCAGAGCGAGAAAAACAGCGAGTCAGTTGTTGTGGTGTCAATGTCTACGATTCAATTGCGAATCATAGCCATCATGGACAATGAGGTTGACGAGGAGGATGTCAGCGCCATGCTTCAACGCAAGTTTATCGCCGAGATTCATGGTGCTCAGTTCTTTCATGCTCAAAAGCAGAACTTTCAAGGTGCTATTGCCAGTGTTTTCATCAATAATGGCTATGGCGCTGAAGCTGGTGGGTACTGGCCTCCTTGGATACCATTTGAGAGTCTGTTCCTCGGGGAGTTGAGTGCTAAACCATTTTCACGCATTGTCGCTCAGACAAGCGCTACGCTGACATATACGAAGCACAACACCCTTCGCATCAAGAAGAATGAGCGCATTGAAAAAGGAAGCAATATTGGCAGCGAAGATGCAGACGAGCGCATTGATTCAGTGGCTGTCGAGTTCCCCAAGTTCGACTTGACTGCCAATTCAACACAATACTATGCCATGTTCACAATCGTCACGGATCTCTTGATGTACACGGAGCCAATGCAAAAGGAACGAAATGATCGCATCGAGAAGCTCTTGCTAGCTGCCGACTTTTCCGATTTGTCTGGCGCACCAGAGATGGTGACGCAGCTCCAGACGCGGATTCGGTCGCTCAATGAATTCAAGCTGCAATTCAAGTTGCACGCCCAGCGCAATGATCCGCAGAGTAAGGCTGATGAAGTTCGTGTGGAGCGTGAACTTGTGCATTGCGAGGAAGAACTCTTTTTCTTGATGAAGTCGGTTGCTGCGGCTGCTCAGCAGAAGCGTGATGGCGGCAACACTGAAGTCATGGCTGCCATGACCTGGCATATGACTGCTGATGAGATACTATGGCATTTGATTGAGTCTTCAGGAACGCCATTCGTCGACATTGGATTGTCAAAGGCGACGTATCAGCGCACCGTCAACACAGATTCCTCCAATTTCAATATCCTCGAAGTAGAGATGCTTCAGGGACTGAATTTGTCGCCGAAGCCAATTTTCACCACGTTGCTTGCGCCGTACTTTAGTGGCGACAAGACGATCATTGATGCACGTCGCAGTAAGATGATTCGCATCTACTGGTACATGCTTGAAGCGATTGGAGGCATCCCTGTGTGCGATCACTTTGAGGTCAATCTCTTTCCTCTACGATTGCAGATGGAGCATGACGTGGGTAAGAAGCTCCTTGAGTATGTTTTCCCTGACAAATCAACAAACGACGACAATGCTTCAGATACGGACTCCAGCACAGGCGATAGTTCAGAGGACTCTGACGAGGATAGTGTGGCAAGTCGGTCGCTGCGACCACCCAGTGACGGTCGCCTCACGAGCAAAAGCTCGCGCAACACACTTCGAAGTTGTGCCGCGTCCACCTATTCTCGTGCTGACTCGCGAAGCAAAAAAGCATCATCAACGCTGTCTCTTCAACGTACACGGACAAATGCTTCTATGCAATCGAGCGCTGCAACTTCAGCGGATGGGTCGTCGCAATTGGCTAAGCACAAGAATCGCAAAGCGAGCAATGATTTGGACGCCATGATGTCCCGCGCTAGTACGAACATGTCCCTTGTCTACGTCAAGGTACCGTCTGCTGTTTTGTCGCTTTCCTATAAAGGTCCCAAAGCCAAGAATCTGGTGGACGTGACGGACTTTGTGTTTCGCTTCCCAACGATTGAATACCGCAACAAGACTTGGTCATACCTGGATCTGGTCGAGCACCTCAAACGGGAGGTCATCAAGGGTGTTTTGGCGCATACTGGCTCATTGCTTAAGGACAAGATGACACATCACAGAAAGGCAAAGCAGAAGCCTGCAATTCAAAGACAATTGACCTCTTACAAGAGCTTCATCCCTGGTCAAGCAGACGAACGACGTGCACTTGAGGCGTTTGAGCGTAGTGACTCTGCAGAGACGTCTTCGCTGGCCATGATCCAACCTGGCATGCCACACAAGGAAGGCGGGTTGTTGAGTACGGTGTTGAACAGCAACCCCATTGGTCGGCATATTCAGCACCTGTCCCATCTTGCACGGCACAAGGACGGTATTGTGGATGACAATGATGAAAGTAAGCTCAAAAAGACACGCATGCTGCTTGGCAAGTTTGTGCCGAAGAACTAGAGTAGATAGACGTATAGTGTAGTATCATGTATACTGCGGTGATGACCAGTTGATCGGGCATCCTTACTATGAGCACGAGGAATAGCATCAGGTTACAGGTGTGACTACTGCTACTACTCTAAGATACACTGGTCCTGGTAGCTGCGGCCAAGGGTTCTGCAAGAGTCCAATTTGAGCTTGTTGACTTGTACATGTACGCGTTGACTTCTTCATCTGGGCATTCTGGACGGGCTGCTTGATTAGAGCTTTAGATTGAGCTGCTCAATCTATGCGCAGACTAATAGACTGTAGTTCAGGCCTTGGGTCCAGGCTCCTGGGCCGTGTTTTCGTGTTCCTGTCACTGCTGTCAGACCTGCCAATTGAGGCTGCAACCCAGAACGGGAATGGGACGGCACTGTCACGGCACCCAATTCGGACAACCAGCTGTCGTCCAGCAAAATCAGGACCAAGCACTCACTCCATACAGATTGTATGTCTGCTGGTAGCCTGAGACAGTATTCTGCTCTCAGAGGCACTGAGTTGCTGGGCCGGACACTGCGGAGCCCGGGCAGACTAGGCCGCTCAATTTCCTCAATTGTAAAGACTACGCAGTCCGAGCCTATGTTATTGGAATCCGCATTCGGCAGACACCTTACACAAGCCGCTAGGTCAACCGGCGACACGGGCTGGTCGCGGGCTACCTGCGCCTACCGCCCGCCGTGTTGCAGGTTTGCAGTGCTTGGTGAATCATATTCCATGAATGACACGAAAGACCAAACCCGAGCCTGTGACCCGATTCACCCAACTCCCTGCTGGTCGATGCGGAGCGCAGCCTCAGCTGAGGTCGCTCGTAGGAGTCTAAGTTACAAAAGGCTGTCAATCTGCTATGCCCGCATCTTGTAGACAGCCAGCCGACACTCCTTACTTCTTTCGATGAAGTCACTGTTCATCGTCTCACTCCTTACGCTACTAGTCAATGTGTGCGTCGCTCAGGAGCAGATCGTGTACCCTGTTCAGACCATCCGCATCGATTTCACACTGCCCAATGTAACCATGTTTCGTCAGGGCGTCGTTTGTCCGCCAGATGACTATTTACGTCTGCGACCCTACGTCAGTTCAGCTGGTATGTTGGAATCTGCTCTGTTGACATTGGATGCAGCTGGAAAGTTGCGATGTCCCGGCAGTCTGACCCCTATCAACTTCTCTGCGTCGCCGAATCTTGTCACGTACAAGTACCTCGTTGCGCATGATATGCAGCCCACAGATCCAGGACCTGGTAATACCAAAGGTTACTACCCTGCATACTTCACCTATTCTGGTGGGATTCTCTCAGTGTCTTCGAGTCCCAAAGATCTTGGTTCATTGCCCTCAAGGAGACGTCGTCAATTCGGACCTAACGATTACACTCTCGGATTCACTGAAGGTGGCGACATGGCCGCCGGAGCTGTCCATCAACTATACACTATCATGCCACAATCTGGAGTGTATCTAGTGTCCGTGGACACAGGACCTGTTCTTTCAACTCCGCCGATGTTGTCTCGGTCTTCATCGAAATTGTCTCGGTCTTCGTCAAAGTTGTTCACTTCTTCGTCAAAGTTGTTCACATCTTCGTCAAAGTCGTCTCCGTCGACTACTTCAGAAACATTGATTGGACCAGTGCCTACAGCTACAGCATCAAAACTACCCCTGTCTACAGCTTCAGCATTGAGTGGATCGGTGCCTACAACTCCTGACCGGACCTTCCGCATCGACTTCCCACCGTCAACAAATTCCACGATTCGTCGAGGCGTTTTTTGTATATCGTTCGGAGGCACTTTCCAGTTTCGTACCTTACAGCTACGTACTTACCAGGCTGGTGTCGAGGTTCCTGATCTATTGACATTGGATGCAGCTGGGCAGTTGCGATGCCGCAGCAATCATGCCACGATCAACTTCGCTGCTTTTCCAGGTGTTGTCACATACAAGTACCTTGTTCAACACAACATGTCCACAGACCCGGAACCTGGATTTGCCAGCTACTTCCCGGCATACTTCATCTTTTCTGGTGGGGCTTTCTCAGTCTCGTCGAGTCCCGGAAGATCCAGTTCATTGCCTTCAAGAAGACGTCGTCAATTCGGTCTTGAGGATTACAACATTGGATTCACCAGTGAAGGCGACATGATTGCCGGACAGATTCAGGATTTAAGCCCTCCTCTACCACTATCTGCAGTGCAATTCGTGGATGTGTCTTCTAGGTCTTCGTCACTCCCAATCATTCCACAGGCCACGACTTCGGATGCTTCGTTTGTGACGAGGTCGATAGCTTCCGCGTCACTTGGGCCAGTGCCTACTGCTCCCACAGCAAATGAACCGGCGAATACTGCTCCAGCCTCAACTGCGACGCCATCAACCAGTGTTGGTGCAGTAACATCCACCACAGCCGATGCAGGCACTCCCAGCCTCTTGACTAGTGCTTCAGACAAAGCAGAAGCGCCTGCAGCGTCACTCACTGGATCCTCAAGCTCATCGCCTGTCACTTCGGACCAAGCTACAGAGGTGCCAACAACATCCTCATCTGTGTACGTCGCTTCTGGTCTTCCCACCTCGGGCACTTTGTCATCTGACTTCGTTACATCGATTGGTGAAGTTACATCTGCTCCCATCGAGACCGCCACGCTGCCAGTGACAGGTCTCATGTCTCTGAGTACCACCTTGCCTGTCGCCACAGCAACATCGACGTTCGAGTTCTCCGCTGCCGGAACACCTTTGGTCTGCTCAGGTACAGTCATTGCAGTGGCCTCATCTTCTACGGACGCAGCCTCGCCCATCTCCATTGACAGCAACGGTGTGTTGGCCTGCGCCGGTACGCAGGCTTTCCTCAAGCTTCAGCCTGCAAATCAATTCTACGATCTCGTCTTGTTTGCGCCTCCGCCACCAGCTGGTCAGGGTATCCAGAATGCGTACTTTTCGCTGGCTTCAGGCAGTCTTCTGGTTCAGTTCATGCCCTTCATGCTTCGTCAACGACGACAGCAGCTCCCTGCTGGTTCCTTCCCTGTTGGTATTGGCTCGAATGGTACGATGGTTGCTGGTCCAGGTGTGGCGCCCATTACTGCTGTGCCCATCCTTAACTCTGGTGGCTCGACAACACTTGGCGGCAGCTCGTTACCTGCTTCCCTTACGCCTAGTGCTCCCATGTCGTCACCTGCCACTGTTGCCACAAGCCCAAGTACTGCCAGCGCATCGCAGAGTGGTAGCAAGGGCATCGCACCCGTCGGTGGAAGCCCAGTAACGGTGACGAGTACGGTGACTTTGACTGTTCCTGGAACAAGTCAAACGGTCGTTGCAGTGCAGGTCTTTGTCAATGGGTCACCAGTCCTGACGCCTGGTTCTGGTGCGAATGGTCTCGTCTCTGGGTCTGGGCAAGTGATCGTCGTCGTGTCGGTTGGCAATGTTCTCGTTGCAGTTTCTGTTGCTGGTGTCGGTCCTGCAGGTGCAGTCATTGTCTCTGGCATGCCTGCCCTTGGCGGTGCGGCACCTGTCGTTGTGACTGGTGTAACATTGGTGGTACCAGTGGTTGTTCTTTCTGGTGGCACTACCAGGACCACTGTCACGACTGTACAAGGCTACGTGACGAAGACTGCCGGTGGTGCAGGACTTGCTCCTGGCGCTGGTGCCGTCACGCTTATCAACTCTGCCCCTGGCGTGACTGTGGTGGCCACACAGACTATCGCCGTGCCATCTGTCAATGCTGCAGGTGTAACGGTCGTGCCTGCTGTAGGTGCTTCTGGTATCGCTGGTGTGGTCGTGCCAGCTTCTGCAGTGCCTGCTATCGCCGCCGCCGCCGCAGCAGCAGCAGCAGCAGCAGCATCGCCGCGAGTTGTGGCATCGCCTGGCGCAGCAAGCAAGACCGCCCCAGCATTGGTCGCTGGGCTCTTTGCTCTGCTTGCAAGTCTGCTCGCCCTCTGATCGCTCGGCCATGCTCAAGCACCAAAGAGCCGATTAATTTCCTATAATAATACGGGGGTACAGATTTTCAGGGCCTCTATGTGTATATTGCAGAACACTTATTAATATATTTCTTTCTTACGCGTCGTTCCTTGCACAGATGGACTAGGCTGATAGCTTGTAGGCATGCTTCACGACACGGAGCTTTGCTGAAACATGGCTAGAGACTTAGTATGAGTATTCGCGAAGACTTTTGACAAGAGCTCAATCACAATACTGCGAAAAACGCCTTGCCATGGGTCCGTCCAACTTAGACGACAGTGGCTGAGCATGAGAGGCACGGGGAATGACCAGACAGCTTTCCGCTTGATTGGCTTCTTTTGTTGATCGCGAGGCACTTGTATTTGTGCTTTTGACTCTTGCATGCCACCAATGTTCATAACTTTAGAGGGGGACGACGACGGGTGGAAGATGGCCTTGGATGCGACGGTGTGCAAGCCAGATTTTTACTTGTCAGGCACCTTCCAAAGCCTCGATTTCTGCGCTGAGTGCAGCAGAGACTGCCACAAGGCGTTCTAGCTCAGCGATTGTGATAAACTCTCCATCCTGAAGTTGCACAAGTTCCGCCTAGCTGCAGCCTAGTTGTGCCAGTTGCGTTGAAAGTCGGTGTCTCTGGTCATCCATCTTGTGCGGGCAAACAGTTTGTGCCTTATTTCCGCGCGGTTGAAGCTGCATTTATAAAGAAGCGCATGCCTGGCGCGGGCCATCTCCGCCTGGACGTCATTGGATGTTGGTGTGTCTGGTGCCGGCAACCGTGGCTGCTCGACAGGTGGCCTCCTTACTGTTGGCTAGCGATGCGACATCCAGATCGTCTTTTAGCGGCCCGCCGAGTCAACGCTCTTCGACACGCGATGAGTGCGTACTTGGATTTGCCATGACATTTTTCAAACTTGGCTTCCGCTCTTGCCAACGCCTGATCTTCATTGTAGGCAAGCTCACCGTATTTCTTTTCCTTGTACCGCTGGAAGAACTGCGAGAATTTAGAGACCTCGCGCCTGATTTCAGCAAGGCGGCGGCGAACGGCAGAAGGCTCACGGGGCCAAAGAGAGCTCGCACCGTACACCGACCTGTGCAGTTCTCTTTCTCTAGCCCAAGTGACCAGAAAGGTGTGGTAAATATCCCTGGCTTTTTGGTCGTGGCTATTGTCACCGCGGAAACAAGGGTCCTCCCGCTCTTTCGTAATTTTGTTGTAGGCCTTGCATAGTGCGACGTCCTCATCCATCTCCCAAGGGTCACCATGTCCCATGTTGAAGAGTGAGGAGTCAAACTGTAATCTCAGTACTAGTGCAGCGCAGAGATGTGCCACGGGTGGTCACTGGTCGTCTTTGTTTTGTTGTGTTCGCCGCCCAACTTCGCGAAATAATTATTCAAGTTCCGGAATAAATGCGGCTGTTAGGATCGCGAATGCAGGCAGCGTTGATGTTCTGACTCCTAAGGTCAACGAGCTTGAGGCCTAGGTGGGCCGGCACTGCTGCCTTGAACCCAGTACGCAATACCATCAACCAGAATAAAGAGCAGCAGACCACCAATAACACTGATTGTACCGTACCTCCAAGCATGCTTCCTCTTGAGGGTATGCAGTTCACTCACAAACGAAGAGACGGTGGTCAAGGCACCACAAAATCCATCTTGCAGACCTTGCAGCGCCAGGAAGTGGATGCCAGCTCCATCTCGATCAACAACAGTCTGTAGGAGGAAGAAGAGTGCCTCGAGAAAGCAACCAAGTATATTGGCGTTGAATGTACCGAGAGGGAATGAAAGGACTCGATGATTGAATAGCTGAGAGAGCAGGTATCGGAGAAGTGCGCCTGTTGGCGTCATTGCAAGTGCGAGCGTATACCGTCGACGCCAACTTGTGTGGTCGACCGAAGCTGCAACGGCAATGACGACTGCTTGTGCTAGAAGTGCAAGCAGTGCTGTAATGCAGACGGCAGTGCGTGTCGTTGCTTGTGGAAAGGTCAAGCGTGCTTTGGGAAAGATAGAAGCGAGACCATCTGCAGCATGCTGACCAAGCTTGAAGCCAACAATTGAAAATGCGAGAGTTGTCGTGAGCTGAGCAATAAGCCCAATAGCATTATACCCAGTTGATCGACCGGCACTTGCTTCGCTCGTACCGTAGTCAGAGAGTGCAGTAAAGCACGCTAGCAGCCAACCGGAAAAGGTTGTTAATGAGCCGCAAAAGCCCACAGTCAAGCCTGTGAATAGTGCTTTATGCCGGTTAGGCTGGAAGAAGACTTGGTCGTGTTTCAAGAAGCCCATGACGGCACAACCCACAAATTGGGCCCAGACTAGAGCTGGAATCAAGTTACCGGGATAGGTATTGAGTTCTACTAATGCAAGCCGTGATAATGTGCCGAGCAAGCTGAGCAGGCCGATCCAGGCGCATTCATGAATCACCTGGAGCGCTCTGGATGGGTACTGCGGTATTTTGCGCTCCGAGGACGTCGCCTGAGTGACTTCTGACATGAGCCGTATATCATGCAAGGAGAGCAGTGCTAGCTGAGTGAAAGCAAGAACATGAGAGCGTAGATGGTATGCGGCAGCTTTGGCCAACTTTGTCTGGTTGTTGAGTCTGCTGCTAAACTCTGAAGCAGTTCTACACGTGACGGGGACATCAGTCGGTGTACTTGCAACTTGTTTTACTGAGTCCAGGTCTGTCAGAAGCGATACGAGGGAGGCTGGATACACACTAGAAAGGCCCAGTCATGTCATACACGAACCCGACTCACTTGGCCATCAAATCGGGCATCTCGGCCTCACAAGTAGTGGCCAGGCAACGCACACTCAAGCTCTATCGCGACTTTCAACGATGCGTGCGTCTATCCTCTCATGCTACCTGTAATAGCGAGATGCTAATAATATTGATAGATCCCCGAGATGATCAACTTGTATGAGCTGGAACTGCCCGTCTCTGTGGTCCGCTCAAAAGTGCGACAAGAGTTTGAGCGTAACCGCTATGTGATGGACCTACCAACTGTTGATATCTTGCTGCACAAGGGGCAGGCAGAGTACCAGGAGCTCAACAACTTCTGGAAGCAGCAGTCGCATGTCATGAAGTACTTCATTACGGAGGATGAGCCACAAGCGGCTAGACGGCTACCGGGTTCATTCATGGGCAAGTTCTTGGAGGGACGCAATTGATGCGCTGGGCCAACATACTGCCATAGTGACATGGCAGTTTCTTGCTGCTGCATTTGAAGAAGACGAAGCATGATACTCAAGGATGAAGCACAAGAAACGTATCTGTGAGATGAGTTGATATTGTCCATGTACATGACGATAGGTTGATCCTTCTGTTGTCTGTTGCTCGTATGCAGCCGTAGCTGCCAACGCCTGAGGACCTGTCTAGAAGCCAGGCGGCTTGACTGCCTGTCCCTGCTGTTGTCCCGGCGCCTGGAATACTGCACCTGATGTTCCTGGCGCCAACAAGTCGTTGCCGCCAGCCTGCATGCTGATTGCCTTCTCCTCCTCGACCACCTGTGCTTCCGCCTCAACGGCCATCATAAAGGGAATACCCAAGAGCAATAGGCTCGATGTGATGACCCACAGCGATTTGCCGCCATACAGTGCAACAGTGCTCACGCCGTATTTAGTCTTTGAAAAAGCAGAGGAGATCTTTGCTCGTGTTGGTGGTGGAATGATATCCTTGAGTGCTGCTACCCGCTCATACAATGTTTCGTCGAGGGGCCCTTCGTCTTCGTCTTCTGAAAGCTCTGATTCGGAGGAGACGTCAGTGTAGGCGTCGTCCTGCTCGACCTGGAGATCATACTCGTCCGTCACCTCTTCCAAGCGCATCTTTGACATGGCTGGCTGTGTCTGTGGGCTTCTCTCTGGTGTGCTGCCTGGTATATAGGCCTGTCTATGTCTTGCTTCAACTTGATTTCTTGCTCAACTTTTTGTGCTGCCACGTGATTTGCGCCGACGACAGCAAAAGTGAAGCAGCGAAGTGACCACAAAGTCATATACCAAAACTACTGCTCAATTTATAGCTACTACTGCTCATATTATAGCTACAGCTACGAGTATGGCCTCTGGGCGGGTACTGGACGAAGTGCTCGACGAAGCAGCAGGCACGCGTATCTTGACGTGCAGCTACAAACAATTCTCACAGCTCACTTTGCTCCTTGATGTCCACCTCCCAGCTCATACAGAATCGTCTGATGCACTACCCATTCTCATTTGGTATCGTATGTCATCTAGCTCTCGCTTTGAAGTATTTCTGACTCGCTAGATGGCGGAGGTCTTCTCCAAGACGACCGTAGAAATGTCGCACCACATCTCAAAGCATCCGTCGCGCGGTCCGATTGCATCGTTGTGTCGGTCGACTACAGGCTCGCGCCGCAAATTCCAGTCGATGAGATCGTGTCAGACTGCATCGATGCTCTCGAATTTGCCTACACAAATCTCAGTCTAATACTAGAGCAAGAGGATCGGTTCACGCGCGGTGACCCTAGTCGCATTGTCATTGCCGGTGGTAGTGCAGGTGGGTACTTGGCACTGCTCACTGCTTCTTCTGCGCCTGCTCACATTCAGCCTTCCATCAAGGCGTGTCTTGCCATCTACCCAATCACAGACCCATTCGGACCCTTCTTCACCTCATCGCATGATTTACACGTACCCTATGACACAAAACAGCTTGCTCCCTTCATCGATCCGCATGGTCAAGTCATGTCTGGGAACGATCAAGCTGGTTTACGCGGGAAAATGTACTTTTACATGCTTGAGCACGCCAACCTGGCAACACTGCTGGATGTGGAAGGCAGTGCAAAGCGTGCAGGACGATCCTTCAGAGTACAGGAAGAGTTTAAGCAACGCGGACTAGCGGATACATTGCCAGCCATCTACATGATTCACGGGGATGCGGATCGCGCCGTTGGTGTGGACCAAGCTCATGTTGTCCGTGATGTCTTGGTGGCTCGTCGACGTGCACAGCAAGCGCGTGGCCTCAAAGCAGACCAGTTCAAATACGTCGAGGTGCCAGGAGCGGATCATCTATTTGACAAGGACCCAAAGGAAACGATGGCGGATATGTATACATTCATGCAGCACGCTTTAGCAGGCATCGACGTTACTCCAGAATCTGCAGATTCGAAGAACGCAACGACCACATTCACTGATACAGCTGTGTCACAAAGCACGCCAATCAAAGCAACCTCTTACACCAGTTCTGTTGCTTCAAGCAGTGACGACGACTATTCAGATCTAAGCGACCAAGACGATCGTTACTCGGCTGATCGGCACTGGCATCAATCCATGCAAGAACTCGGTACCCTTGCCAATCTCATCTTACTGCCATACCTCGGCAAATACTTTGGACGACAATTTGCGTTTTGGTCATGGGCGAAATGGGTTACTTGGCGATATCCGGGTGTGCATGTCGATGTGGACAAGACGACAAATCGTGTAACAGGCGCAATTGTTGCTGGCATGTCTTCGTTGGGCTAAGGGGCTAATGTCAATACGTAAATAAGAAGGAATCTTAGCGTCTGCCTTCGTCGTGTGAATCATACGAGGAGTCAATAGATCCAAGCAGAAGCTTGACCATGTAGACGTTTGGATCGAAATTGGTAACACCTGCACGCTGCATCTCATCCGCCTCAAGCTCATAATCAGACGTACAATCAATCATCGATCCAACCTGTGGGTCACGATCCAACTGGCCCAAAAAGTCACGCGCCTTCAAGTCAGAGCCAACTTGAACAAACTGGAAGCTAACGGCATCCGGTCCATACTGCGTCTGTTGCAGCTCGCGCTTCGAACGCAGAATGACTTGTTGAATTTTGTTGCGGTCTTCACCTTGTGGTGCACCATCTGTAATGGCAATCACCAACACTGGCTTGCGAAGGGCTCCTTGGCGAGCAGGTCCATGAACCATGGGGTCCAGGATCTTTTGTTCAAGCGATGTACCGAGTGGTGTCAAACCCTGGAACTTGATTTGAGAGACAAGACGCTGAACATCGTTGGCGTTGCGGATATTGTCGCCTTGGACATTGGCATTGAGGAAACGAACAGAAATGCCGTCTTGATCAAACAAGCTGCATGCTTCAGAGACCTTGTTGAGGATCGCCTTCATATCCTCAATACGCTCGCCGTTTTCCTCAAAGGACATAGATCCAGAGTCATCCACAAGAATGATAATGTCAAACAATGCAATTTTGACTAAGTCAATTGCAATCTCAGTTGGAATACGCCAAGTTTGAGCAAGATGCTGCAATTTGCCCATCAAGTCGCCTTGCTGCATAATCTGCTGCAAGCTGGCAGGACTGAAAAAGGCACCGATACGCTGATCACGCACACATCCCTCGAGCAACTGGAAGAGCTGATTGTTGTTCCCACCACCCATACCGGCCTGTGGAGGCTGTCCATAGCCTTGCTGCTGCTGTGGTGGCTGCCCATATTGGCCTGGTTGCTGGTGTTGTCCATAACCCTGCTGGGGCGGCTGACCGTACCCTTGCTGAGGCTGCTGTTGACCATAGCCAGCCTGTGGAGGTTGTTGGCCATAACCATGCTGTGGCTGCTGACCATACTGACCAGGCTGTTGCTGTGGCTGCTGACCATATCCTTGAGCAGGCGGCCTCTGCTGCTGACCATACCCACCCGGTGCAACGCCACCAAAGGCCTGCTGCTGGTGCTGTCCCGGTGTGGGCGCATACGATGACGAAGGCAGTTGCGAGTTGGGTGGTCGACCAAAGGCCGCCGCACCCGTTGGACCTGCTGCACCTGCAACAGCTGCTTGAGCTAGCTTCTGAGCGAGACCCATGACTGGTAGCTATGGACTTGGCTTGTTTGAGAGAGATAGACCTCGTAGACTCGGGCGTCCAAGCAGACTGATGACCCGACTCGAGGTGACGACAACGGAAAAAGCAGTCATGTATTGAGTTACTGCAAACGCTACTCACCACATTGACAGGATCACAAGGCACAGATGATAAAGTACTTCTAGATATTCAATCGACCGCTCTGTAGCTGCAACTAATGAAGTCAAGGCAAGTGCTCGACACTGTCGAAAATACGAGCATCCAACAAATGTAACTGGAGCGAAATCTAGTGCTCGCCAACGTCAAGTCGCTAGGAGGTCAAAGAGAGAATTCATGAAACCAGGCTTGTCCGTTACTCTTCAAGATCTTGACGTCTGGTGTGCCGAGGTTCTTAAGGACCTCATCACATACAACAGGGTCCAGCGCATGGACAATGGTCGATTTGTGCTTCACATGCGCATCTATACGTCTGTTCATGCTTTCGAGTATATCCACATTGTGACAATCCTCGTCATCCTTGACTTCGGGGAACAGAAAGCGAAATCGGCAGATACAGTGGAGGTCACCTCCTCTGTTCACATGTTTTGTTTTAGAGGTCGACCCAGGAGTCAGGTACACCAGAATGGGATTCAGCTCGCTGGCTGAGCACCTGAACACTGGATGATAGCGTGGGAAGTCCCACCACAGCTGACTGATGCAGTCCCTCTTGCAGTCAAGAGTTTTCTTGAAGCCGTCCAGCAAGGGGAATCCATGGGGAGTAAAGAGGACATTCGTCTTGCAGCCCTCGTTGGCGATGTATTTAATGGCATTCACCTGTAGAGCAAGCAGCTGCAATGACAACAACTGGTATATTTTGCTGGGCGTCATCTTTCTGGACTAGTTGCAAGGGCGTTGTCTGTCGAGTCTTGTAGAGGTGTTCTGATGGTAAACGAATGTCTGGCTTCCAGCAGCCCTGGCGCACTTTGGCTGTTGTTCCCGGTTGAAATTGCCAGCAGTTACGGAAGCTAGGCGGGCATCAGCCGCCATTTGAAGAAAGCCAAGACTCAGGAGTACGAGCTATTTGTCTAGCAAGTTCTTCTGCAGCTGTTGCAATCGCGTGTCAGCTGTGATTTTGCCCTTTTGGCATTGAAAAGTTTCAGGGGTAAAAGTCTTCCACGTGATGCGGACTTTAATTGGTTGCGGCACGCGTCAAAAAGTCAATTATAGGCTCACAACTTACGCGTTATATCCATGGTTTAGAATAGATGGAGCTTGCAATTGCAGAGGCACGCGCATCTGATGCTCCTGTATTAGCAAAGATAGCTAGAAAGCATGGAATCAGTCGACCAGCCCTCAGCCGTCGATTTCATGGCCTATCCACCTCCAAAGCCCGCAGGGAGGAAAACAAGCAGGCGCTCTCCAACCATCAGGAGAAAATGATCATAGATTAGATCAAGCAATTGAGTGATCTTTGCCTTCCACCCCCACCAGCTTTTATAACCTCGCTAGCTTCGAGATTGGCTGGCCGACCGCTTTCAAAAAATTGGGCAAGCCGCTTTGTTCAGCGCCACAACAATATTTTGGACAGCCGATATCTTCAGAATATCGACTTAGCTCGTCACAAGGCTGATAGTCTCACTAGCTATGAGTCTTACTTCAATGGTTTGGCTGCTGTTATTCAGAGAAACAACATCACGGCGGAGAACATGTACAATATGGACGAGAAAGGGTTCATGATTGGAGTCTCGCAGAAGACACGCCGGGTGTTCGCTAAGCAGAAATCTGAGCTCGATGAGCTTCCCAGAGCTGGGGAGGATGGTAACCGAGAATGGTTCACTATTCTAGCGACAATCTGTGCTGATGGGACGACTTTATCGCCTGCTGTTATCTACAAGGCTGACTCCGGCGACATTCAAAATGCCTGAATCGAGGATTTCAAGACAGATGAGCACAATTGCTATTTTGCAAGCTCGCCCAACGGGTGGACATCTGATGAGCTCGCCATGCACTGGCTCGTGGACATTTTCGACAAGGAGTCGCGACGCAAATCCAGACGCTCCTGGAGACTCTTATTTCTTGATGGTCACGGCTCGCACCTGAACACAAAATTCATCAGCAAGTGCACTGAACTGAAGATCTACCTTGCCTTCTATCCGCCTCACTCGACGCATAGATTGCAACCTTTGGATGTTGGCTGCTTCAGCCCTTTGGCCAGTTACTATAGCCAAGGCCTCAATCAGATGGTCACAGATTCAGGAGGACAGTGCTCGATCAAGAAGCGAGATTCCTTTCCCATCTGTTGGCTGGCCTATCAGAAGACCTTTTTCAAGAAGACTATTGAGTCTGCCTGGGAAAAGACTGGCATTTGGCCGTTCAATCCGGAGATAGCCCTGGGTCCTTTGCGCAAAAGGCCAGCGACTCCATTACCCGCTCAAGCCCAACAACAGCACGATAGTCCAAGACCACCAACTGGAGTATGTACTGTGTCCAGACCGGCGAAGATGCGCCGGTTCTTGGTGCAGACAACTGCCAATGCTGATCAAAAATCGCAAAAGTCTCTCCAATTCCTGGCGCACCGGCTTTCTGAGGTCCAAACAGCGTATGAAGCCGTAAAGCTGGAGAACTCGCAGCTAAAGGCTGTTGTCAAGCGAAATCAGCCAAGGAAGAAAAGACAGCTGAAGATTGGGGAGCAGCTGAGGTCGGATGGACGGACAGGCGCTTTATTTGTTGGCCCTATCGAGGTCCAGCATGCTCGAGACATTGAAGCTAAGCGTGCACAAGAACGGGACATGCTAGTCGAGCAAAGGGCGGCTGAAAAGACAGCCAGGGCTATCAAAAAGGCAGACAAGGAAGCTGAGGCTCAACAGAAACGGGAGGCTCGCGCTGCAGCCAAAGTAGCTAAGGAAGCCGCCGCAGCGGAAAAGAAGGCTGTTTCTCTGGCCAGCCATGCTGTGAAGCAAGCTCAAAAGAAGCCCAATCAGGCTCACAAGTCAGCTGTGGTCAGTCAAGAAGAGAATCCAGGGTCGAATTTGACTGAAGCCGCGGGTGTCATAGTAGAGGGGAAGCCTTTGAGTGCAGAGCCTGGAAATGTCACCTTCACACGACCTGGGCGCCTCAGTTCGAGACCAATGCATAAGCGCCTCTAAACACATATTTAAAGATAGATTAGACAGTAGTTTTAGCTCCAGCAGACTTAGAATCAGTTTGAATTACCACCGGCCGCAATACTAGCCTTTGTATTTGTGGTGTTTCATTTGTGAAAGCGTGCCGCTCCATCTGGAGGTTCGCATCACGTGGAAGACTTTTAATGCGACTGCACAAGTTGGCAAATATGCGAGATGGCCAATAGCCTGCTCGGCGCCGGGCGCGATACGATTGATTTTGCAGTCGGATTGGCTAACAGCAAAGATGAGGTCAGATGTCTTGTGTTTACCTAATCACTGAGCTGTCTTCCACATGCGTGACCATTCGAGAGCCGCAAATAATAAATTGGTGGCGGCCGTGCAAGTCGTATGCATATGAGCGAAATAACACATTGGAAGCTACTCAATAGCTGCATAGCGGCTACTTACATTGGATACGGGGCTGTCGGAAAATGTCGAGCTGCTATGAAGAAGAGGTGTAGACAAATCCTGAACTGACACAGAGTCGCCCAGGAGATGGCTGGCCATACTGACCAGGCTGTTGCTGTGGCTGCTGACCATATTTTTGACAAGGTGTTCTCTGTTGCTGACCATACCCGCCTGGTGCAGCTCCGCCAAGGGCCTGCTGCTGGTGTTGTCCCGATTCGAGCGCATACGATGACGAAGGCAGTTGCGAATTGGGCGAGCAGCCGCACACGTTAGACCAGCTGCTACGCCTGCGACGACTACTCAAGCTAGAGCAAGGCCCATGACTGATAGCCATAGCTTGACTTGTTTGAGAGAAATAGATCTCGAAAACTGGGGCGTCCACGGAGACTGATGACACGACTAAACATGAGGACAAAGGAAAGGCTTAGAGTCACAGCGCCCGTAGTCTTCACTTTGACAGCGATATCAGAAAATACAAATGATCCTCCATCCATGGGACAGAGGACAAAGTACTGCTAGTATTTTGACCGACTACTCTAAGCTGCAGCTATCGAAGTCAAGACAAGTGCACACCACTGTCAAAAAGTCCGAGCACCCAAAGAATGTAATTGGAAAGCAAATATAGTGCTGGCCATCGTCAAGTCGCTAGGAGAACTCGATAAAGTTGTCAGTAAGCTCTGGGTGGTCCTTGTAGATCGTGACATCTGGTGGGTCGGCGAATTCCGTAGCACAAGATACAGGTTCCCGAGAACGAACAATGCTCGATTTGTGCTGCACATGCATATCCATACGTTTGTTCATGCTCTCCAGTATCTTAGCGTTGCTACAATTTGGCTCAATCTCGAGGAACGCAAAATCCAAGTGGCAGATACAGTCACCATGACCTCCCGTCTTCGTAGGTGCCGATTTGAAGATCACCTCAGGAGTGACGTACACCTTAGCGGCCAAGTCGCCGACTGAGCACTGAAACATTGGATGATAGTTTGGGAAGTCACCCGACAGCTGACGGATGCAGTCCTTCTTGCAGTCATGAGTTTGGTTGTATCCATCCAACAAGGGGACCGCATGGGGAGCGAAGATGACATACTTCTTGCAGTCTTTGTTTGGGACGGTCTTGGCATTCACCTGTAGAGCAAGCAGCTGCAATGACAACAACTGGTATGTTCTGCTTGGCGTCATCTTTCTGGAACAATGGCAAGGTCGTTATCTGTCAAGTCTTGCAGAGGTGTTCTGATGGGAAGCGAGTGTCTGGCTTCCAGCAGCCCTGGCGTGCTTCAGCCCTTGTTCCCCGTCGCAAGTGCCAGCAGCTACAGAAGCAAGGCGGGCAGCAGCCGCCATTTGAAGAGAGCCAAGACTCAGGAGTAAGAGCTATTTGTCCAGCAAGTTCTTCTGCAGCTGTCACATTCGCATGTCAGCTGTGATTTTTCCCTCTCGGCATTGAAAAGTTTCAGGGGTAAAATTAATGCGAATGCGCAAGTTGGCAAATATGCGAGATGGCCAATAGCCTGCTCGGGGCCGGGCGCGATACGACTGATCTTGGAGTCGGATTGGCTGACAGCGAAGATGAGGTCAGATGTCTTGTGTTTACTTCAGCACTGAGCTGGCTTCCACATGCGTGACCATTCGAGAGCCGCAAATAACGAATTGGTGACGGCCGTGCAAGTCGTACGCATATGAGCGAAACAACACATTGAAAGCTACTCAACAGCTGCATAGTGGCCACTCACACTGAATACGATGCTGTCGAAAAATGTCGAGCTGCTATGAAGAGGAGATAAAGATGGATCATTAGTTGACGCGAACTCGACCAGGAGATAAGAAACTAGATCAACTAGTGCAATCCTTCAGTTATGTTTATCAATGTTTAGAACAGGGCCCTCTACATAGGTGATCTTTCCGCATTCGACTTTCCCTCCATTAAGGGGAGTGTAGACTGGTTTCTGCCGGGTGAGTGCACCTGGTAATTGCTGTGCAACACTGTTGAATCGGTTGAATAGGCCCCGGATGCCGCAGGACGATGTTAGCTGTTGAAAGTGAAACGTATACTGGCAAGTGCACTTTCCCGAGTTCATCTTTTCAATGAGTAAAACAGAGATGGGGACTGAAGGAGGGTCTGAAAGACACCAGAAGAGCTTGGAATTCGGTGGCTTGGTAAAATCTTTCTTGACCTGTTCAATACATTGATTGCGGCAATCGTCAAGTGTTGCAGGTTTTGAAAACTCCTTGCGTAAATCAAGGGCGGGCAGAGTTAGATACACGAGGCTTTTTTCGACGCATTTTTCCTCGCCCGGAACAGGTCTGAGTTGTTCTCCATGAACCAAAACAGCCATAAATATCTGCGTGGCCAGAAAATGGTGCAGATACATCTAGATTTGCTGTGACAATGGTCAATCCCCGTACTCCAATGCGAGATAGAAGTCTTACGTTTTTGCAACCTTCAAATAGTAGCCGCCTGTGTCTGAGCGATTGACAAGCTTGAAAGACAAGAGAACTGAGTGGTCCTGGAGCCAGAGACGCGATGTCGGGCGCAGCCTTTTATGCTTTTCGAACCAGAATTCAGGGGTTGTCTTTGCCATCGTGACCCTGAATTGCAACAATGCCAAAACACTGAGGACATCCAAGAACAGAGCGAGCCAATAGATGCTCGAGTATTGGTTCATGCCAGGAAAACATTTGCCATTTTTGCACTGCCCTGCCGCACGGTCATTCAGGAGTATGTCGTGCTTTCTGACTTATCATAAATCTTTGTTGCGATACGGTTTTGAATCAGCTTGTCTCGGTCTAGACCAGCTCTCCCACCATACGTTCTGGTTGCAATGCTGGCTGGGTTGTATGGGGTCGCTATTCCATTGGACAAGAGAAGGGAATTCCATCTACCAACACCTAAAGCGCATGAGATCACTGTTGAGCACACTGTACACCTGGTTCATCATCGTCTTCCTCCTCATCTTGCCACTGCTGCTGTGCTTCTTCGCCACCAAATTCATCGAGACTGCCGTCGACGGCATCAATGTCCTCTTCGAGATCAGTGGATGCAGCAGCCTTGTTTGTACCAGGCACAATGACTGGGTCTTGTGGGAGCAATGAAGCGAGTGATTTGAGATCAGCAGGAGATTTCATGAATCCATCCTTGGGGAAGGTGATGTCAACTGTGAGATACAAGTCGCCAAAGCCCTCCCTGCGCTTACCAAGTGGCATACCTTCGCCATTGACCACAAGCACTTGACCCGGCCGCAAGACTTGCCCTGGCTTAGTGGTGAATTTGAGATGCCGTCCATCAAGGTGTACGAGGACAACACGAGACATGCCAGTCAGTGCTTCAGCAAGGGTTACTTGCATTTCTGCCTTGAGGTCAGATCCAAGACGTTCAAAGACTGCATGCTGTTGTTCTTGCAAGGTGATGATGACGTCGCCCGTTTCGGCACCTGGCACTTCATCTGCTTGTCCCTTGAGCGTGATGCGTTCACCATCACGCATACCACGGTCGATGAAGAGTTCCATGATTTTGAGCTCATCAACGACTTTGGTACCTTTGCATTTCCGGCATTGATCCTTATCTCTGATCGTCTCACCTGATCCTGCACACGAGGGACATTCGACTTGTTGCTGCGAGTACATGCCTGGTCCGACCATCATGCTTGCTGTTTTACTGCCTCTGCCATCACACGAGGGACACTTGCTCGGTTTGTGATTTGTTCTGCAACCTGATCCATGACAGTGTGGGCAGATTTTATTGCGCGTGCCCTTCATCTTTGTGCTCTTGCCCTTGAAGAGATCTTCCAGCGTGACATCGTAGTCATGCTCGACATCCTGTTTCTTGGGTTGTCGTCTGTATGGATGTTTCCCTGGTGGTCCACCCATACCACCCATGCCAGGCATTCCGCCCCCACCAAACATCTGCGCAAACAAGTCATCCATGTCCATTCCACCATGCATACCACCCGCACCGCCAGCAAAGCCATCTTTCCCAAGCTCGTCGTATTGCGCACGAGAATCCGGTTCACGCAGAATGTCATAGGCTTCCTGGACTTCGCGGAACCGGATGGAAGCCTCTTCACGGTCTTCTTCGGGGACTTTATCCGGGTGGGTCGAGCGGACAAGTGCGTGGTAGGCCTGCTTGAGCTGAGCCGGGGAAGCCGTAGGTGCGACCCCTAGAATATCGTAGAAGGCTGTATCTCTGACCATTGTCTCTTGGGCCTCTTGACTGGACTGGCACTATGATAGCACTTAAGTATCGCGCTCTGGTTGGTCTTGTTGCATTTTCTTTCTCTTTCGCACGAAACAAAACACAAACGCGACAGAGTGCTTCTGCTGCTTGACCAGAGACTACAAGACTAAATAGCTACATAGAAGCGATACAGACGAGAGCAGACAGTCAGCTACAGCTACAGCTCATCAGAAATAAGCTACTATGTCTACGCGTCAATCATCTTCAGCGCATCAGTCGCGCTCCTCGCTCGCTCCAGGTCAACACAAACAAAGACAACTCGCGCACCTCAATGCGCAGCTCGCACAGCTCCAAGCACATCTCGCAGACCTAGACGATCATCTACGCGTCACGGCTGTACAATCTGGCGCGATACGCAAATTAGGTGCGCTTCAGGGCGGTCTCTTGTACGTTTTTGGTTTCTTTGTTTGCCGTCCACCACAACTAATGCTTCTCTTCTAGTATGGCAGCGAGTCAGGTCCTTGTTGAGAATGAATTCGAGCAAAAGGAACGCTGACAGGCATCTATACGTTCATGTAAATAAGCCAAAGCCATCGAACTTCTCTCCTTCTATTGCACCTTTTTCGCTTCCGTACTCCGCCGCACTCGACGCGCTACAAGGAATCCCTTGATCTCCCTGAGCAATGACAAACCCAAAGGCAACAGCAGTGGTCCAAAAAGTGGCATGTACACGCCATACTTGTGTTCTTGTGGGAAATACAACAAACTCACCATCTTGTCATCAAAGAAGGCAGCTTCCGCAAAAGCGACTGCTTGTCGCGCATGCCGTAACGCTGCAATCAAGTCATAGTCGTTTGCTGCTGTTGTATGCAGTAAGGCCGCATCGACATGTGTCAGCGCTTGTGCCATACGCGCAGCAGCCTGCTCAGGAACGTGCATGTTTGGTAATGCATCTACCATCTTGGGAATCGACGCAAGGGTCTGCTGAGCACTTCGAATAAGCTCCATGAGTCGCGCACGGTAGAAAGCGTCACGTCGCCAGAGTGAGTGGTCTGGCCACCCTGCAATACGCGGACTCATCCCAATCAACGTCAGAAAATGCGAGGTGCACGTCTCCATCATCGTCGCTAGAATAGCTTTGTCCATCGTTTTGCTCGTCTCATTTGCTGGTGGATTGTAAATGACAACGGAACCAAATTGCGGCAAGAGAAAGGCATAGCCGGCGGCTGATTTGCCATCTTGTTTGATGACAAGTGGCCTATGCTCAGGTTTCGGCACATAGATGATAAAATTGAGTGGTTTGGCGTCCCCTTCCGCAGTCGCAAGTGGCCATTCTGCGGCGTTGATGACGTTGCTGAGGTCAGAAGGTAGCAAGACATGCTCTCCCGTCTCTTCCTCAAATTTCGGTTCAAACGTCAGCTCTGCATAATGCTGCACTTGACTCTCAACGATGAATGTAGATACCTCTTGGATACTCGCCAGGATCGGCTCAACTGTCTCCGCAAGGACAGACTCAATTGGCCAGTCGAGGAAGGGATGCAATCCGCCGCCATTCATGAGGGAGAAGAGTAAGTTGAATCGCGGCGCATAATTGACGACGCGTAGATCAGCAGAGGCACGCGCAGAGATCCGCGACGCTGCCATTGTTTGGCGTTCATCACCAGTCAGCTTCTGTAAAGTTTCTGCTACAGCATCTGCTATTGAAGCGTGGTCTTGCGTCGCTGGTACTGTGAGCGTGATTGTGCGTGACTTATTCTCATCGAATTGTATAGCTTGCTGCGCGCCAAGCTTGACTTGGACAGTCCAAGTATCCCTTGCAGCTGCAGTCTCTGTCGAGAAGTGATATACATCTTGGACAGAATTCAATTTCTGAATTGCCAGAGCAGACACACCGGCAAGTGTGTCTTCTTCCAATTGAATAGAGATCGGGAAAATAGGCTTGAGTGGAGCCCAAGTTGGCAGCGCAGGGAGGGGTGCACGAGAGACTTGCGTCGTTAGATACCACATGGGCAAGCCAAGCAGGAATACGGCCCAAAAGGCCAGCAAGACGCCGCGACGCTTTGCAGTTTCATCGTGTGATATCGCCATTTCGGCAGCTTAGCAGCAGAGAGAGAGCATGATCGTCTTGAAGTATGTAGACTAATGTAGTGTACACTGTACAGCGACCTGTGCCGCTGCCCAAGTCAAAAGAACACGTGACTTTTCACCACGCCCAAGCTCGACACAGAGACAACAGTCACTTGAAGCTCGACGTCTACACATTATATGCCTCTAGTTGTATCTGTCTATCATGTTCTTCAGCAACCTAGAGCTTGTTGATGCTGTGAAGAAACTTCTTGATGTCCATGACCATACACTCAAAAGCCAAGCAACTATTATCTAATGAGCAGCGAGCAGCAACACTTCTCAGACTTGCAGCTTCACGTCATGCTCTCAATCTCGCTTTGGACTAAAGAGAAGATCTTTGACTGAAGCACTGAGGCTAAGTTCTCTTGTTTGCTCCATGACGGTCTGTGAGACCCATCAATCTGAAGCACAATTTGCTTCATATGGACCCCCGACGAACTAGCCTATGAGGGTGCCCTCATGGGCTTCAACTTGATCCTTTACCCTCGATGGCAGATTCCTTTTGCAGTGAGTCTGAATTCAGGCTTTCAAGTTCAGCGCAGCATCTTGTGCCCTTCTCATCCGGGTTCGCCACTGATGTGCAGCTAGGCTGGGACATCTATGGCGAAGGACCAATCCGTGTTCTTGTCCTAGCAGGAGCGACCCAGTCACGAGAATCAAACATCCCTATCGTTCAGTCTCTGCTCCAGCAGAATGACTACACTGTCTTGCTCATCGACCACCCTGGCGCGCCAAATCATGCTGGCCATGCCAAGCTGCATACTTGGAGCACCCGAAACATTGCAAAGCTACTGATTCTTGCTATTCAAGAAATAGGTTGGTATGCAGGTCCTGCCATACACATTTGCGCCACCTCGCTCGGTGGCTTGGCTGCAATGCATATTGGCTTGGAAGTACCACGTATTGTCGCCTCATTGACTCTTGTCTCCGTGTATGCACGCTATCAACAACCTTGTATGCGTGGGTCTAGGAGAAAGATTCTAAGCCTAGTCACTGCACCTTGGACAAAGGAATGCTACGCGAAGGCTGAGATGAGATTGCTCTATTCACGGTCATACTTGGAGCTGCCAGACCCAGCTGGCGTCTTTGCGACACAACGAGAAGCTCTCGAAAGAGAGACATTGAACCGGCTCAACACTGCAATGCAAGGCTTCTACGGCTTTCTGGGTCAGAATTGGGCTTGCAGATGGCATCATTTGAGTCGAGCGCAGCAGGAAAGGCTCGGTCAGCAAGTTTCACAGATCTTGCTGGTGACAGGAGCCAAGGATATTATTGTCAGTCCGAACTGCGGCAAAAAGTTGGCCAAGCGACTCAATTGCCCTGTGCATGTCTTTGAGAGATGTGGCCATTCGCCGCAGCGTCAAGAGCCTGATGTGTTTCATGCGTTACTCAAGGCACACATTGAACGAGCTGAGCTGTCTCATCATGCTGTCCGATTCTCCCTCTCAGCATGATGCATCTCGCTGTATAGTCCATCATACTCTTGCTCGTGCATCCCACGTAGAATTCCATCGGCAGATTTCCCAGTTGCGACGCCGACGCCAAAAAAGATTCGCGACCCGCGACTCTTCCTCGACTCATCCTCGATATTCAAGTGGCGGATGCGGCCAAGATAGCCCAAGGACATGCTCACGTACCTCCAAGTGTATGGCTCATCATATTCATGACGAATGCTCACCCCAGGCATGTATATTACAATGTGCCGCCATTGATTTTGCTGTTCTTGTTGCATCGACCGCTTGCAACAAGCCGCGACTGGCGCAAGTACCTCTTTCTATGCGTCATTGCCGTTCTCTACACTACTCCTTGGGATAATTGGATCATTTACAACAAGGCATGGACATATTGCCCGTCATGTGTGATGGGTACATTGGGTCTAGTACCTGTCGAGGAATACCTCTTCTTTGTCGTGCAGACCCTCTTGACGTGCCAACTGCACTCGCTCTTGACCAAAACTATGGCAGGACTTCCAGCTGTCAGCATATCTCCCAACAAAAAAGCACCGTTGCTGAGTACTAGCCTTGCGGTCGCCTGGCTTGCAATGGGTGCGGCAGCTATATCTTACGCCGACCCATCCAGAAAGACCTTTTACTTGGCTGCCATTATCGCCTGGACTGCTCCCGTACTGTGCTTTCTCTTCACTATTTCAGCTATACAGACGAGCTTCTTACAAAAACGATGGGCTCCGAGCCTCCTTGCAATTGCTCTGCCGACTCTCTATCTATGTATTATTGACAGTATCGCCATTCGAGCCGGTACCTGGCATATCACCGAGCGCACGTCTCTCGAAATCTTCCTCTGGAAAGGTCTACCCATTGAAGAAGCCATCTTCTTCTTTGTAACCAATCTGATGGTCGTGCTCGGCTGTACAGGTTTTGATCTCGCTAGTGCAATTGTTAGCACGTACGACAAGACTGAAACCTTTTCTTTCCTGTCGCTCTGCTACGCTCTACTTTGCCCTCGCAACGAAAACGTTGTTCGAGACCTCCGGGCATGTGTTGAAATCTTGCAAGCAGGCAGTGCTAGCTTCTACAACTCGAGCTTTTTCTTCGACGAGGACATACGCCGGGATTTGGTGGTTCTATACGCATTCTGTCGCTTTACAGATGACGTTGCCGATGACGCCTCCGAGCCACTCGAGAAGCGCAAGGCCAAGTTGGATGAGACGCGCGTCTTTATCCAAACAGAGTTTCCTACGAGGCTCATGCTGCCAATGGCACTGCCAAAGTCTGAAAAGGCAATTTGTCTCTATGACCATCCAGTTTACAGGACAATGCTACGGTATATTGCAAACAAGCTGCCACAAGAACCGCTGCTTGAGCTGCTCGACGGTTACGAATGGGATCTTCTTCTCGATACCGATAGAAGCAAGCAGATGCAGTCCGAGGAGGACGTCATACGGTATTCCAGTTTTGTAGCCAGCAGTGTGGCCGAGATGTGTATCTGCTTGCTCGACAAATCTGCTTCCGCGGACGTGCTCAAGTCTGCACGCAAAATGGGCGTTGTCCTTCAATTGACCAATATTGCACGCGATATACTCACGGATGCAATCAATGGTCGAGTGTACCTTCCACAGGCGTGGCTGACAGAGGAAGACCGGAAAATGCTGCTTCACGTGGCTAAGGATCATGACATTACGAGCATAGAGGAAGACCCACGGATAATGGCCCTGCATCTGGAACGATATGCTCTGCGATTGCTAAGCCTCGCCGATGAAATGTACGCCGAGAGTACAGGCAAGATTGACGCTCTGCCTGAACAGGTCCAGCGGGGTTTGCGCATTGTCACTGATGGCTACTACGCTATCGGCAGACAACTGCGCTCGACTTGCAATCACGGTCGCTATCCACGACGAGCAAAGCTTTCGAAATGGAATCGCTTGCTTATCACTTTCAAACACTTGTACTGTCCAACCGAAGGAGAAGCACTGATTCTCGGTGGCTGTCTACTCAGATTCGTACTCTTGCTCTACGGTGCATGGCAAGACTCTCTCGGTGTAAGCGTCACTTTCACCGACATTGACTACAAGGTCTTTTCTGATGCTGCTCATTTCGTGCAGCAAGGTGGATCGCCCTATGAGCGCGCCACATATCGATATACGCCATTACTGGCCTGGCTGCTCATTCCAAACGACTACTTCGAGCCTTTTGGGAAGTGTCTGTTTGCCGCTGGTGACATTCTTACCGGCTGGCTCATCATCAGGCTTTTGAGAAGGCGGCAACAAAACATTCGCTTTGCAGCCATTTGGCTCCTCAACCCTATGGTTGCTGTCATTTCCACTCGTGGCAATTGCGAAGCCTTGTTGGGCGCTATGGCTGTAGGCTTGTTGTACGCTGTCGAGGTAGGCCAGATTGCGCTTGCCGGGGTCATTCTCGGCGCTGCTGTGCATTTCAAGGTCTATCCAATTCTATACGCTCCGGCCGTGGTCTGGCACTTGGAAACGCCTGGCCACTCAACCAGCCTCTTGTCGTTCATCAACAGGAAAAGAGTCACTTTCGCCTTTTGGAGTGCTCTGACCTTTTTGGCACTCTCAGCAAGCATGTTTTCCATGTACGGCTGGCCATTTGTCGAGCACACATTTGCCTACCACGTCTCACGATCTGATCATCGGCACAACTTTTCAGTCTACCACCTCTTCATCTACTTGACTGCACAACAGCCAAAGTCGGCTGGTATTCCATGGACACTGCTGGCCTTTTTGCCGCAGCTTGTCCTATCTCTTGTCGTTCTGCCTCTACGCTTCAGTAAGCGTCACTTGACAGGCACTTTCATGGCCCAGACATTCTGTTTCGTGGCTTTCAACAAGGTTGTCACGTCACAGTACTTTATGTGGTATCTGGTCTTTCTACCGCTGACCTTACCAGGATCGCAACTTTTGTCATGGCGAAAGGGCGGCGTGATGCTCTTCAGCTGGATTGCTGCACAAGCGTGTTGGCTTGGTGCTGCGTTTCAATTCGAGATGCAAGGCAAAGCAACGTTCGAAGCAATGGCGATCAGCTCTGGTGTCTTCTTCCTGGTGAATATGTGGATACTCGGTGAGATGTGTAAAGAGATGGCATGAGATCTTCAAGTATCAGTGCTCAGCTGCAGGTTGCGTTGACAGTAGATTTACCCTATTCAGATGGGTAGAATGAATTTCATCTCCTTGATATTCTTGCGAGAGTCCTTGCCTCTGCGCTTATCTATGTTTGTGTATTGCAGATACCAACAATTGTGACTAGTCCCTTGCTATAAAGCAGCCAGCTTGGCCCTTGTTTTTGGCAACCAATCCTACAGAAGGCAGCACTGTGGAGGTCTCATCTGTCGGACTGTTGACCCAGCTCTATGACCTCGCTTGCGATCAGTTCAATGAACCATTTCAGAATAACAGAACTTTGACTTTGCCATCAAGCGATGCAGTAAGTGTGCAATATCGATATGCGGCAGGCATTGTCTGACCCTCTTGAGTTGCTTCATTGAGCTGCTTGCAAGCCTGACCACATCAGCTTGGTCAGCAGTCTGGCAGACGGGCCAACTCAGACTGTTCACATATCGTCAAAGAAGGTGTTTTTTGGTGCACTCGGTATTGTGGGTTGCACTTTCGCCTTCTTTTTTTTCGGCTGCTGTTCTGGTTCTGGAGACGGCGCAGCATGAACTGACTTTTCGTCGTCGCTTTCGCTACCATCTTCGCTTCCAGAGCTCCCTTTATCGTTTCCATCAGATTCATCGCTAGTGCTGAACTCATCGCCACTACTAGCATCTTTCGCTGGCTCCATTTCTTCCACATGCTCTGCTTCAAGGGAGAAGATTCTCAGCTTAGGTCCGCTGATGGCAAAGACCCACTCTTCCTGAATCACAACAGCTTCAACAGGTTCCTGATGTTCCTCACCAAAATCTCCCAACACGCGCAAATATTTGTTTGGCAAGACCTGCAAGACGCGAATCTTGCCGTCTGAGCCACCAACGAGAACGTGTTCTTCATCAATTCGAGCAAGGCACTCGACGCCGATTTCATCATCGGCTTTGTTGCGGCCGCCACGTTTCCCTTTACTGCTTGCTTCTGCTGGTGGCAAGATTCGATCATTACAGTCGCCATAGTCGCCCTTGTTGAAAATTTCAATGACGCCGGACGCTGTGCCGACAATGAGTTTGGGCTTCTTGCTGGATTGCTTCGTCATGGTGCAGCAGGTGAGGTCGTCTTCTTGGTCCTCGGATCGTTTGATGGCTTTTTCCTTGTTCGATCGCAAGTCATGGACGGAAAGAGTTCCGTCGCCTGACGTGGCAAGCACAAATTTACCATCTAGACCTTCAAGCGAAGAGATGTAATCTTCGTGCGTTGTAGCATAGTTCCTAATAGGTTCAGAGCCGCTCTCTGCTGTGCAATCCCAAGATCGAATGCAGCCGTCGTCGTCGCCTGTACAATACATTCGCTCACTGACAAAACACAGGGCATTGATGCTTGCACTGTGGGCAGTTGGGAACTTTTGCACGACACGACCCGTCTTTGCGTCTGCACGTTTCAATGCGCCCTCTGAGCCAGCACTCACGAGACTCTTGCCGTCGGGACAGTAAGCTAATGCTCGACAACCTTGTTTATGCCGTTTTGTTTCCCAGAGCAGCTTGTGTGGTTTAGAAGGGTCTGCTTGATCATATTCGTAGCATTCAACATGGCCTGTGACAAAGCCAATAGCATATTCAGTCTCAAGCGGGTTTATTGCAAGCGAGACTACGTCGTCTTCGAAGACTTGCTCGTCTATAAGCTTGCTAGTCATGTTGATACTTGGAAACGGTATCTTGTCGGCGTCGAAAGTTGAAATTTAACATTGAGCAGCCTCTCGAGCTCGCCTCTCACGACCACTCCTTGTCAAATGATATGAGCAGCTCCTAAAGTCTGTGTACTACCTTCGATGCACGTCCAGGACGTCATAATACCCTCTTATGAGACTAGTCGTGTGCTTCAAGGGCGTTTGTACAGCTCATCTGCTGACATCTCGTCTTGCACGGGTGTCGCTGTTGTCGCTCATCCGTACGGCCCGCTAGGAGGCTCACATGATGATCCAGTCGTCGTCGCCTTAGCACAAGCACTGACTCAGTCTTGCTTCCTTGCTGCTACATTCAATTTCGGCTCGCCTACTTCTTGGCGCTGCTCGAGAGAACGTGCTGACTATCTGGCAGTCCTGAAGTTCGCCCTCGACAAAGTATCATATATCAAGCAAGTCGTATGCTGTGGCTACTCCTATGGTACGCTGTGTCTGCCTCCACTCATGGAAATACGGACACTTTGTGCGTCGGAAAGTGTAGTAGGCTACATACTGGTCTCGCCATTGTTACCGCCCGTTAGCACTCTCTTGACGCTGTCTACGAAGGACGCGTACACACACATCAGAGAATCAGCAGAACGGGAGAACAGCACATGCCTTGCCATCTTTGGCGATTGTGACCAGTTCACTTCGCATAAGCGTCTGGATCGTGCCTGGCAGGGGCATGGCAGGACTGTCCCTGGAGCAGACCACTTTTGGCGAGGCAGGGGCCAGATCCAGTCCCTGGTTGAGTATGTCCACGAGTACACAGACGCCCTGACACAGCGCCCATGAGCATTTCCATACGATCCATGGGACCATAGCTGCCTGCGTACATCCTGCCCCTTGCCTTGTCATGTGTCACCTGCGCAATCAACCTACATACGACACCAGCTCACGCGTAGACACGCACACTCCCTGCTCCCCTCCATCTCCTGACACTGCCCGAGTCTGGCGACCTCTCTCCGCTGCTATATGCTACTGCTGTTCATACTGTCTTTTCATACTAGACCCTCAGAGACCATCATGAGCGCAACGACGCACGAGACGGAGGATTCACACAGCAGCAGTGCAATGGCCCCATCGTCGCCAGCCAGCAGTACAAGCACACAACTCCCCGTCATCCCAGCAAAAAGCTATCGACGTGCTGGCTACCTGAAGCCTGCTGCACCTGCGCCTTTTGCAGCGAGTGCACGCGCGCGTGATTCAGTCATGAGTTTGAAGGGGATTGATCATCTACAGCATTACTTTGCGCGCGCCAAGACAGCAAGGCAGTTGCAGCATCGCGCAGGCGGTCCTCGTTTACCGCCTGGACAGGTGGGTAGACCACTTCAGGGTATGTGTGCAGATGAGCGTGCATTACGAGAGCTACACGAAGATGGAGACGTGGACATATTGGAGGAAGCGAAAGAGACACCTTTGCCGCCATCACCCATCTTACACAGCTACGGACGCAGCGTCAGTGGTGATGTGGATCCACGCAGACGTCGTGCTGTGCTGCATGACCAAACAAGCCTTGCATCACGCGCAATCGCAAATATAGATCAATCTCAACTTGACCCAGCTGCATGGCAGGAAATGGAGTCGCGCGTGACGAGCTGTGTGCGTGCAGCAAGGCACTATGCAACTGCAATGCCAACACATCAGCTCGACGTGATGTCTGCTGGTCAACGACACATCTTTGGTGAAGGTGCTATTCGCGTCATGACATGCTTGAGTCTCCTTGCCAGGAATCACCAGCTTGACTCTGCAGAAATGGGCGAGGTGCAAGCTTGGGTTGCGCAAATCGATGCATTCATGGAGCAGGAAGACGCTCAATCTCAAGCACGCGCTGCACTCGCTTGGCTCAGTACACCATCTGCACCCACTGAATCGCAGGAAGAGGTCTGGCAACGACATCATGCCTTTCTCGTCTTCCATGATCTCGTCTCACCGCCACTTACAAGCCCGTTGGTGGATCAACAAAGATTCTTGATGGAACTGCGAACAGGACTCCGTTTATGCCTCATCTTCAACCATTTCGTGCACAGCTCAACAAAACCTTTTGGTGAGATAAAACAGTGGCATACCGATACGAGCATTCAATGGCGCGTCACGGACAACTTGACCTGGTGGCGCTCCGCTATTGCGTACCGTTTAGGAATTGAGACGGACCTCGATCCAAAGCGCGTGTATGCATTTGACCATGAAGGGCAGGCGCAACTCCAGCGTGCAGTGTCTGCATTCTGCGAGCGTGCCATTGCAGAAGTGATACAATCATTGCCAGATAATGACACGAGCGTCAAGCTCGATGCAGAGATTGAGAGACTGCAACTCTAACATCAATCATCAACCGACCTGCCTTTCAATGCTTCAAATAGATGCGGTGCATCTGGTTTTGCGGCAACAATGACATTCTGACATGCCCATTCATCAACGAGATAACGTTCTGTAGTCGGTCCAATGCATGCGATGCGGGTGACATCGTGGTTGTCTTTGAGATGAGCGAGAGCAACATGCGCACCTGCCGGAGAGAAGAAGACCAGTGACGTGAGACTCTGTTGTGCACATTGAATGGCCTTGATGGCATTGGCGAACGCTTGTGGGAAGTCGGCATTTTCAATAGTCTTATAGACAATGAGCTCTTGTAGAGGCCTCGCTGCACTTTCCATACGGCGCGTGATAATGTCCCTACGCTTGTCGCCGACCAAGAATAACAACGGCTTGGAAACGTCTGCTTGTTGAGAGCGCGCAAGGATGAAGTCCGCCAATGCATCACCATTGCCGGATTCTGAGCCGAGAATTTGTGAAAAGCCGAGATTGGCAATGGCTCGATGGGTTGCAGGACCAACAGTATACACCTCTTGTGCGAGCAAGCGCTGCTTGTCCTCAGTAGAGAGTTGATGCAAAATCTCGCCAAGTGCTTCGACAGATCGTTGGGACGTGACAATGAGGCCAGAAAAAGTCTCGCTGGACTGAGTACACAGGTGCCTGAGCTCGTCGAGATTGCACATGGCATGATCCAAAACGGGGACAAAGTACGGCTGCATTTTGTTTTCCTCGAAGATGTGCTCATAGGGATCGCTTGGCGTCGAGCGCGTCTTGAGCAAGATGACGGCTTTCTTCGCTGAGCTTTGCGTCAGCTCAGTAGGCAGACTGGCGAATAAAGCAGCTGCACGGTCTAGCTGCACATTACCGCCGCAAAGGATGACACCAACATTGTCGATGCCCTGAAGTGCCCTGAATTCCTTGTTGTACAGCGCAACAGCGACCCCAACTGCTCCAGATGGTTCAATGACTTGCTTCATTCGCTCCCATACAAAGTTCATTGCCCTGATAATCTCCTCCTCTGTGACTGTAAAGATGGCATCAACATGTTGCTGAATGACAGCAAAACCATTCTCGCCGAGCGCAGTCAATAGTCCATCTGCACAGCTGACTGGCGGTCGCTGGGGTTGCCTGATGCCTGTCTTGAGCGACTCGGCTGCATCTGCCGCCAAGATTGGTTCGCAACCAAAGACACGCGTACCAGGCGACAAGGCCTTTGCCACAGTTGCGCAACCGGACAACATACCACCACCGCCAACTGGCACCAAAACCGCATCCAGCGGTGCGTGACCAGATTCGGCGGCTTGTTCAAGGAGCTCCAGCATTTGAGTACCTTGACCTGCCATTACTCTCGGGTCGTTGTATGGGTGAATGAACGTTGCTCCTGTTCGGTCGACAATCTCCTGAGCTGTGCGTTCGCGATCTGCCAGAGTAGGTGGGCATTCTGTGACTTGAGCTCCATAGCCAGCCACCGCGTCCTTCTTGACTTGCGGCGACGTCGATGGCATGACGACAAAGGCACTAGATTTTGCTTCTCGCGCTGCCAGAGCAAGTGCCTGTGCATGGTTACCCGAAGAATGGGTCACCACACCGTGCTCCAGCTGCTCGGGCGACAGCTGGAGCACTGCATTCATGGCTCCTCGAATCTTGAAAGCACCAATGCGTTGTAGATGTTCGCATTTGAAGAGGAGTTTGCGCTGTTCTGTGGACGTGGAAGCGAGTGCGTCCAGAGTGGAGCTCGTCATGATGGGCGTTCTATGGACATGGTCCTGTATCCTGGTGGAGGCAGCAATGACATCCTCTATGGAGATGGGTAGAGTAGAAGCATCTTTCTGAGCCATTGGCAGCAAATAGTCAGATTACTGTCTATTGTCTATAATCAATGTCTGTATACGTGGGTACGCCGTCTACTCCACAGCTCCTGTCGCCATCGTCCATGCCCCCGTGAGACATTTCCTTATTTTTTGATTTTTGGCGAGGACGAACAAGATGCATGAAGCAGTAGAAATACATACATAGTCTGGCCCTAGCCCTGCTACACAATGGCCCCAGACAAAAAGAGAAAGCGTTCTGATGCGCCTACTTCGAAGCCTGCGCCTGTGGCTCCGGTCGCCGCTGTTTCGTCGCTTCTCAAATCCGACGAAGCCTTCCCTCGAGGTGGTGCCAGCGTATTGACGCCCTTTGAGTACAAGGAAGCAGCCAATGAGGCTCGCCAAGAGCTGTTCAGTGAAGGTCCCATCAGCGGGAATGCCGACAATGTCAATGGCGACGAATCTGGTGCCACGGCAGCGAAGAAGATTAAGCGTCGAAAGTCTGGCAAGATGGACAAGGCAGTCGCTATCGCCAGCGAGCCGCGACAGGCCAAGATTGAGGGACTGTCATTTAAGCGTATGACGCCTGGTACGCTTGTGCTTGGTCAAGTGACGGCCATTGGCCCCGCCGATTTGACTATTGCGCTGCCCAACAACTTGAGCGGCTACGTGCCCATCGGCAACATTTCCGCAACACTCACAGCTCGTTTGACTGCAGATGAAGACAGCGACGTGGAGATGGAGGATGAGGAAAATTCGGATTTGCCTGATCTCGATGACCTCTTCAGCATTGGCCAGTGGCTGCGTTGTGCAGTGACAGCAGCCTCAAGCGGTGCAGCAGGCAAAGATGGACTTGTAACGAAGAAGCGTATCGACTTGTCTGTCGACCCCGATCTTGTCAACAAAGGTCAGATCCCTGAGACACTGCAGGCGCGGTCTGTTGTGCAAGCGGCCGTGCGTAGTATTGAAGACCATGGTCTTGTTATGGATCTCGGTATGGACGACGCAAGCGGGTTCATCAAGTCAAAGGAAATCACTGAGCCGGCAGCCTCTTACAAAGTCGGACAAGTGTTGCTTTGCTCCGTCACGTCTGCTGCTTCAGGCTCTGGTCGGAAAGTCATACAGCTCTCCCCTGAATTGGCAAAGAATCCCAAAAAGCTCAAAGTCAGGGATCTTCTCGACGTCAAGGCTATCCTTCCCGGTGATGGTGTTGAAGTGGTGATTGCCGATGCACAACTCAATTCATTCTCTGGAAAAGTGCTTGGCCATCTCGAAGCTACCTGCGATGTCTTCGCCACAGGCTCATTGGGTAGCCGCGAGTTCAAGGAAGGCGAGAAATTATTTGCTCGTGTCCTATTCACTCATACGGAGAGCGAGCCGCGTCGTATTGCAGTATCCTTGTTGGCACACGTCGTTGGTCTCACAACGGCAACAACAGCCACTCAGTCTACTCCACTGGATGCCTTGCCTACTGGCTTTGTTCTCGATGAAGCTTCTGTCAAGCACATTGAGCCCGGTCTTGGTCTCTTTTGCAGTGTCGGCGTTGAGGGCTTGTCTGGCTTTGTTCACATTTCTCGCATGAGCGACGAGAAGATCACGACCATTGAAGCGAATGGTCAATATCGGGTTGGCTCCATGCACCGTGCTCGCGTCATTGGCTTCAGCTCTGTTGACGGCTTGTATCTGCTTTCCATGGAAGACTCTATTCTCGAGTCCAAGTTTCTCAGCGCTGCCGATGCATCTATTGGCCAGCAAGTCAGCGGCACCGTCGAACGCTTTATCAAGGGAGGCATGTTTGTCAAACTTTCCAGCACCGTCACTGGCTATGTGCCTGATTTGCACATTGCTGATGTCAAGCTACAGTTCCCCGAGAAGAAGTTCAAGGAAGGCTCCACCGTCAAGTGTCGCGTGCTCGATTCGGACCCTATCAAGAAGCGCGTCACACTCACGATGAAGAAGTCTCTCGTCAATGCTGAGACGCCCATCTTGTCAAGCTACGATTCCATTCTGACAGGTGCCAAGTCGACCGGCGTCATTGTCAAGCTCTATGACAGCGGTGCGCTTGTGCAGTTCTACGGTGGTGTTCATGGCTTTTTACCTTCTTCACAAATGAGTGAGGCCTACATCAGCAACCCCAAGGAACACTTCAAGGTCGGCCAGACACTCGGCGTGACAGTCATCAGTATCAATGTAGACGAGCAGAAGATGACAGTCAGCTGCCGTGATTCGAGCGCATGGGACGAGAGCAAGCTCGACGCCTTCACTGAGCTTGCTTGTGGCTCTATCTTGGCTGCTACAATTACCGAGAAGACTGCGAATAAACTTGTTGTTTCGCTCTTGCCGTCTGGCTTTACAGGCACGATTGATCTCGCGCATCTCTCAGATGGCGATTCTAGCAAGTGCGACAAAGCCATGGCAAAAGCGCGTGTCGGTGGACATATCAAAGAGCTTGTTGTTCTTGACAAGCAGGATGCACAAAAGCAGGTCATTCTCAGTGCCAAGCCGAGTCTCATCAAAGCCGCCAAGGCCGGCTCCTTGCCATCTGACTTTTCTTCGCTGCAACGCGGTCAGAAGCTTGTTGGCTTTGTTCGCAAAGCTGCTGATTATGGTGTGCTTGTTGGTTTTGCCAATGGCTTGACTGGACTTTGTTTGAAGCACAATCTCTCTGAGGAGCACGTCTCGATGCCTGCTTCCCTGTTTTCAGTGGGTCAATCAGTCTCTTGTACCTTCACTGAAGTGGAAGCCGTGCAGCAGCGTTTCCAAGTCTCCATGAAGCCTGTCAGTTCGGTCAGCCAGGTTGGCCCACAGGAGCCACTCGAGGCACCGGTGGATGGCTCACTTGCTTCTATTGCTGATCTTGTCCCTGGTCGCGTGTGTAAAGCGCGTATTTCTTCCATCAAAGAGACGCAACTCAACGTGCTATTCGCCGAGGGTGTACAAGGCCGTGTGGACGTGTCATCTTGTTTCGAGTCAATTGAGGACATCAAGGATACATCGAAGCCTTTGCAGCAATTCAAGTTGCAGCAGGAAATCACAGTCAAGGTTATTGGGTACCATGATGCCAAGCTGCACAAGTTTTTGCCGTTGACACATCGCCAGCTCAACAACAAGACCATCTTCGAGTGTTCTGCGCGGCCGTCTGATGTTGCAAATAAGGGCGTGCCTATGCTTGACTTTGAGCAAGTCAAAGTCGGCGAGCTGTACACTGCTTTTGTCAACAACATCAATCCTGACTGTCTCTGGGTAAACTTGTCGCCTGAGGTGCGCGGTCGTGTCAAACTGCTCGACCTGGACATCGATGCTTCTTCTGCTCAATCGCCAGAAGCCATCTCGCAGCATTATCCGACTGGTTCTGCTTTGCAATGCCGTGTCACTCACCTGGATCTCGCCACGAAACACCTAGACTTGTCCCAGCGTGCTGTTGACTCTGCTTCGGCGCCACTCACTGATCTCGATTCAATTGTCATTGGCCAGACATATCCGGCCAAGCTGACGCGTGTTGCCGAGTCAGGCATGCTTGCACAGTTGACAGAGTCCATTACGGGTCGCATTGCATTGACTGATATCTCCTCAGATTATCAGGAAAAGCCAACGGTGGACTTCAAGAAGCATGAGATTTGTCAGGTCGTGGTTAAGTCTGTGGATGTGCCCAACAAGAAGGTTGCGCTTTCGCTGCGTCAGTCTAGTGGTCCTGATCCTGAAATCAGCACTGTTGCAGATCTCAAGGTTGGTTCGCGTTATCGTGGCTATGTCAAGAACGTCGCCGACTCGGGTCTTTTCGTTGAGCTTGGTCGTGATGTTGTTGCGCGTGTCAAGATTGCTGATGTATCAGACGCCTTTGTCAAGAACTGGAAGAAGCTCTTTTCTGTTGATCAGCTCGTCGCAGGCACTGTGGTTGCGGCTGACCCCAAGGCAAAGCGTGTCGAGTTTACACTGAAGAAGAATCCTGGCAAGACTGGCAAGCAGCAGCAACTCGGTGATCTGAAAGTTGGGCAGGTGATTGAAGCAACCGTCAAGAAGATTGAGGCATTTGGCATCTTCTTGTCAGTCAACAGCACAGGTGGCAAAGTCTCTGGTCTTTGTCACAAGTCTGAGATTGCCGACAAGGCTGTCGCTGATATCAGCAAGATCTATTCCGTTGGTGACCTGGTCAAGGCGAAAGTTTTGTCTGTGGAGGAGAGCAAAAAGCGCATTTCTTTTGGACTGAAGGCCTCGTACTTTGGCGATGCTGGCGATGTTGATGACGAAGACGAGGACGAGGTCATGGCTGAGGCGTCAGATGTTGATGAAGAGGATGAGTTCGCGGAGGAGGAAGAGGAGGAGGATGTGCCCTCTGCTGATGAAGACGAGGAAAGCCAAGAAGAGGACGAGGAAGAAGCCGGCAAATCTAGCGACGACGACGATGAGGAGATGGAGCAATCAGAAAAGAAGCCCGCTCTGAATGTTGGAGGCTTTGACTTTACTGGTGCTTCAGTCTTTGGCGACAAAGACCAAGTCGACTCTTCGTCAGAAGAAGACGATGCTCCCAAGCCTGCAAAAGTGAAGCGTGTTAAGAAGAAGCACCTGGTTGCCGCTTCTGGCGATGGCTCTGCGCAGTCTCCTGCTGACTTTGAGAAGCTTCTGCTTGGTGCTCCAGACTCCTCGCTCGTGTGGATCAACTATATGGCCTTCCATATGCAACTATCTGAAGTTGGCAAAGCACGCGAAGTGGCAGAGCGTGCACTCAAGGCGATACATTTCCGTCGCGAGAAGGAGAAGCTCAATGTCTGGATGGCGCTCATCAACTTGGAGAACAACTTTGGTACTGAAGAGTCTCTGGATGAAGTCTTCAAACGCTCATGTCAATTCAATGATGCGAGAGAGATGCATGCGCGTTTAGCAGGCGCCCTCATTCGTTCTGGCAAGCTCGACAAGGCTGATGCCGTCTACAGCGAAATGGTGTCCAAGTTCTCCAACAACCTTGCTGGTTGGGTCGAGTATGCTCGCTTCTTGGCCAACCCTGATGAGGCGACTGGCAAGGCGGATATGGAGGCCGCACGTGCGCTCCTTCCTCGCGCGCTCAAGTCTTTGAGCAAAAAAGACCAACTCTCTGCTATTCAAAAGTTTGCGCAAATTGAGTATCGCATCGGTGATGCAGAACGCGGCCGTACTTTGTTTGAGGGGCTCTTGTCTGCACACCCAAAGCGTCTTGATCTCTGGAACGTCTTGATTGATATGGAGACGAGTCAACGTCGGGATCCAGTCGAAGTGCGCAAGTTGTATGAACGTCTCATGGCCATGCCGCAAAGTTCACGCAAGGCCAAGTCTGTATTCAAGAAATGGCTGCAGTTTGAAAAGCAATTTGGCACGGAGGATGATGTCGAGCGAGTCAAGGCACGGGCTGTTGAGTTTGTGGAGAGTCATTAAGTATAGAGCAAGCATAGCGAATGATTTAATTTTGTTGGTACAATTTGCAAAGATGCTTTGTTACATAATTGTGTCGTCTTGATAGAAGACGGCATCGCTGTCGCCTGCTGTTGAGCGAATACTCTGGCGTAGACTTTGAAAGTGTCGCTGGGGTGTAGCAAACAGGTGATTGCGCGGTCCTCGAACTGATCCAAGAGACCGTTTGAAACGATTGTACCTTGGCGAGATGGGCTGTCGCTGACGAGGCGTCAAGATGACTCTTGCTTGAGGCGAATAGACGTGTCGATGCAATGATGGCTTCAAATCTGCTTTGCGACGCAGCATGAAATCTGGCGTGTGTATGCTGACGACAGGGGACGCTTGCGGGACACTTTGAGACTCTGGTCTTGTATGTGCGCCAGGACTGTAATGGATCTTTAGCATATGATAGAGATCACCAATGTCAATCGCACTTGCTCGAGGACTGCCCGTGGTAGCACGAGGAGCTCGAACTCTGCTCGCTTGTGCAGATCGCTTGCGACGTTGCTTTGTTGCTACTCGCGGTGTTGGAGGCTTCTGTGCCCCTTGATCAGAAACCCAGTCACTCATGATTGTAGATGCCTCAGCATCTTCGACAACCTTTTGAAGAGCTTCAGGAAGCTCCAGAACCTGGTCTACGATGAGAAGAATGTGAATCAGCTGGCACAAGGCCACTTCTTGACGTTCGACGACTTGCTCAGCACTGATCAAGGCAGGGTCAAGCTTGAAAATTGTCTTCGAGATGACATCAACAAGACATACAATCTGCTGTACTTGCTGAGATTTTGTAGCGTTTGCTCGTTGTTGAAGCGCGAGGCGCTCCCCTTGCATGCATTCGTAGAGCGCTATAAGGAGCAGCGGTGAGATTTCAGCGAAGCGCTTGACGCGCGGAAGCTTGTGTTTGAGGAGCAGGGCATTGAGCTCGAGAAGCGTATGCCGCGGAGAGCGCATGACAGCATGAGATAGGTGAGAGCAGTGCCGTAGCAGTGGCACTCCTGCCAGTAAAGCAGTAGTTACTTTATGTTGTAGCGTAGTGTAGCAGGCAGAGTGCCGCGAGTGGAGCCAGAACGCGACCAAGAAACACAACACACAGCACATGAGCGACATAGAAACAATCAAGCTCCTCCTCATCGGCAACAGCAGCGCAGGCAAGTCCAGCTTACTCCTGCGCTTCACCTCCGATACGTATGCAGAAGTGAGTTGAATCAATGGCGTGCGCATATTGGTCCAAGTGTGGCGACAAACCATGCATGCACTTGCGTTGCGCGCGCATGCAAGTATGAAGCATCTACTGACTAGCGCTATAGGAGGATAATCAGGCGACAATCGGCGTCGACTTCAAAACAAAGCTCATCAACTTTCGCGGCCAAAAAGTCAAGTTGACCATCGTAAGCCTTGACTTTGACTACCTGACAAGCAAGCTGACATGTGTGAGTGGGATACAGCAGGTCAAGAACGATTCAGAACGCTCACATCTTCCTACTATCGCGGCTGTCAAGGCGTTCTCATCGTCTATGATGTGACGTCGCGTGCCTCATTCGATCAATTACCCCGCTGGATGGCAGAGCTCGACTCACATACAGCAGAACAAGATGTCGTGACCTTTGTTGTTGGCAACAAGACTGATCGGCAAGGTCGGACAGTGACCAGGGAAGAAGGCGAAGCACTCGCAAAGAAATTGCACGCAGATGGGTATTTTGAGGCAAGTGCCAAGGATAATGTCAATGTACGGAGCATCTTTGTTAGTTTGACGGAGGAGATCCTCAAACGCAGAGCAGAGAAGCCCAGTCCTGCTACTGCTTCATCGACTGTTCGCATGGATGCTGGACAAGCTGATGATTCGTCTTGTGCCTGTTGAGCATATTGAAAAGCCTTGTATGACATCTTGTACATTTTCAGCGTATTGGCCAATCCTTTTCATCTATCATCCTCCTCTTGTCGCTGCTCGCCGAGCTTCTCCTCTTCATCTCTGATGAAAGTCTCCAGGACCTGCTTAAACTCAGCAGGCTTCTCTGCTTGCACCCAGTGGCCGGCGTCGATATCCTTGATCTGAAAGCGAGGGAAGTACCTGCCAATCAAAGGAATCGTTTCATCTGCAACGTACTTACTCTTGGAGCCCCGAATGAAGCATGTCGGCTTAACGAACCGTGCTTCATCAGGCAGAATAGGGAAATCGCCCATATAATCAAGTGATTTCGCAAGAATTCCAATAGGAATGCGAAACTGCAAGCGAGAAGAGCCGTCTGCTTGCTTCCGCTTGACTAGATTTGTCAGTAGGAATTGTCGTATAGACAAGTCTTGTTCCGTTTCTTGTAGGAGTGCGTCTGCCTCGGATTGCTTCTGGACGCCTCGTAGCTCAATGTCGCGCATCGCTCGAACGTATCGCGGGAATTCGGATGTCAGCATTGCGTCAATCGGTGCATTGTCAACAGGGACAAGCAGTTTGACGAGCTCTGGATAGCGAATCGCCAGTATCATTGCCGTTTTGGCACCCATCGAATGACCTGTCATTAGCCTACTATGTTGGCAAGAATAAACAGTGCTTGATACCAACAACGATTGCATCTTTCAGTTTGCGATCCTGAATGAAGCCCTTGACATCTTCAGCCATGACATCGTAGTTGTGTACGGCATCATGTGGCGACTCGCCATGGTTGCGTGCGTCGAGACAATAGACGGATCGGTCCAGGTCATTCGCAAAAGCTTCAGCGCTACACATCAGCACAAACAACAAACAAAGCTAGACAAAGCATACAGCGACTGCCAATTGGCCTTGCTACCAAAAAGGCCATGCATGATGATCAGCGGAGACTGGACATCTGTCTTGTCTGAAGGAATTCGAGGTAGATGCAACTTATAGGCTAGCTTGACTGTATTTGACGGAGCGATACTCGAAGCAGTGGAGAAGTATCGATAGCAGCTACATTTGAGGGACAAGCCTCTTCGAGACATGAGCATGAACCCGGATGTATCTGTCTGGCAGCTACAGATGTATGTGTGGTGTAGAAGTGCAGCTGCTGGTGCCCACCAGAAAGTGTTTTCTCAGATGGGCAGCAAGATTGGACGGCCCAACCAACTGCTTGAAGTTGCAGGGCGCATGTCAAAGCATACGAACGTGCACGCCAGCTGCAGTAGTATCAACTTTCAAGTGATTTCAAAAGGAGACGATATACAAGCAATAAGCCACAACCAACTGAGCAGCGGATCAGACGCACCAGACCCGACGAATGTGACGGGTTCGTATAGGTTCGAAGATTGTGAGTGTTTGTGAGGATGAAGTGCTGCGAGGAAATCAATATTACATTCAACGCTGGATGGAGACGCGTCTTAAACAACTGTTCTGGCTGCTCATCCCTAAGTCTTCGTTCTGCTCACGCATCTCTCTCGCCTGGCATTTGTCCAATTTCGCTGCACAGGTGGCAAAATGAGCTAATCGCTTCGGCAAATGACCACATCTTCGCCAACCCAGCCGGTCTGGCTGCTGACTTGGCACGATCATGTGTTTCTGGCACGATCATGGGTGTCTAGCCGTAGACAAGTTCAGGGGTCTTCAAAAACCACCTGATAATCGCAGATGGTAAAGCTTAAACCATGTTCTCATATAAGCGCAATCTACTGCAGAACCTGTCGTGGACGAAGGCGCTCGGTCCATGGTCCTCGCTAAAGCGGCCACGGAATCTCTAGTCAGACGAAATAGCAGCGTTTGTGCCCGCAGCTTCTAGGGATAAAGAAGAGGGGCAATGTTTGCGACTCGCGGGCAATTCGGCACTATAAAGTCAGTATAGACAGCTACACTCAGAGCTCCCTGAGACGAAGGGGGGCAGCCTGGCCGCCTGGCGCCCATTTCTTCTGTCAGAGCGGCCGCGCTTCCATTGACAAGGTCTTCACACAGCAAACGCAAGCGACAGATGATCTTGGCACTGAGTATAAGGCTCGCTCTTTGGCGCTACTGTACTGCAACAAGATTTGATCCTAGATTCCCACCGCGTGCCCATTTTCCAACATGGCATCCTCCTGCATCATTGTCGAGCGGCGCACGAATCTTCGGTCAGTTAGCATCAGACGAGATTCTCGCGGCCAACGCTCTCGCGCACAACAATGTGACGCTGCCTCGTGTACGTGATGTTGTGGATACAACTGAGTTTGGCATTGCTAAGTTTGACCCCTCCAGCAATAAAGAGATCATTCCATGGCTCATTTGTCGTCCCAATGACGCTGCGAAGGCGAGCGAGGATGATATTGGCACCGATATGCCAAACTTTCTCAACGCACTGGTCGAATATGACTTTCAGGACAAGCCAAAAGACAAGCAAAAAAAGGCCGTTGCAATCATTTTGGGAGGGACAGTCGATGCAACAGTTGTAGATGATGCCACCAATCCAGAACGTTACTTGTCCTGGGACTATCTCAAGAGGAAAGGGCACCAAACTTGTCCAAATATCACTGCTCATCCGAAACAAAAGATTACCACAGTATCATCTCAATGCATCTCAATGCTTCTACTAACTCTGACAGGTTGCTGTGGAAATGTCTTTACAGGTCAAACTCATCATCTATGGCCTTACCCAACCGGAACCTGGGGGTGCTATGGTGTTTCCCTTCGTAGAGGTATGTGCCATCTCAGTCATTCAGAGGCATGCCGCCGATGTGAAGACATACGGTCTAGAAGACAAGGTGTTTTGGTGCCACCTCAGATACATTGCGGGCGTCTCATCGTAAACCTAATTGCAAGATCTGGCGTCAGGAATCATGAGCTGAGGGCTGGGTGGAATGAGTCAAGTTTGGGCACGAGCGTCAGTATCTCACTTAGTCGAATCATAGATCTGCCATTATCTGCATCATTACCAAGATAATCAGCCAGTACATATGACTGTTCATTGCTTTATTTCGCCGGTCTCCTCTCGTAGACAGAACACCTACTTTTGCTTGCAACGCTGGATGACGAGTATCAGACGCCGAAGCTTGTCAACATTGTAAAGAAGACTTCGATCGATAGTCTCTTGACGACATACTAAGATAGAAGCATCTGAGTCGGGGCTCGACATTGAGAGGTGCAAGTGAGTGCTTGGTCCGGTGATCTGCGATCAGATGGGTGTGCCAGCTCCTCGTATTCTCGCAACTTCGGGGGTCATCAAGAACAAATTAACATTGAATTGGTGATAGCGCATATATTATGGCAGCAGTCATGTGTATCATGGGTATACCTCCTAAGCAACTATATGAAGGTGAGGATGAAGAGGTCCGGTGTTCTAAGGAGACCATGTCTTCGTATCACAAAATCGGCTAGCGCAACGGGAAGTCTGCGCACTCTTTGCAGGCTGACAGACGTGTAAAGGGCCTTCAGTCTGTGCTGATGAAGTCAGCTGTGCAAAAATTCCGTCCGAGATCTCCCTTTGACAATGTCCACAGTCCAAAGTGGGTGCAACTTACAGGCTAACTTGACTGTATCTGACGGAGCGATATTCAAAGCAGTGGAGAGATATCGATAGCAACTATCCTTTAGGCTCGAGCTTCTTCGAAGCATGAGCAGGGCACACGTCAGAAGCATACGATCATGCCCAGCAGTGGTATTGACTCTCCAGAAACTTCAGAAAGAAATTCAATTCAGGGACTGGGATGTAATCAATGCTGTTTACTACTCACACATTAATACCATAATCCCAGGTGTTCTGTCGTACCTGCAGCTAAGGAGCTGCAGGTACGTACAGATGGCTTCATGAACTGTTCCGTTCTTCAGCCGCAGAGAGAGAGCTGACAGACTACCAGTTGTCTAAGGTGCAAAAGTACCCATTAGGCGAAGACAATGCCACAAAATTCGAACAGTCGCAACCACTTAAATGCCGACAATGTACCGCCTTCTTGGGAGTACGAGTTGCGTCCAGTGAGACGTTTTGTCCAGTATACCACCGGAAATGTTCCTCAAACTGTGTTCGAAATTCATCGATCTTGCAAGTCACAGACTTGACAACGTCGTCGAACTCATCGTACACGGTCGGCACCTTTCCGTGGTTACGGACACGCATGGCGCCGAGATAAATGTTGCATTTGCAAGGTTCAGCGTCCCTCTCCATCATAGCCGGCTCCCTGTAGGTTAGTCATGACTGTAGTCCGTTGACTGAAGTCTTACCATTTCACACATATACCTGAGGCTCCCAGACAAGCTGTGTCCAGTGTTTTAATAGCGTTAGCCAGGGATGAATTTGACATTGCCGAAGAACCAAGATTCCCAAGATTCCGCCACATGAGATCCGGAAACAACGCATCACACGTCGTCTGACATGTTTTTGTTTCGATGGGGGCGACCCCAGTATCATATACGTACTTGAACACCAGTCGGTTACAATTCAACTTACGGGCAGACGAAAGAGTCGCGATGGAAAGCGAGAGCCACACCATCAAGGCAACATTCTGTACCTTGAGCCGGAACATGACGGATCTTGTCTCAGATATTGAATATTGAGTGGTGAGTCAAATGATCGATGTGCTGGCAGAACCCTGAAGCTCAGAAGCCGTGAGTCTTTTAAAACTCCTTGCTCCATTTCAGCGGAGCCCCAGGGTTGAACACAGTACGTTCAGAACTCGTACTTGATTGGGCAAGCTCCTGCCTCGGCCAGCTCTGTCGAATTGAGCTGGCTCGGAGATGCCAGATACGGTAGACACTGAGATATCCGAGAAAATGCATCGCAAACTGCCCCTGAATGTGATAGACGCGACAAACATGATGAGTCAATCCGCCAGATTACTGACTCCAGTGAGTTTAGACAGTCCATTTTGCCTGCAGTATCACGGCGGTGCATGTTGAAGAAGACTGAGGTACCGCGTAGCAGTCGGGTCCTGAGGGTTTGAACAGGAGCATGTCTTTCTGAGGATCGAGTCAAGCAGCAAAGGGCTACTTGCTAACGTGCGTCCTTTAGCGCAAGATTGCTTTAAGATTTCAGCAATCGCAGACAGCGCGAAAGCTCGAGACATCAACCAGATTTATGAGAAGTAGTATCTGTATACAGGTGTCTCATCTCACGAGACACAGCACAGATACAGGTCCCTCTGGTAGAAGGAGTGTCCATCTCTGCTTGCAACAATGGAGGTCGAGCACCATACAAAGAAGCTCGCCATCAACGCAGAGGATACGTCAGTCAATAGTGTTTTGAGGGTGTAGTGAGAGCAGAAGCATCTGCATCGTGCTTGAGACTGGGAGCTGGTAGACGAATGCCGTTCAAGTTGAGTGCTCGTTCCGGCAAACTGCGATCAGATGGGTGTGTCAGCTCACGAGTCACGTATCCTCGCGACTTCAGGGGCCAACTCAACAACAATTTTTGGCTATATACCCATGTTGTTTTTGACATCAATTTGCGATAGAGCATGTGTGTTGGCAGCAGTCATAACTTTCAGAAGTAGAGCTCCTGAGCAAGTATAAGAAGATGAGGATAGAGAAAACCGTCGACCTAAGGAAACCACGTCTTTCATATCACAAAATCGGCTAGCGCGCCGGGAAGTCTTTGCGCACTCTTTGCAAGCTAAAGGACGGATCAAGAACTTTCAGTCTGTGCTGGTGAAGTCAGCTGTCAACCCTTCATCCATTTCATCACATCTACCTCGCATCCGCCACCCTTATGCACATACGATCGCGATGACTGATATCATTGTTGAGTGTAAGGCCTACACTCTGGCGCTGTTCTTCTGCATGGTGAAGCATGCCTTTGGGCTCAAAGACTAAATTTTGGAGCGTGCCTGGAGAATTGAGGACAGGTCATCGTATCTTTGGTCAGCTTGCGTCAAATGAAGTGCTTGATGCAGAAGCCTGAGCGCACAACAACTTGAAACTGCAACGTGTACGATTTGTCATTCCAAAGTCATTCGGTGCCGCCAAGGTGGATGTCAAGACTCATCTCAGACTAATATTTTCATTTCAATACCCGATTATTGGCGCCCGTATCTCACTGACTTGACTCGTGAGTCTGCCAAAGCACCATCGCAAGATAACTTCAATTATAGGGACGGTCTTCTCATTGTTTTCTGTCGAAGAAACGAAATAGCACGGTAAAGTTATCTTTGTTTCGCCAGTTCAATCAGAATCCCTCGCCACCCCAGCCGTCCTCAAAGCTAGCCTCATCAACCTGATGCAGTCCAGGATTCGCCATACCAAGAGCTACTTGCGCTGCAACGGGCGTAAAGCTGAATCGTGTCTTTTCTTGCTTCGCTACAACCTCCTCAGTCGCTACCTCACTCTTCGCCTCAACATCAAGAGCAGCTGATTCAACGACTTGTTTCACAAGCGGCACCATGGTGGGTTTCTGCAAGACTGCAGGCGGTCCAGGAATCTTGCTGACATTGGCATGTGGTCGTTCCTTGAGCGCGCTCGTCTGCGTCGGTCTCGGCATACTCGTTGGCCCAGAAATGCGTGACATACTTCCACCAGGCATCGTTCGCATTGCTGCACTCTCCGTTTGAGCCACATGGGTCAATCCATTCAGGCCAGGACGAATGGGTGTACCTATCGACCGACTTCCCACAGATTTACTCAATGCCGCATGCCGAAGACCACTTGTTCCTGAACTACCACTCGATGGCACTTCGCCAGATAATTGACGACCATTGCTATGTCTGTTGACACTACTCGCCGTAGTCGCTGGTGTCCCTGCAGCAATCGTCGCAGGTCTAATAAGCGTCGCAGCAGGTGTACGGGGTCTTGCTTTTGTGTGCGGTTGCATTGCAGGCGCTTGAAAGGGAGCTGTTGCTGTTTTCGGTCGTGTTGAGGCATGGCCTGTACTACCTGCAAGAGATGCAGCAGGTGGACTATCGCCATCGAGGTATAATTCTCCCCATACCAAGAATGGTTCGCCATGCTGGGTTTGATAGGCAGCGAGTGCTTCTCTCAATGCTGCTTCTGCTTTTGGTAGACGCTTCTCAACTTTACTGCGGAGTTTTGATTCAGCCATGGGATTATAGCCGCGTTCTCTGAATCTATTGGGGTTGGATGTGATGGCCGCAAGTTCTTGTCGTTCAGTGTCGAGCTGCATATGTTGCTGGATGAGCGTGAGTAATGGCGCTTGTTCTGCAAGGACTTGTTGGATGCGTGTGATTTCATGCTCATGCGCAAGTAAACTCGCATCCGTATAAACGGCTGTAAAGAATGGCTCAAATTGCAGACGTTGTTCTTCACCGAGCAAGAGTTGATCCCAGAGTGCTTCGAGCTCCATGCGTGAATCTCGAACAAATTCCTCGATATGATCCTTTTTGAGGATTGCAAGACGTTCCAATTCACGCTCACAGTGTTCGACTGCCACTTGTGACGCGCCGCGTGTACGAGACAGGAAGATGGTGAGTTCTTGTGGGTGTAGCTTGAGTTTTGCATGCAGCATACGAACCGTGACGGTTGCCGTTTGAATCTTTGCAGCACGTTCTTCTTTTTGCTGCAGGAGCACACTGCGTTTTTGTTCAAGCACAGCAATGGCTTCATCCGTCAACCCGAGTACTTCCGGGTTCGTCTGACTATCCAACATGATTTGCTGATCGAGTTGTGAGGAGAGTTGTGAGGTTTCTACCGCGAGTTCTGCCCATAGCTGAACAATTTCCTTGCCGTATTGCTGGACTTGTCGTTTCCTACGCTGTACATCACGACTACATCGTGACAATGCCGCTTCAATTTGACCGAGCTTCAAAAGACTCACATCTTCAGGTGGACCTGCTGCACTCAAATCGGGGATGGTGAGGTGAATCACATCCGGCGATACCAACCCAACAAAGGCTTGGAGTTTCGTATACAACGCAAGCACCTTGTCTGCGCGTTCAAGAAAGGCACGCTTCACAGCTTGCCATTCTGCATGGATGAGTTTTTGACTATGCAGCAGTGGTGCTTGAATGGGAATCTCCTCGGCACCCTGAGAGAATGGGTCATCGAGTCCTTGTAGGATGATAGAGGTTTCGCCCAATGCAATACGCATACGATGCATATCTGACTGCATGGCACGACAATCTGCAATGACGGCATCGCATTCTTGACGTGTTGCATCGAGAGACGCGTCGAGGGCCGCTTCAACGACGTGTAAGATGGTGGCGGCTGAATCGTGGTGTTCGCCGCCGAGTTGTTGGTGGAGGGCATGGAGTTTTGCATAGTGGCCGTCGAGCTGGTCCTTGAAGCGCGTCCAGTCACTCATCGCAGGATATAGGAGAGGACAGGCCTCCCAGCAGCAGCTTCACTTCAAGTGTTGAGTCCGTCTTGGTCGTTGCTGTCGCTTTGTTTTGGAAACAAAGGGAAAAAGTGGCAGTCACATTATCGCTCATTGTTGCAGAAACGCTACATAAATACATAAAAGAGAGAAACTAGGCCTTCCTGATGACCACATCCTTGCGGTCAGCGTCATAGTGACCCAGCAGCTTAATCTCAAACTGGGCAACAGCAATACCAAAGAGCTTGAGCAGGCGAGTCTGGTTGGAGTTGAGGAGGTCGCCTTCCTTGCAGACGGTGTAGTCATGTGAGAGGGTAATGACACCATTCTTCAAGAGCGTCGGCATCCCCATGCCTCTGACGGAAGGCTCGAGTGTATGTGATAGCAAGACATCATCTTCTGCAGCGACTTGACCACCACGCGTATAGACGGCGCCAGCTGGGACGGTGAATGTGAGGGGACTCGTTGTACCTGCCCTCGCGAAATCGGTCTTGCTGTAAGATGCAAACCATTCCTCCACAAGTTCTGGCGGATGCGATGTACACAGCAAGCCGACCGTTCCTTTGAGTAAGGGCGACAATCTGGAAAGTCCATCGAGGTACTCTTCAGCGGGAGTGTTGCCCAATGCTTTCGCCATGACTTTCGTGCGACCCAGGAAGATGCGCGAGTCTGCCCACTGTGCACGGACATCCTTGAGGTAGGTGTTGCGCATGTTTTCAACGGAAAAGACCCATGCGTACTTGCAGGTATCGAGGGCGTCGCGAATACTGCGGTAGAGTGCCTCTTTCCCCTCGCGGCCCTTCTTGTCTGTCTGTGTGAGGGAGACTACTTTTTCTCGCTTTGACTTGGGCATGTCTGTATAGCTGCTCCTACTCTGTTCTTACTACTCTGTTCTACTACTATTGCTACTGCTGCTACTCGCAAGTTCTCTCTTCAACTTTTTTGGGTTTGTCGCACGGGAAAGCGTGAGAGAAATGGACAGCAGGCGACTCCACACGTAGAAGGACTACTCACAAGAGGCGATATCTACAGCTGGTACAGGCTAGCAGAGACATGGAAGATACTCTGAACAAGGCCAAGGCCATCGCAGTCGACACCATCAACGCCGTGGCCAAGAAAGTCACAGGCACAGAACCACTGGCACCTTCGGCAGAGTCAGCACCGACCACTGCCTCCCCTACCAAGCCCAATCCAGCACACAGCATTGGTCCATTGAGCCCAGCTGAGGAGAAGAAGCTGGATGATCTGATTGCTCACAGGCCCAGTGCCAAGGAGCTGCAGGAGAAGAATATCCTCAAGGACACACACGTGGCGCCTGCATTGCAACAGAAGCAAGAGGAGCTCAAGAAGCGACAGATTGAGGATGCCTTGGCAGACAAGATTGCTCATCGTCCTGAGGAGAAGGAACTCAAAGCACACGGCATTCTCAAGGGTATGCCTTCTTTCTGAATCATTTCTCATCGTGCTAATCAAGGCAGAAGGCAATGTTGCACCATCGCTACAAGCTGCACAGGACAAGCTCAAGACGGCACAACTCAAAGACACCCTCGACTCCAAGATTGCTCATCGCCCATCGCCTGATGAGTTGACCTCTAAAAATATCCTGCCAGGTCAAGGCGGTGGCACGCACGATTTACACCAAAATGTTGCTCATGCGTTGGAGGAGAAACTCGAACACAGGCCAGAACCAGAGACACTCATCAAGGAAGGCATCTTGGACAAGAATGAGAATCCAACTTCTGCTTGAAGCAATCCCCATAGTTACCAATAGTTTATGTTTATGATGTTGATGCTTTACGATCTCAACACACCGCTCATGACCGTATCGCGACCAAATACTGCAGTCTTGACGCCCATGAGTCCAATTGCTTCAGTCAAGCCCAAGGAGACGCCATTCTCTCCGATATACGACGGCGCAACCGTCACAATCACCAGTGAAGCTGCTCGTTCTGCTAGCACGGAGCGAATGACTCCTGCGCCGCCTTCAATCATGATGCTCTGTTTTTTAGGGTCCAACGCGCGTAGACAAGCAATGATATCGTCCCAAGAGCAAGACGCATGACCAGCTTCATCCACCTTGATTGTTGCAGCATCGAGAAAGATTGTTTTGACACCACCAGCCTCTAGTCCACAACACGCAGCTTCCATATTCACATCCGCAGACAATCGCCTGTGTCTCGCTTCAAACAAGGCTCGGTGAACGAGTCGTAGTGCAGGGAGTCCTTGACCCTTTCGCGCAAGTTTACACACTTTCGCATCTTTTGTCAATTGACAACGACCCTGCAAGTCAACAAAGACCGGGATGGGTTGATAGGCCAAGTCAACGGCATTATTATGTCCATCGCGTGCATTCAACCCTGGATCATCCGACGCGCATGTGCCTGCTCCCACGAGGATATAATCATGATAACGTCGTAATGTGTGCGTCACTCGAAAACTTTCACGACCCGACAAGACTAGTGGTTTCCCTGTCCTTGTGCCAATACAACCATCCAAACTCTGTGCATACGTCAACGTGACGCTCATTCTATCGACATTGCTGTGCAGGTATACGACGGCTTGTTTGTCCATGACAGTCATTGTATCCAAGTGTGTAAAATCCCGTCGCGACTCTGAAATAGGGCGTGTAAGCTCAATAACGGATTGTATTTTATTCAGCAAAGGACCGTTTCGAGCCTGTTGCAGGAAGTGCCTCACCCTCAATAGCCTTTTCACTCGCAGGCGGTCCACGTGCCGCTTCTTCCGCTTCCTTCACGTCTGTTGATTTCTCAAACTGTAGTGTCTTTGAGAGTCTTGTTTCCCAGGATCCATCCTGAAAGGCGCTCGGTGGGAGTGCATCGGCAAGGGTATAGTCACCGACGCGCGATCGAACAAGCGAAACCATGTGTGCTGCACTACCCACAGCAATGCCCAGATCGTGAATGAGCGAACGAACGTAGGTGCCGGACGAGACTGTCATGCTGAGATGAACAGCCACGAGCTTCTCGTCAGATTTAGCAGACTCTGTAGTCTTTTCTGTCTCTGTAACGTGCTTTAGCTCAGTCTCCGGGTCTGGCTTGAGCGTCTTGAGAGCCTGTGCAGCAAGTCGAATTTCTTCCGCTGCCTCCTCCTTGGGTTCCACCCATTCATGTTCCGTTGTGACGTGGGTGACATCAAATCGAGAGACCGTTGCAGGTCGTGCTTTGATTTCCGCAGGTAATGGTTTACCTTCCCTTGCATACTCATACAACGGCTTCCCTTGCATCTTCAATGCCGAGTAAATAGGTGGCGTCTGCATGATGTCCCCACGAAACTGTGCAGCAATGGTTCGTTCAAGCAATGCTTTCGTGACATGCTTACATGGGCAACGAGAGACAATTTTCCCTTCACTATCATACGTATCGGTTGCAATACCAAATAAAGCAATGGCTTCGTATTCTTTTGAACAGCCAAGGAAGCTGCCAAGTTGTTTGGTGCCCTTGCCAACACCGACAATCAAGACACCACTTGCAAGGGGATCAAGGGTTCCACCATGTCCCATCTTGATCTTGTGGCTGAAACGAGGACGTTTGCGTCCCTTGTTGCCTGCAGCGGAGCGTTGAGCTTGAGCGTCCAGGTCAGCGGCGAAGAGCGGGGAGCGTGAGAGGACATGTTGGATGTCGTGGAGCAAACCGGCAGAGGAGATGCCGGTGGGCTTATTGACCGCAAAGAGACCACTCATTCTAGTATGAATTTTGAGCACAAATGAAGTAGTATTAGGAAGCAGGGCTCTTGGAGCACAGCAGATGGATGGATTTTCACGTTGACGTATACAAGAGTGTCGAGTTCTTGTCGACTGTTCGCAGTTGCAAAGAAAATTCTAAATTCAGATGGGCAGCCATGATGAACAGTCTTGTTGCAGCATTCACATAGCAGGGTGATAGCACGGCGCGTTTGCTGCCCTGGCCATGGTACCTACATGACCGATGGGAAATGATACATAGTTCGCTGATGTACATGGCGCATGTATCTACAGATTCGTTCATTGCATCAAAGTATTGATTATCAGTACTTGATTATCAGTACACGGCGACAAGACGCATCCTTTTCAAAATATTGGGTCACCTTAGCACATGGGCTGTTTAGTTAGATGGACTGTTTGGTCAAAAGGGTATGAGAACAGCTGAAGTACTGGGCTGCTCATCTCGGCCAGCATGACCACTCTCTTGACCAAAGTCAAACATACTCCGATGTCGGCGAGATGATGAGACAAGTCTTGGGCGATAGTGCATCCAGCGTCTCCATCAGATGAAGCATCATCAGCAGCGGTTGCAGCGATCTAGGTGCTGTTGTTTCGATGATAGGTCAGTTCGAGCAGCCCATTTCTAAGCCAGGGCCCAGCTGCAGCAGATGTATGTACATATGGTTCATGGCGAAAGTGCAAACCAAAAGTTGAACGACGAAAGCATCAACACACACTCAGCAACAAGACGGCGACACTCAATGGAAGGGGCCCTGGCTGGATACAATAGCTAGCAGCACGCGGAAGCAAACAAATAATCGTATGAACGGAACTCGCTCTCCTTCTAAACCCGCTCAAGGCGATCCGGCGCAAAGGCGCATCGTCGTCAAGGCGACAACTTTGCCACAAGGACAATCGCATGCAGCGCAGGACGTAGTGCCTCGGCCGAGACCGATCGTCAAGGCGCCAAGCTTCAATTCTCTACATGGCATCGATGGAGCAGGCGCGCTGGCCCCGCCGCGCAAGATACTAAGCAATATGCCGTCTTCTGTCACCACGCGACGGCCTGCTTCGCCCACTCGAAGCACAACGACGACTCAAGTCTCATCTCATTCTTCATCACATGAAGCCAGGCATACAAAACCCGCATTTTTTACCGCTTCATCCTACTCAGCGCCGCGTACAAGCAAAGCCGCCATGCCAGACTTCAGACGTGCCGACTCTGCCAGCGCCTTACCACACAGCGCAAGTAATATTGCGCCTCGCGTTTCTCGCAGTAATAGCCCAGATCTTTTTCGTCAAACAGACTCGCCTACACCGCATACAGGTCGCCCGAATCCCATTCTTGCACGACCAAGCCTTCGCGAGACACATTCAGAAGACTTGCTTGCACGACGTCGTCGGCTGTCCACAGAAGCAATCCATACCATGCAAGCAAGAACAGAGTATGCTGAGAAACGAACAAGTCGCGGCAGTACGTTGTCGTCAGCTGGTAGCGCCATTGCTGCTGAATTGGCTGGACCATCCTATACGAGACGCGCGCGTGCGCCTTCGTGCGCATCGCCGTCTTTGTCGAGTGGACTCAACCATCAATCACCAGAATTCACAGAAGTGCATGATTTGGACATGACGCAAGCTTCTGCAGCAGCGGCAGAGTCATCAACGCGACGCATGCTAGATTATGAGATTCGGAATACTTCCCTCATGGCCGTGAATGCGCATCTTGAGAAACAAACACGGAGACAGGCGAGTGAACTCAAGCAACTACGGAGACATGCGCAAGAAGCGCGTGGTCTGGGCACAATGAAGCCGCTGTCGCCTGATGCCTCAGAGGCGTTGACTTCAGACGACGATGCATGGCCGGCTGATATGGAAGACGTACGGCGTAAAGTCCTGTTGAGCGATGAATTGACGGGCACGATACGAAGTCTTGATGGAAGCATTCAGCGCGCACTGCTGGTCAGTGAACAGCTGTTGACGGATGCTCAGCGTGGGCTGGCTTATCGTCCGCGCGAGTCTGAGGTTGGACTTGGTGTGCGTGTGCTGCAGAAGGGCGATCAGGAAGATGAGGAGGAAGAGGGACTCAGTAATGATGATGATGAATAAGAGGTTGATAATACTAATACTGGCACGGGGATATGCTGTGTGACTGTCTCTGTGCTACCCCGGATCTGCAGCCTGAGATTTGGCGATTGACTGCCGGTGGACCGATTTCTGAGATTGATTCCGAGATTCATCTGCTCAGATTCTGCTGCGGCACTGAATGACCAAGACGTCATTGAGCGCAATCCCATAAAGACACAATTGCAGCGCCAGAACTAGTTAGTCGCATACCATGACCATGAGAAGATAGTACTATATCCCTCGGCGACAGTATGGAAGGACCTCTCGGCATCAACTTGAATGAGGCGCGGATACTCGAGCATGCGCATCAGCGCAACCACCAACAGTCAGACGACAAGGCTGAGGAAAAGGCGCCAGAGTACCTAGCATCAAGAAGGTTCACAGATTTGTGGGGATTGGAATTGCCCTACTACTTCATCACCATGGCGGCACTCACACTGCCGCTGTATACTTGGAGTCTGAAGTGGTTCATCTCTGGCACACCGTTCCTCATCTTTGTCCTGTTACTTGGACAGCCTGATGGGCTCTTCAAGCGTCCACCTGTGCTGTCTATCATCATTCTTTCAATTCAGGCATCGTACCTCATCTGCAGTACATCTTGGCTGCTCATCAAATTATACAAGGGAGTCTGTTATCCGGCCATTGTGATTGCTGCATTCATGCGCATCACATGGCTGCAGCTCAAGCTACGCGAATCTCTACGGAAAGTATTTGCTTCATTCCACATCCATGGAGACAAGCTGGCCTTTTTCAACTTTCCAGCCCTCGATATTGACGATGGCGATGTCCCTTGCTTGCTCGTCATCAAGGGCGTCACATTTTCCTTGAGAACCCTAACACTCCAAGTACACGGTGTTGAAGTAGGCGTCAAAATCAACGACGACTTGGAGATTGGCATTCAAACAGATTCATTCATTTGGCGGATCGGACGCAATATCGATATTGGTGATATCTATGGAACCGTCAAGGGCCCATTCACAGACAAGAAGAAAAGCGGTCTTCATCGTGACTTAGAGCAAGACGACCAACAAGCGCATCATGATATTACGAAAGGCCGACCGCCTATGCCCATGGGAAGGACAAGTGCCGCTGCGCTCGCAGAAGAGCTCAAGGCGAAAGAACACTACCAAGCAACATTGAATAAGATTGATAGGAAGGACATCACACATCAGGCACGACGTGCGCTAGGGTCTACCACAGATGATGAGAATCAGATGCGAGCCTTGATTGGTTCTTACATTCATGGCAGCGAGTCAGTACCGAATCCACCTGGCAAATCGGTCAAGTCGAGTGTACTGACAGCCATGGTGCCTCGTGTTTTCAAAACGGCCTTTCACAATATTCCGGTCCTCTTGAGGCTATTTCTCAATCTAGTGGCATACAACCACCCTGTGCTCTTCAAATCAATCACACTGACGGGCAAGGGCCACTATATCAACCACATGCTTGAGAATAAACTGTTCAAGCACTATACCCAAGAAAATAAGGAGCTCGAAAAACTCAAGAAGTTTGTTGAAGGCTTCCTGTCTGACGGGAATTTTAGCCTGGTCTTAGATGGACTTCTTGGATTGGCATCTGTTCCGCTGAATACAGAGTACGATATAGTCACCTTTGTCAAAACGCCTAGGATACTCGTCATCAAATCGATGCCGGCGGCGCATACCGATGATGAGATAGTTGTGGACCACGATGAAGACCAGGAACAGGCACAGACTGTTTCCATCATCAGTGGTGCAGCGGCGACCTTTTCAATACCATCCTTCCTTCTCCCAGATCATGAGCACTTACTACCAGAGCCACCTACTGATGCCACGACCAAGGACGAAGCACAAATCAAGATGAGCGTGCTGGCTAGTCTGCCGGTTGAGTTTGACGACGCCATGATCAACTTTGCACTCGCACTAATCAAATCCTCACAAGTGGTAAGTTTTCAACATGAAGCATACATCATTGATACTGACAACTTTAGCTGACCCTTCACAAGAAGGCCAACAGCATGAGTCAGGAAGTCCACTCCATTGGCGACTTTTTCGGTTCCTTGATCGGTTCGACATCTGAACAAATCAAAAAGAGCCTTGTTGAAGCACACGTCGATGATGCTTGGGTGGAGAAGATATTCTTGAAGGCCATCAATGGCTTGCGAACGCTGAAGGGCGATCTAGGGTATCAGACTGATATCCCGATAGACTTGTCTGAACTCAGATCAGCCAAGCGCTATGTCTATCGGTCGACCTGACTCAGTGCATGTTGAGTACACCCTGCGCACGCTCGTCGACACGAGGCTTACGAGTCCAATGTGGCGACGATGCCAATCGTGCGACTATTGTCTAACAATGGCATAGCCTCGGCAGGACGCTGCAGATCGACGGGAGCGCGACAGCCTCGGGACGTAGCCGCAGCGGCCCGCACGGGAAGCATCTGGCAGACTTTTAATTCTAATTCACAACACTTCCATCTGGCAGCCGTTGATGTGTGACATGTCGTTCGTTGAGAACACGATTTGAACCTCGATGGTGGAAGCAATGTTTCACGACGACCATTCGATGGTGAACTTTGTATAGCTTCATCTCGGCTTGTCGGAGATAGGATGTATGTTCCAACCTTATTGCGGTCTCCATGTTGGGATTCTATGAAGCCTTCGAGATCGCAATCGATGTGAGTGTGCAACGGCCAACCTCATCTGAAAACAGATCAGAATGTCTTGGATGCGCGTTGTGGCGAAGGTCAGATCGTTGGCAGCACCGGCCCGACCAAAACGCTGCTTGGATGTTGGTCCATCTTTCGCCGAGGTGTTTGACAGCCTGTCAATGCATGTAGATCGGCTTCCTCGAGCTCATGTGAAGAATGACTGTAGTGCCCCTGACAACGAATGGGATAGGCACGTTCAGAATTGCTGATACTCGAGCCCAGGAACGTTGTCAAGAAAGTGAAGACATTCAGGACTATCAATGAATCAGACAGCCACTCCTGTAGTAACCTATATGCTGGGCAGATCGATACCCTGAAATCAGAGCGTCACGCGCGGCGGCTTTTGAGTCTTGACCATGAACAGCTCGCTGTTTACAGATGACAGAGCTCAGAGTGCACCCAAAAGTACCAGCCTTCTTGACATTCTTGTAGAATGGGATGATGCACGAGCTTTAGGCTTGCAAAGTGCCATGGAAGGGTCTCACCCGGCCACGCTATGCGGTCGAATGGTATGTCTCGAAGATAGCATTTGAACAAAACCCAGAACCCAAAGGCTTACGACAATTCTGTTTGCATCGTGCTGAATCCTGATGGCAGAATCATCCCAATGGATGCAAAGGCCCGGTTTCGACCGTTGTCGACCTTGCCAATGTTGCCGTAGTCAACCAACCGGAGAACGCGCGTGGTAGAAAACTCAAAATTCAATCGCTCGCCAAATCATGCTCAAAATCGATGAAGGATGCCAGCCAGTCGTCCGGAGTCATTGACACGCGCGCGGACAGGAGCGGGGGGCGCGCGGCGTGATCTTAGTAGGGCATACTTCGAACATCGATCGAGTGCACTTGTAAGTGGGCCGTGAGTCTGTGGCCGACACCCGGCGGGGCTCTTGGCTCTGATACTAACGTTACTATGGCTCATGGCAGCTGTGTGCGGACTTTGCGGAGTTCCACTCGACCCCGCGTATTCCCATGAGCTGCCGCTGCACCTGTATTTCCCAAGCTAAGGTAGTAGTGGTATAGCTTGCTACCACGGCCACGATGCATGCATAATCACGTTCGAGCTACTATGAATGCTGCTGTACCTCGAGGCTCGCTTACTTGTAACTACAGTCCCCGGCAGCAGTGCATGCTCGCTAACCAAGCTTTGGGATCAAACTAGTTGAGCTTCTTGCATGGCAAGTATACAGACGGCGACAGACCGCCATTCTTGCCTCAAGACATGGCCTCGGCAGGAGATTTTTGCTCGATTCACTCAGCTACTGCAAATCCTTCCCCTGTCAGTGAAGTGACAGGTGCCTGGCAGGCTGTTTCCGGTGCTGCCATCACAGGTGTCAGTGCCACCTGGTGAAGGCCTGCGTGCCCTTGGCAAAATGAAGAAGCTTCTGGTATGGTTCACGGCGACTTCTTGATTGGTTGGTGGCAGGTCGTCGGCGGCTGCCAGCACTGGGATCCGTCCATCACCGAATGTTTCAGTCTCACAGACGCGCTGTCAAAAAACTCTATTGCTCAACGACACAACAATATGCGCTGTGATTTTGTGCTCCTGAATACTGCAGCGGCAGCTCTGCACCTAGTAGACTCCGCGTCTGCGTCATCTCCCCGCGCACTGCGGATGGTGGGCCTGAATTAGCTCTGCAAACTCTGGCACGTTTCAATGCCTTCCTGAGACACACCTTGGCATCGATGAAGCTTTGCTATCCCTTGCAACTATGGTGCCATGGACCTTGCCATCGGGTTCCGGGTAGCGGGCGCCATGTTTCTATCCGCGCCGGATTCGTACATGGCCTCAGTGCTTTACTGTATCTTTGACTTGTGTATAAAGTGAGGCAATGCTGCCGAAAGAGACCCTCATTCAATCCAACAGCAATGCAGGTCATCACCGCAGCCATTCTCCTCGGTGTTGCATACGCAGCTCCTGTCGCTGAGCCTGAGGCTGATGCACTTCTCGGCCTTCCTCAGACGATCAAGCTTGGAGACCCATTCAAGGTGACCTTCCCAGGCGCGACGATTCAACCTCAGACACTCTCGGTGAATCCTCAGATTGTTCTGCCGACACTGGCGTTGCCCTCCATCAAGATTCCCTCTCTCACAGCGCCGTCTCTCGCAGTTCCAACATTCGCTGCTCCATCATTCCCTGCTGCACCAAGCTTGGCAGTGCCTAGCTTCCCTGCGGCACCTGCAGCACCAAGCCTGGCCATCCCTTCGATCAAGGTGCCTTCACTCGCAATTCCTACATTCGCAGCACCATCGTTCCCTGCTGCACCCAGTCTTGCACTGCCCTCATTGGCAATCCCATCGTTGGCTGCACCCTCTTTCCCTGCAGCACCAAGCTTGGCCTTGCCTTCGCTCGCAATCCCAACTTTCGCTGCTCCTTCTTTCCCTGCTGCACCAAGCTTGGCCTTGCCTTCGCTCGCAATCCCAACTTTCGCTGCTCCTTCTTTCCCTGCAGCACCAAGCTTGGCTTTGCCTTCGCTCGCAATTCCTACATTCGCAGCACCCTCTTTTCCTGCTGCACCTAGTCTTGCACTGCCCTCATTGGCAATCCCATCGTTGGCTACACCCTCTTTCCCTGCAGCACCAAGCTTGGCCTTGCCTTCGCTCGCAATTCCTACATTCGCAGCACCCTCTTTCCCTGCTGCACCTAGTCTTGCACTGCCCTCATTGGCAATTCCTACGTTCGCAGCGCCCTCTTTCCCTGCAGCACCAAGCTTGGCCTTGCCTTCGCTCGCAATCCCTTCATTCGCTGCCCCTTCTTTCCCTGCAGCACCAAGCTTGGCCTTGCCTTCGCTTGCGATTCCTACGTTCGCGGCACCCTCTTTCCCTGCAGCACCGAGCTTGGCCATTCCGACCTTCGCTGCACCATCTTTCCCTGCAGCACCGAGCTTGGCCTTGCCTTCGCTAGCAATTCCTTCATTCGCGGCACCCTCTTTCCCTGCTGCACCTAGCTTGGCCATCCCTTCGATCAAGGTTCCTTCGCTGGCAATTCCAACTTTCGCGGCACCCTCTTTCCCTGCACCACCAAGCTTGGCCTTGCCTTCACTCGCAATCCCGACTTTCGCGGCACCTTCTTTCCCTGCAGCACCAAGCTTGGCCTTGCCTTCGCTCGCAATTCCTTCATTCGCTGCACCCTCTTTCCCTGCTGCACCTAGCTTGGGCTTGCCTTCGCTCGCAATTCCTACTTTCGCTGCTCCTTCTTTCCCTGCTGCACCAAGCTTGGCCTTGCCTTCGCTCGCAATTCCTTCATTCGCGGCACCCTCTTTCCCTGCTGCACCTAGCTTGGCCATTCCTTCGATCAAGGTTCCTTCGCTGGCAATTCCGACTTTCGCGGCACCCTCTTTCCCTGCAGCACCGAGCTTGGCCATTCCGACTTTCGCTGCACCACCTTTCCCTGCAGCACCGAGCTTGGCCATTCCTACGTTCGCGGCACCATCGTTCCCTGCAGCACCAAGCTTGGCCTTGCCTTCGCTAGCAATTCCTTCATTCGCGGCACCCTCTTTCCCTGCTGCACCTAGCTTGGCCATCCCTTCGATCAAGGTTCCTTCGCTTGCAATTCCAACTTTCGCGGCACCCTCTTTCCCTGCAGCACCAAGCTTGGCCTTGCCTTCGCTCGCAATCCCTTCATTCGCTGCTCCTTCTTTCCCTGCAGCACCAAGCTTGGCTTTGCCTTCGCTCGCAATTCCTACTTTCGCTGCTCCTTCTTTCCCTGCTGCACCAAGCTTGGCCTTGCCTTCGCTCGCAATTCCTTCATTCGCGGCGCCCTCATTCCCTGCTGCACCTAGCTTGGCCATTCCTTCGATCAAGGTTCCTTCCCTGGCAATTCCAACTTTCGCGGCACCCTCTTTCCCTGCAGCACCGAGCTTGGCCATTCCTACGTTCGCGGCACCATCATTCCCTGCAGCACCAAGCTTGGCCTTGCCTTCATTCGCTGCTCCTTCTTTCCCTGCTGCACCAAGCTTGGCTTTGCCTTCGCTCGCAATTCCTACTTTCGCTGCTCCTTCTTTCCCTGCTGCACCAAGCTTGGCTTTGCCTTCGCTCGCAATTCCTACTTTCGCTGCTCCTTCTTTCCCTGCAGCACCAAGCTTGGCCTTGCCTTCGCTCGCAATTCCTTCATTCGCGGCACCCTCTTTCCCTGCTGCACCAAGCTTGGCCTTGCCTTCGCTCGCAATTCCTTCATTCGCGGCACCTTCTTTCCCTGCAGCACCAAGCTTGGCCTTGCCTTCGCTCGCAATTCCTACTTTTCCTGCTCCTTCTTTCCCTGCAGCACCTAGCTTGGCCGTTCCTTCGATCAAACTTCCATCGCTTGCTTTGCCTTCGTTGGCTGTCCCCACCTTCCCAGCGTTCCCTTCTCCTCCAGCACAAACAACACGGCCTGCTGGCGGTAACACTACTCCTGTCGCGAACACCATGGCCACAGTCACCACCAAGAGGGCAACCAGCGAAATTGTCATTGCATTGCCGACTATTCCTGGATTCACTCAGCCTCCTGTCGCCCTCCCGACCCTTCCTGGCTTCACGGCCAACCCTCAACCTCTTCCAACCGTTCGTGTGCCGCCTCCTAGCTTCACTACGGTTGTCATTGGTGGCACGCAGACTTTGACATTTGCACTGCCTGCCTTTACCCTTGTTCTGTAAAGGGTCTGTTCATATGTTCTGTGAATATTCATCTATTTTGAGCATGTAGAGCTCAAACTATACATAGTAACCTTCTTGCATTCATTCTTGCTGTTCTAGTCCTTCGTTATGATTTCCAATTCATCTGCTAGAGTATACACTAGCTTTGACGAATACAGGGCTGGGATGAAGAACTTCCCGCGCCATCTGAAGTCAAACGTTCGGTCGGTCTGTCAACTGTCAACTGGACCTTCCCCATGTATTCCAACGTTCCTTGCTCCTGCAGAGCTCGCTGGCCAGGCTATCTGCATGTGCAGCGCCTAGACCTAGATACCCAGCCAGTTCAAGGCCCACATACATGCTGTAGGAATTGCCTCTAGCAGCGAACTGGCTTGAAACGATGCTCGCTAGTTCTGGAAATGTGACCCATACCAAATCATATCGACTCATGACATACATAAAACACGCCGCTTACAGTTTTGCACAATCTGAGTCATTACTTTTGCATATAAGATGAGGCGTCTCCATCATACTTGCCTGCAGATATGTATCCTATGGAGATGAACCAACTGACGGGCCTGTCATTTGGTCGCTACCCCAATCCAGGCCTCACATCGGTCACTGTTACTTTCATGATGTCCAAAGTCCCAGACGAACTCTTGTGCATGATGTCACGAGCTGGGACAATCTGGAAGAGGCTAGGATCATGCTATACAGTCCGCGAAGGCTTTGAAATCAACGTGGAAGATGTGCTCTACGACGATCGTGCTAATGTGGGCAACACCATTCTTCGCACTGCATGGGTCATTCTCACTTTGTGTGGGATGGATGAGGAAATTGACTTTGAGGCAGTCTTGCCAAATTCTTACTATACCGCTGCTGAAGGTCCCTTGGGCCCACGATATGTCGATGGCCGCATCACGACAGCACCAACGTCGGCCCTCGTCTTCACAGGACGACTCTTGAAAGAACCGGAGCCTGGGATGATGTATACATGTTTGAATGTAACTCATTCCGTCGTTGTTGAGACGCTGAGGGGACAGCTGGATCGGAATCTGAGTTATTACGAGTCCATTGCGCAGGGCTACTGAGATACTTGACATGTATCGTTGCGAAGAAGATAGTAACGACTTCTTAAATGGTCATCAAGCGTGATTTGATTTCGGCAGTCTTGAGACCTTGCTTCTCGCCCGTTTCAATTGCCTTGAGATCTGCTGCCAACTTGTTGATGGTATCCGTATTGCCAGCCTTGTTCTGCGTACCAGCCGATGGAAAGTTGAGCGTGTCGATGGCTCCTGTTGTTTGGTGCTCTTGCTTCAGCTTTGCAGTCAAATCGTTCAATCTCTCTGTTGTGTAGGCGCGGTTAGTGGCAAGTGGTGATTGGGAAAGTGTCGTGACCCAGTACTTGTTCCAGAGTGCTTCAAGAAGCTTGATATCAAGGCTCGATTTGAAGTAGCTGACTTCAAGAGAATAGTATCGGCTGGCATGCACACCAAAGTCTTCAATCTTGTCGAGTGGAACTGACTGATACTCTGATTGTGCCTCTGCTGGCTTGTAGTCTTCAGGAAACGTCCTGAATGCACCAATTTCAACAGCACCAGCAGAGATGGTTCGGTTGGGATCAATGACAACGGCAAGAAATGGATCTTGGTATGTTTGATAGTTGCTTTGAGTGCCAACATCAATGCCCGAAAGCCAGCACCCGTAGCCCGGATGTGAATGGTACCAACCAACGGCATTCTCAAGACGCCCAATCTGCTTGCTTGCTTCGCCAAACTGAATCATATACTCATACGCCTCATCACCTGCATTGACACGCGTCTCTGTGCCTTCCACGGGTAACGCAAAACAATCCATTATGATAATCTCGCCCTGTGCCGTGACTTTCCCTTGCATCAGGCCCATGACCTCAATCGCACCACCACTCCGAGCATGCGTCACCATTTTTGTCAATGCAATAGCAGAGATCTTGACAGATTTGAAGAAGTGTGGGTCCTTCTTCCATGGCGCTTCTTGCTGTAATCGTTTCTGCTCCGCTGCATCGTAGTGAAAGATGGCATCAGTCGAGGCTAATGTTTGCACGCGGTTCTCAAGCTCGAATGTCTGCTGTGGAATAGAACTCATCTCTGCATCGGGCCACACAACTACCAGTACGCGACATCATCCTGGATGAGGTTGTCGACCAAATTGTCGCGGAGGCGATACGGAAAGACACAGTCACATTTCACTCATCTGCATAGTCAGGCTCCTGTTCTACGTAAACAGGCAAGCTAAGTAGTTGAAAGCGATGATAAAGAGGGAATGAGGAGTGTCAGACAGTACATTGTACAGCCTGACCAAAAGAAGTGAGCTGAGAAGAAGGACCATTTGGTGGCGAGACAGCTAGAGCCAGCCAGCCGACTACAACATGGTCATAATCTCAGTTGAAGTTGATGCGACGTCCGACAAATGCAGCAGAGGCGACTCCTGGAAAGACTGTCACGATTGCATGATCAGCCACGCCAGTACTATTGCCGAACAGTGAGATTTCGTTTCTTCCAGGTCTGATGATGACAGATGGAGAGCGCAATGTGCCAAGGCTGCTATTCTGGCTCTTGATCACAACAGACATCTCATCCATTTGAATAGAGACATGTGTTGGATTATGGAAGGCTAGCCGTAGCACAGTCGGCTTGTATGTGATGTTTGCGTGGAATTGAGTATCAATGGCTGCAATGTCAAGAGACTTCTTTAGCCTGATGGGGACAGCAAAGTGTGCGTTGAACTTGAGCTTCGTCTTTGCCCTCATCTCGACTCTAGCTGACTTTTGGTCGAACAGCAACCTTTGTAGTAAAGCCTTGAGTGAATCAGCGCTGAGCACTTGTACGACATCTATTCCAGAGACTTCAACGCCAGTGCGACGGACTGCCATATCTGGAGCAGCCAAGTTGAACAAGTCTTTGTCATACTTGATGGTCATAGTGGTAGCCGACACGATCGTGCTGAATGGTCGTGTGGATGCAAAGACGTCGACTTTCAGGTTTGCCGAGAACGAGCTGGCTGTTTGGTTTGAGATTGACAGCTCATGCAGATCGAATCGGAGGAAACGATTCAGAATGTTGGGTATTCCCAGGAAAAGCGATAGTATACTGATGAAACCGAAAACAGCCGCAGAAGGTAGTACTATCAACCACCATCTGGCCCTTCTCCTTTTCTTTTGGGTGAACTTTGGAGTTTCCGGTATGGTTGTAGAGTAGTGTGATGATGATGCGGAAGCGCAGCGTTTATTTGAATCCGAAACCATCTTCTTGGGCAAGCTTGGCATGTCAAACTGTTGAGAGGCATGCAGCTGTCCGGCTGCTCGCTCCAGATCAGAGCGTGACGCCGGGCGCATTGTATTCATCTCTTTAGACGGTTCGTCAAAAGCGTGCTTGAACCAAAGTAGTGTAGATTCTCTAAGCTCTCGTCTGCTGGCAGATATAGCTTCCAGTGGTGGAGGACGTGCTGAAGATGGAACATCCTGCTGCACAGAGTGTCGCGCATGCTCTGTATTGCGCGGAGTGCGTTGGTCGCTGATATCAACGAGCTCACCTGCAGGGCTGAGCTCCAAGTACTTGGGCCACGATTCCATTTTAACAGACGGTTAGATCAGTTATGCACAGATGTGAGAAGGGACAGGTCCAAGCGCAGATCTTTCTTGAGCTGCTGAAACAACGTCTGTGACAAAGACAAACATGTCTATTCTTCGAATAGCGCTTTGCATGTCTGTCGCCAAACACGCTCCAAGACTCGCCGCCGAGGCAATAGCTCGGGGAAGACGACATGGTTGCGCCCATCTTTGGTCAAAATTGCAAGATAGAATTTCACTTGGAAGCCTTTGAAGCCTTCGTGAATGACTACATCTTGGATCATATCCAGTGCGATAAAGTGACTTGATCCGCCCGTTGTGGTTTGGATACCGACAGATCGCATGACAATCAGAGATTCTTCCGTTGGCGGCATCTTATAGCAGAAATAGAGCCAACAGCTAGTGAAGAAGCATATTGCTGCAGAGGCTTTCGTGTCATTTTGGTAGAGCTTTGAGAGGAAGCTGACAAGTGCATTAGGAGCAGCATAAGAAACGACTGCATGTCTCTGGTACGAGAGAAGCACCGCCAGCTGAAGTAGAAGCATGTAGAGCATGGGCCATTGCATCACCATGGCAGCAGTCGCCAGATTTGAGCGCGGCTGCTTGTACACGAATTGCGACACATCTGCATTTTGAGTAACAGTCAGGCTCATCTGTTCATTGTGTCTCCATCAGCGGCTGAGCTCTGTACTCCTAGTCTGTGTCTTCTACCACAGTATCAGAAGTATCAGAAGTGAGTTGTTCGTGTTGAGTTTGTTGCCAAAGTCCACGACCAAGAGCGCAACACCACGCCCGCATCGCATCGCATCATCGCCAAGCAGCCCCATGAACAGCCCGAAACGGCCGCCGGCCACTGCAGCAGAGGCAGGAACAAGCCAGACTCTCTGCAGGAACATCACTATCCACGGCTACTGCAAATGGGCCGATAAAGGCTGTCGCTTCTCCCACAACGATGGACCTAAAACGCCTGTTTCTGCCTCTGCTAGTCTCGCTGCGTCCGGCAAGCTTCGCCCAGAAACACCAACTTTCACGCCCAACGGACTGAATGCGCCTGTCTTTGTACCGCGTCAAACGGCCGTCAAGGCAGCCCTGTTGCCGCAAGCAGACTTGATGGAGACGCGACCCACCACGGCCGAAACGGGTTTTCATTCTTCTCCTGCGCGGACGTCCAGTGCTTTGCAGGGACTCATGCCAGAACCCTTTGGTTTTGATAGTTATCGGCATTTTCAACCACTACAATATCACTTGTATGGGTCTCTGGCACCGAGTCGCAAGGGGCTCGCGCCGGATGAGCGCACAAGTCATGACTTATTTATGGCGGATGATTTGAGGGAACAACTGACAAAGAAGCAAGAAGCAGTACTGCAAACGCTGCAAAACTCGAACCTGCCCACTACGCTGCATAGCTACCACTCTTTGGTGCCGCTTGACTTGCAGTTGGAACGGAGTACGCGTGTCTTTGGCTATCAGACGTATGCGTATAAAGCGACAAGCAAGCATGATGGCAATAAATACTGTTTGCGACGCGTCGAGGGGTTTCGCCTACAAAGTGAAGCGAGCATAACCCTGGTGCAAAAATGGAGGAAAGTACGGTGTGCGAGTGTGGTGGAGGTACGCGAAGCCTTTACGAGCAAAGCCTTCACGGGAGACAGTATTGTCTTTGTCTATGCGTACCATCCCCTCAGCAGCACGCTCTACGAGAAACACTTTCGGCAACGCAAACCATGTCCTGAGACTGTGCTATGGAGCTACCTCTCGCAGCTGTACAATGCGCTACGAGCTATTCACGCGTGTGGCCTGGCATGCAGATTATTGGACCTCACAAAGATCTTGGTCACGGAGAAGAACCGCATTCGCATCAACTGCTGCGGCATGCTGGACGTGCTGCAATACGATCCCTATGCCGACATCAAGTACCTACAAGCCATGGACTTGACCCTTGCTGCTGCGCTCGTACTAGGCTTGGCACTCAATGATCCCGAAGTTTGGCCAGATGCACAATTCAACTTTGACTTGACGACACGCGGCTATTCGAGCCAACTGAATGACTTTATGCACCTGGTGCTCGAGGATGCAGACAATGGCTGTTCACTGTCGTTGGATGCTGTGCTAGGTCACCTTGGCTCTGCTTCCTTGGAGAGTATGGATGCGGCACTCTCGTACAACGACACACTCGAATCAGAACTCGCAACAGCAACGGAGAATGGCCGGCTTGTTCGCCTCTTGTGCAAATTCGGCTTCATCAATGAGCGGCCCGAATTTGAGCATGATCCGGCATGGTCAGAGACGGGTGATCGTTATCTCCTTAAGCTATTCAGGGACTATGTCTTTCATCAGGTCAACGAGCGCGGTCAACCTGTACTGGATCTGGGTCATGTCCTTGCTTGTCTCAATAAGCTTGATGCTGGCATCGAGGAACGGGTGATGCTCATCAGTCGAGATGAGACGAGCAGTATTGTAGCTTCGTATCGTGAACTGAGGCAGCTCGCTGAATCGGCCTTCAACGAGCTGCGTCGGCGTAGCTGACAAGAATGATTACAATGACAATGGAAGGCCTTAGAATGGATTGGCAATCTCCTCGGATCCATCGACGGGCGAGATGAGGACGAGTGTCGGCCCACGCACTACAATGAGTCCCAGCTCGCGCGTCTCATTGGTATCGAGGAGATATTCCTTGACATTATCAAGGACTAGATTCATAAGGCCATCGAATCCCTTGAGCACACCCACCACCTCGCGGCCGCCTGTGAATTTGACTCGGACTTGTTTGTCTTGGTATTTTGCGAGGTTTAAGATTGCTTCCTGCAGAGGTCAGTCGTGTCTAGAGAATGAGGAATAGGTAGGTACCTTCTTTGGCCGCTGTTCAGTCTTGCCGCCTCTCGCTGGTGCGCCTCCTCCGCGCTTGCCTCTGTTCATCGATAAATGCAGCTGGTGAGTCTAGTGGTCCAGTGGTTCAGTACTCTGCTGCTTGACCAAACATCAAAACCAGCGACGACACACCACAACCACCACCAACAACCATGGATGTCGGTAAGGAATTACAGAGCAAAGCAGCAGAGAAGCAGTCAAGCTGACATGTAGGGCAACTGCTCTCCAACACGCTCTCGCCAGATGCGCAACTGCGTCTCTCGGCCACCGAGCAGCTCGAAGCCGCAGCGCGCGATCATTTCGATCAATACATGATGCTCCTATCCACCCAGCTAGCCAATGAACAAGCCGCCTCACACATCAGAAATGCATCTGGACTTGCTCTCAAGAATGCTCTCTCTGCAAAAGTACGCGTGTGCCTGGTTGCTCAATGATCAAGCTAACAAGCAGGATTTCCGGCGACGCGAGGAGAATCAAGGTAAATGGCAAAATCTGCCTGAACAGACGAAAGCGCAAATCAAACAGGCTACCCTCTTTACGCTCAATAGCAATGACAGTAAAGCAGGTCAGTCTGCAGCGCAATTCATCGCGTCCATTGCAGCTATTGAATTGCCGCTTCAGCAATGGCCAGAGCTGATGACGAGTCTTGTGAGCAACACGGCACCAGAGAGCGCGCAGCACGTCAAACAAGCTAGTTTACAAGCAATTGGCTATGTTTGTGAGACGGTTGACCCGGAAGTCCTTGCATCGCAGTCAAATGCCATCTTGACGGCTGTGGTGCAAGGTGCGCGCAAGGAAGAACCATCCATTGCTGTACGGCTTGCTGCTATTTCTGCTCTGTACGACTCGCTCGAGTTTGTTAGGGAGAACTTTGAGCGTGAAGGCGAGCGCAACTACATTATGCAGATTGTGTGTGAAGCAACGCAAGCCAATGATGTCAAGCTACAGGTTGCTGCTTTTGGTTGTTTGGTACGCATCATGCAGCTCTACTACAACAAGATGCGATTCTATATGGAAAAGGCTCTCTTTGGACTGACGGTCCTTGGCATGAAGCACAGTGACGAAAGTGTCGCTCTGCAAGCTATTGAGTTTTGGTCGACCGTGTGTGAGGAGGAGATTGAAGTGATGATGGAAGCACAAGAGGCACAAGAACTCGGTGATCAGCCAGAGCGAGAATGCTTCCAATTTGCAAAGACGGCATTGCCTGAAGTACTGCCTGTCTTGCTCACTTTGCTCTGCAAACAAGAAGATGACGCGGAAGAGGATGACTGGAATGTTGCTATGGGTGCCGCGAATTGTCTGCAGCTCTTTGCTCAGTGTGCCGAGGGAGTCATTGTGCAGCCCGTCTTGCAATTCATCGAGTCCAAAGTATCGAGCAGCAACTGGAAGGAACGTGAAGCGGCTGTCATGGCGTTCGGTTCGATTCTTGAGGGCCCAGAACCGGAAATGCTTAAACCCCTCGTTGCGCAAGTGCTCAGTGTCTTGCTCAACATGATGAAGGATGAAAATCTGCAAGTCAAGGACACGACTGCCTGGACACTTGGCCGTATCTCCGACCTTGTCATTGGCGCTGTTACGGTTGAAGTCTTGCCCAATATCGTCGGTGCTCTGCTCGATGGTCTGCGCGATCACCCACGCATCCGAACAAACTGCTGCTGGGCGCTAATGAACCTCAGTGAGCAACTTGACGATCCAGAGTCTACCAGCTCGCAGATGTCGCCCTTTTATGAGCCAGCATTCACTGCGCTTCTTGGTGTTGCAGAGTCAAACTCGAATGAGAATAATGCCCGGACGTCTGCATACGAAGCCCTATCGACAATGGTCTCGCACGCCTCGAGCGAAGTCCTGCCACTCATCTCTAAGCTTTCAGGTGTCGTTCTCGACCGGTTGCAGGCAACCGTCTCTATGCGCGCAAATGTCTTGTCGACCGAAGAAAAGGTGCAATTCGAGGAGCTGCAATCCAACTTGCTCAGTGTTTTGACGAGCATCATCCGTCGTTGCGGCAAGGATGTGGTACCCATCTCGGACCGTATCATGACCATTCTGCTTGAACTCGAGCAAAACCAGCCCAAGCAGTCTGTCGTCCATGAAGATGTATTTATTGCTGTGGGGGCACTCTGTCTCGCTGTTGAAGCACACTTTGGTATCTATCTCGATGCATTCGCGCCATTCCTGTACGCAGCCTTGGCGAATCACGAAGAATACGCATTGTGTGGTATTGCAATCGGATTGATTGGCGATATTGCGCGGTCGCTTGGCGAGCAAGTCCTCCCGTACGGCGACAACTTTATGACGCATCTACTGCAAAATTTGCAGTCACCACTTCTCAACCGTGCAGCAAAGCCAGCCATCTTGTCTGCCATCTCAGATATCGCCTTGGCCATCAATCAGGAGTTTAGCAAGTACCTTGATGTGGTGATGCAGCTTCTACAACAGGCGTCCAGCGTGACCTACACACCGGAGTCCGGATACGACATGATTGACTATGTGAATGGTCTTCGGGAAGGCATTGTCGAGGCCTATGTTGGTATTGTGCAAGCCCTCAAGGGAACGCCTAAAGCCGCAACACTTGGTCCGTATGTCGAGCACATGTTTAACTTTATGGCGACTTGTCTAGCGGACGAGGAACGGACACAAGCCCTGCAGCGGAATGTGATTGGTCTGATTGGCGACCTTGCAGAGACATTCCCTGGGGGACAGCTGAAGCAGCCTTTGTCTGCCGAATGGGTATCAGGCTGCTTGAAGGCTTCTCGTGCTAAAGGTCAACCCCAGGCCACCAAAGAGGTTGCCAAATGGGCGAGTGAGCACGTTGCAACGGCGACTCGCTGACCTACTTATGGCTCTTGTTCTTGTTTTAAACACAGAGAGTGTAACGCACTCTTGTCATATCCTTCGCATTGAAGGAACTTTGCATAGCTTTGTGGATTTCTAGACTCTCTCGTCAGTGCTGTCATGTGCTACAAGTCTGTGTGCAAATTTAGTGATTTCTGTTCAGGCACGACTAGCTGTGCGGGCCCCCCGTTGGGGAGGCGTCAAATTAATAATTTGCTTATTGATATCTACTATGAATTATGTCATTTGAATAACACTTGTGGTATTATACTATTCTGAAGAGTTATCTATCTTTCGTCGCTTTCGGGGCTTGACAGGACCGAAAGAATGGCCTGAGTCTGAGATGAAGTCATCGACGTATTCCACAGGGAGTAGTCTTGCTACTCTGCCATCTCTTCATCTTCAGATTGCGTCGCTGCTAGTTGATCGAGCAGCACTTCAGGATAGACGACGTTCTTTGTCCTGAAGTTTTGATCTGTGTCCTGCAAAGTACACAGATTTTCCACGTTTGTGACTCGCGAGAATGCAACGTAGAGTTGACCATGTCCGAAGCAAGGGAGTCTGAGGTCAACGCCAACGTGCTTTAGACTTTGCCCTTGAGATTTGTTGATAGTCATCGAGAAGGCAAGACGAATTGGGAATTGCTTTCTCGTCAGGACGAAAGAGTACTCTTCTTCGTCACTGTTGAGTTTGAAGCGGAACAGATCAACTTCTTGACCCTTTCGTGTCCCTGTCAACACACGACACTTGATTAGGTATCTGCCAAGCCTTACCACCTCAAGACGGGTGCCATTGCAGAGCCCATCCCTGGGACGTATGTTTCGTATCAGGATGACCGGGATGCCCACTTTCAGACGCAAGCAGCTCGGAGGTAGGGAAGCTGGCTCTAAGGTGGCCAGATATTCCGGATTTGCTTGTGTCGTGAAGAAGGGATCTTGCGATTCTGTCTCGACACTGTCGGCAGCATCGTAGGCCACTTCTTCCCCTTCAAATCGGTCTAAAACCTTCCGGTTGATCGTATGCACTGAACCGTTGTGTGGTGCCAATATGGCGCGTGAAGCGAAGAAGTCGTGATTGTTGCTTGTAGCTTTCAGTGCATGTTGCGGGTAGATTCGTTCGATAAAGGCGTCTTCTTCAACCAAGCGAGCTATGGTTGAAGGTACTTCAATATCACTTTGAGCGTTTGAGCTCAAGTCCGCCAGATGTTGTTTCCAATCACGGTTGGCTTGTGTGTCATGCATTCGTTGGTTTTCTGTGAGGTGTAGCACCTTGACATCCGCCCAAAAGTCGGTTATTTGCAGCGTTGCATTGACGATAGTTTCTCGGTCACCATGTCGGACAACTGGCAGTGTTTGTGCCCAGTCCCCACCAAAGACAACAGGAGTACCGCCAAAGAAGAGGTCTGCGTTGTCATGAATATCTCTCAAGGTGTGATCCACCGCCAAGACGTCGTGCTTATTCTGGACAGGTGCTTCATCCCAGATGATTAGCTTGACCTGTCGCAGGAGTTCGGCTGTTTCGGAGCGTCTCCCAATGCGGCATGTCGACCCTGGCCCTGATTTCAACGGTATGCGGAACCGTGAGTGCGCTGTGGTGCCGCCCGGTAGCAGGATTCCCGCAATGCCGGAGGATGCAACGCAGAGCACGATTTCACCTTTTGACCGGTAATGACATGCAAGCGTCTCATAGAGGAAAGTCTTGCCGGTTCCAGCTGGACCGGTGACGAAGAAACTCAGGCAACTTTTGTTGTCGATGCTTTCAGTGATGCAAGTGTATGCATACTGCTGGCCTTCATTCAAGTGCTGCAGCCTGGTCGCCAATAGACGTGCTTGCTCATCACAATCGTAGTTCAGTTGCTCTGCTATCAGAGGATTGCCGGCTGACTGACTTTCCCAAGCAAACTGATAGTTTGGTAGATTGAATTTCTCCAAGGTCTCCTCGTTTTGCTGCAACTCTCTGGAGATCAAATACAATCCATAGTCAAGGTGTGGGTTCTCAAGATCTTCAGGATAGATAATGTGTCGCTGCATGTACCGCGGCAGATCGTCACATAGATCTTCCTTGAACCGTTCCCAAACAGCCAGAGGATGCGGCATCTCGTTATGTAGCAGTGCTGTGATGAATAGTGAGCGCATCTTCTTGCCAGTTGCCCACGTTTTCGCCTCCTCGAAGGCATGCATGAGTTCTTCATCAGAGTCCAGCAGGCCACGTGCCAGACAGGCCTCTCTGAAAGTGCCGTAGATGATTCCATCGTATGTACGTAAATCCACATACGCTGTTGGCCCTCTCACTTTCGTCAGCAACAAACGCAAAAAGTATGGTTCCCCGGCGCCGAACGGGATGTGCACCAAGCGCGACACCGGTTTGCCCTGTTTTCTTTTTTGCCATTTTGAAGGCTTCTGTTTATCATCCCACACGAAATGTTGGGGGAATTCATGGTACAACAGGTGTCTGGCATCCTCATGCTGAGCGTTGTAGTCAAAGAAAGCCAATAATTTCGTCCGCTTGGTTGCTATGATCCCTTCGAGTTGCTCGCGGGTGACGTTGTCTGGGAAACTGATGGGTTGTTCGTTTTCCAGATGCAGCGTGAGTTGTTCGACAGCGGGAAAGCCATAGTGTATGGGAAACTCCAATATTCGGCAGGCTGCATGCCACGGTCCAACATACCGCCCTTGCACATGAAGAGCTACCTCATCCACTCTGGAAGTGTCAGTGATCTCCAAGGTGGCTCGATCGGCGCCTTTGTAGATGTATTTGTGGATGTACTTGCATGCAAGTGCAGAGCCACACACTTCCACATTGAGGTGGCAGTTGTACGTGAGGAGCAGCCATGGGCAGTATGGCACGATCCACTGATTCGACAGCTTGTGAGAGACACCTCTCACTGTCTTCACAATGTAGCGGCCATCGTCCCGACGGCGGTAGTGCGGGTAGCCATCACCGAGTATTGCGGTGCTCTCAGAAAATGGTTTGGGGTACCCTTTGCTGCATGTCATTCTACCATGCTTGTCGCGCTGCATGCATGGAGCATGGGGGTTCAAATCACCGCACGGTCCATGAACCATGCACCGAGACACGATTTCCAGAAGTCTGTCATAATACGGCGACGATGGGTCGGGTATTTCTGCTGAGATGAACTCATCAATGGTGTATGGGTCATCAAATCGAATGTCCGGACCAAGAAACAGGAGTGTATGGCAATGCGGTAGACCCCGCTTCTGAAATTCTACCGTTTGGACCATACCTTGGTAGTTTTTCTTGCCAAAGATTTTGGTCAAATTGTTGACCAAACTCCTCCTCTTAGACTCAAAGACCCTAGCGCCCAACATGGGGTCGTCGTCCGAGGACACACCTGGATCAAGATTCCTAGCAATGTCTTCCCCATTCGCATCGAGAGTCATCGTAATGAATAACTTGGGAGGTCCAAGCGCCCGTACCAAGGCGATAGAGTCATGATACAATTTGCTCATGTGCCGGTCGCTTCCTGTGTGAGAAGCTGGTAAGATGATGCGACGACCGACCGTGGAAAGATCACGATCGCCTACAGTCAGAGCATCCCGGACTCCAGAGTACAGTTCTGCACGCAGCATGTGTTGTCGATTCGCAACCAGTTGGAGGCGATTGTCCTCAATCGAGCAGAACGCATCCACAACGAACCGCTGGCACAGCCTACCGTAGTGCGACAGAGGTGGAAGATCGTGACCTGCTGGAGTACGCTGTCGCGAGAAGAGGAACCATCGGTAGAATTCTTGTTGGGAGACGGTTTTTTTCCAATTGCCTCATGGGGTTTTCGACATCCCTTCGACGCAAATCGAAGTGCCAACCCGGCTCTCCGTATGGGAAGATCAAAGGAAAAGCCAGTGGCAGGTATGCGACATGACACGGGTCGACATGTCGTTTGCGGTCATTCAGTCCTCCATCTTCATTGCGTTCGTGAAGGATGATGCTTTTTTGATTGAGGCGGCCGCTGTCCGGGAGAATTGCTGCGACCTCATTGACGACTGGTAAATTGTACCGTCGACGATCCCTTCCTTCTTCCATGACCAGTCTCAAATCTGGTGTGGTGAGACTGAGACGAAGTTGTTCCGTTTCATGTTCACGAAGCCACTGCTCAACGACCTCATGCGCTGTTTGGTACGCGGCGATGAATGGGTTTTGACACTCTTGAAGCGTTTTACTCAACAGTGTCAACAAATCCTTACGCAGCTTACCGTTCTTATTTGTCTGAGAATAGTCAAAACGTGCCGCAGTTGCGCCTTCAGGGTCATATAGGTACAGCTGAGCGAAAGCAGCATTTTTTGCATTGGCTGGCTTGAAGAGCGCAGCATGCAGATGAGCCAATTGACCCTTCACAACGAATGGGATCGGGCCTCCTCCATCAGCTGGGAGTCGATCATCTTTCGTGTAAACCATAGATGTAAATGCCATTGCGTTGTTATACCCCGTAATGTTGTTCTTGAAGTGCTTCGAGATCGTATCTCCTCCGTGTAGCAGGCGTTCGAGTGGTGCCGGCGGTCCTTTGACTCGTCGTGGCTGCACCTGGCCGTAGTGGCAACAGCTTAGGTAGATGCCGGTACCATTGGATGTATCCTCCCACTCGAAGTGGAGGGCACCGCAATGAGTACATTGTCTGTCGCGCAACCCAATGGAGTGGACCTCCGGTACATAGTCTGCATCGATTCCCATGCGAGACACTGACCCTGCACATTCAAGAACGCTTGCCGGTACATGGGATGGCAAATTCGCTCTGACTCTTGCTGTTGCCCTGGCACGCTGTCTGTTACGTGTTAACCTCTGTGCAGCATGTTAGCAAGCAATTGACCAATGCACCATCTCCGTCTTACCTCTCGACACGTGTGGCATCGGGCGAACGGTCGACGACCTGTAACATCGACGAATTCCCTCTCAGGCTTTTCCAACTTGCATAACGTGCAAGTCTTAGACGCTGAGTTAGGTCGGGCAAGGACCTGTCGCTGAGCTTTTCAATGACGTTAGCATTTCTGTGATAGTGAATGCATAAAACTCTTACAGCTCTGCGCTCCTCCAATGCCACGTCGTGCAGCTCTGGCACGCTGCTGGTTTGTAGCAATTCTCTGGATGGTGTCAGCAATGTCGATACGATCAAGGCAGTAGCACTCGCTTACAGATTGGCACGTGCGACAATGGGCGAACGATTGGCGACCCGTGGCGCCCAGGAACTCGTCACTCGGCATCTGCTGTTGGCAGGCAGTGCATGTCTTGTCGGCGATGTCTATCCTGCTTTCGGGTTGGCGAGCTGCCAAGATATTAGCAAACCTTGCAGGACTACTCTCAAGGGCGCTTCATACCTCGAGTCCTAGAGCGCTGCTTGTTCCTGGCCGTTCGCTGAGCACTTGTGAGCAAAGACCTTCTACTCAAGAGTCTTGACTTACCGATCGGCATGCGCGACAGTTCTCGAGATGTTGACGTCCAGTCGCACTCAGAAATTCTTCAAGGGGTTTCTGCTGGCTACAATCTCCTCAAAACTACTGAACTACTCTGTTGATCTTCAAAGGCATCATTAGCATCAAAATACGAAAAAAAGAACGCTCAGAGGAAGGTCAATTTGCGGGAATTCATACCCATGGATGCTGCGGCGCAGGGTCTCACAGACAGACTATGGCCTTCAAAGCCGAAAAGAAAAGGGAGAGAAAGAGTCGGAGCCGCTAGCTGGGTTTTGAGGGTTTCAAAAGGCAAGACTCTCTCGACCAAGGGGGGAAAGCCCAGAGTGCTTGTATCGCAGCGGTCTCTTGGGCTTGTGGCAACTTGCGGTGCTCTATAGCACGGCGCCCGTAGGGTTAGGCAGCCGCCGCGTTTTCCATCGAGTTCCATCGAGTTCCACCAATGGGATTTTTTGTTCCTGTGCGCCTCGCTTAACACTTCCTAAAAGGTGTCAATGTCACTGTCACTGTCGCTTTTGAGGAAAATCCAATAAATAAATAATATATATAGATGCCCTCACTGCGGCCGTTGTACACGTTCAGCGTGTTTTTCAGTGCAGTCTCTTCCATGAGCTTGATGGCATCTGTCGTATGCGTGCCCATATGCGGTAGGAAAACCACTTGACAATCATTCGTGATGCCCTGCTCTTTGGCGAGCTGTAATAGCATCGGATGCACAGTTGGTTCATGCTCAAATACGTCCAGCCCAGCTCCAGCAAGATGGCCACTCCGAAGGACACCCACCAAGGCTTCTTCATGCACTACTGGACCTCGAGCAACATTGATGAGCCAGCTCCCTTTCTTCATCTTGCTCAGAGCTGAGCAATTGATGAGATGGCGTGTCTGTGCATTGAGCGGGACTGCGATAATGACAACGTCGCTCGAAGCGAGCAAGGCATCCATGGTCGGGATGTACTTTAGACGGCTCCCATTCACTTCCTTTCGATTGTGATATTGGACCTTGCAGCCAAATGGAGCAAGACGTTCACTAATAGCAGTCCCAACACTTCCAAGACCCAGAATACCGACAGTCAAGGCACAGAGGCTGCGACCAGGAGCTATTCCGTCGAGCCATCCATTACGCAAGAGTTTGTTGCTGCCCGCGCCAAACTTGCGGACACAGCCGAGGACAAGAAACACAGCGGCTTCTGCCGTTGCATCTCGTACAGCATCAGGCGTATGTGTCACGTAGATGCCGCGACGCGTACAAGCTTCTACGTCGATTTGATCATAGCCAGCGCCAACATTGCCAATGACCCTGACAGAGCGTGGCAGTGCGTCAATGATCTCTGCATCAAAGGGTCCAGTGATGACATGAAGGTGTCGGATGATACAGTCAACCTTGTCATATTCTCCGCATCTCAGTGCAGTGAGAAAGGCAGCTCGTGAAGTCTGTGCCATAAAGACGATATCAGCCTCTGCGAAAGCTTCATGAGCATAAGATATCGGTTTGATGCACAAGATTGTCATCTCTGTACGTCTGATAGCTATGATCGATTCAGCTGTAGCTTATATGTGTCAACAACTTGTTCAGCTGATTTGTTGTTGTTGGCGACGTGGTTTTGGCCAATGAGCCATTCACGCGAAATCCATCTGAAGGGCCAATCTTATCTTGCACTGCAGCAGCACTTGTGGCCTTGAGCTCTTGAACAGACGTCGCTGGGCTATGCTTGTGTGAATGTCACACCTTACGCCTATGGGGTGTACTCAATTCGTCCAGACGCAGAGGCTCGCGCATCATAGCGTTGACTTGAGCATGAGATCCTGATGCCTGCTGCTCTCAGACGTTTGATTTGACATGTCAACCGCTCAGCAAGTCCAGCGAGTCTTCCACATTCGATTCCTGACACGCTTCGTCATCGCGCAGGAGCGATTTGACAAATGAATTGACCAGTAATCCACGCTTATTGCACTTTCCGGCGCACTTTGCCTTTGTCTTTCGCCGACATGCATCGCAATTGGTCATTGGCCGTAGAGACATTCCTTTAGTGATCACTGCTTTCCCTGAACCTTTTGCATACTGTGTCGCATCTTGAGCTGCACGGTGAGCCATGTCAATCGTTAAAGCTCGCCACGTCTTGCTGGCCTTCTGCGCGGTCATCCCAAGCACTTCGCCCACAGACTTCCACGTCAATCCCATTTCACGCAAAACACAAATTGACAAGACCAAATCTGAGATTGGCTTGACAGACTTGATGACTTTCTTGGATGGCAACTTGGCAGGAGCTTTGATGACACGAATAGGGATAGCAGGACGATGAGCGGCTAGTATGATTCGTGTGCTTGCTCGTCTCGGCGCATTGTTCTCTCTACTCTTTTCTGGCGTCGCATAGTTCTTTGCGCCAACAATGAAACGGGAGGCGCCAGGTCCCAGTTCTCGAAGAAGGCCTCGAGGCCGCTTGACTGCCGGTTTGCCAGTATGTCCGTGAGTTTGCTTTCGAGCAGGCGTTTTAACCTTGACGGGCTGCTTGATAGTCTCTTCATGCTTTCGCTTGCGAGCAGGCGTCTTGATCTTGATTGATAAAGCTACTTCCTCTTCTGCTTGATCTGGCGATGCAGGTGAGGGTGGACCTGGCGGAGATGGTCGATCAGATTGATGCAAACTTGAGCTCAATGGCTCTGTTCCAGCTCGTTGCAGAGTAGGAGCCACGGCCGCTGTATTCAAGTCTCCTAGAATCTCCTGCGAGGCATTCACCTTTGTAGAAGACGATACCACAGTCTTTGCCTTCTTCACCGTCTTGGGTGTCGCAAAATTCATCATCTTTGATTTGCGCTTCCTCTCCGACCGCGATACCTCTGCCTGCCGCTCTTTGCGCGGAGTCTTGACATCTCTGATAGCCACAAGATGATCATTCACATCAACAGGCGCCAGGGGAGCTTTGAGCGATTTGCGGCGCGCAAAAGTGATGGGGTTGCTGTCGACAAAAGTGCGTCCTGCGCCTCGTTTACGTGCTGCTTGCCGTTCCTCACCTGATTGATCAGTCTTTGATCAGAAAGAGGACATACTTACGGGAAAGCTCTTTGAAGAGCGCCGGGGCCATGTTGAGCAGATGAACAGAACAATGATGGTTGGTTGACTGGTCGCCGTCGTCGCAAATCAAAACAAACAAAATTGGCCGCGTTCTGCTGCAACTTCTGCAGATGCGACACTTTCAGCTGTGTCATCTAAATGGGCTCTATAACAGTATTGCAAGGACGCCTGATCATGCTCAAAGATACTTTGGACCTATTGAAATCTCATTTTGATCAAAAGAAGATCAGAAAACCCTGAAAGGGAGAAATACATTGATGCGGCTTTGTTTTACATGTTTCGTTATTGCTATAGAGACAACAGCTATGATCGAATGAGCAAAATCATACTAGCATGGAAATGAGCCTTATATTCCGAGAATCCGCCCAGGGACTCTTCGTCTTCGAACAAACTTGCTTAGTCAGCATCAAATTGCCTATATCATATACAATGAGAGAAGTCGATCACCGTGCCCTCGTAGTTTAATGGTTATAATACGCCACTAGTAATGGTGAGGTTCTGTGTTCAATTCACAGCGAGGGCAAGTCTTTTTGGTTCTGCCCAGACCAACCGTGTGATGAACTCACCGGCGGGACTTTTACCATCCAGTGAATAGAACTTCGCACTTTTACCATCCAGCGAATAGAACCTCGCAGCAAGGAGGGAACGGTTGAGTCTTTGATCGATGCTACATGCCTGAATAGGTGCAAGTGTTCTAAGTCTGCGTCTTTGCCAGGCGGCATTGATATACTTGGCATTGTCGCACTGGCAAGCCGAAGATGTCATGCAGCGGTTGGAGCATTCTGGCAGTTTCCCTGACTTATCTCGAACAACGTCTCGACAATGGCAAGACCTGTGCACGCCGTCTCAGCGCGACGGAGCCACGCTGCAGTTGCAACTAGGCAAAGATGCTCTGCTCGACATGCCATTCTTGAAGTGGTCGCTTCCGTGACCTGGCTCCATGATAATAAACGAGCCATCTTTTGTTCCTTGCCATGGATAGGTCTGATGCTGCATTGAAGGATGCTTTGCTCCACCGCAACATTCAAATCACTAGGCTTTATGATTTGGACGCAATTTTCATACGGCCCAAGAGTCTTGCCGCTTACAAAATTGGCATGCACTTGAATTCGTCGTCCAATTGGAGTCGCACCATCGAGCAGTCTTGGCACTCCACATTCGAGCCGCACAAGGTTAAGCCTGTCAGACTTGGCCAAGGCCAAGCCCACGACCATTCAATGTGGTCTACCTACTTCTTTTTCCTAAATTTACCGACCCTTGTCGAGCGTGACGCCTGTTCGTCATGTACGCTGAGCAACGAGCAAGAACAATTGCTTTGGGCTAGGTGTGATACTCAAAGCCTTGCGGCATGTTGGTGACGATAATGATTTGGCTCACATGCCGCGCAATTTTGCAGAGGCCAAGACATTTACTGAAGCGCGTGTCACTGAGGCGCAGAGTGGGCGTAACTCATCGATGGGTCGATCAGAGACAAGCTTGTTTCTACTTCCCCACCTCCTCGCCCCATTCTGATTCCACATCAAGGTTTTGCTCAATCCGGCGGACACACCTCCAGAATGGCATGAAGCATTCTTGTGGACATCAACTGTCGAGACAAAGGCACTGTGCCGTGCTGATGATCCAGTCGAAGTATTGAACAAGTTTGACCGCGTCATCAATGATCGTTTTCATCCGCGTCATATTGATTTGAAACGCTCAATGGCTGATTGTGCATACGAAGATATGGCACGAAAAGCAGATGACACATGGTTGTGTTTGGTGCGGAAGACAGACTGCAACAAAGCTGCAGTGTCGAGCTTCGCATGTTCAATGCAGCATCAGACCTACCCATGGCAAGGAACAAAAGATGGCTCGTCTATTACCATGGAGTCAGGTTACGGAAGCGACCACTTCAAGAATGGCATGTCGAGCTTAGTATCTTTTGCCGAGTCGCAACTGCAACAGAACATGCTGCAGGGCTTTGAGTATTACGCCATCCACAAGGAATCTTTCTTGCTCGCTGTTCAACGTACATGACGTCGATCCGTCACGCTCGACAAGGGTCGGTAAGTTCGGGAAGAACAGATAGGTAGACCACATTGAATGGTCGTGGCCTTGGCCGAGTCTGACATGCTTGACCTTGTGCGGCTCGAATGTCGAGTGCCAAGACTGCTTGATGGTGCGACTCCAGTTTGACAATAAGTTCAAGTGCATGCCCTTCTTGTATGCGGCAAGACTCTTGAGCCGTATGAAAATCGCGTCCACATCATAACGCCTAGTGATTTGAATGTTGCGGTGGAGCAAAGCATCTTTCAATGCAGCATCAGACCTACTCATGGCAAGGAACAAAAGATGGCTCGTCTATTACCATGGGGCCAGGTCACGGAATTTATAAGTAGGATTATAGCACCATCGCACGTTTTGTGGCCGTCGATAATATCAACAGCATGCACGATCTGGTGACCGATGTTATAGTGTTGGTATGAGTCTTTCGCGTTCTGCACGAACTCTGGGTATACCATGTTGGATCTGGTACTGGACTCAAGTCACATGAAGTCAATGCACAGTTGGCAACTTAAAATACTAAGCAAGCATACAAGTGGAAGAGGATTCCTTTTACAACAGACGTATTGACATCAAGTGAGGTAGTGAGATCCTGCATACATAGTGAATAGAATACTTCTGAATGCTCCTCTCTCGGGTCCCTTTGAAGCAATCGCTTCACTTTATAGGTTGACTTGCATCCGGATAGCTTGCCTGAGTTGCGACAAATCTCCCAAACAGGTTCAAGTGGATCCATGACGCTTACCAGGGTACCAAAGGTTATCTCTCTCGACATAGCTTCATCAGAAAGTCAATGCCTTCTTGGCAAGCTCAATAGCACCATCGCGCGTTTTGTGGCCACCGATAAAACCAGCAGCATGCACAAAGACACCCCCTGGCAGACCCGTCAACTCGTCGAGCTTTTCATCCCGTACGCCACGCCAGGGTTCTGGCAATGCTTTGCGCGACTCGAACGAGTCCAACGATTGCGGCACTGCTTGAATGCGCCAACCTTTGCCATCGGAGTAGACGATATAGAGAACCTTACCAACAATCTGCAACTCCTGTTCGATGCTGAAGAGATGGTCCTTCCAGGGAAGAAATTCATCCAAAATGACAATCTCTGGTGTCTCTCGAGAAGAGATGGCGGCATAGACACCTGCTCGCGCTGGCAGCCATGCTTTGGCAAAGTAATCCACCCGATCCTCAAAATGGCTCCCTACCAGCGCAGATGCCTTTTGGAAGCGCTCGTCTAGAATGGCATCGCTGGAGGGCTCGTTCCAACGAGGATTGAGATGTGATACCATGCCTGGTAGTGATAGTGCGGGCTTGAACGACGCCTTGGTGGTGCCATACGGGGAGATACCATTATCGTTTGCGTCAATGCCTTCGATGAACTCATTGTAGACCTTGTTCCAAATCAAATCGAGCGTCTCTCCCTTCTCCGAGGTAAGCGTCTCGACAATCTCCTTGCCAAAATGCTTGTAGACAAGGCCGGCCGATGATAACTTCGTGGTATGCGCTGCATCAAAAGTTTCTGAAAACTCGCGCTGGTGGTGGTCAAAGTGTTTGACACCATCATACTTTCCAGTCACATCCACGATAATATCGCAAGCCTCAAGCGTTTCTGGATCTCTTGAGCGCGTGACAGTCGCATCTTTATACTTTGGGAGGGTCTTGAGCATGTACACTGCCAATGCCTCATCGCAGTGGAAGGTGCCAGAGTGTGTTCCAATTTCTTAGTATTAGCTCAGTCAATGAGTAAACGCAGGGCTCACTCAAGGCCATTTTGGATCGTGCAGAGGACAAGAAGCGCCGGCCAAGGAGCATACGGTACTCTTGGGAGAGTTCGCGACAATTGTGAAGCTTCGCTGCGTAGAAACCGTGCGACGAAATGTGGCACCTACACCAGCCATGAGCCAGCCAGGGACTGCCTGTACTTGATACGCTGTCTACATTACGTCTACAAGTGCTCAGATCAAGCTGTAATTTACAAAATGTTCCAGCCTGTACTTGCTATCGGCCGTCAATTCACGAAGCATATTCCCTCATTCATCTCAAAACCCATCATCTCCGTGCTGGGTTCAGAGCATTGCTACAAGACGATCGTCGAAGACCTTGACATCACAAATACTGAGTGCCTCAAGCTAGTCCTCTCCAAGGGACTTGGATTAGGTATTGTCGCCGGTGGATCAATTGTCAAAGTCCCGCAGATCCTAAAGCTCATCTCGTCTGGCTCAGGCGAAGGGGTCAGCGTATTGTCGTACTTGCTCGAGACGGCCGCTTTTGTCATCACGCTTGCGTACAACTTCAGGCAGGGCTTCCCATTCAGCACCTATGGCGAGACTTTGTTTATTGTTGTCCAAAACATCGCCATCTTGCTGCTCGTCTTGTCCTTCAAGAAGAAGTACTTGACTGCCATTGGCATCTTGCTTGGACTGGGTGGTGCGTATCAAGCTCTCGTGGGCGCTGATGCTCTGCCCTTCTCCAAGATTCAATTCCTGCAAAGTTTGACGATTCCTATTGCGCTTGGCAGCAAGTTGCCTCAAATCTACAGCATTCACAAGAACAAGTCGACCGGTCAACTCAGCGCTTTCGCAGTCTTCAACTACTTGCTCGGCAGTCTTGCCCGGATCTACACGACCGTAACAGAAGTCAATGATCCCCTCATCTTTTGGGGTTTCATGCTCAGCACTGTATTGAATGCTGTCTTGGTCGCACAAATGATCAAGTACTGGTCAGCACCCACCATGAAGAAGAAGACTGCCATCAAGAACAAGAAGAGGCAATGATGGCATACGATGCTCATTGCAACGCATTATTGAAGTCGTGGCCACGCTGCGCATGCTTACATGAGCTTCCTGTTATCCAAACGACAGGCGATCTCCGCAAATCGCAGTGATTCGCAAATACTGAGTGTCTAGGCTCTGTTATTGAGCCACGTAGCCTAGTGTATCTTATCTGGCATCATTTATTCCGATGACACATGGTAGTGATCAATTTGACACAGCAACTCAAAAGGCAGAGCATGACTGTGGAATCATTCAACCTGATCTTCGTATTTGGGCCTTGGGGGTCGTGTCGAAGGAAATGGCGGGGTGTCACGACCGAATTGGGATGTCGCCAGGCTGGTCAGACACAATTATGAGTCACGGGTGGCCTGGACAGATAACTCACCGACTGGTCTCTCGTGATGGCCAGAAGCGCACATCACTCAAGAGACGGGCGGCCATGCTGTATTGTAGTCATGCTCTCAAAAGACATCTCATCAACCCATGCTGGTGTCGAGATCTGCTGTACTGACGTCAAGACTATAGACGAGCTTCTCCGTGATCTTGGAAACCAACTCAATCTGACATGGAATACTCCGCACAAGCATTCATGGGAATCATAGCAGTATTGTTCAGCTGACATGTCATGTAAGAGGCAATGACAGCGGGGTCCTGACACGGAATGAACTCTATTCAGATTCTAGCGGGTATAACTTTTCGAGGTCTCGGTCATCTTGCAGCGGAAGGAGGAGGATGTCCCGCGATTCGTTTGTATTGAGCAATGAGGGTGCTGGCTCCGCTGGGCAGTTGCTAGAGAATCAGTAGAGATGCCCCCAAGGAAGTCAGTTTAGATGCGGAGCTTTCCGTCCATCTGAAGCAGGGCAACCCAGATCATTGGCCAGCGCGAAGTTTTGGCGACCACGCAGGCGAAGGCGGCGACCACCTGGCAAAGTGACTGGAGCCAATAGACGACACCCAAAGAAGCTACTCTGAGACAAGACCTCACACCGCTGAATTTCTCTCGTGACCCAGACTCTGACTGCTTGTCAGACTATATTCGTGCGCTCAATCTAAGCTGCTTTACGCTGGAGCTCTTCTATCTTCGCTTGTGTCTCACAACTTGTCTCATCTCCTCCAAGCCACCGCCAGGATGACCTTGTCAGCGCGAGCTCAACGACAAGTTCGCGTGGCAATTGTTCAAGTCTCTGGAGTCTGGACGTTGTAACACCCATTGCAGCTGACTTGCTCCGTCGTCATGGTCCTGGAGGCCACGCATGATCACAGTGTATGTAAGGAAGCTGTCAGCCCGACGCGACCAAGTCCATCTTCCTGCAAAGACTTTGATCTGTCGCCGTCATCAACGCTTCTCTATCACTATAGTGCGCATCACTGAGTGTGCACATTAACAGCAATGCGGGCATCTGTTCTGCACATCATACTATTTGCTCTCATTGAACATTACGATGCAAGACCTCTTCTGCAAGTTGGTGAGTTTCGCAAGGCCAAATTAACGTCTACTAACAATCTCAGGAAACGTCGTTGGAGTAGTGAACGAAAACACACTCGTGAACGCTGGTCCAATCGCCGTTGTACTCCCTACACTGGCTGTGTCAACTCTGCCTCTATCTCTGCCTTTGACCAGCGCACTTCCGACAGTGGCACTGCCGACAAGTATACTTCCAAGTGTCGCTGTCCCAAGCATTTCACTTGCACTGCCGACAAGTATACTTCCAAGTGTTGCTATTCCGAGCGTTTCACTCGCACTGCCTACAAGCATACTTCCAAGCGTCGCGGATCCAAGCGTATCACTCGCGCTGCCGACAAGTATACTTCCAAGCGTCGCTATTCCAAGCGTTTCACTTGCACTGCCTACAAGCATACTTCCAAGCGTCGCTGTCCCAAGCGTATCACTCGCGCTGCCAACAAGTATACTTCCAAGCGTCGCTATTCCAAGCGTTTCACTCGCACTACCGACAAGTATACTTCCAAGTGTCGCTATACCAAGCGTATCAGTGGCACTTCCATCAGCAGTCCTAACAGTATCCGTTGCATTGCCATCGGTTGTTGTCGAACTCCCAACATTATCAGTGGCACTTCCATCGGTTTCTGTTGCACTACCTAGTCTTGCAGTGCCTTCCATTGCAATCCCGTCAGTATCGGAGATTCTGCCCAGTGTTCCGGTTCCCTCAGTTGCACTCCCATCACCCTCTTTGGCTATTCCAACACTGCCATCTGTATCTGCTGCGCTGCCAACGGCCGCGCCTACAGCAGACCCTGGAGTGGTTGGTGGTCTGGTCAATGGTATTGTGACAGTCGTGCAGACCTTGGTGAACGATCTGTTAGGCCCGATTGATGTGGTGCCTACATTACCACCAGTCGTCCTTCCAACAATTTCACCTTCGTTGTCGCTACCAACGAACGTACTGCCATCTCTGGCACTGCCAACGAGCATTCTGCCGTCATTAGCGTTGCCTACGGACGGTTTGCCAAGTGTGTCTCTTCCAAGCTTGACCATTCCTTCTTTGGCACTGCCAACAGATGGGCTTCCAAGCTTGACGCTGCCAGATCTTCCAAGCTTGACCATTCCTTCTTTGGCACTGCCGACAGATGGCCTCCCAAGCTTGACGCTTCCAGATCTGCCAAGCGTGTCTCTCCCCTCACTGGAACTTCCCTCTGTGGATCTCCCAAGCTTGACCAGTCCTTCCTTGGCACTGCCAACAGATGGCCTTCCAAGCTTGACACTGCCTGATTTGCCAAGCGTTTCTCTTCCCTCGCTGGCACTTCCCTCGTTGGATCTCCCAAGCTTGACACTTCCTTCCCTGGCACTGCCAACAGATGGCCTTCCAAGTGTGACACTGCCTGATCTGCCAAGCGTGTCGCTTCCCTCGCTGGCACTTCCCTCGTTGGATCTCCCAAGCTTGACCATTCCTTCCTTGGCACTGCCAACTGATGGCCTTCCAAGCTTGACACTGCCTGATTTGCCAAGCGTGTCTCTTCCCTCGCTGGCACTTCCCTCGTTGGATCTCCCAAGCTTGACCATCCCTTCTTTGGCGTTGCCAACAGATGGCCTTCCAAGCTTGACCATTCCTTCTTTGGCACTGCCGACAGATGGCCTTCCAAGCTTGACACTGCCTGATTTGCCAAGCGTGTCTCTTCCCTCGCTGGCACTTCCCTCGTTGGATCTCCCAAGCTTGACCATTTCTTCTTTGGCACTGCCAACAGATGGCCTTCCGAGCTTGACCATTCCTTCTTTGGCTCTGCCGACAGATGGCCTTCCGAGCCTGACCATTCCTTCCTTGGCACTGCCAACTGATGGCCTTCCAAGCTTGACACTGCCTGATCTGCCAAGCGTGTCTCTTCCATCGCTGGCACTTCCCTCGTTGGATCTCCCAAGCTTGACCATTCCTTCTTTGGCACTGCCGACAGATGGCCTTCCAAGCTTGACACTGCCTGATTTGCCAAGCGTGTCTCTTCCCTCGCTGGCACTTCCCTCGTTGGATCTCCCAAGCTTGACCATTCCTTCCTTGGCACTGCCAACTGATGGCCTTCCAAGCTTGACACTGCCTGATTTGCCAAGCGTGTCTCTTCCCTCGCTGGCACTTCCCTCTTTGGATCTCCCAAGCTTGACCATCCCTTCTTTGGCGTTGCCAACAGATGGCCTTCCAAGCTTGACCATTCCTTCCTTGGCACTGCCAACTGATGGCCTTCCAAGCTTGACACTGCCTGATCTGCCAAGCGTGTCTCTTCCCTCGCTGGCACTTCCCTCGTTGGATCTCCCAAGCTTGACCATCCCTTCTTTGGCGTTGCCAACAGATGGCCTTCCAAGCTTGACCATTCCTTCTTTGGCACTGCCGACAGATGGCCTTCCAAGCTTGACACTGCCTGATTTGCCAAGCGTGTCTCTTCCCTCGCTGGCATTTCCCTCGTTGGACCTCCCAAGCTTGACCATTCCTTCCTTGGCACTGCCAACAGATGGCCTTCCGAGCTTGACCATTCCTTCTTTGGCACTGCCAACAGATGGCCTTCTGAGCCTGACCATTCCATCTTTGGCTCTGCCAACAGATGGCCTTCCGAGCCTGACCATTCCTTCCTTGGCACTGCCAACTGATGGCCTTCCAAGCTTGACACTGCCTGATCTGCCAAGCGTGTCTCTTCCCTCGTTGGCGCTTCCCTCTTTGGATCTCCCAAGCTTGACCATTCCTTCTTTGGCACTGCCGACAGATGGCCTTCCAAGCTTGACACTGCCTGATTTGCCAAGCGTGTCTCTTCCCTCGCTGGCACTTCCCTCGTTGGATCTCCCAAGCTTGATCATTCCTTCCTTGGCACTGCCAACTGATGGCCTTCCAAGCTTGACACTGCCTGATCTGCCAAGCGTGTCTCTTCCCTCGTTGGCGCTTCCCTCTTTGGATCTCCCAAGCTTGACCATTCCTTCCTTGGCACTGCCGACAGATGGCCTTCCAAGCTTGACACTGCCTGATTTGCCAAGCGTGTCTCTTCCCTCGCTGGCACTTCCCTCTTTGGATCTCCCAAGCTTGACCATCCCTTCTTTGGCGTTGCCAACAGATGGCCTTCCAAGCTTGACCATTCCTTCCTTGGCACTGCCAACTGATGGCCTTCCAAGCTTGACACTGCCTGATCTGCCAAGCGTGTCTCTTCCCTCGCTGGCACTTCCCTCGTTGGATCTCCCAAGCTTGACCATTCCTTCATTGGCACTGCCAACAGATGGCCTTCCGAGCTTGACCATTCCTTCTTTGGCACTGCCAACAGATGGTCTTCCAAGCTTGACACTGCCTGATCTGCCAAGCGTGTCGCTTCCCTCGCTGGCACTTCCCTCGTTGGACCTTCCAAGCTTGACCATTCCTTCTTTGGCACTGCCAACAGATGGCCTTCCAAGCTTGACACTGCCTGATCTGCCAAGCGTGTCTCTTCCCTCGCTGGCGCTTCCCTCTTTGGATCTTCCAAGCTTGACCATTCCTTCTTTGGCACTGCCAACAGATGGCCTTCCAAGCTTGACACTGCCTGATCTGCCAAGCGTGTCGCTTCCCTCGCTGGCACTTCCCTCGTTGGATCTCCCAAGCTTGACCACTCCTTCCTTGGCACTGCCAACAGATGGCCTTCCAAGCTTGACCATTCCTTCTCTGGCACTGCCGACAGATGGCCTTCCAAGCTTGACACTGCCTGATCTGCCAAGCGTGTCGCTTCCCTCGCTGGCACTTCCCTCGTTGGATCTCCCAAGCTTGACCATTCCTTCTTTGGCACTGCCGACAGATGGCCTTGCAAGCTTGACACTGCCTGATCTGCCAAGCGTGTCTCTTCCCTCGCTGGCGCTTCCCTCGTTGGATCTTCCAAGCTTGACCATTCCTTCTTTGGCAGTGCCGACAGATGGTCTTCCAAGCTTGACATTGCCTGCACTGCCAAGCGTTTCTCTTCCCTCGCTGGCACTTCCCTCGCTGGATCTCCCAAGCTTGACAATTCCTTCATTGGCACTGCCGACAGATGGTCTTCCGAGCTTGACCATTCCTTCTTTGGCACTGCCAACAGATGGCCTTCCAAGCTTGACGCTTCCAGATCTGCCAAGCGTGTCTCTTCCCTCGCTGGCACTTCCCTCGTTGGATCTCCCAAGCTTGACCATTCCTTCCCTGGCACTGCCAACAGATGGCCTTCCAAGCTTGACACTGCCTGATCTGCCAAGCGTGTCTCTTCCCTCGCTGGCACTTCCCTCGTTGGATCTCCCAAGCTTGACCATTCCTTCATTGGCACTGCCAACAGATGGCCTTCCAAGCTTGACCATTCCTTCATTGGCACTGCCAACAGATGGCCTTCCAAGCTTGACGCTTCCAGATCTCTCAAGCTTGACCATCCCTTCTTTGGCGTTGCCAACAGATGGCCTTCCAAGCTTGACCATTCCTTCTTTGGCACTGCCAACAGATGGCCTTCCGATCTTGACATTGCCTGCACTGCCAAACGGTTCTCTTCCCACGCTGGCACTTCCCTCGTTGGATCTTCCAAGCTTGACCGTTCCTTCTTTGGCACTGCCAACAGATGGCCTTCCAAGCTTGACACTGCCTGATCTGCCAAGCGTGTCTCTTCCCTCGCTGGCGCTTCCCTCGTTGGATCTTCCAAGCTTGACCATTCCTTCTTTGGCAGTGCCGACAGATGGTCTTCCAAGCTTGACACTGCCTGGCCTTCCAAGCTTGACCATTCCTTCTTTGGCACTGCCAACAGATGGCCTTCCGAGCTTGACCATTCCTACTTTGGCACTGCCAACAGATGGTCTTCCAAGCTTGACACTGCCTGATCTGCCAAGCGTGTCTCTTCCCTCGCTGGCGCTTCCCTCTTTGGATCTTCCAAGCTTGACCATTCCTTCTTTGACACTGCCAACAGATGGTCTTCCAAGCTTGACACTGCCTGATCTGCCAAGCGTGTCTCTTCCCTCGCTGGCACTTCCCTCGTTGGATCTCCCAAGCTTGACCATTCCTTCTTTGGCACTGCCAACATCTGGCCTTCCGAGCTTGACCATTCCTACTTTGGCACTGCCAACAGATGGCCTTCCGATCCTGACATTGCCTGCACTGCCAAGCGTTTCTCTTCCCTCGCTGGCACTTCCCTCGTTGGATCTCCCAAGCTTGACTATTCCTTCTTTGGCACTGCCAACAGATGGCCTTGCAAGCTTGACACTGCCTGATCTGCCAAGCGTGTCTCTTCCCTCGCTGGCACTTCCCTCTTTGGATCTTCCAAGCTTGACCGTTCCTTCCTTGGCGCTGCCAACAGATGGCCTTCCAAGCTTGACCATTCCTTCTTTGGCACTGCCAACAGATGGCCTTCCGAGCTTGACCATTCCTTCCTTGGCACTGCCAACAGATGGCCTTCCAAGCTTGACACTGCCTGATCTGCCAAGCGTGTCCCTTCCCTCGCTGGCACTTCCCTCGTTGGATCTCCCAAGCTTGACCGTTCCTTCCTTTACGCTGCCAACAGATGGCCTTCCAAGCTTGACCATTCCTTCCTTGGCACTGCCAACTGATGGCCTTCCAAGCTTGACCATTCCTTCCTTGGCACTGCCGACAGATGGTCTTCCAAGCTTGACACTGCCTGATCTGCCAAGCGTGTCTCTTCCCTCGCTGGCACTTCCTTCATCGGACCTCCCAGGCTTGACCCTTCCTTCGTTGACCCTTCCTACAGATATGCTTTCAACTGGTCTCCCAACGGGCTTATTGACATCTGGCTTGCTTCCGACTGCTCTCCCAACCGGCCTTCTCTCCACTGGGCTAGAACCTTCGTTGACTCTTTCGTCTCTCGCTTTGCCTACAGACCTTATGCCTTCCCTCAGCTTGCCATCGCTTGCTTTGTCATCTGACTTCCTGCCTTCAGGCCTGCCAGTCACGTTCCCCGTTGGACTGCCCTCGCTCACGCTGCCATCCCTGGGCCTGCCATCAGTCACTTTGTCATCTATTGGTGTGCCGTCACTGACGGTGCCATCTCTGGCATTGCCCTCCCTCTCGGCACCATCTCTTGGTCAACCGTCCCCCACGCTGCCATCTCTGAGCTTGTCCTCTCTTGCCACGCCGACCCTGTCTTTGCCTGGTGCAACATCGATCGTGAATCAGATCAGCTCTGGTATTGCTGGACTACCAAATACGCTGTCCACTGGACCCACAGCTAGCTCTGGTATCTCCAATGCGCCAGTCCCAACTATCGTTGCCTCCCTTTCGGTCTCATTGTCTGCGGGCATTCCTGCTCCAGTCGCATCTCTTCCGACCCCTCTTTCCGCTGGGCCAAGCTTCGTCACCTCAGTGCTTGCGCAGATCTCTAGTGCTGTGGCAGGCCTTCCAGCCACACCTTCGCTCCCAGCGTCTTTCGTGACGTCCATTGTCGCCGGTGGCCAGCTTGTCACCTTGACGAGGCCAGTCACACCCACAGGCTTACCGGTCATCCCGGTGATTGTTCCTGGGTCGACCAACCCCGGCACTGGTAATGGCATCGGCGGAGTTCCTGGAACTCCTGGCCGCGGTAATGGCAATGCTGGTGGCAATGGAAATGCAAATGCTGGTGGCAATGGGAATGGAAATGCTGGTGGCAATGGAAATGGAAATGCCGGCGGTAATGGCAATGCTCGTGGCAATGGCAACGGTAATGCTGGAGGTAATGCTGGCTCAAACGGCATTTCTCCTATCGCTCGGCCAGCTGGCTCGTCCGATAGTGGTGCTCCTTCTGTTGGTCTTCCCTCGTTGCCCACCAACAATAATGGCAACGCTGGCTCAGCTCCGTCTGGTAACAACGGCAACAATGGTATCAACGGTATTGCTGCTGGTGCACGGCCTGCTCCTGCTGCCAACTCTGGCCCCGTCTCAGCCTCTGGCGCTGGAGCTGGCAACACAGGCTCTTCCTCCACCTCGGGCGGCACAAATGGCTTGTCTCCATTCAGTGTTGCTGCCAATACAGGCTCTTCTGGTTCTGCCAACAGCCCTGGTGGAACATCAGGAACAAACCCTACCTCTCCTTTGGGTCCTGGCGCAGTGGTTGGCAATGTTGCAGGTGCTGCTGGTACTCTTGGTGGCAGCAACGCTGGCTCAGACAGTACTGCTGTCATCTCTGGCTCTGGCTCAGACAGTACTGCTGTCATCTCTGGCTCTGGCTCAGACAGTACTGCTGTCATCTCTGGCTCTGGCTCAGACAGTACTGCTGTCATCTCTGGCTCTGGCTCTGGCTCTGGCTCTGGCTCTGGCTCTGGCTCTGGCTCTGGCTCTGGCTCTGGCTCTGGCTCTGACCAAGGAGCCGGCACAGTCGTCAGCAATGCAGGTGGTGCTAATGGAGTCATTGTCAGCAATGGTGCAGCATCACTCAAGAAGGTCAGCGGTATGGTTGCTCTTCCCCTTGCAGCCGTTCTCTTCTTCATTTGATCATGTCGCTTCACTTCTACACAAATTCAACGATCGCGATCAATTTTTCAGCATTGTGCATGCTCCTTCTACGACCTGCACTATACATATTATGGCTTTATGCCCTGTTCTTGTTTATACTTTCTTGCGCACATGGTGCCAAGATGGCTCCGCGCCACCTGTTTATATCATGCATATGGAAGCAATTGAACATACATCTTGCGCTATCATGGTTGCTGTGCATCAGAAGTCTCTTGTGTCTCTAGCTTCTTTTGACTTTCCAAATAACTAGCCCATTCAACTGCGAGGTGCTCTTTGAGTGTCGGCATCGTCTTGAAGGTGTCGCCACATCGCCAACACACCAAGTCTGCCTTGAGCAAATCTTCAGCGTACTTTGGCGAATGCCGCGGATCATCTTGACCCAAAGGAAGAGCGTCTAGATTGACAAAAAAGTTGCTGCTATGTCAGCTTGCGTACAGAACAAGCATGAAGATCCATACCCAGCGAATGAGTTGTAATGTTTCTTGGTCTTAAGCCAGGTGGTGCTATAATCTCTGGTCATGATGTGAACATGGACATGCGACATACTTGGCACTGCATGAACACCAATTTTGAGATAATCCGCCCAGGGGAGCCCATTTGAGCGGGCTCCGTTGTGTAATCGAATCAGTTCCTTTTCAAACAGAGGTTTGAGTGACTCGATATATATGCGTGTCTTGTCGAGCAGGTCTGTACTCAATGCTTCAAATGGATGAAGATCAAGGATTGCCCTGTCTCTGGGGATGAGAAGGAGATGGAACATGGACTTGGGACTGAATGTTAACACAAAGACGATAGCTCGATGTAGCGACACACAACTTGTCCTTGATGACGACAAAGTCATCGTTGTAGGTGACGACAATAGCTCTTGGAAATGTTTCGGGTCTAGAGTCTCAGCAGAAGCAGAGAATGAGGGAGACTGACTTGAGCACATATTGCAGCAGCGCTCGAGGTCCAGCAATACTGTCAGATGGCTCTGCAGCTCTTGGTATGCGTTGGACGTCTTTTTCCTTGTGCTTCTTGGAAGCATGCATCATTTCTTGGACTATAAGTCAGTCCAGCAGCAATAAAAGCATTCTAGCTTACACGCATTGCGCTTCATTGTCTTTTGGGGGTCAGGGCAAGCGGTAGGTTATCGAGCAGGCGTCGACGTGCAAAAGTTCACAACCAAGAACTCGAATGAGACGCTTGCTCATCATACATATACAACATCGCATAGGTTCATATTATTCTTTTCGTCCCACTTCACATCTCATTCACCGTTTTCAAGAACCCAGCAAGACGATTCAGGTCCACCTCACTCGTCGGTCCATCACTCTGCACAGCCATCAACAATTTCCCCAACAACGCATCGACATCCTCCACCGAGACATTCGTACACAACGCAATCACACGCCTGCACTTTGCTTCCAGCTCCGATGACCTGCTCAGTGAATCACGACCGAGTGCGTCGAGCGCTGCGTTGTTTTGTTGGTAGGCCCGGACGTGTCGTTGCATGCGGAGTAAATCTTTCTCCTTGATAGCATCATACGCTTCATCAGGCATACACGCTTCTTGTACAGGAGCAACACCGTCAGCTTCATGTGTTTGATGAGGCGCGAAGTCAGGAGATTGTAACGCACGTCCGTAATTCGCAGTCCGTTGACGCATCTCCTCAAGCGATCCCTGTTGGCCCTTGACACCTTCCACCTGCTGCCTGAGGCTCGCGAGTGCTTGTTGGGTTTGTCGAAGGGTTGCTTGTGTATTCACCAGTAATGCATCCTTTGCATGCATTTCTTGCTCAAACTCCTCTTTCAAGCCAACTAGGAGTTGTGTCATTTCTTCAACAACCACATTGGATTGTCGAACAACCGTTTCTGGAATGAGTGGCGCTTTGTCGTCTTGTGAGGGAAGCAATGACATAGCGGAAGCATCACGCGTTGCTAAACCAACCGGCAATGCACCTGAATCAACAGGTCGCAGACCAGCATGATTGGGGACGTATGGATCAGCCTGAACATCCAACAACACCTGAACAATCATCTTGTTGCCCAATCGTGCAGCGATATTCAATGCCGTATCACCATTTCGATCTCGTGCATCGAGCAGTTGTCGTTGAAAACGTGGTAAATCAAGACCATGTCGCGCACAGATGCTAGCGCCATCTCGAACGATCCATTCAAGGAGGGTTTCCAAGTAATATAAGCTTGCTGCACTGCGACCTTTGATGCCGGAGGTGAGTGCGATATGATGCAGCAAGGTCCGTTTATGGCCATCACGCATGAAGATGCTGGGTGCAAGACAGTCGAGTAGACTTCTGAACGTTTCTTGGTCGAGGTTGTTAGTGACCATCACAGCTCGAAACAGTGCCGTTTCACTCGCTGCATTCCCACGGCGTGGATCTGCACCACGCGCTAAAAGTGCTTGCACGAGTGGTAATCGAGCGAGTGCGGAAGCCCAATGTAACGCTGTATGACCGAGTTCATCAATGGGTACATCGACTTCGATATCAAAGCCAATATCGAGAAGACTGTCTGGTGAGCGTGTTGGATCTGTTTCGAGGAATATTTGTGTGAGCATGTCACGCGAACGATCGAATTGCTCTGTTGTGTCTGGTGAGAGGGGTGGCAGGGGTGTCATGTCCTCTTCGCGCATTGGCTCACTTGCATCAATAAGCGGGATTTGTTTTGGTTCGGGGACATGAATCGTGGTTTCTGTACTTTGAATATCCTGGAGTGGTTCCTGGAGTGTTGGAAATGCACTCACGAGGGGTGAGCTGTGGAGGGGCGTCTTGAGCTTCTTGTCAATATGCAGGGATCCCTGCCGTGATTGGCCTGCTCTGCCATTGGGTGTTTGATAGGAACTCTGACCAGTGATGGTATGATGTTCGCGCTTGGTAGGCGTTGCTGTCAAGTTGGCACTCTGCATATCAAAGTCCAGGAGCGGTGAGAGTCGTGCTCGAACACCATACCGCTCACACAAGTCAAGTCCAATGGCATACGAGATCCACGTCCCTTGATACCGTCCATACCCACCCTGCACCTTCTCATGTGGACCCGTCAGGATCTCACGTTCGAGGATCTTTGTGCGTTTCGCTTTATCGATGCCAGCGACTTTAAGGATCTGAGTCGCGTTGAGGGCGGAATCAGAGACGCGGCGCATGACACTCACACCACGACAGACCATTTCGAGGAGGGCGACACCGGAATAGGTTGATTTGAAGACATCCGAGTTTGGTTTCTCAGCGGATGCTGCAGTTGCTGCATTACCCGTCATGCTCGATTGTACGGCTGCAGGTGCGCTAGTACGGGCTATTGAAGAAATGGGCAGTTCGCCGGGTGTTGCTTCCCTCGAGGAGCCTTGTGCGGGTGGAAGGAAGGTGCCTGGGAGGGGAGCTGTACCTGTTGCTTGTGCTTGTGATTGCTTTCTGGGAGTCGCAAAGGCCTGATGAGGATGTGCGGTTGTGGCCATCGACTCTCGTGGTCCTGGCCCTCTTCCTCCTGTGTTCTCTTCCCCCGTTGCAGCTGTAGGCCCCGTTGTAGCGAGTATCTCGTCCAAAGAGTATCTGGTCCGACTGGTTGTCGCTGTATTCACGTGAGAAAGAGAAAGAGACAGCGACAAGGACGAGACGACTGGACCACTGGACTACTTCTACTGGACACTAGACGAGCTATCAAGATGTCAGACACAAAGGCAGACCAGAGCATCTCAGGCGCCATCGCCAACGCAGCATCCACAGTCAGTGACGAGGCAAAGGCCCTCTTTGGCGGGGTCTCTGCTGCTGTCACAGGCGCGTCCACAACCACCACCAAGGACACTGCCTCTCCAGCCACTGCTACTGAGAGTAAGAAGGACGCAGAGGCTGCTCCTAAATCCATTGCTGAAGCTGCACCGGTAAGAATCGAGCCCAGGGGGAAAAATGGGCATGGACTAACAACCTAGACAAAGACGACAGACGACGCAGCAGACGAGGACAAGGCCGAGGAGGAAGAAGCAGATGTCCACTTCGAGCCTGTCATCAAACTCGATAAAGCAGTCGAGACCGCCACGAATGAAGAATCCGAAGAGGCAGTCTTCAAGATGCGAGCAAAGCTCTTCAGGTATGATAAAGAGGCCGGCGAGTGGAAGGAACGCGGGACGGGAGATGTCAAGTTCCTCAAGCACAAGGAATCGGGAAAGACACGTTTGGTGATGAGGCGGGACAAGACACTCAAGGTGTGTGCCAATCACTACATTATGCCAGATATGACACTCTCACCCAATGTGGGCAGTGATCGGTCGTGGGTGTATGCCACGTCCGCGGATGTGTCGGAGGGTACAGCGACTGCTGATACGCTGGCCATTCGTTTTGCCAATGCAGAGAATGCAGGACTCTTCAAGGATGCATTCGAGGTGGCTCAGAAGGGGAACAAAGAGGCCTTTGAGAAGAAGTGAACAGGTATACTCATGTCAGATAGCATGCGAAACGAAAAGAACGGTCATCTTCTCCAACTTATTGCTCTCTTGACACGACACAGTTTCTATTGTGGCGTCGCGGTCTTGGGTACATCCTTGGATGTTGCCATGAGACTCGCGGTACGCGGCGGGGGCGATCCATGTGCAAGGCTCGTTGCAGGTCGACCAGACCGTCCAAAAGCCCTGCCAATACTCGCACTGGGCGGCCGTGTAGGATCCAATGGGGAGACACTACGCATAGAAGACTGTGAGCGTGTTGATCGAATGGAAGGTGGGCTCTGTGTGTCCACCTGTTTCTTTTTTTGTACTCGAGGCGATGTACTTGTCAATGGCTTCTGTGTCGGCATAGACCCGCGTGCTGTCGCCTTCGGGGTCTTGCTCGAGGGCGTCTTGACCTTCTGCGGCGTCTTTTCAGTCGTCGACTTCTTCTTGCTTGAGCCAACATTCGACTTGCCAGGGGCATTGCCAGCTTGTGCCATCAATGGCTCCACTGCCATCTCTGTAAGCTTCTCAGCTGTCGTCGAAGCCTTCCTGTCAACTTCATTGCTTGACTTGGCAGGTCCTTTGTTAAGCCGTGCCTCCGATGGCTCCACGACCGTCTCTGTCACCTGCTGCAGCGTCTTCTCTGTACTCATGGAAGCCTTATAGTTATCCTCATCGCTCACGTTGACAGTCTGCTCGACTGCCGTTTCAGTTGCCGCCTCAACCGCAATCCCCTTGACCCCTTCAATGAGCCTCTCCACACCGTCAGTAGTAGTAGTACCAGCAGTAGTATCTTCCTTCTTCTTCATAACAGGCATCGACACTGTTCGAAGGATAGGACTCGGCGAACGCTCAAAGAAGTTCAGCGCAGCACGTCCCTTATCCACTGCAATGAAGGAAGACCTTACACGACCGAGTGGACGCGGCGAGGAGGTTTGTTGGACTGGTGATGGCAGAGATTCATGTTGTTGCTGCTTGTCTGGACTTGAGCAGGACTGTTCAAAGAGCGCTTTGAGTGATTGGACCTAGGACGGTGGATGAGCGTCGATGGAGCTAGTTGAGGAGAAGTGACTTACAGATGCCTGTGAGGACTCGTCTGGGAGAGGCATCTTGATGGCATTCAGAGAGACGTTTGTCAATGACCAGGAAGTCAAGTCAGTGACAGATGACTACTGCAAGAGAGCAAAGGCCAAGGGGCAGCGTGAGTGAGCGCGTCTTGGGTACGGGCGATGGGTCAGGAGCAGCAGGAGGGAGCAGGGGGCGGTGACATTGAGGATAGGGGAGACATGGGAGCATCAACATGACGGTATGAGGCTACTGGAGCCTACACGACGACAGAGCAGCAGGACATCGAAGCAGACACGCTCACGACATTCGGCAGGTGGTCCAGCATCAGGACGCGCGCGACCGCAACGACCAAACAATCCACTTCCACTTTGAGCTTCTCGACAGGAATGGTTGCTGTAACGCGGAGCCAGCTACAAGAGCTCGATCCACCTCAGCCCTTCTACAACACAGGCGATACCTCCTCTTTTGCCTACAAGTCTGCCCTCGAGCGCTGGCCCGTCATCATCACACAAATCATCGATGACGTCTATAAAACAGTCAATACGCTACAATCGCCGCAAAACAAGGATCAGATCAAGGAAGGCCAGCAGATCATTGAAGCCATTGCAAAGATCAAGTATGAGGAGACACATGATCGTGCACTCGATCCACTGACGGAAGATGGCGGTGCGGATATCGAGGATTATAATACAGAACTGGCACTGCTAGATCAGCCAACCTGGTTCAATGTGCCCTGGCTATACAGTGAGTGTTATCTCTACCGCAAGATTCGGATACTATTCACCACTTCAAATCACTGGCAACAGCATGACCCTTTCTTCCGTGCAAAGGACGAGACTTTTCGTTCTTCTGGTATTGCAGTGGAGGAACTTGCTGTGCGATATGCAAAGCTCGCCGATGATTTGCATGCCCATCCATACAAGAGCATGTCTAAAGAAGCACAAAAGCTCCTCTTTATGGAAATGAGCCAGATTGCACTGTGGGGCAATGCAACAGATTTGAGCTTACTCACCTCACTGAGCTATGATGATTTACAAAAGCTGCAAGGTGCTGAAGCCATTAAAGCAAGTCAGAAGAATGTTCTTGTCAATGATCTCGACCAAGTCTGGGCATTGCTGGGCACCCTGCAAGGCGGCAGAATTGATATTGTCCTGGATAATGCTGGATTTGAGTTGTTTGCCGATTTGATGCTGACCATGTACCTGCTGGACACAGGTATTGCAAAACAAGTTGTCCTACATCCAAAGGACTTTGCCTGGTTCGTATCGGATGTTACGCCACCGGATATCGATCACCTCTTTGCAAGTCTAGCAGATGCAGAATCCTACTTTCCAAATGCAAAGAACAAGCAAGTCCTGCAGACATTGACTCGTCGATGGACGCAAAATTACAAGGACGGCAAGATTCAAGTCCATCCTGATCCATTCTGGACAACGGCACATCCCTTCACGCGATTACCAAGTCTTGCTCCAGCACTCCTCGAGACATTGACGAAAGCTGACCTGGTCATCTTCAAGGGTGACTTGAATTATCGCAAGCTCGTGGGTGATGCGACTTGGCCTGCTACAACAGACTTCCAGACTGCCATTGGCCACTTTGCCAAGAGCAATGTTCGCATCTTGTCTTTGCGGACGTGTAAAGCAGATGTCTGTGTGGGTCTTGCAGAGGGATTAGAAGAACAATTGAATGAAAAGCATGGCAAACTTGCATGGCGGACGAATGGCAAATTCGCCGTGGTGTCATTTCATGATGGTAAACGGTAGACGTTGCATTATAGACCATTAGACAAGCCTACCGTGTATGCGAAGCGACTAGCCCATCACGCCCACCATGCGTGAAACCTTGAGAAGAATATTCACAAGCAACGCAGCCGTTGCAATCGGCACGAATATACTCGCCACTTCAAACGTTGAGTTCAATCCCATCTCACATAGCACGACCTTCTCCCGGTCCTCGAATGCACGCTGTCCTGCTTGTCCCTTGTAAAACTTGTCCAGCATGGCCTCCTTCTCTGCCCAGCGCTCAAACAACCACGCTTGAAAACCAGCATCATCTAGTGGGATATCGCTCACTGCGAATTTCCGCCAGTGCATATGAACGGCTTGCGGTGGTTTCCCTTCAAAGAACATGGAACGCAGTGTATACTCCTTTGCAGCGAAATCTGTCTCCCCGAGCGGTTCATAAGCAATAGTGCAATCATATACCCAGGGACACGTTTCACCGAGTTGTTGAAGGCAGAAGCGTAAACCTGTTGTTCGAGGGAGGAGGGTGCGTCTTAGTTCTGGTCCATCGACCTTCTTGGCGTATGCTTGAGCAATACCGCGTGTGTTGGGGGAATGATTGGTTCCTTCTGGATAGAGGAGTAGCCAGAGCGGCTCTTCACGCTCTCTAGACAGACGCTGTAGTGTGCGTTCGAGGTTCGGTCTATCCCTCTCCCATGATCTCGCCATGAAGATGAATCCAAAGAACTGCATACCCCACCCAACAACAGGGATCCACTTGAGGGATTCTTTGAGGATAATGTAAATGGCACCGTGCAAATTAGAGGTATACGCCGTCCACCACATAAACAGCCAATCTGCATATATTTGATGGTTCGAAATCATCACTGCACGCGGTGCAAACGACAACTTGACGCGATTTGCAATATCACCAGGTTGAATCTCCGCTGCTGTAGAGTGATCGCCAGAAACAACGACGCGCGTCGGTGCGAACCATTGGACAAGCGTCACGCAAACAAGTCCGAACGCTGCTTTTGTACGTTGAATCCAAGCATACCAGAGGTGTTTACTAAGAAACAAGAATGGCAAGCCAAGGAATTGTGTGGCATGGATGATGAGGCAGTTTGAGAGGAACCAGGCGATGAAGCCGAGGAGACGAAGAAGCTTGTAGGCGAACGATGGCGATGCAGCTTGTGCCATATCCGGACGCCTACCTTGTGTAGCCAGAGTAATGAAGCAAGGACTAAAGAAGCAGCGTAGGAGCTATCGTCGTGGTGTCTTGGTGAGCAGCTGAATTTGATCTTTCGCGCTGTGGTCACGGAAACTGAAGCATCCGGGGCAATGATCTAGAAGTACAGAGACTGATGAGCTCGGAAAGCGGAATGCCATAGACTAGTTGCTAGGCTTGAGTCCTGGCTATTTCTCTATACCGCCTGAGAATGTGACTGCGCTCATTACCGCTGTGCTGGCAGGCGCATCCCACGACTGTCTACAACGACACCACACGTCAGGGAGAGCATCTGCGTTCAAAGAGGCCTGACACGAGGGCCAGCGGTGCAGGATGCTCTATCGCAGTTGTAGAGCCAGACTCTTCCTAGCCTGGCTCACTCTGTCCTTACCAGTTGTACACGCCAATGAGGTGCGCATCAATGAGCGCGATTCGCAGCAATGCTCAGGCATGTTTTCGCGCGCTAGTGTCGGCGGTGATGTCAATCCCTTCATTGAGCTTGTCCTCAAGAAAGTCAACAACAGCGCGCCAGGCGATGTGTCCGTTGTGATTTACGAATACAAAGATGTCGATGAAATTGGTGTGCCCCTGGGACCCCATACAACGCAGCGGAAACTCATTTGTGATGAAGAGGCCATTAGCCATGACTGGTGCGTGTTGGAAGAAACGGGACAGTTCTTGATTGATACGGATGCGCGCAATAATACGCAGTTGAGTATCATGACGCTTGCCATTAATCTGACGCAACCGGTGCCGATGCGCTATGATATCAAGCGCACGTCTTACTACTGCGTGTCGACTTTGTCGCTCCAAAACTTGGCGTACGAAGGTATTGTGGAGTTTCGCAACTCATATGGTGAGTTGCCGGCGGCCGAGTACTTCAATCTCCCCTTCTACGGCGCACTCGCTATTGTCTACGTCGTGATTGGCTTCCTATGGGCCTTTCAGTATGTCCAACACAAGAAGGAGATTCTGCCTGTGCAAAACTACATTACTGCGCTCATCATCTTTTTGTCAATGGAGATGATTATCATTTGGGGCTACTACGATTTCGTCAACTTACGCGGCTACACCCTCGGCAGCCGCGTCTACATGGTGATTGTTGCGCTATTGACAGCCTTTCGAAATTCCTTCTCCTTCTTCATGATCCTGATTGTCAGTTTGGGCTACAGTGTTGTACGGCCGTCCCTCGGCCAAGCAATGGTGCGTGCTCGAATCCTGGCTGTCTTGCATTTTGCCTTTGGCGTGATTTACTCAGTCATGTCGATGGCGGTGAAGGCAGAAACAGCAAGCTTCTGGATCCTCCTCGTCATCTTGCCACTCTCTGCAACCATGACCACCTTCTACCTCTGGACACTGAGTGCACTACAAACCACCATCAAGGAACTCATGGCACGTCGACAGTCGCAAAAGGCACTCATGTACAAGCGCCTCTGGGGTATCATCATCTGGTCTGTGGCTGTGGTGGTTATTTTCATCATGCTCAATACCATCACCATTGCCAATCGCTCACCAGACTTTGTCCCCACACACTGGAAGAATCGATTTGTGCTGGATGGATGGCTGAATACCTTGTATTTAACAGTGTTTGGGACTATTGTCTTTCTATGGCGGCCGACGGCAGACAATCGCAGATTTGCCATGTCGGAGGAAGTCAGGCAAGAGGATTATGAGATGGATGTGGATGTACGATCAGATGACGGGGAGATGGATGAGGAGGAAGACAGACCACGACAGGGACTGGCTGTGGCCTCTTCTGGCTTGAGCAAATCTGCCAAGTTGGACAGGCGGCACACGGGCGGTGCTTCTTCAGGCACTGGTGAAGATGCCACGCTGTTTGCCGTGGGCGAGGATGGCTTTGAGGAGGTCTCTGATGCAGATGACCACGATGAAGACTCGAAGACGTGAACAGAGTCACGTGACCTCCACCTAGAATTTTCAGAATTTGCGAAGACTTCACAGACTTGGACCCGCAAGGCTCCTCCCTAGCTACTGACTTCCCCCTTCTCTCCTTTGTTTCTGTCTTTCGGAAACAACTGTAGAGTAGCGCATCCAGTAGAACAACCAATCAATCATGCCGCCTAAAAAGAACAAGGGCGTCAAGCTCTCCCTCGCAGAATTCAATGTCGACCAATGTATGCTCAAATAACCTATTGCTAGCTTTTGACTAACCTTGCGCTAGCCACCGGGACGAATTGGGCTGATGAGGAGATGGACATGCCTGTTGTCCCAGGCTTCGCTTCCGCCCAACCAGGATTCGCTAGCTCTGGCGGCGGTGGTGATCGATGGGGTTCAGGCCCAGGTGGCCCTCCAAGACGCGACTACGGTGCAGGTCGTTCAGGTGGTGGCGGTGATGATTTTGGCGCTGGTCCTGATCGTGGGTATGGAGGTGGCCGTCCCTCTGCTTTTGGTGGAGCAGGGGGCGGCGGCGACTTTGAATCTCGAGGGTATGCAGTACGTGACCCAATCCCCATGCCAGACCGACCTCCCTTCACCTCTCACATTGGTAATTTGACGTTCGATGTAACGGAAGGTGAAATCACCGACTTCTTCTCCAACCAAGGTGCAAAAGTCAAATCTGTTCGACTCGTACGGGACCGGGAAACCGATCGACCGCGTGGATTCGGGTATGTTGAGTATGAAGATCAAGAATCACTCAAACAAGCACTCAGTCTGTCTGGGGCTTCTCTTGCTGGTCGTGATGTGAGAGTCACCGTGGCAGATGCACCAAAAGGTGGTATGGCCGGTGAACGTGATTTGGATTGGGGAAGTGCACGAAGCAGGGGCCCTTTGCCATCAAGCGACAGAGACAGGCAGTCTTCTTATGGTGGTCGACCCGGTGGTGGTTACGAAGCTCGTGGTGGTGGCTATGAGGCTCGTGAACCAAGAGAGATGCGTGAGCCGAGAGAGCCAGAACGCGATCTGGACTGGAGCTCTGCAAGGAGCCGTGGCCCATTGCCACCAGCTGAGCGTGAAGAACGCTTCGGTGGTGCAGGTGGCAGGGAGCGACGTGGCTATGAACCGCGTGAACCTCGCGAAGGTGGTGAACGTCGTGAATTTTCTGAACAAAAGCGCGATTCGGGACCTGATTTGGATTGGTCTTCTACACGCAGGGGTCCAGTTGCTGGTGATGGAGGTGCTAGTGCACCTACTGAGCGTCGCAAGCTTTCTCTCGCACCTAGATCGGCATCGACTGCTGAAGGTGCTGCAACGCCTGCTACGGCTTCATCGCCTGTTGCTAGCACAAAAGCCTCGCCGTTCGGTGCTGCTCGTGCTGTTGACACGTCTGCTGCTGAGCGTAAAGCCGAAGAGAAGCGTCAGGCCATGCTTCAAGAGCGCGAGGCTGCACAGCTTGCAAGGCAAGAAGCTGCCAAGAAGGAGAAGGAGAAGAAGCCAGTGGATATCCTTCGTCGGACTGAAGCGTTGAGCTTGGCTGATGGCAAGAGCCCTGCATCGCCTGCATCTACTGCAGCCAAAGAGGCTGAGAATGTGGATGTCAAGGCAGAGGCAGAACTGGCTGCTATTGTCAAGAAAGAGGAAGCGGCTCCTGTCGCTGAGGATGGATGGACCGTCAACAAGAAGAAGTAGACTTAGCTTAGCATCTGGACCTCTACAGTGTACCTTGCGAATCTAGTAGTCCTGGACTCGATCTATGCCCTCAATCTCCTGCAATGTGAGCTGTCTGAGCGTGAGAAGTCAGAAATCAGGCACAAGCAAATCTCATCACGCAGCAGCACACTTGCTTTCCCTTTCCCTACTTTGAAAATTGCCGTTGCACTTGCCTGACAACGCTGCCAGATCTCCCAAGCAAGCCCTCCGTCTCCTCAAAGCTGGTCACTTCCTTCCCTTGTCGGGAAGATCCAGTGATCATCTTTTTTAGAGTTTTCAGATCTTGGCTTGGCGTATAGACGGCAGTTTTGTTGCTCTGAGAGGGCTCTTTCAATTGCGGCACTCGGAGCTGGTTACAGCGGCTACAGAGAAATTTCAAGTAGGGGGAAATCATTGTTCTATCTGAGGAGACGGATACCCATTCGCGGAGTGTCATGTCTTTGTATTGAAGGCATGCTGGGCCCTGCTGAGACATTTTTGTACCTTTATATTATAAGAGCATTAGAGTATTTGCAGGATAGTACGTTGCTCTCTGATCTCCAGCATCCTCTCAAGCAAGTGAGCGACCTGGTCAAGAGCGTGTCTGCATTGCATGTGAAATTCTCGTCGAAAAGAAAAACAAAAGAAACAAAATTGAAAGCACTCTCAAGACGTTACTCAACAAACCTCCCTGGTCGCATCGGGCTGCACAGCGGCCTGTGTCACCGCCCCTCGCAAGAGTCACCTAGACTCAATCCGCCTCCATTGACTCCCCTCACGAGCTTTCCAAGCTGCGACGATCGACCGGGTCCAGCGCTGCACACGACATTCTTTTACTTCAGTCGCGACAGGTTTCACATTCATTTACTCGTCCTCACAGCGCTGAAGCTCCATCCAGCACATCATGCTGCATGCTCCAAAACAATCTTCTCTGCCCGCCGACCTTAAACGCGTTTCGAGTGCACAATTCAAAGCATTCCAACAAGGTCTACCCTCTGTCATCACAAAACACGGCTTTTGGCGACGGCAAGTGCATATCCGTCGTATTGGCAGAATCAGACTATGGCTTCTCTCACTCATTGCAAGTTTGATCACCACTGTTGTGGTGATTTGTCTATTGCGGAAAGAACATACTTGGCAAGGTCATGAACGGCAAATGAATACCACCATGGACGCGCCCTTCCTACAAGGATGCGGTGATCCTATTGCAGCAGCAGCAAAGTATCCCCGGGAAGATGCAGCATTTGTGATTCTTGCTCGGAATTCAGAATTGGAGAATGTACTGCATTCCATGTCGTCCCTGGAAATCCATTTTAATCAGTGGTTCGAGTACCCTTATGTCTTTCTCAATAATGAGCCCTTCTCAGACGCATTCAAAGCTGGTGTACGACAAGCGACAAACGCGAAAATGTCGTTTGGACAGGTCAATGCGAGTATGTGGGGGTTTCCAGCATGGGCTGATCAAAGAAAGTACAAGGAGGCGATAGCGCAACAAGGGGATCGTGCGATTATGTATGGTGGTTTGGAGAGCTATCATCACATGTGTCGTTTCTTTTCGGGCTTCTTCTTCAATCACCCACTCGTTAAGGATTTGGAGTACTACTGGCGTGTTGAGCCGGATGTTACCTTCTTTTGCGATTTGACGTATGATCCCTTCCGCATGATGAAACAGCAAGGGAAAGTATATGGCTTCGTCATTGCCATCAAGGAACTGGTCGAGACGGTGCCGAATATGTTTCGGTATGCGAGTGCATGGAAGCGGAAACACAGCATCAAGGATACGAGTCTATGGCCATTCATGCTCAAGGAACGCCCTAAAAAGCCCTCGCCACCTACAGAGACACCAGCAACAAAGGAAAAGCCGGATCCCCTCTCTGGTGAGCAAAAGGAGATTTCACCCGATCGAATGGAAGGCGATGCCTACAACATGTGTCATTTCTGGTCCAACTTTGAGATTGCGCGTGTGGATTTCTTTCAAAGCGATGCATACACGTCCTTCTTCCAAGAAATGGACAAGTCTGGTGGATTTTGGCTTGAGCGATGGGGTGATGCACCGATTCATACACTGGGTGCTGCATTGTTGTTGGAGGCGGATCAGGTGCATTATTTCAGGGACATTGGGTATCAGCATACAGACATTATGCATTGTCCTGCGAATGCACCAAAGCAAGGAAAACGGCCGCCGACTGTACCCCTCGCCTTCAAAGAGCCTGAACCAGCTGCTACCAAGGCTCCTGCTGATAATGCAAAGAAGGAAGCGCTCAAGATTGAAAGGGAACAGCTTCCAGCGTCCTGGGATCGGCCCAAGAGTGGTGGCTCGGGGTGTCGGTGTACGTGCCCGCATGGATTCGAGGAGGTTGAGTGGAAGGATGGGACGTGTATGAATGAATGGGCTCAGATTATGGGCGGCTGGCTAGATTGATGTCTTTGTTTCTAGTCTATCCCATGCATAGACAGAGAGGCCAAGCAAGTGCATGCTCATGGCTCCCATCTCGTCGTATCTTCCCGCAAAAGTGTGGAGCCAGCAGAGATAAGCAGCACCAGCACCAGCACCAGCACCAAGAGACTCCCTAGTGTCGCAGTGCTACAGGATACATGTCTGCATCCCTCCCAGCGAATGTGCGCGTCTCAAAACATCCAGTCATCCATGCAAAACTGAGCCAATTGCGCTCTCGCACGCTCGATACGCGTCTCGCGCGCTTACTCGCCGATGAGATTGCCTCCCTACTCGCATATGAAGCAACGGCAACGTCATTAACGACACAGATTGCAGGACAGGGTGAAACGCCCATTGGCGCTGCGTATGATGTGCTCGCCTTGACACCCGGCAGGTTGTGTCTGGTGCCTATCCTACGATCTGGCTTGGCGATGACGGATCCCTTTTTACGGGTCCTGCCGACGTTGACAGAAGTGCATCATCTCGGCTTATTCAGGGAGGAACATACACAGAATGCGATTGAGTATTATAATAAAGTACCAAAGCAAGATGCCGTCAAGGGCCCGATTGAACAGGCGTTTTTGGTGGATCCGATTGTCGCTACGGGGAATACGGCGTGTGCTGCGATTCAGATCTTGAAGGAGTGGGGGATCAAGAAGATTGTACTGACGTGCATGCTTGCCTCTGAGGCTGGGTAAGTCTCCGTTCCCTTTGCTTGAGGGCTGATACTAACTGATATGTAGATTGAGGAGGGCCGCAGCAGAGTGGCCTGAGGGAGTCGAGATTGTGGTGGGTGCGGTGGATGCAGGCTTGACGGATAAGCTGTACATTACGCCTGGCCTGGGTGACATTGGCGATCGTCTCTTCCAGACCAAGTAGTCAGTTGCTGTCTGCTCTAGTCTAGTCTACTCTACTCTTCTACTCTACTAATCTACTCAGTCTACTCTAGTAGTTAGTAGTCAGTCGTCTGTCTGTTCCTGCTTCCCATCTGAGGCTGCCGCCGACTCAACGCGACTCACAAGACGACACAAAGGCGACACTCCTCTGTGCCTCTACCCAGCTCCTGTCCTCAACGGGAGCATACTTTTCAGAGTCGCAGACAGCTACACTACCGCTTCTCGTGACTAGTGCAGAGATCCAGCGTCTACAACAGACAGCGCATCCACCAACATCCAGAACCAAGATAGTCTGCCCCACACCATGACTTCATCGCTTCAGACAGCCTCGAAGGATCCTGCAAAGGCAGTAGACACAAGTATGCTAGATGAGTATGAGCTGGTCCAAACTGCGCATGGCGTAGCAACTACATACGCTTCCAGCAGCTGTGACGAGACACACGAAGATGACCTGTCTTCCCTGACTGAGCACACGACCGACGATGAGGAGGATCGCCACTCAAACAACGACTCGACCACTTCTCAAAAGACAAGTGGATATCACCCCCAGCGCACAACAGACGCAAGCTCCAGTGATGAACATCCTGCTGGTGAAAGTGGCGATGATTGGGAGGACGAGATGGAATCTCGACAAGCTGAAAGTAACGTCACATTACAGATGCCAGCAGTGCATGGGTCTCGAGAACTCCCACGACAGGAGGAGCCATTGCGTCCTGTTCAAGAGCAGGTTAATTTCTTTGATCACCCTGTGAAAGGCCCCATGGCGGCTATTGTGTCGTGGCTTGCCTTCTTTGCTTTCCTATATGCAGTGGGCGTCTTTGACGGAGAGCGAGACAAGTCGACTGCTACGGAGTATGCAAAACTCCCGCTCACCTTTGGCAACATGTCAAAGACCTTGACGTCTCTTGAATTCCATCAACTTTCTGGCATCAACACGCTCATCGTCCTACCATTATACCTACGCGTTCAGCATAACCAGAAGATGCCATCCATCATGGCCATTATCAAGCGCGAAGGGTCCAATGAATTCATACAAAGCAAGTTGTCGCTCGTTTTGGATAATCTCTACTCCCTCGACTGGTCACCCGCCGAGACATGGGGTACGCTGGTCGTCCAAGCGCGTTACAAGCTACCGGGTACGTATGCAGGATGGCAAGAAGACGCCTACTCTATCCATTATGAAAGGTTAGCTCCCCCTGCGCTACGACCAACAGACTTTGAAGATATGCTGTACAAACGTTATCGTCACATGGATGAATTGAAGGGGCAAGTCTTGGTCAAGCTGGACCGTCTCCTCAAAACTCTGGACAGCAGGTGGCCTGCTCGTCTCTATGACGATGATGTATCGATGAAGCGGGATGCAAAGCAGCCTGATAAGGAGTCCAAGACGAAGATGATGGGGTTTCTCAATAAGTTGATGAAGCAAGAGACCGCAGTACATGACCCTCAAGCACAAGCAAAACCACACTCTGCAATCTCGTCGTCAAGCACTCCCAAGAACCAAGTCGATGCTACAGACCAATCCGCAGTGGCTTTAAATGTTGCCAAAGCAGCAGCTGGAACCGAATCACCAACAGCCCCAAAAGCAATACTTGAAGCTGTTGAACATCTACTTAAGGGCCTCGAAAAGGCAAAACTTGCTACGAGAAGGGAAACGCAAGACAAGGCTAAACAGAGTGCAAAACAAGCTCTGCATGCAATCTCCAATGTCGCAAGGACATCCATTGTCAAGACAAAACAAGGGGTCGATGGATTGATGGGAACAATGGCGATTGTCAAGGAAAAGTCAAAGCATGGTCTTGAGCGCTACAACAAGCTTGTCAAGGGCGAGAAGGCAACCATGGCACGGGAAAGACTCAAGCGTGGAACGAAACGCGCACAGTCGGCTGCCAAAATTGCGTCAGCCAAAGTAACGCAAGCTGGTAAGGATGGGTATGTGTCGCTCAAGCATCGAGTCTTGGCACAGTGGCATGAACGACGCAATCAGAAGATGAAACAAGTGATGGCGGCTGAGATGCCAAACAATGATTGACGATGAGTCCAGCGATAGCGATAGCGTATGTGTATGTCAGTGAGCAGTGTTCAGTCTTTACTTGCCTCGTGCTGTCAACACTTGATGAGTCAATTTCAGGGGTCAGTCGTGGTCATTCGGGCCTTCAAGATGCAGCATCACTGATTCTTGAACTTACCGAGGACCTCCTCGAGCACTTTTGAGACATATATGAGAAAGCCCCGGCTTTGTGGTTGACACCATACATGTTATGCTCACGCGACCGAACATGCAGCCCGATATGCTCTGAAGGCCCTTGGACCCAGTAGCGATATGAAGTATCGTCACTTGTCACAGTGTTGCAGCAGAGTTGTCTGACTCCAGGCTATAAGTTCATGCTGCCTTGGCCACTCAGATGGGTAATGGGAACAGCGACCTCCCCGAAATGTATTTTGACCGATCTTTTGGCCCGAATTGCCACAACAATGTCGATATGGAAGCGAAACTCAAAGCAAACGATGCGAATCCATTTCTATCCTCTCAGAGAATGCTTATCCGCGATGCTTTCACAACTTGAGGTTGGCGACCAAGAGCCCGGATCTCCGTTCCAATCCAGTCTTTGAGAGAGCTACAGCCAGTGTCTAGCCTCGAGAAGTCTGGGACTGTTGTGTACTGAGCTCTGCGAATTTGACAGTGCATTATAGCCCTGATTTTGACACCAGAGCAGTCTTGGGATGAGCTGCACATCTGGCTTCGAGCTTTTAGCAAACAACGTAGTCAAAGCCTTGCCTTCCATAGGGTGAAGAGGGCAAAATTCGACAAGATCAAGCTTTATCTTGCCAAACTCCCTTAGCATTACCATTCTCATCCATGGCTTCCGTCACAGTTGGCGTATTGATAGCCTTCCCCAAGCGCTGCAAGACGGATGGATGCAATCCAAAACGATCCATCAACTCTGCATCTTGCGCGCCCTGCTTCCTCGCATCCAATAAGCGCGTCACTTCAGACATTTCTAGCCATTGTCGAGCAGGTTGACCGAGACTCTCCTCCAATTGTTCCGTATGCGCCTTGACGTCTTCTGCGAGTTGTTTGCGCGCTGTAAACAAATTACCGCTCGGATTCGCGGGTGCTGTTCGGATTGCTTTGGATGGCGTTGAAGCGGTTGCTTGGCTTGATGCAGGAGATGGTTTTGTAGAGTGTTGCGACAAGTCACCGCCGTAGCCGGCGCGTTTAAGCATATCAAGGAATTGAACATCCTTGCCATCCGACCCTTCTGGTCGTCTCTCACTCGCTTGTGCATGTATACCCGCTTGTTGACGGACGGTCGACGGTCCACCTAGTCCATCTTCCGGCGTGACTTGCTGATGGGTTTCCTGCTGCTTACGGCGTTGTTGGTCGCGTAAGACGGAAGCAGGGAGGGTGTACTCGCCTGGATCTGTGATTGGCTTGTAGAGCGTATTGAGCTTTGGCTTTGGCGTGTACCGCCGCGTGACTTTGGAGGAGCTTGAGCCCATGTGTGCAGCTTGTCTGGTAAGTCGTCTGGTAGGTCGTTGTATGGTAGTCGATGTCATGAAGTGTTGAACCTTGACCAAAGCATCTCTACCAATCTATAGACCATTCTAGAACCCCTTGCCGTACTTGCCCGTCTCATAAAAGACCTCGAGCTGCTTGACAATCTTCTGCAACGCTGCCGTATTGGCCTCGAGCTGGCTGGTGACTTTTGCCTGGTCTGCACCGAGTTTGGCGTAAAAGTCCTTGCGATAGGGACAGGCCTTCATGGCGAGCTAGCAAGATTAGTCTCTGGTACATCGTAGTAAGAGCCAGCATACAGTGAAGAGTGGTTTCACGACGAATGAGTGGTGCTTCTTGAGGGTATCGCCATATGCCTGGGTGAAGGACACGGCCAGTTCCTCAGACGGATTGTCCAGGGACCTGCGTAGTGCCAGTGCCGTGAATGCCAGTCCTCTACACATTAGACATCTCGTACTGTATGCGCCGTCTTCTTACCGTAGGAGCCACAAGAGACCCTCTGTCGCCGTCCGCTTCTTCTCGGTGACTTCGCCCTTGACGAGCTGTTCCAGGGAAGCACACTGCGCAGGATGCGACTGCTGACGTGCTTTGATCTTATTGATGTTGCCCGTCATGTCATTCTGGACAATGGCAAAGGCAGAGGAGCCCAGCAAGTCAAAGAGCTTGACCAGCGCTGTTGCTGCTTCAAGGAACTCGGTCGTGCTGACGCCTTGCTCTGTGATGGGGACTCTGGATGCTGTCAGCCATGTCAAGGGAGATGGATGCTTACTCTGGCCACTGCCTCTTCTGCTGATCGAACCAGGTGCTCATTGCTCTTACTTGGTCCAGGTCGCTGATAGTTCTTGTTGCTGGTTGCACAAACACAAACAAGCGACGACGACTGCTACTACTACTACTACTGCTACTACTGCTACTGCTGATACTGCTGCTATTGCTTGTACTGCTACTGCTACTCCTACTCCTACGACGGCTCATGGCGCGCACAGGCCGCTGACAAGACACACACGCCTAAAGATGTCCTCACAAAGCGCACTTAGCGCAGACATGGCTCCTGCCAACATGGAGCAAGGCACCTGCTACACCGCCTTCAAGCTAGCCCATGCAAGTCCAGCCCACCTACACAGCACCACCACCGTGCGCTTCGTAGGGCCCATCCCTACAGGCTGGATGTCGGCGCATAGGAAGCATTACCTGCGTCCGCGCACCCATTATCATTCTTGCGCATCGTCATTTCAAGCAGCAGTCGCGGCCAACGACGGCGAGGCGACGCGGCAGTGTCAAGGGGCTATGAAGCGCCCAGAGTCATGGCAAGCTGCAAGAGCGCTGTGTCCATTGGATGAAGTAGTGGAAGATCAGAACGAGGAGGACACATATGACCCGTCTGTGCAGCACGAGACATCAACAGCTACAATGGATGTGGCCACGATCGGGTCTACAAGCACAAAACGACCATCTACAAGTCCAACAGCGGCGTCCACTCCAACATTGACACGACCATCATCCTCTACGCCTATAAAGACGCTACGACCTGTCAAGTCTGCCATGTCTATTCCATTGCGCAACCCATTCGAGCCAGAACAAGCCTCGAGACCGTCTCTCAACATCACCTCTCCTGCTCACATGGGTCCCATGCGGGAAGAATCCACTGCTTCTACTGCATCTTTTGCCACTGCACCCGAGACCTTTGAAGAGCAAGCTGCTCTGTTTGATGACCTCGACGAGGAAGGCTCTGACAATTCGTCTGTTTCTGATGCATCCACCGTACGAGGCGTACCCAAAACACACGAGACACCGCCTTCGACTCCATCTCCGCTGCAAAGACATGAAGAAACGCAACAAAGCAATTATGCCATCTCGGACGGTTCACAAGGATCACAACCCATCACAAACAGCTCAGATATGGATTCAGGCGCTTCCCTTATGCACCACAACGCTCAACAGACAATGCCACTCGCAACACCAAAATCAGCAATGAAACACAGTAGCGACAGCAATCGGCCGCAACCTCTCCGTCGGCAGAATTCTCACCTGGTACACTTTTCATCAAATCAAATCGTACCCGAACGGTCGTCATACGATATCACCGCTGCGCATCCCTCACGACGTATTTGTTCAGAGGGACGTGAGCTGGCTGCTGCGACACAGAAAGCACGCTCAAGTCATGAACAGGGTTTTTTGAATCAGAAATATCTCAAGAACCCATTTCGCAGGAATCGGCATGAAGGTGAGTTATTGCGAGCTGAGCGAATGTTGTTACGCATTGAGTATGCCAAGGCAAATACTGTTCCAAGCAGCTACAGTGATGTACATGCCGGTAAGCTGGAGAGACGAACGAGTATGCATTGGCGTGAATTTGTGCTTGCTGCGCGACCGAATGCAGAAGGTCATGTTGTCCTCTACTTTCATCGCAACAGGACAATTCCTGCGATTGCAAAGAATATCACCAATATCAAAGCAACCAAGGAGATTGTCCTCGATCCGAAATACACGAGCGCCAATTTATACTCGACACTCGATAAGACGATTGTCATCTGGACAACTGACCCCAAGAAGAAGCGCGATTGGATATTCATCTTACGACCACGTACATTGCAAACCAGTGTTGAATGGTATGCTTTCATACAAACGCTCTTGGGTGTGAAGCGTCGATCGTATGCACTCATGACTGTGCCGACCCTTGGTGTCAAATTAAAGCTTGAATTGCCGAGTTCAGCAGGAAAATCCACAGACGACGCACATTCACTTGCAAGCGATGATGGCAGTGAGGCAGACTTACAAATGAATGATGAAGGTGCCGTTGTGGATGGTGAGGGGAAACCCATCACTGGCAACTACCTCATCGACAAGTGTTTGACCATGCTTGCCACAGAACCTTGTTGGCAGCCTGTGGTTCAAGAATGGCGCCGTTCAAACCTCGTCGGGTTGTGTTGGCGTCGGTATGATCGCATCGAGTGGCTTCATGGACCTGGAGCACAGCGGTCTATCGGACAATGGGCTATGGCTGAAACGCATGAATTGGAATTACGTCCAAAGGAACATTATCCAACAAGTGTCACTGCTACGAGAAAATTACCAGCCATGGACGAGCCTGCTCCGATCGAGGGATTCCTTGTTCGGTTGACGAGCAGTACTGGCAGACAATCACGATTCGGCAAAGTCTTTTACAAACGCCTGTACTTCTCAACGCATGATGGACTCTTGTTTTATGCATTCCCAATGAATGCTACACCGCCGCCTCCACCAAGTTTCGTGCCAGGTGTATCGGAAGCTGAGGCAGAGGAACTCGTCAAGGCTAGTCCTTTGGTGTACACAGTCGAGCCTTATCCACTGGAAGACGGCAAGATTACGTGGACGCGGCATTGCGATCGAGAAGTATTTGCAAAGCAAGACAAGATGGCCATGACTGAAGCAGCGCGACGTGTTAAGCAATTACATGCATCCACTGGCTACCTCGATCTCACCAAAGTCGTCAAGATTCGTTCGTACAAGCAAACCAAGCAAGATGTCGACCATGATCTGGACCATGGCGATGGCGTCGACTTTGATGGTGAGGAGGACGAGACAATGGATACAGGTGTGACCGACGAAGTTGACGATGCGCGCATCTTTGAGATTGTACTCGACTCTGGCCTTGTTGTACGATTACAGGCGTTCAACTTGGAAACGCGCAACGCCTGGATCCGACAACTTCGACAATTGGTGGTTTACTGGAAACGACGCCTTGCCGAGGACGAAAGTGCCCTTGCTGCAATGCGTCGTGAGAATATGGAAACCTTGCGTATCGATGAACAACTCGAACCGCTTGTGGATATGGTTTGCAATCGATGGGAAGTGGCACACTGCGTCTCTGAACCCAAGCGATACAATTTCTGCTCCATCACTTCCTGCCGTACGATTGCGATCCAAGGATTACTCTACCGCAAACCTCGTGTCCATTCTACATTCAAGCGCTACAATTGCGTCGTCTCTCATGGCAAGCTGTTTGTGTACAATCACTTTCACTACAAGGCATCTGGCGACATTGAGCATCACATTCACAACAGCAAGCGACAGGAGATCGATTTGAGCGACTGCTACATCTTTTCGGGAATGATTACACAAGGCGACTTGCTTGACTCACGGGAAGATTTCGATCGACTTGGACCTGGTCGTCACTCGCTACCAAGATTGTATGCAGATGGTTGGACCTCTCAGGATGATCAGGAAGCCTTGTGCTTTGTTTTGTGGAGTGGTCGACGTCGAGTGGCCCTATCGCAGCTCGACAAGAAGGACTCGGGTCGCAAGAAATCAGTGTCACGGCTCGGTGTTGCAGGTCACAGCATGGTGTACTTGTGTCGCTGTCGCCAGGAGCGAGACTTGTGGGTGCAGATTATCTCGAGGGAGATTGAACGCACAACGCAGGAGAGTCTGTCGTCGATGTGAGCTGTTTGTGACTGGTGTATTTGTAGCTAGTAGCAAGGATTCGCCATGACGTCGTGACTTCACCTCTACCGTCAGACGTGTTCCATGTTCAGAGGACTTGCACGGCTCAGACAGATTCAACAGACGTTTGCTAAACCAAGTACTTCCTACAGCACATCTGTACAAGCGAAAAAGATGATGGACAACATCAGAACAGCGGGTATTGTGATTATTGGTGATGAAGTCTTGTCCAGCAAGACAGTCGATACCAACAGCGCCTTCTTTGCCAAGTACTGTTTCGAGCTTGGTGTTGAGCTCAAGCGGATTGAGATCATTGCAGATGATGAAGCCGAGATTGTCGAAGCAGTGACGCGCATGTCGAGCAAGTACGATTTTGTCGTGACGTCCGGTGGTATAGGGCCGACACACGACGATATCACCTACCCTTCCATTGCAAAGGCCTTTGGCAATGACCTTGTATATCATGATACAACGCTAGAACGGATGAAGAAGCTCAGCACTCGGGCCATTAATTGGGATCAGCCAAGTGATCACCCAGAAGTCATCGCACGCAAACGCATGGCACTCTTCCCGACACCCAGCGAGGTTGTCTTTCCCAGTGAAAAACTCTGGGTCCCCATCGTCATTGCTGGCGGCAATGTCCATATCCTGCCTGGCATCCCAAGACTATTTACAGGACTCTTGAGCGAGTACCGCTCGCATATTGTCGACAAGATTGACCCAGCAATGAAGCAGACACGTATCCTGGTCGCAACACAAATGCCAGAGTCGGCCATCTCTCAGTTCTTGGGAGACCTACAGAAGCGTGTCGACGACAAAGGAGTCAAGATCGGCAGCTACCCCAAGGGCATTGGCATGGGCGTGATGGTCTCCCTTTTGGGCCGTGATGTACCGTTCCTTGAGTCTCTCGTGCCAGAGGTTGAGAAAGAGCTCGATGGCAAGCGCGTTGACAATGCAGACGCTGCAGAGCAAGAGACAACGCGCGTCAAGGATGAAAAGGCCCGTCTGCAGGGCCCCAACAATATGAAGCTCGATCTTCCCATTGTCAGTGACAATATGAAGCCAGTCCCTGCACCCATAAACTTTCCAGCATGGCTCAAGGAGAATGGTCACCTTCTGCAGCCTCCAGTCAACAACTACTGCCTCTATAACGAGAAGGACTTTGTCGTCATGGTGGTCGGCGGTCCAAATGCGCGGAACGATTATCACGTCAATACAACCGAAGAATGGTTCTACCAATACAAGGGCGACATGCTGCTGAAAGTGATTGAGAGTGGCGAAACATTCAAGGATATTCCTATCAAGGAAGGCGAGATGTTTTTACTTCCTGCCAACACCCCACACAATCCGGTTCGCTATGCGGACACAATTGGGATCGTACTGGAGCGTGTGCGTCCAAGCGATTCTGTGGACAAGCTGCGTTGGTACTGCGACAAACACAGCAGACCTGTTTTGATTGCTGAAACAAACCTTGGTCACGTTACAAATCTCGGTACACAGCTCAAGCCAGCAATTGAACAGTGGCAGCAAACAGAGAGTATGCGAAAGTGCCCTGACTGTGGCACTGTTGCGCCGCCAAAATGATCATATGACATATGTGACATTTTCAGTCGCGACAACGTTTCAAGATTGCGCTGTCCATAGGCGTTGATATATGAGGCAAGCGTTGACAAAAGACTGTAAAGAACATGTCGCAAGCCTCCGCTGCAACGCACATTTCTCGCAGATCCGTCTCAAGCTTTGCATCAAATCTCAGTCTTGCCTCACTGCAATCGTACTATGCAGATACACTGCTTCAGGTCGAGGCCAACATTGCACACATTATTGAAGTGGGCGATTTAGGTCAACGCGATCATTACTGGACTTACAAGCTGCTGATGTCTCTCGAATATCTTGGCTGCGTGGCAGGTGTGGATCCAGCTGGGCTTTCGGGTGGCAATATCGCCAACAACAGACGGTCAGTTCGATCGCAAGAAGTAGTGCGCAGTCTTCGTCGACAGGAGCGTATACAACGCTTACAGATGGAGCTTGCACGGCCAGAAAAGGCAAAATTGGCGGACGTGCATGCACACATATCGAGATCATTAGCAACTGGCCCAAGCATAGAACTGCAGTCATGGCCTTTGTAGCGGTAGATTAAGGCTATCCTCGTTTCACCAAAGATGGAGGGCTGCAAGTTGAGACAACATGTATCTTATCATCAGTGTGACATCCGCACATCGAGCTTCAAGCGTTCTACCTGGCGTCAGAGAAAAGGTAGAAGAAAATAATGAATTGATTAAATAGCTAAAAACTTAGCAAGCTCATTTTGAAGATGGCTTCGACCAGCAATACTTTTCGAAGTAAGTCTCGCATACTTCGAGCTTCATGCCTGTTCGCTCAAGGCTTCGCTTCATGATCGCACAGCTCATGGCAATGCGAAACTCGGCTGATTCATCAAATGTCGCAATGGCGAGACCATTAGCAAACGTCGACTTGATATTCTCCTCAGAATACATCAGGTCAAACGTAGAATAATTGCTCATGAATTGATGTGCGTTGTTGGGGATGTAGACGATGAGTGGAGTGTGTTCATTTGGCATAGTACTATCCTTCGCTTCACAGCCAAAGAAGGTGACGGTCTTGTGCAAGCCATGCTTGACAAAAGTCTCTTGATCTGGGATGACTGCCATAGGAATGGGCTTGCGATGCGTGTACTTTTTGTCTGTGGCTCGCTGATAGGTTGCAATCAGTGCTTCACCATTGGGCCAGTTATCTTTGTCGTCTGATGTAGCATCACTAGCCAGAATGATGTCTACTTTGCGTTCAGGCTGCAACAGAGGCCAGAGAGGGATGTTTTGACCGGCCAAGCCTCCATCAACAAGGGTCAAATCAGGATCTTGCTTGATTTTTGGCGGCAAACTTAACAGACCTTGGAACGGGTTTGGGAAGCGAGCAACATCCATGTCATCCTTGTCTAGAACTGTTTGAAGGAGATGTGTAGCACTGGCTAGGATTTTGGACAAGAAGCCACTCTCAATCCCGCGTCGAATGATGGCACAAAATAGTGATGCACTGGTTCCAATCATGAACCCAATGTTGTCGTAACCCTCGATACAATCTTGCTCATGAACTACAGCACCGTTCTCTGGCTGAGTTCCAAGAAATCTGGTGGGCGTGAATGCTTGAAATGGCGCATCCCATGAACCAGTCTCATGTGGAGTCATCTCGAAAACTGGAGCGTCAAGTGGAACAATATCTTGACCTTGTGGACGAAAGACGGAGAGAAGGATCGGGTAGGGCATCAGAAAGTTTTTGAAAGAATTCGTGTCAACGACTTGACTCCAATGGGTGGATGTCATGCCCGTTGCTCGGTCCAAGACATGGTACGACAAGATTCGGCCCCAGAGATCCGTCATGGTCACTCGAAATCCGGCTTCCATCTTGGTTTGAATAGAGGAAAAGATGTCCTTATAGTACCTGTAAGTCGCTTTCCAGTTACCAGGAGGTGGCTTGCCGACATCCTGGATCGACCAGAATTTGTCTTTGAGCGTGTCGACAGTCGGCCAATCGTTTGCTACCATCGAAGCAACCAGCCAGGAGCCCCCAGAAAGCCCAGTGATGTAGGTTGAGCCCTGCAAGAGGCCACCCAGGGTGCTGGTGCCTGTGCCAACCACCGTCCTGCTGTCCAAGGCACGAACTACTGCACCACCAAATGTCATGGCACGCAGACTTCCACCACTTAAGGCGACGGCAACGTTGGGAATACCACCAGTCTTGGCGAAGAGTCCAGGGACGTCAAAATCATCAAAGCCAGTTTCACTGAGGTACTCTTTGAGGGCTTCCTTGACAACGGCTTGACGACCCTCGATGTACTTGAGCTCCGCTTCTGAGAGTTTGGTAGCTGGTCGAACAAATTGGGCTGTGCATTTGACATGGTGGGGTGCGTAATCTTTTGACGTGCCAATCGTGAAAGATACTCCTTGAAGCAAGATGAGGATGAAACGCCTCATGTGTGCAAGCCAAAGAGATGCAGCTCAATAACGTGTCGTTTGCCCAGTGATTTTGTCTCGCTGGCGAGCTTGATGCTGTCTCAGTCTAAGAGTCAGTCAGAGAGGGCGGAAAGCTGAGGGAAGCTAATTTTGGCTTGTTACAAAGCGTCTGCATGCAGTGACTGCAGTGACAGTGCAGTCCGCTTGGCAGAGCTTGCTGCGACTCTGTTTGTGTTTGCCATGCGCAAAGCACCAGAAATCCAGGAGATCATCATGTTAGATATAAAATGAGCTTCGAGATTCTGCGGGATTCGAAGTTGGGTCCAGGAGGTGTCTCCTGATGAGCACTGACTCCTGGATGAGGCCTTGGATTCGGGGTTCAAAGAGCTGCAGCGGTGTCCTCTAGGGACTAGTCACTTTTGGCTCAACGGGAATGCGATGCGAACCCCGAATAGGTCTGACACATCACATGGGTCGTGCCATTGAAGAGGAGAATTTTTGAAATGCAGAGACAGTGCAGAGTCTGCAGACTGCAAAGGAGAAGTCTCCACAGGAAGGCGGCATGTGTTCAACGTGGTGTTGTCACAGACCTCCTCAGTTGCTGCGACACTGCCACCATTGACATTTCTGTTTTGTGTGTACGTGCAATGTCGTGCATGCAGCACATTTGCAGGTCACTGCAGCACGCATGGCAGAAAGAAGTCCGAAGAAGCGCCGCGACCGTCTGAATCGGGCTACTGTAGAACAGGCATGCAAAGATGCCCACAGCCTTTCTGAATGGGGCTGCCAGGTCAGAAGTGCGGCTTTCGCGGAACTCTGGTCAAGGCAGAACAGTCAATATTTTGTATACAGGGACTCAGGGAGCGGTGGTCACCGACCTTCTCAAGCTTGAGTCTCCTGCTTAATGCTGTGGACCGCACCGTTGTACATGTAGGTCTCGCAGTGGTCTGATGACCAGGGTCCTGGCTCTGTGATCGGCCACAAGTGTCGACACCAACACCACACAATTTTGGACGCACCTCAAGTTCCAACTCTATCTATCTGTTCAGCTCGCGATATTCAAAAGTTGGACATGTACTCTGTCGCTTGTCGTCTCAGGGACCTGCCACCTGGCCCCTGGCCCCTGGCCTGATTCTATTCATAGCAGCTGCTGAACATTATAAAAGGCTACTTGAATTCGAACTTCGACAGCTTCAACCACAAACTACACTCTCTTGCACTACACTACATTCCTTCAACATCAATCAGAGACCAAGAACCCTCACACGCCGTCTCTTGGTACAACTTCATTCGAGCAGGATTGCGAACAGCAAGAAGCTAGATGCAATCTGCATTTGCATTGCTCCTCCTTACGTGTTGGCAATTGGTTGCCACAGCTGCACCATTGTGGCAGAGTCCAAACAATTCACCTGAGATATGCAAGCACAACGTTCGATTCACCGTTGAGCGCAGATTCCCGCAGGGCCATGATCCCATAGCAGATCCGGCTTTAGCTTTGCGATGCGATGGGTTGTGCCGCACTTGTGCGACACGCAGTTCAGGTCTTCTCTGAAATTGCGATCAGGAAAGCAATTCGATGGCAAATCATTACCGTTCTTGGCGAATGGGATCAGAGTGGACGCAGACTTTCGAGGACGCTTCATCAATACACAGGCCAATGCACAAGATAACCCCAAATGGGAGTGCCGCTGTCCATTCTCATTTACCATCGAGAAAGTGGCACCAGACGCACAAAAAACGGGACATCTTCTCTTTCCACCAATGGACAACGCGGGAATCCTGATCACCTTGACGCGATTGTTCAGCCAGGCCGGACTTGGTGGCCTAAGCCCCTACACGGCTTGTAACCAGCCAGCGGTCCAGCCCCGTTACTCATGGCTAGGCCATGCGGCCCATGCCTGACTCGGGTCCCGGCCATCTACAAAATGGCAAGTTTACATTCGCTTCGTTCTCGTGGCTCTCATTGCAACACATCAGCTGTCAGCTGTGCTGGCTAGCATAGGCTTTCAGGATGCACGACAACCACGTCGCTCGCTCACCGACGCCTTGTTTCCATTTTAGAGTATTCATCATCATCATCATCATCATAGGTCTAATCATTCATTCTCTTTCACCAATTGCTTCGCGGCCTCGAACAGTGTGATATTTCAGGCCTGGTACACAACTCTCATTTCTCAATGCCCTTAGAATATTGAACACTGCGGCAGTGTATCGTCATACGGAAGCTAGGTGACTACAAAGGCCAAACCAAGATGTGTGCTGCAAGAAGGCTCAAATAGCAATAGCGCCAACGATGCCAGCAAGCAACAACGCACCGAGTGCACCAGGAACACCATCGACTCCAACATTCAACTGTCCAGCACTCGAACGAGCAGTCGAAGATGACGACGCAGCAGCCCTAGAAGATCCTGTGGATTGTGCACCACCCTGACGGCCACCAAAGCCTGCATTTGCCAATAATGTCGGTGCAAGCAATGCTTCACCTGGTTGTGTGGAGTTGGTGACGCCACTCCAGCAATGCTGCGAGAAGCATTGTCGGCAGACGTCCGGTTGTGTCAGGTTAGCACGTTCAAGACCGCGTTGCATGATGGCACACGCAATACAGGTCTTGAAAGCGGTAGAATTACCGTTTGTCATGATGTTGAGACCATTGTTGAGGGTTCCTTGGATATCGGCCTCCGGGTAAGTTCCATCAAACGTGGAAAAGTTGCTGAAGTGGGAGAAGGGTGCATTGGGGATGTAGATGATCAATGGCGGTGGAACACCAGGGAGTGTGCCATTAGTGCCGTTGCAACCAAAAAAGGTGACATTGCGGTTCAATCCAAGGTTGATGAATGTGTTGAAGTCAGGGACATACGGGAAACTGATGCTCTTATTGGTGCGATAAGCGGCCTCAGTGACTCGCCTGTAGGTGTGAACCAAAGAAGAGCCATTTGGCCAGTTATAGGTAGTATCGGCACTTGAGTCAACGGCAAAGATGGCATCGACTTCACGCTCTGGCTGAATGAGTGGCCAGAGTGGAATGTTTTGGTTGTCTAGGCCACCATCCGTCAAGGTCAAATTTGGCGTGTTTGAAATGCTGCTTGAGATGTTGTTGAGGCCTTGGAACGGGTTCGGGTACACGGCGATATCATTGTTACTCTCCGAGAGGCCTTGGAGCAGGTTCGTGATGATCCCTGTCAGGCTACCAGAGTTTGAACCGTTGATTTGCGTAAGTGCGCCATTGAAGAGGGAAGACGAGGTGCCGATTGTGAAGCCAGCGTTGTCGAAGCCTTGCACACATCGATTACTCTCCTTGGGCTGACCATTCTGCATACTGGTTCCGAGGTATTGCACAGGTGTAAAGCTGTAAAGGTTGACATCCCATGAGCCAAGCTCGTATGGGTTGAACTCAAAGTTTGTGGCATTGAGTTCCACTATAATTGTACCTGGCTCTCGGCCCACGGATACAACAAGTGGGAATGGCATAGAATGATTGACAAACGAGCTGACATTGCGAATATCAGCCCAATTGAAGCCTGGGAGACCATTGCTAGGGTTCAGGACGTGGTAAGAGATTACGCGACCCCAATAGTCGGTGATGGATGTGAAGAAGCCTGCATCGTTCTTGGCTTGCACGCTTTCGACAATATTGGTGTAGTAGCGTGCAGTACTGAGGATACCGCCGCTTGGCGCTTCAAACACCTGGTCATTAGCGATGTGACAAACAAAATGAGGTTGCGTACGTTATCAATGTCCCAATTGCTTTTGACAAGCTGATCGACTGTTGCAAAATCATTGACAGCCGTGGATCCAATCAGCCAGCTACCGCCCGAGAGACCTGCCATGTACTGCCAATGTCAGCCAAAAATATATGCAACTGCAATCAATACCTGACAGCCTTGTAGAACACCGCCCATGGTGCCTACATCGGATCGCGCGTCAAGTGCACGAAAGATAGAGCCACCAAAGACCATGGCGCGTAAGCCGCCACCACTTGCAGCATAGGAAATCCTCGGAATAGTCCTGTTTGTGCTGAAGAGCTGATCCACCACGGAACTATTGATACTGGTGCTGGTGATGAAGCTTCGCAAGGCAGCTTGAGCTTGAGGGGCCCGCGAAGTGAGGTAGGCAGCTTCTTCCGGGGAAATGGTGCTGGCTGAGCGAATGAGTTGAGAGGGGCAACTTGTGAAACGCGGTTTATACCCGCTCTGAGCGTCAATAGACGCGAGTGCTGTGAGAGCTGCGACAGCCAAGAAGGAGGCGCCGACCATTGGATGAGGAAGAAGTCAGGTGTAGCTAAGAAGAGGAAGAGGAGCTATGAGCAGAGTGGAAGCGGAGCAGCTGGTTCTTGGCGGAGTGTTTTGGCCTTGATCGCGTTGCACGACTTTTTGGTCTTGCCGTGTTCCCGCGCGCAGGTGACATCAGATCCGCACCAGGTCTTGGCTGCAATCGACGTAGTCTCAAAAGTACTCTAATGCCTGTTCAGTACAGTCCAAGAGACTGCCTATATGCAATATATTTGTGTCATGCTTGTACAAGAGCCCAAAAATCCAAGTGAAACTAAAGCAAACATTCAACTTTGTAAGTGCGGGCTTGTGCAGCTCACTGAGCTGGCCACTTTTCTCAGGACCTCAGCACATCTTGGCATTGCATTTTTGGGATCGTGGCCCATGGGTTCATCCACCTCGACGCATGAAAGAAAGCATGGCCTTCATGCCAGCATCGCACTTCTCCTGCTCCAGCCGCCTTTCCTTCCGAATATCATCCAGATCATCCACGTCGATCTCAAAGTCTTCATCCTGCTCCTTTTGTGTATAGAATCCCGTCCAGCTCCGCTTTGCTCGCTGTAGCGTAAACCATGCATCCGCGGGGATTGCTTCATCTTTGAGGTAATCTGGTACATCTTCACCTTCCCTCGCAAAGGACACAAGCTGGGGCTGCGTGATTTTATGCTCAGCTTGGATCGATATGCCGTGCTCTTGTGCTAGTTGTACATACGCTTCTGCACTTGGCAGAGGTTTGGTCCTGAGCAGTGTCTGCAACAAGCCTTCTTGCTGTGCAACGGGAAATGTCCGACCGGGGAAAACAGAGATGGCGCGAATTGCATCTTGACCAGCTCTGCTCGCATGTAGTGTTTGTAAGGCACTCGAGAGTTGCGTCAGGAGAACAGTCAAAGCAGATTGGACTTGTGGCCACGGAGGCAGAGCATGTGGATCGCTTTGTGCAATGCGCATGTGAAGCGTTTGTAGGGAAGCTGTGATTTGCTGTATACGCGAGCGTAGGACTTCTAAGGAGGGTGGCACTGGTAGTAGCGCTGGAGCATTGGACTCTTGCGTAGAAGCAGCCTGCATTGGAGGTGCTGCTGTGCTCTAAGTAGCAGAAAAGCAAGCCTTTTACAAAGAGACAGATGGAGACAGCAGGGACGGATGAGCCCGGCAGGCTATCTCAGCAGTCATGCATCTAATTAGCTTCCACAAGCATCCAGTCCATGCTGTTGCTGCTGCTGTCTGTTCTGATCGTGCGATTTGCTGAATTTTGTGGCTCTTCATAAGGAACTCTCGCCCATTTTGCTTCTTGCTTCGATCTTTCCAGTTCAAAACTGCTGATGAATACTGAGCAGGTTCCTGAATGCCATCCGCAAGGCTCTAGAGATTGCTGGTTGCCGTTAAACGCACTAGTACCTCAACAAGCTCAGCTGGAAGGACACATGGGGAAAGCGGGCCCTGCACCTTGTTACTAAGGCCCGCGAATGCACACTCTGAATCTTTGACTGCTGCTTCATAAAGATCATTCCCTCAATTCTGCACCGTGTCTGTAGCTGCTCGTAGTATCTGTTACTCTTCATTTCTCTCCTATATGTGGCTACGATGTTTCATCTGTTCCCTGCCTTTGATGACCTGCACAGAAACCACACAGCTGCACCAGGCTCCTCTTTGTACGAGCAGCAGCTAGGACTCTTGAACTGTCCGGCATGAGTCAAAGGTGCGTCGGGCTGTCCTCATCCAGAGGGACACAGTCTGTAGCTCGTTATGCGTAAACTTGCATGTCTCATCAAACTAACAAAGCACACATCATGGACAAGGTATGGGAGGCTTGACATCTCCGCCAAGAGACTACTCACCAAGCCCCGCATGTCTGGAGTCGAGCGATGCCCCGATCCTCTGCTAATCCCTCTCAACTCCTTCGAGAGTCTGCCCTCGCTCCGTGCCGCTCCAGTGTACATTCTCCTTCGTCGTAGTTGTCGAATCGTCATCGTAGACCCAAACATCAACATTCAGACCACCAATCCATTCGAAAGCTGCACTTGTCTCCCTCGTGCGGATAGCAAATCAATAGGGGCCCTCAGTGATATCTGCCCACCACGCTTCTGATGGCAAGTGTCAGCGGCGCTTATGAAAAGAGCGTCAAAGGTGCAACAAAGTCGAAACTTGCTCCACCAAAGACGAAATACATTGAGCACTTGCTTTCGGTATGCTGGCCCTGGTCTAGATAAGTGTGCTTCGATGCTGACTGGCTGATAGGCTACACGGGCGGGAGAAGCGGCTATTGCTGAAGTCTTTCGGGGAATACAGTATAGGCTGAAGGAAACGACATGGACTGTAATGCAATCAATGGACGTTGTACAGCATGCTAAGACTCTAGGTTGTCTTCAAGGCGTTGATCGTCACGCACTCAATGATTCGCGACGGCTACAAGAATGCGAGTAAGTCTTTGCGATGCTACTCAAGTCAACATTGGTACTGACAGTCAGCCTTGGACTACCTCGCCAATTCACATCAGTTCAGAATCACATCCCTGACGACGACGGGTTGCTCACCTATGAGCGAACAAGGCTCCAGTATCCGCGACTATGGCATGTATTTAACGGAACGGATAAAATCCTTCTCCAACATCAAAGTAGACTATGTCAAGGCCAAAAATGATCCAACGGGACAAGGACGACTTAGAAAGTTGTCTGTTGATAAGGGTCTCTTGCGGGAAACAGAGTCTGTGCAAAAGATCATTGGCCCACTCATCACTTGCCGCTTTCTCGAACGCGACGTCGATAATGAAGTCGCTCTGACTGCCTTTCGATTACTCGTGGCAGACTTGCTCGTCTTATTTCAAGTCGCAAACGAGGGTGTCATCAACGTCCTCGAACACTACTTTGAAATGTCCAAGCCGGATGCTGAGCGTGCTCTCAAAATTTACAAGACATTTGTCGAGCAGACGGATGGCGTGATTGTCTTCATGTCCCTTGCCAGAAGCCTCGAGTCTGTGACACGGCTGACCATTCCAAACCTGCAACATGCACCAACAAGTCTAGGAGACAGCTTAGAGGAGTATGTGCGAGACCCTGATTTTGAGCAAAATAGGATTCAATTCCTAGCAACCAAGGGCAAAAAGAGCGTGGCTACGCAGGATACCAGTGCTGCCAAGACAGCTGGCACAGCTCCATCCACGACACAGCTCAAATCTGCGTTGAAGCAGAATACCGACAGCAATCCATTTGGTGCGCCGCAGTTGCCTACATCTGTTCAACATGCCGGCAATAGCGATCTCATTGACTTCTTTGGCTCGCTCGAGTCGCCGCAACAACAACAAGCCCAACCAATGCAGCAGCAGCAAATGATCAATCCTTACTTGACGGGACAAATCATGCCGGTGCAGAACACGGGTATGTACCAACAACCGCAGCAACAAGCATTTTTGCAGCAGCAAGCAACTGGATTCAATCCATATTTGCAACAGCAGCAGCAGCAGCTGCAGCAACAACCAATACAGCAGCAACAACAGCCACAATTACGACAATTCACAGGTTCGGTACAGCCGCAGATGCAGTCCTTCACAGGTCAAGCACAGACAATGCCAAGTAATGGCTTTGGTGGTTATGCTACACAACCTACAAATGAATTCGCCATGCTCTCACAACCGCCATCGCAGCAGCAGGTTCAGCCATTACAGTCTCAAACAACCGGTTCAAATCCATTCAGAAAGTCCATGTTGCCTGCGACCATGACTGGATCCATGTCGTCACCATACGCTATGAGCGTCTATGGCGGTCAAGATGCAGGTGGTATGAATCACCTGGCTGCACAACGGACAGGTGGAAATCCTTTCGCGAAACCGGTACAGCAAGGTGCATATGGACAAGGTGCGGCACCGATGCAGTTGCGAGCGCAGACGACGGGTAATCCGTTTTCGAAGCCATCGACTCCTGGATCGGGCTACGGCCAACAGCAGCAGCCCATGTACACCGGACAGGGCATGGCCCAACAAACAACAGGCTCCATTGCACCTCAACAAACTGGTTCAAATCCATTCAGAAAAAGCATGATGCCGATGCAGCAAGCCCCGATGAACTATGGTACTCGGTGATGCATACAAGGCTGCGTGATATTTCTTCAGAACATTCATTGTATTAGTAGAACGTTCAAGGTCCTTCTTTATTCATCTTTCATGTATCATTCGTAGCTTCCTGTGCGTACTATGGGGAGGTTGCCTCTTCTTCTTCCAAGGCTTCCACAATCAAGCTACCACTCGGGAAGACCTCTCGCTGATCAATAATCTTGGCATCCTGTGCACAGTCCACTAGTTTTCTAGGCATTGGTACCGCCAGCGTGAAAGAGTAGCGATAATTGCCTTCTGCAGGTCCGCTTGGACTGTCGCCCGCCTGTTCTCGTTCTTCAACTGACACAGGATTGATCTTTGCATCCACAAACGCATACAGCTCCTCCACAGGACACTGTGCATCAAACTTGCGAACAATGCGAGACCCATCCGGCAGTCTAAAACTGACACGCGCAACATGCTCGCCACTTGTAGGTTCAGGCAAGATCTTTGCATGCCTCCAAACACGATACACAGCACGTTGTCGTGTCGCTTCAAGTGCGGCAGCCAATTCCCTCGCTTTCCTCTCTTCCGCTAGCCTTGCCTCTTCTGCACGCCTACGATCAGCAGCAAGGGATCGTTCATATGCTGAATCTTGTTCCCTGCGAATCTCCCTCGATGCATTCTGTTCGCGCTGGTCGAGACGTGCTGCAATGAGGGTTGGTTCGAATCGATCGATTGCTTCTGTCAGGGTTTCAATGAGAACCGCTGCTTCCACGAGACCTTCAACTCTACAGACTGTCGACACACCGGCTGGCGAGCGAAGTGTGTTGTAGACCAAGACGGCAAAAAAGGGAAACCGAGTAGCCCCTAGACTGCTTGCCGTGTGGAATCCTTCATTCTCAGCAGCATCACCGGCCCAACAAAGGATCTGATGATCTTGCACAAATGATCGAAGTGCAGTGGAACACAGAATTTGAGACTTGCAAGCAGACGAGTCGTCATGGTGACTTGAAGTCAAAACGACGAGGAGAAATTTGAGTTCCCGCTTGGCTTGCTCGACTGCTTTTAAGTACGATGTGGTGAGTAAGGGAAGATGCTCCTCGCTTTGTGCTGTTTCAAGCGTTTGGATGTACTGGTCTGTCAGGTCAAGACTCGAAATTGACGGACAAGGCTTACGTTGCGTGACGCGTCGTCAGCAGTGAGGTTTCTATAGGGCTTTGAGCCAGAAACCAAGCGCAGGAAGGAGAAGAGCAGCTTGAGAGGTAGGCTTAAGAGGTAGCGAAACATGACAGCTCACGCACTCTGCTTGAGCGCACGCTGGCCAAATCAGCACAAGGGGAGCAGTAGCTTTACAAATAGGACAAGCAGCAAGAAGGGCAGCAATGAGATTGAGCTGACAGCCACCTAGGCGCCTAGAAGTAGTCTGGGGAGGAGTCCTGTGCACATTGCTGACAGCACTCTATTGGCCTAACCCTGATCACCTAAGCAAGGACAAGCATCACGCCTCGACCATACCACAGCGTCTGCCTCTTGCACTCCCAAATAGAGCTAGACACACACTGCTTCCTCTTCTACATCTGCGCGCTCTCATCACACCAACTACACTTCCCGCGCATCCGTAGGGCGCAGCTCTACACGCGATGGCAACACGCGACACAGAGACCACGGTGGCCGCAATGAGTTCAGGTGCAGCGCGCGTCCTTGTCCCTCTCTTCTCGACGCTGGCAAGCTCCACGATGCTTTTCGTGCTTGTTATTCTCATCTATTATGTGCGTTTCCGGAGACATGGCCGTATCATGCTTGGAAATGGTTTGCCTGGCGCGTTCGATGATGCTCAGCAGGCGCAACGGGAGGAGGAGATGTATCTCCATACACTGGATGATCAAGCGCGGCAGCAATACTTCCAGGCAAAAGGTGAGTCCGGTACGGAAGTTTGACTAAAGCTAACTCATCCAGCATTTCAAGAGGCGAATCCACCGGATAGCGCCAACACGGACATTTCACTTTCGCAGTTCATGTCGATTCAGGAAAAAGGTGTTTCTGCATGGGAATTCGAGCCAGACCTAGAAGCAACCACTTGCTTTGTGGAGTGCCGCACAGAGCTGGCCTTTTACGACCAAGAGTGCTCAGTTCAAACAAATTTGCCGATACCCAAACAAAACGATGTCTATTATTGGGAGGCAAAGCTGTATGACTTTCCAGAGAGCACTATCGCTGCAATTGGTGTCGCCACAAAACCATACCCTGCGTTCCGGTTGCCAGGCTACAACAGGCATAGTGTGGGTTACCTGACAGATGGTACAAAACGACGTAATCAACCCTTTTTTGGCAAGACGTATGGTCCTGTTTGTCGGCAAGGCGATGTCATCGGATGTGGCTACAAGCCGCGCACCGGGACCGTCTTCTTTACTCGCAACGGTAAGAAATTAGAAGAAGCCGCCACGGGCTACAGGCAAAATATCTTCCCCTCCGTCGGTGCGAATGGGCCGTGCCAGATTCATGTCAATTTTGGTCAGGCTGGGTTTGTCTTTATTGAGGCCAATGTCAAGAAATGGGGTCTTGCACCCATGAACGGGACTTTGGCTCCGCCGCCTGCCTATGGCTCTAGTGAGATCACAGATTCTGTGCTCCTTGCAGCTGGGTTCAGTGCACAACGGTCTTCTGCAGAGGACCGACATGGATCGACGGGTAGTCTGCTTGATTCCCATCCTGATGATGGATCAGTCATGCCATATCAGTCGGACATCTCCTTGGCCACCATTGCGCCGCGTCATCACGGCTTTGATGCGGGACAAGTGGTTGGACCATCATCACGTACGGGTGGTCCACCGAGCTATACGTCCGAGCAGCGTCGGCAACAGTCTGCGACTGGTGCTCAGGGACCTCCACCACCACTGAGTCCAGAAATTCAAGACCATTCACGGTATGAGCGGATGTAAGTGACACGTATACATGTTTCTTTGTGTCTCTTTATAGCAAATAGCAAAGGCAAGGCTTATTTTATTCATGTAGCGATCTTGAAGCTCTTAGTTACGAGAGGATATCAAGGTATGCTTGCCATCCAGCTTCTCTGTATCGTTGCACTTCTGCTGCTGGATCGGAGGCGCCGTAAATGCCACGACCAACAATCACGATATCTGCGCCGCGTTGAATAGCATCAGCTGGTGTTGCGTACTGCTGGCCGAGTGCATCCCCGGCACTCGCCAGGGAGACGCCGGGCGTCATAACGAGGTACTCGCTCGAAATACCCGCTTGCCTTGATTGTGAGATGAAACCCACGACAAAGTCCTGATGCCGCGCTGCCATCTCAATGGTTGCATTCGCATAATTAGGCGTGCATAGGTTGCCCTTGGATGACATTTCTGCAAGGAGTAGTATGCCTCTGGGTGCTTGTACTGTTTTGGCGACTTGAGCGAGACCACTGATGATGCCCTCACCGGGGACTGCATGGACAGTGACGATATCTGCCCATTCGACAATCTTGTAGATGCCGTGCTGGTACTGATTCGCAACTGTAGAGCCAATGTCGGCAAACTTGCGGTCTTCGAAGATGAGGAAGTTGTATTGTTCCTTTGCCTTGACGACTGCATCGATGAATGCTGGGGTAAAGTCGACCAAGATATCGACGTGTAGCTTCAGGAGACAGATGTGAGGCCCAATGAGAGGCAGGAGCTTGAGCAATGCATCTGCTGTGGTCACGTCAGCAGCGACGCAGAGATTTGACTTTTTGGCGAGCATGGTCTGCAGCAGGGCCTTTGTCAGTGGATTCTTTGAGCTTTCCGCCCGTCTCTGGTAGCTTCTCTCAGACATTGTAGCAGCAGTATATGGCAAGCTCAGTCAACCAGGCCAGCCTTGAGCCAATTGTTTCTTGGTCCAAGTCGCCGTAGCTGTTCAGTCGCCAACAAACCAAAAGTGCAGCAGCAGCCTCGACGACCTCCCAGCACCAGACCCACGCGACGACGTCCTTCCTTCTTCTTTCTACGCATCCACAACTGCGAGTTTCGAACGGGCCGCATCCACCAGGCTCGCGATCCTCGGTCCTGCTTCGACGCGCTTCCGTTCTTTCCTGACTGGCCTATTCGCGTGTCTCGAGCACGAGCCGCACTTTTATCCAGCGGCCTGAGCACGGCCATTTCTACGTTCTGCAACCCATCAGTACAGCGGCAACACGCTCTTTTGGATCTTGACGCGTGCGTTGAACTTTCCTGTATGTCAGTTGAGGAAGTCCAGTTGCCTTCGGGCATCGACTCAAAGTACATTGGCCTTGGTCTCGCCATTTCTTCCTCCCTAGCCATCGGCACCTCCTTCATCATTACAAAGAAGGGCCTGATCGATGCACAACGGAGACAGGGTTTTGACTCGGAAGACTCTTTTGGATACCTCCAAAATCCAATCTGGTGGGCCGGCATGGTCACCATGATTGTGGGCGAAGTGGCCAACTTTGCAGCTTATACCTTTGCACCAGCGATCCTGGTCACGCCTCTCGGTGCTCTCAGTGTCCTAATTGGTGCTGTGCTCGCAAGCATCTTCCTCAAGGAGCAACTCGGCGTCCTTGGGAAGCTCGGCTGTGCGTTGTGTCTCCTTGGCAGTGTCATTATCGTTCTTCACGCACCAGCAGACAAGGAAGTGGAAACGGTCGATGAGATTCTTGACTACGCCATGCAGCCTGGCTTTCTGTTCTATTGCATTCTTGTCTCTGTCTTTGCCGTTGTCATGATTTACAGAGTTGCACCACGTCTTGGCAAGACCAACCCGCTCATCTACATCTCCATCTGCTCGACAGTCGGCTCAGTCTCCGTGATGAGTATCAAGGGTTTTGGTATCGCCCTTAAACTCACGTTCGCTGGCAACAATCAGCTCACACACCCCTCAACTTGGGTCTTTGCCATTGTCGTAATTGTCTGCATCTTGACACAAATGAACTACTTCAACAAGGCGCTGGATCAATTCGATACGTCCATCGTCAACCCACTCTACTATGTCACTTTTACAACCTTCACTCTGATTGCGAGTTTCATTCTGTTCCGTGGCTTCAACACATCAGATGCCGTCAATACCATTTCATTGCTTGCTGGGTTCATGGTCATTTTCAGTGGTGTCTACCTGCTCAATGCATCTCGTCTTGACCCAGACCTCGCTTGTGGCGGCAAACACAATGGCGCCATGGACGGCATTCCTATGGACAATGGTATTGCCAGCCTTCAGACGCGTCGCTCGATTCAATTGCAACGTTCGTCTTTCTCTCATGCTGATGGTGCAGCAGGCGAACACATGCTTTCCACGTTCAGTGAACAAGGTCGGGCTTCACAAACACTCGATGATGATGAACAATCACTCGGTCTCAGTGACTTGACGGAGAGTGACGAAGAAGCTCCTCTGAGCGCACACGACACAAAAGCACCTGGGAATAAACGGCATGCTCGAGCAGCCAGTGGTTCTGGACATCACAAGAAGAGTGGTAGTTTCTCGTCTCGGCGGATATCCGATCGTCGTCTGTAAATAAGCCATGTCGAGCCAAGCTATGGCTCAAAGTCGAGGAGAGTGGTCCTTCTCTTGCATCATCCTGTTTGTTTCCGTATAGCCGTGTCACTTCTTGTAGCTGTTCTGTAAATACCATTTCTATTCGGAAGATGAAGCTTGATATAGATGAACTAAATTCGCATCTCGTATAAATGAACCTTGAATGATTGTAAATGTAAAATAGATGCAAACGCCGAGACCAGGGCAAGAATAGGAAGGAAAGGGTCCACTCATACTAAATTCAGACGGGGTGCACAGCACAGCTTACAAGAACCCACTCTCTTGCAACAGCCTGGCAATCTTCTCATCCTCACGCTCCCTAGGCTCCCGCTCCAAACTCAAATCCCACATGTCTGAAATTTCGCGCGTCAAATCCAAGCAAGACGTAATGTACTTTTGGATGTCCGGCAATGGTTGTAGAGCATACGGCACGTGCTGGTATTGCTGAATCTCGCGAATCACTTCAGCCGTCTTTTGTCGTTTCGAGAAGCTGATGTACTCGCGTCCCTTATGGTTGAGTGTATGGGCATTGCCATCTTCAATAAAAGTCAAGTCTGTCAGGTACACGCCTAGGAACGGCACACAAGGTGGCTGATGACTGTGCAACGTTTCGCGATACGCTGAAAAATTCTTTGCAGCACTAATCAAGTCATTGAGACTCTCAACAGTCTGCATCAAACGACTCGGAATCTGTGACCATGTCCGTCGAAGTCGATGCACTGGAGCCGAGTTGAGACCAGAAATGATGGCAGTGAGGGTTGAGAAGTTGTTGAGCCCACGACAATGTCGGAGTACTTGAATCAAATGCTTGATGATTTGAACGCGTCGCTTCAATTCCGTCTGCGCCAGGATTACTTCAGCCACCCAGACGGTGATGCGATTTGAATTGAAAATCATGGCCTTGATATTCTCTGCATTCTCAGTGCCTGCTTCGCGACGAGACCAAGACTTGTCTAGGCACTCGACAGGCTTGATTTTGTTGTACAACGTGCTTTCCATAATCGTGAGTTGTCTAGCAACCTCGAGTGGGTCAATCTCCAATAATCGCAATCGCTTTGTATTTTTGGGTACAATGGGTGGCGGTACTGGCGAGGTGAGATTGAGCGTCATTCTGCGGAATGGCACGTCTCCTTGCTCAATGCGTGTATCAATCAATTTTGTAAGCACAGGAACGCCAGGAAGAGAATTCGCCATGTGCATCACAGCGAATTCATTCAGGCCATTAAGCCAGTCGACTGTCTTTTGACACTGTGGCTCCATGAAGAAGCTCTCCATCCAAGACTTGAAAATGTTAAAGACACGCAACTTGATGGGCTGCTGCTTCTTCTCAACCCACAATTGCAGCTCAACCGAACTCAATCCAGCTGGCGGTGTAATCACAAAACGTTGCATCAGAATGCGTGAGAGTTCTTGTGCAGTCGTGAAGGACTTGTAGGTCAGCAAGAAAGTGCTGTTATAGGTCGAATCCAGAAAGTCGTGTCGCGTCAAGCGCTCCACCAAGGCAAGCAGCGTTCCACCCTTGACGTTGCCCTTGTGGTCATACACAAGCTCATGCTCCAAGTCGTGCATCAAGAAGCTAGGCACAGGCGGTTTGGGCGAGGCTGCACCGTTAGTGCCTTCTTGGCGAGCCGTAAACGGTGAGCGGCCGAGAGACATTCGGCGAGCGTCCGTCGGGCTTTCTGGAACTTCATCTCCAAGAAGCTGACGCAGCTTTCCGCCACGATAGGGACTTTCAAGCAAGACACCGGAAGTGGGTGTACGTGGAGGCTCTTGCGAGTACTTGGAAAGATATTCCTGTACCATGAATTCCGTCTGCAACAAGGTTGATTGCATCAACCTATCGCATGATGACAGTGAAAGCGCCAAAACACCCACAGCATCAACAAAAGCGTTCTCCTTCGCCAAAGTTTCCCTGCGCATCAAATCCTGCAGGTCCATCATGACTTGATTGATGACGTCGTAGATTTGTTGTTTTGTGGCCTGGAAGTCTGCAATAGTGGGAGACTGTGGCAAATCAGATGTTCGTGAGTCTGGCGAAAGTGCAGAGAGATCCAGCCGTTCGCATAGTTGCTGAATAGGTCGGATTGCACCGATGGTGTCTAGCCAAGCATCCTGAACCACACTGCATTCTTGCAAAGTGCTGGTTGCATTGAGAGCGTTCAACTTTGCTCGACAGTCTCGTAGACGGGGCATCACTTTGCCAACGAGCTCCTCTAGGACCTGAGGCAGATCCGCTGACAATGGAACCAGCTGCGATCTGCGATGTTCCTCCTCAAGCGTCTCGCCAAGCTTTTTCTTATTGACCAACCCATTTGAACGCCATGACCCACCTTCATCCACGAGTGACAGCATGACAGGCGAGGGCAACGTCAGCTTGAGCGTATTGTCGCTTGTTTGCCTCACGTGCAACAAGAACGCATCAACAATAGCAGTCAGCTCTGCAACATCCGAAGACAACTTGTCGAGGGCCTCGCTTGTAGCCCAGGGATTGGAGGCAGTATGCGAGGAGAGCATGAGTTTGGACAACGACGCCAGAATTCTGCGAAATTGACTTTTCCAAATGTCCATAGTGGTCGTCGGTCTTTCATGGTATGCGCCTGCGTCTTCTGGTTCCGCTGGCATGCTGGCCAGACCGAGACCTTGATAAATGTCGTTGACAATGAGACGAATCGCATCACAGTGACCTTCGTACTGGTCGTAGCGGCGGCCAAGGATAGACTGACGCAAAGCTGTGAGCGAAGCGCCCATTTCGTTGGACCATTCAATCAAAATAGGAAGCGCATCGGTCTGTGGACGTCCATGCGCATGTGAGTCGTCTGTGGTTGAGAGAAGAACAGACTCTTGCATGTGATCTGCATCTTCGGAGAGACTCAAAGACGGCGTGATGGGGCGGCCACCTCTCTCACGCGGTTCTGGCATGGAGAAGAGCAGGATCTTGCCATCTCCATCAGCAATGATGGGCACGTCTTGGACCTCGTCTGCGCCATCGCCGTCAGAGACATCTGTCCATCCTCGAGTAAGCGGAATATGACCTCTCGGGCGCAAAGATTGGTTACTGCTGCTAGATTCACCAGTATTGTCATCTCTTGTGGGCGGATACAGTCCGCCATCTCGTTGTGTGGCGTTGCCATTTTGTGAGTCTACACGAGGAGACTGCTGGGTTTGAAAGGGCGGCTCAAATTGCACGGCGCCAGTGCTGTTGTTGAAGAAGAAGACGTTGCTGTCGTTTGTGCTTTGTGGAACCCAGTAGGGCGACACGGATCCGTCTGTATAGCGGTCCTCCATCGAAGATCCTGACGTTTGAAAGTGTAGCTTTGGCGGGCCTTGTAGCTGCGCAGAGGTCGGCTCCTCCTCATCAGAGTCGACCAGCTCAACCTCTTCCACAAAATTGCTTGGGAACCAGCCGCGACGGCCATAGAGTAGTCCATCCCACCAGCCCGACTCGAGCTTCGTCAAGACCTGGATGATGTCACCTTCTTCAAAGGAAAGTGAGGTATCTTCCTGCGAGTCGAAGGGATATAAAGCGCGTACGAAGCGCGTCTCGTCAAGGAGACTGATGCTGCCGTCAGGAAGTGTACTCATACTGCGCTTAGCGTGTCGCTCGATATCCTGCTAGCAACAAGAACAAGGGTGCGGTACTGCACGGCAGTTGTTGGACCTCGGCTACAGTCACTGGTCACTTGATATGACTCACTGGCAGCGCGACTGATTGGCTGACTACTGACCACCCACTCAATGCTGCTGTGGGAACTCGCGCGTGAGTCTCCGATTTCCAGCAGGATAGAAGGAGTGTTTAGTAAGGATACAAGGGCCTGCAGTGCGTGCGCCTTGCCGTGTACCGCGTGTCGTCAGAGCGGGCGCGATGACCACAAGCGGCTTGGCAACTGCTGTACAGACTTGTTAGTAGATGTAGACTTAGTGCGCGCCTGATAGCCTTACCACTGAGAATTGCAGATACCCTAGATATACAGATGGCAGATGGAAGGGGGTGTGGACAGCAGGCGGTCTTGGTCGTTGGCGATCGGGCGGGCGACTTTTGAGCTTGTTGAGCAAACAAAAACCTGAAATTGCCAGTGGACACTCTCTTAAGCATACTTCTCTCTCGCTGGTAAATCTAGATGCTATCAATATGTAGAGAGGCTACAGCCCTGAGCCTCAAGCTGCCGTTCCATCTCGCGCTGGCCTGACTGGATCATGATGTGGTTGGCAGCACAAAGATCTGCAAGCGATCCACAGAGCACAACGCAAGAAGGGACGCTTTGACCGAAGACCTTGCGCAGCTTGTCTCCGCTGATGATCGGATCATACAGCAGTAGCTTGACTTGTGCCAGTGATGGCTTCTCCTCACAAAGTGTCGCCAACTTGCGCACGAGTTCCAGGATTCGCGAGCCTCTGGTGTCCGTCGAGCCTAGCTTATACCCAAGACCTGCGAAGGCCAGCTTGACGATTGATGTGTTCTTCTCAAGCTCTACCATTAGCGAGTCGACAGTACGTTCGAGTAATCGGTCATTGACTGCCAGGACAGACTTCCAGTAGTCTGCCATGACTGGCTCATTCTGCTCTCGACACCAGGACTCCAAGAGTCGGACATCCTTGTCGAAGCAGACGCCGCCAAAGCCAGCCATCGCTGGAGTCAGAAATCCTTGGCCGATCCTCTCGTCTGTTGACAAGATTGTTTGCAGGCTCTCATGGCCTGACTTGTCGAGTGATAGTGGCGAGTCGTCAATCATGGCATGCAAGATGTTGTTGCTAGTCAGCTTGGCCACCAGCAAACCATTCAAGCCAAGCTTGCCTAGCATGGCTGAATGCTGTGTTGTGGAAATGGAATTCTCGGGGTATCCCTGGAAGAGCTTCATGACTTGCTTTTTGTTGTATGTCGAGCCTGACCCAAATACTCTCTTCGTTTTGAGGTTAAGATAGTCGCAGTGCATATGGTGGGCCAGGTCAGTCCCTTGCGGGAAGAACTCTGGCATGAGGACGGTGTCCTCTGAATTCATCGGTTTCATCTTGTTGGTCATGATGTCCAAGACTGTAAGCTCCGCAGCAAACGTCTGCAGCGCAGAATGTGTGATGGTCGATCGGATGACGAGCGGATGAGGCATTTGACTCTGCAACACATTCAGCAGTGGCGGCAAGTCTGATAGATTGCTAGCGTCTTGCTTGCCATCTTTACCAGCTGGTAGATCGATACAAATAACGACAGCCGCCAAGTTCTCCGCTTGTATCATGTATGGCTTTGTCTTGGGAGGTGGCTTGGTTGGGTCAGCTTTGGCAAAAGAGACGAAATGCACTCGTCCATATTGCTGGAGCTCCCAGAGAATCTCCTCAGCAGATTGATCAGCTCGTCCGGGTAGCTTGTCATCTGTAGTATACTGCCACGTCTCAATGAGTGCTTGATCGCGATCTCCAATGACTATGGACATTTTGGGATGCATTATGGCAAGCGCGGCAGCTGTACTCAGACCAACATTGCCAGCGCCGATTATTAGCACCTCAGATTTCAAGTCGTCATTCATGGTCCGATAGTAGATGTAGTTAGTGGTCCAAGCGGGTAGCGGCCGTGTTTGAACTCGGGGTCGGCGGTGATCGAACCCCCTGAAAGATGCGACGCCCAGTTTTTTGTAATTGTTGCATCTGGATATGGGCATTGGGCACCTTCTTGTGAGAAACATGAAAAACAACTTAGCCTGATCTAAACTTGGATTCTATTGCCGTGCATTGACCTCACTAGCTAATGCGACACCACGGCGATAATCATCAAACACCATTTGTCGCCGCTTATAGCTTCGCGTCACCTCCTTTGCCAATGCCAGCCCCTGACCGAATAATGCCTGGTCGATCGCTTCGCCTGCTTTGCGAGCACGAACAAAGTCATTTTGAATCGCCTGTGATACTTCATCGCTAATCTCAACTTCCTGCAAACGGCAGCGGGCAATGTAGATGGCCATGTCTTTTAGGGTCATGGACGCTGGTTGACGAGCAGCAGCTGTCGATCCGCTCTTGACGGGAATACTGAGTGTGCTTGGCAACAAGGATTTGCCCTTGGATAGGTCAATGAAGCATAGATCCATAGCAATCTTGAATTCGTTGAATGGAAATGCAAAAACAAGTTCCTGAGATGTGATGGAATTGGCCAAGCATTGTAGATTCTTGACGCCACGTTCTTCTAGCTTGCCTTCGCTCAAGGCAGATTCATCCAGTAGAACAACAGTGTCTTTTGGTAGCTGAATCTGTCCTGGTTTGAATTGCTCGCCATCGTGAGTGGGGAAGAGTTGGTGCTTGTTGAGACCTGCAATCGAGAGATCAATCACTTCAGTGTATGCGGCAAGCTCTTGAATAAGCAGCTTCAGGGCACTAGCTTGGTCTCCTTCAATATTCCGCAAATTGAGAGCAATAGGACCAATGAGGACTGGAGACCTTACAGTGACACTGGCACACAAGGCCAGCAACAGGCATTCAGCTGCCAAAGCATCGCCAGAAAGGTGAGCAGCTAGTTCCTGCATAACAGCATCGCGAGTCTCTGGGGCTGAAGCTTGCTCAGTACTGGATGAGAGTCTTGACGCCAATCGCTCGTCGCGTGCAATGAGAGCATGCAAGATGACCTCCTCGTCTGCAACCTCGACTAGGCCAACAATATCCAGTGTTGCGTGAAGAAGGCCCTCTTCCTTTTCATTGTAGAGTTTCACTGTAAGGCGCTTGAGGACATCATCGTCTGCACCAGACGCTAAGGAGACATTCTGCAGTGCATCGGTTAAATCGAACGGGTCTGCGTGGCATCGACAATCAAGCGTCGTTCTCTCCTCAAATGAGATGGCATCCTCCCGAAGCGGGCCAGTCAAAGCTTCATCGATATCGCATCCATATCGACCAAACTGCCAGCCGCCGCCTTGTCGATTTCTGTATGCGCCACCGTAGATTTCGCTATCACTGTGCACAACATGGCACTGCACTCGTGCAAGCTTGCCGTGAAGGGATGATTTATTGTTGCTGCGAGCTTGTTGCCACAAGGCCGTCAGCGAGGGAACTTTTGCAAGCTCGGAGGGTTCCTCGAAGGATTCTTCAAATAATGTGGTGATGCCATAGTCTTCATGTGCTGCTGGTGCGTGTCCTTTTGTAGCCTCTTCAAAAAGCGCATGAATCGCACCGATTGGATCACGTAGCAGCTGTGCAGAACTTGAGTTGACCATGCTTGATGAACTAGATAGTAGCTGGTAGAATAGAACGCGTGGATGAGAGTCGCGAATTTCAGAAATTTAAAGACGCGACGAGGACGACGACCAACTCTCACTTTTGACTCTCTACACTGCTCTTGAAAGACGGAAGAATAAGGTAGGAAAGCCTCTTCCCTTCCAAAATGGCTGCATCGACAGCCAAGTTGCCTGCAATAGAACTGCCCTGGGTGGAGAAGTACCGCCCGCATCTTCTCGAAGACATTGTCGGCAATGAAGAGACCGTTGATCGCCTCAAAGTCATTGCACGCGATGGCAACCTGCCACACATCATCATCTCTGGTATGCCAGGTATTGGGAAAACCACATCCATCCACTGTCTAGCCAATGCGCTGCTCGGATCCGCATACAAGGACGCAGTTCTCGAACTCAATGCTTCAGACGAGCGCGGCATCGATGTCGTTCGCAACCGCATCAAAGCATTTGCTCAAAAAAAGGTAACGCTGAAACCTGGTCGTCACAAGATTATCATTCTCGATGAAGCGGATTCTATGACGACAGGCGCACAGCAGGCTCTGCGCCGTACCATGGAAATTTATGCAAATACAACGCGTTTTGCACTTGCTTGCAACATGTCGAGCAAGATTATTGAGCCCATTCAATCACGATGTGCCATTTTGCGCTATACGCGACTCAGTGAGTCGCAAGTCATGAAACGACTGCTTGAGCTCTGTCAATTTGAGTCTGTGCAATACTCGCAGGACGGTCTTGCAGCGCTAGTCTTTACAGCGGAGGGAGATATGCGACAAGCCATCAACAATCTACAGTCTTGTCATGCAGGATTTGGCTTTGTCAATAGCGAGAATGTCTTTAAAGTCGCGGATCAACCTTCACCTGTTGCGATCCAGGTGATTCTCAAGTCTTGCCATCGTGGCGATATTGACGCTGCATTGGAAAAGTTGAGGGAGGTTTGGGAGAAGGGGTACTCGGCGGTGGATGTCATTACAACGCTATTTAGAGTCACCAAGACGTTGGACACGTTGTCAGAGCCTGTTAAGCTGGAATTCATCAAGGAGATTGGACAAACGCATATGATTATCCTCGAGGGCGTGCAAAGTCTGCTACAACTCTCTGGGCTTGTTGCTCGGTTGTGCAGATTGGCCGTAGACCCAAAGGAGTTTGAACTCTGAAAGAACATCATACATGCATAATCATCTACGAAGCGCATAAGGCTCATAGCCAGTGGCAGATCGAGTCCAGTCATCAATTTGCACCGTAAATAGCAAGAGGCCTGCAACAAGCAAAACATAGTACGCAACAGACTTCCACAGTGCTCCTCGCACTCTGCCAGTCACACGAGGCAGGCCCATGATGTTGCAAAAGGAGTGCACTGCGATGCATGCTAGCAGACTGCCTGTGCGCATGAAGATGAAACTCGCATACCAGCCAAAGATGGAGGTGTATGTGAATTGCACAAACGACACGAGACAGGCCTGTGCAAGCTGACCAGGGTTTTGTCGAGTTCTCTCGTAGATGTGGTGAACATGTGCAAGACCAAAGTAGAGAGGCGTGATGAAGACAATGTAGCCTGGTTTGACAGAAGCGTAAAAGTGCAAGGGGATGATGCAAGCTCGAAAGACAAATTCTTCCGTTGCTGGTCCTGCAATGTAGTTGCGCACACCTGTCCAAGCGAATAGACCATGCACTATGTCTCTTGGGAAATCCATCCATCCGCGATCAGCGACAAAGTACTCAAATAACGGCCCTGCAAACAGCGTAGCCGTTAATGCAAGCGACCACACCACTTCTTGGGGCTTCATGGTCAGACCAAGGATACGTTTCGCGGCAGAGACAAGGCTGTCGTGTGCTCCCATGCCAATATAGACAGTGCATGCCGCACACACTGCTGAGGCGAAAGAAACAGCCGCGATTCGTGTTTTGATGACGGTTGGATGATCCTTGGAAATGAGGCGTGTGGGACGGCTGCTCGGATGCAGATAGAGAACTGCCACATACAGCAGTGTGTAGGCGACACTGAGGGAGGCTGCCAACTCTAGCGAGATGATGTGCAGCATGTTTATAGAGCTGGGGAGATATGGGAAGGCCTTGTTGATGCGTGTCAAAGGTAAATTTTGGATCATTTTTTTCGGATTGCTTTTATATAACACCAAGGGATTTGGACTGACTGCCGGCGACTTGGTGTAGAGGTTATCACGCAAGCTTTACACGCTTGAAATCATGGGTTCGACCCCCATAGTTGTCATCCGATTCAATTTTGATCAATCGTTCTACAACTTGGGAAAAGGCACAGTTAGTATTTTGCCCCATCCTGCAGTCCTGAATGGCATAATCCAGCTCGTCTGAGCCAACCTATCTGCTTCTACCTTGCTCCTGCGTCTCCTGCACCCAGGTCTTTTCAGATGGGCTTCATGTTTTTGTCGCGTGTTCAAAAATGTCATCGCAGAGCAGACACGACTCAATCTCCACGCGCTGCGATGGAGTCCAGCTCACCTGGCCTGGGTATTCGGATGTCCAATGCGTCACCTATGGAAACACCTGGTGATGCTGCCAACAGACGCGCGGGGAAACCCAGTCATCTAGCCTTCAATTTCGAAAGCATCAGCGCCAGTCCGCCAACACAACGCGGTGCAGGAAGCCTATCGCCTGTCGTCAAGTCGCGACGTGGTCATCAGTATGGTCTCTTGATGTTTTGATGAATCTTACTAACGCCTAGTCACAAACACTCACTATCACATCAAATTTTCCTCCCACCACCTCAAAGGGCGCCTCTCTCCCTGCCAGCGTCCTTTCACGTACCGACCTGGCGTGAAGTAGCCTCCAGCTGTACTTCAGATCAGCAGCTGGCATTCCTTTGGAGTCTTATTCATCTGAGCATCTCCGCAGCGGTCGTCAAATTCAATGCTGCATCTTTAGCGGTCGCTGCTATTGCCAAGCTAGTCGCCTTTGATGCGCTTGGCGTCTTTTGCTCTGCCTTGTTTGAAGTGCTGGATAACTTCCCAGTCTGGCAAAAGTCTTCCATCCAACATCCATTCGGCTTGAAGCGCGCCCAAGTGGTGGTCAACTTTGGTCAGGCAGTCTACCTGACCTATGCTGGCTTCGAACTCATTCGAGAGATCATGGAACATGCAGTACTTGGTGGTGGCCATGGTCATGGTTCAAGCGACAGCGTTCACATGGATCCGCATTCCTTATCATCATCGGGTAATATGCCACTCAGTATGGCAGTCGTATGCGTTGCAACACTCTTTTCTCGCATCGTCTATGGCAACCATGGCCACCTCGTACAAATTATCGACCTCGATGGCGCCCCTCAATTATTGCAAAATCCATTCGCAATACTGACGCTGCTCCCTGCAGCGATGTTATTGGGCCTCTCAGCACTCGGCATGCATCTACACGCCATGCTTGATCGTGCACTGACCGCATTCATCGCAGCCATCATCACCTATATCGGCAGTCTTCTCATCTTTCGACTCGGTTCAATCTTGCTCATGACATACCCATCCACGCAGCTCGATGCCTTCTATCATGCCATTCAGCAAGATGACGAAGGCATTGTTGAGTTACTTGATGGCAAAACCTGGCAAGTCTGGTCGAACCTCGTTGTTGTTGGCATTCGCGTTGTTGTTCGCGGTGGCGAAACAGGCGAAATTCGAGCGCGTGAGCGGATTGCTAGGTTGGCACGTAATGTACTGGGCGGTGGGTATGGGAGTGGCAAGCAGATTCGCTTCTCTGTGCATGTCGAGTGCGAACGCAGTAGCATTTGACTTTAATGATTCTTCCATGTCGAAAGCGACAGCATCTTCAATTTAGACGTTTGACTAATCTTCATTATGCATCAGGGCTAGACAGTCTTCTCTGCAGGCACCGTCGTCGCCGGCTTGGGCTTGGTTTCTTTCTTCTTGTGCTTTTTCTTGTGCGCATTCGCGACAAGTGTCTCAAAGACACGGCCCTCGTCGCCTTCTTCTGGTTGGACACCAAGAAAGACGTTGCCCATGATGATCATCGCTTGTGCACGCTGAATACGCTTCTCTTTAGGCAGCGTCTTTGCCAGGACGCGATCACAAACTTCCCTGAGTACACCACCAATCTCATACTTGGTACCCGCCCAGGACGCTGCAAGCACTTTGCCAGTCATCTCTTCCTCCATCTCTCGTTTGATTTCTTCATTCCACTCATCACCACCCTTCTCCTCCATCCGAGCAACACGTTCAGCAGTCATTTGTGCATCAACTGCAACGGAGAGCGTGTTCCACGTGTCCTTGACGATCCCACCCTTCTCCTTCATCTTGCCAAAGAAGGAGCCCATGAACTTTTGCGACTTGAGGGCCAGCTCAGCTTTTTGAACATAAACGCCGCCAATGGCATGCAGCAATTCTACTCCAAACGACTCCATCTTCAGATTTTCCGCTTCATACTTGCATTTCATCTGGAATGCTGATGTCGTTTCTGGTGAGCGTTCTGATTCGGTCCACACAGAGATGCGCTCAATGAGCTTCTTTTCAAGCGCAGTGATGCGTTCTTCGCGGATCTTGAGACGTTCTTGCTCGTACGCTAAATGTGAGATTCATCGACAAACGATCGTTTTCTTACCATGAAGTTCAGCGCGCTGTTCTTTGGTCAAGCCACCCTTTCGTTTACCTTCTTTGCGCAAAGACTTTTCCTTCTCTGACATACCAGCTGCTGCCATTTCGGCTTCATCGCCGGCAGTCAAGCGTAGTTGTTCCATACGCTGAGCAACCGGCGTCTCTGAATTAGTCGCTGTTGCACCAGAAACGCCAGTAGTCGTTGTGCCTGTCACGCCTGAAGCTGCCTCTGTCTCTGCTTTGAGTCGTTCAAGTTCTTCTGCCTCTTCGCGTTCGGCCTTTTCCTGCATCTCCATCGCTTTACCCATATCCTTAAGTAACGAAAGCTCACCAATTCTGGCAAATTGTCAGCTTTCTCATTGCCGCATCTAGATGAGAATAAACTCATTCAGCAGGGGACAGACAGTGCTCCCCGTCAAATGAGATACCGTCGGAATCGTGCATACAGATCTGCAAACGCATCGCCGCCAAAGAGCGTCGAAAAGAACTCTGTCGGATCGACGAAACCAGAATTTGGCTTCGCCTTTTCCTTTCCATACTTATCATACGCAGCACGAAGATCCGGATCGCTTAGTACTTGAAAGGCTTCCCCAATCTTCTGGAAGCGGACGGAAGCGCCTTCTGGATCATCGGGATTCTTGTCTGGGTGATTGATGATGGCGGCTTTGCGATACGCTTTCTTGATGGAAAGTGGATCGGCATCTGGCGCAATACCTAGCAGGTCGTAGTACTCTGTCTCCTTGACCATGCCCAATCAATCGTATTTGCGAAAGTGAGGGACGTTGACGTTAAATGTTTTTGTCTGCGGCGTCATTGCGCAGTTTCCAAATTTGATCCCGGCAAGAGCTCGAGGAGGTTTGGAGGAAAACTAGCAAACTACAACTATTATATAGGATGCAACTCAGCATATAACATCGTTGCGGGAAGAATCGTCGCATTCAAGTAAGATGCTCGAGCGGGTCGTAAAAGATCTTGATCGCGGGGCACCAGTCCGACAGACGCTTCATGACGTCCTTGTTTTCCCACTCAGGGGAAACAGTCCCTCCTCCAGAATGCATGCCAAGTGGCTTCCATGCCCTATCTTGTTAGCTGCCATCAGGAAAAGAAAGAACCTTGCCATTCACCCATGCTTTGCCAGCAATTCTCGACCGAGAAACCACCTTGATGTCGTGTTGGCCACTTGACACCGGGCAAACGTCCAAGATTCTGAGAACAGACGTCTTCCGGATCTGCTTCTCTTCATGACGCACGTCGGAATCTGTCGTCAGTTTGATGAGTGAAGACCGCTTTTTCATTGAAGGTCCACCATTGCCTCCTTGTACATCGGGTCTGTCCTCCCAGCCCCAGGGCACACCTACCCAATCAAAACCAACTCAATCCGCAATGGAATCCGGTGACTCGATGCTTTGCTCCGAGTCTGACTGGAAGAATAGAATCCATTCGCCCGGTAGAGCTAGGTCTGCCGTCGCCAGTAATTGACACTAGTAGATTGACGGCTTGCGGGTTGACGAGGAGCACGAAAGTCTGTACAGAAATGATCACTAGAAGCCCATTATACTTCATATCGATGGTAAGTCACTGGTGAAATCAAGAGCAATAGAGCTAAGGAGCCATGCACCAATGGCGATAGTCTTTTGGTCCGGTGACGAGACGGAGGGAGCAAATATGGCAGTCATGGCCGTAAATGAACAGGTGAGATGATGACTATTGAGCTTTGCAAGACGAGAATGTATGTGCATTCGGAGTTGGTATGCGAGCAGGCTGGAACCCAGGTCAAGTGCATATATGTCCCATTCGTGCGTGGTATGTGGTAAAACTACGTGTCGCGTTTCGGAAATTGGATGCGTGACCGACTCGAGCCTGCAGACCCCGGTCTTACCACCTACCATCAGTTTCTGTCACTAGACTGTCTATGCGGATACTGCCATGCTGCTCAATGATGCCCTAGTAGCTGCTACAGCGCTTAAATTGCTTCTCATACCCACCTAGTAAGCCTTTGAACGACCAAAACACCCCAGCTCATATCGTCAGCAGATCGACTGATTTTGAAGTACATCGCAATTGGCTTGCCATCACACATTCGTTGCCTATACAAGACTGGTACTTTGATACTACCTCAGAGTGGACTCTTGACTATCCTCCCTTCTTCGCGTATTTTGAATGGGCTCTGTCGCAAGTCGCGCGCTTTGTTGATCCTGCGATGCTGCGTGTCGATAATCTTGGCTATGCTTCATCCAGGACAATCGTTTTCCAGCGCTTGACTGTGATATTCTCTGAACTAGTCTTGTTCCTTGCCCTCAAAAGGTAGTCACGCTATTCACAAATCATCTAATCCCTAGATTGAGCAAATCCAATAAAATCGGTGGGTCACATCTGGTCGCGCTGAGCATCTTCCTTTCGCCAGGTTTCCTCATTATTGATCATATTCACTTTCAGTACAATGGTTTCATGTATGGCATTCTGCTCTATTCGCTCTACTATGCCGCTGAGCAGCCAATCCTGTCAGGCTCTCTGTTCGCAACGCTATTGTGCTTCAAACACATCTACCTCTACTTGGCACCGGCCTACTTCGTCTATCTACTGCGAAAAGTTGTTCTCACTAGCGACATGCGCGGCATCCACTTCCAAAGTACAGTCAGACTTGGCTTCGCTGTGCTTGCTCCATTCATCTTGGCATTCGGGCCTTTTGTCTTGATGGGCCAAACTCAACAAGTCCTGAGCCGCCTGTTTCCGTTTAGCAGGGGCTTATGCCATGCGTACTGGGCGCCAAACTTCTGGGCGCTTTACTCATTCGTGGATCGTGTCGCTATTCAATTTGCGCCAATGCTTGGCCTCCGCTTGTCCAAGGACGCTCTGGCAAGCGGCACACGTGGACTCGTTGGCAATACCGATTTCGCATGGCTACCTGACGTGACACCACGAGCGACTTTTGTTCTGACTGCAACTATCCAGCTTGTAGCTGGCATTAAGCTGTTTCGTCGTCCGTTGTATGAAGTTTTCATTGGCCACGTCACGATGTGTGCCTATGCAAGCTTCTTCTTTGGTTGGCATGTCCACGAAAAGGCGGTTCTACTCATTATCCTCCCAGCAACACTCCTGGCTCTCAAAGATACGCGCTTTCTGTTTGCATTCACGCCACTCATGCAAGCAGGCTACATGTCACTCTTGCCACTCATTTTCACTGGTCAAGAAACACCGCTGGTGCTCGCCTACACAACAGCCTATTTGCTCTTCTTCATGCGCGCTTTTGACGAAAAGGCCCCGCCTCCACAGAAAGAACGCTTCTTCCTGATGGACAGGATCGGAAGACTATACACAGCAGCGTTTGTGCCCATCGTCATCTTCAACTACATCTTGCACCCCTTGCTGCTGTCTGAACGCAAATCTATTACGTTCCTGCCACTGATGTTGATGAGCGTGTATTGCGCATGGGGCATTCTGTGGAGTTTCCTTGGTTTCAGCGTTCTGTACTTCACTCAGCTCTGAGCTGCCGATATTTCATCCAAACGATCGAGTGCCATTCCCAAAATCATGTCTCGCGTGTCATCTTGATGAAGGCCCAGTCTTCCGCGAGCTGTCGCAGACCATGCTCTGATGAGACCCGTGTCGCAGGATCTCTTTGAGTTCACCAGGAAGATGGCAAAATTTGCAGCTTGGATTTGTTCTTGGGTATCTCGCGATACATCTCCAAAGACAAGCTTGCAGTACTGCGCGATACGCGACTCGTCAGTCCAATAGCTGTCGCCGCCTGCAATTCGATCTTTGACAAGGCCGATGATGACAGGTCTCAATGCTGACAGATCGTCCGGCAGGTCCGTCAGTGTTTCAACGAAAAAGTTGTGGGCGAGCTCATTGGATCCAAGAAGCAGTAAGCTCTCTGCAGCAAGCATCGCAGCATGCCGTATGAGATCTATCGGTTGGCGTGCCGCGATCGAGCTGAGTAGTTGGATAAGTAAGATGAGGTCGCCATTGGCTTCCGATGACGGAACCTGCGAAGTCCCATTGGGGGAGATCTTCAAGCGTTCGATACGCAGCAATACCATAGCAACTAGCCCATCAGTCACTTCAGGGAGCCTATTGGTAACATTGAAACTGTATCGGATCAAGCATTCATTGAGCTGCTCAAAGCTGTATTCTGCCATTTCAGGAACACTTTCCACTGAGCAGAGTCCTTCTGCGACCAGTAAGATGGCCCCCTGACTTTCGACAGAAACCTCAGCATCATCATCTTCTCCGAGCGAGTCGACATCTGTAATGTTAGCTCTTTTTCAAAGGCGTTGTGACGTACCGTCGTCGCCTTCATCAGGGTGCAAGACTGCTGAAGAGAAGTGATCCCAGTCAAAGCCCATATCTCTGCTGAAATCCGTCAAAGGGTATAAAGCCTCCCTGCTTTTAGTTGGTGAAATGCTGCCATTTTGTGGCAATCTCTTGGGATAGTACCTTGAAACTATCGTCTCGCATAGCAACGGTCTATCAGTCTTGCCAATGTGACGGGCCACATAGCTGACGAAGCTTCTCTTCAAGTCTGCAAATGCCTTTTGCTGGTCTTCGCCTTCAGCAAGCGATTGGAGTCTAGAAATGGCACCATACTTGGAGCTAGCTGCGATGCGTTGCATCAACCAAATCAAAGCATCCGAATCTTCCAGTGTAGCAAAGTGACTGGACAGGACGAGCAGAGCCTTTGTATATTCGGAGAGGAATCTGGACGGTCTGTTGGTCTTGATGGCCAGTATGCACTGCTCTAATGCACATGCAAGTTGCTTGCCACATTCGACAAGCCCTGCTCTATTTTCCTTTGTTGCAATACTGGCTTGAAGCGTAGAGCAGGCTTCACATAGGCTGACCAGTACTTCTCTTGAATTACCAAGCTCGACAAGGAGATGCAGTAGCTCTGAAGCAGATTCAAGCACTGCTTGGGATCTTGTTTGCAGGAAAGGCGTGATGGCCTTGACTAGATCCCAGGCGATGTTCTCTGCGGAGGTTTTCTACCATGTGAGCCAGGAATGCAGAAGCTTGGTTGGAATACATTGATATCTCTTTTGAGACTAGTCTGTAGTTTCTGCAAGACGAGTAGTTGTGTAGCTTCATCTGTTTCCAAAGCTCGACCCAGACGATCATCTATGAAGATGGCCTGAGACGTCCAATCATCGGGAAAGTCCATGAAGACCTTGTCAAAGTCAAGCGAGAGACTTGCAAGCGGATCATCGATGGCTTCTTTGCCAGTTTCAACCATAGATGTCATGACTAGTACATGGACGTCGTCGTCTTGTGAGATGGGTTCGACGTTAAATAGTGCAAAACTACGCTATGTGCATACAAATTCACCGCTTGTACATGTCCGCACTGTCATAATCGCTCTGAACAGCCTGTAATCGTGCCGCGTGAGCAAACATGGCATTCACGTCTAGCGTTTTCGAAGCACCCAACAGCGCAGGCGCGTCTGTCTCTGAGAATCCCTCTTCAGGCTCCTTCATGGTCAAATCCACTTGCGGGCGTACTGTTGCCACAACGGGCTTCTGAGGCGCTTCTCGGACAGCTGATGAGCGTGCTTGCTTTTCTTTGACCTTCTTGACTTTGTGAGGCTTTGTTGGAGCTGCACCAACAGGACCGCGCTCAAAAGACTCTGGGTCATATTGATCGCCAGTAACATGTTCCAGTTCAGACATTTGCACATCAAGACCATCTTCAGAGAACCCTTCTTCCGGCTCCTTTTGGGTCAAGTCAACCTGCTTGGGTAGATCAGGCACTGCTTGCGGCGGGACCTGTCGTCTCTTTGGCGAGCTTGCACGAGGTATTGGCTTGTCGTGTACCTTCTCCTTGACTTGTTCAGACTTCCTTGGGTTTGATCGTTCCGTGCTGACTTCCTTCTTCACTTCCATAGGCTGCGCGAGAGCTTCTTGCACTGTGATAGCAGTAGGCGACTTGGCCAAGACTGCGACAGGAATAGGCTCCTTGACTCGCTCCGTTACAGGCTTCGATTTACCCGCAGCCGTCTTTCTCGATCGCCTACCAGCCCTTTGCATTGCTGCAAACAACTCGGCTCTATCCTTGCTGTCCCAAATCCAGATTCCCCAGATATCCTCGCCTGTTCGGTGGATGATGTAGCCTTCTGTTTCCATAACATCTTGGTCTGACTCTATATCGCGCGAGAAGCAGTCTAGCGATAGTCTGTTGAGGATGCGATAGCCACACAGCCTGGCTTGCGTCTCGTAGACAAAGAGAGTGCCCTCGTAGGGTAGCTTGGCCCAGGAGCCTTCGGTGATGGAGTAGTTGTATAGGACGACATAAGGTGTCTGTTTGCGGATACCTCTGATGCCTGCCTCGTGTCCCTTGAGCACGCGCAGGTTGATTTCGTCTCGTATGTGCATTGCTAGCTGCAGACTGCTCGCTGTCTGTGTGTCTCTTGGATGATGCGTTCTCGTCGTGGAATCGCGCAAGAAAACATCAAAAGAAGCCGACTTCAAGACACAAACAGCTTCAAGGCGTCGGCAGGCAGAGGCATCGAGGGCAGAGCAAGGCACAGCGGCGGCCATGGTCGATCTCAGGCTCACGGGGCGGCACATTCTCGGCATCGCCATCCTCGGCGTCGTCGTCACTCTATGGGTCGCCTCGTCCTTCTTGATGCGCTCCATCTTCGGGGAGACCAAGTCCTACGATAAGCCCTTCTTTGTGACCTGGATCAATACGGGGACCTTCTCCTTCTATCTCATTCCCTGGGCTCTTCGTTCAATATTCAAAAAGGCGCCAAAGAAGGACGAACAGGCAAAAGATAGCCATACGACACTCGGTCGCCAGCAAAATAGGGTGCGCTACGATCGCGTGAGCACAGAGGATACAGCTATTAAGCCAGATATCGAAGAAGAAAGAAGGTCAGCAGATCCTGAGGACGAAGGAATTGAATTGACATCGAATAGCAATGCCGCCTCACCACTACTGCGCTCGCCCACAGCAAGACGGCCTCTCGCTGTGCATGGTCACGCAACAGAAGCAAGAGGCTCTCATTCACATGATTTGCATCGGTCTGCTCCCTTTGAGCATCGTCTGCGCTCAGGAACCATGACTGATTCGATCCGCACATTCGGAGACCAGGATGTGATTGATTGCTCGGAACATGAACCGCTGACTACATACGAGACTGCAAAGCTCGGCTGCGTCTTCTCACTCATCTGGTTTGCGGCTAACTACTTTGGTTCGTACACTACACTTTCAGGATCAAGCTAATTCCAGGCAATATTTCCTTGTCGTATACAAATGTGGCGAGCTTGTGCGTTCCAGCCTTCACATTCACGCAAGGCTAACATTAGTACAATCATCTCGTCGCTCAGTGGGTTCTTTACCCTCGCACTTGGCTCGCTGCTTCGGGTGGAATCATTCACCATGACAAAGATCTACGCTCTCATCATCTCCATCATTGGTGTTGGTCTCGTGGCCACACAAGATACAGGAGCGCCAGACCATAATGATGGCAAAGTCGTATTTCTCACTGACTTGATTATCGGCGACATTCTTGCATTGATCGGCGCCGCGCTCTATGGTTGCTACACCGTCTTCCTCAAGTACAAAGTTCGCAATGAAGAACGTGTCAGCATGCCACTCTTTTTCGGCTTTGTCGGTGTCTTCAATGTCCTTGTACTCTGGCCGGCCATTTTCGTGCTCGATGCCTTTGGCATGGAACCATTCGAGCTGCCACAATCACGAGACATCTGGCTGGTCGTTTTGTGCAATGCACTCATCACGTTCGTCTCTGACTATCTCTGGGTCTTGGCAATGCTCATGACGAGCCCTCTTGTGGTGACCGTCGGTATCAGCATGTCCATTCCTCTCGCATTGCTCGGTGATCACCTCATCTATCACAATGCCGGCTCTTGGGTCTTCTTCCTTGGAGCATTGATGGTCTTCGCCAGCTTCATTGCTATCAATTTGACATTCGAGTCGAAAGACACTCGGCCCGCGATAGCTGGCTCATCTGCAGCTGATGCATCTGAGCCGGTATGATTTACGAAAATTCGTCTTCAATCACTTTCCGATGTCACATCATTGTCTTGCAATAGATTCTTTCTCGGTCTTCCCCTTTTCCTCGGCGACGGCAGATCAGCATGCTCAAAATGCTTCGCAAACGCATCTTCCAAGAGGCGAACGTGTTCACGCACTTCAACTTCCTCAAGGCCACTCACAAGACTCGCCAGCTCTAGCAGCACGTCCCAAAGCTCTCGTCTTGCAGGTATTTCTAGCTCCGTCAGCTGATGACCTTGACCGGGCCGCTTGGCATTCGTGTGGCGTGGGCCAGTCCTCATATACAATTCCCTCACGGCCTCAGCGAGGGTATCCCTATGCGGCGCCTTCTCTGCTTGCGTCTGCGTTTCTCCCATCGCACGACCAGTCGCCACTGGAAACATGTTCAGGATGGGTGCAGGCATTGCTCCCTTCAAGGTCCGTGCAGTCTTGGGACGCTCCTGCGCCCATTGTGTGGCAAAGTAATCAAGGTACTCGTCCATTTCCTTGCCACTCATATGAACGACTTGGTCTGCTGTTGTCTTGCTAGCGACATGAACGCCGAGAAGGGTAGAAATGCGCGTTTTCAGGTGTTGTTGAAATAATTCCAGGTTTGGTCCACGCACGGGCGGCTCTAGTGCGCTTTGTGTCCCGCGTTGAATGCCATCAAGGTTATAAAAGAGTTTAGCAACAATCAGCGTTAATGCCAGTAAACGCTCTTCAGGACTCGCTCGTTTCAACTTTCGCGGGATGATGCCTGAGGTTGACCATTGGCCGATAGTGAGGGTCAGGTCAACCGGTAGAGTGTCTACTAGGTGCAATACAGCATTCATGACGTCCACTAGATGTTAGCATCATAGACTTACAGCGGTGACTTGCATGGTAAGAAGAGTTCCTTGACATAATGAAGCACGACAGGTGGCGCATTGAGTGGTGCAAAATGAATGCCTGCCTTCAAGGAAAGGAAATCTCCAGTGTGCATGGCCCACTGCCAGAGTCGATGGACTGTCGGAACTGATTTAGGCTGCAGGCGCTCATGGTAGTGACCATCGAGTCTAATGAACAATTCATCGGGCAATAGATTACGACTGTGTAGGAAGAGCAAGTCTCCGTTAATGAGCCATGTATGCAGTTCCTTGAACGTGATTGGCACTCGCAGAAGGTTGAGGGAGAGGTAGCAGATTGAGAAGATGTGCAACAAACCTGGTGAATGCATTTGGTAGCGTTTGCTGCGATAGACTCTCGTCTTTGGGCCTTCAGAAACTCCTTGCTGAGTGTCGCTACCAGCCAAATTTGGCATCTGGCTGCTTTCAGGGTCAGAATCATCTTGTGATGCTGGACGTTGATTGTCTGGTTCTGGCTGCGGTAATCGTGTATGTACTTCGCTTGCTTCTAGCAATGCCTGCCATAGCTGCTTGCCTAGCGATTCAAGTCCGGAGATACTCAATTTGAGTTGCAAAAACTGTAGCTGCGCCTTCAGCACGCATTGAAGTGCTTGCAGGTAGATCAGAAAGCCAGCCTTGCCATAGACACGAGTTTGTCGTTTCGATGGGTCATCCTCTGTTACTTCTTTTGCTTCACGTTTTCTGCGATTACCAAAACCCCCTGCCATACCCTCCTCATCGTCAATCTCATAGTCAACATCTCCTTCACGCAAGTGATTGTTTCGGCAGAAGGTCTGGCCGTCTGCTTTGTAGTAGTAGCGCGAACGACAATTGTCTTTGCCGCAGATTGGGCCTTTCACGAAGCGAGGGCGACTCATAAGAGATTATTGAGTATAGCAGAGTTTATGAGCAGCTGAGATTGATAGCTTTGAAATTCATCGAAGTGGAGGTGTGGTTCATCCACGAAGCTGAGGTCGCCTGCCCAGATGATTAGGCATGCACTCCTCCCAAGACTGGAAGCGTGAGAGTGCCAATGAGAGCGCTTGAACTGGGTGCAAGAGGCAGAACATCTCAGCCAATCATCTGCGGTAAAAGAGCAAAGATCAGAGCCAATCATAATCGCGAGTGTGCAGCGAACTTTGTGTACAGCGACAAGTTGACAACAGCAATCTGAACATCCTACTACTACTTCCGTGCATAGCTAAAGCGCATATTGCTTCGCTCTTTTGTCCATAGAGGCTGTCGTTTGGGGCTCCAGCATCGCACATCGACTGCTGAAATACAAGCATATTCATCGCCCGTCCCAAAGATATGGCCAGGCCAAAGGGCAGCAAAAGCAGACCAGGCGCGGGTAAACCTGGTCGTGCATCCGCAGTGGAAAGAGCTGCCAAAGCTCCAGGTCAGACAAGACTAACTTGTAAGAAATTTGAGTCAGTACCGTCAACAGAATCTGACCATAAGTTGCCACGGTAACACGCTCGAATGAACACGGAGTAGCATCTGCAGCTCTGGAAGATGCAGTGACACCTATCGAAGACGGCGATGCAGCTCTTAACAACGTGGAATTTGCACCGCCAGCAATCACGACGGGACAAAATCCTGCTTCTTCATCTGCAGTCGCCAGGGATGAGGATGATGTGGGTATGGCAGCCTTGGACGACTCAGAGGTAGTTGGCAATGCACATAATGCAAGTACTGCAGTCATGGCGCCAGACGCGACTGAATATTCTCCAAGTGCTGCCAATGATCTTCCCAACGTCCAAAGGGACAACAATACAAACCAAGTAGCCGGCGGTCTTGTCAACAACGATGATCCCAGTAGGGAGGCGACCACTAAAGAGGGCCTCGATATCGAGGAGAGCGATGGCAATTCAATTGAAGTGGACTTCATCGATGAAATCAGAGCTAAAGTTCAAGACAAAAGGATCAAGCTCTACGAGGAAGGTTCGTCGCTTTGGATTCATCCGCCAGATCCAACGATTCACCTGATCGATAATCCGAATGATGTGAAGGTCCTCTTCCATCCTTCAGTCTTCGTTTGGCATCCAGCTCTTTTGAGCAGGTCTGGGAACAAGACCGGGAAACTCGATGAAGAAAGCCGTCTTCCATGTCCACGATGCAAGGACGGGTTACGCTTCAAAGGATGGTGTGATTCACCGACCGCTCGGCGCATACATGACGACGGGAGGCATTTTTTATTGATGGCCTATTGCTACTGCTGCAAAAATCCATCTTGCAGCTTGGAAACCATCAGTGCAGCCGATACCGAGTTGCTAGAGTCTCTACCTTACGGCCTGCAACTTGCATTTCCGGCTATTCTCAGTCATCGTTCTGGCATTTCCAAACGACTTTTTGAGCGCTTTCAGGACAGTATTGCCAATGGCTGTGGTCCGGAACACTTCAGGCAACTATTAAACAACAGTGCCCTGCGACGATTCCAAACCTTGAACGAGATGTACCTAGATAACATCAAGGTGTGCTTGTCGGGAAAGCAAACGGATTTTCAGACGTCCTTCGACGCCAATATGCCAAAATCTAGTGACGAATTCAGGTCATTTGGTGAATTTAATGATCCCTTGCAGTACAATGGAGTCGTACCTAGTGTTCACTGGTTGACTGATTTGTACACAAAGGAGATGGCCAGGCGGAAGCCTCCCTTGGACAAGCGATCCCCGATACCATTCGGACCGAATTCTCATGTGCGCAACCTTGGACTGCCCAGACCGCCTGAACAGCCTGTCAGGCTTATAAATCTCGCCGCTTCTGCACCAGTACCACGGCCTGTTGATCTCTGTGCGCCCGAAATTTTCATCGAAAAGAACAGGCAGTCAAGCGATATACACAGAGCCTGCAAGAGATGCAGCCTCAAAACATGCGGTGCATATCATGGAGCATTTTGTGTGCTTCATCCCAAAAATTTGAGTCGTGCTGAGCGCTCCTTAAGGTCAGGAAAGTTCAGGCCTGAAGTTTTGAGGTTATGGAATTGCTGGCATGTATTGCAGTACGAACGCAAGAGGAGTTCAAGCTCGTTATTGCCTACAGCTTGCACCATAAATCGCACAACATTTTTAGACAAGCTCCATTCTGATCTGGCGAGCAGATCAAGCAAGCTGCTCGGCTTCCTTCAATCGGACGCAAACTTTATTCAGGATCTATTGAAAGCATACATTGAGGAAAGAATAGTCTACAACCCTTTTGTTCAAGGAAGTGATCTGTAGAGAAAGATGCAGACACGCGAGTTCGCCCTCAACAAAGCCATCTGATGATTTGCGCTCCTCGAAGTATTGAAGCAGGTGACCAGGCCGTCAGGGAAGACAGTCGCCAACATGAATCAGTATCATAGGCGCTTCGATACTTACTCAAGGCTACTCATCTTTGCATCTCATGCTGATGCAACGGCTAGTACTGCCAATCGAGATCTTGCAATGTCTAGAGCCGACTTGTATCACAACAAGCCAGTTGTAATCGAAGCGTCGCGTTTGTCGTGAAGAACAGCGGTGGTATACCTATCCCCTAGCCACCAAACGCCATTGAGCACTCACGAATGCCGCTCCGTTGTAGACGGCAAGGACGTCAAGGTTGCATGAATCAGCCTGAGCAGAATCGTGTTTCTAACTTTTTGAAACGCTCTTCTTCTGGGTACCCTGATCTAAGGTGGCGTCTAGCACACCGCGTAGCGCATTGAAGATGATGACTGACTCACCGTTCTGCAACTCGTCTTTGTGAATATCGCCTTCAGTGATCATATCCTGGTTGAGTAAACACCGGCGCATGACGCCTGCCAGGCAACCGCTCTCAACCCGCGGCGTGATCCACTTCCCTTGCCTCCGAACAGCTATACTTGAGATGGTACCCTCTGTAATCAAGCCTTGCTTGTTGTAGAGCAGCACCTCCTGATGAGCGGTGTAAGAAGTGCCGAGCCGCTTGACAGGCTCCTCGTAATGCTCGCGAAGTGTTGTTTTGTGCTGCACAAGTCGCAAATCTGCGTCAACCGGACGGACATCTAGTAGAACGGTCCAAGAGCTGTCTGTAGTGACAGTCTCATCAGGGCCAAATGCATGCACTTCTTTTTGCGCCAAAGAACCAAACAAGTTTCTTTGCACTTCCCAAGAGAAGGCTTCTGCTGAAAAGAGACCATCAGAGCCACACAGAAGACGTATACGTAGCGTCAGATGAGCACGCGTACTGATTGCTTGGTAGAGAGCTCGATCAAAGTCTTGTCGTTGTGGCGTAGGCCAAGCAAAGCTTTTGCTGGACGCAACGAGGCGGTCGTAGTGCAAATCGGCCAGGAAGAAGCTACATGACGTATAGAGGATACTAGATAAAAGCTTGCATTCTTTGGGAAGACTCTTTTCATCCCCTTCAGACATGCTTACGAGACTTGAAGGTGGACTGCGGTGGCATGCTCGAGCCCGAGTCCCACGCTCAGAGTCATTTTCAGATGGTGATTCCTAGATATCCTCAAGGACACCGACCCTCGCTTGCCTGAATCGTCAAGTCTGCTCATTTGTAAATTTGGGTTGTACCCTCAAGGACACCGACCCTCGCTTGCCTGAATCGTCAAGTCTGCTCATTTGTAAATTTGGGTTGTACATGAGCCAGTCACTTTGAGAGGCTGACGTGCTGAATCATATCCACATATGCTTAAGCCATAAATATGTCTAAGTCATCTAGATTGAATCTCTATGCAGCCTGACTTACAAGCTCCTCGTCTACAGCATAGTCTGTATAGCCTTCCTCGCCTGGGGTATAGAAAGTATCACGATTGTACCGTGTCAGCTCCCGACCAAGCTTGAGCTTAGCGACCAGGTCTGGGTTAGAGATGAAGTAGCGACCAAAGACAATGACTGAGCGATCATCTTGCTCAGCCGTTTTGATGGCAATATCAGGTTTGAAACCACCTGCAAACAGGAAGGGACCCTTCCAGAGTGCCTTGGCAAATTCAAGCGACTCGGCTTCATTGTCGTCTTGGTCATCACCGCCCTGCACACGAGATTCAATCATGTGAATGTATGCCAGATCCCGGGGCAGGTTCTTGATGAGGTGTGAGAACTGTGGGATGGTGCGTTCTTCCATGCGCATGCCTTGGAAGCCAGACCAAGGAGAGAGCCTGATACCCGTCTTTGAAGCACCGATGGCAGCAACAATTGCTTCGATCGCTTCAATGGCGAAACGGGAGCGGTTCTCGATGGACCCACCATACTTGTCGGTTCTCTTGTTGCTTATATCTTGCGTGAACTGGTCGATAAGATAACCATTGGCGGCGTGAAGCTCCACTCCGTCGAAACCAGCCTCCATAGCGATTTTGGCAGCTGTAGCGTACTGTTGTACATATGCCTCAACTTCCTCCGTCGTCAGTGGTCGAGGCGTTGGTGCTCCCTTTTCCATTGGGATATCTGAAGCAGAGACGAGATCGTGACCGAGCGCCGCGAGTGCCTCCTTGCTAGCGGTACGACCGAGAGCCCAAAGTTGGCAGTAGATGAAGGACTTCTTCTCGTGCACAGCATCGGTCACTTTGCGCCAGACCTTGACTTGTTCGTCATTGAAAATGCCTGGACAGGTTGGGTAACCGCCTGCCTGCTCGCTGATGAAGGTGGCCTCCGTAACGAGAAGTGTACCTGGAACACTAGCACGCTGAGAGTAGTAATCGACTGCCTTCTCCCATGGGACATGGCCCTCCTTGGCTCGCATTCGCGTCAAGGGCGCCATGACGACGCGGTGCTTGAGCTCAATGTCGCCAACCTTGAGAGGCTTGAAAAGTTTACGATCTTCTTGAACCATGTTGAGTGTCGATGAATATCAGATGAGAATGAGATGAGGTACTTTCGGTGAGATATCGAGGCATCTTTATAGTCGCCACTGGGTACTTTGCATCATAGACCATTGCTAATCCGACAATTTCAAATCAAGAATCTTTCGAGGCGGCAGTTGAGGCTGAGTTGCCAGATTCAGTGAAGTCAGTGAATGTCAAAGAAGATCGCCAAGACGGGTAACCTCAAGCGAGGATTTCTCAGCAAGCGTCCGGCTGGCTACGCGCGTACAGGTACGGCGGCTAATTACGGCGGAGGGGACTCAAGACTGACCATGTACATAATGATGTACATAATGATGTACTATGTGATATGCTTATTCATTCTCGCACAGCTTTGTGTGACACAAGGCCGGAGATACATTCTGTGTAGTAGACTTATATGCACGGGATTATGCGCCTGATAAAATCTGAGCAGTCAAGTTTCCATTCACATGGCCCCGGTGCTGCGGAGCATCCAAGCATCGCGTGCACGTGCATTCACGTGGTGGTAACCCCTGTTCTAATTCATAGACAGCATGAGCGGCTGAGCCTCTCTCTACTCTGCTCCTCATCCGTATCAATCCTTCTTACACTTGCCAGATTGCTTGTGCTTGTAATTGTGCTTGACAAGTCACTATCCATGTCTTCCAACACTGTAACAAGTAGGACAACGTCGACAATATGGTCAGTGTAGACCGGGTCTCCCTTGATTACGAACTTTTGTCATACTTGTGCAACGATAGAATAGAACGTCTGATCTGAGTGACATAGGAGCGGTCCCGGGTCCAGCTCCTTCCAAAGCAATCATCGTACGGTCAGTGGGTCACCCCACTCGCAATCACAACCGGCCCCTCCCAAGGATGGAGCGCGAACTTGAGCCTCACAGCCTGCTGCAACATGTCTCTGACTTGGGCGACAAGCCTATTCCCGCGCTGCTTTGAGGGTAATCTATCGACACATGCCAAATTCTACACCATATAATCTATGATCTCAATCAAAGCCTCGCGAGCAGTGCATCGTCAACAGGATAGTCAGTGTAGCCCTGTTCGCCTTTCGTGTAGAACGTACTCCTGTCGTATTTGTCCAACGGCAGGCCGAGCTTGATCTGAGCGACAAGCAAGGGGTTTCGGATCCAAAGCCTTCCAAAGGCAATCATGGTACGGTCATCTTGCTCAGCAACCTGGATCGCAGACTCTGGCCTGAATCCTCCAGCAATCACAACCGGTCCCTTCCAAAGATCAAGTGCAAAGTTGAGCTTCTCTGCGTCGTCATCTGCCTTGTCAAAGATACCTTGTACGCGCGACTCTGTCATGTGCAGGTATGCCAAGTCTTTTGGCAAATTCTGAATTAGATGCGTAAACTGTGGGATCGTACCCTCGCCCATGCGCATACCCTGGAAGCCTGACCAAGGCGACAGGCGAATGGCCGTCCTATCTGCACCAATAGCCTTTGCAACAGCATTGATGGCTTCAAGGGCAAACCGAGAACGGTTCTCGATGGATCCACCATACTTGTCCGTCCTCTTGTTGCTTACAGACTGCGTGTGCTGGTCAATCAGATACCCGTTAGCTCCATGTAACTCCACTCCGTCGAAACCAGCCTCGATGGCAAGCTTCGCAGCTGTTGCGTATTGCTGAACGTAAGCTTCCACTTCTTGTGTCGTCAATGCTCTTGGCGTCGCAGCCTTAGCGTCCATAGGCACAGCCGAAGCAGAGACAAGATCATGTCCCAGAGACTTGAGAACCTTGGGCGTCGCCGCCCGTCCAAGCGCCCATAGCTGACAATAGATGTACGACCCCTTCGCATGCACGGCATCTGTAATTTTGCGCCATTTCTGAACTTGCTCGGCGTTGAAGATTCCTGGAGCATGTGGATAGCCACCAGCAGCCTCACTGATGAATGTTGCTTCACTGATGAGTAGTGTGCCTGGTACTGACCCGCGTTGAGCGTAGTACAAGGCTGCTTTCTCCCAGGGCATATGGCCCGGTGTTGCACGCATGCGGGTGAGAGGTGCAAGCACGAGCCTGTGTTTGAGTTCGAGGCTACCGACCTGCAGCGGCTGGAAGAGCTTTCTACTATCAGTCATGTTTAGATCTGTTGTATAGGAGTGTGGTGTGCACTGTGCTCGCAATGAACTTTTTGTGTTTCGGCCTCCGCAACGCCGTGCTCCGGAGATTACCAATTCTGGCAATTCAGTTGTGCAACCTCCCCTGATATAGTTGAAAATTGAAACTGAACTAATTACAATGTATGTGCGCAGGGAAAGGCTAGAGACGTGCTGAATTGTCCACACCCAACAACCAGGCATCTGAGCGCTCGCCCCTGTTTCTGGGTGAATTCCACCTAATTGCCATCTCTTGCAGTCTGTCATCCTTCAGTGTCACTGCTGCTTCTGTCAACAATGTCGCACAGACTCCATGAGCCACATCAAACATGACATCCTTCAGATCAGCTTCTTCTGCGATCGAAATGGGCGCCATGTTGAATCGCTCAGCAAGGACTTTTCGTGAAGCAGGATCCTTCAGCGCTCTAGCAAAGTCGAGCGAGAGAACCGAGACTGTGCCTTCCCAGATGATGTTGACCATCAAGTCTCGGTAGATCCGGGCAACATTGAACATTGGGTCTTGCGTCTCAATGTAACCAAGACCTCCCATTGCTTCGCAACATTCACCTACGCCGAGATGCGACTTTTTGGAGACAAACGCCTTGGCAAGAGGTGTCAGGCATCGCAGTAGGATACGCTCTTCAGGTGACGCAGTACCAGCCTCGTCCTTGCCGAGCAGCGCGGTGACATAGAACGACAAATGCGTGAGAGCTGTTAGTGTGACAAGCAGCTGTGTCATGGTCCTTTGATGCAATGGCTTCTGAATCAGCTTCTTGTCCTTAATCATGCGAACCTCCGAATAAGCCTTGACGATTCCATATGCTCTACGCAAACCAGAGCAAGCTGTGACTGCAGTGTAGATTCTCGTAATGTTCAAAATGGTGGAAATCGCCTTGACACCGCGACCCGCCTGGCCAATCAAGCGTGCAGGCACGCCATTCAATTCAAGTTCAGCAGTGGGCAAAGCATGCGTTCCAAGCTTATTCTTGAGCCTCGCAATCTGAATAGAAGAACCAGCTGCCTCCAAATCGACGAGGAAGAGAGAAATGCCCTCTTGCGTTTTAGCTAGGGCAAGGGACATGTTTGCATCTGTTGCGCTCGAGAACCATTTGAAGCCTGTAAGTCGATATCCAGTGCCATCATGTACCGCAACGGTCTCGTAATTGCTGAGGTCAGAACCCCCACTACGCTCCGTCATCCATTGACCACTCGTCCACATCTCCTCGGGATTTCGGCTAATGAGACGATCGTAAATGTCACGATCAAAGTCCTTCATGATGCGCGCAGCACCGTCTGCCATTGCAAGAGGACACAAGAATGTGGCCATGGAGCAATTCATGATGTAGAGACGAGCAAATTGCACTACGCGCGTTTTGTCGCCATACGCATTCTCATAGCCGACACTAACAAGGCCTTGCTCTGCTGCCACTTTCTTCATATATTTCCACCCAGCAGATGTGACTAGCTTGCTTGTCTTGTTGCCAAAGGTGTCGTAGTGTTCGACATAAGGCTGATTGCGCTCTGCTTCAGCGCAGTGCTCGAGCTGCTCGCGCGAGACGGCCAGGGCGCCCAATGCGCGCATATCCTTTTCTGTTGCCGCACGTACATCTGGAGACAAGTAAAGATTGAGGACCTGTTGGAGACTATCATCTGCATCGTACTGGTTTGCCAAGGCGAAGCCTTGCTGTATGAAGGGCGTGTGCTTCATGGGAACGGCGGTATTGATGTTCTCCACTTGATCTCGCGCGCGAGCTGGAGCACCACTTGACGACTGAATCTTTTGTTCTGGCATCTTGCGTCTGTACCTAACTGACCAAGTACAGCTGAGCTGCTCACTTTGCTTATGTGGTTGACAGATGCAGATGCGGTGGCAGTTGCCGGTCGAAAACGCGGGGGAGAAACTCGAAGTCGAGCACCAGATGGCACTGTACAACTCGACGCCTACCAAATTGACCACCTACTCAGTACGGAAAGACTTGTCGTATTGCTCCTGCAGCGCCTTGACCGACTCACGCGCTTGGTACACAACAGGCTCCACATCTTCCCGCTCCTTGATTCGCTCATTCAGCTTCACACGACCTGCGTCGCTCACCTTCTTCAATTCGCTGCGATACTTGTCAAAACCTCTTGCTGGACCCAGGTCAGTAAGAGCAGCGACACGCTTCTTTTTGATGTCTTCGAGACGCGCGGCAATAGATTCCTCGCTATCAATCGTTGTGATGTCAAATTTGTACTGCCACAAATCTGTAGCAGAAGGCATGGGTGGGCCAGTGACTGCTTTGTCATTGATGAAGCTGCGGCCTTCAATGCGCAACAACATACGTTCACGTTTCTCACCCTCCTTTGTTGGCATTTTCTCAGCCTTTGATTCCGTCGCTTTGGCAGGCGTGCCAGACTTGCTTTGATCCATGATTTGCTCAAGCGTACTCGACATGGACTCGAGCGTCTTCTTTGCCTTTTCCTTTTTCGGCGAAGACAATGTCTCAATTTGCTCATCATTCTGAGCAGCTTTCAGAGCAGCATAAAGCTCACCCTGTTGTCGCTTTTGGATCTCCTCCTCCGACATGGCTTCCACAACAATCTCCATCACAGGCTTCTTGCCCGTGGTTGTTTGGAAGGACAGACACATTGAACGGCCTGGGTACTTGTCAATGGCCATCTTGAGCACCTTGTCCAGCTGCTTCAAGCTCATGACAAACTCGCGACCAGCAATATTGTCTGTACTAGATCCATGTAGACACTCATCCATTTCATCAATTGAAATGTACTGGAAGCCAAAGATGCGCTCAGTATTGTGGTAAGCCACAAAGATACCGTCCATCTTGCCAATTCTCACCTGCAACGAGTATTTGAGGAATGCAGCACGAATCATGTCATAGTATTCACGCTCAAAGGATTCCAGTATGCCTGTGGATCGTACGATTTGATAGCCAGCACCAGTCGCATGGTTCCGTACATCAAGCCGCACAGGCAAGACGGCACGTGTCTTCAAATCAAAGGTACCTGTTCCCGGTAGTCTAGGATCATGACAATCGAGTTGTGATCGCATCAGCATTTGACCAATCTTGCTGTAGTGATAGGATTCACGCGACGGAGCTGGCCGCGGCTCAGCTTGTCGGTCTTTGCGTAGTTTTGAAAAGTCTTCTGGGACGAGTGTCAGCATCTTTTCCATGGACCTGCCAAGGAATGATAGCACGGTTTCGCCGCTGTCTAGGGATTTGTCTGCGTCAATGGCGTAAATGCCGTCGTTGTGACGCAAATAGATGGACGTTGGGGCACGCTGTGATGGCGTGAAGTCGGTACTTTTGCCAACAAAGGCAGTGGATAACCGACTGAGGTTGACAGGGCGATTGGCAGACAATAGAAAGTGAAATTGAGCAAGCGTAGTGGTCATACTGGACGTCGAACCAACTACTGAGAGACCATTCTCCCGTGCAAGCTCATCCAAGGTAGAATCGCGCGACGAGGTGATGTACTCTGACAAAGCATCAAAGTTGAACTCCTCCACTGGTGTTATTTGCTGCAGGTAGGGATCGAAATTGTAGATGTGTGACCGCGGGTCTTGCAGATAGTAGACTCCAGGATTGAAAAGCACTCGATCCAATCCATGCGCCAGACTAGGTACTGGAATATTCTCCGGAGGAGCAACATCCACCACAGCACCCACCGCAGTCTGAGTCGCTATTTGCTGTGTGAAGTTAATATCCTGTTCGGGAACTGCGACTTGCTTGGCTTTTCTGGCGATAGCAATACTCTTCGCTTTCGCTGCTTTACTGGCCGAAATCGGTGTCTTGCCTGCAGCGCGTTTTTTTGGTTTCCGCGTCGATATTGTCGTCTTAAGCTCTGTCTTCGCTTTTGTCGATACTTTTCCTTTCGCCCTTGTTTTTGACTTTGCCTGATGCCCTTTCCTTGGTTCATCTGATGTCGCCTCTTCTACATCTGAAGGATCCTTAGGATTGGATGTAGCAATGGCAGCCTTGAGCGCTTTGGAAGTCGATTTCACTCGAGGTGCTTGCCGCTCGCCCTTGGACGGTTCATATGAGTCAAGCGGCTCCAGACTCGCAAAGGCTTCGCGCAGTGCAGGCGACAGGTCCATTGTTGAACCCGTTGCACTTGCTTGCGTGGCCATGGCCATGCGTTGTTGTCCATGTTGGATGGACCTCGAGGATTGACAAGCGCGACACAGAGAGCCCGTCCAGGACACGCCCTGCCGAGATAATCTCGACGCCATATGAGAGACGTAGAGTGCAGCAGCTAGATCTTGTGCTCGCTCGTCTACTACGCGTCTTGATTAATTTTGTTTTCGCACGCCTCACGCTGGCTGACATCACTTCCAAGGGTCAAGATCCGGGGCAAGAACAAGACTGCTGACCCTACAACTACATGTGTAGCCGCTGCATGCTCAAGGCCCATCTAGCTAGACTTCCACTTCGAGCTTCTCTACCTCATCGCACAATGCACATCTCTCATATCCCCATGTGGAAGGGCACAGGCAATAACTATGCTTATATCCTAAAAGACTCCAAATCTGGAGAAGCTGCCATCATCGATCCTGCCGAACCAAAAGCCGTGCTTCCAGTCCTGAAAAAGGCCATTGATGCTGGAGAAATTAAGCTGACGACGTTAATCACAACGCATCACCATGGTGACCATGCAGGTGGCAACAAGGAAATTCTGAGCCATTACCCAGACCTCAAAGTGATTGGTGGTCGAGACTGCGATCAGGTCAAGATTGTGCCTGGCCACAACGAGACATTCCAGCTTGGCCAGCTCAGCATCAAAAGTCTTCATACGCCTTGTCATACCCAGGACAGTATCTGCTTCTACGCAGAGCAAGATGGTAAAAAGGCAGTCTTTACAGGCGATACACTCTTCGTTGCTGGCTGTGGTCGTTTCTTCGAAGGAACTGCCGAGGAGATGCACAAGGCTCTCAATCAAACACTCGCAAATCTGCCAGACGACACGCTGGTTTACCCTGGTCACGAGTATACTGCCACGAATGCTAAGTTTGCCAAGACCGTGATGCCCGACTCACAACCTCTCCAGAAGCTCATTGATTTTTGCAATGCAAATGAGGAGACGTGTGGCAAATTCTCTGTAGGACAGGAGAAGCAGCACAACCCTTTCATGCGTTTGGAAGCCCCTGACGTCCAGAAGGCAACAGGCGAGCAAGAGCCAATCAAGGTCATGAATGCGCTCAGAGAGATGAAGAACCGTAGCTAAAAAATTGCTGTCATGTCATATATTAACAGTAAGAATAGTCATGTGTAGTCGCCTCTAAATCCAGTCATGGTTGCTTGAATATTCGCAAGATGTCTCATCGTTGGACGGCCATGTGGACAATTCCATGGCTTTTGCAGCTCACCCATGTGATAAACAACACTTTGCATCCTCTCTCGTGTCAAAGCGGTGCCAATCATGATACTCGATCGACACGCTCGACTCGCAAACATGCGTTCTGCCTTCCTGCAGCGCACCAATTGGCTCTCTTCGTCTTTGGCAGAGGAAGACTGCTCAGCAATACGGTCCAGAATCTCCACCAAGTCAGAGACATCAAAGGATACATTCTTACTTTGTGGTACAGACGTCAACATGTAGCGCTGTCTTGTCATGTTGCCCAATCGTTGCTCTTCCTCAACAACACCAAACCCATTATCAACGAGAATATCGAGTGAATCAGCCAGTACAAGGCGTTGACTGCCAGAGAGGATGAGTTCCATAGGCAGTGCGAGTCGTTGCGTAGCCATCTGTGTTTCTTTTCTCAAACGCTCATAATTGCTCTTCTCATCACTCGCATGCTGATCAATGATAAAGATTTCGCCTTTCCGTTCTGTGATGATGAAGCCGAGGTTGAATTGTCCAACGATATGCATGCCGAAAAAGTCATTCTTAGAGACACTGAGTGAGAGAGAGGCTTCAGCAGCTTCGGCATTGACATCAAGTCCGGCTTGCGCCACCTGTTGCCGCATCGAAGCTTGTTGAACGACAGAGATGGGTAGCCGCTGTGCTTCCAGTGCGACGCGACTGTCACACGTTGTGGTTGCATTGTGTACATGAAGTCCGTCTGTCGAATTGTCAAATAGCTTGAGCCGATTCACAAAGCGCTGCAAGGGTCGAACATGGACAGCTGCTTCTTCATCAGAGGCAGAGCTTGCGCCCAGATCTTCAACCGCAACAGAAGCCTGTGGAACTGTTTCTTCTTCCACCGCGTCAGATGCTTCATCTATCAGAACTGGCTCATTTCCCTCTTGCTCGCCCGCAGACACATCACTTTCGTCCGATAAGGGAACTTGCTGGCGAACAACCTTGAATGGCAGAGCACTTTGAATCATTGCACTTCTTAGCGGTACAGATGGCCGAATGCTCACATCTTGCCTCTTGCGTTTCAATGTGATTGCTGGTATTGATCCAACAGAAGCATTTAGACTGAAAGCCGCGACACTGATGGACCTCGAAGCAGGCATATCTTCCTCTTCAGCTGCATCCGAAGCTTCATAGGTTGTGGTTGATGCCATGAGAATATCAGGCGGGTCAGATGCAGGCTGGGAAGCTTGTGTCGTAGAGTCGGGCAGTTGGATAGTCCTGGTTGTCGCTGGTGTGGTAATGACAGCTTCTGGCATGACGCGCCTATCATCTGAAAAGACCACGCGTAAGTACTCCCTCAGCATATCCAGAATCTCTGCTTGATTATGCAGAAAGATGGTTCGCTTATCAGGGCTGACATTGACATCATACGCATCCGGCGGTAAGGTCAAGTCAAACATGAAAAATGGCTGTTTGTGGCCGCCTGCGCCTTGATAGAGCGAACTGACGAGTCTTGCCAAGGGAGGCAGACTGCACGGTCGTTTGTTGATGGAAACGAGTTGTCGATCAGCCATACCACCATACTCTGACCAAGGCTTTGAGACGAAGCCCTTGCAAATCAGTTGACGTTCGGCACGCGTTTGGCCGGTCTCGGACAGAGAGCGTTTGTTGAATCCATGCAACGGACATGTCAGATTGATGGGCAGTAGACTGGTGGCTAATTTTGAGCCAAAAATTTCCACCATGACCTTGTCGGGGTTTCCACTACCGCTTGTTCCTTGCGCACCAAGACAAGAAACACGCTTGTTCCCCTTGGTATCAGGGATGTGAATGATTTCCATTTTGATGCCCTCTTGAATCGCAGCATAGGCAGAGAGCAATTTGACAGCTTTGGCAAACTCGCGTTTAGCATTCTTCTCAAGGTCTTTTCGCCTGACGGGCAGTTGTGAGAAGAGATCCACAATACGCACCGTTGTGCCGATTTGAGCACTTACTGGCTTTGTGCTTTCGAGATGGCCCGTATGCGAATAAGTCAACAAGACACCCATTGGATACGTTTCCGCTGTACAGGTGGTGACGGTGAATGCACTGAGTGAACACAACGCTCCCAATGCTTCGCCACGAAAGCCGAGCGTAGCCAGCGTCTCTAGATCACCAAACTCCTTTAATTTACTCGTCGCATGCGGTGTAGCAAGCGATGCATAGTCAGCCGCCTGTATACCTGCACCATTATCGGCCACTTCCAACAAATCCAAGCCATGATTCACAAGCTTGATGGATACTTTTGTAGCATGCGCGTCAATCGCGTTTTCTAGCAATTCTTTTGCCGCGTGAGCGAGGGAGGTGATGACTTGAGCACTTTGGATGCGATGAACATCATGCTTGGGTATGGCCTGCATGACGGGCGCATCAGCTCTGAAGCAGGCTGTCCTGGACTCCTAGGAATCAAGCATACGGCTCTCTAGCAGAAGTCTCGTCGAAGAATCGGTAGCAGGGCTAGCTCGTGAAGTTGAATTTGCCCGAAGCCGCGCGAAAGAGAAAAGCCAAAGCGAACATTCACAGGCCACCTCATCCATGCTCTCCCTCTTCTGCTAGGCTCATCGTCTTACAGCGTCCTCCTACTGCATCTGCCTGCGGGGCAATCATCATAATGAATGAAGATGTCGCGGATCCAGATCCACCATACCTTCACGTAAGACCTTATGCCAAAGCGCCTCACACAAGAAGCAACGAAAAGCTAATCAATGACAGGCAATTCTGGCTGGTATGATTGGCGGCTCGACGGGTGATCTCCTCATGCATTCTCTTGACACTGTCAAGACTCGTCAACAAGGCGCACCGACGGTTCCAAAATACTTCAACATGACGTCGGCGTATCGCACGCTACTACGGGAAGAAGGTGTCTTGCGCGGCCTGTATGCGGGTATCAAGCCGGCGATGCTTGGCTCGATCCCGGGGACGGCCATCTTTTTTGGTACTTATGAGTGTTCGAAGCGCAATCTCATTGCACTGGGTATTCCCGAGACATTGTCACACTTGACAGCTGGTCTACTGGGCGACTTGTTTGCCAGTTCCCTGTATGTCCCCTCTGAAGTGCTCAAGACGCGTTTGCAACTACAGGGTCGCTACAGCAATCCACACTTCTCATCAGGCTATAATTATCGGTCGACACTGGATGCAATTCGCACGATTTACAGAGAAGAAGGCCGGTCTGCGTTTTTCCATGGGTACAAGGCGACTCTTGTTCGGGATTTGCCTTTCAGTGCCCTGCAATTCGCCTTTTATGAGCGTTTCAAGGTCTGGGCGCGGCAATACTATGGCAGTCATGAGACGGGTCTCTTTGGTGAGATTTTGACGGGCAGTGCAGCAGGTGCGCTGTCAGGTGCTCTCACGACACCCCTCGATGTTGTCAAGACGCGGATACAAACGCAAAAACCACCAGAGCCGGCCAGTGAAGCGATCAAAGCATCTGGTAATCATCCGCCTTCTTCGTCATTGCCAAAGACACGAGGAGGATCGCCACCGCATGCGTTGCAATTTCGAGCCCTCTCACCGACACACGTTCGACTCATCAGCACGTCTTATAATACATCTGTGCCGTCACCGGGTAGTTATACATTGACGACGAGTTCAGTTGTTGAAGGGATGCGTCGGATCTATCGCATGGAGGGTCTTGCTGGTTTGTTTCGAGGCATCGGCCCGAGAACTGCATGGACGGGTGCGCAGAGTTCAATCATGTTTGTTGTGTATGAGACGCTGCTTCGGCGGTTTGCAAGAATAGAGCACGGGCAAGAGGCTGCGTCGTAGAAAGTAATAGCATTATGTCTCCTCATCACTACTCGGTCTACAGCATTCTATTCAGTCTTTATACAGTACTACTACTATAGTACTAATATTTACTACTCTGTATATTCAACTTTCCCTTTTCCCATCCCACGCGCGTTGAGACTTCTTCACCAATCAGCGCAAACGACAAAAGAAGTACAAAAGAGAACAAGCAGCACCACCAAACAGCAACCACAAACCATCATGAGCACAGATAACCTCTCTGTCGGTAAGCAAAGGCCCTCCTACGTCTTCGTCTTCTTCTCTGTCTGCGCCTGTATCAGCTAGGTAGTGGCTGTCAAACGGCCTTATCTATCGCAGAAGAAGACTATTGGAACGGACAATCTTAGCAAAGAGATGTGGCTAACCACGGATACAGTGACCAACAATGTCCAATGGCTCACATCCCTCAACCCAGAGACACGTCCTCCTGCACACTGGCGTCGTTCTTCCATCATTTGCACAATTGGGCCCAAAACCAACTCACCAGAGATGATGAATAAACTCCGCTCAGCAGGCATGAATGTCGTGCGCATGAACTTCTCTCATGGCGAGCACAGTTATCACCAGTCTGTGATTGATAATGCTCGTAAAGCAGAACAAGACCAAGCTGGCCGACCACTGGCTATCGCATTGGATACAAAGGGACCTGAAATCAGGACTGGTCAGACTGAAGGGGATGTTGATATCCCTATTGCTGCAGGTACTGAAATCACCATCACTTGTGATGATGCGTACAAGCAGAAATGCTCAGACAAGATCATGTATGTGGACTACAAGAACATTTGCAAAGTGATTGAGAAGGGCAAGATTATCTTTGTGGATGATGGTGTGCTCTCTTTCCAGGTGCTCGAGGTCGTGGATGCACAAACACTCCAGTGCAGGTGTCTCAACAATGGCAAGATCTCCTCGCGCAAGGGTGTCAACTTGCCTGGCACGGATGTCGACCTTCCTGCCCTCTCAGAAAAGGACAAGGCAGACTTGCAATTTGGTGTCAAGAACAACGTCGATATGATCTTTGCCTCGTTCATTCGTCGCGGCGAAGACATCAAGGAGATTCGCAAGTGTCTCGGCGCTGCAGGAAAAGAAATTCGCATCATTGCAAAGATTGAGAACCGACAGGGTGTCAACAACTTTGATGAGATTCTCAAGGAAACCGACGGCGTCATGGTCGCTCGTGGTGATCTCGGTATTGAGATTCCAGCACCAGAAGTCGTGCTTTGCCAAAAGATGATGATTGCCAAATGCAACCTTGCTGGAAAGCCAGTGATTTGCGCAACACAGATGCTCGAGTCTATGACGTACAACCCACGTCCTACCCGTGCTGAAATCTCAGACGTTGCAAACGCTATTCTCGATGGCGCAGACTGTGTCATGCTCTCAGGAGAGACGGCCAAGGGCTCTTACCCAGTCGAATCAGTCCGCATGATGCACGAAACCACCATCATGGCAGAAACGGCTATTGCCCCACGCGTCAGTGAAGACATTCGAGTCTTGACCATTCGACCTACGGCCACGACGGAAACGGTTTGTTGTTCAGCTGTTGCTGCTGCGCATGAACAAAATGCAGCTGCCATTATTGTCTTGTCGACAAGTGGTTCGACTGCACGATTTGTGAGCAAGTATCGACCACAGGTACCGATCATTATGGTCACTCGGAACGAGACAACGGCACGTAATGGGCACTTGCACCGAGGTGTCTGGCCATTCGTGTATGTCAAGGAGAAACCCAAGACGGGCGAGGAGTGGCAGCAAGGTGTGGATGAGCGTTTGCAATTTGGATTCGAGCAGGCCAAGAAGCTGGGTATCTTGGAACGTGGTGCTGTCGTTGTGGCTGTTCAGGGATGGCGTGGTGGATTGGGTAACTCCAACACTCTGCGTATCTTGCAGGTCTCTTAGGCTTGCTTTGGCTTGGACTGCTGCGATGAGCCAATCTTTGGCAATATAGACACTAAGCGTAGATCCGAATGTTGATTAAAGTGTGATCTCGAGAGCATGAGCACAGTACAGCAATACTTGCCAGATGAAGGCTCCTGAGTGCTGGCTGCAGTCTCTTCCTTCAGATGGCTCCGTGCGAAATTTGCCCTCAAGCGACGACGACAAGGGCAGCACGACTCGAGCTCACACACGGCCATAGCAACAACAGCAGACGGCCCGTAGCCATGTTTTGCGCAAGTATGTCATCCTCCTGGCCCCTTTTTTTTGGAACACTCGCTAATACATCAGTCTCCGGTGAAGCGCCGCAAGAGCCAGTCATCTCTAAAGTGAGCGGTAGCATATTTGAGCGTCGCCTACTCGAAGCCTATGTCACAGAGCACGGTACAGACCCAACCACAGGCGAGGAGATGCAAATTGAGCAAGACATCCTACCTGTTCGTGTTCCTAGTATTGCTGCACCGCGTCCACCGAGTGCTTCCTCCATTCCTGCACTATTAAGCCTTTTCCAAACGGAATGGGATAGTCTTGCATTGGAGACGTATGGCCTCAAGCAATCACTTCATCAGACGCGACAAGAACTCAGTACGGCTTTGTATCAACATGATGCTGCGTGTCGCGTCATTGCACGCTTGACGAAGGAAAGAGATGAAGCTCGGCACGCATTGGCGGAGGTGTCGCAGAATTTGGGAACAACGAATGGTGCAGCTGCCGCGGACGAGGCTATGGAAGATGTCGAAGAAGCAAATGGCAGTGCAGAACAACAAGCAGAGTCAGAAGATGCAGTACCAGCCGAGATACGGAGTGTCGTGGAAGCCTACCAAGAAAAGGCCAGTGCTGGTCGAAAGAAGCGCAAGGTGCCTGACGATTGGACAACAGCCGAAGCTCTCAAAGAAGCAGCGGAAGCGCCTGTGGATGAAGTGGCCAAAGCATGTCTGGTCGTGCCTGCACTTGCGGCCGCCATCAACAAGTTTGGCCGTGCCAAAAATGGTCGCAAGAAGGTTGCTTTGCATCCTACAGAGGACTTTTTGGTCGCCGCCAAAGCAGACAAGTTCTTACTGCTTAAAAGTGAAGATTTGACGGAGGTCTTTTCTGCAAAAGTGCCATCACGTAAGGAACGCTTCTTTGACAAAGAGCACACTAACAAATTAGCGATTCTATGTGCAACATTCCACCCAGACGGTCATCTCCTCGGACTAGGCTGTAAAGATGGCAACGTCTACATTTATCATCTCTTGTCATCAACCATCGAGGCAACCTTTGGTCCGACAGCAGGCCCCGTAACGAGCTTAGCGTTCGCAGAGAATGGCTTCTGGCTCGCTGTGACATGTGCAAAGGAGAAAGACGCATCACTGTGGCATCTCGGCAAAGGCACAGCCATCATGCAGATTCCTGGCGTCGATGCAGCACAGGCGGTATCATTTGATGGGAGTGCGCAGTTCATGGCTGTTGCGGGACACAAGGGACTCAAAATGCTTGCGTACAAGAAGCCTGAAAAGACGTGGGAGGCGGTGTTTGAACAGTCTGGGCATTTCGAGGATGTCGCTTGGGAGGGACAAGGCAAAGGCGTGGTGGTGGAGAGCAAGCAAGGGTTTGCACGCTATGGTATCTAGCACACTTCTCGTTCGGGCTCGTCTCGTGCACAGCAGAAGCAAGCTTCTTTGTACTCGTAGCTGCAATCTTGCTCTCTTCTTTATTGCACCTTACACAACTTGTCTGTAGCTCTTGGGTGCAATTCTGACGCTAGCGGAGTCTAGCGTGTGCGCTGTACAGTTGAACCATTGCATCCTGCCAATATCCTGCCAATATGCTATCATGGCCATCTGTGCATGCTATGTCCTGGTCTACCTGGCTGGCTGGGCGTCGCGTGTGAAACAATCGCCAAAAGTCAACGACACGCAAGACAGCGATGCTTCTCGCACAAGTGTTCAAATCAACGAGCCAATGAAGCGCGCGGCCAGCTCGCAAGGGTCAGCTGATGTGAAGACGCTACAGCAGGCGCTACAAAGTCATGCTATGCTCAAAATCTCGTCCAGGGAGCAAAACTTGCGCTTAGAAAAAGAGCGAGAGCTACGGACGGAGCTGCAGAGGTCTCTGGCAGCAGCGCGAGAAGCAGAAAAAGAGCTACAGAGCACTCTAGCAGCAGAGCAAGAGCTACGTGCCGAGCTACAGAGATCTCTGGTAGCAGCGTGAGAAGCAGATAAAGAGCTGCAGAGCACTCTAGCAGACGAGCGAGAGTTACGTGCCGAGCTGCAGAGGTCTCTGGCAGCAGCGCAAGAGCTTCATACAGAAACAGAAAGAGAGCTGAAAGCCGACAATCGCAAAGCTCTAGAGCTTCTTCGAGAGGCGCTAGCCGAATTTGCTGCGAGCCGAAGGCTCAACGAAGCTCAACTCGAATTAGCCCGCCGGAGAACAAGCGAAGTCTCCGTCCAAGCATCTCTTCCAAGCATCTAAAATCATGTCCGTTGATTTCTCTGAGTTCATGGGAGCTCTCGATTTTCCTGGCATGATCGAGCGCCCACATCTTAGCTCGGAAGAGCTTGTCGAGCTCGATGGCCTTGCATCGCGTCCTTCGAGCCTTCCAAAAAGGCACAAAGCGAAGCCCAGCTGACTGCGAATGTCATTGATACCTCAACAATTTTCTCTCTGATAGAAACGTCGCAGCCAAAGACGTGCCGGATGTGGCCAACCTTTACGACTTTTACGATGACATGACAACGGACGAGCGAGCTGCCTTCAATACTAAGACACACTTATCTTGGCTCTTCAAGTTGCTAGAAGACTTCAACATACCACATTTAACACATCTGATTGGGAAATTAAATTCGCAGAGCAGCTGGAGCGCCTTGGACAGTCCAAGCCATCTTACAACATAGACATCGTAGGTTTATGAGCTGTTCTCTTGATGAGTTCCGTACACAATCCATATGCATGCTAGTCAGATTGAGCTCGAAGAGCGAATTGGCGTACAAGTGATGAAGTAACAGAATTGACACAACCACGATCTTTCATGAAGAAAAGCTGCAGCGTCGATACACAGCCGGCCAGTCTCGCGCGATGTGGCCCTTCCTCAGGTCGGTCTAGTTCGACGCAGCTGCGACAGCAATCATCGCTGGGTGCAAGCTGAACATGCGATCGCACACACCAAAGCTCTACTTAAGGTCGAGGCAAAAGAGGCGGACTCGCTTTCATAACTTGTTGTGCGAAAAGGACGGCCACATAGTACCAGCACAATTCTTGCCATCTAGGCCGAATCATGCGTTGCTCAACGGGATGGGGATGTGTGCTTTCTGCTTGATGGGTGGACCGGCCAGTCGCACAAACTGCAGAAGCCATATGCACGGCGAGAGTTACTCATTACAGCTGAAATCCCATAGTAGAGGTAGCCAAGTAACCGCCTCTGATTCTTGTGTGCATGCCTTGTGTGCCTTGTTTGCTTGCCACAGAGAAACGCGTGAAAGCCGATATTTGCAGCTGGTCTCATCCTTGTGACCACGGATTTTTCTGGTTCAGGGCTGCACATTGAGTAGAATACAGACGCTGGCATGCCTTGAGCTTTTTGTTGACATGGCTGCCATTGGCAAAGGTAGAAGCAGATTATCGAGCAGGTTGAAGAGCTTGAGCCTCCATGTAGTTGCTGGTCTTGGTCTTGTTTCCAGCGATGTCCAGGGCGACGACGCAACCAGACGAAATACAGACAACTCACAGAGGCAAGCAAAAACAATCCACTCTCTACAGCTGCCAGAAGTGAGGGAGAGCGACTGAGTTTAGCGTGAGTGTCTTCTATGGCACAGCGTGTGCCCCCATCTACATCAACAACAGACTTATCCGGAATCGGCCCCGTTCAAAGGCCCAACACATCATCTACAACACATTCGACCACAGCAGAAGCTAGCGTGCCTGTCTACGTGCTACCTGAGCCAGCAGTCAGTTCATTTCCAACCAGAAGACATGAAGAGCCAGTGACTGCCGCCATGTCCACGGCACGACCCACACAAGACGCCGTGATTGACCTAACGGATTCGCCACCTCTCCAACCGGTCGCTACGACAACGACGCATCGATCCGCTCGTGCACGCAGTCGTGTCTCTTCGAGTCAGACAGTTTCTGCACATGCGCAGGTCATTGATTTGGATGACGAACCAGATGTACGCGATGTACCTGCTTCATTACCTGCGGCGCCTATTTCAACAACATCGGATCAGCACGTTGTAAGACACGACAGACATGGTCTCCAGCGTCGCCCTCGTGCAGCTCCAACGGCAGCAGGAAGGCCGCAAGGTACAGCAGCACAATTACTCCGTGCAGTTGAGACGAATCGAGCACTTGCAACACGTCATGCCCTTCATCGCAATTTAGAACATACCAATGCCCGTCGGCACTATCGCGTTCCTGGTGTCATTTCACGTGGCACTCGATCCGGTGCACAGCATGGAGCACGGCATCATGGCACTCGCAACGATCACGTCAATCAAGTCTTTGCATTTTTCGGGTATCCACAAGGCGATGAGGCTGGCGGAGCTGGTGGAGACGGTGCGACAAGATCTGATATCACAGGGTATGTGACGACGCCGTATGGCGGTGGCCCTGTACGTTTACCCGTTCATGGACGACCTGAAGGTAATGCAGCAAATGCCGTCTATAATATGATGCAACGCGGTCATTTCGTTCCACCGAATCTCGATTATGGACTCTATGCGCGTGCTGCTGGCTTGGCAACGGGTTTCGCGGATCGCTTCTTTGGTGCTGTGGGCGGTCCCGTTGCATCACCGGAGCCGATGGATAAAGTGGATCCGCCTGAACCGTGCAAGGAACCATTCACCAGGACTTTCAACAGTACCGACTACCTCGTATGTCCTGATTGTCATGTGGAGTTGGGTAGTGGCGAGGATGAACAGAATCGCAAGATTTGGTTCACCAAGTGTGGCCATGTATATTGTGGTGCATGTGCGACAACGATCCGAGCAACCAAATTCGGAAAGGGTAAAGGACGCTCGTGTGCTGCACCGGGTTGTACCAAGGCGCTTACAAAGACGAAGCTGTTTGAAGCTTACTTGTGAGCAGCTTTGTATCGGGTTATGATGCATCGCAAGTACACTTATTGGCATGCAGTCTCAACATGTAATGCATGGGCGTTGATGCAGTAGTGCTGCTGATTGTTCGATCCGCCTGCTAGTGCAAAGACATGACCGAGATGACCGCGGCAATTCTTGCACCGTGCTGCACGTCTCGCACCAACAAAAGCACCGGCCTCCCAGCATCGCAAGTCCCATGTCACCTCGACTTGATTCGCATCGGTTGGCCTGTAGAAAGCTGGCCAGCCTGACCCGGAACTGAAGCGGTCTTGCTCAGAGAAGAGTAACGCGTGGCAGTTTGCACAGAGGTAGGAGCGGCGTTGGTGAGTACGCTGTGTGAAGGCAGGGAGTAGAGCATAGGTGCCTGGTGGCTCTGTCTGATGCTGGACAAGGACTTTATGAGCTTCTGGAGGGAGATTTGGGTTATTGAGTGGAGCACTGAGGCAGGTGCCCATGGCCTTGCTATAGTAATAAGAGCAGCATTGAGCAGCACTGAGACGGAGCAGTCTACAACAGTGACTAGTCTAGTACTTTGTCTAGTACTTTGTCTAGTAACTTGTCTAATAGGTAGAAGTAGAAGTAGAAGTCGCCTGTCGCCTGAGTCTGTTGCGCTGCCGAGTTGCCTGCTGAAACGCGAACGACGCCAGAGAACAAGACAAGAGAGCAACCAGAGTACTGCTGCAGCAAGGGACACGGCCAGGACAGCAGTCAGAGCCAAGAGCCTCCTCTAGACACTTCTTCTTCTTTCCTTGACGCGCGACAGGTCAACAAGAGACACAACCCACAGTAGCTTGTCAAAATGGGAGAGGTAAGGCATATCTTTTGCGACTTGCATCTACCACGCTTTCGCTTTCCCCCTGGAGTCTGCGCTGTGTGTCATCACCGTGGCTGGCCCCTCTACGAAAGAGTAGCGCGTCGAAATTGCTTGTTCACTTACTATGGAGTGGCATACTAACAATCACGATAGCCAATTCAGCGGATCATCAAGTTCGTTACGACGCAACACATCATCGATGGCCGTCCGCTAGAGCAAGGCTTTCCAATGCGGGCGTGGACATGTGAAGTACTCATGGATGACGCGCAGGGCAATGAAGTCACACCACCGTTCATTGATAAAGTCATCTTCAAGCTGCATCCTACCTTTCCGAATCCAAACAAAAGTACGTCTCCTTACTTTCTTCTATCTCATGACAGTCTGCTAACATGTTGCAGCGATCAAGCGTCCGCCGTTCAAGATTGCAGAGGAAGGATGGGGTGAGTTCGAGATGCATATCGTGCTGCACTACACGGATGGCGGTGGTTCGCAAACCATCCCACACGACCTCAACTTCCAAACCGAACGGTATGAGAAGCCACACACCTTGACGTTCAAGAACCCAAAGCCGAATCTTCTGAGGGCTTTGCAGGCGTCTGGATCAGTCCCTGCTGGGTATAATGCGGCTGGTACGAATGGTGCTGGTGCCGGTGCGCCTGCTGGTGCTACAAAACGCGCTGCTGACGGTGGAGATAAGAAATCAAAGAAGCCAAAGAACAGGCCGGTGGATATGGAGAAGTTGGCTGATGCGTTGCAGAAGCTCAATGAAGATGATTTGCTCCAGATTGTGCAAATGGTGAATGATCAAAAGACGGACGACATGTACGTCAAGAATGATATTGAGGGTATGTTTCTCTTTTCAAAGATGATGAACACAAGCTAACAGTGACAGAGGGCGAGTTCCACCTGGATCTACACACATTGAGCGACAAGCTCTTGCTGGACATGATGAAGTTCACAGACGAGGCTCTGTCAAGTGTGCGATACAAGTGAAGCCGTGCTGTGCTTCCCGGCGTTTCCTTTCAGCTTCCCCATCTCTTGTTGTATCCTGTTCCAGGCATGAATCCAAACCTATTTCCCTTTCTTTCGTGCTATCACCTGCTGAGCTCCTCCCGAAATTGTCAACCGAAAAGTTTATACAAAGACACCCAAGCAAAGTACTTGTCCTGTGTATGCCAACAGGCCCATCCAGCCGACCATGTCCTTGATTATCCTCCTCATTGGTAACGGCGGTCGCGAACATGCGCTAGCTTGGAAACTGGCGGAATCTGCCAAAGTTGCCAAAATCTACGTCGCACCCGGTAAGACCTTTTCCATGCACAGATGAAATATTCAGGCTGATGCAACAGGCAACGGCGGTACAGCTTCTCTGAGCAAGGTGGAGAACATTGAAGTTGGCGTGTCAGAGTTCGACAAGCTCGTTGCGTTCGCTACGCAGCATGATGTCGGGCTCGTCATCCCAGGACCTGAAGTTCCGCTCGTCGACGGCATTGAAACACACTTCCGCAAAGTAGGTATCCCTTGCTTTGGACCGTCTCAGCTTGCTGCACGTATGGAGGGATCCAAGGCCTTCTCAAAGGATTTCATGAAGCGCTACAATATCCCAACGGCTGCGTATGAGAACTTTACAGACCATTCAGCTGCGCAAGCGTACCTTGACAGCATTCACCACAATGTCGTCATCAAGGCATCGGGTCTTGCTGCTGGTAAAGGTGTCATTATTCCAGCAACCAAGGAAGAAGCCAAACAAGCAGTCAAGTCAATCATGGTGGACAATGAATTCGGTTCAGCTGGACAGGAAGTTGTGATTGAAGAGTTCCTTAAGGGTGAAGAACTCAGCATCTTGGCCTTTTCTGATGGTTACACGATTCGTGCGCTCCCTGCAGCGCAAGACCATAAGCGTATCTTTGATGGTGACGAGGGTCCCAATACGGGTGGTATGGGTTGTTACTGTCCGATCCCGATCTCGACGCCTGCACTGGAGCAAAAGATTATGGCGACCATCTTGCAACCAACGATCGATGGCATGCGCAAAGAAGGCATGTCATTCCTTGGTTTGTTGTTCACTGGCATCATGCTAGGCCGAGATGGTGAGCCTTGCGTACTAGAGTACAATGTACGATTTGGAGACCCAGAAACACAAGTATGTTTGCCATTGCTGGAGACAGACTTGGCGGATATCATGCTTGGGTGTGTTGAGCGCAGATTGGACTCCATTGACTTTAAAATTCGTCAAGCACATGCAGCGACGGTTGTCATGGTCGCAGGTGGATATCCTGGCTCCTATGCAAAAGGCGAGGTCATTTCACTGCCAGACAGTTTGGAAGCTGATACGTTCCTGTTCCATGCAGGCACAGCATCAAAGGACGGCAAAGTTGTGACAAATGGTGGACGTGTTCTCGCAGTGACAGCAACAGCAGCATCTCTCCAAGAAGCCGTGAAGAAGGCGTATAAAGGCGTCTCGACCATTTCCTTCAAGGACGCATTCTATCGGAAAGACATTGCTCACCGTGCTCTCAAGCGAACGACAACCACATCACAGCAACCAGGATTGACGTATGCACAAGCTGGTGTCTCCATCGATCAGGGTAATGCGCTTGTCGAGCGAATCAAGCCTGCAGTTCGCAAGACCCGGCGGCTGGGTGCTGACTCGGAGATTGGTGGGTTTGGTGGTACGTTTGACATTGAAGCATGTGGCTACAAGCACCCGATGCTCGTGACTGCAACTGATGGTGTGGGTACTAAACTACTCATTGCCAATGCCATCAACAAGCACGATACAGTTGGCATTGATCTCGTTGCAATGAGTGTCAATGATTTGATTGTGCAAGGCGCAGAACCACTCTTCTTCACCGACTACTTTGCAACATCCAAGCTTAATGTCGATATTGCTGCTGCCTTTGTCGAAGGCGTGGCAGCGGGCTGCATTGAATCCAACTGTGCCCTTGTTGGTGGCGAGACGGCAGAAATGCCAGATATCTACCAAGGTGACGACTATGATTGTGCGGGTGCTGCTACCGGTGCTGTTGAGCGCGATGCAATGCTGCCCAAATTTGCAGCGATGCAAGTGGGTGATGTCTTGTTGGGCTTGTCAAGTAGTGGAACTCACTCCAATGGCTTCTCCCTCGTCCGCAAGATTGTCGCTCGTACAGGATTGACGTATGATGCGCCGTGTCCCTGGGACAGCACCAGTGGCAAGAGTCTGGGTGAGGCCTTGCTCACGCCAACACGCATCTACGTCAAGCCGTTGTTGCCGCTTTGTCAGCAAGGTCTAATCAAGGCCATGTCTCACATCACGGGTGGTGGTCTCGTGGAGAATGTACCACGTATGCTGCCAGCGCATTTGACGGCGGAGATTGATCTCAAGGCTTGGTCAGTGCCCCAGCAATTCCGGTGGATGAAGCAGCAAGGTGGTGTGCCTACATCTGATATTGCCAAGACGCTCAATATGGGCGTTGGCATGGTCTTGGCTGTGGATGCGAGCAAAGCGCAGGAAATCAGGCAAGCGCTTCAGGGGCAGAATGAGATGGAGGTATATACACTGGGTCAGCTTGTTGAGAGGAAGGAAGATCATGGCTGCATCCTGCTCAACGAGAGCGAGTGGGACTTCTAGACGATCAGGTAGATAGCTCGGTCGCGTCTCTCGGCTGCAGTACTAGTCGACATGTTGGCGATGTGTTGATTCGCCCGACCTTGGAGAAGGTTTACCGACGACATATACAGTGACAAAACAGCTAAAATTTTTACAGAAATTTAGCAGCTCCACCCGACAACACCTCAAGCTCCCAACAAGCCTGCTAGCATGTCTGTCAACTACATTCTCTCGCTCTTGACGCCCTTGCGCATCGCCACGCTTTCTGCGACCGTCTCATCGAGCGCCTTCCTTTTTGGCAATGCAGGCTGCTCCATCTTTGGACCTGTCCCATATATTCTTCAGCTCCCTCCCAGCTCTGACAAGGCAGACGGCGACGCGCTCTCTGCTGTGCAGCGCGCAAAGCTCTGGGCCTACATGTATAAAGGCGCTATGCCCGTCATGATTGCCATGCTTGGCTCAAGCGTGGTGGCTTTCTCTACGGCTGCGTATCTATTCTCTTATGTGGACGCCACGCAACAAGGCAAGACAGGTAAGACAGTCGCCATCATCGGCGCTGTCATCAGTGCACTTGTGCCACCCTTTACCGTCTTCAAGATGGCGCCCACCAACAAGATCCTGCTGTCTGTGGCTGCCCAGGATCCAGGATCTGAAGTGCATGCCAAGTATGTCGATCGCTTGCTTGTGAAGTGGCGCGGTCTGCACTTGTATCGCGAGGTTGCGGGTGTTGCCATGCTCGGCTGTGCGCTGACGCTTTGCAACATGCACTAGGTATCTCTGTCTCTAGCATCTCTTTAAGCCATCGCAAACCTTATACAAGCACATTGTGAATACCTTCTCTACTTGAGTACAAGTCCAGAACTCTTTGGCCGTTTGAGCGGACTCAAGTCCTTGCCAAAGTCAAATACCTTCTTACCACCAACAATTGTCTTCTTTGGCGTATCGTCCATAAGTGTCCGCTGCCCAGCACCGAGCAACTTGCGCTTCTTCTTCATCTTGCCGCCCTGAGCACCAGCATCTTCCTCATCGCGTAATCTGATTTGCTGGTCTCGACTGGTGGGTGGACTCAACGGTATGACCGAGAGCTTGCGCGTCTTGTCCACAAACGGCGTCATTGAGAAATCGCTCTTCTTGGTCTTACCAGCAGCAGCCGCTTTCGCCAGCGCAGCAGATGTCATTGCTTTCGCTCCGCCTCGTTTCTTGACAACCTTTGCGGTTTCCTTGATAGCAGGAGAGTCTTCCCCAGAAGATGACCTCGGTGGTGATGCGACAAATTCCTCGACACTCATCATGACCTTCCCTTTACGTTTGGCCCCCGCGGCGGCTACAGCAGACTTACGAGCGCGTGGCTCATAATTTTCCTTGTCTGCCGCCAATGCTCGCCTTGCTGCAAGTTGCTTTTGCTTCTGTGCGGCTATTGCAACAGGCACTGCATCGTAGTCTGTCGTGGGTGGTTCTTGCAGTGTTGTTGGCGCAGCAGCACGTTTTCGAGGTCGTTGCACCGCCGGTGTACTTGTCTCTGACGGAGCTTGCTCGGGTTCTTGCTCTTCCTCCGATTCTGCGTCTGCAATGACAGGCTTTTTGACGGCCTTTGGAACGGCGATAGAAGCAGCTGGAGCTTTCTGCTTGACTGCTGGTTGGGCGAGCGTCTGTTGAGTGGCGGCCGCAGCAGCCAACGCTGCAGTCACCTGTGATGACCGTCGTCCAGCAACACCTTGCAGTGCTTGCTCTCTCAGTCGCGCTTCAGCTTCTCTCAGCAACATGGTCGTCAACTTGAGCGCCTCCCTCGATTCTCCCACATCAGCCTCCAATCCTGCAACACGTGCAGAAGTTTGCTCAAGTATATGTCCCAGCTTCCGGATTTCAATATCCTTGGCACGCACTTGCTCTCGGTGTTCACGCGAAGATCGATCACGCTCTCGTGCCAAATCACGCGCTTCCTTCTCCTCCACAGCGCGATCTGCAGCATCCTGTCGTAAATCACGAACTTCCTCGTCTCGCAGCTTAAGATCTTCCTTGAGTGCTTTGATTTCTCGCTTGAAGGAATCGGCCGTTGCGCGAGCTTGCTTGACGGCTTGCTGGTCTTGACCCTGCGTTGCTTCATGCGCTTGTCGTAGCGCGTCAATTTCGTGTTGTAATGCGACAACGCGCTTTTCCTGCGCCAAGATACTTTGTTGCGCCGTTTGGAGGTCTGCCTGGGCGTGTTGCACGCGTTCTTCTTCTTCATTGGTCAAAGCTGTTTGCGTGTCGAGCTGTTGTTGAAGTTCTGTAATGGTCTTTTCGAGGCGTGCACATTCGTACGCATGACCAACTTGAGCCGTGTGAGCGACGGCCTTGTAGTAGCCTACGAGGCTTGGCAACAGACCGGCCTCCATTGACTGGTATCTTGCTGTCGAGTAGAGATGGTTGCCTTTTGATTTGTTTTGTTTTTCTGTCGCAACTTCGACTCGCAAGTCGCAAAACACGTGCAAAGAGTCATGAATTCATAATCAACTAAATCAAGTTTGGCTATGTTCTACTGTAGTAGCAATTCTACGAGCACAGGGTCAACGAATCTACTGATCACGGTCGTGCTGTCGCGAACGGGTGAGAAGGAGGGAGAGGGAGAGTACCTGTGCTGGAGACAGCTGGACTTGAACAGATGTAGGTGAAATTGATAGATTTGTGAACTAAAGAAACAAGACAGCAGAAGGCTGCCCCTATGCCTCTATCAGAGTCGAGCGAGGGAACTGACAGAGAAGTAGAGATGAGAAAGCAGGAACGTTGTCAACGAGTAAGAGCGCGAGGAGACAACGTGATAGGTGTTTTCGGAAACGAGACGGACAAGAGCAGAAGGAGACACAGCGACAAGCTTTGTTGAGAGGCGTAATGTAGAAGAGAAGAAGTAAGCGTGGTGAATTGCCAGAACATGTAGTCAGAAATAGCCGGCGGCGTTCAACCCACCCACCACGCCACTCACCATGGGACCTCTCATGACTGCTCCAGACCCCTGTACCACGCCAACCACAATGGGGCCTCCCATCACAGCCTTCCGCCCACCGCCCTCGCCAAAAGGACCTCCCATGGCAGCTTCCCAGCCACCACCCAATAACTCGATTTGTTTGGAGAGGAAGGAATTGTCGTTCCTGATGCGTTCCATCATGGCTTCCACCTCCTGCTGCTTACTGGGTGGTGGCTGGGAAGCTGCCATGGGCAGGGTGGGTTCTTTGTCCCTGCTGCGCAGATTGTATGACTTGCTCATGTCTAATGAACAACTCCAGATCTCTGCACTCGAAACCAATCTGTAAGACCTTAGGATCCTTACGTCGCGGCTCCTCCACTTTCAGCACTCAAGCGAATATACGTATGTAGTAGGCCTGAGAATGAGATGTGGAAGAGATTAAAGTATCGAAAAGACAAGAAGAGAGCATATAAAGGAGCTGCCAGCACAGCAAGTCCGGGAGCACGTGCCATGCCATGCCATCTGATCGGTGAGGCGGACTGTGAGTCTGACTCTTCGAACAGCCCTCTCCCCTGAACTGTTTTGATCACGCCATAGCCACAAGGATCGAAGGTCTGCGAGATATCATACTACCATTCAAGACTCGACGGCTTGATGCTTTCACTGTCATTTCGTAATTTGTCGTATGCCACCGCGTGTTCTCTAATTCAAAAGTCAGGGGTGCCAACGTGCTTGCTTGTATCGTATACTGCCTGCGAGCAGGAACGAAAATAGACTGTTCTGGCCAAATCATGGCTGCGAGTGAGCAAGAAGCGTGACAGCAAAGTATGTGAGGAAGCGATCTGGTTAGGAAGTTCTGAAGCACGGAAGATGCTGCTGCGCTAAGGACCTTTGCCGACGACGGCCCGACGTTGCCGTGCTCCGTTGAGGGTTCTGCAGCTTCCCTTGCCTTCGCGCTTGATAGCCTGAACAGTCTCAACCTATAGCTCATTTCAGATAAGATTGCTTGATAATCACTCATCTTGCGATCGACCCATGTTCAGCATCAACTGGCCTGTCGCGAGATAGTGAGGAGACTCTGTATTGTAGCTGTAAAAAGATATTGTGTTGAATAGACGTCTAGCATGGATAGCTGACTACATGATTTACAGGGCCAAGGACAGTCTATCCATGACCACTGTTGCTTCGTGAAGCATAACGCTAGGCCTTCTGTGGCCAGCTGAGACTGAAGCCCTCATTCACCTTCAGGCCACAAGTGCTGTCGACACCCTGAGTTTGCAATGACTTTTTTGGAAATGTGAGTCGTGTCGTGATCCTGTCCAACAGACGACTGGGTTTGCAATAATCAGTTGATTCGAGACCCTGAAAGACAAAGGTGTAAAGACAGCCGCATGTAAGCAGTCCCTTTTCGGCGTTGCACAATTCAGAGAGTTGAACTTTGCCGAAGACTTTGGTGCCACGCTTTTGACAAACAGAGAAGGGTCGGGTGGTAGGGAAGGTAGATTTGACAAGAGTTCCACAGTCGGATGCTTGTGTTGCTGAACAATCAGGTTGATTCGTCGTTGCAGCGGTCACTTTGATCGAAAAGGAGCTCGTCTGCGATCCGCAGTTTGGCAACTCGGGCTTTGTAGTGGCTGCTGGAAGGCATTGAAGCATGTGCACAAATTGCAGCAGTAGAGCCATCTTCTGCCAAATAAAATGAGCCCCCATTTTTTAGTAGAGCCGACCAGTATTGTGTTTGCGCTGGACTATCGTAAGTTACCGTATTGGTATCGATGGAGGCAATACCTGCTGACGATGTCTGTGTCTGATGAGTTGTGTCGACTGGTTGGGGCCATGGTGGGAAGCCGAGGCGGTTGATATACATACCGAGATTCAGGAGACAATTCTCAACGGCTCCTCCCCTGATTTTTTTGACCAACAGAAAATTATTTTTTCACAGCCTTCCTACCTTGAGGAACATCACGGAACCTGTCGACTTGAGGCCAGGCTAACATGAATTCAGCACTGTCGAATCACTTCCTCATGGGACATGTTTTTCCTTGAAAATGCGTTTTCGCTAGCCTGATATGCTTTGTAGCTCGTCGCCTACTGAACGACTGCTTGTGTCTGAATATCGCCGATACTACACCAATTGCTGACTGGTATGCAACTGAGGTATTTACACCAAGAACACTTGACTGGATCCGCCTTGTAGAAGTTCTGACTAATTAGCATCAAGCAAAGGCAGCAACTGTGACTCACCTGAACAAGCAAGATATACGTAATGACAACAAGCACGAGACAAGCGCATCGTAAAGCATTGAAAGCCCACCACGCAGCTTTGCGTCCTTGAAAGAATCTGCCAGAGTGCTTGACTGTTGAATCTGTGCCAGTTATTCGTTTGATGGCATCCGGTGATCGCATCAAGGCAACACCCATGAGCAAGCCAAACATGAATCCTCCAATATGTGAAAAGTTGTCGACGCCTGGTAGGAGGCCCAGCACGAAGGAAATGACAATATCGAAAATGAGTGTAATGAGACCCTGCATGGGTTTCTGAATCTGCTTCCAGTGGTAGAGTAGGTCGAGTAAACTCAGACTGATGATGGAGAAAAGAGCGCCTGATGCACCTTGACTTGCAATACCATCGCCTGCAAAGTTGCCACCGAAGAGAAACCCGCCGATGCCACCGACGAGGTAAATGAAGGCAAAGATGGGTGTCCCTACCTCTCGCTCAACTTGTGGACCTAATCGCAATTGGAGCAGGAGATTGAAGGCGATATGGAGGACACCACCATGCAGGAAGATGGGTGTGATGAATCGCCACCATTGCGTTGGTTGCTCGTTTGGCTTTGCACCATTGCCACAGAGCTCCGCCAGTGAACAAGCATTCGAGGATGTGAGTGCCGATGCTGTGTTATTGGGGCATGGATACGCTGTGACAACGCCAGTTACATTGGCAATGGCATGCATGCACAGTGGATATCGTGCGCCCATGTTGATACTGTTGTAAACTGACGGCCCAATGAGGGGGTTGAATGACGGCTTGAGCTGAATCGGCGTCCCCGTCAGTTTCCAAGCATGTCCAAGCTGTCCAAGAAAGACGGCAAGTTGGATAGCACTCATCAACCAGCACCAAATTGGATAGCGTCGCCATACTTGACGCTTCTCCTGTATCAGACCATCGCGCGATCCAGGCTCTCTATCTGCCGTTGATTCCATGCTGTTCATGGGAATATCGTTATTCTGCCATTGCTGCTGATATGCGGGCGCATAGGCGGTCTGGTATGGTTGCTTGTGGTCGGTATATTCGTCTTCATAGGCTTTCATGTACGATCGCTCTGTCAGCCCTGCACTGCTTGTTGGCACATTCTCTGATGGTTGCGTCTGGTCTGTCATGCTCTTTGATTTGAGGGGCGAGTAATTGGCATGCTGGCTGTAGTAGTCTTGTGCAGGCCGACCGCTATGGTCGCGGGCGGCTGCGCTATGACCTTGACGTAAGCGGCTGTCGTACATGTCTTGGACAGTAAGCTGACTGCCCGAAGACTGTAGCGGGTGCTTTTGTACTGTATCCTTGCAGTACCCTGTCTGCCAAGGGAGAAGAAAGAAGGCTGAGCTATCTGTGTGGTCGTTGCGCTAAATTGGGTCGCGTCGCGTCAAGTCATGAGAATTAGTATTAGAACAGCTGACTACACCTCCAGCGACTCTCTATAGTCAGACATCTCTAGTTCATTGCGCGGCTCAAGTCGTCGGATCGGCTCGAAGGAATGCAGAGCTTCTCTTTCTCTCAGGCGATCTGTCGCTCTGGTCGATATTGCAAAGCTGTAGCCGTCACCCCTGATCCTATTTTTGTCAGCACATTCACTCCTCTCTGTGATTCGCAGCACTAACCTGGGCTGTGTTGGTACAAACCACAAGAGAGGCTCATGTCCCATAACTTGTTCCCAATTAAGGCGATAGCCCAAGTCAAAGATGTTGAAGACACCCGCCGGTGTGGCTGCGGTGAGGTAAGCCCGGGTATCTCCCTTGAAGCGCGTCTCCTCTAGGTATTCAATTGTAGTATAGTTACGCAGGACAAGGGAGATGTGCCATGCGCAAAAGAGACCAACTGTGAGTCCAACGACGCCAGAGAGAACAAGTAGGACGATCCAATTTCTGGTTGATGAGCAAGGATACTTGATTGGAGAGGCGTACATGGGCCAAAACTGGTCTTCGACTGAGGATGGGTCATTCAGCGAGAAGAATTCGCAGAGAAACCATGCTGTCATGCCACATAGGAATATGCACCAGGTGGAGACGTAGATGAGGAAGAGGATGAATTGCTTGTAGTTGTGGAAGCCGACACAAGTCGCGAGCCAGGGACAATGATGACTGCTGTTAGCAAGGCCAGCTGATTCATCGCGGCACTCACTCCATCTCTAATGATTAGCCTCGCGACTTGAAGCAGGAGGGGCCATACTCAAGACACACTTCCGACATGACCTGCAGTGATGTGCCCGGTCAGGCTTTCTCGAACAGCACTTTTGGCAGAATCGCTCGCTGCCGTCATCTTTGACTGTGACTGTGGCAAAATCTGGTCCATCCTCAAGCCTGTCCTGAGGCAATGCGTTGTAGTTGGCAGACTGATGTCAGCTAGTAAGTAGAGTGGTGGGCATGGCGTACCTCAGTGGCGAGCGTGCCGGCTGGAGAGCCTGGATCTGTAAAGCAGGCACTCGTATAGCTCCAAATAGTCATGCCATACCAGACACTGGAGATGCTAGCAAGACTGAATCCGAGCAGTCCTCTTACCTGCCAAATGCATATTGAGAGTGAAAAGGTGATCCACGCCCTTGTGATCAGCGTCGTTCTCAACAAATAAGGCCAGCTACCATGTAATGAGCGAATAGACGGCACCTAGAGGCACTACGATGCTAAGCCTGTGGCATGTTCTATCCATGACAGCGCAACATCTAAGCTTTGAGACCATAAGCAGGGGAACAGAGAGTGACTAATAAAGCAGAGAACGAGTCCAAAGTCAATCGGCCGTCAAGAGCACGTTCAGCCAGGCTAGGTCGCAGTCAGGCAGCTCCTGAATGAAAGCAAATGTGAAGAAGTCTTGAAGCAGCGGAGTCTTGTTCCTTTGTGTGGCAGACTGCAACGGCCAACAGCAACACCCAGGCAACCCGAAACACCCAACACGCACAGGCCGACTACCTCTTACTGCCCTCTATCGTCGGAGCGCATAGGACCCAGGTGTATTCTGCACGCTCCCTTCAATACCACCCGGCACACCGCCGTTTCCTCCCCTTGCCAAGCCCTTCGTTTCACAAGTAATTCCCCGGGTCGCCCATCATGCAGGCGGGCTCCCTGCGCGTCGAGCCAGGTCCCATTCAACGCCATAATCACAGTCGCAGTATCAACGACACCCACGCAACAAGCGCACCGCGTCGTTCTAGCTATGCAAAACCAGAAACAGCAGCAGCAACAGCAGCTGCGAACTTGAGCGGTACCTCCGCAGCACTCAAGGCTGCACAGCTTTCTAGTGCTCAGTATGCACAAGTCCCCATCAAGAGTATAGCGACGCCTTCGCCTGTCAAACCTATGCGGAATCCATATATGGCCGCTGCGAGTAAAGCATGGTCCAACTCGGCTGCCAAGTTATCTGATGCTGCGCCCATAAGCCGAGCAGGCAGTACGGCGACCATGGCGCATGATACCAAAGTGAGTTCTGTGACTGGATCGAGTCAGTTGAGGAGTAAGAGTCCCGCGCTTATACCGAGTCAGCGTGCGTCGCTGGAAGTGACATCTGCAGAAGAGCTAGCACCACCGATCATCCCTGCCAACACTGCGCCGTCACCTTCACAAGCTGTCTTTCTACATCCTGGTCAGCTAGGCGTACCGCTTCGTGGCCGCATCTCTCGGTCACAATCTTCTGATCGTCAATCAAGAGCGCGCTCACGGTCTGCGTATGACGCGCAACGGTCTACCTCCTACACAGTCGCAGAACAAAGTGTCTCAGGTCCACTTGCAGCAGCACGTATTTCCTTCGCTCAAGATCGGACATTACATGAATTGATGGCGAACGATACCTCTGATGCGAGCCACATGTCACCACCACCGCTCTTCAGACCGTCTTCTTCAAGTCGTAGTCGCAGTCGTCATGCGAGTGGACAACAACAACACCCACAACAAGCGCCGTATGCGCATTACACGCACAGTAAATCGACAGGGAGTTTGGTAGATCGACACGGTCAATCTACTTCTCCTAGCCTCACTGTCAATAATGCCGGTAACACACGCTTGAGTGTCGATGGTGGCCGTGCGGCACTCATGGCAGCATCCCTGAGCTTTGCGCATCATGAACAGGAAAATCCACGCGCTGCAACACCTAAAGTTGAACCGTACAACTATGTCACCCATTCTCAACGCATCACCCTACGTAAAGAACCGTCGCAGTCAGCGAAACATTGGGCAAAGTTTTTGAAGCATGGACGGGTACAGCCGATTCCACCACAGGATAGGAAACGGTATGAGGGACTCTGGGCAGCGAACAAAGGACTGTTGCTTGAAGATGTTCCACGATTCAGTGAAGAGGTGGTGAATGTCGTTGTTCGTGATATTTGGTCACGCAGTCGATTACAGGATGACATACTCGCACAAGTCTGGCAATTGGTGGATCGTGATGCCAAGGGTCGATTGTCGAGAGATGAATTTGTCGTTGGGACATGGCTGATTGATCATCGCTTGAGGGGTAGAAAACTACCGCATCGACAGGAATTGACGGATGATATCTTTGCGCCGGGTCCAATGACGCGATTGGGTATCAAAGTTCCCAAGAAGCTGAAGCATGATACAGCCAAGTATCTTGATCCTTCCATCAGTCGAAAGTCTGAACGCAAGGCGCAAAAGGAGGCTGCGAAAAGACTCAAGAAGGAGAAAAGAATAGGTCTTGTTCGGCAAATCGCTTGATGTTGTGCACACAAGAAGAAGGCTTTGTCTCATTAGGTAGGGTCTGAGGGTCTCTTTACTGTAATGAATGCTATGACATGACAAGTCCGCGATGATGAGAAACTAAAACGGTATCATCACGCTTTAGGTATGCAATTTTGCCACGCTGCGCTCGTTTAATCATACCTGCGTTCATCTTGAGGCTCAATCCAGCTCATCTTCAGGTAGAAAGTCTTGACGCTGAAGTCCGGGAGCGGGTGACCCTTGCTGACCACGCGTATTGACGAAAGGGAGTATAAATTGGGGAAGGAAGGATCTCGGCTCCGGTGGCATTTCAGTCTGAGCTTCCTGTTCGATGCGATCCCTAGATTCCTGTCCTGCTGATGCCGGTGCCGATGGTGCAGGAGTGTTCGCTGCTTGACCATTGCTTTCCTTGACGGGTGCCCTGCAAATAGGACAGACACCATTGGTTTTCAGCCACATCAAGCAGCATTCTTCATGATATGCGTGCTTGCAATCCAGCACAACAAGTGTCTCCTCCGGCTTATAAGCATCTTGACAAATACTGCAATCCTCGTCCACAATAATGTCGCTGTGTTTCTTCTTTCCCTGCCACTTCTCACGACGCAAAGCGTGCATGGCCGCTTCTGAGGAGGGGTGAACATTGGATTGCGGGTTTGCATTCATCATATCAGAGATGATATTATCAAACATCTCACCTGATGCAAAATCACCAAACGGTGCACCATGTTCAGCAATGGTCGCTTGCAGCGCTTGTGCCATGAATGTAGCAAGATCCGGAATTGTTGTGAAGTCTTGTGGATGCTGTGCATCATGTGGCGGCGCACCCGCTCCAAACACGAACCTGTGCGTATGCGTGTGAAGCGGTTGTTGTCCGTCCCCTGTGTTTGGCCCATGATCCGTCGCTGCAGCAGGTCCATGGCTTGAGAAGAAGCCACTTGTGCTGTGGCTATGTGTGTGCACTTCTGAACCCCAAGAGAGAGTCACCGTTGAACCGCCAGGTCCCTGCGTTGTCCGCGTGAATGATGTTGTTGGCGTTTCCGCTTGGTTTGTAAAGTCAAAGTTGAAGACTTGCGAGAAGAACTCGTTGAAGGGCGGTGGATTTGGTTGCGCATTATATTGCTCTGCTGCATTTCGTGGTGGCGCGCCGGGTTGTGCGGCTTGTCTCTGCTGCTGCTGCTGCTGCTGTTGTTGAGGATGTTGGTTTGGCTGGCCAGTAAAGAGCTGACTGAAGGAGAAGCCTTGCGGGGGTGCAGATTGCTGTTGCTGTTGCTGCCCCTCGTTGGTCCGCCCTGTCAATGCAGTTGGCAGAATGGACGACAAGAGATTCGTCAGCATACTTTGCAGCCCAGGCACCGGTTGCTCTGCAGTCTGTGGCGCATCAGACTGTGCTGAGTTAGACTGCTGGCGCATCTCATGTTGTTCGGCTGCCTGTTGCGCTTGTACCGCTTCTCGATGCGCGCGCACTCCCTCATTTGTTGGCATTTGCGCTGACCCTGTATGCGTAGATTCCTGTACAGCTGGCGGTGTCTCTACCAAGGCGACAAACTCAGACCCGCAGCCAGCGCATGATAAAACACCGGGCGCTTGCTCGGGTAAGACACTGTCGCAATTGTAGCACTGCAGAAGCGGCATCTGCTCTGCGGAATGAAAGAGACCGCCTGAGCAGGACAGGTTACCAGCTTTTCCTTTTGAGCAGTAGAAGGTTGATGCCACACAGGGCGATGGGACAGAGTAGTGTCTTGTCCAGTGCTGATCCATGAAAGTGTCGATGACAGCGCGCCTCGAAGTGACACGTGCACCAGTGGAGATCCAGATGGGCATTTTTGTTCGTTCAGCTTCCATCGCAGAGACGAGTCCATGGCATGAGGGACGGCTGTGGCTATGCAGCTTCCACCATGTCCGTATCACCAGTCTCTGTCTGTACATTATCCAGCTCAAATATGGTGAATCGCTGCCGGTCAGAAAGCAGATAGCACCCGGTTCTCCTGCGTCGGCGGCCATTCGCACTCAGACTGACAGCATGCTGCCCGGCAGGGAGCACGCGCACTGCTGTTGGCTTCAACTGCCGCACACTGTGTTTGAACGTCGGTTGTGCCTCCATTTCACCCAGCTCTAGGCTTGTAGGCTTCACTGCAAGTAGCATCGTGCTTCGTGGGTCATCATGAGTGCTCGCAAGAAGCAGGATTTCCGACTCATTGACGACCATGTCTTCAATGGCAGGAGTTGGCAGGCCATCGAGCTGAATCTCGAATTTTCCTGCTTGGTAGAAGATCTGATCATTCTTCTCAGTTGTCCGAACAAGCGATAATTGAGTCGCTCCTTCCTCAGTAGCCAATTGCTGTGCCAGGAAGCACACAGCATCACACCTGCTCGCAGGTCTCCTATTGAACAACAGTCTTCCAATAGCCGCCCCGGTACTTGAAGAAAGCTGAACTCTTGATGATTGTCGCCACTGCGCTCGCAGCAATTCAGCGGGTTTGACAAAGAACGACTTGCATAGTGCATTCATGCGCTGAACTGACGACTTGAGCGACGCATGGAGTGTCTCGTGATCAAGCAAACCGGGAAGCACAACGTTGACCAAAGCTTGCTCCGACCTTTCCACATCGAAGAACGAAGCGATGCGACTCCGAGGGAAATGCTGCTTGATGTAATCAGCCACCTTGGAAATAGGAACAGGCATTGGCATGTCTGGGAACTCGTCATCAGGCGAAAGCCGGTCAATTGTATAGCCCAGCCAGCTGCAAAACGCCGAAAACGTCGTCAACTCCGTAGCAATGTCACGTAAAAGCATGTGCAATTGCGCCATCAAGAACGACACCTGTTTAATGGCGTCGTCGATCTCGTCAAACCCAAGTGGTTGCTTTGTCGGTGTGTGTCCTTCTCTTGATACATCACGTAGATTAGACAGCATGACAACGAGTCGCTCACATGCTGGCAGACACGATTCGAAGACCAGATTACGCATCGACTTGAGCGACGCAGTGCACGTCTTCTCCCAACGCTTGACCAAGCGCATGCTGATAGTCTCTTCAAACCACCAACTCATGAGTGCATCAGGCTTGCCCGTGATGAGCAGAGTGTAGAGTGCATATCGGACAACCATCTCCTTCTCTTCTCTCGTACCACCATCTGTGTCCTGAACACCATCAACAACGCCATCGTATGCAGCCTTTCTGGCATCTTGGACAACGACCCATTCCTCCTGTAAGCACGACAAGGACTCTGTCAGATATCGCGAAACAGCGTGAAAGTCATTGAAAGTATTGACGAGCTCGCGCAAATGACGGTTGATTTGTCGAAAAGCTGTCATGTGATAGACGCTCAGCCATACTCCTCTGGAATCAGTATAGAGCAACGCATGCATGGTCAGATCCGCGGAACTCGCGAAATGTAGGAGCTTGGCATCTTGATTAATGTCGGTGGCCACCTCAATTTCTAGTGCGCCAAGAACAAGCTTGAGTTGCAATGCATCGTTGCATACAACAACAAATGAAATACGATCAGTCCGTTTCTCGAGATCATGAATGACCGACTCAACTGCGCTTTTCGCTGTGAATGTGTGATCTTCACCGGCACTTGCATTCAGCAGTGGCGGTAGATGTGGTAACTCTTTGCGGATATCCAGGGGCACCGTCGGCTCTTGATTGCCAGCATTCAAAGAGCTCTCGAGCCAAGCAAGAAACACAACAGATCTCCCTTGCTCTGTCTTTTCGCTCGAGACAGAATTGACCAATTTCCCATCATTGACACCGATATAGCGGATAGCTCCATCATTGCAGCCGACCACAAGGACTTTACCGTCAGGTCGCCACGCTATACTTGTGATGGCTGAAGAGACGCGCAGATCAGACACATAGCTCGTCCATACACGAACACCATCGAGTCTGTGCAGATGAACCTCGTCCGTGTCTGTGACTGATGCGAGGAGATCCATGGTAGGACACCATGAGAGCAAGTCTGTCTTGAGTGGCAGCGGGCTCGTTCTTTCGCCATAGACCGGGAAGTGAGACATCCGGCAGTCAATGATGAGCTAGCTTAAAGCATTAGAGAGCCAATCGGCTCAGCATCAAGGACATTGCTTGAGTGTCGTTGTGTAGCAGCAGACGCGTGCGACCGTGAAATTTAATCTCGCTACAATCAAGCCAACAGGACAGCAACCCATCGTCATTGCCTTGTTCTCTGCAGCATGAAGGGCTCAGGCAGCATCAAAGTCCCATGCTCATCTGCCAATATCGGGCCAGGTTTTGATACCGTCGGCATCAGTCTTTCCATCTACCTGACACTCAATGTACGGACTGGTGTCGATGAAGAACCCATCTGCCAGCTATCCTATGAGGGCGAAGGCGCCGATGAAGTGCCATTGGATCCTGAACAGAACCTCATCACGCGTACTGCGCTCTATGTGCTCAAATGTCACAACATCACAGCCATTCCAAAGGGAACAAGAATACACATCAACAACGGTATTCCCCTTGGTCGAGGGCTTGGGTCTTCTGGTGCTGCCGTTGTTGCTGGTGTCATGCTCGGTGATATGCTGGGTGGATTGAAGCTTTCAAAGGAGAGGATGATGGATTACTGTCTCATGATTGAAAGACATCCCGATAATGTCATGGCTGCCATGATGGGTGGCTTTGTTGGATCTTTCCTCAATGAGCTCAGCGAGGAGGATACAGAACGCAAGGAGATCCCACTCAGTGAAGTTCTACCAGAACCTGCAGGCGGTATCGACACTGGCCTACGTCCACCAGAACCACCAACCAATATCGGCCATCACATCACATTTGGCTGGGCAAAAGAACTTCGAGCCATTGCCATTATCCCGCAATTCGAGGTATCCACTGCAAAAGCGCGTGAAGTCCTACCGACCCAATACTCACGTAGTGATCTCGTCTTCAATCTACAAAGACTCGCTGTATTGACCACGGCACTCGCAAGATCTCCACCAAACCCAGATCTCATCCATCAGGCAATGCAAGATAGAGTGCATCAGCCCTATCGAAAGACACTGATTCCAGGTCTTCCAGAAGTCCTTGCATCGGTCACGCCAAAGACACATCCCGGTCTTTGCGGTATCTGCCTTTCTGGCGCCGGTCCAACCATCTTGGCGCTTGCCACGCGTGATTTCGACCATATTGCACAAACTATCATGGATAAGTTCAAGGCGGAAAACATCACTTGCACCTATGAGGTCTTGGAACCTGCATATGACGGTGCGACTGCTTCGTTCACGCCTGCGTGAAGACTTGTTCAAAGACTGGTCGTCGCTAGTGTGTAGAAGAAGGACCAAGCCACCTCATACAGTACTTTTGGGCTAAATACCTGGACTGTTAGCTGTTAGATGGCAGGTTCAACTGCATACCGAATAGATGAAGAGGTGATGGCGCAAAATGTAGCAAGATAGGCATAGAGCGAATGCATACACAGATGACAAGACGACCATGAATGATCTTGCGAATTGAAGACGATCTTCACCTAGACTTCCTGGCTGGTGCTGCGTCCATGCAAAGATCTCTGCTTGCCAAAAGAAGGCACCGAGAAAGCTTGAAAGGAAGAGTAAAATGCCTACCACCACGGCATTATAGCTTGCTACGCCATTATACGCTTGTGACAAGTCCAAACCTGATAATGCGTTACTGTTGCCCATCGCAAAGAAAGTAGATTGTTGCAATATGCATAACGTGACAAGCACGGATTGTTCAACCCAGACTGGCCGAGTAACAGAATCTGGTACTCGTAGGCTGCGCGCAAGTCCAAGTAGCAGGAGTAGAATGGGTAGATTCTCCAATCTTGCTTGCAAGCAAAAGACAAGAACAACCAGCATACGTGCCAAAGCAACCCTTGAGCTTGGTGTTCTTCGCAAAAACACGAGGACTGCTCCGCAAGCCATCATGAGCCACGCAAACGCAGGTTGCACAAGCAGATTCTCTTGTAATGCTGTATTCTGCGTATATACTGCAAACTTGAACGCGGCAATACTGCCCAGTGCAAGCCAGAGGGGCGTCCAGTGTAACTGAAAGTGAGACTGCCGAGCAAGCAACAAGACAATCGCAAGAAAAGTGGCGAGCAACGCTCTCTCGAAGAGTGCCGGTTCGTTCTTGAACCATCCACTCAAATCATCCATACCAGCAAACTTCTGACCAGTCTGATTGAATCTTCTGAGCAGACGGAAGAGAAGTAAGGAAATGACGGCTCTGCCTGCAGTCTTTAAGTCCAGCCTGCTGGTCTGCGAGAGATCAAACAGCTGCAATCCAAGTAAAAAAGCAGCAGTGAGGTAGTACCAATATACTTGCTCTTCTTCAACGAAACTGGATGCAAATGCTGTGGCCGCATGACCGGCCGGGACTAGAAGGAATGCGAGTTCGCTAGTGGATGTATGTATCTTGATGTAGCACGTCAATGCGACAACAGCAACGGATCCAAGCAATGCAAGACCAACTGCCATATCTGTCAAGTTGTAATCGTTGGACGAGGCTTTGAGTAGTACCTGCATCTGTTCCAGTGCATTCAACAAGTCAGCTTCGCTGCTGGACGAATGGTCCGCAAAGTCAATATTGACCAAGTCGCAGGAGCCCATCGAGTCCACCTCGGAGCAAGGTAACTCTGTTCCTATGAACTTCGAAATTCCACCAGCCAAGAGTAAGCGTTGCAATTGACGCGCATTCTGTCGCAAAGCTGCTAGTCGGTCCTTGCTATCGCTCCATAATGGAAGCACAGCTGCAGGAATTTTTCCAATAGCATTGATTGGAATGGGTGTTCCTGTAAGTAGTGACAGCATCGGTACAAGGTCAGACTGCAAAATTGGCCGGTAAAAAGAAAACTCGGCATCTTGTTGCGCAGGCCAGGTTTGTTTGAGTGAGAGGCCCTTGAGTCGATCACTGATCAAGAAAGCAGCAGTCTGAGTTTCCGCATCACTTGCACCACCGTGATTGCCTGTTGCTGTCATACCGTGGTCACCTACAACCATAATGGCAGTCGAATGCCCTGACGTCTTGTCTTGATCTCTGATGAACATGTGGATTTGGTCAATAATGGTGTCCATCTCCTTTTGCTTGAGGGGCATATGGACTGAGCTTGGACCAGATAGATGACCGATATGATCGAGGCCGAGGTAGTGAAGGATGATGGTGTCCCAGTTTGGGCTAGACATCGCAGGGTCGATGTGTCTTGTGACATTCTTCAGTTAGCTTGAGATGGTGAATGTATTGAATTCGTACATGATCCACATCTGTAAAATCGCTCACAAAGAAGGATGTGGTTCCTTCAGACTCAACGAATGAGTTTGGGAAGAGACGTAGCCACGTATCGTCTCCATACATGTGAATCTTGCGGGACTGAGCAACCTGCTGCTGGACCCAGGAGTCTTGCATTGAGTCTGCAGATGCGCCATCCGGCTCAGCGAGGTTCAATATGGCATCGAGGAAACCAGAGATGGATCCTGTTGTCAAGCACTTGAGACGTGGCAATGTAACGGTGGGCGTCGAGGCACGCGCGGTAAATGCTAGGACTTCTTCCTTGAGTATCTTTGAGTGCAGCGTGTGCATGGCCGAGTCTGGTCCAAAAGCAAAGTCTGAGCGCAGTGCATCGATGACTATGAAGATGAGGCGGTCAAATACAGCAGGAACATCGTCTGGGTGGGCAGATGCATGTCCTGGGAGAGCAGCTTTTTGGAGAGGGAAGAAGCCTCTAGCGAAGAAGAAGAGACCGGCTAGTTGGAGCAGACAGAGCAGAGCCACATGATGCCGCCTCATGCTGATTCTATGATTGGGTAGGATGCATATAGCAGGCAGTACAGATACAGTACAAAAGTAGAGTTGAAGCCTGCTGCAGTCCGAGTTTGACTTTGAGTCTTCAGATGGGCAGCACAAGACACACCCGGGTGTCCCTCAGAGCAAGTCCCCCGAGTCAACAAGTTTCGCAGTCTCTCGCGCGAAATTCAAGCTGGAACGGAGAGAGCAGCAGCAGCAAGCAGGCACAAGGGAAAGGCAACGCAAGAACAACACTACCTGCAATCATGGCTGTCGGAAAGAACAAGAGGCTGTCAAAGGGAAAGCGCGCCACCAAGAAGAAGACCCAGGACCCCTTCTCCCGCAAGGACTGGTTCGACATCAAGGCGCCATCCATGTTTGAGGTCAAGAACATTGGCAAGACCCTCACAAACCGATCTGCCGGTCTCAAGAACGCCAACGACGCACTCAAGGGCCGCATCATCGAGGCGTCTCTCGGTGACCTCCAGAAGGACGAGGAGCACGCATTCCGCAAGATCAAGCTCCGAGTCGATGAAGTCCAGGGCAAGTCCTGCCTCACCAACTTCCACGGCATGTCCTTCACCCAGGACAAGCTCCGTTCGCTCGTCCGCAAGTGGCAGACACTCATTGAGGCGCACGTCGTTGTCAAGACCACAGACGACTACCTTGTCCGTCTCTTTGTCATTGCCACCACACGCCGCCGTCAGAACCAGGTCAAGAAGACTTGCTACGCACAGACTGCCCAGATCCGCGAGATCAGGCAAAAGATGTTTGAGGTGATTCAGCGTGAGGCTGCTTCCTGCTCCCTCAAGGAGCTCGTTCAGAAGCTCATCCCTGAAGTCATTGGCCGGGAAATCGAGAAGGCCACCCAGGGCATCTACCCGCTCGCCAACTGCTACACCTCCAAGGCCAAGATCCTCAAGCGTCCGGCCCTCGATGTTGGTCGTTTGCTCGAGCTCCACGGCGGTGAGGAGACTGGCTCTACCAAGGTTGACCGTACGGCCACCCAGGAGATCCCAGTGCTTGACTCCGTGTAAAGCATCTGTCGATCATCCATTCCGCTTGCATTGGCATCCACTATCAAGGTTCTATGTCCTATTGAAAGGCCTTGTGGAGCGTGTCTCTACTTGCTTTGACAAGCAAGATTTTTCTCTTGCTTTCAAAAAAAGTCACAGCTTACTGTTGTCTTGCCATACACATCTTCGGTAGACTCAGCTAGCATACATCATACACATCTGCACATTTCTTGCCTTGATCACGCTGATCACTCTTCCTTGACATTTCTTCCGTTCGGCACTTGCCATCTCTCCGCACTTTTGACGCGACGAACAGCTGTAAAGTCAATAGACAGATACAACCATCCTGATCATGCTGCCTGTGCGTCGCCTACGCTTACAGGCGACTTCTCCTGGAGGCTTCATCTCCTCCATCCAGCTTGTCAGGTTCTACTCCACTCCCTCCCCGAAGCAACCACCACCACCCGAAGCATTCAGGGAACAAGGACCCCTTGCAGGCATCAAAGTCCTCGACCTGACACGTATCCTTGCAGGTCCCTATGCCACTCAAATGCTCGCTGATGCAGGTGCCGATGTCATCAAAATCGAGATACCCAAAATAGGCGACGATACACGGCATTGGAAGGATAAAGCGGAAGATGCATTTTGGAACAAACCAGGTGAACCAGGAACAGATGCAAATGTCACTGAAACAAGTCTCTACTTCACTTGTTGTAATCGTGGCAAACGCTCATTGGCCGTCAATCTCAAGTCTCCGGAAGGTGTTGCCATTATCAAGCGTCTTGCAGAAGAGTGTGATGTGGTTGTGGATAATTACCTTCCCGGAAAGCTCGATGAGCTCGGTATTGGCTACAGTGTCTTATCTGCCATCAATCCACGCATCATACACGCAAGTGTCTCTGGTTATGGCACCTCTGGACCATTTGCAAAACGTGCAGGGTATGATGTGATTGCAGCAGCAGAAGGTGGTATGCTCCACATTACAGGTGAGCGTGGTGGACCACCCGTTAAACCTGGTGTAGCCCTGATTGACCTCTGTACTGGCTTATACTCCTACGGTGCCATCACATCAGCCCTCTATGCACGGCAGTTCACCGGCAGGGGACAAAAGATCGATGCATCCTTGCTAGAAACATGTCTATCTCTACAAGTCAATCTAGGATCCTCCTACCTCAACCTCGGCAAGGAAGCAACACGGTTCGGTTGTGGTCATCCAAGTATTGTTCCATACGACACATTCACCTGCTCAGATGCCCATATTGTTGTTGGTGCAACAAGTAATCGACAATGGTCCATTCTCATGGAAACCCTAGGCAAACCGGAATACATCACCGACGACCGCTTCCTCACCAACCCAGCTCGTGTGGCGCATCGTCAAGAAGTCGAAGAGATCCTCAATTCAGCCTTCAAAGCCAAGACAGTCGCTGAATGGTGTGAAGAGCTCAAGCACTCTGGCTTACCATTTGGTCCCGTCAATAACCTTGAACGAGCGTTTGCGCATCCGCAAGTAGGACCACGAGAGATGATCCAGTCATTGCCGTCAAAAGCGAGTAAATCGGGGACTGTCAAGGTTGCGGGTGTGCCAGTCAAATACAGTGATACTCCAGCCTCCATCAAATCGGCGCCACCTAGTATTGGCGAGCATACGGTGGATATCTTGACGGAACTTGGGTATGCTCAAGAGGAAATTCAACGCATGCAACAAGCAGGCACTGTTCAATAGATCTAAACGGTCATCGGACCAACAACAATTTGGTCCTGTCGAATCGCATCCAACTTGTCCTGCCGTTCTTGAATCTTTGCTTGTTGTTTGCTGACTTTTTCATGCTCTGCATAACTCTTTTTTTCTTGACGATGCTTAACACGCTTTTCCTTGTTGGTCTTGGCAACGACGCCCTTCATACCATGCTTGAAGCGCGTTATAAAATCAGCTGCTTCGCCCTTTGACAAGACGCGATTCTCAAACGTTCTCTTGGCAAGTTTCGCGACCAGCTTCTTTTGTGCATCGGACGCTTCAGCACTGCGCCATGGAGCGTTCTTTAAGAGCGTGCTGCGCGGAACGCATTTCACAGCATACGTGCTTGCTGCTGCAATGGCACCATCCACACCAGGCATCCTCTCAAACAAGACCTTGGGCTTTGACAAAATGGCGTCCACATAGAATGGAAGATTGCGTGTTTCAGTGCCCATCCATAGAGTCTCGTCAGTCGCACAGGGCTGGACACGAATGAAGCCACGCTTGCCTAGCGAAAGGATATACTTGTTGGCATCCACCTGGACCCAGTTCAATTGAGAAAGTGTACTGATGTGGCGGCCACCGGCGGAGTTCAATTCGTTGAGGAGATCTTCGACATTGTCATAGTCAAAGTAGGTGACCGCTGTCGGCGGTGCTTTTGCTTCAATGGGAGGACCAAGTGCTTCCATTTCTGCAGCAGCAGCTTCGCGTCTCGCCAATAATGCAGCAGCGCGTCTTTCAAGTTCCTCCAGGGATAATTCTTCGGCATCAAGTAATTCGTTCGGGTCAAGTCCATAGAGTGTCGGTAGCGAGACAACACCATTCTCGAGGCAGCTAGTCAGGTCAAGCACATGACAATCGGCCTTGCCGTCAGCTTTTCTCATACCCCTGCCAATCATCTGCACAAGCAAGCCGCGTGATCGTGTTGGCCGACATAACATAACACAGTCAATCTCAGGTAAATCGAAACCTTCAGTAAAGATGCCACAATTGACTAGCACTGGAAAGTCGCCCCGTCTAAAGGCATCCACGAGATTGATTCGATCTGCCTTGCTCGTATACGACGTCACGGCCCGAGCATCGTAGCCATGTTGTCGAAATGTGTCTGTCAAATCATTGACGTGGCCAATATCAACGGCGAACACAATTGTGCTCCGTCGTTGCCTGGCACAACGATTCATCCATGATCGTACGCTGACGAGATTATTTGCTGTGGTATTCACAGTCTTGGCAAGTTGCTTGGCATTGAACTCGCCGGATTTGGTCAAGGCGACCTTCTTGAGGTTGACTTCCGGTTGCTTGACCTGCGTAAATTTGACTGGACAAAGCCAATTGTCCTTGATCATCTCGACATAGTCGCGGTGGTAGACGATATGATCCAGTGCTGAGCCAAGTTGGAGTCCATCTGTACGTGACAGGGTTGCTGAGACACCGATGACAATACAGTTAGACTCTGGTGTATCTGCACCAAAGTGCGCGAGGACGTCCAGGTACGACGCTGCAGCTGCATGATGCGCCTCATCAATCAAAATCAACTTGACGCGAGACGGATCGAACTTGTCTAGCCGTCGAATGAGACTTTGCACAGAGCAAACAGTGATATCGGCTGTACCAGAAGCTTGTGTTGTGCCCATCTCCAGCTCAATGCGCTTCTCAGGGTACGTCCGACTGCAATGGCCAGCGGCCTGATCGGCAAGCTCTTTGCGATGGACAAGGATGAGCGTTTGTGTCCGTTTACCCTCTTCTGGTACACGCTCAATCAAGTGCGTGAAAATGACAGTCTTGCCACTGCCAGTGGCCAAAGAGACGGCTATCCGGCGTTTGCCCTCTTGTATAGCTGTGATGCATGATTGAATGCATTCTTCTTGGTAAGGACGCAGTGTCACCGCACTGCGAGCGAATTTAGTAGCAGTACCAGCAAGAGATGAGCGATTCGTGGATAGGTAGTGTAGCGATGGTCTGACTCTGCTGAGACCGATGAAGAGCTTGTTCATAAGGCGAACACATGCATGGTACCGGTTGAATTGCTGGATTGCTGTTTGACGCGCGCCGAAATTGCTTCTCGCGGACTGCAAGAACATCACGCAAACTTGTATAAGAAGAAGCCTTGGTCATCCTCGACCAACATCGCCTGCGACGAATGACTGTCAGCGTATTCTACTATGCTTCCTCCAATGGGCTACTTACCTGAGGGAAGCAAACCATCCTCGTGATGAGGAGGAATTATGTCATATGGACTTCCTGAAATAGGGTCGAGTTTGGTCAAACACTGAACATGAGTGCTCATCTGCAGTGTATCCCTTGCTCTTTAAGTCAATGCGCGAGCTCTCTTATGGCATGGATGTGCCAACACTGGCAAGTGCCTGCGTTACAATAGCGATCGCCAATCTTGCTGCTTACCTTGGCGCATGACCTCAGACAGAGTCTTGAGCTTGGACACTGCTGGCAGCTCGAGCTTCCGGGGAATACACGCTTGCTCTTCTCGACATACAGACCTCTGCTGGCACTGCTTGCCTAGTGTAGTGGCAGTGCCTGGTCAATGCGAGACTGGTCCCATGCTGGACTCCCATCTCAACTGACCATCTCAATTTTAGTGGCACCCAAAACAATGCAGAACAATGCAACGGTTCATTGTTCGCCTTACGCTTGACTTTCATGAGACGACGATTTGATGTGAATGATCGCGACTCAAGTCAAGTCAGGGAACAGTTCAAATAGACAGCCTTGCTGCTTAAGCAGTACTCGGCTCTCTATGTCGAAGGCTTTGCAGCGCTTGATGCGTTGGAGAGGGGTGTACCTGTGCGTAGGTACCGCGGCCAATTCTCCAATTTGCATGCATGATGCATCTCTGCGTGCCGTTGAAGGCAATGCATTGTTCCAGGCGCCACGCATGCAAGACAAGCGATCGTTAGGCCGTTGGCTCGCGCGAACGGCATCCTCGATCAAAGGCTTGCTGTCATTGGCCCTGGAACCGCCGTGGTCGCCCTGCCCTCGGCCTTGGTGCAACTGATCGGAACCACTGCGAGACATACATGGTAACGACAAGCTTGGTAGATGACATCGCTGTTGCAATGCACCATTGCTTTGTGCTGTCGTCCTGCTAAGCAGGAGGCTTCAGGTGAGTTCTTCAATTTGCGGATTCTGCTCGCTGCTTCGTACCTTGTCGGAGAGCACCCTGCAGTAGTCTATGCATGGGAGCTTTTGTTCGTGCTCTCTGGATTAAGGCAGCTTTCAGTATGATGTCTCAGAGAATCTTCGGTTGCACCAAATAGACAAGCCCACGTCGCTCGAGGCGCAACACGCGCATATTACCAGGTTGACAAAGGAATCGTCCCCTCCGCCAAACGGTTCCCGCACCCCCCGGGCGAACGTCTCAGAGGATATAAGGCAGCCTTGGTCCGCGGCCGCACAAATCCTCCTTATTCATCCCCAAGTCTCCATCAAGCAATTACCGCATACCATGGATCCTGTACGCTCCTCATCATATGGAGAGACTGAAGCTAACATGACAGACTACTCAAACTATCAAGGAGCAACTCCCATCTACCAACGTGGCCTTGCCAGGCGGTTGGACTGGCGGTGTCTCAAGCGGAGGTTGTGTTATTTTGTAAAGCTGCATCACCACTAGACAATGAACTTTTCTGATGTACAATATGCAGGCTGTTGGCCATGATTGTGCTATCTCACGCCATGACACCATGCGCTATTCGTTGCTGTAACGTTGATGATTGTATGCAATTGATTGATGTGAACCTCGGAAGGAGACAGACCCTGACGCTTCACCTTAGCCCAGGCACGCTGTAATTTCGGTTCAGATGGGAAAAGTTACCAGGTCTGGATGCCACGGCCCATGACATCTCTAAGCTTACGGGCTCAAGTGCTAGAGCTACAAAAGACCTTCATAAGCTCCTTGAGATATGAATGATACATAGCGACCCACAGAAGCGACGTGTAAAAGAGTTCTCATTTGGCAGCAACGGCTCAGCTGTCGCTGCCCCTGACATAATGCCTGCCATGTTCTTTGACCCGCTATCTGATCAGGTTGCCTTAGCTCATGGTAGAATAGGCTGAACATCGTGTACAAACGAGGGCTTGAGAGCTGTTCTCCAACTTACGGCAAGCCTTCTTCCTCCAGAGGGGAAGAATAATGCTAAAAGCTGACAGAACTAGTATACGCTTCGCTTAGCGTAAAATGAACATTGCAAATGCAATCATAAGTAATACGTAGACGAGGAAGATATGATGCGCGCTTGTTGAATCGCCCCTCATGTCGACGTAACCACCGGAGATATCGCCCATGTCGACGCGTTGACCACATGTCATTGTTGCTACAAACGCTGCCTGCAATCATGCATCAACAAGAATCCATCACCATAGCCTGCCTCAGCGACCCGCGCCGACGACTCAACACATCCGCATCATCTTCCCTCGCTGCTAGGATCATCCGGGTATAACCACTCGTTCCACACATCTTCCCAACACGACACATATTTTGTTCCAAGACTAATATGCGTAGAAAGTCTGGATTCAAGCGTGGTTCACGAGGTCGCATGCGTCGTGTTGTTGCCTGTGGTGGCGATACTTGTGATTCGCGTGAGATGTCCTGCCAGGGCTGTAATTCAATGAGCCAGAGTACATCATCGACTACTTCCTTCTCCATCTGAGCTTCAGTACTTGTCGCCAGAGGTGCATTCTTCAGCTCATTGTCGAGGGAGGCATCTTGCGGATTACTGGCCTGCTGCTTGGCTCTCGGAAGCAGTCCAGCGGCTGTATAGGGTCTGCTTTGCCTTGACCCCGATGAGACTGGCTGACCGTGATGGGAACGGCTGCGAGAGACCAATAAATTAGCATGATCGAATTGCGCTGCAGAAAGACTCGTTGCCCATGCACTCAGATTTGCAGATAAGGAAGAAACAAAGGAGGAGGTCCGAATGGATGGGCCAACGGATGTGAGAGGTTTGAAGAGGACGGAAAGCGCAGAGACACGTTGCGGGCTTTGTGCGTCCGATGCATTGGATGATGAGAAGAAGTCCGCTTCCTCGTCTACCAGTAATGGGTTTTCCATGTCTAAATTGACCGGATGGCTTGGCAGTGCAGAAAGTCGTCTGCGACGCCGCACACTAGGAGATGATGAAACTGAGTCATTGGACTCCATTGAGTCGGAAGAGCATGATCTGCTAAGAGATGGCAGACTGTCCGGCGGTGTCAGCAGATAACTGAATGAAGCAGCAACGGGCGTCTCCAAGTTGGTCGCGCCGTCGCATTCGTCAAACAAGCTCGAGCGCCGTTTCGAATGCGGCCTAGGAACCGTCCGCGCTTGAGAAGCAGGCGGCGTCGCGGGCATGGAGTGTAGAGAGCATAAGGATGCTGTACTCGATGAAGAGGAGAGGGCCGATTGCATAGACGACCTGCGCTTGGAGGATTGACGACGCGGCTTGATGGCCGTCTCTGCGAGGAGCATAGTGATGCGGTCGCTTTGACTGGCGCGTCTGGGAATGGAGAGTGGTGCTGTCCGATGGCTGCTATTGTTGTGCGTGTCTGTTGGGGCGGCCCTTGAATGCGACTGCATTGAGGTGACCATTGCCGTGTATAGGAGATGCGCTTGCTCTCTCTGTTGTTGCCTGGTTATCTAGTAGGGATACGGTGTTGCTTCTATAGCCTGCTGGTGGTGCTGCTGTTGGGGAGTCGTGTGCTGTGCCGATCGATTGTGCGCTGCGAGATAAGAAAATGCTGACATAAACCTTGCTGCTGCTATCTTGCCCCTTTTTCCTTCTCCCGCTTCTACTCCACGCAGATCTGCCACAGTCTCATGCTGGAGGCTAGCGTGGTAGATAGATACAGCTAGACATGCTACATACATCAAGTCACTGGACATTGCAGCTAGAGAACCGCTCCATCCAAGAACGCCGTCAGCCAAATGCTCTGACCCCGCGAGTGCCCGTTTCTCCGCGTTTCAGCCATGACACTTTTGGCAGGTCGGCCTGCCGAATTTGACGCCGAACATGACACTGAGAGCAACCTTTCGTAGTACAGCGAGAAGACTCGCATGTGACGAATTGTTGCATAGCAATCTATACTCTCCTGATCATCCAGGGAGGTCACATTCGCGAGAAGATAATCGGGTCGTGTCGGGCCCCCCCCTGATGCGTGACTGTCATTTCGGGTTTAGACGCATCTGACTGAGCAAATCTGAACTCAAGAGTAATCGTGCTCAGGCTGGGCTAAGAAGTTGAATGATATGACAGAAAGCCTGCTGGTCAGTATCAGACCCGTCAATCTAGCTGTGGAGGGAATCCAGTCAGTGCTCGCAGTAGTGCAGCGGCATCTGAAAATGTAGCCGAGTTCAGACCTGCCTGATGCACCGAGGGCCGCAGCAGGCAGACCACTACCACTTGTCACTGAACTAGCAGTACCCTGCGGTATTCATAGATGAGTAGCTGCATCGCTTCAGTCACTGTTCATCTTCCCTCTGTCTAGTTTGCTCCATAAGCTTCAAGCCGGCAATAAAAGTCCAAGCGTAAAAGAAGGCTATAGACACTTGCTACTATGTCGAAAGCCAGAGGCAAACAGCCCGAGTTTCAAAAACCACCGCTACCAGACTTTCTTCGAAGATTGCACCAGGACCAAGCAGTTGCAGAAGAACGACCGCTGCCCAAGTACGACGCACCAGGTCGAGAAGATGAGCTACCGAGCATTGTAGATGACGCTGGTGTACTCACTGCTGAAGACGAAAGATCTCTGCGCATTCAGCATGGGCTGTCTGCAGATCGTCCAGCGCATCTTGATGATACGGAGGCCACCACGGATGCCCTGGAGAAGCGCTTGCGAGAATCAAAGACCAAAACGCAAGCTGCTACTATTGTCGCTTCATTCGGCAAGCTAAAGAAGAAGCGTGCCATCCAGATCGAAGGTGACAAGGGCGCCAGTATAGCCAGCTCGAACGAGAAAGAAGCGGAGGCTGTGAAGCCAAATCGGAAACGTATCGCAATGAGCTTCGAGTGAATCTAATCAATGCTCACTCTACGACAAAAAGTAATGCACGGGACAAAGCCTATTAGCTCTTGATCAGGAGAGGCAGGATTCGTGCCTGAAACCAGCAAGAACTACAAGAAGGCAAATTGGGTCTGTCTCATTTGCGCCTTCGACGCATCGCTGCCCTTCAAGGGCTTGCGGAAGGACGAAGGAAGACAACAAGCGGAAGCCCAACCGCGTACACTCCATCACATGGGCCGTTTATCTGAAAGCCCTCGTCGCCGAGCACGAAAGCGCAAGCAATGATTCGGGTAATTCACCATAACAGCTGTCGCAGCTCGTCAGACGGGTAAGCAGACCATAATGAACTGCCAAGAGCAAGGGCTTCATTCGCTAAAGATCATGTAATATGTAGCTCAACGCTTCTTGCTCGCCTTGGCAATTCGCTTGAGGGCACGATTCTCCTTCTTCATCCGCGAATCGACCATCTTGTACTTACCCTTGACGCCTCCTGGTCGGCCGCCACCACGCGTCTTGGCACTAGCAACCACGACAGATACTTTTGCCTTTGGCTTTGACTTGCTTGCACGGTTCAACAATCGCGAAATGCTTTGTGCCTTTTGCCGCTCCGTCATGTCTTCCGTCTCATTGATGACATTGGCTTTTTGGTTGATCTTACTCAATGTACGCAAAGCACGCTGCTTCTTCCTGCCCTTGGCCTCGAGGATCTTCTTGATGGGTCGAGCGTTGGCGGCACGCATCTTTTCACGCAGTGCGTCAGCAGCTGCTTTCGTCGTCGGCAAGTTTGGCTTATTGTGAACATTCTCATCGTCGAGGAACCACTCAGGCGCTCCATCCTTGTCGTAAAAGGCCAGCCTATTGAAGCCGTCATCAATCAGATCTGTCGTTGACTTTTCGCGACTGGCAATCTGCTGTGCAAGCGTCATGGCTTCCGCTGTGACAATGTCAATGGTAGACTTGCCTAAAGCACGCGGGTTGTCAATCTCGTCGTCGGAGTCAGAGTCGGAACCTTCCTTGTGTTGCGAACGAGGGACCTCTTCAAAGGCAGAATCCTTGATCTTCTTTGGCTTCGCCTTAGCTTTCGCTGGCGCTTTTGTAGAGGTAGCTTTTGCGGTGGTCGCAGCATTGTTCTCGGGAGACACAGTCTTGGAACGCTCACCTTCGTCCTCGTCATCATCGCCAAGCTCGGCAAACAAGTCTTGGTCGAAGAAGAGTGAGGCACGTTTCGTCAAGCCATTCACCGGCGTCGTTGTGTCCTTCTCCAGAGATGTTGATAAAACAAAATTCTCAGCATCAGAGTCGCTGTCAGAGTCACTTGCTTCAGCAGGCGCCACTGTCTCGTCTTCATCGTCTGAATCGGCCTTCTTGTCATCAATACCGGTCCACTCATCGTCGCCCTTCTCCATACGTGCGCGCTTCGCCTTGAACTTAGCATCACGCTCAGCACGACGCTCTCGATACTGATCGTACATGAGATCCAGCTGATCGTCGAGGTCCAAGTTCTCCTCCTCACTTTCCGATTCCGATTCAGGCAATTCTGCCTCTTCACCCAGTGCCACTTTGGCAAGCGCTCCTTTACGCTCAATATCCTTGAGTGCAAACATGGCATCTTCGCCCTGAGCAGCTTGCTCACCACCGATATCCATAGCAGCAGTCATACCCATCTGCATGCGTACCACCTCCTTCTGTCGCTTCTCGTTTTGCCGACGCTTTTCACGACGTTGCTTGGCCTTTTGTGTGCCTTCGAGCTGTTCAATCTCTTGATCCATTTGAGCATCTTCATCCAATGGCTCCACTTCTGTAACGGCTTCTTCCTCTTTTGTATTCAAGTTCATGCGTTCACGCACAGCGAGTCGCCACTTGAGCAGGCCCCGAAAGTCTTTCTTGCCGAGCACCTGTAGATCTTTGCAACAAGCCATGATCTCCTTGGTGGTAATGTCGAGCTTCTTGTACGATTTATCCTCTTCAGTATCAAAAGTGAATTCGTGTGTCAGACCGAGCACCTGGATGGGTTCTGCCGTGTTGATGAATTCTGAAATGGGCTTCTCGTTGTGTTGTGTGTAGTTGCCCTCTTCGTAACCTTCACGCTGACGTTTCCGGCGTTCAGGGTGGAAGACCTTGGCTTCTTGGTTTTGTACAACATCAGGCAATTCCTCAAAGACAGATTTTGGATCAAGCAGCTTTGGGTCAATCTTTTGTGGTGCTTTGAAGCCCATACAAACGACGAAAATCTCTGCCGATACGTTTCGCGATGCTTGTGGCTTGGTAGCCTCGACTTTGGTGAAGAGCTGATTGAGGACCCAGATGAGGGCATTGTAGTCCTTCGAGCGAAAGACTTTTGTGACAAAGGTACCGCCTGGTATGAGAAACTCGCAGGCAAGTTTAAGGGACATGAGCACGAGCTCTGCCTGTGAGTAGGCATCTTGAATCCAGGCAGTTCCGACATTAGGTGCTCCATCGTGAATGACACAGTCTGCCTTCCATGTCTTCATGTGCTGTCGCAGCTGAGCCCTGCACTTGTCGCTGTTGATGTCCTCTGCAAAGGTGATGACATTTGGGATCGGCTTGATAGGAACAAGATCCACACCAATAAGCAGCGCACCTGGCTTACACTGTTTCGAACACACCTGCAACCAACCTCCGGGCGCAGCGCACAAGTCAATCACGACTTTAGCCTTTTCGAGAAAGTTGTACTTTTTGGCAAGTTGGATGAGCTTGAAGGCTGCTCTGGAGCGATAGCCTTGTTCCTTGGCGAGCTTGTACCATTTATCAAGACGTCCCTTGGCTGTCTTCTTCTGCGTACCTGCCATAGCGAGTTGTGTCGATGCTCAGGTGTTCAAGGGTGCCTCTTCCTGCTCGTCGCTCGTCCAGAAAAAAAGATTTGTCGCAGGCTTCAAGACCAGAAGGACCACTACTAGGCCTACTCTTCAAAATCAAGCAGCAAGCATGGGCCAGAAGCGCAAGAGAGCAGCAGGACCGCCTACAAGGACAGATGCTCCATCGGCGACGGTACAGACCAAATCAAAGAAGCCCAAGCGCAAATCTGCAGAGCAAGAAGGCGGCAATGTCCCCAGAAAGTTCCGTATGCTCATGGCGCATAAGGATCTCTCTCAAAAGACCAAAGAGATTGAGCGGGAGCAGAATGCATGGAAGCGGACCGCGCAGCAAAGTGAGGCGACCGAGGCGGAGGCTACCAAGAAACTTGTACCTGAGCCGGGAGAGAAGTTGTCTGACTTCAATCGGCGCGTAGACAGCATCATGCCCATCAAGCACAGCAAAAGCTCAGAGACAAAAGGGCCAGCGGATATCATTGACTTTGCAGAGAAGCGGCGACGGAAGCAGTCGGAGCGACAGAAGAAGCAGAATGAAGAGCATCTCAACAGACTGCGGAAGAAAGACGAAGCGCGGCAAGACGATACTGATAAAGCCTTTGATGACTATGAGTTTGCGACATTCAATAAGGAAGCACAAACGGGAAAGGGTCGCAAACGTGCAGCTTCTCCAGATCCATGGGCCGTCTTGTTGCGCCCTGAGCGACAGTACAAGTTCAATGATACGGTTGAGGCGCCTCCAATACTGACCAAGAAGGGAAAGCTCGTCAAGGGTGCGCCTCGTGTATAGATGTAGCCTTCCAGAGCAGGACACTAGCACTTATATAGCTCCGGTCCCTGGCCGCTTCATCTGAATGTCCCTCACGTGATTTTTTCCCTGCGCACGACTTGAAGAAGCTTCGACCTTCTACTTCAGCCTCTCGCTACCTCTGCCGCCTAGTATGTCTGACGCCGAGGATCTGCAGGCGGCAAGCTCTCCTGCTGCACAAGATGATCTAGAGAGCAGTCAGAACCAGGACGACGCACCTGTCAAAGCGGAACCCGTTCGCGGCTCAAAACATGTATATTCGCCTAATGAGATGAACGCGCAGCTGACCCTAGGCTCTGGATGATGATGAAGAAGACGACGACGAGGAAGAGGAGGAAGAGGAAGATGAAATTGATGACCGCAAACCGCGCAAAAAAGTACGGCGCAGCGCTGTAGATGCTTTCATCGACCGCGAAGCAGAAGTCGACGATGACGACGAAGATCTAGATGATGAAGAGGAGGAGCAAGAGATTGCGGAAGGCTTCATCGAGAATGAGGACACAGCAGACTCGCCTGGGGCGCGCGACGACAGACGGCATCGCGAACTCGACCAGAAGCGTGGAGCGATTGAAGAGGAAGAAGCCGAAAAGCTCGCCGCTCGCTTCAAAGAGCAGTATGGACGCAGTGGAAATCGAGCGTATCGCGGAGACACACAGAGTGTTCCTCAACGGCTATTGCTGCCTTCTGTTGAAGATCCATCTATTTGGGCTATCCGCGTCAAGCAAGGCAAAGAGTCTGACATTGTCTTCAATTTGTTGCGGAAGCAGGCGGATCGCGAGCGTTCAGACACACCACTGGCCGTCATTTCAGTGTTCCAGCGAGCTGCCCTTTCTGGCTACATCTACGCTGAAGCACGTCGCCAAGCCGATGTGATTGAAGCACTCACGGATGTTGTGGGCGTCTATGTGCAAAATCAAATCTTGATTCCCGTCAAAGAAATGCCAGAACTGCTGCGCGTACGCAAGACTGGCGTTGAGCTTGTTCCTGGTTCCTACATTCGCATCAAAAATAAAAACAAGCGTTACGCAGGTGATCTTGGGCAAATTGACAACATTTACCAGGGTGGTACCTCTGCTGTCGTCAAGCTAGTGCCGCGACTTGACTACTCGAGCAAGGAGATGCTGCTTAAGAAGAATGTCGCCAAGTCTGCCAATCGTGCACCAGCACGGCTGTTCAATGCAAACGATGTAGAAAAGGTTGCAGAGGAACGTATTCGTGGCAATGCTGAGGAGAATTTGTATGAGTTCAACGGCGAACGATATGAAGATGGATTCTTGGTTAAAGAATTCAAGCTGGATGATCTCATTCAAGAGGACATCAAACCAACCCTTGAAGAGCTTCATCTGTTCAGCCAGAATGGCGCCTTTGACTTGGCAAACCTCAAGCAAGGCTTGCAAGGGAAAGATCGCGTGCGCTTCACCATTGGAGACAATGTAGAGGTTATCAGTGGCGAACAGACTGGCGCAGCAGGTATTGTTCAGAGCATAAGCAATGGCGTCGTTGAACTGAAAACCTCTGCCGAGACGGGCCTGGGTGTCCTGTCTGTACCGGCTGTTGGACTTCGCAAGAAATTTGCACCTGGAAGTCATGTTCGTGTGCAAGGCGGCAAGCATTCAGGCGAGTCTGGTATGGTTGTTGCTACATCTGGCAATTCAGTTACACTCATCAGCGACATGACAACGCAAGAGATTTCAGTCTTTGCGCGAGATCTTGGAGAAGTGAATGAAGTCTCTGGTGCGCCAGTCCGGTCTCGATATGAGGTGCAAGATTTGGTGACGCTCAATGCCACTGAGTTTGGATGTGTGGTCAAGCTTGAGAATGATTTACTTCGTGTATTGATGGCAGGTGGTGAAGTGCGCGTGGTCAAGGCGGATTCCGTGGCCATGAAGCTTGAAGTTAACAAGCAAGTCGTCACAACGGATCGTAATGGTCTTGAGGTCAAGATTCAAGATCGCATTCGCGAAGTCGAAGGCGACTCGCGCAAAGGTGAAGTCTTCCACATTCACTTGGGCTTTGTCTTTTCTCGCAATGTGGCCTTGCTCGAGAACAATGGTATCTTTGTGTCTCGGAATCGTTCGATTGTCAATGAGAATACTGCCGATGCAGCCAAGGTGGACCTGACAAAGATGAACCCCGCGCTGGGTCAAATGCAAGCGCCGGCGCAACTACCAAAATCAACTGGTCGTGATCGTGCCATTGGCCAGACTGTATGGATTCGCACGGGTCCAATGAAGGGCATCATGGGCATCATCAAGGACTCGACCGACACCACTGCTCGTGTGGAACTGCATTCGCGCAACAAGATTGCCACATTCAATAAGCTACAGCTAGGTTTCAAGCTGCAGCGCGATGGCAAACTCATGTCGTATTCAGAATGGCTCTCTGCACGCGGTGGAAGTATGGGCTCTGGTGGACAATCTTACTCTCGTGGGTCAAGCAGCTTACCTGGCGATCGCCCAGCTTGGGCTCAATCAGGCGGACGTACACCCGGTGGTTCGCTTGATAATAACTTCGGTTCACGTACACCTGCTTGGGCAGCGTCTGGTGGTTCAAGAACACCTGCATGGGCAGGCGGTGCAGGTGGTGCGACACCCGCATGGGCTGGTGCTGGTGGCTCACGCACACCGGCGTATGGTGGGAGTACGGGTGCTTGGGCAGGTGGCGGTAGCAAGACGCCGACCTGGAATAGTGGTGGCAATGCGACGCCTGCGTGGAATGCTGGGTCGAGGACACCTGCGTATGGTGGCGGTGGTCAAGCGACGCCTGCGTGGCAAGGTGGTGGTGGACGAACGCCTGCGTATGGGACACCGTATGGTGATGCACCGAGTGTGAATGATGGCGCGTATGCTGCGACGCCTGCTGCGGCACCGGATTATGCACCGACGCCGGGAGCTGGACAGACATGGGAGGATGATTGGGATGCAACGAATATTCATCCGAGCAGGCTTGCACAAACACCTGCTGCTGCTACGCCGGGTGTATATGGCGATGCAGCACCGACACCTGGCTACTTGCCAGAGTCTCCGTAGTGTCTATAGCTGAACATACTTTGCGGCAAACCTGTACTCGTATGCCATCTCGTGAAGCAGTGCGGCAAAATCCAGCGACACGACGAGACGACGACTGCAGCGAACAATCAGTCTCGAGAAGGCAAAGATACTCTAATAGCATGGAGAGTCTAAGCGTATGGCTTCTGCTCTCAATACGTGACTAACGGCAGACAAAAGAACAACAAGAGATGAAGGTCTTCATCGAACAGGAGACTGGGCGACTCAAGCTACAGAGCTCAATCTCCGACTTTACAGAGCGCTGCTTCCCCAAGTGTCTCGTCTCGCCTAACTCGGTACAGAAAGATGCCTTGAGCAATTCAGACCAGCAGTGCCTTTCAAACTGTGTCGGCAGATATCTTGACGTCAATATTCAAAGTAATGCGCCTTTAGCATCTTTCAGGCTTGCTAACGAACAGTCATCAAGAATCTCAACTCACTTGCCGGTCAATGATGGGTGTATAAGCATAAGAATACAGCATTTACCCAATTTATGTCTAGTGTTTGACGAGCCTGATTGTACTAACGGGTTCGAATAGCGCCAATGTTTGACCAATCGAGGCGCGCTTACGCTTCTCCGTCATGCTCGCGAGTGCTTCTTTCCATTGCTGATCAATAGTGCATGAAGCTCGCATTGTTGTCCTGCTTGCGACTGAGCAAGCTGTTGTTGTTTCTTCAGCCTGCCAAGCTGGTTCAACGACAAAGACTTGCCTTGTGAATGGGTCCATATCCCACAGTGTCTCGTCTGGATCATTGCCGAATCGACTAGCTCCAAGTTTGAGCAATCGCAATCCTGCATGTCTCGAAAAGCTCTGACTTGCTTGAGACGACATGTCTGAACCGGTGCTTGCTGGTCGACGTGCTGGCATGCTCTCGTGCTTCAATGCAGCCAGCACTCGGCCTTTCGTCAGCGGTCCGACAGCGTCGATGTTATGTCCTTGTTCCATCATCATCTGCTGCTTGAGATGGTGAAAGATGTTGATTTCTGTCCTAGTCAGGGGGACGAGTGCTACTTTGACGTACTTGCGCGTGTAGCGATCTGGGTCGACTGTTGTAATGTGCTTGAACCGCACGCTTGGGTGACGCAGACCTCGAGGGACGTCAGTGAAGGGATGAGGCCATGGCGTTGGATTGACCTTGCCAGACGCAATGTCCGGTGTGCAGCAAACAGCCTTCTCGGAAGACTGCTCAGATGCAACCGTGGCCTCATCCACACTCGTCCACTCTTCCGACATGGTCGTCGTGACAGACCCATCCTGCCCTTTAGGTACCAAATCTGCTCGCCAAGACTCAATGATGGCTGTACGGCTGCGTGGAGGAGCTCGTCGAATAACAGACATGTCTGCACTCGACGGACGATAACGCATCGTGCCAGACTCATTGGTCAGGGTCCCAGTAGGGTCGAGCTTGGTCGTCTCAGCTGGCTGGACGGTGATCAGCACTTCTTCCTTGATGACTGGCTGTAGTTCTGGGTCAAGACACGATGCAGGTCGTGCTTTTGCGGCAGGTCGACTGTCTGCTCGCTGGGCAAGGGTGGCATCCGTTAAGGGAACCAACGACAACGCCGTATCCACTCTTTTGCGTGAAAACAGGCCGCCTGCAGAGAACAAGCCTTGCGAGTGACGCTTGCTTTTCTCATGCCTGAAACGGGTCTTGATGGACTGGAAGAAGCTCATCTGTTAGGGTGGTCTTGTCTTGTTATGGTACAGCGTCGCTGTTGTTGTCCGTTTATCAGGGGTCACCAATCTTGAGGACTGCACGTTGGCACGTTGGGGGCCCTGTGAGATTGGTCAGACGGCGCTGCCCAGTCTAATTATGCTATTGGTGTGCCTGAGAGCATCTACTTCTTCTTGCGAGCAGCTTTAGGTGACGAGCTGCGCGATGACTTGGGACTATTGCCCTTGGACGTCTTTCGTTTCGCTTCCCTCTCTTCCTCCTCAATAAGCTCACGAGCTGCCTTATCTCTTGCCTGTTGCTCTTCGCGTGCTGCCTCCTCATTCTTGGCTTTGAGTTCCGCTTGTTCTCGGGTACGTCGCTGAGCAGCGTGCTGCTCACTGCGTGTCTGCCTCTCCTTCAATCCAGCCTGCGCAGCTTCCCACTCTGCACGCTCTTGCTTCGCCATTGGCATAATCTGGCCTAATCGCATCCTTGACTTTTCATTCGCAACCATCTCACTCGCCGTTGCGAAAATGATGGCATTCCAACCTGGTTGTAGGGCTTCTGCCTCTTGAGCCACATCAACCACTTCCGCCTTCATCTCTTCTTCCAGCTGTGCGAAACGAGATGCGAAATCACCAGCACCAGCAGAAGCACCGCGTTGCATGAGTAGATTGAGGGCTGCGCGACGTGCTTGAACGGATTGTAGGCGTTTAATGTCTTCCACTGCACGTAGCAGTAATGCAGATTTGAGCATACCGCTCGTTACGCCGCCGTTAGTACCGTCCTTTGGAGTAGGTGTTTGCTCGTCATCAACCATGTTTTGCAGGGAGTAGTAAATGTCTCTTGTGATGTGCTGTGGGAACCATTCTTCCATCAAGGTCTTTGATTCTGCGCTTTGTTTGAGGAGACGTTTGCGGTAGTAGTAAGAAAAGGTGCCTAGACCGCCAATGAGAACGACTAGGTAGAGGATGGGCACAAAGACGGACACCATGCCGCCTGCCTGTACAGAGAAGACGCGCGTGTGTGTGTCTGTGTGGTGGTTTTGGTGATGCGCTGTCAAGAAAGTTGAAAATTGGAGCAGCAGCAGAGGAGAGCAGAGTTACTAGAGTATTGTGTAGAGCTCAGACAAGGATAGGAGGCATACAGAAGATGAGATTGATTGCTATGCAGAGATATTACTTGAGCAAGTCTGCAAACTGCTCCAATGGGTTGCCAGGAAGCGATGCAGAGGTGTCCTTCCACAAGTTGGGTGTCAAGAAGGCATAGGTGTTGCTGATGGCCTCAAAGCCAGCCTTGATGAAGTTACCCATGCACTTGGTGTTACCAGCAGACGATGAGTAGCAGTCGTCAATACCGGCCATCTCCAGCAAACGCTTGATGGCAGGAGCAGCGACAATGCCAGTACCACGAGGTGCGGGCACAAGACGCACACCAACGGATCCACACTTGCCAGACACCTTAACGGGGACAGTGTGAGGCTCACCGAGGTTAGAGCCCCAGTAACCACGACGGACAGGGACCACAGCCAACTTGGCGAGGATGATGGCACCACGGATAGCGGTAGCGACTTCTTTGCTGCACTTGACACCAAGACCGACATGGCCGTTGGAGTCTCCCACGACGACGAAAGCCTTGAATCGGGTACGCTGACCGGCACGGGTCTGCTTCTGGACTGGCATGATCTTCATGACTTCGTCCTTGAGGCCGGGGAGGAAGTAGTCGATAATTTGGTACTCCTTGACTGGGAGGGAGTAGAGGTAGACTTCTTCAATGGTCTTGATCTTGCCTGCCTTGACGAGACGGCCGAGCTTGGTCACAGGGACCCACTCCTTCTCGCCATCATCCTTGCGTCCACGCCCACGTCCACGGCCACCACGTCCTCCACGTCCACGGTCTCCGCCGCGTCCGAATCCGCCACGGGACTCGCCTGTAGGTGCTGATGCTGCTGCCGGTGCTGCACTCATGATTGATGTATATGGAGTAGAGGCCTTGGCTCGTGTGTGTGGTGTCTTCTCGTCGCTGAAATTTGAATTTTTGGTTTGGCTGCGTGTGACTGCGGATACGAAAGGGACAATTGGGGAGAGAGACTTGTGCTGCTTCTGCCTCCATGAGCAATGAAGGAACGAGGGCCGTATCTCGGTAGGGCTCTCAAAGGTATTTAGATGATACACATGATCTCAACCTCACGCTGAGCTCAAACCATATCCATAGAATCGCATGAATAGCATCACCAAAGCTCAAGTCAAGTAGAAATGCATCGCTGTTCGCTATCGTGCTACGGAAACAGGAAAAGGCAAGAAGCAGGGCCATAGCTAGATCTATGCCACAGCACGCCGAGGCCGTGTCTTTTTGTTCTTGAGCAAGATTGGAATCTTCTGCTTCTCAACCACCTGCTCTTCCTCCTCACTCACCTCCATCTCCTCGTCCTCTTGCTCTGCCTGCTCAGCATACATCTCTGGGTTCGCAGCCACAAGCACCTTGGCCGCCGCCAACTCGCGCTCCTTGTTACCCACCATACGATTCTTGTAGAAGGCCAATTCGCGCTTCTTGCGAATCTCACTGACCCGCTCCATCGCCTGCAGTGTCTTGGCAACCGTATCCCGGTTATACTTGATTGGTACATTGCGACGCGCTGCAAACGTCAATGTACTATCAATCACCATCTCCTTGCCTGCTGCTTTGCGGAACGCTTTCGTCCAGCGTACTTTACGTGGGTTTCGCTTCATCTTGAAGTTTTTGTGACATTTTGAACGACAGAAGCGGAATTCTTTGGCGTCGTTACGGACAAACATGATGCCGTGGCCGGGATAGACGGGGCCTGAGCAGAAGTAGCAGGTGTGGACTCTCATTTTGTGTGAGGGTTGCTCTTAGGACTGACTGCGGAGAGAGTTGTAGATGCTTCGAGGAGCTAAGTCTGCTTGGATTGGGCGACTAAGATATTCTGCTCTGAACGCTGAAAGCAGGCGCGCAATGCAAGTGCTCGAGAGGATGAAGAGTCGCTTTGAGTGTGTCTGTCGCGCTTCAACTTTTTTCTTGTGGCCGCAGAAGTCTCACGGGGGCGACTTGGACCTCTCTACAGCCAAACCCCTGGACCCATGACAGTTTCAGATCTCGGCCACGTACAACTTGCCTCTTCATGACTTGACCAAGCTCTGTGACACGATCATGTTGGTGCTTCTTGCTCTCTTTGCTGTGCCTACTACTGCTCTGGACAATGGGCTTGCTCGAACGCCTCAAATGGGCTGGAACAAGTATGATGCTACTGGCAAGACATCTCTGACGATAGCTGGAATGCATACGGCTGTGACATCAATGAAACCATCATCTTAGAGAACGCTCATGCCCTTGTCGACACGGGTCTCAAGGATCTTGGCTATAACTGTATACCCCTTTCAAATTTCCTCAGACGCCTTCTGACGCAGTAGACTTGGTCATGGACGATTGCTGGTCTCTCAAACATCGCTCTCCCACGGGCCAGCTCATTCCAGACCCTGCAAAGTTCCCAAGCGGCATCACAGCCCTCGTCAATCAAATCCACAGCTTAGGCTTACTCTTTGGCATGTACGCCGATGCAGGTCTCATGACATGCGGGATGTACCCAGGCTCACTAGGCTATGAACAGCAAGACGCTCAACAATTTGCAGCATGGCAAATCGATTACTTGAAGTATGACAATTGCTACAACCAAGGCGAGTCTGGTCCACATCGATCCTTTGAACGCTATAAAGCCATGTCTGATGCACTCAACGCAACAGGCCGTCCAATCCTCTACAGTATGTGTAATTGGGGTGAGAATTATACTCCCAATTGGGCAACCACCATTGCCAATTCTTTCAGAATATCTGGGGATGTTGGCGATAGCTTTGATCGGTTTGATGCGCGTTGTCCCTGTCAGACGTTTGAGTGTGAGAGTATTCAGGGCTATCACTGCTCTTTCATGAATATCATTGAGAAAGTGGTCCCCTACGGTCAAAAGGCGCATGTATGCTTCCTTGTTGTACACTGAAGCTACGACTAACGCAACAGCCTGGTGCATGGAATGACATGGATATCCTTGAGATTGGTAACGGCGGTGCATCAGTAGTAGAGTACAAGACGCAATTCAGCTTATGGGCCATCAACAAGTCACCACTTCTGCTCGGCAACAAGTTACATTCCATGACGCAAGAGACGCTGGAGATTGTATCGAATGAAGAGGTCATTGCCCTGTCGCAAGATCCAATGGGCCGTCCTGCCGTGCGGATCTGGAGGAAAGAGGCAAGCACTGGTACGCCTGGTAACGTCCAGCTCTGGTCAGGCGAACTAGCACAAGACGCACAAGTCGTTGCCATTCTCAATGCAACCCCGGAAGAGTATGCTTTTCATCTCTGCTTTATCCACAAATGCTGACCTGCAGGATGCGTATTGAAGTGACGTTTGCAGACATCTTTCTAGATGCACGCGATAAGGTCAATCAAGCGTTCCATGTGCGTGATCTCTGGCTGCATGAGAATCTCGGGATCCATACTCATCATCTGGTTGCGACTGTCCCAGCGCATGGCACAGCGCTATTCAAGCTGCGACCAGCACTTGCAACGCATAGCGGTTTATAGCGTCACTGAAAGTCTCCAAAGTCATCCTCAAATGCCGATGCAGGACGAGCAGGTGGTGGTGCTAGTAATGGAATCTCCCCAGTCTCTGCAAAACTCTGAAGAGGCGCCTGCTCACATTGTACAGGCTGTACGTCTTCCACTCTTGCCACTTCAGCACGTTTCAATTTATCGAAATCAGCAAGAGCCACTTGAAAGTCGAATGCCGGTTCACGCTCATCAAAGCCCATGGCGAGGTACGCGACGCGTTTCTCATGGACCACGCGTAATTGAAAGTATCGACCTGAATCACCTGCGCGTTCGATGGCATTGGGATTGATATAGGGACATGATGCGAATAACTCCCTATCAGCAGTCGGCGATTCACCTTGAGCGACAGGAACTTCAATACGGACATCGAGGTGGAGCGGGTCGAGTTGTCGAATGAGTCGTAGGGAGCCTTGAAAGATGCTTGGTTGGATGAGTTGAGCAGTTCGCATGCCTTTGCCTGTTGGTGGAGGGATTTGGTAGATATGAACGGTTGGCCAGGTGAAGATGACGCTGGTCATGGCAGCGGCTGTTGACTGCACGGACTGCGACTTGGTGCGTGGGTTGAGTCGCGTTTTGATGGAGCGCGCCAAGCAAAATGTCCAGCGAGGTTGTAGAGACAAGCAGCAGGATCTTGTCAGTTGAGCGCAAGGGGATTAGTAGAGGAGCTAGCGAATGAGACATAGAGCAGTTGTAGCCTGTAGGAGCTTGAAGGATGACTCGCTCACGCGCGCACTCGGCTGATGTATATCATAGAGCACAAGCTTGGTGGGACGCATCAAAGACGTGGACAAGACTTCCTGCCTGGAGCCCTGTGAGGCTGTGATAGCACTGAGCAAGCAGGAAGACACAGATAGCAGGGTAGGAGCAGCCATGTAGCTAGAAACAAAATCACAAGAAAAGACAAGATGAGGGAAACCAATCCATTGACTATCGCATCGCTAAAGGCGACGAGGGGGTATTTGTACAAGATGTGAAGGGAATGACTCTGACAAGCCAAGTGAAAGCGCTTTACGATCGCTCACCGCGGAGACGACGAGCGAGCTGCATGTCCTTGGGTTGAATAGTGACACGACGGCCGTGGATGGAGCACAAGTTGGTGTCCTCAAAGAGCGAGACGAGGTAGGCCTCAACAGCCTCCTGGAGCGCACCAATGGCAGATGACTGGAAACGCAGGTCGGTCTTGAAGTCCTGGGCAATCTCACGAACGAGACGCTGGAATGGGAGCTTGCGGATGAGGAGCTCAGTCGATTTTTGGTATCGACGAATCTCACGAAGAGCGACGGTACCAGGCTTGTATCGGTGGGGCTTCTTGACACCGCCGGATGCTGCAGGGGCAGACTTGCGTGCAGCCTTGGTGGCGTGCGAGATGTGCTTGCGAGGGGCCTTGCCACCGATCGACTTGCGTGCAGTTTGCTTAGTACGTGCCCTGGAGGGTGATTAGCATGTGTGTGTGAGTGTATGTATAGGCCGACTGTATTCAAGACTACTTTGGGTGTGGTCAAGAAGGCAGTGTGTGGCTCTATTGAGTGGTGCTTACATTGTTGCTTGACTGTGTGTGATGAGGGACTGAGTTGGGGGAGCGGGCGGCTGCCCTTAAGTAGGAAATTTGCATCAGCTGAGGGTGGAGGTGCAAAAGGTGTGAAACTGGAATCTAGTCGGTGTGTGCCCCAGCGTATTTCTCCTGGATACGGGATGCTTAGCGGGTGCGGCAAGGAGAGCAGGACAAGGCGCACACATTCCTGAATTTCTGGCTGCGTATTCGCTGGCGGCAACAGAAAAATACAAAATGGCAACGAGTCAACGACAGCAACGACAGCAACGACAAAGGCAGAAACAAGCAGAGAAACAATCAGGCGCACACAGGCATCGGCGACATCCACACACACCCTATCCCATCAGACCATACTCCCAATCCATCCTTCTCTCCACATAGCAACATACCCTATACATCACTAGACTTCAATTTGACTCCATCCTGACATCCTCCTATGCCATCCAATATACAATTCCGAACCCACACACCCAATTCTAGCCCATGTAGTCGACTGAGCCAGTCTACCTGTACCTGATGCTGGAGCTGATCGCAGGAGCTTCCCAGGAGCATAGCCGCATCCCCTAGGCCTCTTCCTGATATTCATCACGTCCCTCTCGCGCATGATCTGAGGCCAGCACCTGCATCGACGCGCTTTGGCGACATAATAGCGTGCATACTGCGTTGCCTCCACACAGCCCCAGTCTCCAAAGAGACGAGACTGCCTATACAATACGCATGTCTGCTACAGCGAGCCTTCACATTCGAAACGCGGCCGGCCCGCTCTACACGAGTGACACGACGCGACACATACGACACTGGCTCAACAGATGAACCTTCAGAGATCGCAAAGACTAACACAACCTGGGTCATATCACTGCTATCATTGCTACGAGTGTAATGTTGCGGCACTGAAGGGTGTCATCTACGGCTGACGACCCATCAATGACTTCAACGGCGCCAGACGATCGAAAATGCGCTTCTCAGCCCGCTCTGAGCATCTGAGAGATACCCAGACCTTCAGCTTGGCTTGCTCGGCATGTGACGCTCTTCTTACTCGGTATCATACGGCCGCTCTTGGCTCTGCTCCTCAACTTCTCAAACTGCGTTTTGCGCCCGCTGTTGCCTGGCCGTTCAGCAGGACATGACTCAAGCAAGATGCTGCTCCCGCACATCTCACCAATTTCGTCGAGCCGGGTAGCTTTCCGATGTTGTGACTGAAGATTGCAGGTATCCTCCTGTGAATGTACAAAAAGCGTCAGCATAAGCCGTTGTATCGACAACACGTCCAGCAATTGACTCGGCAGCTGCCTCTCATGAGTGCTTCCCTTTCCTTGACGGGCTTGTCCCTCTCTGGTGGCCCTACTGCGACAGAACGCCCGTCCCGCTGCAAAGGAGGCACAGGTTTGCTTGATAAGCAAAACGCTACCTACATGAGGGCAGATTCAAGGCTTCTCGCACTGCATGCCTCTGCCCTTTTGCTTACTTGTCTGAACCTGCTGAGTTCGACGGACTTTGAGCATATGTTGCAGAGTGGAGCATGTGTGCTGACAAGTATAGCCTGTGTAGGCAGTAACCATGTGTCTGCCCATCTGAGAGAAACTTTTGTATAGAAACCGTCCGTTCAGCTGGTCCCTTCCATAGACGACCTTATGGCTGTGCCATGCTCTTCGCGCGACTGTCCCAACGAGGCCTCTTCTCTCAAATGTCCGCTCTGTCTCAAAGAAGACAAAGTAGTTCCCTTTTGCGGCCAGGACTGCTTCAAGCGCAACTACGTAAGTCTCTTTCCTACAAAACACCCTTGGCATCGCGTGCTGACCTCAAGAGGCGTCGCATAAGCTTGAGCATACACATGAACCATTCGCAAAGTATAAGTATACAGGGCCTCTGAGGGCTTCTTATCCACTCAGCGCAAAAAGGCTCGTGCCAGACCATATTGCAAAACCAGACTATGCGACACACAGCGAGGGACGTGCCATGTCGGAGGAAAAGTCACGAAGCAAGGGACCCCGTATCCACAATGCAGAAGAAATTGAAGGCATGCGGAAAGTCTGCAGGCTGTCTCGGGAGGTGCTCGACGCTGGTGCTGCTGCTATTGCACCGGGCGTAACAACGGATGCGATTGATGCAATTGTGCACCAGGCTTGCATTGACCGTGGTGCATATCCTAGTCCATTGGGTTACTACAAGTTCCCCAAGAGTCACTGTTCCAGTGTCAATGAAGTCATTTGCCATGGCATTCCGGACAGACGCCCACTGCAGGACGGCGATATCGTCAACCTCGACATATCCATCTACTATAATGGCTTTCACGGCGACTTGAACGAGACGTACTATGTCGGTGACAAGGCAAAGCAAGACAAGGATAATGTTCGTCTAGTTGAATGCGCCCGTGAATGTCTCAACAAGGCTATTGCAAGCGTCAAACCAGGCACACCCTTTCGTCAATTTGGTAAAGTCATCTCTGACCATGCCAAGACGCAAAAATGTAGCGTTGTACGCACATATTGCGGCCATGGCATCAATCAGCTCTTTCACACAGCGCCGAGCATTCCTCACTATGCCAATAGCAAAGTACCTGGTATGTGTACGCCCGGTATGATATTCACGATTGAGCCAATGATCAACTTGGGCTCGTACCATGATCAGACTTGGCCTGATAATTGGACGGCCGTCACGCAGGATGGTAGGCGCAGTGCACAATTTGAGCATACCTTGCTGGTGACTGCGGACGGAGTAGAAGTGTTGACTGCTAGAATGGAGAATAGCCCTGGCGGACCGGTCGCCTAGACGTACACATCATAAAATATGCCACGCTTGCTGATCACGGGCGTCTCGCCATCCTCGATTGGCCTTGAAACTATTCGGTGCATTCTCGAGACGCAGCGCGTTGCTAGACAGCCGCAGCAATGGCACATTGTGCTTGCTCAGCGGGATGCCGAATCGCCGCAAGCCAAGCAAGCTGCATTACAGCTACAAACGTATTGCTCGCCAGGCTGTACCATTGAATCGCGTACTTGTGACCTTGAATCCTTCAAGAGCGTGCGCGCCTTTGTACAGGACGTCACAGAGCCACTGGATGTGGTCGTCTTGAATGCCGGGCTTGTAAGTAAGCTAAGGCATCTCACAGAAGATGGCATTGAGACGACCTGCCAAGTCAATCATCTTGGACACTTCCTACTCCTTCATCTGCTACAAGATAAGCTTATGCGAGGTACACGCGTTGTCTTTGTCGCATCTTCTCTCCATAAAGGTCAAGATGCGAGCAAAACTCTCCGAGCGATGCATTGTGCAGACGGTCCTCTTCGCACAACAGAACCCATCTACAGACCCATGACGGCGTATGCACAATCAAAGCTACTACAAGCTTGGTGTATTGCTGGCTGGCACCGGCAACTCTCACCAAAAGGTGTTCAGGTCTTACTTGCTAGTCCGGGATTTGTACCCACATCAGGCCTGGCGCGTGAAGAGACGCCCCTGAAACAGTTTCTGATGCGCTGGGTTCTGCATTATGCGCCTTTTGCACGCTCACTGGAGCAAGCGGGTAAGACCATTGCCGCATGTGCCCTTGCCGATGAGTTGGCAGTGAGCAATGTCTACATTGATGCGAATCTCAAGGAAACACGTATGCATGAGGCAGTCTATGACGATGCCCTCGCTCAAGAAGTATGGGATTGGAGTCGAGAGCGTTGTGCAATAGAGTAGACGGTGTACATTGTGCAAGCTCAGCTGATTTCCACTGATGGGACAGGTGTAGGCGATATCTGGACCAAATTCTCTACCTGCGTTCTGGAACAGTATTCAACAGTCTCAAATTGATCAGTCAATTCAGCCATAAGCCACGTACTTACTTGCATGGATAGTCGCATATATTGTCGATGAGTCTTGGTCGTGAGTCGTTACACATGCATATGACGTCTCCGCCAAAAGTTGCGTCTCGATTTGGCGGGTCCGGGATCCAAACACCCGCAACCAAGACTCGCACTTCATCTACAGCTTCAAGCAAAGCATTGCTACAGGCGCAGACAGTCTGTACACATCGCGCGACCCAAGCGCACCGACATTCTCTACCGCTTTGATTGATGCAGCTGTTTGAAGCACTCACGGCGCAGTTCTGGCAGACCTTGTCTACTCGACGTAAGGCCGATCAAGAAATTGAGGAAGTCCGACAGGCACTCAAGAATGCCAAGAGCTATGAGGAGTATGAGAAAGCGGCGCTTGCATTGGATTATCTTGAAGGGCGATATCTTTGGAAGGCGGATGCAGTCTCGCCGCACTACGACAGTGAGCTTGTACAGGTGCGCCTAGATGAATTGAGGCTCGCGCGGTCTTCCAATAACTTTGAGCGGGTCTTGTTTCTATTGCGTACAACGCTCTCTCGACAGCTTGGTGATATGGGCAACCCAAAGCTGTATGCCTACACCCATACCGGTACAAAATTTCTGATCGAGGAGTATATCGAGGAAGTGCGGGGATGCTTCTACTATCTCATGGAACAAGTCAAACTCAGGCCAGATATTGACACGCGTAGTGTGTTGAATGCACTCTTGAAGACTCGACAGTCCTTTGGCCGGACAGCCTTGTTACTGAGTGGTGGCGGGACGCTCGGTATGATGCACATCGGGGTCGTCACATGTTTATGGGAATCACGACTCTTGCCGCGTATCATTAGTGGGAGTAGTGCTGGCGCTATTGTGGCAGCCATTGTCTGCACGCACACAGATGCAGAGATTCCCGGCCTGCTCACCAAATTTCCCTTTGGTGCGCTCGACGTCTTCCAAGATGGCAAAACACCTGAGACGCCACTTTTACGCCTGGGTAGATTTCTGAAGCATGGTGTCTTTATGGACATTGGCTACCTTCGTGGTGTCATGGCTGAATGGATGGGTGACATGACATTCGGCGAGGCCTTCAACAAGACTCGGCGCATCCTTAACATTACCGTGTCCAGTTCTTCAGTTTATGAGATGCCAAGGCTACTGAACCACATTACTGCTCCAAATGTCATTATTTGGTCTGCTGTTGCTGCATCATGCAGTGTTCCTCTTGTCTTTGCAGGATCGCCCTTGCTGGCCAAGGATTTTCTGACTGGTGAACCTGTCGTTTGGGATGAAGGATCAAACAAGTGTATTGACGGGTCTATTGAAGGCGACTTACCAACCACGCGACTCAGTGAGCTTTTCAACGTCGACCACTTTATCGTCAGTCAAGTCAATCCGCATGTGACAATCTTTCTGCCGAAAGCGACACACGACTTGCAATCAGCGCATTGGCTGCCGCGGATGGTGGTCGACGAGGTATTGCACTACACAGATGTTCTCATGGCTCTTGGCGTTGCGCCATCTTTTGCACAACGACTGGCAGGTATCTTGAAGCAGCGCTATATTGGCGACATTACCATTCTCCCTCAAAAGCCGCTCTTGGCTGGTCTTTACCGTCTTCTTACAAATCCAGACCCAGAGTTTATGCTTGATGCATCGGCGCGCGGTCAATATGCCACCTGGGAGCAGCTTCCTATCATTCGCAACCATCTCCAGATTGAAATGACCATTGACAATACGCTTCACGCGCTACGACTTGCGCTTGTCGACCATGGTCGACCCATTAATACACTCAAATCTTCGCAATCGCAAAGCAATTTCCATTCGTATGGCAGGCATCATGTGCGTCGACGCAGCAGTTCAATACTGCGCGATCCATCTGTTGAGCTTGAGCCGAGTGATGTGGCGCCAACACTCGCTCGATCTGCACTGAACACACCAGGAACAGAGCGCTTCTCTGCTTGGTCATTCTCCGGAGCCACTTCGCATAATCTTGCTGTGGACCCTGCCGGTACAGTGCATACACCAGCTGCAATGAGAAGCCCCTCTGCTTGGCGTCTCGGTGGTCGGAATTCTCGTACAAGTCTCGATAGTGAGTCTCGAGAGCGTGGACAGAGCCCAGCTGATTATTTCGGCAAGGGAGCCATCTTCACCAAGAGTCCTGGTGGCTATTCGCCGGCGTCGAGTCGTTCTGTTAGTCGCGGGACGAGTCCACATCGCAGCCTTGCCTCTGCCGCACATGTCTGTTAGAGCTATGTAAAAGCGTAGACTAATGGATTTACCGCAACGTTCTTCAAATTGCCTATTTGAGCTTACTCCGTCCCCCTGAAAGAGGCTGAGGTGTTACTCAACCAACACATAGTAGCATTCTGTCGGCATTGACTCGGCAAACCAGGACTGCTAGATCCGCTCAGGAATAAAGCATCGAGGAGGTCCGTGAGTTTGTCCTGTCTTTCAGCCAGACTCTTCCTTTGTTTCATATCTGCCTCGCTGTTTGGGATTTGCATCTGCTAGGCAGTGGCAGTGCTAGCACGTCCATTTGCTCTAGTCTGTGTGTCTGTCAACAAAAGAAGTGATCGCCTTCAAGCTCGACTCCTCGTCAAGTCGCAGTACCAAGGAGTCTCGACTCTTCACAGCTCAATATACATGCGCCTGTCACTGCCGGTTCAGTCAAGTTCAGAGAGGAGCATAGTGGATGGTCCACTCGAGTTGTCCAAGCTAGCCATGCCAGGCTTCCCATTCGACAAGTCACCACATTCACACACATATGCATTCCTACCACCGCCTCTTGCGCGTGACTCTGCAATACCGGCGTATAACTTGTCGCAACATATCCTACAGCCTGGCAATGCACATCCGGGAACGTTACGGCTTGCGCATAGTTATACGGGTTATCCCTCACCCGCTGTATCAGAGGCAGATGTGAAGCAGTTTGGTCTTGACACAGTTTTGGAAGCATCGTTGCCGGCTACACCAAAGCAGGGAGATCCAGAGCACCCTAACAGACCTGTCGAGCGATCACTGCAAGAGACATGCAGCCAGATTGAGGAACTATTGCGTCAAGCGACCATTGATCAGTTGACATCACCTGCATTTGATTCTTGGATATTCTACATGCAGCGCATGCAAGAGCTGGGTCTGTTTACAGGTCGTTGCGTGCTTGAGAAGCACTGGTGGGATAATTTGAGGCAACAACGCTTTGAGGCCTGGAGTCGCGATTTATCGGAACGGTCATGGGAGAGTCAAAGGGCGCTAGAGGAGTTAATCCGTAAAAGCGCACGGCAGAGCTGGTAGTGGCGCTGGCGCAACGTTCTTATTCGAATCAAGGTGGACTGGCTCCACCTTCTAATGTGCCTTGTCTCGTCTTGACTGCAGCATCGCGTTTCCCCATACGTATAAGCCATTTCTGTAGCTTGTCGAATTTGACGAGTTCTGAAGCAAATGGTGTTGCTGAAAGGTCTGCGAGGATCGGATAGAGGAACAAGTCAGCCCAGGTGATGGCCATGCCGTAGATGTACGGACCATGACAAGCGTTTGTGAGAATCTCAAGTGTCTTGGACAAATTGTCGAGTGCTTCTTGCGTGACATCCTCAGTCTTGTTATTCTTGAGATACGGCTTGACGATGCCTCCCTCGATAGAAGCAAAGACCGCATCACCAGTCATGCTAATCATCTCTTCCAATTTCTGGTTCTTGATACGCTCACTCTCAGCAAATCGAAGAAGCGGCCGGGATCCTGCATCCAGAAAGCGCGCAATAGAAGCAGTCTCGGACATGCCAAAGGTCTTGTCGCCATGCTGAAGAAGAAGGACGGGGATCTTGCCGAACGGCGAATATTGTCGCGGTACGTGCTCTGAATGAGGCGCCGCGTCGCTGATTTGTGAGAATGTCAAGCCCAGCTCATGTAGACCCATAGCGAGCGTGCGCGTGAAGGTTGAAAAAGGTATGCCAATGAGTGTATAGCGCACACCATCTTTTTGTTGCTGGGTGGTAAGGACTTGTGCTGGACGCGATCCATCTGCGAATTGGCCCGTCACTGGACATTGAGCTGGCGCATTTGGATCACCCTGAGGAAGCTGCTTGCCTGAGACCGGACACTGCGCCATGATACTTGAGGACGCAGGCTATGGATGGCTGTACCTTGGACTCGAATGGCAAGGGACCTGTCGTGGTGTACGTCAGTGAGTGCGATCAGATGGCGACAGACATGGAATATGCTTGTACATGGACTTGTGCAGCATGTGCTCCTGCTCCTGCTGCCTACTGCCTACTGGCCTAGCCAGCTGCACAATGATTTGATGCCACAGTACAATGGCCACAATGATTGCACAATTCCTCATCGACAATGAGATTACTGGTGGCATAGTCAGTGTATTGGTCGGGTAAGCTACAAAAGAACAAAGCTACTTGGCTACTTGGAGGCAACAGGACAGTCCTCCTTCGAGGCGTCCTTGGATACTTTTGGGTGCTCGTGCACGACCTCCTTGTGGTGACTGACTGTCGCCTTGGTCACAGGACACTCTGCACCTTCCTTTGCATCTTCAGTCGATGGGTGGTCAGGTGGCAGTGTGTGGACCGAGCTGCCGGTCACAGGGCATTGACCATTCTCCTTTTGCTCGGTCTTGGATTGATCCTTCTTGCTCGCCACGGGGCAGTCCTTCTCTGACGCGTCCTTGCTGACTTTTGAGTGCTCGTGAACGACATCTGCGTGATGTTCCTTGGTGGCACCAGTCTTGGGGCACGTCTTGCCATCCTCCAGTGCCGGGTGATCAGCAGGCAACGTCTTCATTTCAGAACCCGTTACAGGACAAGAAGCAGCGCCGTCCTTCTGAGTCTTTTGCTTCTTTGCCTTCTTACCATTCTCACCTTCCACCTCTTCCTCATTGTCGTCACGCTCGCGCGTCAATTCCGATGCGCCCTTCTTTCCAGCAACAGGGCACTGCTTGGCTGACGCGTCTTTTGCCACAGCAGGGTGGTCATGCATGACATCCTTGTGGTGCGATGCTGTTGCCTGCGTTACAGGACACACTTCACCTTCCTTGGCATCCGCCGTGGATGGATGGTTGGGTGGCAATGCCTTACTAGCCGTTCCCACAACAGGACAAACCTTGTCTTCGGCGGCTTTTGACAGGACGGGACAATCCTTCTCGGTGGCGCCATCAGCGACCTTTGGGTGCGAGTGTACGACATCCTTGTGGTGGGAGAGTTTGGCGTTTGTGACGGGACAGGTGTCGGTCTTTGCGTTTTCAGTGGATGGGTGGTCCTTTGGGAGGGTGTTCATTGCGGATCCAGTGACGGGACATGCTGCGTCGGTAGTCATCTTTGTGTAGAAGTTGTGTGTTGGTAGTAGGTGGTGTGTGTGTGAGGTGGTGGAATTGACTGAGTGTCGTCCGGGGATGAAGGTTGCAGTTGCGGTCGCGGCTGGTCAGCAGCTACATGGCCGCTTACAGATCCCTTGAACTGCTTGAAGCCTTCCCGCAGCAAGCAAACACTCAAATTGACTCAATCCACCACTCACACAAACACACGAGCCAATCACAGCAGCCGCAGCTTCAGTCACCTGCCAGGTACAGCAGTCACAAATATCTCCTCCAGAAACCCATCACTTACTCATCAGTCACTTGTCACTGAAGTTGTCAGTGCTTCCTGTGCTGCTCCCGAGTCCAGCGAGAGTCAGCATTGTACCGCTCAACGGCAGCCTGAACATCTTCCTCACATTCCGTCATGTATGCCTGCGCCATGGCGTAATCAGTACACTTGGAAGCAACCATGAACTTGTGCAGCTTCACCTTGCGTGCATCATCTTCTGCCGGTGCAGATGAGAGAGACACACGCGCACCGGGGATAACGATGAAGGAACGTGCTTGTAGCAGGTGGTCTGCGAAGAGATTGTTGGCAGCACGTAACGTCCCAGCGCTGATTTGATATGCGAGCGATAGACCCTGCACTGTATCCTCTTTCCGCACATAGTGCTGTACAAATGATCCAATCTTCTCTGAGCCATTCGGTGCACTGGACGTTCCAGCAGAGACGGCAGTCGCATGATAGCTAGGCAAGCCAGCAACATCGTAAGCAGGCGGTGAAGGAGGCGCATCACCCGCTACATCACCAGCGAGGGGTAGTTGGCACAAGATGCAGAGTTGAGCAAATCGGGGTGTCTTCTTGATGCATTGGCCACAGACGAAGCGCTTGCAGCACGGTGTGGGGACTGTGCCAGGGACATGGGCATTATAGCTGTAGCAGCAGACGCAAGATTTGGCTGCAAAGCTCGAATTAGTGCCTGGACCTGATGCCAGAGCGCTCTTCATTGCACGAGGTAGTTTTGAGTTATACAGAGGAAGCAAGGAGCAAGCACAGAGGAGGCAATGTGATGTCGTCAGGCTGTTTCGGTGGGACCTCATGAACTTTCAAAACGTCACCGCGACAATTGACAGCCAGCAGACAGCGACATCTGCAAGCTGAACACGCGATGCGCAGAAGCCTCATGTGGCAACCACGGAGAGCCCTGTCCTCTCTGTTTAGCCATCCGTCGCGTATACAGCATTCACGCTACAATAGCAGCAATGCATCAGGCTCACCTAGGGAGCGACTGCACAATACCAAAATCAAATGGAAACCCATCCCTGTCGCATTGGGTATCGCCGTCGTAGGCGCTGTCTTCTACAAGAAGAAATTAGCAGGACAGTATAGTCAAGATGTCCCTGGTCAGGAAAAAATTCGACCGACAGGGCCATGGCAAGTGTATGTTCTCGAAACACTCCCACTCCGCAGCATTTCGCGTCTCTGGGGACGTTTCAACGAGATTGACTTGCCCGTCTTTATGCGCGTACCGGGCTATCACCTCTACAGTTGGATCTTTGGTTGCAATCTAGATGAAATGAAGGAGAAGGATCTCAAGCAATATCGCAACCTCGCACACTTCTTCTATCGCGAGCTTGAGGAAGGGTGTCGGCCCATCGATACGTCTGCTTTGATTGTGTCTCCAGCTGATGGCAAAGTACTTCACTTCGGCAAGATTGAAGGACGTCGCGTTGAGCAAGTCAAGGGACTCTCTTACTCGCTTGATGCACTACTAGGCGGTGAAGGCAATGGTGATGCGCAGTCTATTGCCTTTGATGCGATGTCTGACGATGAAGTCAAGAATCAGGAGCAATTTGCTGATATCAATGGTATCACCTACTCACTCGACGACCTCCTCACAGGCAAGAAAGAGGACTCTGCGCATCGCGATGAAGAAAAATCTGGTAGGGACGCAAGTATAGCGCAAGACACATCGAAGCAACATGCAAAAGACGTCGCAGTCGTCGCTGCAGATGTTGCAATGACGCGTGCAGATGGGAAACATCTCAATCCAGGCAACAGCTTGTTCTTTGCAGTGGTGTATCTCGCGCCAGGCGATTACCATCGTTTCCACTCACCCACGAATTGGGTTGTTGAAAAGCGGCGGCATTTCGCAGGTGAACTATTCAGCGTGTCACCCTATATTGCAAAACGCCTTGCAAATTTGTTTGTGCTCAATGAACGGGTGGTGCTGTTTGGACGTTATCGACATGGCTTCTTCTCCATGACACCTGTAGGTGCGACCAATGTCGGCAGTATCAGGATTGCCTTCGACAAGGATCTCAAGACGAACACATTGACAAAGGATAAGCCAGAACATGGCTTTGTTGAGGCAACGTATAAGGCGTCCAGTAAGTTGCTTGGAGGACATCCACTCAGAGCAGGCGAAGAGATGGGTGGCTTCAGTTTAGGCAGCACGATTGTGCTCGTTTTTGAGGCTCCAAGTAGCTTCAAGTTCGTTGTAGAGAGCGGGCAGCACGTCAATGTGGGTGAAGCACTGGGCAAAGAATAGATTAGGCATTTAGCATAGCTCTCTATCTAAAAAGCAAACGAAGGCAGCTCAAGTTGTATCGAGATCATAATTGTGAGAAGGAGACGAGCCGGATCCTCTCACACTCAAGATCGACAATCACTCTCAACCAACTGTGCATAGAGATGCAGAGACCAGCTCACTCTAGCTTGTAAAATGAAGCAAGAGGAGCGTAGGCGAACATGGTTCTGTGGGTCGAGAGGTCTGCTGCTGCCTTCGACATTTTTTCACTGCGAGGACATATTCAGATGGACAACGAAGTAGACCGCTCCGACGACACAACTGCAATTTGACCTTGTCTACTGAAGTCCTGTCGATGTGTCGGCAGTCTGGTACAGCCATGACAATGATTCCTTGTTCATCGAAGAATCTGAGTGCTCGAGAATGCATTCATTCTCGACTGCCACTCCAAGCCCGTGAGCATGGATCCACCCCATGCAAAGGAGATGCTCGTTCTTGTAGTACCTTCCGGATGCCTTGAAAGAGACAAGCCTGAGATAGTGGCTCCATCAACTGTTTCCAGTCATCTGATCAAGCAGTGTTTGATCAAGACCTTGACGAAGCCACTCAAATGCGAAACAGCAGGCACGATTGCACGGCCCTTTGTTTGTCTGCGATTTGCAGCTGGCAAATCAGCAATGCACCACCAACCAGTATCCCTTCTACCAGTTATCCCTACTCACTAGCCCATTCTCGGCGAATCGGGACACTCCAGCTCTTCTTCCCACTCATCCACTATTGAGACTTAAACCTGCAGCCAGCGCAACACTCCTGAGCCCCTGGTCCACGACGCGAACGACACAGTCACTTGAAGAACATGCTTTTCGCCAGCGAGCCTACACAATTGCTGCGCGCTGTGGCTGTTACGCTGCTCCTCTGCGCTGCTCTACTCTTGCCACGACACTACAAGAGCGCTTCGACTCGATGCGAAGAAGTCCTACACACGGGAGATTGGTACGGCGGTACGTCACAATGGCAGCCAAAAGGATGTGTCCTGGCTCGTTACTCTCAACTACAAGCAACAGCATGCCTCGAACGTCAATCCATCTTTTTTCTTGGCGATAGCATCGCCAGGAATCTTTTTGAGAGCCTAGCACGACGCATCGATCCAGATGTACCGCTTCCTGGGAAAGACGACTTGGACGCACGTCACAAGAACCTTCCTTTTCCATCAGCTCGAAAACCTAAAGGCATGCGCGACTTGGCGTTCTTCTGGGATCCCTACTTGGAAAAGCCACATTTCATGGCAGATGGCATGACCATCGTCAGTACCGGCTTATGGGCACTCAAGAATAAAGGTGCCGAAGCTGTTAGTCAGTTCAATACGAGCTTACACGCCCTTGTTGAGAGATTCGAAATGGGCAAGACGCCAAGTAGTCGTCTCATCCTGCTGCCAGTATCCATGCCAGTCATTGCTCGACTGAGTCCAGGCAGAGCTGCACTCGACGACATCACAAGCATCAATGCTATGAACAAGATATTGGACGGCTTCACGACTCAACAACAGATCCACTCGCCTCATGCTCTCCTTCAGATGCAGCGTGGAATGGATGTGCAAGGTCCAGATGGCTTGCACTTTAACGATGCCGCAAACCAAGCACTCATCAATGTACTCCTCAACTACGAATGCAACAAAGCCCTCACATCGGCCGGTCTCGTCAAGAGTAGTTGTTGTGCTCAACCGCGAGTGCCGCCTTCAAAGCACCTCCTGGTGATCTTGACCATCTCTCTGCTTGCTGTCGTTCTGCTTGTCTCACTTTTGAAAGACGACTTACTCTGTAGGCCTCTCTATTTCGCAATGGTCCTTCTTACTGCCGTCGGCTTTTACATCAACTTGGCAGACCGGACGTCTTTCATGGCGAAGATTCCCAAGCAGTTTGAGGCATGGCCTTTTGCAGGATGGCATCTTCTGGCGCTTGTTGCTGGTCTGCGTACGCTCAAGAGGGAAGAAAAAGATCCTGGTATACTCAGTCGGCACCAGACAGACGAATGGAAGGGATGGATGCAAATCTCAATTCTGTTTTACCACTACTACGGTGCCTCAAAACGTCCAAGCATCTACATTGGCATCAGATGCATGGTTTCAGCCTATCTTTTCATGACTGGCTATGGTCATACTCTCTTCTACCTCAACAAGGCAGACTACAGCCTGAAGCGTGTCATGTCCGTTTTGGTACGACTGAATCTGTTGACGTGCTACTTGGCGGTGCTCATGGATTCGAATGTCCTCTTTTACTACTTTGCGCCGCTGGTTACGTTCTGGTATGTTAGTGTTCTCATCACTATGCGACTCGGTCAGCATCTGAATGACATCAACGCAGCAGTCGTCTTCAAGGTGCTCATCCTCATGCTCGTGTCGACATTTCTTGTTCGCTTCCCAGGTCTTCTCGAATCAATTGGAAGTTTGGCTGGCAAGATTTTCAATACTCAGTGGGATATGAAGGAATACCGCTTCAGGATGGCTCTCGACCTGTATGCTGTCCCGATAGGCATGCTATTTGCCATTGCACAGAGGTCGTTCCCGAAAGCCCTCAGCGAGCGTGCTTGGAAAGGCATTCGTGCTCTTGGACTCATCATCTCTCTCATTACACTGCTCGCCTATATCATCACCAGTCTGTTTGTGACAGACAAGTACGCCTACAACAAGGTACACCCATACCTATCACCCTTCGCTGTGGTTGCTTTTGTCCTTATTCGCAACGCAACCCCTGGATTCCGCGCAACACATTCCCGCTTCTTTGCATTTTGGGGACACATCTCACTCGAGACATTTACGCTACAATATCACATCTGGCTGGCGGATGATACACAGAATTTGTTGCAGTTGCCTATTGCCGATGCACTGTCCAGTATTCTTTCACTGCGCGCGACGCGACTTGTCAATATGTTCACCACGACGATCATTTTCGTTTGGGTTGCGTATGAAGTGGCTCAAGCGACTGCGACGATAACGACGTGGTTCGTCAAGAAACCTGAAACCAAGGAAATTGTTCATGCTAGTGACGACCTGGAATTGGAGGCGTGTGGACAGGCCTTGGTGGTTGAACCGATTGTGACCAAACGACGGGCTTGGATCAGCTTGACAGACTTGCGTGCGCGCACAGTGTTCTTGCTCTTGATTGTCTGGCTCTTCAACATGATTGATTTGATCGGAAAGAAGGGGGAATGACTATGCCAATTTTATCTCAATGATGCACGCTATATGCCGAATACACAAGAACGCCTAGTGCAGTTCCTCACTACCATACACAGTCGCTTCATAGAGCTTACCACGCACGCCAAAGACACCCCAATTATTCTGAATCACATCGCGTGGATCAAAATCGCTGACATCCCATTTACGAGAGGCAAAGTGATTGATACCAGGTCGTAGCAATAAATCGTGCTCGTTGCGACAGGTTGCTGCAATGAATGCGATATCGCGTGCCATGTCTTCCTCATTGTAGCCTGTGATGAAAATGCCACATTTCGTTTCAAGCAGTGCAGGCATCGTGTCTGCCCATTGTCCTTGTGTTACTGGATGTCCTAATCCTGGACAAGGCAAGAAGAAGACGTCGAGGTAAGGGTCGAATGGCGCAAACGTTTGAGATGCATGAAGCGTGTGGTACAACTCCTTGTGTGTTGAGAATGTCAGACGCGGATGGTAGTACTCTGTCATACCACCATCAACCGTCTTGACAATTTGTCGACGGTTGCCACGTTGATTCGTCTCTGGCAAGATGGCTTCAGGCCCAATAAAGTGGACGTGAAAGGAAACGTCTGGAAAGATGTAGGGAAGTCCTTGCATCCACACATCCCCTGGCAAAGAAGACTCGGCACGCGCTCCGAGAATAAAGATGCGGAAAGGTCTGCCTTCAGCAAGCAAATTCTCAGATGTTGCACCTGCCGAGACGGCTGGATGGAGTGTCGCTCTGAGTGCAGACAGACTGCGAAGGCCTTCCCGCGTGAGTCGTTTGCGGTACGGCGAGCCTTGATGGAGGACAGAAGCAATGGTCAACGGATAGGTTAGCAGCTTCGAGACGTGCCTGATACTCCGCTCTGCATTGACTGCATTGAATTGGCGGGTGTAGAGAAAGCCATCCCAATTTGACATGTTGATGGCCTCTTCGACGTCTTGCCGCCCAGGAAAGTTGAACTCGTCCAAAGCCCTACCACTTCTGAGATCATGCTCATCTTCATTGGTTTGCCTGAGGATATGTATGTATGGCTTGTGCTTTTCATAATCTGCACGATACTCCTCTGCGTCATGATGTGTCGGCCACCCAGACTCGGGACACTCAAACGCTATTGACTTGCCTGTGGGTGACTTTGCATGCCTCTTGATGAAGGCTGCACGCTGTCTGAGAGCAGGGACCGGTGAGCTGCTGAGTGGATGGAATAAATTATCCTTTGTCAGCAGCGGTGTCGCTGTGGCCTGTGCATCCCGCGTCTGCTTCTTCTTCCCGAACCCAAAGAGCGTCCTGCGGCATTGATGCAGTGGTGCCGGCGATGCTGCCCGTGTGATAGCCGCCTTGAGCATGCAGCTGGTCGATGCCTGCTTGATGTCGAGGGTGTCGCTGTCTTGTCGCCGTCATTTCTTGAACTTCCCGCCAGCCTGGCACCAGACACCACGACCAGACACCAGACCAGAGCAGCATAGCTACAAGGTCATCTCTAGTGCTAGGCAGTCGACAACAGAGACACGCGCAGCTATGACAGAACAAGTCGAGATCAAAATCAAGAGCCCAACCTACCCCATGGCCGCAGACCTCACCCTCTTCCACAGCCAGCATGACACTGTCCACAAACTCAAATACGGCATCCAGCTCGCCCTCAACAATGCAAACCTGACACCGGCCGCTCAGAAGCTCATCTATGCAGGTCACGTCTTGCAGGATGAGAAGACCCTTCTGGAGCTCAACCTGACTGCTGGCAGTAGCGCGACTATCCATCTCGTGACGGGTGCGTCTGTGCACCCCGTCTCGAGTCCTGTTGCTGCTGTCGAGCAGGCGCCTGCTGTATCGCAGCATGTGGGCTCTACGCCTGCTTCAGAGACGAGTACATCTATCCCAGCGGCAATGACTCAATCGACCCCTGTCGGCAGAAATGTACCTGAGTCCTCCACAGCGCCAAGCGGCATGAGTCGCCCATCATCAGCTCAGTCGATTGATTCATCTGATATGGCAGAACACCTCAAGTCAATCATTGGGGATCAGTCTTATGTGCGCACAGGTCTACAATACCAGGTTTACATGATTGATGGACTTCCCTACTTGATCCAACAATCGGCAACAGCAACAACAGCGGCTTCGAGACACACATCACGTTCGCTTCGTTCTCGAGCAGCACGCGCGACAAGTCTGTTGAATACAGTTATGGGCGCCTCTGCTCCCGGAGCGCCTACAGCAGCATCATCAGGAGCACCCAACCACGTCCGACACCAAGCAGTGGAATTACCTTCGTCCAGTGCGATCCCTGTTGTCATGGCAGATGGTCGACAAGCAGTCATGCTCTCACCTGAAGGGATCCGGGCCATGACGCAACAAGGCGTTGTGGTGCCAACCCAAAATGCACAAGGTCAACTCATTCCAGGCGTCGCACCCGCTGCAGCACGACATCCACTTGACAGGCCGGAATTCAGAGCCTTCATGCGAACAGGAATCCCACATGCTTGGTTATTCCTAAAGCTGGTGTTTCTCGTTATGATGCTTGGGTCGCATGCCTCGTGGAAGAAGTTTTTGATGTTGAATGCGATTGCTGTGGTCATTTTCTTGTGGCAGAGTGGATTGGCTGCTGGTCTGTTTCGTGCACAAGCACGTCCTGTGCCTGTCGATGCACGTCCTGTACAGAGGAATGCGCCTGTTGTACCAGGGACCGACGCTGCTGCTGCTGCTGCTGCTATGCCTGCACAATCTCCAACAACCAACGACACACCCAATCAAACGATCCCTCGAGCGCAAGCGCAAGGCAACGCCCTGCAAAATTTGGCACATGCCTTTGTCACGAGCATTCTGCCGAGTACACTCTTGCCTGATGCACTACCAGCTATCAATCAGGAGGCGAATGCAGCTCAGGAAGGTCGTGACGCTGATGTGAATCGTCTTGGCAATGACTGGTGAGTGCTCAAGAATCTCATTTTGTTAAACTTTTTTCTGTTTTCTGTTCCGTAGCACCGTATCTTACATCTTCTTCCCAATACACAAAGGATCTAAGCCTAGGCTCCTCCAATACTAACATCCTGTCCATCCCCAGAAGAGCGTCTCAAATCAGGCACAGGTCTCCTCGGCACTCCTCTCGCTTCTCCAGTACCCTGCCCATACGTCCTCGCAGGTCTAGGCTGTAATTTTGCCTTACTAATCCGATTCGCTGCAGCAGCAACACGCGCCTGTCGAGCTGCGCGTTCAGCATCCACAGCACGATCTTGTTGTGCTTGTGCAGTGATGGACGCTTGTGCTGCTTCTCGCGCTTGCTGCATCGATGTATTTGTCCGGAGACGAGGGACGGGCGATGTATGTGATGATTGTGGAGGCGATCGTGTAGTCGGTCTGGATACTGTGGTTGGTGAAGTGGGTGGTCGAGATACATAACCTGAAACAATAGCTCGTCCAGGTGACGTTGGATTCGCTTTCGGTGACACTACTCTTGGCTCTTGCTGTTGCGCTGCTGCAATCATAGCGGCCGGAGAGCGCATCGCCACAGGTGACGGCTGTTGCTGCTTCATGGGCGTCACCGGCGATGCAGCCAGAACTCCTCGAACGCGCAAGATCCGTTCCATGGCACCTTCCAGATGCCTCAGTCGCGCCGTTCGTTCCTCCTCCCTATCCGCCAACATCTTGAGCTTCTCTGTAACCTGATGATTGAGTTTTCGCTCAGCAGCAACCATCTTGTTGGCTTCCTCAAACAACGATTGTGAGAGATCTTCTGATTCTTGTTGAAGCAAAGCGTAATTCTGTTCAGCTTGCATCCGCAGCTGTCGCTCCTTTGTGAGTTGTACTGCCAGGGGTAGTGAATCATCAATCAGCTGTTTCCGAGGAGACGTCGGCGACATGGGACCTGAAGCATTCTCCGTCGCACCAACGACTGGAGGCCCTGATGAGCGCTTATTTGAAAACATGAATGTCGACATGCGTCTGAGTGCCGAGGCAGGTTCAGCACTACCATCCTGCGACTCTGCTGTCGTTATCGTCGTAGCGGCGGCTTGTTGTGCGCGCTCACGTTGTTTGTATTGACGGATCGCATCTTCGAGGTCTGCGGCACGATCGACTGCTGCTGCGACTTTTGCATTGAGGAGTCTGATTTGGCTTTCGAGCTCGAGCACCTCTTCCTCGGAGGTGAGGCCGGGGATCATGGCTGTGTCTGAGAGCCCTTGTCCACGGCAGTCTACTACTAGTACGAGTGTATGTCTCTTGTCTCGGTTTGTTTGCCTCAGCTGAAGAAAACTGCACCACGACCAACACATCCATTGTATTGCAAGGGACTGGCTGGCGGAGAGAGTGAGGCGCGGCTCAAGCAACGGGAGGCAGCTGCATTCATGTCCATGACATGACCGGCTGAGCTGGCTTTGCTGGGGATGCTTTTGGGCAAGACATGTGTCAGCATCCCTTTAGGCCAAGACACTAGACCATATGGCTCAGCTTGTCTGTCTTCCATTGCTCGCATCGTGCCTTCTACCCGCTATCGTCATCCTACACGATGCTGCATACATCCTGCTGAGCAAGAGACCCCTTCAGTAGTCAAATTGCAGACCAATCGCTTCTCAGTAGCATAGTGCCTGCGCCGAATCATGAAGGAGACGGAACAGACGGGCGCATGTCATGGAAAGCATCCATTGCTGCTAGCAGTAGCAGAGACCTTTTGCATGCCTCGCCGACATATTTGTAGGTTTTCAAGACTTAGATGTGACTGTCCTTCTCCCTGTCTCTCTTCGTCATCCTCAAAGCGACTCCCATCCACCAAATACTCCGCTAGCTCCTGTCGCATCCGCGTGATACCCATGCCTGTATGGTCATATAGCTCAAGTAAGTATCGCTGACAACCCCTTCTAGGCCTACCACTCCTCCTTCCTCGAAGATGCCGACACCCGCATCGTCAGCACCATGGCGCTCCTCCCCCTCAACACAAAAGTCAAAGGCCCCGCCTACCCACCGCAAGACCCAGGAGCACCAGATATCCTAGACGAATGCGTAGAGCTCTTTAGAGCCAATACGTTCTTCCGAAATTTCACAATCGATGGACCGAGCGATAGAACGCTCATCTATGGCATTCTCTACATCTCCGAATGCCTCACGAAGCTCATGACGAGTGGGCAAAAGTACGGACCACAGGGTGCAGTGCCTAAGCAGGAAGCAGTCAAGCTGCTCACTACCCTGGCACTCGACCAATTCTCTATCCCAGGAGAAGCTGGGTTCCCGCTCAATAACATCTACGCGGCGCCTAGTAACAGAAATGAAGCTGACTTGCTGAGAAGCTACTTGACGCAATTCAGACAAGAACTCGGAGCAAGAGTCATTGAGAAAGTATACTTCAGGGATGCAACAAGACCAGACAAGTTTTGGCTCGCCTTTACAAAACGCAAGTTTATGGGACGTTGAAGGCTTTTCATCCTCTTTTCTTTCGGCAGGATCATAAGCATGAGTAGCACGACGAATCAGCATACGAGTAATGCCCAAGCCCTTTTATTTCTCATCTATCTTTCTTGTGCTTTGTCCCTGAACGAAACGCTTTAAATTTTTGTTTAACCGTACAAAAGCCTGTTTGTAAGCATGCTCAGTTTACCATGTGTATGGAATAAGGCATACGGAGTATAGATATCCACGAAGCTTGCGTGCACTGAGGGCTAGCGGCGAGAGAATTGGCAAAGTCGAGAGGCATCATGCATGGCTTTGTCGATGCGATGCTTTTTGAGAGAGTCAAATCAGGAGATGTCGACCGCAGAAGCATTTACTATACAAAAGAACCAGCTAAAAGCTAAGTCTCCATGACTGTAAAACAAAGTGAACAAGACAACCTGACACCCGTGTCATGACGAACAGCCGTAAATGTCACACCGCGACAATACCGGCACACCAACTCCTCCCGCGGCTTGTGATTACTTGCACCTGCTACCGCTCCAGGCGGTACATCTCGAGCAGGGATAGGAGCACTTGAGCCTTCCTGTGACTGTGTCCGTACCATTGTGCTTAGATCACCCTGTCCAGTCTCGTCTGCTGACCCATTCGTCCAAACAGATTGCGCTGTTGAGACACGCTCCAGTGACGCACCGGACGCTAAGCTACTCCGTCGACGCATCCGGCCTTGCTTGATTTCCGAATAATACCCATAACTCACCCCATTCGCATCTAAATAATCGCCCGGGTTGATTGTGTCATTGACATCCTTTGCTTTCTCCGTTGCCGGTTCTTGCGCATGCTTGCCTGATCGCGGAAAGAAGGACTGTCGTGACGTGCCATGTCCAATCTGCTGTGGTGGCGGCATACTTGTACTCGTTGAGAGTGTGCCATGCGTAGAAGCTGTACCTGTTCCTGCCGTATTACTCCGTGCAGGAGATGCCGGAGCAGGTGCTTCATGAGGTTTTCGCATCGCTGTTGTCGTGGTACTGTCGAGACTTGCAACAGAAGCAGCGCGATGCAACGCTTGCTTAGGTTCCGGCGTGCCCACAGCAGTGGCACTCCGGCCCGTACTCGTTGAGATTGTTGAGAGTCGTCGACGGAGTCGTTTTTGAGATTGAGCATCACTCGCTACTGAGTCTCTTGTTCCTGTGAAACGTAGAGAAGCAGCTGCATCTTGCCGAAAGACCTTGATGATGCCAAGATAGTCTGCTGTAATTAGAACATGACCTTCACCGGCCGTGATGAGGGAAGACAAAGACTCGCGATCACCATTGATGCTGCTTGAGGTGCTTTCAATAGTGTGCGAACGATTCCGTGAACGCTGCACAAGGTCGTAGATCGGATCCCCTGAAGCAACAAGCAATTCCCTCGATCGCTGAGGTGCAAAACACGTCGCAGAGACAATCTCGGTATGTGCTTCGAACCGCTCGTAGCCAAGCCGTTCCTTCTTTTCATTATTATCTTGGCGATGCGTATCCCAAATGTAGACATGCTTGTCTTCACTACCACACACAACATGTCGTCGATCCTCTGAGATGCTTGCCCTGATCTGTGAAGCGCTGTTGGCATTTCCCTTGAACTTCATCTCGAGCGACTTGTCACGGAGGTTGTACAATCTGACGCGAGAGTCATTGCTTGTCACAAGAAGCTTGACGTCGCTGGAGCCATCTCCTGCCTTCCAAAGAAATGCTTCGAGGCCGGTAATTTTGGATCCATTCTTATTCTTGCCACGAGCACTTCGAACGTGCATCTGTGTGTGATAGCGGAGTCCCTCCGTTTCGTAGAATAGACAGAGACCGCTAAAACTGCCTGCAATAGCCACTCGGCCTTCTGGACTGAACGCCACTGCTGTAATCAGCTCAGGCAACTCATTCCAATATGAGACAGTCTTGTCGACAATACTCCATAATCTTAGCTTGCAGTCGAGTGAACCGGATAGAAAGAAGCGATCGTCTTTCGGATGGAATGCAATGGCTGTAACAAAATCAGTATGCTGAAAGCAGCACAAGCACTCTTCCTGCGAGACGTGCCACAGTCTCACAGTTTTGTCCATGGAAGAAGAAAGTAGAAAGTTGTTTTTGCTCCAACTCAAGTCGAGAATGTCTCCCTCATGCGCAGCATACTCGCGATATGGCTTCTCCATAAAGACTGGTGCATTGAGCTTCGAACCTGCTGTGTCATTGTCGAGTCGATCACTCGGCGATGCCAGAACGCGCCAAACGCGTACCACACAGTCTTGGCCTCCAACAGCTAAGTACCGGCCATCTGGCGAGAACTTCATAGACCAGATCGCGCCACCTTCTTCACTCGTCTTGGGCTTGAGTTCCTGAGCGAGAAAGACATTGTTGAAATCACGCTTCGACTTCTTGTGAGCTCGCACTCGAATATAAGGTGGCTTTGCTGAGTGCGAGCAACCACAGAACGTACTAGCCTCGGCACCTTCTGCGCGCGACAGATCTTCAGGGTCCTCAACATGTTCATCCGCATGATGGTCCTTACCACGAAGCTTTGCAAAGAAGGAAACGCGCTTCTTGCGTTCCTTGTGGTCCACTTCTACCAACACAGGTGATTCTTCGCGTTTCTGAGTGTCGCTCGGATTACGCTTAAAGATGGGAGAGTCCTCGGGTGTTCCATTGAAGCCTGTACCTGTGCGTTGTAGGATATGCGCCGACAATGGATCCAATTGGGACTCTCTGCGGCCCTCTGGAGTCAACAGCACGCCATTTGTCATGATGGCCGGAATTTTCCCAGTGAAGGAAGGTCTGCTGGGACTTGAATAGCTTGTATTGGGCCTACTCAATGGCGCTAGTGTGGAATTATCACCAAGAATGCCATCAATATCGGTCTGTCCAGGGCTGTGCATGGCATGAGCGGCCGCGGCCCTTGCACCGCCGATAATGGCACCCTCCAGCGTAACTTGAGATGTATCGACCAGCGACACGTCACGAGCTGCCTTGTGAATATGGAGGATGCGCGAGAAAAAGCGACGGATGGCCGGGTCACTGTGTACGCTGATTGTCTGCTGCCGTCTGTGCTGGGCAATTGCAAGCGAGAGATTATGTTTGTTCAGATGACGACATCTATCCCGAAACAACAACTGCTGCTTATATGTCAAAACGCTCTGCTGCCGCTGCTGCAAGTCCAGTGGCCAAGAAACTCAAGGCTACTACCATCACAAGCTTCTTTGCTAAAGATCCTGCTGCCGCTCCGTCTCCTGCCAAAGCGAAAGAGGTCGAAACGCCATTCAGCAAACAGTCATGGATTGATTCACTGAGTGTAGAAAACAAGGACCTGCTCAAACTTGAGATTGACACTCTCCACGAATCATGGCTCAGCTTGTTACACAAGGAACTAACCAAGCCCTACTTCCTCAAACTCAAGGAGTTCTTGGCAGGCGAACGCAGGAAACACAAGATCTTTCCGCCTGCTCCGGATGTCTATGCTTGGTCACGTCATACACCCTTTGAGTCCGTGAAAGTGGTCATTCTTGGACAAGATCCGTATCACAACGACGGACAAGCGCATGGGTTGTGTTTTTCAGTGCAGGCACCCACACCGCCACCTCCCTCGCTCAAAAACATTTACAAGTGCCTCAAGATTGAGTATCCAGACTTTCAAATTCCAAAACACGGAAGCCTCCTGGCATGGGCAGATCGAGGGGTTCTCTTGCAAGTCACAATAGTCTGCAGAGCCTCATACTAACAATAGATTGAATACTTGCCTGACTGTCCAGGCTCACCAAGCTAATAGCCACCAAAAGCGCGGCTGGGAGACTTTTACACAGCGTGTGCTTGACCTTGTCGCAGAGAAGAGAACAAACGGCGTGGTCTTCATGGCATGGGGCAAACCAGCTTCCAAGCGTGTGGAGGGTCTGGACCTCCAACGCCATTTGCGTCTTGAAAGCGTTCATCCTAGTCCCCTCTCTGCAAGTCGTGGCTTCTTTGAGGGTGGCCATTTCACCAAGGCAAATGTATGGCTCACAGAACGGTATGGGGTTGATGCCAAGATCGATTGGAACAGTCTGAGTGGCGCGCCAGAGCAGAAGCAAGACAAGACGCCCAATCCAAAGGATGAACCAGGCCTCGATGCTGAACAGGCACTCATTTGAGCAGCGGAACAGCAAGGCTATCGCGAGCCAGCTACAGACAAGGAAGCGGAAGTTTGCGATGCACTCGCACAGAGCAGGGCATCTGGTGCTCAGATTGAGAAGCGTGACATCGTCGTCGTAGCACGAGAGAAGCCCAATCTTCAAGCGTAATCGGGATAGCTAGCATCTCGAGTGAAGAAACTGGAACAGAGTCAGTCAAGGCTTACAAGGAAGAACAAACAGCTTGGAGAGAAATCTGCTGGACCGAGCGCAAGGATGACTGGTAGCGAGGAAAGTCAGGATGCACAAGAGTCCGTCGAAAGCTACCACGACAACTCGTTGAAGCTTGATGAGCCCCAGCACGAGGAAAACAGCAAGCAAGGGTCGAATTACGCTATTCAGTCTTCGGCATGAGCTAGATTCAATAATCCACGCCATAGTACGGCAATTGCAGAATGAGGGATCGCCAGTGATTTGCCACTACAGCGTTCAGCATCACTCCAAAACTAGCATCAAGCGGTCCCACAAGCCAATTGAAGTCTTGACGTGCTGCTGCCATGAACAACACGCGTACCGAAGCCCTTAAATCGCCTACCTCCCAAGCCGGCTTGTCCTAGATGCGACGTCACCGAATATTCCATGATGCAGACCTCCAAATTTGGCAACTCCTCATCCGAGACATCCTTGTGCTTACGCTTCCTTGTCTTCAATGGCATCATCGCCTCTTGCAATGGTCCCCAGAGAAGGAAGAGCCTTTCCTTGAGGACACTCAAGACTTGCGCATTCTTGGGGTCGTATAGGTTGCATGCCTCAATCTTTGTGTCATCCAGCAGCGACTCAACTTCATCGCCAGACCAGATCAGCGGCAGGCATTTGCCATCATGGCCCTCAAATAACGTTGCAAAGGACAGTTCATAGTGAGGTGTGTCGTCAGGGTCTCGTTGACTTTCACAAAGCGTACATGTGTCGTGCGAGGCTGCATCCTCAGGCACAGCCGGCCGGAATGTACTAGAACAGCTATAGCAGAATGGTTGACTAAAGTCCCGGAGATCGGCGGGCCAGTGGTCAATGAGCTTGCCAACACTGCGGTACTTGCGCGGCTCGTTGGGTAGACCCGGCTTCGCATATTGCACATCGTTGGCGAGCGTGGCTGTTGGGTAAAGAATCTCACCAACGGGTGTGATGGGCACATTCTCATGCGACGTCGAAACATTTTGATTGAGTTTGGAAGGCTCTGGTAGCTTGGCGATACTCGCTGCCACCATCGCAGCAAGCTTCTCACGCTCGAGTATGGCAATTCGACGCAGCATATTGGCGTTGTCGTTGGCTTTACGAAGCTTGATACTCTTCAGATTTCGTTCTGTCGGTGGCAAGATTGTGATTTTGCGATCAGGATTACTTTGATCGATGCGCAGGTTGCCCTCCAGGATACCGCGCTGTGAGTAGGATGTATGCACGTTGCGAAGCAGGACAAACATGTCGTCATGAAGCTTTTCTCGTCCAAATACTGCAAAGTTGTCCCACAACGTCACATTGAACGTCTTTCTTCCGAATGGACCTGGCCATTTGCCAGCAGCGCCATACTCATAGTCGTGTAAGGATTTGTTCTCCGTGTAATCCGTCACCAACAGCTCGAATGCATTCTCCCTTGCAGGAAATGTCTTGACAATGTACGCATAAATGTCATAAAAGTGCTTGTCCTCAAGGTCTCTGATTGTCTTGACTTTGCGCTGCATGGTGGTTGGGGGAACTCTCTGGAAGACTGGCGCTGGGATGAGCTCTTTCGGATCCCGACCATCTTGAATCTTGAACCAATCTGCAAGATTCTTCACGTAAGCCGTGACTTCAGGCGACAATGCTTCCATGACACGACCTCCAGGTGGGCCGACAGGTCGCAGGCCATTCGCGTCATACATGTGCCAGCGAGATGTGTTGTTCGTCCAGGCCTGCATGTGTTCTCTATGCTGCATCAGCTTGAACTTCTCAAATACCATCAGACAGCCTGTATAGGGCTTCGGCAGCTGATCGACAGTAGGCATGAAGAACTGAACGAGCAGCGCACCTTCGGCTTCGGTGACAGAAGGATCGCACACCATTAGATGACATTGCATGTCTCCTTTACTTGTGATCTTGGGCTGTGAATAATTCTCAACACGCCCAACGAAGCAGGTCAGCTCGCCTTTATGACACATGTTGCGCAGCAGCTTATAGCCAGGCAGAGCCTCGAGCTGGTCTTCAATTTGTAGAACAGTCATTGCAAGTGGTTCACATGCACAGTGTGCCAGTTGTCCAACAACGACCAAGCGTTTAGGACGAGTGGATGGCTACGCGATGAGAAGTTGTAGAGTCGCGTCTATTGTTTGTGATGACTCTGCTGGTGCGCACGCCTTGTGGCTAAATTCGTGATCGTGCCCAAAATTGCAATTGCAAGAGCCAGAAGAAGCCAAGACCGCATGCGCAGTGTGCACGGACAAGAGTCAACCTGAGTACTACCGCTTCAGGAAGAGAATATAAGAGCTGGCTAGGGAACATTGCACTTGCTGAACTCGTACCGAACCATGGCTTCACATGACATAGCTGATGTTCCAACGCTACATATTGCCGGCTATGAGCTTGACCGGAGCCTGGCGCTATCTATCATCTTGGTGCTGGTCCTGGCCGCTCTCCAGCTAGCCTGGCCAACCGTCAAGCTCTACTTTGAACAACGTGGTCGGGGCACTGCAGTGCCAGTCAGAGAAATGCCCATCATCGAGACCATCTCGGAAGATCCAAAGCCAGAGCCTGTTCGAAGGCCATTCAAGAAGCCGAAGGCAGATATTTCTAGCTGGATTGGCAGCGAGAAGGGTGTAACTTCATCCGCAGCCCTTCAAGATCCCAACAGCATCCCTTCTGCTGGCGCTGAAGCGCTGGCACAATCCATCAAAGTCACTGAAGATGGGCAAGTGATTGATGTGGACGGCAAAGCTGTTGAAGAAGGCACCATCGTCTATATCCGGCAACAGATGGTAGACCGTGTACTTAATACAGGAGGAACAAGTGAGATGGACGAGAATGAGGACGCAATGATGAAGCTCGATATCATCAAGAGCATCAAGGCTCTGAGTGATGCTGAAGTCGTAGAATGGTTCCAGCAGAACAAGGAACTGCTCAACTACAGCGATTAGACAATTTAGATTATAAGACACTTGCATCTGTCATTCTGAGCTTGCGATTCATTCTTCGCTGCTAGACTTCAAGTCGTCCTTGCGTCTGAGCTCCAAAAGGCTGCTGATTCGGTACAGGATGTGTACCTGTAACTTGCCCGTGGGTTGTAGTACCATAATCGACCGGCGCCTGTGATGAGCCGGCCGCAACTGGCGCAGAAGGCTGTACTTGCCCAGTAGTCTTCATGAGCTGCTTCTCGAGCATTTGAAGATTCCGGGTATTTGCTTTGAACGCCATGTCTGCGATATCGCCCACGAGTGGGATCAAACCCACCACAAAATCAACGACAAGGTTGCTGTACATCTGTGCGACAATAGCATCCGGAAGACCGCCGTCTATCTTCTTCGCTTCCTTGATGAGACCGTACGCGAACGCAAGATCAATGACGTCGCCAATCAGAGGGATCAACCCAATCACAGAAGACCAGCCTATTCTGAACGAGCAGCAGCAGCAAGTGATGCACTCATCCAGTCGGTAAGCGCGTCGTCGTACCTTCTTGAGGATGTTGGTATCGTTTTTGGACAATTGCGCCGGGACTGCTTTGAACTTCTTGCGCTGCGTGTCACCCTCCTCGAAGTATGGATTCGCCCCGAATTTGAGATCAGGTACGTTGCGCTTGAACAGATACTTCATCACGTAGGATGCCATTGCGACTGCTTGCAGGGTGCCTTGGAGCCAAGTTGGAGGGTGATTGTGAAACTTGTGGTACAGGGGCGGCTGGCTTTTAATCCCTGCAGATGGCACACACTTGGCAGCTGCCAGACAGAGCCACAAAACGTCATCACACCGCATCGAAAACATGCCCTCATCCAACACTTTGTCAGTGCCGGGATGGCAGGCCAACTACCCATGAGAGGGTGGACAATGTAGTTGTCTAATCAGTCTACAGGCCTGTGACTACAGCTAACGTTCAGGCGCAGGATAAAAGTTCCTGTCGCGAGAAAACTCCATCCACTCTGCTGTGAAAATTGAAAATATCGTGGCAAGATCGCGGACAGAATCTTGGTCTAGATTGTCGCCATTGTCTTCCATAGTGTGCCAAACATGTGGGAAGGGCACTGGTATGATGTGCAGAATCTCGACACCCTTCTTCCAGAACGGCATGTGATCATCGCCAATTGTTCCTGCTGCACCGAACATTTGACGACGTGCATCAAATATTGGATCTGCTGACTGTTTGGCAAAGGCACCCGGAAACTGAGACTGCGACTGCGACGACCGGAGCTCATGCTCGATGCGTGCCAAGTGCTTGATGGCCCAGTGTGTCGTGGGAAAATAGCTTGGGATGGTTGTGTCCTTTGCTCCAAGCAAGTCGAGCAGCACAAACAAGTCGATCGTCTGCAGCTTAGTGTGACGACTTGACGTAGGTTGAGGGCGTAGATGCTCCGTTTCCCACTCTTTTGCCAGGTGACGAGCGCCGTAGATGGAGTCGGTATCAGTCCAGTCGTGAACAGCCTCTTCTCCATCGAAGAAGATCAACTGAACGCCCTTCTGATGGGCATCGCGTCCCGCCGTGCGTTCCCAGTCCGATACTACTTTGCTGCCGTCGTAAGTATGCGACTCCCAAAAATTTGGAGCATTCTCAGAGAGCATCTGGGCGATGTAGAGCAACATAGCACACGGTGCAGCGCTGTCAATTGCGCCAATGAAGCCTGCCGGTAGCCGTTTCGAATCGTAATGCGCTGCCAGGACAAGATGGCCGACATTCTCTGGAGTGCTTCCAGGTGGATCAAGCGTTGCAATCAGATTGACAAACTCTACATCACCGAGCGGCGTTTTGTCCACAAAGCGATCCTCTTCTACCTTCCAGTTGGTGAGATTGTGCGTCAAGAAGCTCTTCAGGAACTCTAGCGCTTCTGATGCTCCCTCAGTCCCTGAAACACGCGGTCTCAACAGCGGCTTAAGAAGCATGCCAGTATCTTTATCCAGCAGAGACTTTGGTGGGAGGGCATTGTGGAATTGTTCCAAGGGCCCCCGCTCGTATGGCAAATAGCTGAAGGCTGTCTGTAGAACTGCAAGCCAGATAATGCCTAGCATGTGCATGTGCATGTGCATGTGCATGTGCATTTGCGCAATAGCTGTAGAATGTTGAAATTAAGCTAGTGATGCATAAGCTGTTTTCAGTGACACAAGCTATAGCTAGCGTATGAGACGCCGTGAATCAAGGTCTATCAGTAGCGTTCTCTTGGAGCCGACCAAACTGATGAGCTGGCCAAAATGCCGAGTTGTGTTTGTCGTTGTAGAGCGTGCGAGATCCATCACACACAGCAGCTCACGATCGAGTTCAATCTCAAACTCAATTAGACCAGCTCATTGGACTACTTTAAGCTACCATGTCGTGGTTCTGGTCCTCAAGCTCAGCTGCTGAATCAACTTCGAACGTCTATGATGGTCTCGATGCTGACTTGAAAGACTTTGCGCAAGGCAAGACGCCAAATGCCGGCAAGGCAGACGCTCACACTGCTTCTGGACCTCGGCCTACTCTGGGCGACACGGTCGACCTTGTCAAACAAAGCACTAAAGCTCGGCGATCGCTTGTGAATGCGGGCGCGGTATTTAATTGTGCCTTGGCCGAGTCTGAGCTGAATGAGTGCTTTCGTTCCGGCTCATGGTGGGACAAGGCCAAGCTATGTGAGATACAAAAGAAGGCCTTCTGGGAATGTTTGAGCATCAACAAGCAAGAGCTGATGAACAATGGCTACGGCCAGTATGGCAATGGCGAAGAAAAGAATGCCGCTTTGTTGGAACAAGCAGATGAAAACTACCTCAGACAAGCGCGTGAAGCAGCCGCTGCTGAAGGCACGCCAAGCTAGAAGGAATCATTAGAATTTGCTTCATGTACCGAGCGACAAGCAGGATCCAACAATGGCAGTTTCACACAATATGTTCTCAATTTGCTTGGTGCATTTCACGCCAGTTGCACTCAAAGTTTCAGGTTGGAACTTAAGCCTATGGCGATCCCCAGACTTCGGGTCGAGAAGATGCTCGCCGGTACGAGCTGGCTTGCAGCTCTCTTAGGGCTTATCATTGTCTGTGCGGTCGCTCTCTATGCTCTCATCGACAGCATTTGCATTTATACGTCTTCAGCGACTATCCATTTGTGGGTGACCTCCTATCAAAGCGGCTTCACGGCTCCGGAGGTCGTTCCCCAGAGGAAAGTGCATGGATCCATTGAGCAACCTGACCTGCTCTTGCTCAATGTCTGGACCGGAACGGAAGTCCCACCTTACCTTACACAAGTAATCGACCATATTAGTCACAACCCGTCAGTATCACTACTGTTGATCGCAACCGAAGATTCTGTGGCACTTTGTCCAGCTCGAGGCGAGTCTCCCTGGCATTCCTACGCTGACAATGTTCGCATTCAATGTCTCAGTCGTTCCGAAATCTATCGCTCGCTCGCTGACGGCATGTGTAACGTTTGGGCTTGCGACAGAATGCAATACCGATCTGTCCGACATGCAGTACAGGAGCTCCTTGAAAAGAATCCATACCGGATGAATGACATGAAACCGATCTATGCCTCTGCATTTGGACACTTGGTTCTACAAAGCTTTCCTGACCACACGTTTTCACACTGGATCAGGCTGGACCTTGATGTGGTCATTGGGAACTTCCAATCAATGTTTCCATGGGAATTGCTTGACTACGACATCGTTACCTTCTCTCCACAGCTCAACAAAGATGCGCGTGAACTGGTCATGCGTGGCTATTTTACAGCAATCCGCCTGTCAGAAACGATGAACGCAGTTTGGTCGCGTATGACCAAGTTCTGCAGCCCCGAGACATTTGTGCACGAGTCACGGCTACCAGGATTCAAGTCAATTGACGAGGGGCTGTTCTCCAAAACAATCCTGGAATCTCCTGATATCAGCTTCATCATCGTACCTGGGTTGGTGACCAATGACGACGATATCAAGCTGTCTCTGGATCACAAATTCATCCTCTCTGGCGACAGCTCCGAGATCCTACTCGCGGAGAAAACATCGCGCTTCAACGGCCGCGAGACTTTGCTGCTCTCGACTGGGGCAGATGATCGACCACCTTCAACTCTGCGAGACATCTTTGCTGGGAGTCGCGTTCTCGTTGACAAAGTCGAGCTGAGCCCAAATTGTCCATTCTACTACTGGATACCCGAATCAGATCGATTGTGTTTGGATGCCACAAAGGAAGTATTGCCACCGAATGCCCACACTGGCATCGTCGTCCAAAGAGAGCCTGGCAACGCAGAAATCACTGCTGTCCTCGTCCGGGACCCTGGAAGTCTAGGATTAGGGTCGGAAGTACGCCGACAACTGGCCATGCATTACCTTTACAGCAAGGTAGATGCCGTCGAAGAATTCTTTGGTGGCCCGAAAGGACGGATTTTAGCAAACGGTGAGCGTCAAGAGGTTTGGTTTGATCCACGCCGTGGTATTTATCGCTCGACTTACAAGCGTCGGAATACGAAAGGCTCATGGGCGCTCTTTGAACCTGCTCAACACCAGCGTCTCATTTTTGAAAATAATGTGTAGACAAGACGAGATAGATCATTGCTCAGCTGTTTCGTGCTTGTGCATCCATGCTTCATCAATAGCCTGACAGAGCTTCTTGACGCCCTTGACACATTTATCAGCTTCCTCCCAGCTGAAACTGAGTCTAAAGCAGCGGCTGGCCCAACCTCTTGACTCGGGACCACTTGATTTCACCTCGAAGCCTAGTCCAGGCATCACAAGTACTCCTTTCTCATCTCGAAGTCTGCTCAAGACGTCTGGCAAGTCAATGTGCGAATGCTGAGGAAGTGTGACCCACAAAAAGTATCCGCCTTGCGGGGCCAACGCTATGGAAGCTGCGTCGTGGCCATTGACCAAGCTGCCTTTAGGCAAAGAAGCAAACAAGACCTCAAGCATGGCATCGCGTCTGAGAGCATACACTTCTTGAAGCTCAGCCAAGATTTCGACAATTGGGTAAGTTGATTGTCTTGAGTCGTCTCCCTCTCTGACGAGCTCTCTTACAATGTAGGAAGTCAATTGACTCGTGGCTCCTCCCGAATGATTGGCGCCGCCTGCACTGAACTGAGCTGCCATCTGAGTCGAAGAGCAGGCCACGTAGCCGACTCGAAGACCAGGTCCAAGGTATTTGGAGAACGAGCGATTGCCGATACAGTTACCAAATCCAGTCGTCTTCTTTGATGCTAGATCCAAGTCTACCATACGAGAATGTACTTCAGAGGTGTTGACATGCTCGTTTTTCACGGTCGAGCAGGACAAGCCTTCGTACACTTCGTCAGTGATAATCAGCATGTCGTGCTTCTGTGCTAGCCGAACCAGGTCCTTCCTGGTCGACTCTGTCCAAGTGATACCGCTGGGGTTACTGAAATTCGGGACCCCATAGAAGATGTACTTGAATCGCTTGCCGGCCAAGGTTGCTTCGGACTTGGAACGTGCTGCGTCGCCTTCAACGTAGGCGGTCAATTGCTTCAGATCAGGGCCAACAAGTCCATCATCAAGGTTGTTGACTTCATCGATAGCCGTGAGACAGTCCTCGAAGCCAGCATCAATGAATATACGGGCTGCCAGGAAGTAGGCTGGAGTGATCATGAAGATTCTGCTTGTGTAGCCCTGTTCAGCGAATTGTGTGACTGCATTCATCAAGCCATAACTAGCTCCACATGTCACGCCCAACATATCCGGGTGCAAGTTCCTTGAAATCCCTCTCGACCTTTCCCATTCCAGTATGCTAGCTCGCAAGTCATGAGAGCCTAAGTCAGCACCATATTGCATGGGATGCCGGTCGCGTTCCCTGACAAGGGACTCATCAGAAAGTTGCGTTGAACCGTCCCACTGTCCTGAAGCAAGCTTCTCTAGAAATGTCTGCGTCGCCTTTTGAAAGCGCTCGACAGGGAATAGGCGCGTTGATGGGTGTCCCCTGGCAAGATCAATCATGACGAAAAGCTCAGGGATAGTGGTTTTGCGATGGGAAGATTTATGAGCTTCGAGACATGAAGAAAACACTAGCCGAGTGCCAGCACAAGTTCAGAAGCAGCTTCCTTGACCTGACTGAGCTACACACAGGAGATGGTCGCTGATGGCGTAAGATCTCGTTGTTCTGAACGAGCTCGAGCTGCCGTTCGCGAATCTTTCTTTCGGCTCTACCGGCGCGATTGTCCAAACTGGGAAGGCGACCAGATTGGCCATGGTCAGCAGTTCGCGACTCCTTCCAAAACCGCTTGTCTAGATACATAAGCTCAGCCGGCTGCTCTGCTTTCCAGCACAGCTCAGACATGATGATGCGACAATCCGTCCGAAGCAGCGGTCGCCGTCTTGCGCAATTGCGCTTACCACTCACATCGCAGCGCGCATTCGCAGTCGCAGTCGACATCAGCTCTCCACTCGTCGCAAATGAGCCTCAAGGGCCGACCATCAAGACTGCCATTCCTGGTCCAGCAGCATTGAAGGCCAAGGAGGAGATGGGCCGCCTTCAAGACACACGGGCAGTCAATATGATGGTAGACTATGAGTCCTCTATCGGCAATTACATGTGCGATGCAGACAATAACTACCTCCTGGATGTCTATGCTCAGATTGCATCCATCGCGCTTGGCTACAATAATCCTGCGTTGCTCAAAGCAGCACAGACACCTGAGTTTGCAAGAGCTTTGATGAATAGGCCGGCACTTGGCAATTTCCCATCTAAAGACTGGGCCAAGATCCTGGAAGATGGTCTGCTGTCTGTCTGTCCGCCCGGTCAGACCAAAGTCTATACTGCCATGTGTGGTTCATGCGCCAACGAGACTGCATACAAAGCGGCATTCATGTATCACCAGGCACAGAAGCGCGGAGCGGATGCGTCTTTCACGGAGGAGGAGCTCAACTCTTGCATGAAGAATCAAGCACCGGGATCACCAGACCTGGCCATCCTGTCGTTCAGCAAAGGTTTCCACGGTCGTCTCTTCGGCTCTCTCTCGACAACTCGATCAAAGACTATCCACAAACTTGATATTCCAGCTTTTGACTGGCCTGAGGCAGAGTTCCCAGCACTCAAATATCCACTTGCAGACAACGTCGAGGCAAACAAAGCCGAAGAGGAGCGTTGCTTGAAGCAGGTAGAGCAGATCATCAAGACATGGAAAGCACCTGTGGCTGCGTGCATTGTCGAGCCCATTCAGTCCGAGGGTGGTGACAACCATGCGTCGGCAGGCTTCTTCCATGGTCTGCAGCGTATCTTGAAGGAGAACAAGGTACTCTTCATTGTCGATGAAGTCCAGACTGGTGTCGGTGCTACGGGAAAGTTCTGGGCACACGAGCACTGGCAGCTACCTGAGGCCCCAGATATCGTGACATTTTCCAAGAAAATGCAGGCAGCTGGGTGGTACTTCAATAATGAGAAACTCATTCCCAATTTGCCTTATCGGCAGTTCAACACATGGATGGGCGATCCTGTGCGAACGCTGCAGGCAAAGATCCTTGTTCAAGAAATCAAGAAGAACAATCTTGTGGAGCACACGAAGAAGACGGGCGAGTACCTGTATGGAAAGCTGGAGACCCTTGCCGAGCAATTTCCGAAACACCTTGCTTCGCTCCGTGGCAAAGACCGTGGCACGTTCATTGCTTGGGATCTACCATCAGGCGACAAGCGCGACGCTTTCATCACGGCCATGAAGCAGAATGGAATCTTGATGGGAGGCTGTGGCCCCAGAACTGTTCGGTTGAGGCCTACATTGACATTCGGCAAGCAGCATGCTGATATCCTTGTTGCAGCAATTGGCAAGACGGCGAAGGAGATGCCCCTGTGAGGCTTCAGTGTTTTCAGATGGCGCTTTTTATTATCTATGCCAGCGCTGCAATGCAATCTATTGCTATCCGATGTTTGAGAATGTCCTGAAGCCCCTCTTTTTCCCCTTCTTGCCACCTTGCTTGGCTCCTGTTCCATTGACACTGTCGATTTCGCGCTTGCTGATTGTCAGCGTACCATTCTTGTAGCGACCAACACCAGCCATGGTTCCCAGACTGCGTTCCTTCTTTTGCTTCTTGCGCGGCATCATGGCTTGCTTGTCGGCATGGGTCTTCTTGGCTGTGATGATCCCATTTTCTCTCATAGACTCTTCATGCGCTGTCGCCTTCTTCTTGGCAGCGTCCCGCATCCCAAGCCTCATACCCACTGGCATTTTGCGTTGTGCTACTTGCTTTGCGCCTGATCTCTTCAGTTGTTCGGCGACTGACTGCTGCCTCGCCTTGCCTCCTTGCAACTCAAGCGCTTCTGTAGTGCCGTCTAGCAAATGTGCATCTCGTAGTAACCTCTGCAAAGCTTTGTCCTTTTTGATGTCGTCTTCCGAATCACTCGCATCTTCGCCTGCTTCTGCTTTGCGTTTCCGCCTTCCAGGAGGGGCAATTGTTTTTGTGCCACTTTGTTTCGAGACCTTGGAGGACATGAAGGCTTTGTAGCCTTGCCGTTCAAAAGGATCAGAATTTCTTGTGAGGTTCCGTTCATCGAAAGAGACTACTTCCACGGTCGGTGAATCAGATTCAACAGCATCGTCAAACCCTGCAAAGGACTCGTGAGAGCCTTCCGAAGCTTCGCTAGCGCTGTCGGCATCAGATTGTTCAATCTCGCTCTCTGATGTGCGCTCGTCTTCCCGTTCGTCTTGGCCTCTTTTTCGTTTTGTACTTGATCGTTTGACCTTTTTGTCATACAGAGCCTGGAGCGCCTTGACGGCTTCCGGATCCATCCTCGTCAGTAATGTGCTGCAAGGGCTGGGATGTCGCGCATACAGCCCTTCTGGCGACACTTTTTTGACATGTCGCACGCACCACGAATGACGCTCCATACCAACACTACAATGCACCGAGAGCTGCTCTTAAGATGACATGAATTTCGCTGACTCATAACGTGTGTGCTGTACTCTCATGGATCGCTGGAGTCACATTGATGTCACTTCATCACGCCGACCTCTGTTGCCTGCAGATGAACCTGTTCTCTATGTGCAAGATGGCGTCGGCCTGTACAATGGCCGGCACAAGCTTGTGGATTACCAAGATGGCGTGCTCTACATTACTGGCAAACGACTTTGCTATGTAGATAGCGAGAAGCCTGCTTTACGGTCTATTGCCGTTTCCTTGGCAGAAATTGATCGGCTTGGCTTCTACGTTGGCTTTCTCAAATCATCCTCCAAGATTACGCTTTCTTTTGTTCCTGAAGGTGCGCAAGCTGGAGCGACGCGTTCTAGCCGATCAGGTTCCATAGGCGCAAGTCATTCGCTTGTTCCGACTACTGCAGATTTCGTCTGTCCAGTGTGCACTTTCACAAACACACTCGATGGCAACTACAAGCCTGGCGACACGTTGCCCGCGTGCAATAACTGTGGTATGCCACCGGGTAAACGTACACGCGTGACGTTTGCAACGGCACAGGGCCAGGCGCATACACATCTTCCCAGGTTGCCAACGCGTCGACCGTCTTCAGCGACTCCGACATCCCAGGTACAGTCATCGCCAAGTCTCTCCATAATCTCGTCATCCTCATTACCACTCGACGGTGACATCTCCACACAGCCATCACAAAGACAAATCGACCGCTCCATGCCAACGTTCCCCTGCCCACGCTGCACATTCGGCAACCACCCAGCCATCACCACCTGCGAACTCTGCGGCGCTCCCCTGCTCTCGCGTAACCTCCCACCCATGCTCGCAGCGGCCACCCACCTCGATGATCGTGCACGCGTCTCAAACGCAACGCAAGTCCATCGAGATCCACTCCGTGTCAACGCCTTTGCTTCTGCAGCTGCAGCAAAAGCTTCTGCATCTTCCTCACATATCGCTTCGGCACTTGCTCAGGATCGAGCATCGTGTAAGCTGGCATTCAGACGAGGCGGTGAAAAGGCCTTCCTGGAACGTCTCCGACTCGCTGTAGCTGCTCGAGTATGGGAGACGACGGATGCAGTCACGAGTCCATTGTTGGCGGATAGAACGGGTTCTTCTCATTCGTCACGGAGTATGACGCCCCTTGGTGAACCGAATGTGTCGAGTCAGCGACGAATCGGTGCTGGTATCAGTGGTTTGCAAACGCGTGAAGAATCGCTGCGTGTGAAGGATGCAACGACGCTATCGACGGCATTTGAGGATTTAGATGCGTTACGTGTCAAGGCCACAGAAGTGATTGCTTTGGCTGAATCACTCGCAAAACGTGTGGCTGCGAGTCAATCTGTACAGAATGGTACAGACTTGCACGGGACCTCCATATCGATGGCAGAACCGGCCAGTTTATTGAGACTGACAGGACCTGTCGTCACGAAAGAGACGGCTGGAAAGGGTTCTGTGTTCCATGCAGAGCTAGCACGACAAATTTCAGACTTATTGGAAGCAGGTGCACTCAAAGCAACAGGTGGTGCATTGACCCTTGCTGATCTGTATGCATTGTACAATCGAGCACGCAAGGGCAATTTGATCTCACCGGCTGATTTGATGGCTGCGTGCAGGTTATTCGATACACTCAAGTTGCCTGTCAAGTTGCGAAAATTCAGGTCCGGCGTGACGGTTGTGCAGGATCGTTCAAGGACGGAAGAATCTGTTGAGAAGTCCGTTGTCAGATGGTTGGTGAGTCGGACACTCGGTGCTTCAGCGATGGATGCAGCTGCTCAATTTGGATGGAGTGTGGGTGTTGCCACTGAAGAACTCGAAACGGTTGAAGCGCGTGGTGGGATTGTTCGGGATGCGAGTATCGAGGGATTACGGTTCTATGTCAATCGCTTCAGTCAAGCAGATTGGGATCCAGCTGTATGGCTTCAGGAGCAAGTGTCTGAAGTCAGTCTAGCGACACCGGCACAAGAAGTTGATAATCAATGAGAATGAATGTCAAGGTTTTGTTATTGGGCTATAGACTGATAAAAGTACAGAAGACAGCCAACCCCAAAGCCGCTTACATCGTGCAAGTCTGTTGGTGTTTTTTGAGGGGTATTATTAGAGCGTGTGTGGTAGATTAAGTATTAGTGAGGCAGGGCGCAAAGACGCGTGTCAGGGGTTTCAGCGTCGTCCTGGAGTGCTGCCTCATGTTGCAATTTGTGTTCGTGAAAGCACGCGCGCGCTCGCTACCAAGTCTTCAAAGGGGTTGTATTGTTGTTGTAGAAGACGGAATGAAGGAGGCATCAATACCTCTCTTCAGCCAAAACAAAAAAGGGAAGAACAGGAAAGCAAAAGGGATGAGGGTATCAGTGTAGTGGGCGTGTGCTAAGCCATTGCTCAACAAAGAGTGACACCTTCTTGTGCTTCTTATCAGCATACTTTTCAAAGATTGCGCCGTGTCGTGTTCGTCCATCCCTGAGACATTCGTGTATCAAGACATTCACCGCCGGCACAATCTGAGGTTCGGTATAGCTTGAGAAGTAGATGTGTGCGTCCGTCCAGACTTCACTACGACCGAGCACTGAGCGTGCCAGGTAGTTGGCAATGGCAGCAGCAAAGCTCGGTGGTGTCGCAATAAACAATTCGCTCATGAGCATCGTTTCCAGCAGGTACTTGGCAATGGTCCGCGTATCGATATCATAGTCATCTGCCTTGGAGATGCGTCGTAGGAAACTCATAGGGCCAGGCCAGCCAAGTTCAAAGTTGAGCATACCAATCATGAAGCGTTCAGCCATGAGCAACTCTTCATTCGTGTAGCCATTGTCAACCATGTAAATGACTTCAGAGACGCTCGGACACTGAATCTCTTCATACTTGGAAGCAACAAACAAGGCCGTTGCACCGACGAGCTGTAGTTTTTGTAGGGAGACTGTCTTGGCGGAGAGGAAGCGATCAATGTAATTGATGGTGAGGAAGAGCGTTTCTGGCAAGAGGTGGAAACGCGCATGGACTTGCACGAGCCAGTCAATGAGTATACCGCGCATTTTCCACTCGAGCTCTGTTTGATTTGCCATGTAGTTGACGTTTGGCGTCAAGCGTCGCTATTCGTTAGTACTGCTGCATAGGGAGAGAAGAGATTACCTCGAGCTTGTTGAGGTAGGGAAAGATGTCTTCTGCGTACTCTTGCACCATGGAGATGTCGCTCCACTCTTCCCACTCATCCACAAATGTGTGTACCACCTCATTCATGACTGCTAGATCCTCTTTGAAGAAGCGAGGCCTCAGGACTGGCTCACCCAATTTGATATCATGGTCCACAGCATTGGCATCACGCTGAGCGGCTCTTCCCCAAGCGGGTACGGCATCATCGACATCAATCTGCATGCCTTCCGAATGATCCACCTCCGAACCAGTCTCTGCATCTTCCTCATCCGACACAGTCAACTCTACCTCTTCCACAAGTGGCGCTGCTTCTTGCAATGCAGGAACAGGAGCCTGCGACCATTCACGCCGTACAGGCCGTGTGAGTTTCGATGTGGTGGTTGTGACGGTTGGCTTTGTGGGGCCTGCAATAGCTGCAACGGGTACACGATTAGAGACATCCGACAATGCTGCTCTTCGTGCACCTTGCTTGAGTAAGTTGCTGCTACTGTTGCTGCTGTTGTTCTTGCTGCTCGTTGATTGTTGACGGGTGGATTTCGCTTTGGCTGGAGCAGCTACCTGTTGGGCTGCATTCTCGTCGGTTTCAGTGGTACGTGCTGCGCGTGCAGGACCAGCGCGACGGACCTGTAGGTGTTATTAGTATGAGATGCAAGGCAGAATCGGAGAAGCAAGCGTACGTGAGCCATGGTGCTTGAGCAAAAGAGAGACTGGGCGCAATGGAGTGTGTTGGGGCAAACGAGCGGCTGGGGTGAGGGATGCGATGGAATGAGGAGCGAGTTGTTGCTGGGCAGAGAGCAGAGGGAAGGATGGTGTCTGGTAGGATGTGTTGCTGTGTGGTGGTTGCTGGTGGTGTGTTTGTTTATTGTTCTTCCCTTCTGCTGCATGCCGCCAGATTCGACGCAGATTGAGGCGCGCATGGGGAGTCATTGGGGACAGACTCATATGTTATACAGTCTCATACTTGGACTAGAGTAGACAGCATCAGGCATAGCTAGTGAACCGCAGCCAGTCTACTACTCTTGTCAATCCCTGCACTGAAGCATCCAGGCTGAAGCACAAGAAACGGCAGCTGTCTGGGTCCTCAGGACATCAACGCACGCGCTCCTACAGGCTACAGGCTACAGGGCTACGACGACAAGCCTCCTGAGCCCTAGGCCTTGATCATGACTCTAAGCTGTGAGCACAGGCCCTGACTGAGCCAGTGAGCCTGAGCCTGAGACTGCAACTGACCTGGACTCCACCCGTCGTGTCCGCACCCGGAAATTCGTTGCGCGCTCAATCTTAAAGCCGCCAAAGGTTGAGATGAAGCTTCTTGGGTGCCCGTAAGCAGTGTATCTAGCTGAATTAACAGGCAATCGGCGTGTCCGTGACTCCGTGAGCCTGGGTAGCTTCTCTTTCAATGCACTGTACTATCGACACTGACACTGCTAGCTTGATTGATGGCCATCAATCCCTGGATGCACCTGGATGCTACCCTGGCCTGACGATGATCCCCGGTTGATGATGAATGTGGACTGCGAAATTTTAATCTGGCGCCTGCACCGTGATTGAACACTGACGGGCAGCAGCATCACCAACAGTCTCAGCAGTACTCGGCCTATCTCTTAGACAGTGCTATAGCTACGTGCATTGCCTTCGCTCGTCTCATACCTACCAAGCACCCCTTCTCCCCTGGTCCGCCGAGTCGCGCGCACCTTGGCGCATCATCAATCAACCGTGCAGATGACAGGTAGCACCAGGCCTTTCTTCCTCTATAGCCAATGCGCCAGTGTTGAGAACCGTATATAGTCCAAGAGGGCGCGATAGATAGGATTTTAAGCTACAGCCCTGACACTGCTCCCTTGTCTCTGCAGGCCTGCTGCTGTTGCCAGAGAGCCAGGCGCTTCAGCAGCTTGAATTGGCCCCCCGTCCCGAATATGCCGCGACAGAGAAGTGAAGCAGCAGCAGTCAGCCAACACAACTCCCCTCACCCAGCACCCACCCGACCTCCCTACAGCCAACGACTCCCTCCACCCACCGCATCCCAGCAACTGCCATCGGCATCCTTCTCTCTCCTTCGCTGGTGACGTAGAGCCCTTCTCTTCCAACCCTTCTTCGCCGACTCCCCAATCTCCCCTCGGCGCCCTTTTCGCAATCAAACCTTGTCGGCTTCTCATCCTCCTTCGTAAGGCTCCCTTCCAACAACGCAGAAGCGCTTCGCGTCGCCTTTTGGCCTTCTCCCTTATGCCAATGCGATACTGACACACCCTTTTACAGGCTCTGGATCTCACGACGCTCCTCAGTCATGCGGCGGTAACCAATCCGCCGATGCGACCCATGCTCGCGCCTACTGCGCTCCTCCTTCAAGGCGATAAACCTGCGCCTGACTTGTTTTATCCATCTCACTCTACACAGGGCGAGGCTGTACAACTTGGTAAGAAACGAGCCGCTTCACCATTGCCTGTCGGCGGACAACCCACCACGGCTTCTTCCGAGACTGCTTACCGCGCCACCTCTGCTGATACACGGCAAGACTTTGTTGGTCAAGAGGGAGAGGGTTTGAAGTCTGCTGAACCAATTTCAAGTGAAATCTCACTCGATAACCTCGTGGAAGGGTCACGTCGCAAGCGCAACAAGTTTGGTAATGATTTGCCATTACTCCCCTTCCCTATTCACGACGCTAGTAGTCACTATGGAGCGAGTGTATTGGCAAGCATGCCGCATGAGCATTATCATGGTCGCTCGTACTCAATGAGCCAAATTCCAGCTCGACAAAGTTCTGGTATGCCCTTTGGTGGTGGTCACCATCACACCCCCTCCTTTGCAAGTCTACCAGGTCGTGTCTCATTCCCTACACCAGCACCAACAACCATCAGTGATGAAGATGTCGCCATGCAACTCATTCGGCTCGGCGACCCCTCCTTATCGCCCTTCAAGTGCCCGAGTGAAAAATCAAGCAGTCCTGTTCCCGCACTGCAGACAGCACTTCAACTCAAAGCCATGCATGATGGCATTGACCCTGCACAAGCATTTTTACAGCATCAACAACAATCAGGCGCAACAATCCCGTCTACAAAGCGTGAAATGACATACCCCTCGAGTCCACCGAGTAGCTTGAATGAGCAGCAACAAGAAATGCAAAGCGCTATGGGATCAAGGATTGGGTATGGGTATGAGGAGTTGCCTGTACAAAAAGCACGACACCGCGCTAGTTCTGTTACAAGTGATGGGACCGTCAAGGAAGAGTTGGAAGCAGCGAGTGATGAAGTGGATATTCCACGACCACAAAACTTGCCTAAACTCAATAACGGCGCCGCGAATGGGTTTGATTTCGCACAGCCGGCGGGTACAGGCAGGCCACCGAAGCAAGATGGACGGAGTATCGGTGTGCGTTGCACGCGTTGCAAGAAATCAAAAAAGGGGTGTGATAGACAGCGGCCGTGTGGTCGGTGTGCGGATGCAGGTGAGGATTGTGTCACTGAGGATGAAGGATCTGGTCGTGGCCGCACACACAGAGGCAATGGACGCAAGAAACGGGTCTAAGAGAGCAACTCTTCTTTTGGTTCTTGCACGCTCACACAAAATTGAATACAGCAACGGAGCTTTGGTGGATGAAGACCTTGCTCACAAAAAGTTCTTAGAGGATATGCGAATCGGGGCTCGGTTTCGCATTTGCACATGGAGAAAACATACATTTACTTACGATGTCGTTGATGTGACTGTGTTTGTCCTTGCACGTGTCCTGCTCTCTCACATGCACACGACTCGGTCTATGATCTTGCTACAGGCCTACCGCTAGCCTCAGGCATGGTCCAAGTCCGCCTCTACCAGCCAGGTGAATGGCTGCGCATACAGTGCGACAAGTGTCAAGTCCAGCTCGAGTGCCTCAACGAACCGAGCAAGTCCTCCACATTCATCTGTCCCGCATGTTCACAAGAAACACAACTCAACCCCGATGCGCAAGCATCAGGAAGTCCAAGTGCCAATGATACAACGTACTATGAGATTCTTGAAGTCAGTCAAACAGCCACACAGCAAGAAATCAAGAAAGCCTTTCATAAGCGAGCGGCAAAGTTGCATCCAGACAAGACGGGTGGTACAACGAATGCGCAATTTTTGGAATTGCAAGAGGCCTATGGTATTCTCTCCAATGAGGACTCGCGCGCGCACTATGATCGGTATGGAAGGAATAAAGGTGGCGCTGAGGATGTCTCTGACATTCAAGCGCGGTTCGGTGGTATCTTTGGAGGTACGAATGGTCGCTTTGATGAGTTACTCGGTGACATCTCCATCATCTCAGAAATGGGCAGTGCAATTCGCAAGGGAGAAGAAGACGCTGCTGCAGGTCCTGACGGCGCAGCGACAAAGTCATCTTCTGAAAGCGAAGATAAAGCGAGAGAAGCAAAACGAGCAAAGCGTATTGAGACGCTCTCTCACAACCTTGCGCGCCGCCTCGATACATACGATCCGGCCGCTCCTCAACCATTCGTGGACGCCATACAACTCCTGTGCGAGGATTTACGCGCCGAGTCATTCGGTGTGGAATTGCTCCATGTCATTGGTCAGGTGTATGGCTTGAATGCAACAAGCTGCAAATACTCACCAGCTGCACAAGGTTGGACGGGTTCTTGGCTACCGTCGCTTAAAATGAAGAGCCTGTACATCACATCTACAGTCAGTACACTGCGTAAAGCATGGCGCGTCAAGTCGGCTTTTGCAAAGCTTGAAAAGACTGGTGCCGTAGAAGGCGATGCAGGTAGCAACACGACTGCATCAACACAAAAGCAAGGCCTGGAGGAAGAAGCGGCCAAGGCAGCCATTGAAGCGATCTGGGAAGGTGTTCGAGCGGAAATCATTAGTGTTGTCTCAGAAGTCACACAAGTCGTTTTATCACCGGACCCTGCAGCGACGCGGACGGAGAAGCAGGAAATTGAGCGTTTGGTGACGGATGCACAGCGCTCGCAGCTACAGCGGCGAAGTATTGCCCTTGAACTCATGGGTAAGCTGTTTGAGGAGACGAAGCGAGATGAAGGACAGCAAGACATCTTTGAAATGTTTGCCCAACAGCAACAACAGCAGGCCTCATAGACATGAACATTAATGGATGACAGAAACGATATAATACAACCGAGTCGACCGTGTACTTACTGATAAGAAAAGATGCGCACCTGAGCGCCAGGTCGCACATGGCGGCCTTGCCGCATGGCCCGCAGAGTATTATCAAACGTGTCCAGAGGCTTACTGGGAGGCGCGACCGCTGGCTGCTCGCCATGCTGAACATTCTCGTCACTTGCGCGCTGCAACAGCCGCAGTGCCGACCACAATGTGGTAAAGACCTGTTCCATTGGCACCGTTGGATCCTCTCCAAGATATACAAGCAGACCGGCTTGCTGTACTTGCAGAGCTGACTCATCACTGACTAGGCGCTCAACAATCTTGGTTGCGCGATCCAAAAATGTAGTCATTTTCCGAGGAAATAGATCCAGCTCGCTGTCCTTAGCGACCGGCATGCGTGACACTTGTTCTTTGATGTGGCGTAAACCCCGTTCAAGCTGCGCAACGCCCTCGTGCAGGGACTTGCTGGATACTGTCTGTTAGCTTCGGCCATGTTCCTCTTGACGGCATACCCCTGGAAGCTGCTGCACAGTGCGGAATTGCAGTTTCAAAATCAACGCGACCTTTGATCTTCTTTTCATGCACTGCAACCAGATAGTGAAGAAGTGTTGCACCACACTTGCTCATAGATGTACTCTTGATTTCTGACAATTTGAGCAGGCTACCCAACTTGAATCCTTGAGCGCCACCACGAAACGTCGAGGCATTCAAAATATTGCCCGCAGAAAGGGCCAGCGTCAGCATGTCCTTGAGGATTTGCGAATCATACACTTCTCTGCAAGCATGCCGCATAGTGTCCAAATCAGGCAGTAATTCTGCCACGTCCAGATCGAAGCGTTGCCGGAACGCCATAGCACCGAGTCTTTCCTTCAGATGGTCGATGCTGCCAAGCGCCAGGATGTGCTTCTCCGCAGTGCCGAGCATTGCAACATCGCCATCATACGCATTGACTGCAGCGATATCCTCGACAGTCGGAACAACATCCATCAGTGTGCGCAGATAGTCGCTGTTGCAAAGCTTATTCTCGTCCATCTGCAATATTGCATGGCGCAATTCTTCTGGCTGCAACCTGATGCGTGCTAGCACGATTTCCATATTCTTTGCTCGTGTCAGATCGATTAAGGAAATATGACGCTTGACGACAGGCTTGGCAAAGGCTGATGGACCACTGCGTTGTCCTGGTGCAGTGTCTTTGGCGAAGAAGCGTTGAATGTCACTCTTCATGCTCTCATGTACATCATCCAGTGTCTTTGTCGCCGCCACTTCTGACCAGATGGTGCCATCGCCGACATGCGAAGCAGAGAGTTTGTCCCAAAAGAGAGGCTTGAGCGGCTTGCTAGGTGAGGCACCTCGATGTCTGGTGCCATGGGCGTTCGGTGGCGTATTTCTGCTCAGCAACAACATGCCCGGACTCGGCGGAGGCGGTGGCAGTACCTTGGATGTGGAGATCGTGCTGTTTGAGGACTTCTGAGTGGGCACTGTAATGATCGTTTGCGGTTCGATAGCTGAAGCAGTGACCGCCTTCTCAGGTGTACTAGGAGCCACGTCAGAAGTCAGAGGAGCTTCCTGCTTGTCGTCAATGATTGGGGCCACTTCAGTCGCTGGTGTAGCAAGTTGCTCTTTGGCAACTGCATCTAATGGTTGCTCTGCCTCTTGTGAATGCTCGCTGACGTTGGAGAGCACTCTCAATGGCTGACGGATTTGCAGAGGCCTGATAGGTGGTGCCCTGAGACTTGCAACCGGGAGCAGATTCTCCTTCTTGCTGCGTGGTACAAAAAGTTCCTTTCGTAAAGGTGATGGAGCACGCGCCTGCCGAGGCGGAGACGGAGAAACAGAAGACTGCGGACCGCTTTGAATCTGTTCGAGGCTGCTCATCGACTTGGGCCGCTGATGTCGAGCAACTGGTCTCATGATGCTGCGTACTTCCGTGGTGGACAAAGTCGCCGAGGTACGCATCTCGGGAAGCTTGGTCTGCAGCTTTTGCAAATTCTCCTCCTTCTGTACGGCAAGCTCTTGTCGGAGTGTTTGAACTAGCTCGCGCATCTCGGAGACCTGATCTTTTAGGACACAGAGCTCTTCGTCTTCTTCTCCTGTTGGGATTGCAGGCAGGGCTCTTTCGGTCTTGGCAGCTTCAAAGCGTGCTGTGAGTTGCCTGGCTTGAGGTGCAGTTCCGCTTGGAGCAGAACTTCGACATGGAGAATCTTCAGTCTCCTGCTTCGCAGTATCCGGGGTCAAGACTGCCTTTTCGAAAGTGCGCAATGATTCCTCTGCCAGCAGACGACGCAGCTCAGCCGCATCCTCATCAGCAAAGCTCAACCAAAATTCAAGCTGAGACTTGATTTCTTCACTCAATTTGGCTGCAGTGCTGTAGCTCATAACTTTCTCCCGTCCAAGCAGTCTGCGAAAGACGACCCTGTCTTCTGCTGTATGCCAGCAATTCGTCAAAGCATTGATGAGCTGTGCGCGAGAACGTAGCAAGTCAAGATCATCACTGGCGACTGCCTGCGCTTGCGTAAGCCAGTCGAATCGCGTTGAGCGATGACCAGTTTTGCCAAGCTCCACCTCAATGATGTCTGTGCCGAGTGTCGGACTACACACACAAAGACCAGAGAGCAAATCATTTGTTATTGTTTGGCACTTGAGGGAACCGTCTCTTGCAAGCCAGCACAATGAACAGATGAGATCAGGTGTTTTGATTACAGCATCGAACCCTGGTGTTGTATTGAGCAGAACACGCACACACTTGACGATCTCCAAGCACGCTGAGGCTGATGCTTCGATATCTGCAATGCGCGCACGATCGAGCAGTTTTGCGAAACACACCAAACCACCCTCTGCAATGAACTCAACCAGCCAAAAATCTGGCGACGTGCCAAGCTGAACGCGCAAGTCGACAAGATCGCGATGCGTGCCTTTGAGGGTCTGATTCTTGGCTTCGAGCCTATTCAGATGGAACCGTGGCGAATCTTTCTTTGAGGCATTATTGCCACGCGTCCACCAGCTCGTCAACCAGGAGTTACCCGTCAATTGTTGTTTGAGCGGTGATGCAGGACGATCCCATTCAAGTGTTGGAGGGCAGTGCGACATGTTGAGACGAACGGGAGATTTACTGCGACTCTTGCGGTTAGGCGAGCTGCTGCGCGATCCCGTGGGTGACGGCCATGAAGCATCTTGTCGGCATGCAGGCTCGAGATTCGGAATGAAGGCCGCTTGAGTCTTGACCGGAGAACGTCCTCTGCGCGCAAAAGTATCAGCAGTGAAGTCTTGCCTGAAAGAGGGCGCAGTGTTCTCGCGAAGTGGATTTTCTTCTACCCTCAGATTTCGCCCCGGTAAGGATTCTTGCCCTGCACTTGTGCCAGGCCTCTCCGGCGAGTTTTGTATACTTCTCCTCTTCAGCGTAGAAACAAGACTAGGGATGCCTGAGAGGCCTTTTTCGCCAACAGAGAGCACACGACGATGCCAAGTCCCGCTATTAGTAGCGTCGAGTGGGTCTTGAATGACAGCATGCTGGCTTTTAATGGTAGAACCCTTAGTGATGGCTGGAGCAAGAAGACTCATGCTTTGCGGACGATCTTTAATGATTGGGTATCCGCCTTGTGAGACCACGCTCTTGGCTGTTGCCGGTCTGCGTGGCGACGTTCCACTATGCGCAGAAGCTGGGCGCGAGACGACGTGCTGAATGAATGCGTCCACCCGGCAATCAAGCTCGTCATCCATGACAAAAGCAGGTTTGAGTCTGCAGTCTACACTGACCTTGATGTGCTGTAGTGCTGCGAGATCGTCGGTTTCGGGTGTGACAGACCAAGCATACTGAACAGTTTCGGATGCAGACATCTCAGAAAGACCAAGCGACAGCGCTGTCCGTTTCTTGAGCTTCTGAACAGACATTGTATTGAGCACAGGCATCGTCACCCAGCCAGAAGGGGCGTTTGGCAGGTTGCTCAATTCGACTCGTTTGGTGGAGAGGGCGTGTACGAGTGTTAGGAAGGGCTGGGCAGTGGGTAGTCGTGGAAGATCTGCGAGGAGTACAGTCTCTGGCAACGGTGCATAGAGGTGCGCAAGTTGACCACGGGTCCAGTCTCAATTCATTAGTACATGGTCTAGTACTAGAGGTCAATCGGTACACTTACAGCCAGTGGATGGTACTTGTGGCGTTAGAGTCAATCGCCACTCTGGGAAGCGCAATACAGAGACACCAGACTTGGCTTTGAGAATGGCGTCGAAGCGCTGTAGTAGCTGTCGTAGTACATCTGCAACGGAAGCACCACTGGGTACGTGTGTCTCGAGCGTGTCGCCGTTGGGCAGCTGGACAAGGAGGCGCTCCATACAGGATCAACTTTGGACCAGTAGATGTAGCTGTAGAAGGGCAAGAAAGCTGAATGGCGAAAGCTGGATGGCAGTTGGAAGGAAGGACAAGCTGATGGTGAAGTTGCTCGCGTGAGGACGAGACGAGCAAACAAAATGGTCAAATAGAAGAGCGCATTGCACCTATGAAGGCATCCGCCATCTATGGGCCATCTTCTTGTTTGTCCGATACTCTGTTTGACGGCACAAAGACATCCCAGTAGATATGCGCGCTGTATGTGGACACAGAAGTGCTTCATCTAGCGATACCCGTAGAACTCGTCCGATCGATTTGAGCACCCTCATGGCTGGCTTTCCTTCAAGGATGTCACCAAGGACGTCACTCGAAAGGTCATATCAGGAGTAACAACAGGAGGTTGCGAAGTTGCAAACAAGGGGAAAGCAGACTGCCATGGAAACTTGTGCAGCGTCCAGGACGACCGGAATGCCGCGAGACGGACGCCGTCGATGGGTTTGGCATGTCTAGCCAGAGCATATCACAGCTCTCTCCCTCATCTCTCGCTGCAAGACCTCGAGGATGCAGCGCGTTGAAGGGATGGGCACGACCGGGACTGAGCATCGAGCAATTGCTGGAATTGCACGTGAGGTCATGCTCGCGAGAAGGACACCCAACACAAGCTCTTACACCAGGCGCCACGGAGGACTGATCAGGTCGCAACGTGTGTAGCAGCCTGGAAGGGACAAAACTCTAGCAAGCGGCAAAGAAAAATGGAAGAAAGGTCGACGGAATCCAGCATGGCAAGCTCCTCGGCAAGGACGGATGTCAGTGATGCAACAACACAACAGACAGTCTGGATCGTGACAGTTGTATCAGACAAGGCAAAGCCGCTCGTGCAAGCATACACATCACTGCAACTTGCAAATGCAGCCGCCTCAGCGTACTCTCACTGGGCAAATGTGAATTCCGGACAAATGCCCATTGAAGTGACCAAAGATGCCCAGGATGACGTGCCAAGCCTGTTCCTGAGTGGAAAAGCAAGGGTCGATGTGTCACGCGCAGTGTTGCGTGATGATCTGCCGCGACACTTGCGAGACTTCGATCCTCGCGGCGAGCGCTTGGACCAGTTTCTCGAGGAGGAAGTGTTGCACGAAGACTAAGTGTTTTCCGAGGATGAAACACACCAGGGGTCTTCCTTCGGTTCGCTGTGTATCTTATGCAGCAGGACACTGTTTGCTTGTATTTCATGTTTCAGAACAGCGCTTGCAATCACAGTCGTTTCAGGCTTAAACCTGATGGCAGAACATAAAGGACTCTCTCGACACTCTTTTTCTCTCTTGGTCAATATCCTCGAACATGAACAACACCCATACTCCAGCAGCTGCGCCAGCAGATGTGATTCTGCGTGGCGAGTCTCCTGCAGCGACGGAAGATGCAGCAGCACCTCTTGCTCAGCCTGAAGCAGTGCCTACCACCTCTCCTCCCAAACAACGCAACCACAATGATCAGACATCTGTCATCATCTTGCTCACTTGCATTTTCATGCCTCCGCTCGGTGCATTTTTGCTGAAGGGTTGTGGCGCCGAAGTGATCATCGCCATTTGTTTGACCATTCTTGGTTGGATCCCCGGAATCTTGTACGTCTTTTGGCTTTGGCTGAGTGAAGGAGGTTTCCAGAGAAAGGACGTGGCGGCACAACGCGTCGCTGAAGCAAAGTCCAAGTGGAAGGCAAGGCGCGCTGCTCAGAAGATGCGTCAATCAAGTCAGCAAGCACCCGTGGCTGCCACTCAACCAGAAGAGACACCTTTGCTCAACAATGACGCACCCTCCTTGCCAGTTCTCGGTGCCTTGTCGTCCCCTTTGCAATCAAACGTTCCATATGCAGCACCAGACTATAGCAAGGCCGCTGCAGTCTCTGCCTATCCACTGCCAAGATCCTCGGGATCATCCATGCATCCAGGAGGAACCGCTGCAGGACCCAGCACGGCAGGCGCCGGCTTCACCACTGCTCCATCAACTGCTGAAGTGATTCCTACCACCGCTACGCCTGTCATTCCGGTTGACGCTCCAGTGGAAGCCGCGACGCTGGTGGAACAAGGCGTTGTTGAGACGCCCATCAAGCCCAAGGTGAAGAAGGGCAAGCGCGAGGGTGGCGGTGGTCTGTACATGGGCATCTTCAGCTCCAACAAGAACAAGGCCCGTGTTGCAAAGGCTGAGACGCCGGCTGTCGCTGCCGCTTCAACAACCGCTGCTGCCCCTTCGGATGAAACCACTGTCAATCCAGTTGTTTCGTCATCTGGCAAGTAGACAGCTTTGCAAGTGCAAGCTATCCATTGAGAAACCTCGTTAGTCCAATTCCATACTTAATCAAGTCATTCTGTCGTCAAGAAGGAATCTCCGAATGTGCGGTGTTGTCTTTTCATTGAACGAACGAGGCAAATGGCCCTGAATCCGAAGGCCTGGATCACCCTGTCAAACACGTTTTCATCCGTGGTTTTGGTGCCCACCGCAAGGGCCCGGGGAAATTTACCGTGGAAGATAGCAGTCCCACGAACGCTACCAACAGCATCCAGACACTAGAGCGTCTACTACTTGCAAGTTCTCATCTCAGTCTTCGAGATTACATCAATCTTTGGAACATGCTATCTGTTTAAAGCTTTGCAGCTGCTACTTCTTATCCGAGGCCTCGTCTGACAAGCGAGCTGAGAAAAGTATGAGCAACGCTGGTAGCTAAGCTTGTTATCTGCTCGAAGAGACACGACAGAAATCGCTGAATGCGATGACAAAACTGCTCCGGCCGTGGAGCCACATTGGCATTAGCTTATGAACCTACTTTTGTTCGCGAAACGAGATCATTGCACGTATATCTTCATGCCCGACCTAGGTCAGTGCGGAGGTGATCAAGCACGTACTCGTCTCTGTCGTGACACCTCGTGTTGTCCGAGTGATGACAGAATTGCCAATGCTGCCTGGAAGAGCTCGGGCTATAGCCTTGCACAAGATTATACAAGGGATGAATAACACATTCTGCAGCTGGTGACAAACTATAACGTAGCGATCCGAAGTTATGGCAGACAGAACTTGGCATTTCGAAAGCGACCAGCCTACCCAGCGAAACCTCTGCCAGCCATCCTGCCAAGAAGTGCCAGGCTGCTCATGCGAGTTGAAAATCAGAGAGTATCAGAGGCACGGAGCCAACAGCAGATGTTCAAACGCCTGTAGTCGTCGTCCATCACATGTCAGAACTCAGGGGTGGAGTTGCACCTCCGACTGCCTATCAGTGACAAACATCAGTTGAGGATGCGTTGTGCGAGCGAGACTTCTTCCGAGTCGCCACGGAGGCTCGTGGGAGTCGTCGCCGTCTCCGATGAGATCGCCCGAGCCTCAAATTTGACGTGATTTGTACTGTTGGGCCAAGTACCCGCCTTATGCGCTCGGCCTGAGTGTGTCTCGAAGCGGGCGGTGCCTGGTACGGGAGGTGTGACTGCGCACTGTGAAACTAATTCCATAAATTTTTATCAGATTGAGGTCCGCAGCATCTCCAGCCCAATCAGATTAGCCCTCACGCGAGAGATCAGATCACTTCTCTTCAGGGCCACAATTTTGCGAACAAAACCTCCCGAGTCGGGCCGCCGCCTCAAGCTACACGAAAGCCCACATATAAGTGTCGTGCTGTGCCCTTTCATCTGTTCCATCCAGCAACCTCCTGATGGTCTCGATGTCCAACTCGTTCCGACGAGAGAGCAATGCAGGGGTGAAGCAGCATGATAACTTCGTTACAAAGACAGTGAGCGCCACGGCACCAGATACAAAGTCGCCAGGTGTACGGAGGGTCGAAGCGCTGGCCAGCACCTACTCGAGCACAGCCATCCTCTTCCTCCTGTTTGCGATCTTTATTGCGGCCTACGCATACGACCTGGATGGTACTATCCGGTACACATACCAGTCCTTTGCGACGAGCGAGCTGAAAGTGCTCGGCCTGTTGTCGACCATTGGCGTGCTCAGAAGTATCATTGGTGCAGCAGCACAGCCTACGTTTGCAAAGCTCGCCGATGTATTTGGTCGTTGGGAGCTTCTTTGCGTGTCCCTCTTCTTCTACGTCCTTGGTACTATTGTCGAAGCGACCGCCAAGAGCATCAACACCTTTGCTGCGGGTGTAATCCTCTTCCAGGTGGGATTCTCCGGCATCAACATCATCAACACAGTCTTGATTGGTGATATGGTCTCTTTGCGATACCGTACTCTTGCTACGGTCGTACCTATTATGCCTTACATCGTCAATGTGTGGATCTCTGGCAACTTGACGTCATCTGTCCTCAAAGTGACTACTTGGCGATGGGGCATGGGCATGTTCGCCATCATCATGCCAGTAGTCAGTATCCCTTTGATTGGGCAGCTCTGGTGGAAAGGTAGACAGGCTAAGAAGGCTGGCGTGTTGGACGGCCTCTTTGGGTCCTTCCACGGTCTCAAATGGTGGCAAGCGCTCATCAAGTTCTTTTGGATGCTGGATGTTGTCGGTGTCATTTTGATGATTGCCGTGTTTGCTCTGATTCTGACACCCCTCACCCTTGCTGGTGGCGTTGAGGATACCTGGCACAAGGCTCACATCATTGCACCGCTCGTTGTTGGTTTTGTTACGATCCCCTTCTTTGTGGTTTGGGAGCTGTACACCAAGCACCCCATTATCCCCTTCCGCATGCTCAATGACCGCTCTGTATGGGGCGCGCTTGGTGTTGGTATCTTCTTTGACTTTGCATGGTACATGCAGGGCGACTACCTCTACACCATTCTGATTGTTGCCTACGACGAGTCGATTCTTTCAGCAACACGCATCACGAACCTCTATACATTTGTGTCGACATTGACTGCCGTCTGCGTGGGTATTGTTGTGGCTCACCCACGCGTCCAGCGCATTAAACCCTTCATTCTCTTTGGCATCTTGATGTGGTTCCCAGCCTTTGGCATGCTCATTTACTTCCGTGGCGATGGTACGAGTCGTGCAGGTATTATTGCTGCACAAGTCTTGCTTGGCTTTGGTGCAGGCTTCTTCACCTACCCAACACTTGTCTCTGCTCAAGCGGCCGTGAAGCACGAACACCTGGCTGTGATTACGGGTCTCTACCTTGCCTTCTTCTACATTGGCTCAGCTTTTGGCAATTCAGTGTCTGGCGCCGTCTACACCAACCTCCTCCCTGGACAGCTTCAACGCAACTTGGCGCGTGTCTCGAGTAACACGACACTCGCATCGAGTGTGTATGCATCTGCACTGACGGTTGCCTTGGAATACCCTATTGGTACAATTGAGCGTACGGCGATTGTTGAGTCGTACAAGCATGTTCAGAAGATTCTGTGCATTGTTGGCTTGTGTCTATGTGTACCCCTTGCTGGATTCGCTTTCTGCTTGCGCGACCCCAAGTTGGTTGCTAAGCAGTCGCTCAAGGATGATGCGTCTGTCACTTCTTCTGAGACTGAGGGCGATTTTGCTCGTGACAGGGCTTAGATGTCTGTGTATACCTTGGCAATTAGACGGCTTATAATCTACTTCTGTAGCAACTTCTCTGCACGAGATCGATCTGAGCAAGATCATGTAGATCTACAAATCACGGGACTTGATCTGACAGGTCGAATTTATCGGCAGCAATTCAAGAGTTACGCCGACAAGCATCATCTACAAAACAAGCTACATAAACACCTCCTCCTCTGCTCCTCTCTGCTCAAGCAAGAAAAAGATGCCTGCTATCGTCATCGTTGGCGCTGGCGTCGCAGGACTCGACCTCTCCCTATACCTGCAAAAACACCTCCATCAACTTCCCGCCGATTATGAAATCATCGTCATTGACAAGCGTGACTTCTACTTCCACCTCGTCGGCAGTCTACGCGGTCTCGTGGACACTCAAACTGCAGAGCAAGTCTGTATTCCCTTCAACAAATTATTCACCTCGCCACATTGTCGTGGTCGGATGCGATTGATTCATGGGACTGTGTCGAGTATTGAACAGTCGCACGTCGTGTTGGAGTCGGGTGAGACAGTGGCGTTTAAGCAACTCGTCTTGGCGACGGGTTGTACCTGGCAGCATGAACTCGATGTACCCGAGACTCGTTCGGAAGCACTCGCTTTCCTTGCTGCGCAACAAGCACGGATTCAAAAGGCACCGGAAGTGGTTGTGATTGGTGGTGGTGCCGTTGGGATTGAACTTGCCGGTGAGATTGCAACAGTCTCTCGCAAGTCAGGTCTTCAGCAATCAATCACGTTGGTCCATCGAACGGCGTCTGGATTGTTGAGTGAGACGTATCCGATGAAGCTTCGACAATCTCTCAAATCACAACTTGAATCACTCGGTGTCAAGGTACTCTTGGGGACTTCTGCAGATCTCGAGCAAGTTGGATCAGAAACAAAAGTGAAGGCGTTATCAGGCGGTCATCAAGTCTCACCAAATGCTCTGGTTCTTGTGACGATTGGCGGGAAGCCGAATACAAGCTTACTCCAAACACTCGCACCGGATGCCATCGTCAAGGATGGTCTGAAAATCAATCAACATTTCCAAGTTGCTGGATTTGACAACATCTTTGCTGTGGGTGATGCAGCGAGTATTCCAAAGGAAATGAAGCAAGCGGCCAAGATCAGTCAAGGTCATGTTCCTGTCCTGGGTGCAACACTCGTTTCACTCGCACTGGAGGGACAACCGGCAAAACCGTACAAGGGACAGAGTGAGTTGATTATTGTTACTGTTGGTCCTACGGGCGGTGCAGGGTGGTTGTTTGGGTTTAATGTTGGTGGATGGGTGAGTAAGATGGCAAAGAGTAAGTCTCTCTTCATCCCCCCAACACGAGCAAAGCTTGGCTACTAGATGATAGAATTTGCTATAATGAATGGAGGACTGTAATCTAGCCTGCGCGTGCATGATAGACTGGCATGACGCACGACAAGACGTATAACCCATGACACACCCAAGAACTCAAAATCTTGACCCACACGACCCGCATATCCCGTCCAATAAACACAAACTGCTCATCCTCCTTCCCACCAGGTCCCATGACATCGTCAATCTTGATGATTTTCCAGGAGGTGATGAGACACGCTGTATAGCACGTTGCAAGGAAGAAAATGATGTGAAACAGGGAATAGATGTATTGCGTCCCTGACCGTTCATCATCCGCGTCACCTGCATGAAAAGCTGCTTCAGGATCTGCTTCTTCATCCAGTGCTGATGCTGGAATCGCACCCGATTCAACAGCCGCAACGAGGGCATCGTGGCGCATTCGAGCACGCTCACCAGGTTCACTCGTCACAACAGAACCGGAATTACTCTCATCCAAACGAATGGGTCCTTCATCCATTCCTGTAATGGCAGACATGGCACTACTTGAACGGAAAGCAGACCAGGCAATGGCGAAAAAAGTGAAGAGTGCACCAAACACAACCGATGCTGTTTGTGTACCGCGCGCTCGAAGGAGGGGGTTACAGTGTGCATTGCCTTCTTCTGGTTCATTTGCAACGGCGGAGAGGGTAAGGTAGGTGGTGTAGAGGCAGACCATGGCGGCTTGTGCTAGTCCTGAGCGCGGATTGTATTCTTGTACCAATGGATGGATTGCTGCGACGGTTGAGATGAGGACGAGGATGAGGTTGACGGTGATGAAGGATTGGTTCATGGAACAACCTGATGCGGCAAAGAAGCCATACATGATACCCGTAAGAATGATGGCAGTGATGTACATGCCGAGTGTGGATCCGACCAACAATGCTTGCCAGGTCTTGGACTCTGTTGCTTCGTAATTCTCAAGACACGTCTCTGCCCAGGAATGAGCAAAATCAACGAGTAATCCCAAGCCAAAGAGGATGAAGAGGATGGAGCCCGTGATGCTAAAGTAATTTGCCCAAACGGCGAAAAAGCCATTCGGAATGAGAAAGGTCAAGACCACAAGACTTGCCCATAGAAGGAGTTTGATGCCCCAATAACCATTTTGTATCTTGGAGCGCTTGTCACGCGTTGATTGCACGCCATACAGTGCAAGCGCCAGCAAGAGATGTAGGAGGCCTAGCGCAAAATTGATGCGATGTAAGGCAAGGACGCCATAGCACTTGCCGCCCTGACATTCAATCTGCATGTAGTCCAGTGTAATATGTTCCAGCTTTTTGATGGCCCATCCGGACATCATGATCCAGGAGAGGATGGAGTTGAGGAGGAAGAGAAGGGCATAGGCAAGACGTGTTGCGATGGAGGATTGGCAGGTAGAGCAGGTTTTTGAGAATAAGGCAAGGCAGCCTGAACAAGCGCATGAGGCGATGACGGGTGCGATCCAGCCTGTGGCCATGACGGGTAGACTGAGTAGGATGCCCATGTCTGACTCACAGTCTGCTGGGTGGTGGTGGTTGTGGTCGCATCTTGAAGCGCAACTCTGCCAAGGACAAGTTGCCACACACACACACAACACACACAAAAGCAAAGCGCATCTGCATTAGTCTTGAGCTATGTCGAATCTACCGTATGCTGCGGATGCCGATTCGCCATTGAAGCCTGAGGAGCTGGCGATTCTGCAATCACAGTTCCGAAGTGAGGGCATCATGGTGTCAGTTCAGTGTAAATTCAACTATGCCTGGGGCCTGATTAAGAGTACGAAGCGGCAGGAACAGCTCGAGGGCGTGAAGCTGTTGACGGGTAAGCTTTCTATGTATGTGTATGAAGGGAACTAACACGATGGTATAGAGATTTTCAAGGATGCACCTGAGCGACGACGAGAATGCCTGTATTACCTTGCGCTTGGGCACTTTAAGCTTGGGAATTATACGGATGCGCGCAAGTACAACAATACGCTGCTGGCGAAGGAGCCGCACAATATGCAGGCGCAGTCGCTTCGGCAGTTGATTGATGACCGTGTTGCGAAGGACGGGTATATTGGGGTTGCGATTGTTGGAAGTGCGCTTGCGCTGGGTGGGTTGCTGATTGGGAGTCTTGCGCGGAAGGGGAGGAGGTAGCTGATACATACTTGTATAGTGTGTAGTGCGGTAGTGTATGGGATGATGTCTTGATGTCTTGATGGCCGGATGGGGGAATAAGTTCAGGTCTGGCTAATATCCATGGACTGGCTGTGGACTGGCTATGTCTGGCTATGGACTGATTATGGACTTCTATGGATGTCTGGCTATTTCATGGACTGGCTATGGATGGACTCCTGCTCTGACCTGACTCTGTTTCTGACCTGATTCTGAGTCTCTGACTGACTCTGCCTCTCTCTGCCTCTGGCCTGATTCTGACTGACTCTGCCTGCCGCCAGCCATCTCGAGTCCAGCAGCCCCAAACACAAACCATCCATCCACCATCCCCCCTTCTCCCTACTACAGCCCAGCACCAAGCAACAACAAGGCTAGCAGCAGCAGCAGTAGTCCATCTCGCTCACCTCGCCTGCCTCTCCCTCCCTCTTCCCTCTTCCCTGTCTCTCTCTCTTCTCCGCCCTTTTCCCATCCTCGCGAGAAACCCCTACCCCCCCTTCAACATAAAAAGCCAAGGCCCAGTCGCAGCAACAACCCAAGACCCTAGCAATCAACGCGCTCATCAAACAATGTCGCAGGCAGATATCCAAGATCGTATCGCAGCTGCGCGGAAAGAGGCAGAAGGCCTTAAAGAGCGCATCAAGCGCAAGAAAGAACAACTCGCCGATACCGACCGTATGCCTTCCGCCTTTTCTCAACAATTTCTAACACAATAGTCCGTACCATGGCGCAGAGTATCGATGCCATCCCCAAAGTGGGCATGAAGGTGAAACGTACCCTCAAAGGCCATCTCGCAAAAATCTATGCCATGCACTGGGCTACCGATCGGCGACACCTCTTGTCCGCTTCGCAGGACGGTAAACTCATCATTTGGGATGCGTATACAACCAACAAGATCCACGCAATCCCCCTTCGCAGCTCATGGGTCATGACCTGTGCGTATGCACCCTCTGGCAATCTTGTCGCTTGCGGTGGACTCGACAATATCTGCAGCATCTACAACTTGACCTCACGCGAGGGACCCAGTCGTGTGGGTCGTGAACTTTCGGGTCATGCAGGATACCTCTCCTGCTGTCGTTTCATCAACGATCGTCGCATTTTGACATCGTCTGGTGATATGACCTGTTTGCTATGGGATACAGAATCTGGTGCGAAAATCTCTGAATTCACAGATCACCTGGGAGATGTCATGTCCTTGTCCCTCAACCCAGCAAACCAAAACATCTTTGTGTCTGGTGCGTGTGATTCTTTTGCAAAAGTCTGGGATATTCGAACGGGTAAAGCGGTACAGACCTTTGCCGGTCATGAGTCTGACATCAACGCCATTCAATTCTTTCCAAATGGTGAAGCATTTGGAACAGGCAGTGATGATGCAACGGCCAGGTTGTTTGATTTACGAGCAGATCGTGAACTCAACCAATACACGAGTGAATCCATCTTGTGTGGTATAACGAGTGTTGCGTTTTCCGCAAGTGGCAGGTTGTTGTTTGCCGGGTATGATGATTTCAACTGTAACGTTTGGGATGTCCTCAAGGGCGAACGCGTAGGTGTCTTGCAAGGGCATGATAACCGTGTTTCCTGCCTCGGCGTCTCGAATGATGGATTGTCGCTGTGTACGGGATCTTGGGATGCATTGCTCAAGGTGTGGGTTTGAACAATGATGGCCCAATGGAAGCAGGCTCCCCCCTTCGCAGTAATGGAGTCTATACTCTGCCTGCATCCCCCATCACTTCTCTGTTCTTTTTGGTCTCTGTATCCTTCCCTTTTTGCGCTCTCTTCTTTCTTACTGCTGCTCTAATGGTTTCGTCCATCTCTCTCTCTTCCTTCTCTGGTCATCCATTGAATTGTTATACCATAGTCTAGAGATAATCCATTGGTCTGCGTCCGTCCAGTCCTGAAACATCTAAACTTGAAATCCAACAACGCGACATCCATAAGACACATCACACAAAAACATGGCAGAAACAATGCGCTCCCTCTTCGCAAACGATTCGTCCATAGCCCGCGCACTAGACGGTGATGATGAGAATGACGATCTTCGCTCAGAAGACAGCGCAGGCTCAAGTGACCTGCGTGAACAACATGACACCACCGCCTCCCTCACCAGTAGTAGTAGTTCAACCGCTGTTCAAGGCTCCATCACCACACAAATGCAAACAACAGGTCGACATCCAACTGGAACGTATAATACAGGTCCTAAAGGTGTTCGTGCGGATGCGAGCGCGTTTAAGCAAGCAGCGAGTGATGCGCATGCCGGTAAACAACTCTTGTATAATGCAAGTTTAGCGAAACGTGCCATGACCACAACGACCTGGTCTGAAGATCAACAGGAAGCGGATTTACGAGAACGATGGGTAGAGATGCGTCTTAAGGAATTGTCAAAGCAAAAGAGTGGAGGGAATGGTGATGTAAATGAAGAATCAACGTCTGCTGCAACAGCCAATGTCATGCGGCGTGTCGATGCAGATGGGTTTTTGAGTACCGTTGAGCGTGAACGACGCGTCTGTGTGGTCGTGACGGATGAACAAGCATCTGCAGAAACCCAAGAGATGCTGGCCATTATGCGGAATATTGCAAAACGGCACGGCAAGCAAGCTGTACAACTCACAAAGACACCCACACAGCCAGTCACCTTTATTCAACTTAGTGCGCAAGAAGCAGAACTGGATGTCGTGGCAGTACCGGCCGTGCTTGGCTATACGGATGGTCAGCTGGAAGCAAACTTGATGCGTGTTGCTGAGGAACGAGCACCAGGGACTCGCGTTTCAGAAGCGTCCATGGAACAAGTCTTGCAAAAGTATGGCATCGTGGGTGTGCCTGCCCTGCGCGGACAGGCCCTCTCTGACGAGGATGAGGAGGATGACTGAAATGGACAATGAACAATGACGATCTTGCTAATGATTTGATTGAGGCTTCTTGTATGTATAGATTAATTCTTCGACTGAGCTAGCTGACTGTTCTAAATGGCAAGGTCCTTGGCAGCCCGCGACAGGAGAATCACCGTTCCCAAAAAGCTATCGACCATGGGCTCAAACTGATTCGGCATTTGATCCGCCTCATTCCTAGCTTGTCGAGCGAGTTCTTCCATATTGCTGACTTCCACCTCCAGCTCATGTGTTGTTTGCGCAGAAGCAGCACCAGACCGATCCCCAGCACCAGCACCTGTGACTTGCGTCAAGTCAATTTGATAATGCTGATGCTTATACGTCAACCTGTCCTTCTTGCGCTCCCCCGTACACGCTGCACTCCCCTGATGATACGCAGTAGGAAGGGGATGCTTGTGTTCCATATTGATGCTGATGCGAATATCAAATGGCGCATCAGGACAATACAGATTGAGCGAATCGAGTGTCTCCTTTGACATGGTCTCCAGTACAGCGCCTGTTTTGTCATCTGTCGTGACACGTACATGCCTGCCCTTCCCAACAGCCGGACCGGATGTCGGTGGACCGAATTGACGATCTGTTGAGCGTGTATGTTTATACTGTATCCGACCAGCCCGTGCACGATCTTGTACCTGTGCATTCAAATGCTCATTGAAAGCCTTGTGTTGCCGTTTCGACATGTCAGACACAAAGCGAAAGGGTAAATCGCGTGCATCACCAGGCGTCAGCATCGCTGCTGTGATGAGTGGGAAATCCATCCGCTCACCACTCGCCTTCCATACAAGTCTGCCGAGCTTCGCCTCAATCTCAAGACCCGGCTGGCCAGCATACGGTCCATCTCCCAGGAGATGGTGTCGGATGAATTGGCAGAGCTTCAAGTGCATGTCAGAAGGCACCTTGATACCCATATAACTCGGCTCAACCTTGTTTTGCCTGCCATGTCCCTCAAGAGGCTGACTTTCTCGTCGTTGCCGTTCCGCTCCAGGCGAATGAGATGGCTTTCGTGCGGTAGAATGTCGTTTCGCTTCACTCGCTGTTGCATCTTCACTCCCGCGACGCTTGAGCGATGGAGCAGACTGATCGCCATTTGTCTGTCCTTCACCAGTCTGCTGGGATTGACTCCGTGCAGGCGTCGTTGGTTGCGCAAAAGGCGGTGGTCGTTGCATCATGGATGGACTTTCCGTTTCACTGCTCGATAAACGACGAAAGGAGGTGGCTGCTTCGTGAGAAAGGTCACTCGGGCCATCGCCTTGATTGAGCATGCCTAGAAGATCCATCTGTGGCTGCTGTTTCAGGGACTTGACAAGCTTGTGAGGAGCACGCGCTTTGCGTTTTGAAAGAGATGCAAGAGGTCGCGCAAGCGTGACTGTCCCTAGAGAGGACGACTTGAGAAAAAGACGCTGCGCCTGATGCAGGCTCGTCACGTAGAGAATGTCGAGAGGTGCGCAAGCCGCCCGGGCCGCTCCTTTATGTGTATCTCGTGTGTGCAATTGCTATCTTGGATGTTTTCAAAGTTCACAAAGGGAGAAAGCAGCAGCAGCAGTCATCATGCTAATCTAGTTCAATGAGTACATGACACGAACCTACGCCTCGTCTTCGAGGCCATCATAGTCAAACGGCAACGGCAGGGGCGCCTCTTCCTCATCATCCACTTCCATCGCCGAATCTGGTCCAGCGGCCGCTGCAGGAGGGGCAGGCGGTGACTGGTCAATCTGCATGTCCAGCAATGACTCTTCTTCCTTTGGCCGACGATCGCGCAGGAACAAGATTCCGCCAGCAGGTTTGCGCGCAGGGTAGTAGCGTGCGTCTGACTTGAAGTGGATGTGCTTCAACTGCCACGGCACAACACGAGACATGTTGCCCAAGATCTCGTAGAGAGGTTCCTTCTTGGGCGCTGTGCCTTCGGCCGTGTCCGCGTCTGCTTCACCTTCAGCAGTCTCTGTGGCGTCTGGCTTCTTCTCTCCTTCTTCCGCTGCTTTGTCTGTATCCATAGACTCAGGCTCCGGCGCAGGCGTCTCTGCTTTTTCATCCGTCTCCATCGCATCTTCCTTCTCCTTTTCCTGCTTCTTTGCGCGCGCCTTGGCCTTCATTGTCGTAGAAAGCACAGCCGTCTCCACCTTTTCCGCAGCCTTCTTATCCTCTTTTGGTGTCTCTGGCGTATACGCAAACATGATGGGCATTGCATTTGAGCGAAAGACCATCGCAGGCACATTCAAGTCCTTGTTGACACCAATCATGGCAGTGGGTGTAAAGGCAAGTGACAAGAAGTGACCAAGTGGGAACCAATACCACAGCTGTGTAAAGATGGCCATACCCACCACAGCAGGCATATTGTTGCCACCCGAGTAGGACTGTAGGCGTAAAGTGACGTTGCGGCCACCTGCATCCAGGATGCCCGATCCTACAGCCGCACCAAACTTGGTCACTGCATCTGAGTGCTTGTTGCTAATGACATCCGAGTAGAGCTTGCGAAGTTCTACACTCTCTGGGTTGGTTTGGTCATTGTGCTGAATCAAGACCATGGCAGTGGCAATATACGCACCTTGACGAACGAAATCAGTGGCATCGTGCGTCATGGGGTTGAGGATATCCAAGGCTTCCGGCAACGCTGTGCCAGCGCATGCAATACCCACAGCCATGGCAGCACCGTAGCGGACGTGCGGGTTGTACGATTCATACAACAAGTCAATGGTCCGGCACAAGCCTTGTGGATTCTTGAACATGACGAAACCAAGACACATGACGGCAGCTCTGCGCACGTCGTCATGTACATCAGACACAGCAAAGTGCAAGAGTTTCTCTGTTGCTGCTGTGTTGCCGGTACCGCAATAAGCCATGGCAATACCAAAGATACCGCCATGACGCAAGATGGGGTTGTCATCGGTCACAAGTCGCTCAATGTATGCATCTGCTGCGCGTTCGCAACCATACAGCATCATGGCAATACCCATCGCAAGACCACGAATAATTTTCTCGTGCTGTGTTTCATGTGCATATTGCAGCATTTCGTCAATTTTGTCTTCATTGCCGGTTCCCAGCATCACAAGACCCATTGACAGTCCGCAAGCTTCACCAGCAACCGCACTATCGTGAAACAGTACAGTTCGTAGTCTGTCGTACAAATCAGCATCGCACGTAGCAAGCCCAGCTGCACCAAGACCCAGAGCCGCACCATGCTGGACAGTTTCCTCTGTCGCGCGAGCGAATTGCTCCGTCAAAAATGGCAGAGATTCTGCACCGTGGTTGGCGTGAATGAGGCCGAGTGCGTACAGGCTGCCGCCCTCAGAGTAGACACTACCATTGGCACCTTCTTGAGGGAGATATGGCCCCAACAATGTCATACTCTGGTTGAGATTACCCTTGTGAATAACGCCGAGAGCCGCTGTTGCTGAGAATTTTGACCAATTTGACGCCTTTGAGAGCCAATCAAGATTGTTCCTAAAGAAACCGTCTGAGGTAGTACCTGCGTGCATGAAGGCATTGGCAAACGTGACTGCCGAATGAAAGATGGAATTGCGCGCTTCAAGTGAGTTCTTAATCTTATCGAGTATTGCAATATCAGCATGATTGTTGCGGTAGAGGAACTCCAGGTGAAGCTGAATAGTTTTCGTGCCCGAAAGGATGAGTACGAGATTCTTGCGAATAGCCGCGCAGCCCTCATCTTGTTCGTGCCCATCCTCGGCCTGAAGTTTTGAGATGAGGGAGCTTAAGAATGAGCGTGTCGCCATTGCTTCAATGTCAAAAGCACACTGGTACACATTGGCAATTGCCAGCTCATCTTCCTTGCCATTGTCCGATGCGGCAGCACTCAAAGCCAGTAGAATTTTGAGAGCTTTGGCATCGTCGTCCAGCATGACGATGCACTTGATGATATTTGGATAGTCAGGTCGCATTTGGTTGTTGAGATGCTCGAGCAATGCAGCCGTCACCTCGTCGCGAAACTTCAGGTCTGAGACCGTAGCAATGCAAGTCTCGAGAATGTATGGCAGCAAGTTGTCGTCTTTGCTCTCGCCGATGATTGTCTCCAGAATATCAAGCCTCTTTGATTCGAGAGCAATACCAATGGCTTGCTTGAACTCTTTGTCTCGATAACACTGCTGCAGCATTGTAGACACCACCTCGGACAAGCGGCTATCTGCCTTGCCAGCCTTGTCGCCCTCGCTATAACGCGCGGCATTCTCTGCAATGAATGAATCGATACAGTGTGCAATGATTGTCTCAACATACTCATCATGAGATTTGAGGTCAAACAAGTCGCCTGCACCCAATGCGTAGTCTGTTGATTGTGCGTACTCACCTAGATGGTAGTAGACCTTGGACGCCACCAACGCTGCTAGTCTGCGGTTTGCAAACGACTCGTCTTCATAAAGGATTTCTAAGCTTGTGATATCATCTGAGATCTCTGGCCAGCTCGCGTCCACGATCTCATTGAGTTTTGTGAGCGCAAAGGATTGTAGCTCGACATTGCTGTCGTTGAGCAGCGCAAGCAGGCCGCTCGGTGATGTGATTGCCACCATGGCTCTGTCGCTCTCTGTCTGCTTTGCCTCTTCGTCGCTGTGCTTGTGCAGGCCAGGTCCTCCGATGAGCAGCACAGGTGTAGCCTTGCCTGAGCCTGGTTACGCGTCGACAAAGACTCGTTCACGTGGAAGGAACAATTCAGATGGAAATGCTATATGGCGCCAAACAGAAAAACTCAATCAGCCTCCTGGTCGAAGAACTCGTCGTATCCAATGCCGGAGTCGTCTCCACGCTCTCGGACACTCTTCTCAACATCCGCTGGACTCAAAGCAGCCTCCTCAAGCGCCTTCCTGGTCAGCGAGGCATGTTCCTCCATGAACCGCTGTGTGGCACCTTCCAAGTCCGCAAAGGTACTGAGGAGATGCTCCAGCGCATGACGCCTCTGATCGAGCTCCCTGACAGTCTTCTCGTGGTCATTGAACAAGCTTTTGAGTTGATTCTCCAATTCTCGGAGACGATCCTTGCTTCGCGTCAACTCTTGCTTTACAAGCGCATTCCCCTTTTCGAGCTTCGTTGCCTCATCTTCTTTGGTCGCGAGGCTCTTCTTGAGCTCTTGACGCTGCTGCTCTGTTCGACTGAGTCTGTTTTCATACTCTCGCTTCAAGGTCTTGTGAGATTCTTCAAATTCCTGCTTTGCTGAAGTTAATGCTTCCTGGAGTGCGCGAGAAGCCTGCTTTTCATTCTCATAATCCTTGGCAAGACGTTCGATACGTTGTTCAAAGGCATCGGACATACATTCGAGCTCAGCCTGCGATGTGGCTGCGGTTCGCTTCGCCGATGTGAGTTCCTTCTCAAGACTCTGCGCTTTGGCGTCTGCTGATTCTAGCATCGCAAGACGTTCTTGGAGCTGTGTCAAGAGGGCTTCTTTTTCAGTCAAGGCAGAGCCAGCAGCATCAACCTTTGCTTCCAAGACCTTGCAGTACTCTGCAGTCTCCTCCAATTTCGCCTTGACAGCCTGAGCCTCATCCTGCAAATCAGCGCGTTCCATCTCTGCCCTTTCGTGTGCCTCCTCCAAGCTCTGCACAGCCAATTGATGCTGCTGAATACTTGCAAGACTCGCCATCTCCATGTGTGCCCTCTCGTGATTGAGTCGCTCAATACGAAACGCCATCTGGTCTTCACTTGCTTTCAGCCTAGCGAGCTGTTCTTTTGCTTTAATGAGCGATGCGGTCTGATTGGCAAGGTCCAAGTCATACTGAGCATACGTGGCACGTTGTTCCTCAACATCAGCAATTTGATCAGCCGTAGCGCGTGCAAGTGCACGCTGCAAGTCTTCAGTCTGCCTAAGGTGGAAGATATGCAGTGCCTCCAGCTTTCGGTTCTCAGCGCGGTACAAATTGTTGGTAGTCATGGCCGCATGGAGCTCACGTTTGAGCAGAGCAGCTGAAGCGCGACTTAACAAGTCCGTTGGCTCTACCGACGAAGCTTGCAAGCTATCCTGGCCATGAGCATGGCCGTTTCTGGTAGGTTGGGATACCTTGTGGCCGTTGACGGTTTGAGTTGATGCATCCTGAATTGTATTGGACGATGGTTTAGCCGTCGGAACATTCATGCCTTCATCTTGTCCCTTGCAAGAATCTTCGTCGTAAGAGCTTGTCCGCTGATCAATATGCCCTGTGTCTGAGTCTTCTGGCTCGGTAGCAGGCCTGGGCGAAGCCATCGTCTCACCTGCCTCTTGATTGCCAAGAATTTGCGCAGAAGAGGTACTCTGTGCCTCAGCATCTGACTCGCGCTGGCCGTGATCATATTGATCAGAAGGCTGACTACCGGCCTTGGCGAGCTGGACAGCCTTCACCAGATCAGCATTGAGCAAATCAATCTCTGCTTCTGTGTCTTCAATCTGGCTCATGATCTCCTCTTGCTCACTCTCATTCGCATTTTCCTGCAAGAGCAAGCCAAGCTTGCGCAACCTTTCAATTTTGCGATCAATCTCTTGTTCAAGGCTCCTGACTCTTGTCGTGCTGACTTTGCGCTGCGTAGGAGACTCAGGCGTACTCTGTGTACATCGGGCAGGAGAATCTGCTGATCCTGCAAGCTTGCTGATAGAGCGTCTCTTGCCTGACGTGAGCTTAGTGCGTAACCTCGTCTTCTGTGGTGGCAGCACAAATTTGGCTTCAGGCGTCATTTGCAAGCTCCCTGATCGTCGTGTCCTCTTCGCGATCGGTGGCTCTGGCTGTGGAGATAGAGAGAAAGCTCGCTTGCGCAAGGTCGAAAGACGTGCAGCGCGTGGACCAAACTTGGTGACTTGTTCTGCAACGGCCCTAGCAATGACTCGATCGTCTGTTCCCTCCGGATGCGCTTCTACCTTCGTGGCTACCAACTGTAGCCACTGCTCGGATCTCTGTAATTTGTCGTGTTGCGGGTCGTACAAGAGCCAGTGCTCCTCGACGAGCTTGTTAACCACGGAAGTGAAATCATCCTGCCATTCATTGTAGGGCCGATGACCTCCTTTACCAAGTTCGGCTTCAACAAAATCGCCTGGAGGTTAGATAAGGGAAGTGCGAGAGTGACTACGTACGTAAGGTCTTTGTCAAAGTCTGACTTGAGCTGCTTCCACTTGCCGACTTGTGCTCGATTGCAGATACCGTAAGTACGAGCATATTTTGCAGCCTAAAGTCAGCCATAAACCGGCGATCGGGTAATGGGCTACCTGTGGTTGTCCATTGCAACTGCGGCCTACGGTACTCAGTAGACTGCCTTCAAGCGCAAGGTATTTATTTGCCGCAAGAGGTGTGCGTGTCTTGGATGCGTTGTCGTTGACCCAGCCTTGTAAAATTTGAGCCCCTGAATTTACGTTTGCACTTGCAACATTCGCGATCGACTCTTGAGACTCTACCCACCGTGAGTAAAATCAATCTCCGCCTTGATGTCGGCATCTGTCATTTCTGACCGCTTCTTGTACTCTCTCTTTTTGCTCTGCGCGGGCTTTGCAGACTCGCTTGACTCCTCCTGATCTTCAAGGCCGAGGATGAAATTCCATTCGTCTGTAAGGTTAGCGAGGCAAAGGCAAGAAATATCTGCCTACCTTCTGAGACGGGTTGTACACTGAGCTGAGGACGACGAAGAAGCACCATGCTGCTGAGTTTACTTTCTTTGTACTGCTTCAGCTCTTGCAAGCCAATGAGGCGGTTGAGATGTCGCTCATACTTCACCTAGACAGCATTAGATTGTGGGGAGCATCGACTCGACTTACGTCCACACGGAACCATTTTGGATTCTCAGGGTCTGACTTTGGATCATAGTAAGGGTGCTTCTTATCCCATGCCGAGTCATCTGGATAGCCTTCCTTGCAAATCGTGGCTAATCCCGCGATGCCAGTCTCTTTTCCAGCATTGCTAGAGTCAGCAATGATATGTTAAGGTCTGTCACGTACCTGTGGTAAAAGAAGACTTGATCATGGAGCTTCATGCGCGATCGCATTGTTTTGGAAGCTTCGGCATTGCGTACACCGTCCCAGCCATCGTGACCAAGTCTTTTCAAGTCATCGATGCTGAACTTGACATTATGACCATTCTCAAGACGGTCAGTGGGTTCTGCTTTCATGAGCCAGTAGCGCGGACCTGCTCCGTCGACCAGGTATTTTGACTTACTCTCTTGAACTTCCTTTTTGATTTCCGTCTTGGTCTCCTGGGTTTCGCCAGCATTTGACTTCACCTTCTTTGCCTGCTGGTTGACAGACCGCGTCATTCGTCGTTTTGGTGCCATGATGACAGATAGTCGTTGCCGTGAAGCAGAGAACAGCGTGGAAGCAGATTGTAGATGAACAGCTGGGAGACGTGATGCGCGTTGTGGGCAAAACCAGTGAGCCAAGCAGTGGCAACAAGCTAGTACTAGTAAAGGTATGCAGAATCAGAAGATCTCTGCAATAGCACAAGCAGGTCTCGAGCAAGTAGAGGTGTGTACAAGTGACAAGCCTACTAAGCTGTTGCGTTCCTGTAACTTCATTCGGCTAATTGTCACTCCCCAGACCGCGCCCGTATATCGCCACGTCGCGGTCAGAACTCGACAATCTGCACAACCTCACCTTGCAACACAACCATCATGAAGTTCCTAGGTCTCGTATCAGCTGCTCTTGCACTCGCAGGCACGGCCCTCGCTGAAGAGAAGCTCCAAATCGGTGTGACGCGTGCTGTGGCAGAGAGCGACTGCCCTCGCAAGACCAGGTGAGTTCCTTCCAGCTTCAGTCTTTGCAGACGCCAGGCACCGTACAGCAGCTCACAACAACAGGTCTGGCGATAAAGTGTCGATGCACTACCGCGGTACGCTCAAGGATGGCGGCAAGCAATTTGACGCTTCCTACGATCGCAACCAAGAGTTCAAATTCACTTTGGGGGCTGGACAAGTCATCAAGGGCTGGGACCAGGGATTGCTTGACATGTGTATCGGCGAGGCTCGTAAGCTCACTATTCCTGCTGAGCTTGGCTATGGATCTCAGGGTGCTGGCGGCGTCATCCCTCCCAACGCCGTTTTGGTGTTTGAAGTAGAACTCATGGGTGAGTTGAACGATGCTCTCTGCTGGACAAAGCTAACATCGCAGGTATTGAGGGCTACACGCCCCCTGCTACGCCTGATGCCGGCGGCAAGGTGGAATTGTAGATGGCAGTGTCTCAGGTAGAACTGCGCATGACTTCGGCAACCAACTTTGCAGCCATCTTCCTCTTTTCCTCCGGACTGAGATCTGAGCTGTGTTCCCTTGCTTGTAGCATCCGTTGCATGAGAGCCTCGAGCTCCTCCACCGAGGCTTCGTCCACATTGAGCTGCGAGCTGGCAATATCGTTACTGAGCAATGCCTGATTCAAATCTGCATCCTCCATGAGCATCTTCTCAATGTCCTGCTCATCCGCTTCGTTCAGTAGCTCGCTCCAGTCTGCGGCCTCGATGGCTTCCCGGGCCCTATCGATGCCTTGCAATTCACCAAACTCGTTCTTACCCTTGACCTCGCTCTGTATCAACTCAAAGCCGTTCTCAATACAGGTGTCCTCGATATCTAATTGGTCGTCCTTTTCTATTGGCGTGGTCTGCATGACGACCAACAGCAGTGTGCTGTCTGAGCAGCCATCTGCCACTCGCCTGACTTGTTCGATCGCCTCGGTCGCATTCGTGGCATCTGGTAGACACAAGACGATGGCGCCCAATAAGCTACGCACTTCATCAGCTTCACGACTTGTGTACATGTCTGCAAACTCATTGGGTGACTCATACTCATCTAGCCATATGTCTATTGTAGCTTTGTAGTACTTGTTGTCTATCGCCATCTGGTGGGTCAGACCCCCATGCGAACCTGAGGGGATTGAGTCTGGCAGGGAGCCCGTCAGTGCTTTGAGAAATGTGAGCTTGCCAGCCTTGCGAGGGCCGACGATGAGAATGCGTTTGCAGCTTGCCATCAGCGCCTAAGCATCGTCTATGGTCTGGTAGAAGTGTTTCTTAGCTTGCTTGTGCTTGATGACTGAGAGTTGCGACAAATTCAAATGCTGCAGCGCGACTCGACTTCATCGTACAACAAACGCGACAGAGCCGGGAGCTGTATTGAGTGCCGGGAAAGGGCTACTTGCTGGCAGTCTCACATGTCGACGCATGGCTCTTCTGCTTTCTATGCAATGTAAGCTTGCCATTCTGATCTGAAAACGGCTAATGACAGATCATTGCTACCGCCATCGCAACAAGCATGTCCGCCAATAATCGGGCATTTCTCAGGCCTGAAACAACAAGAGGTCATTGTTGCGACAGGAGCAACACTAACGGTGTACAAGGTCGATAACAACACTGGAAAACTCGTCAAATTAGCGAGTCATGAGGCATTTGGCATCCTGCGAACCATGGCAGCTTTTCGATTGACGGGTTCGAGCAAGGACTACGTCTTACTCTGCTCAGACTCGGGTCGTCTCTCTGTCCTTGAATATCGACCCGACAAGGCGTGCTTCACCAAGATACATCAAGAAACATACGGTAAGTCAGGTGTACGGCGAGTTGTACCTGGCGAATTCATGGCAGTGGATCCGAAAGGACGTGCAGTCTTCATTGCGAGCGTCGAGAAGAACAAGCTGGTCTATGTGCTTAATCGAGATGCTGCTGCTAATGTCACCATATCATCGCCACTAGAAGCACTGTCGCCAGGATCCTTGCTATTTCACTCCGTGGCGCTCGATGTCGGCTACGACAATCCGGTCTTTGCCACAATCGAGGTCAACTATAGCGACTCAGACCAAGATCCTACTGGCAGGGCGTATGAAGAAGTGCAAAAAACCTTGACGTACTACGAGCTCGATCTGGGTTTGAACCATGTTGTGCGTGAATGGACTGAGATTATCAATCGTCATGCAAACATGTTGATTGCGGTTCCTGGTGGGTACGACGGCCCTAGTGGCGTGCTGGTCTGTGCACCTGATGAAATTGTTTACATGCACAAAGGCCGTCCTTCAAGAAGAGTACCGATACCGCATCGTCGCGGTTTGCTTGAAGATCCGGACCGGCAGCGTAGAATCGTGGCGCACGTTACACAACTCTTGAAGGGCTCTTTCTTCCTCCTTGTACAGACAGAGGACGGCGACCTCTTCAAGCTCTCAATTGATCATTTCGAAGGAGATGTCACATCTATGAGAATAAAATATTTTGATACAGTGCCCGTTGCAACAGGCCTGACATTCTTCAAGTCGGGCTATCTGCTTGTGGCGAGCGAATTTGGCAACAGCCAGCTGTATCAGATCGAAAGGTTAGGCGACGATGATGACGAGCCAGAGTTCACGGAGACCTCAAAGCATGCTTCCTTTCAACCCACAGCTCTCACAAACTTTACGCTGGTTGACGAAATTGAGTGCTTCAACCCTATCCTTGATGCTAAAGTGCTCAATCTCACTCAAGAAGACGCACCACAGATCTACGCAGCTTGCGGCCGTGGTGCACGATCAAGCTTTAAGACAATTCGCAATGGTCTGGAAGTCAGTGAGCTCGTTGCCAGCGAATTGCCCGGCAAGCCGACTGCTATATGGACCACACAGTTGGCTAGAGAAGATGCCCATGATGCATACATTGTCTTGTCATTTACTGATGGCACACTCGTGCTTTCCATTGGTGAAACGGTCGAGGAATTAACGGAGACTGGATTCTTGACATCAGCGCCTACTCTTGCAGTACAGCAACTTGGCGAAGATGCGCTCATTCAAGTACATCCGAAAGGCATCAGACACGTCCAGCGTGATTTGCGCGTCAATGAATGGCACGCACCTGCACGGCGTACCATCGTTCAGGCAACGACGAACAATCGGCAAGTCGTGGTGGCCCTGAGCTCCGGAGAGCTCGTTTACTTTGAGCTTGATGAAGATGGCCAGCTCAATGAATACCAGGAGAAGAAAGAGATGAGCGGTGGTGTCACAGCGCTAGCGATTGGCGCTGTGCCTGAAGGTCGGCAACGAAATCCAGTGCTTGCTGTGGCGTGTGATGACTCGACTGTTCGAATCATCTCTCTGGATCCAGACAATACTCTGGAATCGCTCAGTGTACAAGCTTTAACTGCGCCTGCTAGTGCACTATGTATGGTGAGTATGGACGATGGACATGCGACAACAGTCTACCTCCACATCGGATTGCAAAATGGCATCTACTTGCGCACATCGCTGGACTCGACGGGTCAGCTGACAGACACTCGAACCCGCTTTTTAGGTTCAAAGCCAGTAAAGCTGTTCAATGTGAAGGTGCAAGAGCAGGCTGCAGTCTTGGCCCTCTCGTCACGCCCGTGGCTCGGGTACATCTGGAATTCTGCAATGCAATTGACGCCCTTGCAGTACGAGAATATTGACTTTGCAGCACCATTCTCGAGCGACCAGTGTCCAGAAGGGCTCGTTGGTATCAAGGGTCCATCTCTCAGGATTTTCACGATCGATAACCTTGGCAATAAGATGCGTGCTGAATCTCATCCTCTCAGCTATACGCCACGCAAGTTTGTCCAGCATCCAAATCAAGCCCTCTTCTACATCCTGGAAGCCGATCATCATGCCATGTCGGCAGACAAGCGCAGCAAAGCGATATCAGAGAAACAGAATGGCAGCGAGCATCAATCATTCCTTCCCGAACATGGACTTCCCTGGGCTGCGAACGGCTGCTGGGCGTCGTGTATCAGGATCTTCGATCCCAGCAAGCAGGAAGATGTGTCGCTTCTCGAACTTGAAGATGACATTGCTGCTTTCTGTGCCTGCATAGTCACTTTCGCCTCCCGCGGCAACGAGCTCTTCCTGGCCGTTGGGGCTGCTCAGGGCGCCGAGTTGATGCCAAAGTCATGCAAACAAGCATACTTGCTGATTTATCGAATAGTAGACGATGGCAGAGCACTAGAACTTGTCCACAAGACGGAAACGAGTGATATCCCTTTAGCACTTTGCGCGTTCCAAGGCAAGCTCTTGGTCGGTCTGGGCGGAGTCTTGCGCCTATATGACATCGGTCTGAAGCGTTGCCTTCGCAAATCAGAGACTGAAGTTACATCCAATAGTATCATTGGACTGGAAACGCAAGGCGACCGCATCGTCATTTCTGACAATGTCGAGGCTGTCACGCTGGCAGTCTACAAGCATAACGACAACAAGATCATTTGCTTTGCAAACGACACCTTGCCACGATGGACCACGGCATCCACTATGGTGGACTATGACACTATTGCTGGAGGCGACCGGTTTGGCAACCTTTGGATCGTGCGTGTGCCCAAGAATGTCTCTGAGCTTAGTGACAATGACACCACGGGCAATACGCTCATACATGAACGGCCGTACTTGCAGGGAGCGGCGCATCGCCTTGACACCTTGGCTCACTATCATATCGGCGATATTCCCACGTCCATCTCAAAGACTCAGCTTGTAGCAGGTGGCCGCTCTGTCTTGGTCATTACTGGCATCATGGGTAGCATCTCACTGCTGATTCCATTCGTTGCAAAGGAAGATGCAGAATTTTTTGCAGCACTAGAGACAAATCTCAGAACTGAAGATGAGCCGCTTGCTGGGCGCGACCACATGATGTATCGCGGGTACTATGCGCCTCCCAAGTCGGTGATTGACGGTGACCTCTGCGAACGTTATGCCTTGCTCTCCATCACGAAGCAGCGTATGATTGCAGGAGAGCTTGATCGCGATGTCGCTGAAGTGAAGAGTAAAATCGAGAATCAGCGTATCCGATTTTCCTAGTCTAGTGAGATGTTGATGCTGTATACAAGTAGAAATGTAATGCATGAGGCAACTGCACTCCCATCTGAACGCGAAAGGCTGAGCAGTGGCAAACTGACAGCCTTTATTTCTTCTTAGTCTTTATTCTAACTACATACCTTGACTCCTCAGGGTTTGCTCTAGCGGCTGTTTCACTTTCACTTCTTCCTCTTGCCTTCCTCTGAAGTCTCCATAACGTCTCACATGGATTCATGTCGTCCTCGTTCTTCGAATACCATGAACCGAGTATCGAGCAAATTTTGATACTCATCGCTTTCTTTGTCGCACTCGGCATCTTTACCGCTGCTTTTGAGCAGTATGCTGGAATCGGCCTACTTGGTCAAATTTTAGTCGGTGGCATCTTTGGCACGCCTCTCTCAAACATCCTCGCCGAGGATTGGCTGTCCACCTTCCTGGCCCTCGGGTATCTTGGCTTGATAGGACTTGTCTTCGAAGGCGGTTTGTCATCCCGCTTGGATCTCCTCTTTGCCAATCTAGGCATTTCTACAATTTGTGCAGCTACAGGTATTTTGGCACCAATAGCTCTTTCTATTCTCTTCATTCACATTGTGTTTGGCTATACCCTGCTTGAAGGATTCATTGCTGGAGCTGCCCTTTCTGCAACATCGCTCGGTACAACCTTTACGGTCCTCAAAGGTGCAACCATCGACCTCAGAAACGCGCGAATCGGAACCGTCTTGTCGAGTGCTGCAGTGATTGACGATGTAGTTGCCCTGGTTCTTGCCCAAGTCATCACATCGCTTGGAGGGAGCGACGGATCACCTCTTGGATGGGTCATTGGCCGTCCGGTTCTCTCTGCCCTCGGACTTGCCCTCGTTACAGTACCGCTGAGCTGGCTCTTGCGTCATCGCATCTTACCAGCGTTGCGTCAGTTGCGCAGTACAATACTCAAGCTGCTTAAAATCACACATGGAGAGAACCTGGCTGTCATGACAATACTGTCTTCTGTTTGGATCAGTATTGCAGCTTATGCAGGCACCAGTATTCTGCTTGGCGCATATCTGGCAGGCGTGATGGTCAACTATCTCGACCTGACTACTCCACCGGCGAAGCTCTCTCATCGTGCAACAAACACTGAGCTTGACACGCATCGGGTTGTCGTCAGGGAGCCTAGTTTTGCTGAGACGTTTGAGCACAGACTCGGAGTTGCGCAGACGCTCGGGAGCTGGTTCTTCTTCGCTAGTATCGGCTATTGCATTCCCATCCGCGATCTTTGGCAAGGAACGCTTGTGTGGCAGGGCATAGTGTACTCAAATCAACATGGTTCTTGGTAAGTTCTTGGTCGGCATCTGGCCATGCATGTTCGATGCAATCCAGCGACAGAGCTTGAAGCGAGGCATTTGGCCAGGCATCTTGCTAGGCAGCGGTATGGTTGCACGCGGTGAGATTGGCTTGCTCATCATCCAGCTTGGCATTGTCACTTCCGGCAAAGTCTCCAAAGAGGTTTTTATCGTAGCCATTTGGGCAATACTTCTCAATACGATTGTCGGACCCATCGCTGTGCGTCTTGTGGCTAGATACAAGGGAGACGCAATCATGGGCGGTCACTGGGGTTTCTCGCATGCGACACTTTAGATGATGTTCTTGATACACAAATTCTGGCAACTGGAATCTATTTGAATCATAGCTCAACCTTGTCTGTGACTTTTGCCTCTGCGCCTGCTGACGTAGCAACGACCTCTTCGACGACTTTGTTGATGGTTGTACTCGCACCACCCACGGCATCTTGTACTTTTGCAACCTTACCCCAGAAATCCTTGAAAGCCAAGTCAAATCGTGCTCCCAACAGCCACGCAAGAAACAAGGTCAATGCGCCCATCGCAAGCCAGAAGCCAATGACAATGACAATGACAGTCTTGACATCTTTGTCAATCTGCTTCTGCTCCTCCACTGAGACTTGATTGTCATCTGCTTTGCGCTGTTGGCTGATTGCCTTTTCCTGTGCTGCACTCGCTGCCATGTGTGCAGGAAATACATCGGCGACCCATTGCTCGATACGACCACACAACTCGCTGATGCGAAGAAAATTTGGATCCTCAGGCTTGTTCTTTGCATGAATCGATCGCGCATGTTCAACAAAAATATCCGCTACCTCCTTCAAATTGGTGGCTTGCATAATGAGACGGCAGGCCTTGCCTTTGCGGATTTTGACATTGCGCTCAAAGACTTGTGGATTGCGGAAGACGAGATCCATAGTTGCAATAGCCATGACTTGAGGGATTGCGCAAAAGTTGAAGACTGACTGATTGCGTAGGCCAGAAAGGTAGAAGAGAACATCGGTTGCATGCTCAAGCGCATTGCATGTCATTTCAGAAATACAGTTGAGCGCCTTTTCCCGGTTCGCTGGCAAGGTGAGCTCCTTTGGGTCCTTGGCATACTTGCTCCAAATATCCTTTGGCCAAAACAACCGTCCATCATCAATATCCTCGCGAAAGTCACGCGTAATGTTGGTCTTTTGCAGGAAAAGACCCATTGAGTTTGACAGACTCATAAGATCCGCATATTTCTTCGACTCGAGACCTGAACTGGCAAATAAGCGCGATAAACCTTCTCCGACAACACCTGCGACATAGTGACAGTACTGATCGTATTCCTCGAGTGTCGTGACGATGACAGTCTCGTCTGAATAATGCGCCATTCCATGACCCATATCCTTGGTGATGTCGGTAATCACGACTTGGTATTGCTTCTTGAGCTTCTTGAACTCCTTGATGACCACATCAAACTCCTTCAGAAGTAGAGCATCCTTCTCATTCGGCCCAGACTCGTGAAAGTTCCACCCGTCCTGCTGCAGTAGTGTGTAAAATTCCCGCAGGAGTGGCAACTTTCTATCGAGCGGCAGCGTCATATCATCCTCGATGGTATCGAGGCCACGAAGAACCAAGTAGAAGAGCATGACGGCATCTCGCAGTTCGTCGCTCAGTTCCTGCACAACGGTGGAAAATGAACGCGACGTGAGGTCGAGGAAGAAGTAGCATCGCTTGAGTGAGTCGCTCTCCTTGTTTGGGTCTCGCGCATTCAGAGGATCTCTCCAGACTTTGTATTGTACGATTGCGCGCGTCTCTGTTGGATGCAGCAAGAGATCGAGAAGACCCATGGCGTGGTCGTGTATGCGTGACTTGGTTGATGTCCGGGGAAAAACAAAGACGAAAAGGTGGTCTGAGGACGAGTGGGATATTCTGGCAGAGTCCGGCTAGCTAGGCTAGGTGTCTGTCTGGAAAGTATCAAGGCAAGGATAGTGAAGGCAATAGGAAGGATGAAAGCAGTATAGTATGGGGCGCGCTAGACAGTACATCAATCTATGGCTTCAAGACATGTGGACCACCCTTTATCCTCGACAGGTCTCCAACGAGACCCAGCAATGAAAAAGAATCGGCGTCGCAAGCATGGAGTGCAACTGCGAGGACACCTGTGCCAGAGAATCGCAGAGGCAAGCCAACCACGAGACCCCGGCGCGTTCCAAGAATTTGATAATCGTAAAAGTCTCCTTAGAGACGTTCCAGCGATTAAACTGAAAAGAACAGATACTACACTTGATCTAAGCCAAAAGCTGGAAATGACAGTTAGCATCACCTGTGCTTGAATATTGGGGTGCAATTCTTACGCAAAGAAAACTTGGGGAATTGGAAAACGGCGGCAGGCGCGTCTTCTTATACCAAAAGACTCCTGAAGCACGTGAGCAGCCATGGAATTCTCACGCTCAGAATCTGCTGCAACTATAAGACTAAGCACTGAAAGCACTAGTAGGCTACTGTGTACAGAAGTACTGGTATTGCAGGCATGCAGGCAGACGGCAGGCTATAGACCACTGAAGCAGAGCATCACCCACAGGGCCAGCCTCAGCCATCCTAGTACCGCCGACGCTTGTAATCACCGCCTGTACTACGATCGCGTGACTTGCTGCGTCGCTCCCACTCATCCCTTCCCGACCGACTCGCTCCATAGCGGTCCCTGCTGCGATCGCGGTGCTCACCATATTCGCCTCTTGACGTGCGCTGCTCTGCATACCGGTCACGGCTACTCGCATATGCATTCGCAGAAGGCGCAGCAGCAACTGCCGGTGTAGCCGCAAGCCATGGTGCGGCTGGTGCAGCTGCATGGGAGGTAATGGGAGGTTGATAGTGTGCGTGCTGCGCAGCGCGTGGGTCCAATACTTCACCACCAACAGGGGCGCCATATGCCGGTCCACGCTCGCGAGAACGGTCTCTATAGCTGGAAGGTGCAGGTCCTCTTGAATGACTTCTCGGTCTGTCGTAATCCCTTCTCGGTGCTGCACTGGACGTAGCATATCGGGAACTAGGTGCCGTAGGAGCACGCGAGTCTCTGTAATCACGAGCAGGCGCTGCAGGCTGTTCAAAGCCAATTCCAGAGCGGCCTTGTCTTGGCCGTGTGTCCATGGCAGGTGGTGCACCGTAGCGTTCTGCAGGGCGTGCGTAAGCACTGCTTGATGGTGCAGCAGGAGCAGCATCACGAGTATCGGTGCGACCATTGCGGTCACTTGACCGTCCTCGAGGTGCACTGCTACCAGTGCGATCGGTCCCTCGATCACTTGTATACCTGCCTGCAGCTGGCCCAGACGGCCCTCTGCTGTAGTTGCTCGGAGCATGGGAATACGTATCGATCCTGCGCGTTGGCTTTGTATAGTGCCGTCCACCGAGTCCGCCACCGAGCGACCTGGGCTTCCAGTTCTTGACTGTGCGTCCTCTCTCGACATCCACGCATATCCGCCGGTCTTTGATTTTAATGCCATCCGTCTCTTTGTATGCAGTCTTCATGTCGCGTTCGTGTTCAAAGACAATGAAGGCATAGCCTCGAGACTTGCCCGTATCCTTCTCATTGACAAGCCTGATGCGATCAATGGCTCCATACGGCTCAAAGACTGTCCGCAGATCCGACTCTGTCACGCTATACGCAAGCCGAGACACGAAAAGCGTCTTGTAGGGATCTCCACGCACTTCAGGGTCTTCTGCTGGGTTATACTGCTTAAGCCTCTCTGTAAGCTTCGCTTCAAATGTTTCCTTTCGTTCGCGCCTCTTGCGTTCTTGTTGCTCTTGATGCGTTTCTGTTGGGACATAGCCGTCGTCTTGACCCAGTAAATGGACATACTCTGCAATACCAGTGATGGCCCGCGTCTTGCGCTTCTCCGGCGCCACGTCCGTAGGTTGAACATAGCGCAACGGTGCTCGCGCTGCAAAGAGGCCGATCAGCGGCGGTCCGAGCTGCTTTGTTAGTCGGTTGTAGAAGAAGCAGGAAGGAGACGTACCAGAGCAGACGACATGGCGTCACAATGCAGTTGCTTGCTCTCCTGCAAAGCACTCTGTTGAAGGAGCCTGGTTGAGTGTGTTGCTTGCTTTCGTCGTGTCTGGAGGATTCGCACGACTCAAACTTTGGCGAGAACAGCGACCATCAAACCTTCGTCTCCCTTTCTACAAGGCAAGCATGAGCGTCGCCATCAGATCACAAGTTGCCAAGGCGCGGAATGGTGTCGGAGCATTCATCCTACAGTGCAAGAGAATCGAGCTTGGCTATTGCGATTGGGCAGGTTCATCACGCGGCATGAAGTGAGTTGCTTCTCGTTGCATCTCTCTATCTCCTCAAGCTCCGGTGTAGGGGAAGGCATAGAGCATGAGCTACAATGAAGATCTTTGCTGACCTCTCTAGTCAATTTTTACAAAGAGATCTAGCCAAGTTTGCTTCAGCGCATCCTCAGATTGAGTTTGTCATTGCGAAGCGGCCACACCGGCACCCGATACTAAGAGGAGAGTACATCAACGGCAGGGAAAAGGTCATTTGCGTACGAAACCTCAAATCGAGTGAGATATTGTCAAAACTCAACCTCCTTCGCGATGCGAGTGGCGCCAAGCTTAAGAAGTTCAAGCATCCGGTAGAAAGTACCAACGAGAGTGTGCGTGGTGTCTGGTCACCATTCGCAGAGACCAGCAGCAAGCATGAGATTTGAGTCCAGAGAATCATTGGCAATACTCCTACAAAGCTTCACTACCTTCAAGCATATGAACGCTTCATCGACAGGCCTAGCCTTTATCGAGGTATGCTTGCAACCATTGTCCTTCATAGCATCATACGTATCAAGATTCAGCCCATGCAGTCCCAGCGTGCCCCAGCTCGCTTGTCAAGAGTTGCCAGTAGGTGATAATAGCGCGAGAAGCGATTGTTGATGAGTCTTGGGTGGCAAAGGAGGTGCTTGTTCAGCAGGCTTTTGCTTCAACAAGGAAAATAATGCCGCAGGCTGTGAGCCTTCCACGGGCGCGGCAGGAAAAGGTGGTGCAGGCGGCTTGAGCGCACCAAGCAAAGAGGCAAGGTGCTGGGACTGACTTGGCTGGGCTGGCTGTTGCGCATACTGGTTGGGTGAATATTGAGGGTGCTGAGGTCGCTGAACTGGCGCTGAATAGTCTTGAGACTTGGGTTGTGGTTGTGGCCAGCTCTGGTCTGCATCAACATCGTGCTTCGCTGTGGCTGAAGGGCCTTTGAACAAATGGAGTAGCGAGGCTTGCGAACCAGCTGGCTCTGGTCTTACACCGTTTATAGGCTGCGACATCTGATTCGCCTGAGAAGCAACTTCGTTTACACGCTCTGGCTGCACAAGATGTTTGATAGAAGGCGGTGGCGTTGAACGAAAAAGATTCAGTAAGGACACTTGCTGGCCACTTGGAGAAGCTGCTGGCTGGCCTTGAACAGTGCTCTGCGCGTGAGGCTGCCGCTGAGATCCCTGTGAATGCAAATTCACTTCCCGCATTCGTTCGGACACTTGTTCAGCTGACCGTTGCATTGCTGGCTGCACAGGCACAGGACTCTTGAGTAGATTCAGCAAACTCATCGACTGCGCGTGGCTCGGGACCCGGGTAGACGAAAATATCTGTAGTGGTCGCGCATTCAAGGGATCGACGGGGCTCTCATCAAGATGCCCAGTTTCTCTTGCTACGACAGGGTTCTCTTGTGCCAACATCTCCTCCTGAGCCGATTCATCCTGTGCTTGTGCTGGTGCTTTTGGCTTCAAGATGGCGAGAAGCGAACCAGCATTTGGGTTTGCTGTCTTTCGTGATGGCGAAGAAGAGGTAGCCACTGGCATAGGTACCGCACGCACAGGCTGTGGCGAAGCAAGAACAGGCGCGTACCTCTGCGGACTCGAAAGCTGCTGGACAGGTCCAGCATGCGCGGAGTGAGGTGATCCATGCATCATGGGTGTTTGTGGGTGGAGGGCAGGATGCATACCCATCAGATGTTGTTGTTGCAAGAGATGCAGATTGGGTGGCGGCATTGGGTGCATTTGCTGAGCGAATGGACCAGAGGGAACAACCATGAATGGGGGCGGCTGCATATGTTGAGCAGGATACGGGGGCATGCCAGGGAAGCCAACAAACATAGGTGGACCAGGCGGATACATGCCAGGCGCATGACTCGGTGGCGCGTAGTGCGTTTGTGGGGAATGGCCCTGGAACATGGGATTTGGCCCTGGCGGTGGTTGTGGCATGCCAACAAAAGGTTGATGCATCGTATCTTGCACAAGCCGTGGGTCAGAAAAGCCTGGAGGCCGGGCTGGGGAGCCATGCTGTAACATCGAATCAGAAATCTGAGGAGCTCTGTCAAATTGAGAAGGCGTCGTCGCTTCTTGCACAGGCGCATCAGCAGAGCGTCCCTGAAGCATGGCCAAAAGATCATGCTTGCTCGGCGTGTCATTGAAAGCCTTGCGCTCAACAGGGCCTTCTGGTCGTTCGGATATGCCCAGGAGCAACTTGAGGGCCTGACTAGATTCGTCAAAGCTCACTTGATCCTCTAGTAGAGTTGGCACATCAACGACTGGGTCCACGACCACTTCTGCCCCTGAAGCCTTCGTCTTCTTTGCCTTTTTGTACCGTTTGATCCAAGTTCTGAGCGGCCCTAGAAATGGAGCCACCATATAATACTTCTTCTTTGTAGCATTGGTTGATCGTTGCGCCTCCTTGTTGTACGTTGGCAAGTCGTCCAGTTTGAACCAGTCGATTTTACCAATCTCTTTTCGTGTTTGTGGCTCAAAAGATGTATCCATGGGCACTTCACGCACAATGTATAGCTTCACTTGCTGTTCTTTGATGACCATTTCGATAAAGTCATTTGATTTGACAAGGTCAGAGATGTCGAAGCCACACTCTTCTCTGATTTCCCTGACGGCACAATCAGAGTCGTCTTCATCCTTATCGATCTTGCCCTTGGGGAAGCCCCAGCCGGCGCTTGACTTCCAGCCCCGAACGAGCACACACTGCGTCATGTCGTGATTCAGCATGATGGCCCCACGCACCGGCACGCGAATCTTGTACTTCATGAAATCATCAAAGGCTGTCTCGTGTTGTTCCTTGAATGGCCATAGCATAGGGCAATGTGAAAACAAGGCTGCTGTGAATTGCCGAAGGTTGACGGATGGCAGCGCTGGATATTGAGGCCGGAAGAAGTCTTCGTAGAACCAATGTGCTTGCTCGAGGGCAAAGCAAATGCGCGTCACATCGCTGAGCTCTTCCTCCGGTAGATTGATGATGAAGCGAGCAGAGAGGTCATCCAAAATGACGTCCAGTAGTTGTGAGAGCTCTTCTGTGTTCATGGCTGCTACTCAGGTGCGCACTAATGAGGCGCGTATATGCTGGCTTATCTCCTTTTGGATTTTGCAGTATTCACAGACAATAGAGGCCCGTCGTTTGTCTAATCTCTTGGTCCTTGAGTCTTGCGTTGTCGTCGTCGTCTTGCGGAGTCTTCTCTTGCGCTTCCCAACCACCACACATCCCAGGTTCTTGCTTCAAGGCTTGATCCTAGAGCTCGAGGGGAGAAGCAAGCAGGAGACTCAGCGGACTGCAAGACTCAATCAAACATGCCTCGCAAGATATCCACATCATTGAACCACTATCTGTTCTTCTACAATGCAGCAGAAGTTGTCATGTGGGGGGCCATCTTATTGAGACTCTTCCTAGTGACCAGGTCGAGTGGGTACAAGGAAGCCCACGACAACCTCTCCAAGCATCTCATTTTCGTGCAGTCAACGGCCATTCTGGAGGTGCTGCATGTCGCCCTTGGTTGGGTCCCTTCACCACTCCTGACAACAGCGACGCAGGTTGCCTCGAGGCTGCTGCTCGTCTGGGGCATTGATTACCTCTTCCCTTACATCACTCGTGAGTCTTATGCTTATTCGAGCATGGTCGTTGCCTGGTCCATTACGGAGGTCCTTCGTTACTCCTACTACGCCATCAACCTGCGTCAAGCTGTACCGCAAGCCCTTCTCTGGGCTCGCTACACACTCTTCTACGTCTTGTATCCAATGGGTGCAGGAAGTGAGGCCTGGCTTGTCTACAAGTCTCTCACTGCCGCAAGGGCAAAGTCGCCTCTTTACGCCAACAGTCTCATTGCTATCCTATTCATCTACGTTCCTGGTTTCTACTTCCTGTACACGTACATGATTGCACAGCGTCGCAAGATGTTCAAGAGACAGGGGAAGAAACCCACAAAGTAAAGGACTGCAAGGGCTGGAGGCTGCAAAAGAAAGTAGTTGGAATAAGAAAATCACTGCAACGCTAGACTAAATCGTCAATCATGATGGCTTTGACTGCCACTCTCGTTTCATCCTTGACAGAAGATCCTTGTGATCCTCTTTGTTCACGGACAAAGCCAGATTGCTTGATGTCCGCCCCAGTCTCTTCCAAATCAATGACGAGTCCTGGGTAATACGCTTCAGCCTTGAATTCATCATAATTACTGCCAAGCAGTGCAAGCTTTTTTTGTAAGGCACTGGCATGACGCTGCAGCTCTACCTCCTGCTGTCGCGCAATCTCTTCTTGCTGAGACGCCAAGATGTGCTTGCGGGTGCCGATGTAGATGAGACAGTTGATGCCACCCAGCATAGAAAAGACGATACACGCACCCATGAGCATACCATGATTAGGAACTTGTCCTGCCATGGATCTTATGCGTGTGATGGCGAGCGGCATTGTACCAAGTGCATAACTCATGGGATATAAAAACATCGTCTTGGCCACTGTTGACAGTCTCGTGCTAGAACTGTTCCGGCTGCGATCCGTCTTGCGACTCTGAATAATGAGATAGATGCCGAGCGATGGATAGATGATCAGAGAAACGGCCATGGCGAGTAAAAGGAAGATGTAGTGCAGGTAGAGCTTTTCCCAAGAGTACTGGACAGCGATCCAGCACCAGACGCCAGCGTTGCCATAAAAGCCTGGTTTGAAAGCTGGTGGAACAACTGCCATGAGCAGTGCACTGAGCCAGACGAGCGAGATGACCCAGCGTAAGGCTACTTGGGGAACATTTGGATTTGATGGTCTGATAAAGTGGAGAGCCGTGTTGGCGGCGATGAGAATGACAAACATGGATGTTGCCAAATCTCCCATCTGGATGAGATGTCCTTGCGTTGAGCAGGCGGCACTGTCTGTTTGCACCTGGCCGATGCGAAGCCAGTGAAACTCGATCAAAAATCCGAGGGATTGTAAGAAGTCCGAGAATATGAGGTTTGTGATGAGAGTGATGTCTGTGGTAAGCAATAGTACATGGACTGCTGGCAACTTACTTTGTGAATGTAGTACACTCCATTTCTTGTAATACCGGTGGTACAAGACAAATGCGAGTAGAGAAGCGGTCGAGAGACAGTTGCAGAGGCCAAAGATCGCAATCATCTGTTGTCAGTCACGGAAGCCTTTGCGCTTCAAAGACCGTACGGTTATAGTCGAATGAGCTTCGCTCATCGTAATTGCAACCATCTTACAACGGCGCAGACACGATGCAATCTAGATGACTGTTCTTCTCGAGTATTGGAGGTTCAAGCAGATAGCTACCGGCGCATGTCGCTAGCGCAGAGTACAGTGGTCAGTTGTAGTTGCACAGGCGCGGGGTCAGTCGTTGTTTATGAGGCAGAGCCGCAGAGAAGGTGTCCATATACTCGCACGCGGCAGAAGGGCATGCGACGACCGCTCGCTGCCATGTACGGATGCGCGCGCTGTGGAAGCTGGGGCTGTTGACAAAAAGGCGATGCGTCCAGCCGGCCAACTGAATCTAGAATCTGGAAATGAGACACCCGCCGAAATACTTGCACCAATGACGAAAAGGGCCAGCTCGCACAAGTTGAATGGCCAAGCAGGACAAGTTGGACAACTCGTGAATCGTGAGTCGTGAGTCGTGACTCCTGAGAGACTCGTGAATCATAGACTCGGCGCAGTGAGCGAGCTCCCAGACTACTCGGCTGCCGCTAGTGTACATCGTCATTTGTTTGCTTCAGCACTAGTGCAGCTCATACATGGCCTATTTCGAATAAGGCCATTCAGCTTGTCATGTGTCAAGCTTAAACCGCTATGGCCTGTGCGTTTACACCATCATGGCCGTGAAGTGACAGTTGACTGACGGGTCTTTAGCGTTCGTCGACACATAATGTCATGAGTCATGACCTGGCATGCTGTGTCAGGCCTCAGGGCGCAATGATTCGTATGCCGGGAAGAACTCCCTTGTTCTCCCTTGTGCCCACTGCTGCCAGTCCATCGTCAGAGTCTTTTGATACTCGATATTCGAGAGTCAGTCAAAGGCTCAATGTGGCTTGAACAGCATTCTGAACAATCCTAGCTAGCGGCTAGATCAGGACGATAGAGACCAAAGCGGCCGCGAGGGCCCAGTATCGCTTCTGAATACCCGAAGCGGATATAGATGTCGATAGAAATCATATGCGTCCCTTAGAAGTTAGAACTTAGAAGCCCAGGACTTCGGAAGTTTTGGTTCTTTTGGAATCTCCTTCGCCTATTTCCGTCAGCGAAATAGGCGGGTGGCGGGGGCCTAGACTCCTGCGGCCTGCCAAGTTCTCAACGGCTGTCAAATAGATCGCTTAACTTCTTAAGCTATTTTAATCCCGCGGTCGGAAGACTTTGGACGAAGAAGGGATAGCACAACTTGCAAGAGTGCGAATCGAAGTCAGGCATTCATCGCATAATTGTCGTCATATTAACCCAAATGTATGCCAAGATGACGTCTAATGAATTGTAGACATGTGCATTGGCGACGAGGCGGCGGTACTCAGGCGAATGGTCCGCGTCATCTACCGCGATGGGTATTAGGAGATCAAGGGACCAGGACGCAAGCTTTGATCAAGGCCTGGTAATGGTATCGATTGGCAGCATGGCACTCAATTGCAACTGTGAGGTGCCTTTGCTGTCAAGTTGAAGCTCTAAAGGGAGTCTCATTTGGCTTTAGTTGATTTGTCCATCTTACGGCTGTCCACAGTTCACCAGGTCGAGGGAGGGAGCTGGCGCTGCGTGTAGTTGGGTCTGCCGTGGGTCAGTCCTCGATCTGATAAAGTCACGTGCAATCAGATAAATATGCCAATCTCATCTCCGCAGACAGAGATAGCACAACTATATACCCCGGGCCTTGCGCTACAAAGCGAGCTGTCGCCGCCATAGAAGTGCAGTGTAGAGCAGCAGGTCATGCCGCCAAAGGCACCGACACTCGCCATGAAGCCCAGTGCTTCACCTGCTGCCAATTCGCCACAAACAGGCGATGTCACAATACAGACGACCAAGTCTTGGGTATTACCAGAGAGACCAAAGCCGGGACGTAAGCCAAGTACCAGCAATCCACAAACGAAACGTAAGACTCAGAATCGAGATGCTCAACGTGCATTTCGAGAGAGACGGGCGATGCGTGTGGGTGAGCTTGAGCAGCAAATCAGGACCATGGAAGCAGACCATCGTGCGCAATTAGAAGCAGTCGAGCTGGAAAAGACAACATTGTTTCAGGAAGTCTCTCGTATGAGAGAGATGCTTGAGAGTTTGCAGAGGGAGAATACCAAGCTGCGTCTTGCCTCGCTTACTCGAGCAGACAGCCTCACAGAGCCAAGCCCACTACGACACACACTCCAAACGCACCATGGCATGCGTCCTGGCCAGCAAGTAGCCTCTCCCTCACCTTCTATCGAAGCATCATCTCCAAGACGGCCTTCCATCAGCTTCTCCAGTATTGACGAAGCATTCCTCGGCCAAGCTGTACCACTGCCCAGGCGCACGAAGCGTACCGCGGGAGCAGGCCTTGACCTCTCCACCGGCTACATCGGACAATTAAAACGCGTCAAGACGGAAGAAGCCATCATTGAGCAAGACTTCACGACTGCAAACTTGCCATACAAGCTACGACCCGCTGAACAGGACGGCTGTGGCTTTTGCTCAGATGGTACGCCGTGTCTATGTGCTGAGGCTGCACAGTCGGCAGCCAAGTCACTCATCGCTGTCAAATCTCGCTCAAACAGTCGTGATGGTATTAGTGCATTGGATACGCTTGCTACAATTGCTGAGGAAGACAATGGTTTGTGTACCGGTAACCCGGGAAGCTGCAAACAGTGCCAGCAAGATCCAATGAGTACGCTATTTTGCCGCACGTTGGCATCCCAGTCGCCACCTAGCATGCCCGTTCACTCACGCACGCCATCGGAAAGCGGTAGTACTCGACCACTCTTGCAACGAGCGAACTCATTGACCTTCACGACCTCTTCACTCAGGGACAGTACGCCACCGCCACCTTCCACAACACAGCAAGCATTCATTCCATGCTCAGCAGCCTATCAGACACTTTCGAGACATGCCAACTTTGACGACTCGGATCTCGGGCAGCTTGTGTCTGGGTTGCGTGTGGACAAGGCCGATGGACGTGGCGTGTCTGTTACGTCTGTGCGAGATGCGTTGAGGTCTCTCGACCGTGGCTTTGATCGTAGTGCATAGGCCATTCATGCATTAGCATAGCGTGTGTAGAGAGCACTCATTCTCTGACTTGCGAACTTCTTGTCGACTGTCCGACCTGCAAGTACCATACACTTGGATTGGCCTTGACGAGCTAAGAATGCGTCCTTGGACTATCCAAACTGATAATGGGATTGCTGCTTCAGCCATTGAAACCATACTGCCTTTTGAAGTTGATCCAGTCAACGGCTTTATCAGGGGTCAAATAATTGATCCTGAACTGATTCAAGGACAACTCGCCACGAAGCTGCTCCATCGCCTCAATCGCCTGTTCAACATTCGCAATGCCCGGCAAAGCAGCCACCTCATCAATCGCATCAATAATGGCCTTTCTCTTGTAATAAAACTTGCGATCCGTCGGACTCGTACACCAATTCTCGAGGCCGTATTGGTCATTCAATGAAGCAATGCTAGGGTACTCTTCATTCCCAACATGCCATTCGCGCCAAGCTTCAGCGACCGTCTTGACTTTATAGCGATCCTTCTCGAGTGGATTGGCAATAGAGCTAGCTTGATGTAACGTTGTGGCACCGGGTGTTTGTCTATTCGGCGTCCCCTGTGACATTCTCGTACTGGGCGCGATAGGCGCAGGTGTCGCCGATTGCCTTGCTTGCGCTGGATTGGACCCGACTGGCGCAATACGAGTATTTCGCGTAGGAGCAGGTTGTGGCGTTCCAGTGCTGAACATGGAGCGAGGCTGCTCGCTTTGCACACTCAGTGTATGAGGTGCAACAGCTGCAGGTGGCATGAACTGTCCTAACGCAGGTTGTTGTGCGCCGAGTGACGGAGCCATGGGCATAAAGGAGACGCCATTTTGTGTAAAGTTGGAATACTGCTGCAATGCGTTGCACATGTCGGAAAAGCCATGCATGAGCAGTCCAATTGTTGCGTCCAGTCTCCTCTTGGACTCTTGTTGAGCCATCTCTGACATGCGCGCATTATGTTCCATTCTTTGTATTGTCTGTTCGAGGGATGCGATTTTAGTTAGAAGTGGTGATTGAGACTGGTCGCCCGCTTGTCGCAGGGAATCATTCGCTAATGATTGCGGAGGCTGCATGACTGATGGCTGTTCTGTCGATAACACAGCCTCCATAGTGTCCTCGCCCGTAGCTTGAGTCGCGCTTGCTCCAGTCACTGGCGCAGTCTTTCTGCGACGCGTCCGTGCAGCTTGCGGGTTATCCTGCGCACGCAACTTGATGAGCTCGCGAACACGAGGCGAGTACGGGTCTGGACTATCATTGATGCCAGCCTCAGTTTGCTCTGTCCATAGTTGCTTGACTGCCATGACCGCCAGCTTGATGGTGGTCGCTGCCAACCCAGGCTTACTGCCATCCGGTAATCTCGAGCTCCCAATATCACACTTTCGCTCCCACAAATCTTGCACGATGAATGCTGCACATCTATCGGGTGTGACTAGCCTAGCTGTACCGTGAGGGCCAGGATCTTCATATCGCGCATCACAAAACTCATTCCAAACACGTTGCCAACGGCCATAGGCGAGTGTTGTGCGAGGTACGTGCTTTTGTGCGGTGCCTCCCAATTGAGCCGCCGCTTCCATATCGAGCTCCATGGGCGCTTGTTCATCTACTTCTGGTGAGGATTCAGCCGTCATGGTGGGTTGTCCCTGATTCATGTTTGTATTGTTCGATGAAAAGAGGGTGGGATTGTAGGCTTGCGCCGAGTTTGCTGAAGATTGAGTATTGTGATGAGCGGGCGACGCTGCAACTCTTGGAGTCTGACGCTTTGCAATCGCGACACGGGGCATGCCACCGGGAGGACTCTACCTGATGCCTTTATTGTATTTCCCGTGAGGAGTCGAACTTGGATGGCAACCGCGCGTGAGGGGACGGGAAAAAACAAAAGCAGGCACCAGATGGCGAGACAGGATGGCTCATGTACTTATCTACATCCATTATACATCAACAAGACCATGATCATTGACATGAACATTCTCTTCATTCTGTGCTTCACCCTCAATGACTCTTGCTGCAGTCTGATTGACCTTCTTGGCCAACATGGATCGAATTTCCTTGACTGGGAGTTGCTCGAGTTCAGCAAGGGACTTATCGCTCAGCCCAAAGAGTGGCTTATTGGAACGATTGTCGATGGCCCAAGTATCGACTTTTGCTGGTGGGATAGAGGTGAGAACATCTAGCTCAAGGCGAATCAGCCTGCAGTATCGTTCCAGCTGGAGATGTCAGTTGTGGCTCGAACGATGGATTACTCACGTCAAGGTCATTCGAGTCGAAACCAAAAGGATCCTCAATTTCAGAGCCAATGTAGTAGAGTGAGAAGAGAAACGAGCTCGTGACCATGCATAGGGGAATGGTTGCCCAAGACAGGACAGAGCATAGCTGAAATGGCAGTCCAATGACGAATATCCATAGGATCTGAGAGATGACAATATCTGTCCTTTAGCTGCTGCTTGGCACAAAAAACGTACTGTATGCCACGGGAAAGATTGTGCTTTGTATACGTTCGCAATTGCTCGTAAGCTGATCTGAGTTGTCAGCGAGGCGCCCCATTCAGAGCTTCACATACTCATCTCGTGCAACAGGATCGTCATATTCTGTGCATAATAGTTTTGCAGCGACGGATTCGCAGACCGGACATACTCCATGTAAGACTGTAAATGGTAAGTAATCTCTGTTGGCAAGACTCCAGCAGACAGTGTCGCTTGACACCAGTCGTCCCCCAGGGTCTCATCTTCATTGTGAAGGAACCAGGTCGAGCGCAACTCTGCCTCCTCCCTGTCCAAGTAAGAATCAGTATATGCAGGCTGTGCATGCGACCTTTTGCCATCCTTCGGACGCCTGGAATATGTATCCAAGTGTGGAATCAAATGAATCAAGTCAGGTGCCGTATGTCCACGCTGATTACGCAGATGGTTCTTGAGACTTACGGCAAAGATGCCAATGAGATTGATGGCAGACTTCTTGAGCAATATATCACGCGCTGCGTATTGCCCTGTTCTTTCGGGCCCAGAGATCCAAATGACGCGGGAGAGGTTGCGTGCATTCGAAGTCAGCCTATCCCAGGCAATCCTAACGTATGTCAGCGTACAAGTTGAATGAAAGCATTCTTACCGTGCTTCCCACCATCGCGCATAGCTTGACTGTGTACGAAATGAAAGAGACAAACTGACAATGAACCCAAGCGTCGAGATGAGGACAGGGTTTATCTCAAGGGAGTACCGCGTCAGCTCGCTTATTGCCACGACACCAGTGGCGAAGATGCCGATGGATACAATTTGTGCCCAGATTTGGGGAAGGACAGAGCCTGAGATACGGAATACGTAGGGATACTTCCTGATGGGCTCATGTCTATGATCCAGCATGAGGCCTGCTCGCTTCAATCGCTTTGTCGCGTCGTGTTGGGTTGAAGTGGGGAGCAGATTCAGATGCCACGAACAGGCATGACATCACGAACATGTCGAGGTCTTATAAGAGGCGATACAGGACAGGCTCTACTCAGTAACAACCATACTATGTCTGATCAAAAGCCAGGACTCGTTGCAGCACACCTCAACTATGCGAAAGGGGCCGCAGAGGTAGATCATTTACGGCTCAATAACTCATTTGCTGATATCCCAGGAAACAATCGGCAATGTGACAGGATCACAAGACTGGCAAAAGTCAGGCAAGAACGACCAGTCTGCTGCACGCGATGACATGAAGGCTGCATCGAATGCGAGTACCGACCCAGCAGCTCGTCAGCCTAATGGCAGTTTGGCGCGCGAAGGTGGCCTTGAGAGCAAAATTGGTTCGCTTGTTGGGTGTGAGGGTATGGAACAGGTTGGTGAAGAGAAGAAGACTCAAGCTGGAAAGTAGTCCCTTTTAATTGGCATGATAACATATGCAACTGTTGGCGTCATGCTACTCTGTATGGTCGTTCTTGAGCCTGTGTCGGCTTCTTGTTGAATTCATAAGCTCAGTCGTTGAGGCATTGCAAGAGGTAAGCTGGACGACCGTACTTAGAGGGGAAGTACGAGGACACCCGTAGTTCACCATACTAAGACATACAGTCGCATACTGGGTGCTCTTGTCAGGGATGAGGTCGCGAGATGGGCTGGCAAAATGATGCCATCGACCAAGCTCCTTGAACCATCCAAACAACAGATGGCGACAACAACCAGCTATATCTGCTTCCACTTTCTTACAATGGCTTTTCCTTATTGCTGCTCTGATGCTTGTCGCTACACCTCAGCAAGCTCCTCTTCGCTCTCCAGAACACGCCCGTGAAAGTGCGCGTGATCCATTGACACCTTCATCCATCATCGCTTCTCCATACCCTGATCTATTGCTCTCTCTCAAAGATCTCGAGCCAGCACATAAAGAGCTCGCCTTGAGACTACAGCGTCTATCACCAGCTTGTCCAGCTTCTTCATTCTGGTCAAATGACCCAGTCACTGCAACGGCATACCCAAAAGCCTTCAACTTCGATGCACTCTTAGAAACCTTCCCTGCCTGGCTTCGTCGACATGGCCACCAAAGCGTGTCATTGACATGTATCGTCTTTCGCTCGACCCTTGCACCCGGTGCTATGAGTCGATCTACCCAACAAACGACAGCTGCAGACGCGCAAGAGACACTATTAGCGGCCCTGTATAGGCTTGACAAGGAAGCATATCAAGAAGCACTCTCACACGTGGGCGGACTCTTGAAATACTGGTTCGGTACAACCGCCGCTGCTGCTACCACCTCTCTGAACAAGACAACAATAGAGATGAGGCCTGCAGAGATGGCGTTGTCTAGGTCACGACAGAATCTGGCGACATGTTTATGGGTGTCTGCGGATCATGCACGACGCGCTGCTACGTTGCCTGCGCATCGACAAGCACAGGCACTCGTGAAGCAAGGTGTGTATAGCAATTGGCGTGTTGAGCGGTGGTTACTGACGGTGAATCAATCAGGCCATGCTTTTCAAGATCTCGGAGCATGTCATTGAATGACCTTGACAAGCATTTGCGCGAATGAACTTCTACAGTCAAACGTCGACTTATGTCTATAATGAGGAATGAAGGTCTACTCCGTATGTCCAATGCAAAAAGGACTTGCCCTTGATGTTGATTACCCAAATTACACCTGGACCGTCTCACCAGGGGCACCGAGCTTAGGCTCTTCATGGTGCACGTCAGCCAAGGGGAATGCTGATAAGCAGTGGGAGATATCACCCCACCAAGACTCTCCGTAAGTCTTGTACCAATCCACAGTCAACTTGAGACCTGTTGCAAACGAAGTCTTTTGCGTCCATCCCAAAGCTGTAATCTTGGCAGCATCAACAGCGTAACGCATGTCGTTGAAGGGACGGTCGTGCGTGTGCTCAACCCATTTATCCCAATCTGCTCGTGGCAAACCAAATTGATCCATGAGTAAACCACAGAGATCCTTGTTGGAGATTTCATCCCGTGAGCCAATGTTGTAGATTTGACCAATGCTGCCCTTGTGGAAGATGGTGTCAAAGGCATCAGCAGCATCACCGGCAAACAAGTAACGACGGGTAGGTGAACCATCGCCGTGAAGGATGGCCTTGCGCTTACGGTTCAACAAGCAAGAGAACTTTGGAATGACCTTCTCCGGGTACTGGTGAGGACCATAGACGTTGTTGGAACGCACAATGATGATGGGGAGCTTGAAGGACTTGTAGTACGCATTGACAATCATCTCTGCAGCGGCCTTGGAAGCAGCGTAAGGGTTGGTGGGTGCCAAGAGGGCCGTCTCGAGCAAGTCATCACCATCTGCCTCAACTTCACCGTACACCTCGTCTGTTGAGATGTGGATGAACCGCTTGACACCAGCATTCTGGGCACACTCGAGGAGGACGTGTGTGCCGAGGACGTTGTTGTTGGTGAAGGTGTAGGAGTTACCAAAGGACAAGTCCACGTGAGACTGAGCAGCATAGTGCATGATGGTATCGACGTTGTGCTTCTTGAGGACAGCAAGGGTCTGCTCGGGATTGGTGATGTCTCCTTGTTCAAAGGTGAAGTTGTCCTTGCCGTCGAGAGCAGCGGTGTTGTTGCGCGATGCACAGTAGTCGAGCTTGTCGTAGGAGATGATGTTGTACTCTGGGTACTGGTGAACGAAATGCCTGACGACGTACGAGGCGATGAAGCCCGCTCCACCCGTGATGAGGATGTTCTTTGTGTCTGAACGAGCCTGTGAGGAATTAGTAAAGACGCGTCTTTAAAGTTCGATTGGACGCGACGTACGGGGAATTTGGTGCTGCCGATGTAGACTGGACCCATGCCCTGTGAGGATGGCGCGGTAGACATGCTGAAGTGCGAAGAGAAGAGAGGGAAAGAAGGTGAGGAAGTGGTTGGTTTGTGGTGTGGTTTGTGAGTTGGGCAGCAGTCGAGGATTATAAGGCGCGTCCTCTGCTGCTGCTGCTGCTTCTTTTTATTTCTTCCTTCCCCTTTCTTCAGATATGGCACACAGCAGACACGGCGACTAGCAGATATATATACGGGCCAGGACAGCATATGATCATGGCCATCACAGACAACGGCTCCTCATGATCTCCTACTCCTTCATTTCACCTACATTCAGGAGACTCACCTCCTGCTCCCCGATGTCTCTCTTGCTACCAACTACTTGCAATTGCCAAGATGTCTGGATCAGCGTCAGGAACATCCAGCAATCAATCAATCCGGGCCAGGAACAGCCCGCAGCCCGCAGCAGAAATGCTGCAGAATCCCATCGAGGCTCCGAAGAAGACGCGAAATTCTATCCCACGCCCATCCGGAAATTCAGAGCCAGGACGCGACCAACACCAACGACTACTTTTATATACAAATCTTTAAACAGTTTCCATTGCATTGCACAATTTGCATTGCATTGCCTACTGCTAGCATGGCTCCCTCCAAGAGACTCATCGCATTCGTCGGACTTGGTCTCGTAGCCCTCATCCTGCTTTTCCAAACGCGGGCCACCCTCACAAAGCACAAGGCATCAGGCGTATTTGACTACACAGGCGGCCTGACCTCCGTTGCGTCAAGTCTCTCTATGAGCAATACAGACGCAGTCTTATATGTCCATTACGACGGCGACCCAATTGGCCGACGCAACTTGCAATTCTTCATCGACCATGCACTTCATAGCAAAGTCGACTTTTATTTCATCATCAACGGCTACAACCTAACTGCAAACATCCCAGAAGCCAGCAATATCCACGTCATCAAACGCGAAAACACTTGCTACGACCTCGGATCCTTTGGTACGGTGCTCCAGGCAAATGACGGCGAAGTCATGAAGAAGTATAAGCGCTTCATCCTAACCAACTCCTCCGTCCGCGGACCTTTCTTTCCAAATTGGGCACGTCTCGCAAAACAAGCGTGTTGGACAGATAAACTCTTTGCACCCCTCAGTGATACCACAAAACTCGTCGGCTTAACAGCAAATTGCGAACACATCCATGGACCGAGACATCTCCAGTCTTTTGGTCTCGCCACCGACTCGATTGGTTTGGAAGCACTCCTACCGGCTCTCAAATGCTTCACAGATCGTATGGACGCTATTATTAATGGTGAGATGGCCATCACGCAGCGTGTCAGAGATGCAGGCTATGATGCTGTTCCCTTGTATTCTGCCTATGCCGATGCCGGTCGCTCAACCCAATCCAATGCTGCCTTTTGGGAGACGTGTGAGCATATCGACATCTTCTTCCCTGAGCGCTACTTTGAAATGGATGCGCATCCCTTCGATACCCTCTTCACTAAAATTCATCGACAGGATGAGTTTACGAGTACTGATCCGTTTTCACCATTGGGCATGAAGGTTTTGCATCAATTGACCGATTGGGCGGATCAGAGCAGCTTCTCTAGTTACGACCAGTGCTAGATTGAGTCTGGCATTGAGTGTCGTCCCACAGATGGTCTCTGTGCAATGTATCAAGGGCTCTTCCACGGATGCGATCCTGCAACGATATTACGATGGCCGTCAGGGGTATCCTTCCTTAGCTGGACGTACGCCAGCTCTTTGCCTACCGGACGATGGGAATGGTTGCTTGCATACTCAAAGGTGTTATGCTGGGCAGGCTCATCGACACCGCGTACGCGCATGGGCACCCTGATTGCCAGTATCTATGCCCAATGCTGAAGATGTCTCGATACTACTGGCCATATTATCCGATGGATCTTGTCAGGCTTTCAAGCTGCGGGCTGGTATATTCTCCTTCCGCTCTTCGCCTTGTACAATAAAAGACAAGCAAGCTGCATTCTCACGATTCCGTGGTGCTTTGTATATTGACATGCTGAGTGTTTCTTAGGAATTCACTTCAGCTACCCGTTGAAATTTTGAATAGATCCATGCTGAGCCCTGCTGATGAATCCATGCTGAGCCCTGCTGATGATCTCTGGGTCTGAGTCCTGATCATTAAGTCAGCCCCGACTCCGACACCCCTGAGTCCTGACTGAAGAGTTCCGCAACTTCCCGCCTGCTCACAGCTTGCAAACTGTAAATTCTGTAATTGCTCAAGTGAGTCGAAGTGACCCACGCGCGCGCACGGGAGCACGGGCCAGGGGCCGGGCCCACACCGTAGCCGGACATTGCCCTTTCGGGAAACGACTTTTTTCGTCCCGTTTTCGCGATTCGCGAGTCAAACGCACGGGCTGCACGGAGGCCGCAATCGGCCAATAACCTTGAGCAGCTGCCTGACACGGGCCAGCGTGAATATCAGCAAAATCAAGTCGTGTCCATCTCGAATGGTTGTGGTTGAAAGTCAGGAACCCAATTCAGGGTCCAGGATTGATTAGACGGCACACTTGACGTTTGACTGACGGACCAGCGATGGCGTGCCTCAGAAAGCTTCCATTGATTGAAGGACAGGCTGGCAGCTAGCTGACTATAGCGAGGCCTCGATGCTGGACACTAGCTATGACAGGTCGTGGGTGATGAGCACTTTTGGCAAGCTGCCACTAGTTGGCTCATCAATGGCAGCGAATCATGAATCATGAGCAAAGCTGAGTGGTTCTGGCTCGCTTGACTCGCTTGTGTGAAGTTGCGTCTGACCCGAGCGCTTTGCAATTGATTCAGCTTGGTCCCGCGGTGCTGCATGAAGCCCGATTCCTGCCTCGTCCGAGTCGCCCCTGACGGGCCAGTGACGGCTTGGCAAAGTTGGCATGTCAAAATTGAAATCGAATGTACTGGATGCAAGTTTGAGCATCCCGAAGGGCTAAACAGCCTAGACTGTCAACGTTGATAAGACCTTGAGGCCTGCTTCTGCACCATGACAAACGCAAACGACCCCTCAAGCGATAGAACAGTTGTGCAATTACTGAAATGGCACCTTCTCGCAAATCGACTTGGTCGACCGGCGCCGCTCTGGTTCTCGGCTCTTTGATGTTCTACTTCCTGACGAGCTTGGTTGGATCTGGTGCACACTCGAAAAGCTCTGCTTTGTCAAAAGCTTCTCTACCCAACACAGATGCAGTCTTGTACGTTCATTACGACGGCAGTGCGACTGGTCGACGCAACCTGCAGTTCTTCATTGATCATGCATTACACAGCAATGCAGACTTCTACTTCATCATCAATGGCTACAACGTGACTGCAATGATCCCAGAAGCCAGCAATATTCATGTCATCAAGCGTGAAAACGCATGCTTTGATCTTGGCTCCATTGGCGAAGTTGTTCAAGCAAATGACGGCGACATGATGAAAAAGTACAAGCGGTTCATCTGCCTCAACTCGAGTATACGTGGTCCCTTTTTCCCAAATTACGCCAGACTTGCAAAGCAAGCATGCTGGACACAGAAGCTGTTCGAGCTCCTGAGCGACACTACGAAATTGGTTGAGCTAACGGCGAATTGTGGCGACCCTGATTACGGACCAAAACATCTTCAGTCCTTTGCGCTCGCAACAGATCAAATTGGGTTGTAAGCTTTGTTACCCACTCTCAAGTGCTTCACCGACAAAGTGGACGCCATCAAGCACGGAGAGACTGCGCTCACACAGAGTGTTCGAGATGCAGGATATGACGCTGTTCCCCTGTATTCTGCCTATGCAGATGGCGGTCGCTCCAGCAAATCAAACTCTGAGTTCTGGGAGAGCTGTAAGCACAACGACATTTTTTACGCTGAACAGTACTTTGGCATGGATGTACATCCTTTTGACACCATATTCACCAAGGTCTGGCGAGGCGACCGGGGCACGGCGCCACTGTCTCCCTTAGGTATGAAGGCATTGGATCAGTTGACCAAATGGACAGATGAAAGCAGTTTCTCCAGCTATGACCAGTGCTGAGGGCTGTCATCAGAAAAGCAATGTTTTGATGGCACACCACCATTGCCGCATATTTATGATGTTGAAAGCCTTTTGATCCAACTACGGCCACTAGAAGTGGCCGAGAAGACCAGCTAAATAGCTCTGAGGGCTCTGTCAGTGGGCTGACACCGACAAGGCAATCAACACCGTGTCAGGTGGTACGGTATGTGCCGTGGACTTCCAAGTTGAAGTTACAACTCTTGGCATCACTTGCTACACCAAGCTCAACCTGATGGTACAAAACGCGCTGCAGCTAGCACGGCTGGAAAGCTTGACCTGAGATCAGCAAAGCTCTCGGTGATGATGAGATCCTGCTCTAGTCTGACGACTATTTCATTGGTACAACTCAGTATACAATAAACAAGTTGCGACTGCAGGGTGTTTGACCATATAGAGAGAGCATCTTGCATATGGGGCCTTATTTGTAAGGTCCTATCAGCCGCAATGTTGGCGGTCGACAGGGTGAATTATTTGCGTTGATCGGGTAATCTGTCTCAACATTCGCCTGGCTAATCGTGGCAATGCCTGTAGAGTATATACGGTCTAGTTACGGATTAACTGATGAGCTCCACATGTAGCTTTCAATTCAGGTCTGATGATGACACCTTTTAGTATCTGCCATGGTTATGACGTAAGCGTACAGCTTATAATCTGAAGACTGCAGGCTCACTTTGTCGAAGTGCTATGACGGATGTCTATGCACTGCCCAGCATGACTGTATGATACTTTCAAGATACGAAGAGCTCGAGCATTTAACACGATCGCGAGCTTTTGGCAAGTTGTGTCGTTGATGTTGGCAGGAGTCTGAATTCAGGGGCACCCATAGTTTGTGATTTTGGCAGCACTTATGTGGATCAGGAGTGGCCCCTCCTGAAACAAGTAAACAAAGATATGGATGAAGAAGACACGTAGGGGTAGATGAAACACGTCGTCTTATTCTTGACACCTCATCACTGTACAGTATCAACACACACTTCCGATTGAGATACGCAACCAGACAATAATCAAGTAACGGAACAGTAGTGCGATTGTTGAGATGGCAACTTATCGCACATTGGCTCGGTCGACTACCGCTGTTCTGGTCATCGGCTCCTTGATGTTCTACGTCCTGACGAGCTCTTTTAGATCTGATGTACACTCCTCAAGCTCCGCTTTGCCAAAGGCTGCTGTATCCAACACAGATGCAGTCTTGTACGTTCACTATGATGGCAGTGCTGCTGGACGACGCAATTTACAATTCTTCATTGACCATGCACTACACAGCAATGCAGACTTCTACTTCATCATCAATGGCTACAACGTGACTGCAACGATCCCAGAAGCCAGCAATATACATGTCGTCAAGCGTGAAAATACATGCTTCGATCTTGGCACCATTGGCGAAGTTGTGCAAGCAAAGGACGGCGACATGATGAAAAAGTATAAGCGGTTCATGTTCCTCAATTCGAGCATACGTGGCCCCTTTTTCCCAAATTATGCAAGACTTGCAAAGCAAGCATGCTGGACACAGAAGCTGCTCGGGCTCCTTAGCGATACTACGAAATTGGTTGGGCTAACGGCAAATTGTGGCGACCCTGATTACGGACCAAAACATCTCCAGTCATTTGCGCTCGCAACAGATCAAGTTGGGTTGCGGGCAATGTTACCCATCCTCAAGTGCTTCACCAACAAAGTGGACGCCATCAAGCACGGTGAGACTGCACTTACACAGAGTGTCCGAGATGCAGGATATGACGCTGTTCCCCTGTATTCTGCCTATGCAGATGGCGGTCGCTCCAGCAAATCAAACTCTGAGTTCTGGGAGAGCTGTAAGCACAACGACATCTTTTACGCTGAACAGTACTTTGGCATGGATGTACATCCTTTTGACACCATATTCACCAAGGTTTGGAGAGGCGACCGGGGCACGGCGCCACTGTCTCCTCTTGGTATGAAGGCATTGGATCAACTGACCAAATGGGCAGATGAAAGCAGCTTTTCCAGCTATGACCAGTGCTGAGGGCTGTCATTAGAGAAGCAAATTTCAAATGGCACACTAATACTGCCGTATCTTTATGCTTCAGACGATTCTTTTGCAGACTATAGTCGCTACAATTGGCTAGAGAGCCCATCTACCACGTGTAAGAGCTCTGCCAGAACAGATGACGCAACCTCGCGCATGACTTGGTTCTTGCACACGTACACGAGACGCCGCTGTCTCTCTGGACTCCTCCTCTTGCATTTGCAGCTTGCCCTAATGTGAAGAGGAAATTCCATGTCCATACTGTACACACATTGCCACGAACAGCCAAATGCATGTTTAGGTAGGCCACTGGCCCAATGCAGATAGATCATCTCGTTGACGATGAACGATACGCGTGAAGGGATCCTCTAGATCATGGGAAAGCTCTGTCGCAATGGTCAAATGCCTTGCCACCGCAACTTGTGTTCTAAAACTCGACGCCATCGTGCCAATGAAGTAGGCAGACTTGAGCAGCATCTCAAAATCAATGAGAGCTTGCTGATCACAGGTCAAGCCTTCGGCCCGTTCTACCTGCAGCGCGATTCTTGCCAAGAGGTCTGGATGTGTATATGAACGTCTCTTTCCTGCAAGCCAATGAGACAGAGTTTTATCCAGGGGAAGGGTAGCTCTAGACAGGCACGCAATCTCCGTGTCATGGCCTCATAGGCGGCTTGAATTTGTCGACCGAATGGCCGCATGTAAGACAAAAATACAACAGAATGGCACACCGGGACAACAGGAAGATTGGTAGCGGGTCATTGATAGCCTGAAGGATATTCGTTAAAAACCATGGTATCGTTTATGTCTTGTCGCTTGAGAGGAGCACACTCAGTCTAATAGGAGAGAGTATCTCAAACAACGTACAGTATTCGGTGGCCATGAAACATGCTGAAGGTCATTGCGACTCACTGTGCCAGCACTGCGAAAGAGAATCACCATGAGAGTGTAGGCAAGCTAGTCAAAAGGCAGGTCTCAGCACTGACCTTGACTTGTGAATTTGCTGTCATCTGCCAATTGCGTCAAGTCTGCAACAAGCTTCATACCAATATCAGACATGGCATTGCGTCGTAGGAAGCCATCCTCGTGCCAAACTTTGATGAACATGGTATCGAACGGATGAACATCCGTATCGTGGTACGCACCAGGCCAGAATACATCGCTATGCTTGCAACCCTCCCAGAACTCTGTATTGGATTTCCGACCGTTGGACAGGAACTCACTGTACAGTGGCACGGCGTCCCATCCTGCATTACGGACAAGTTGCGTCAAGACATGCTCGCCTTGTTTGAAAGCTTCATCGCCGTTCTTGAAACATGCCAATGCCGGCATCATAGCTTCGAGACCCATCCTATCCGTTGCGAGCATATGTGCTTGTAGATGTTTGGGTCCCCATGTTGTATCACAATTGGCTGCGAGTCCAACAAGCTTCGTGTTGCCCTTCAGTGGTGAGAATATAGCATTCGTCCAGCAGGCCTTGTTCTCACGTCTCGCCCATCCTGGGAAGAAAGGTCCACGTACGCTTGAACCAGTCAAGATGAATCGCTCGTACGTCTTTTTGATGGCACCATCGTCTGCTTGCAGGACCTCTCCAATCGCACCGAGGTCAAAGCATTCCGTTTCACGCTTGATGACATGGATGTTGGGTGCATTGGGAATCTTTTGAGATAGATCCAAACCATTGATGATGAAGTAAAAATCAGCCTTGTCATGTATCGCGTGCGCGACGAAGAATGCAAGGTTGAGGGGACCATCTTCTCCTTCGTTTTCAAAGTAGTACAGCACGGCGTCCTTGTTGGGCTTCGGTACCTCTGGTATGATCGGAAAGGGGGATACTCCGTCTACAGGTGCACTTTGCGGCAGTAACGCGTCGCCAGTGAGCTTGATGGGTCCATTATTGCCTTGGAAAGGTCGCTTTGCAGTCACGTAGTCTTGCACAGACTGACGATTGCTTCTACCAACGAAGAAGACTGCAGCCAGAGCGAGAAGCCCCAGGCCCAGTAGGATCCTGCGCGATGCAAGCGTCATGTGTCGTTGTCAGTCCTTGTCGCGTAGCCTGGCAATTTTGAAATTTCTGTGTAACCGCACAACCACCTTTGTGGTAATGACATTGGGTCCTGGAACAGTCTGAAGTGTGAGACTTGGTGCGCAAACAACTGTCACAACTACTGCGCGCGTGGCGCCCTACTTGAACGCGCGTTCACGCACGAAGTTGCGAACTGCCGGCAACAGAGAAAAGAAGGAGAAAGTTCTACATACAGGAGAAAGACTACTAGTGATACAGAAAGGACAGTTTGGATCTAGCCACACTGCTCGTAGCTCGAAAACTTGCTCGCGTCTGCCCACTCAGTCAGCCGATTCAGCGCAACCATGCCGAGTGGCGAGAACGGGTCAATCTTACCCTCGATCACAATCCGTGAAATCTTGGTAAACATCAAGTCAAATGGGTGAGCGTCCATACCCGCATAGTTCGCGGGCAATTGGACATCTGTATGTGTACATTGCGCCCAGAACTCTTGGTTCGTGTTCTCGACTTCCTGGTAGCGTGCGTACAGCGGCAGTGCTTCGTAGCCTGCATCTTTCACCAAGCTCGTGATGGCCAACTCTCCCTTATTGATGGCATCTTTGCGGTCGCTGAAGCATTGCAGAGCAGGCAGGATGAAGTCCATACCAAGTCTGTCTGTTGCCAAGGCAAAGGACTGCAGATGTTTCGGTCCAATATCTGCCTGACAATTGGCAGTGAGGCCCACTAACTTAACGCGGTCGCTAAGAGGACCAAAGAACTTGTTGGTCCAGCAGGCTTCCTTATTCGCGCGAGCCCAGTTCGGGAAAAAAGGGCCTCGTACAGACGAGTTGGTCATCAAGAAGCGCTTGTACTTTTTGAGAAGAGCGCCGTCATTTGCTTGTAACACCACACCAAACGAACCCAAGTCGTAGCAACTATTTTCCCGCTTAATGACAAAGATATTGTCTGCTTCGGGAATAGTCGCCGTCAATTCATACCCATTGATGATGAAGTAGAAGTCCGCCTTGCTGTGCAACGCATGGTCCAAGAAGAACTGCAAATTCCGAACACCTATTGGGTCGCCATCGTAATGCACGTATAGCACGGCATCTGTGTTCCCACCGGACGTGACGACTTGATCCAAGTGAATTTCCGACAGTGGCTTCTCATGAGGCTTGTCACCAGAGGCAACCTGCTCAGCCTGCCAATCGACCTTGCCTGGACTCAGGTAGGTATAGCCAGAGATGACACCATTGCTGCGCGCTCCGAGGTGGAAGACACCAATGAGTGCAGCAAGGGCAATGAACAGGCCAATGAAGCGGATAGAGAGGAGGCCGATCATTCTGTTTTCCCTAGGACTATCAAAAGCAGGAGAGCAGCAGTGTCTATAGAGCACTGCTAGACCAGAGGACGCGACCCCTTTGTCTTGTCCTTTGGGATTTCGGCACTCGTTCGCGACGCGACGCGAATTAGCGTTTCAGATGGGCAGCCACCCAGCTCAGCCGCGCCCGCTGTACTCCATCGAGCATGGCGACCTGCACTTGCTGCAATAATCTTTCTATGGCAAATGAGTCAGTCGCCTCTTTCAAAAGTCGCCTCTTTCAAAAGAGAGAACAATGCGACCGAATGTCAACGGAATCGAAGTCCAAGGCAATTCAAAACTATTCTGACCGCGACGAGAGTCCACAACGGACCAACAAGAAAGTGAAAGCTCTACAAAAGTGCTGTGATTATGGATGTTGAATCGGACGACGATGACGATAACTTCGTCCTAGATCAAGCGAGCCTGGAGGTAGATGCACACTGATTGAAGTAGAATACCCAATTAGAAGAGGTGGGCCTCACCAAAGCGTGACATCATGAGGACTACTTCAACCTGCTTCAAATGGGTGAGAATTCCCCATTTGCGCGGCCTCTACTGATACTATTGCACATTCTGACGACGTCCTTCAAAAATGAACGCGGTCCTGCATGCACACGCCACCTACATGAGCTAGAATGAGCACAAGGGATGGGCGACGGACCATCTGGAGAAACCATAGAAGTAAAGCTTGGCAACTTTTGAAATTTCTGTGTAACCGCACACGCATATGTTAATAATAACCTTCACTTGGAACACTGACATGCGGCGATGAAGACCATCCTCGCTAATCGATTTGTCGGACTCTTCCTGGCTCTGCTGGTACTTGTAGGTGTCTTTCAACTCGGCGCTCGAAGCAGTGGAGGTATCTCTGGCTATGAGTACTTTAGCACAGGGTCGACAGTATCCTCTCAGAAAGGAGGCTGGCACGTTGGACAGATCTTCTCGGGCAATCTCGGCACTTCAAAAGCTGGCGGCAATAAAGATGCCATCCTCTACGTTCACTACGACGGAGATCCAATTGGCCAACGCAACATACAATTCTTTGTGGATCATGCGTTACACAGCCGAGCGGACTTTTACTTCATCATTCAGGGGTATAACCTGACTATGGAGATCCCAAGGGCAAACAATATCTTTGTCATCAAGCGTGAGAACAGCTGCTACGATCTCGGAGCATTTGGTGTAGTCTTGCAGGCTGATGACGGACTTGTGCTCAAAAAGTATAAGCGGTTCCTCTTGACCAATTCATCAGTGCGGGGGCCATTCTTCCCCAATTGGGCACGCATCAACAAAGACGCCTGCTGGAGCAACAAGTTCTTCAATGTGCTGAGTGATCGCGTCAAGCTGGTCGGGTTGACGCCTGCCTGCGACCAGGTTGTGGGTCCCAAGCATTTACAGTCGTTCGCGCTTGCTCTGGATCGAACGGGCCTCGATACCATCTTGCCTGCTTTGCAATGTTTCAGCAATCGAGACGATGCCATCAACAAGGGTGAATTGGCCATCACCAAGACTATCCTGGATGCCGGCTACGAGGCCGTTCCTTTGTACTCGCAATACAAGGAATTTGACAGGACGAATGGCGAGTATTGGGGGAATTGCTCACATCCGGATGTACAGCTGCCTGCTGGGTATGCGGGCATGGATGCACATCCGTTTGACTTGATGTTCACGAAAGTCTCTCGCATCCATTTCAATGAGGTCATGGAGCCTTTAACACCGTTGGGCATGACTGCACTGGACAGACTGACTGAATGGGCGGATCAGAGTCAGTTCTCGAGCTACGAGCAGTGTGGATAGCTGCCTGCTTAGCCATGATGAATTGAAGACATGAAATGAAGATAGACTCCCTATAGATGGCCACTGTACAGACCATCCGCATAAATTTCGCGTTTTTCCCAGGTCAGGTTGCAGGCTCCGGAATTATTGTCTTTGCCATCAGTCAGCAGCAGCAGCAGCAGCCAGCAGCAGGGAAAGGGCGCCAGATTTATTTCTTCGCGTCCCTCTCCCATCGACCTACCCATCCAAACACCACCTAGCCATGTCTTCCACCAGCAGCAACAGCAACCGATACCTCGTCTTCGGACCCCGAGGATGGATCGGCGAACAGATGATTGCCATGCTCAAGTCTCAGGGCAAAGAAGTCAAGGGCGCCAACTGCCGTCTCGAGAACCGCGAAGATGTCATCAAGGAGCTTGACGAGTACAAGCCCACCCACGCCCTCAATTGTGCTGGTCAGACTGGTCGTCCTAATGTCGATTGGTGTGAGGACAACAAGGAGAGTACCATCCGTTCAAATGTCATTGGTACCCTCAACCTCGCTGATGCCTGTTGGCTCAAGGGTGTCCACATGACCAACTTTGCTACGGGTTGCATCTTCAAGTATGACGATGCTCACCCTATGCGTAGCGGCAAGGGATTCACCGAAGAGTCTGAAGCCAACTTTGACGAGTCTTTCTACTCCAAGACAAAAGCCTATGTTGAGAAGATCATTGTCAACTACGACAATGTCCTCAACTTGCGTCTGCGTATGCCCGTCTCGGATGACTTGCACTCGCGTAACTTTGTGACCAAGATCACCAAGTATGAGCGTGTTGTGGATATTCCAAACTCCAACACCCTCCTGCACGACTTGCTGCCTGCTTCCATCTTGTTGATGGATTCCAACACAACCGGTATCTACAACTTCACCAACCCAGGTGCTATTTCGCACAACGAGGTGCTTGCCCTGTACAAGAAGTACATCAAGCCTGACTTTGAGTGGAAGAACTTTTCCCTCGAGGAACAAGCGAAGGTGATCAAGGCTGGGCGTTCCAACTGCGAGCTTGACACGACGAAGCTTGTGTCGAGGTTGCGCGAGTTGAAGTACGAGGTGCCTGAGGTGCACGATGCATACGACCAGATGTTCCAGCGTATGGCGAAGAACATGGGCATTTCCAAGTAGGCTCTTCCTCTGTAGCTGCGTAGATGCTTCTCTCCTTCTGACTTCTGTCCCCTTGCTCCCTCCCCCGTCCCACTTCGCCAATTTTAAACGAGAATCCACAAAATCGGCGCACAGTCAAGCCCCAGGCTGCTCACCGACTCCCAAGACCCATAGACCGTATAGCTACTGGCGCGTCTCAATTGCTAAAGAAGCCCTCTGCATCCTTGCAATACCATCACTATCAGAGCACTCGCCAGCACAATGGCAGATGGCTACTTGCAACGCGTGCTAACACGCACCACCTTCCTCGCCCTCGCCTGCCTCCTCTATGCCCATGCACAGGAAGGCGACCTCATCACCCTCGAACCAGAACTCCCTCTCGATGGCAGCACAGGTGATCCTTCCAAATCCACCAACAGCGGCGGTGGGACCAACCTGGTTGCAGCATTGATTGCAGGTGCCTTTGCAGGCCTTCTCGTTGATTTATCCCTCTTCCCCCTCGACACCATCAAAACCCGTCTTCAATCCTCTCAAGGCTTTGCTGCCGCTGGTGGACTCTCGAATTTATATCATGGAATTGGATCGATTGCGCTAGGCTCAGCACCGTCGTCGGCTTTGTTCTTTGTTGCTTATGAGTGGAGTAAGTCGCACTTGACGCGTGACGGTGGTGCTGGCTTCTTGGGACACTTACTCGCAACGACCCTTGGCGAAATTGCAAGTTCACTCGTTCGTGTGCCAGCGGATGTGGTCAAGTCACGACAACAAGTCGAAGGCGACGGCAGCACTGCGACACACCACGCCGTCTCTCAAGAAGAAGAGGAAAGTCTTGAATCACCACAAATGACGATGGATCCACCAGCGGCAAAACATCAAACAACCCTGCTTGAAGCCATCAAGAAGGTGCAGGCTGAGGGCAAGGCAAGTTCACATTTTTTGGGTTCATTTTCCGCATTCTACACAGGTTGGCTATCCACCCTTGTTCGAGAAATTCCCTTTGGCTGTATCCAATTCCCCCTCTTTAGCTTCTTGAAGGCCATGGCATCGCCTGTGGGGGATAGCAATGAAATAAGTATGTTGGCAACGGCACTCTGCGGCATGGTTGCAGGTGCAGCAGCAGGGTCCTTGACAACGCCACTCGATGTTGTCAAGACACGCATCATGCTTGCTGAAGCAGGCGAAGCAGCCACCATTATGGGCGTCTTGAAGGATGTCCTTCGGCAAGAAGGTCCGCGTGGGTTGTTCAGGGGTGTTGTGCCACGGACATTGTGGATTGCTGGTGGTGGTGCCATCTTCCTGGGTGGATATGACTTCTTCTCGCGCTTCTTCTCTTCTCTCGCCGTTTCTGCTGTGTGAAGATTACATCCCATGCAGGCTTAGGCAGGTGTTAATGCACATAGACTGAAACTGATGTCTTCACCATGTTCCCCAGCACGCTTCATGAACTGCTTGACCACCTCCACTGCTTTGGGTGACAAGACATCCTCATCCTCCGCTAACGCACCATGATCAATTGGACCCGCACGCGATCCATCCAGCTCAACAAGATGACCCGTCCGTTCATTCTTCACAAATGCAATGAAATGTAACGTCACTTCTTCCTCTGCGCCAATGACTGCAGATTGGCCCTGTGTTGCAACGTGTGCATGACTCTCGCGAATCAAGCTGGACGTCTCAATAGCATCGATGCGTGCATCAGGAGATTGGTCCTTGAATGATTCCATGAACGTTGTGAATGCATGCGATGTGTCCACGGTAGAAGGACAATTCAGCAATGCATGCAAGACAGCCATCGTCCCACAAGCATTGCGAATCGTTTGTTTGGCCCATAAGGTCGTTGTTGGATTCAAGGCTGTGTCTTTGCTGTGCGCTGCATCTTCCGCTTCTCTGAGCTTCACAAGACCTTCCGTCAGCGGTGCAACAAGCAGTAGCGCTTTCGCAGGCCGTTGTACAAATGCCAAGAGTTCCTCATCAAAGGAGTAGACATCGCAAAAGGCATACTCTTGAGTGAGACCGAGTGAGCGGGCGAGATCGGTAAGGACTTCTGGGTTATTCTCAATGGGTGGCCATCGCTGTTCCTGCTTCTCTGACATGACTAGACTGCTCAGCCTTTCGTGTTCAGGAGTTGCGCTGAGTTTCAAAATAGAGGAGCAGGATCGTGGATGTCCCTTGGCGCTGCGTCATGTTTGAAAAGAGGCGACAGAGACCAACAAACCACGCAAGCAAGACCCTACAACAAGAATCATGGACAGTGAAGCATACTCCACCACAGCACCGATGGTCATTGCGCAACAGCCTGCGCCGTACGAGGCGATTGCGATGAGCCAAATGACGACAGATGTCAGCTCAACAAACGACGATGAACAAGGTATGTCGTCATCTTGGGAACTCCATACAAAGATGGCTAATAGAAAGGTCAATTGAAGCGAATGCGAGGAGGATGTATTCCTTGCCCAGATGGCGGATGCTGCTACATCATCCCAATTCCATGCTGTTGCTAGGCCCAGCATGTGGACTGTCTATAAAGTATGAAAGCGCTTGTTACAGAATGAAAGAAACGATATCGATGAACCTGATGCGTCCATTGAACTGCTTCAACAGTGATCGTAGCTCGAGAAGAAGGACTTGTCTGCCCACTCACTCAGCAAATCCATCGTTGATGCACTCCGCTGTGAAAAATCAGCCGTCAAGTTGAGCCGAACGAATATGGCATCGAATGGATGTGCATCCAGTCCGCCCTTGTCTCCAGCGAGGAAGACATCACCGTGATTGCATAGCCGCCAGTACGCGTCATTGTCTGACTCAAATGGCCAAGTATTGTCAGATCGCTTATCAATCGCATTCTCCTTGTCCTTGTCCTCATCCGAGTCGGACGGTGGCGGAGGTGGACTCAGCTCAGGCCCATTACCAGAGCGATCATAGCCTCGAGCATACAGGGGTACAGCGTCAAAGCCTGCACTACGAACAAGATGTGTCATGACTTGCTCGCCTCGCAATATCGCATCTTCCTCATTGTCGTAACACATGAGAGATGGCATGATCAATTCAAGTCCCTCGCGGTCTGTAGCGAGTACGCTGGATTGAAGAAACTTGGGGTGTTCGACCATGGAGCAATCGGCAGTGGCACCCACCAGCTTTGTCCGGTCATTCAGTGGATGAAACAAATGATCTGTCCAGCAGGCTTGATTGTTGTGTATTGCCCAGAGTGGAAAGAATGGACCGCGCGCTTTGGAGGTGGTCAAGATGAAGCGATCATACTTATCCATCACTTCATTCTCATTCTGTTGCAAAACAGCGCCAATTGCTCCAAGATCGTAGCATTCATCCTGCCGTCTCGTCACATAGATGTTGGGCCGATCAGGAAAATCAACTTGCGTCTTGTGTCCGTTGATGATCAGATAAAAGTCTGCCTTGTCGTGTAACGCATGGTCCACAAAGAATTGTAGGTTGATTTCATCTTCCTCGTCATTCGGTCGGAAACTGTACAAGACTGCATCTTTATTATGCCGTTGCTTCGATCCCAATACAATGCGCTCGAGGGAGGCGTCTGGGACTGCCAAGGGGATCTGTGGTTGCGTTGCAAATTGCTCGACGGCGCGACGAGCCAAGCTAACGCCTTGTGGACGGAAAAAGCTGGCGAGCGCTATGCAACTGCATACAAGGACTGCAACACCGGCCAGTACACGACCAGAAGTACTGATGATGGCCATGCAGCAGGTGTAAGATTGAGTCGCGTCGAGTTTTATGCGTTCGTTCTATCTGTGCCGTTGAAGGGTTTTGGCGCGAATTTCAAACTTGATCTCGCCAGGGGAAACCTTTGCATGGGTACAAGTATCTATCTAAAAGCACGCTTCTATGGCCATGAATGTGCCCGAATGCCATGATTCCTGAGATCCATAAACAGCTTGTATGAGGAAGCCAAGCTACCAGCCTCGAGCGGATCCTCACCGCCTCCAAATCCCCAAATTTTCGCCATGGGCATGAAATTGACCTTGTGCTCAAAGTACAGCTCATCCACAAGTCCTGAAAGCCCACCACGTAATGGATCATCGTCCCATTTGGCGAGTTTTTGGATGAACGCTTTGCTGAAGCCGCGAGCAAAGCCGTGTAAGCGCAGGACTACATTGTCATTCGGCCGTACTGTGCGTCGCAACAGGTCAACCACATTGGTGCGATCATTTTCGAGGGTAACAGGGACGCCAATGACATTGTAAATGCCAATAAGCTCTTCAGGAATGCCATCGTAGGCAGCTCGCAGATCTGGATACTTGGTTGGTTCATCCGACGTTGCTACTAGGATCGACTCGAATGGTTGGCCTCGATCGTGATAGTGCTTGTTGAACCAGATGCCTGCATTGAGACTCTTCTTGAACGCATCTGCACCCAGATCAATGAGCATGTTCCGAGGCGGACTGTAGCTATACCGAGCGTTCGGAATCTCGACCGGATGATGATTGGAATGCCATGGCGGACGACCATGTGGCCTCCAGCTCAATGCAGAGTCACCGTCTTCGAGTGAAAAGGCATAAGGTGCATATCCTTGTGGTAAAAGATGTTGTGTGCTTTCAAAAGTCATCTCATTCTCGTAGTTGTCCGGCACTGTTGGCAATTCAAGCTCGCCGCCGCACCAAGCATCGTATGGATCCCGAAGCATGCCAAAGAGTGGCTCAATGAGCTGTACGCCCCTACCCGGTGCTTTGTACCAGGCACCATCGTTCTCGTTGAAGCAGACACGCCGGTAGTGGAAGCGAGAAAAGAGCCCATCGCTTGCATGTTCAGTGGTCGTCTTGGCTGTATCTTGTTCAAACCATCGGATACTGGAGTCGAGATTGCCAACGAGGTCAGACAAACGCGTTATGATATCTGCAACCATACTCGCATGACGAGGCTCGCGGATGACTGAGCATACATTGTCATTCACGCCACCGTTTGACACGAGATTGAACCACTCCGTCTCGTAGAATGACGATTCGTAACGATCAAATATCCACTTGCAGTAGCGCCCGTCGTTTGAATTGGCCAAGGATGCTTGTGAGACACCGCCTGTACGGCCGCCGAGAACGACGAGGCAGACGACAGCGGCGACAGTGCCAAACAGGTATGTCTTCTTGTGTTCGCCGACGTGAGACGTAGCAGACATGGCCTAGATGCGCATGGATTATGAGGAGATCGCTACAGTGCTGTTTGTGTGACTTGTCATCTCGGTCGCGTCTCGAAAGATTTTGGATCGCGACTGACACCAAATCAATAGCCACGGACAGATAAGAAGACAAGGCGGGCTAGTGGCGAATAGAAGTATCAGGTCGGCTCGGGGAGAGGTGTCATGAAGCGATATCTCTTTGTTGGCATTGTCGCGTCGGTCGTGTGCTTCCTCATCTTCAATCGTACCTCAGAGAACGCTGAGTATGATTACACAGATCCATTCAATACAGCACAACCTGGCCGCAGAGATCAACCAGAGAAGTACTGCAAATGGATCTTTGACCGCTACGAGTCATCTGCTTTTGAGCAGGAATGGTTGTCGCTCGTTACAACAGGTGGTGTGAATGACAATGTCTGTGCCAAGGTTGCTGAACCGCATCATGCAGGACACATCACAGAGATTATGGGCCGGCTTGCTCATCTGGTACGGATATTGGATGGTGCCATCAAATGGGAAAATCAAGATACGGGCAAACCACAGCCGCCACCTGCTGCAGATAACCTATTTTCTCGCTTTCACTACAAACGGATTTGCTTTGTAGAGAAGGACCACGTTTGGCGACATGCACCGGGTCATGGTGTTCAATTGATTGAGCCGTTGTTTGGCATGCTCAGGGATCCCTATGACATTTGGTGTGCAAAGAAGAAGCTCAAGTCGCCTCCTGGAGGCTACTACAATGATGTCCATGCAGAGTCCACACAGCATATCCTGCCCATGGGCTTCGCTCCATATGCGTACACAACCACAGCACATGGAAAGTTAGAGGAGTGGAGAATGTACGGTATACCACCTTGGCATTCAAGCTACCGGCCTGAACCACTTGATGGCGTTAAATGGACCTATAGCCCGCCACGCAATATGCACATTGATGTGGGTGCATCCAACTTTGCTTCGACGCCAAATGCGCCAAAATGGGTTTACGATCGCTACCAGGCGCGTGGTCAGCCATTCGACAAGTTCATTGCTATTCATGGGGACATGGCAGATGCGAAAGCATCACACTCCGATGTGCCAGCAGATCTGATCGGCCCTTACCAAGTGCTCGGTATGTCACTCTTTCCAAACGGCTTCGAATACCAAGGAGTGCAGAATGTGATTCGGCGGACTGTGAAGGAAGAAGACTTCTTCGTCCTGAAGGTTCACGACAATTCACGCGAGTTTTCTGAACGATTCGTCAAGGATCTCGTGTCGGACGAGAATGGGCTCGCCAAGCTCATTGATGAATTCTACTTTGAGCACAAGGTCAAGTTCAACCCTATGGCGGCTCCGTGGAGCTTAGAGGACAAACATAAGTCACAGGTGGGCGATTTGTCGACATCGTACAAACTCTTCAAGGATTTGCGCGACAGGGGCATTCGAGCACATTCTTGGCCGTGATACGGGAGACTTTCCCGAAAGCGTGTCATCCTGAGTATAATGTATAGACCTGCTCGTATGCATGTGCGCTCTTCTTGCAACCTATCTTGATTATGTGACGGTACGCCTCGAGACATCGCCTGTTGTAGACCATTTTATACTGGTGTAGCCCTGGTCACTCTCATCTCGAGTGAGCCGCAAGCTACGGCCTGCCTCCCCGATCCGAGCGTTATCCACACTGCTCGTAGCTGGAGAACTCGCTCGCGTCTGCCCACTCAGTCAGTCTGTTCAACGCAACCATACCTAATGGCGTCATTGGATCCTTGACGACATCATTATCGATGCGAGAGATTTTGGTGAACATCAAGTCAAATGGATGCGCATCCATGCCTGCATACCCAGCAGGGACTTGTATATCTGCATGCAAGCAATTGCTCCAAAACTCTGCATTTGTCTGCTTGACTTGCCTGTATTGCGAGTAGAGTGGATGCGCTTCATAGCCAGCATCCAGTATGGCGTTTGTCAGGGCCAATTCACCTTTATAGATGGCATCATGGCGGTTGCTGAAGCATTGCAGAGCAGGGAGGATGAGGTTCATTCCAATTTGGTCCGTGGCCAGAGCGAACGACTGCAAATGCTTCGCGGGCACGGCAGCATCGCAATTCACCGTCAAGCCGACAAGCTTGACCCGATCACTCAAAACATTGAAGAACTTGTTGCTCCAGCAGGCTTCTTTATTTGCGTACGCCCAATTTGGGAAGAAGGGCCCACGCACTGATGAATTGGTCAGTAGAAATCGCTTGTACTTCTTGAGCACGAGTCCGTCATCAGCTTGCAAGACGACACCAAAAGCTCCGAGATCATAGCAGCTGTTTTCACGCTTGATCACAAAGATATTGTCCGCCTCGGGAATCTCGATAGTAACGTTGTATCCCTGAATGATGAAGTAGAAGTCCGCTTTGCTGTGCAACGCATGATCCACAAAGAATTGTATGTTGCGTCGGCCAATAGGGTCACCATCGTAGTGGACATACAGGATGGCATCTGTATTGCCATGAGTCGGCACCACATCTTGCAAATTGAGCTCGGGCAACGTCGGCTTCTGGGGCGAATCTCCAGAAGACACCTGCTCGCGTTGCCAATCGCCCTTGATTGACTCTAGCGATTTTGGCTGTGAGGGTTTCAACGTAGTATGATCATAGCCAGAGATGACGCCGTTACTGCGCGCACCGAGATGGAACACGCTAACGAGCACAAATAAGGCTATCAATAAGCCAATGAAACGATTTGAGAGGATGCCCAGCATTGCGACCCTCGCACGGGTTTGTGCCAGAGGCGAAGTCTATCGTAGGTTACACAAGGCGCTATCAATTTTCGCGCCGTGATTTTTATTTCCGCAATCGGCGAGTTCGCGACAAACAAGACTCAACAGATACACGACTTCACTGGCCGGCGATTGGAACAGCTGTGAGTGCCAGCCATGGCAGAACCTTACAATGCGTCAAATCATTCGCGATCACGGATACGACGCCGTCTCTGTCTACTCCTCGCTGTACTCGCGCTCCTGCTACTATTCGCAGTGAGCCAAGTTTGGTTCAGCGAGTCTGTCTCGAGCCTTGTTCAATATCAATCTCGCGATGCGCTAGCTCTCTTTGGTAGTCAACAAGCTCAAACGTGTCCGGAGAAGCTGGTGGCCAAGTATGGTAAAAATCGATTCAATACGCCCTTTCAAAAGGACATGAAGAACATCAAGTTTGCTCGTGGGCGGCCTGTTGATGATGCACACTTTTGCAATCCAACTCTGAGCAAGGAAAAAGTTGCTGTGCTGGTTGAATCTCGCTCAGATCCATACATGATTCCGAGTTTATTGCACTTCATCAAGCAGCTGGGTGATGATTGGCCGTTTGTCATCTATCACTCCAAGCATAACGAGGATATGCTACGCAGTTCGCGTGTATTGAAGCGGCATATCGATTCTGGCAAGATTCAGCTTCATCGTCTCAACCTCGTCTTCAACGACCATGACTCTGTCTCTGTCTTTCTGACACACCGCGCCTTTTACGATAATCTGGCACCCGCAAAGCACTTGTTTCTCTTTCAACTCGATTCGACGATTTGCTCCAATTCGCAATCAAAGCTCGAGGACTTTTTCCACTTTGCATTCATCGGCGCGCCCATATCGACGTTACTATCAAGTGGCGACATTACACGTTACAATGGCGGCTTCAGTCTTCGTGATCGGGATGCCTTCTTGGAAATCATCGAGACGGTTCCTGAATTCCAGTCAAAGTACAGTGGCAATCCCTTCATCTTTGAAGATCAATGGTTCTCTCAAGAATTCCACAAGGCCAACAAGTACATATTGCCAACAGAAGACGAAGCTGCGCAATTTGCGGTGGAGAGCGTGTATCATCCAACACCTTTCGGTGTGCATCGACCACAAATCATGGTTTCTGCAACTGCCAATGATGAGCAGAAGAGGCATTTGATTGATGTTTGGTGTCCCGATATGTACGCCATGACACCCCTGACGGGCCCTGAAACGTTCAAATGTCGCAACAACAGGCAACTGCCTGAATGCAACGGAGAATAGAATATAACAGGATGGGCTTGCAGCATTTAGATTAGCTTGTGTATACTTGTCGTCAGCATTGTGCTAATCTGTCTATTGTGGCGTGGTCATGGCCATGAATGTGCTCGAATGCCCTTCCTTCGCAAATCACCAAATAATTTGTAGGAGGAGCCGAGATCACCTACTTCCTTCCGACTTCTTCCTCGAAGCTCCCACGGTCCTGCAAGGGGTTCATAATTGCAGTGATGTTCAAACATCAGTTCATCAATGAGACCCGACACGCCGCCTTTGTCCGGGTTGTCCTTGAGAAGGGCATTGATGATGGGCATCTCGATCGGTGCCGAGTCGATATCCAACTTGAACACGAAGAAATCTTGCTTCCTGACTGTTCTGCGAATCAAGTCAAGCGTGTTGTACTTGTCCTTATCCATACTCAAGCCAATATTGATGAGATTGTACTTGCCAACCAAATCTTCAGGGCACTGCTCATAGGCATCTTGTGGTGAGAGTGGTTCCAATTCAACGGCAATGAAGCGATCAAATGGCAAGCCACGCTTATGATAGTGATCATAAAACCACTGGCCAGATGCAGCAGAGTTCTGAACCTTCTTCGCAGGCTCCTCTTTCCCTGGTGGTGGCTTGGCACCAATGCGCATTCGAGCCTCTTCAGCTTCAGTGGCTTTGGTCCAGCCGGCAAAGTAACTGGACCCGAGATCAAGATGGATTTGCTGTGGTGGGCGGTACGTGATACCGAAACCTGGCGCCACGATTGGTTCGAGTGAGGAGTGCCAAGGTGGCATACCATACAGGCGCCATGAGTCTGGCAATTTACCATCGGCTGCGAGGGTATAACGGTACGGTGCGAATCCTTGTGGTAGGATATGCGCTTTGGACTGTCCTTCTGTTGATTTTTGATAGCCTGGGGGTTTCGGTCTCAGTGCATAACCAAGGTAATCGCACCAATGATCGAATGGGTCTCGTAGCATACCCCAAAGAGGTTCAATCAGCTGGTCGCCAGTGCCAGTGCCTGGTGCCCATACCTGAGTCTCTTCGTTGAAGCACACGCGCTTATATCGCATTCGAGAGAAGTACTCGTCCACCAGCTTTGCATCTTCAAGCGGTGCCGTGTCTGGTTCTGACCAATTGATGGAGGTATCGAGACCACTGACGAGCTGCATGACGCGGGTGACGATATCCAACGATGCTGCACGATGTTTTTGTTGGGCAACAACGCGACAGACCTCATCATTGACAACAGTTGTCAAATTGGTCCATTCGACTTCATAAGAGGAAGGGATATATTCGTCAAAGACCCATTTACAATAGTGTCCATGTTCGTTTGCGAAAGCAGTTCCCCTGACGGGCGGCTTCTGACCAGCTTGAAGAGGCCGCAAAGTATCTTCTGCCAGCCCGGAATCGAAGCCTTTTGCATTGATGGGCCATGCATCACTTCCCTTAGCGGCTTTCACCACTGAACTCGCCGCTTGACCCACGGAGCTGCCATAGCTAGACCAAGAAGATGCCGATGCCGATGCCGAGTGGGAACGCGTTATCAGGGTAAGCAGAATGAGCGCTGCAAATACCAGAAGCGCGAAAGCAACGTTGTGCTTCTGTACCCGAATCATGCTCTATCTGCCGTCTCTCCACTGTACGGCGAGAGCGTAACGAGTGTGTAGAAGCTGTCTGGACTTTGGCAACGTGGTCGGTTTTACAGCTGGCTTTTGCAGTCGCGCTTGTGCAGTCGAGTCGCCAAATTATTCACGCAGCGTGGGAGGGCCGGCAGGCAATACACTTCACCTGCTTGGATGAGGGTATGTTCATGCAGACATGAGGCCTGGACTAACCTCAAGGCTTGTCTATCAAGGCATTAGTTTGTGCAAGTAGAAGGGACGATCAATGGCACAGGGAAGAGAAGGTTTCCTGACACGCAAAGGGGACGCACATGCGACTGGAGGACCAACAAGCAAATCACTTGAGAATGAATCTGTCAGAGGATGTGAGAATGTACTCAGAATGTGTTTGCGATACGCTAGCGTAAGTGCACGACGGATGTCAGTGCGATGAGGTCGAGGACAGATAACTGAAATCATTTGATAACAAGCGTCGTCAAGTCCCTTGTATGAGTGTGTCCCATAGAGACAAATGCGAGAGAGTAAGAAGATCAATTTGAGTAGACCACATTTACTCCTGCGAGCGGACCTTGGCCTTGTCATTGGTGACCTAATTGAAGTTAGTTTTCTGCGCATCAGACGATCATGGGCAGGCATACCTTGACGTTAAGCTGCTTGGCCTTGGCGACAATCTCAATACGCTTGCGAGAAGACACGTTGTGCGCAATCTCAGCGGCGTACGAACGAGCGTGCATCAACAAAAGCTCGACATCTGCCACGTTACGAACAAGGAATGTCTTGTGGCCGGATGCTGACATGTGCTTTGTCTTCTTGTTGCTGCCGTAACCGATAGAAGGCATAGGGGCAGAGCCCTTGAATCGACGTCGCTGCCTGTTGTCGATACCCTTGGGTTTCCTCCATGACTCGGCAACGCGCAAGAAACGGTCGGACTGGAAACGCTTGAAGCGTTGAAGCCGCTTCTTGACAATCGGGACATGGGGCTTTGAGGCTGCCATGGTTGTGTGTGTATGTAGCTTGGTGGTCTCTCTCTTTTCGCTGTAGCTCGACTGCGCTGCTGCTTCCTCCCGAGAGAGAGAAACTGCGGGCGAAATAATTCACGGGGTTAGGGCTGGGACTGCTATAGCTGGGACACCCGGGTGTCTTATTATATCCATCTGAAGACAGCAGGATCAGACAGACTGGCAGGATGAGTATAGTACAAGCTTAAGTACATACAGCTACTACAGCTGAGACACACCAAGCACAAGCTCCGGCACTGCACCTTCCACACGCTCGTCCTTGAGCCACCGCAGAAAAGCCTGCTCCCAAAATGGCTTGTTGCGCTCTCTGAATGCATCGTTATGTCCCAGTTTCAAATTCATAGCAGCTGCATCAAACATGTACAACGTGCTCGGTGCTCTTGACAGCGCTTTACACCAATTGATGACCGTCTGGGGCGACATACGCACCTGCACATCGTCACTGAATCCAAAACTGGTGAAGGGTGTAGTGAAACGTCGGAACTGCGCTGCAAATTCAGGATCACCCGCAGCGTAGTGACGAAAGCCAGTCCATCGAGACCACATCTGGAGTGCCGCCGCAGGAAGAAGTCCACCCATGCCAAAGGCTCGACCGTCGAAATACCCATTGGATGCGACAAACTCATTCATTGCCTTCCATCCAGCTCTCGACATCTCTGGGTCTGTGTAATCTCCCGTGTAAGGATTTGTTGCACTCACAAAAAGGACTTTGTGCAAGGTTGCCAGCGTAGGTTGGTCCACAAGTGGCAAAACATGGCAGCCGAGGGAATGACCAATATAGTACAACTTGCTGCCCTGAAATCGCTGATGTGCGTACTGAATCACACCGGCGATATCGCGTCTTCCCCAAGTCTCGAGGGAAACGTCTGGGTGTTGCTTAAGGATCTTGACCTTGTCGGCTTGATTGAGGGGTTCCATCCGAATTCCTCCATCGCTGCCGGAAAAGAAGGAAAGGCCCGTGTAGCGATAATCAAATGTGATGGTCAGAAAGCCCTGATCAGCTAGGTAGCGGGCGAATTGTGCATAGAAGGCTTGTGAGATGCCTGTCGCATTGGCAATGATGCATACTTTGGCCGGGCTCGCACGCCCGCTTTTTCCAGGGCAGTCAAAGAGTGTCCCTACGAGAGGGAACTTGTCTACAGCAGCTGGAATATCAATGAAGCTCATAGGCTTGCTAGGTCTGTGCAGATGAGAAGAAGCACCTGGGTAGATGTCGATATTTTGCGGGGTACCAAATCCCACGCTGTCGGCTTTCCAAAAAAAGTTGAACGGCAGCTCAGGCATGTGCAGAGCTCCTTCTCTGGTTGCAGCAACGACATGGCCGAGGGCAAAGCACAGGCAGCAAAGCGAAGTCCCTCGACTGATTCTGTGAGCAGCGAGGGGAGCGATCATGAAGGCGTGCAGAAGGGTACAGGAAATTTGACGAAGAGGCGCAAGACAACATCTGCATTTGTGCCAACCTTTAAGCAAGACTTGAGTGAAGACGACGAAGATGACGAAGAGGAGAGTGGAGAGAGCGATGAAGAGGAGACAGAGCTGCGTCATGGTTCTGCCACAAGTTTAGAGAAAAAGTTGCCTGGTGCGAATACCGAAGACCAATCAAATGGTCTTCATCCCTCAAGACAACGGCGCAATGGCAAGCTCGATCTCAAACCCTTGACGCCTGAAGAGCTCAAGGCTCTTAACGAAGCAAAAGCACGCACTGGTGTCGTTTACCTGTCAAAAGTACCACCATTCATGAAACCACACAAGGTGAAGCACTTGCTTTCAAAGTACGGTGAGGTTGGCCGAATCTTCCTTGCCCCAGAAGACCCCAAGTCTTATGCCAAACGTGTTCGTTTTGGTGGAAACAAACGACGCATGTTTGCAGAAGGATGGATTGAATTCATGGATAAGCGGAAAGCCAAGCTCGTTGCATCAACGCTGAATGCAGAACCCATCGGTGGCAAGAAGAATGGCTTCTACCATGACGATCTTTGGAATCTCAAGTATTTGCCTAAATTCAAATGGGAAGACTTGACGGCTCAAATTGCAGCTGAGAACGCAAGTCGCCAAGCCAGACTGCAGGTTGAGCTACAGCAAGCGAAGCGAGAAGACCGTCACTACCTGCAGAATGCCGAACGTGCCAAGATGATTGAAGGTATGCAAAAGACACGAGAAGCAAAGAGACCGCAGGGACAGGTAGCTGCGCCAGAACCTGAGCAGCGTGTGCGACGACTCTTCAACCAACGCGACCCGGCCGACAAGACCAAGAAACAGGCCATTGTTCAGGGTCAAGAGGCGAATAGTGAAAAGCTGAACAAAGTGCTTGGAAGCTTGTTCTAATGCTACGCTGCGCTATGCTATATGTCAATAAGGTTTTGAGAGGAAGTGCTATTTCATATCAGGCAACCACATGGTGAGTTCCGTATCTGCCGTAGCAAGCATCGCGCTCTTGGGACTGAATGCCAGTACGCGTGCTGATTCTACACCACCAGAGGAAATGACCTTGGCCGGTGGAAGCGACTTATCTCTCGTCACTGCTTGGGTGTTGCCTAGATCCCACATGATGAGCGTCTTGTTCCCACTTGCAGCCAAGACATGTCGGCCATCGGGTGTGAAGCAAATTTCACCACTAGAAGGGGCTGTAGCATTGGTTGGCTGGTGGCCTGTTAGCCTGAAGCGCATCTCGCCTGTAAACGCATCGAGGATGTAGTGTCCTTCGCCTCTTGTTCCGACGAGCAGCCATTTGCCATCATTGGAGAAGTCAACTTTTGTCCACTCTGGCATTCTTGGAGGGAATGAAAACTTGTTGAGGAAGAGGTCATCTGTCAGTGTGAATGTGCTGAAGGGTTCCTTGTCGAAATTGCGCAAGTCATAGAGCAAAATGGAACCCAGTCGATGACTCGCCACGGCAAAGAGTTGACCTGTTGGATCAAATACAGCAAGTGAGGGTGAGGGTATATGAAGCAGGCCGTGGCACGTCGGTGAATTGAGGTCCCATAGCCTGACTGTGCCGTCTTGTGCCGCACTGATCACAGTGTCATCGCATGGAGACACTTCCAACGAAGTAACAGTGCCTGTGTGACCTTTGAGATATCGAACATAGCTGTTGTCATGCAGCGACAGATATCTGAGACCGTCGTCGCCTTTGGTTGATGCATAGATGCAATTGGACGATTTGTGCGTGAATCGCGCCAGATGGACGCCGTATTTCTTGCTAAAGAGCGTTTTAAGATGCTTCCCTTGCTTGATATCATACAACTGTATCGTTTCGTCTTGACTGGCCGTGATCAGGTGTTCTCCCGCATCATCAAAATCGATGGATGTAATGGGACTTGTAGTCTTATTGAAGGCCTTGGACGGCTTGAAGCTGCCGAGGACGCTACTATCGAGCCTGACTGTGCCATTTGCAACAGCCCGCTCCGCCATCATGCGCTGGCCCTGCTACAAGTCGCGGTCGTCTCGAGGATGGTTGTTTGTGGTCTGGTCTTGAGCATTGATCCCCCGCTGTCCAATCTACGACCACACACGATTGCATCACAAGCTCATCTATCGGCACCTGCTGGAGGTCTAGGAAGAAGCAGGACGGCGCGGACAGGGCCAGGAGAGACGCTTCGCTCAATCGGCAGCCCTCCCTTGTCCTAATGACGACCAAATTCCAGGAACAGCCGCAGACCAAGTCAATCTCGACACTCGGCGGCTTCATCAGCGGTGGCCTGGCAGCATGTATCGGTGTCACTGTCACAAACCCACTCGAAGTCGTCAAGACGCGGCTACAGCTACAAGGTGAGCTCGTCAAGACACCAAAGAACCGTGTCTACACGGGTGTCTTCCAAGCGTTAGGTGTCATCTACAAGATGGAAGGCGTTCGTGGGCTACAACGTGGTCTACTGACGGCGTACAGCTATCAGATTGCCCTCAATGGCTGCCGCTTAGGCTTTTATGAGCCTCTACGGAAGAACATCACCGAGACCTTCTATGGCGATCCAACAATCAATGTAACAGGCATCAACGTGGCGTGTGGTGCGCTTTCAGGGATCATGGGAGGTGTCATTGGCAGTCCTTTCTTCCTCGTAAAGACGAGAATGCAATCGTACAGTCCAGTCTTTGCCGTGGGCACACAACATCACTACAAGGGCAATATCGATGCCTTTCGCAAGATTATTGCCGAGAGTGGTGCGCGTGGTCTGATGAAGGGTGCTGATGCGGCTGTCCTGAGAACAGGTGCTGGATCGAGTGTCCAGCTCCCTATCTATAATGCCTCGAAACGGTTCATCCAAAAGCATGATTTGATCAGCGAGGGCCCTCGCATGCATCTGGCTGCCTCGGCTGTCTCTGGCTTTGGCGTATGCTGCGTAATGGTATGTTCCTGTCCTCTGTGAACTTCATCTGACTATACAGCATGTCTTCGACACAGTCTTGACCCGGTCATACAACCAACAAGGGCAGCAACTGTACAAGGGTCCATTCGACGCTTTGCAAAAGATCATTCGCACAGAAGGTTTCTTTGCACTCTACAAGGTTTGTCGCTGCTTGAATGTTCGAAGTTGACAATCAGGGATTCTTTGCGCACAGTCTGCGTATTGTACCGCATACCGTGCTTGTTCTCACGGCGCTCGAGCAGACCAACAAGCTGATTATGGGCGTCGAGACTCGGATACGTGCGGATTGAGGGCAGGTACAACTACTAGAGCAGCTGTATACAAGACGTAGCCTCCAATTCAGGACACAAGATGTACATCATACAGTACATATAGTCTGTGATGCATCTGTAAACAAAATTTCGAGCAGACGCGACTTGGACGCGCAGAGACCACATCTGCAGACATACGCTAGGTATCGCTACTCTGGCTCTGGGCCATCATGAACAATGAGAGACCCTTCAAGAAACGCCGCTTTATGGCTGCCAACGATGAAAACCTCAACCCTGCACCCGTCATGACTACTATCAAGCCCGAGTCGCCTATCAAGGGCGCTCCCGTAGCGTCCTTGGTGCTCGACGACTTTTGCAGCCAGGTGGCGGCAGTGACGGGTATGGATCCGGCGTGCTCAGGCATCAAGCGCTTGTTCGAAGCCTCAGACGGGCATACGGAGCGTGCTATCAATATGTTCTTTGATGGTTCATGGCAGCAGCAGCAACCTCCGACAGAACCGCACAATGCTGTGCTCAGTACTCCAACTATCCCCACTCATGCATCCAGTACGGCATCTATTGCTCAATCTACCAGAAAGTCATCTCCAGACACGCCTCTGTCTTGCATTCCTTCTTCAAGCGCACCGACCAATCCTGTTGTAAGTTCGCCACATACAGAAGCAAGCGGCGCTACAGCTCAACCTGCGATTTGGAAGAAGAAAGCACTCGGCGCATTCGGTACTCAAGGCTACATGACCTGTTCTACGCGTGTTGCAGCCGGCCAAAAGCTACTCATCACGCGACAGTCATCCCTAAACAAAGTCCTCCATAGCGCGGGTCGTGGCAAACCACCCAAAGCTGGACGCATGCACTATGCAGGCAAGTTGCACGTCAATTCAATCACTCGCTTTTGTTCAGAAGATGGCACGGAGCTTGGACGACTCCCGCAGGATGTGGCTGTTATCGTGTCAACTCTACTCGACCTGGACATGTGCACCTTCGAAGCCACTTGCATCTATGCACCAGACCGAGTGCGCACTGGAACCAATGTTGACCTACAAATCACTTGCTTTATCCGCAAGAGAGCCTTTCAGCAAAAGACAGGCGCCATGGCGAATCACATCAGCGTCGATGATTCTGCGGAGACGGCCGAGGAGAAGATGCTCAAGCTCCGTCGATTTGCGCTCGTCAAACTATTTGGCTTGATTGGCGTCGAACCTTTGGGGAAGGGCGAGGATAATCAGATGCGTCAGGTGATGGAGATGACGGAAGCAACAATGGAACCGCCAAAGAAACCACCATCTCTGACGCAGAGCAAAAGCACAGACAGCCAAGAGGAAGCTGAAGATGGCACAGAATTGCAAGCGGATCAACTAGACTCGCTCTACCGCAAGGCTCAAACATTCGATCAGAGTATGCCTGGTATGGATCCTGCAGATACTTTTGCATTCACGCTCAAGCCGTATCAGCGACAGGCTCTCCATTGGATGTATCACAAGGAGTTGCATGATGCTGGACAAGCACGCAAGTCTGACTCTTTGCATCCTCTGTGGTCGGAATACCTGTTTCAAGCAGACGACACGGCGTCTGAATCATTCTACATGAATCCATACTCAGGCGAACTGTCGCTTGAATTTCCAAAAGCCATGGATGAATGTCGTGGCGGCATTCTGGCTGATGAGATGGGTCTGGGCAAGACAATTGAGATTCTCAGTCTGGTGCATACAGCCAAGATGGAACGTGCTGAAGCTGATCCCTCCATGCCATTGACCAAAGCGCCTGGTCAGCGTTGTCATACAACATTGGTCGTCGCTCCGCTGACCCTTATCTCACAGTGGCAATCAGAGGCCGAAAATGCTTCCAAAGAAGGTACGCTCAAAGTGCTTCTCTACTATGGCACAGACAAGAGTATTGATCTGAATGCATTGTGTAACGGCCCGGGAGCACGTCATGCGCCTGATATGATCATCACAAGCTATGGTGTTGTCCTGTCAGAGTGGCTGCAGCGCGAGGATGGCAAGCCCAACAATGGCTTATTCGCGGTTGACTTTCATCGAGTCGTGCTGGATGAGGCGCACACGATAAAGAACCGACAAGCCAAGACGTCCAAGGCCTGTTACTCACTCAAAGCAACACGACGTTGGGCACTGACCGGTACACCCATTGTCAATAAGCTAGAAGATTTATTCTCCCTTGTTCATTTCCTCACAGTCGAACCATGGGGTCACTTCAGCTTCTGGCGCACCTTCATCACCATCCCCTTCGAGTCGAAAGATTACATTCGCGCATTAGATGTCGTTCAGACTGTGCTCGAACCGCTTGTACTACGACGAACCAAAGACATGCGCGGCCAAGATGGACGACCGATTGTCGATTTGCCACCGAAGCAAATTGAGAAAGTCTATCTCGAGTTCAGCGAGAAGGAGCGTGCCATCTACAACTTCATCAGCGCTCGAGCACGTCGCACGTATGTGCAAAATGCAGAAGCCGGTACAGTAATGAAGAATTATAGCATGATTCTCGGTCTCATTTTGCGATTGAGACAGGCATGCTGTGACCCGACCCTAGTTCATCAGCGTGTAGATGTGACTGAGCTACCGGCGGACGAGCAAGCCGTCAAGGAGGACGATGCCACTGATCTATTGGCAGATGTCAGCCTCAAAGACATGATTGAGCAGTTTGCCAGTGGCGAAGCACACGGCGAGCAGGAGGCTTCCCATTTCGGCGCGACTGCATTACAGCAAATCATGGATGAAGCTGAGAACGAGTGCCCAATCTGTTCTGCTGAGCCCATGGAACAGCAGACCGTGGCGCGTTGTTTCCACTCGGCATGTAAGTCATGCTTCACTGGGCACATCAAATTTATGAAAGATAGGGGTGAAGAGCCGCTCTGCCATACTTGCCGCAAGCCAGTTTCTGAGCAAGATTTGCAAGAGGTTATTCGATACGCCCAGGAGGGAGATCAGAAGGATCAAGTCTTGTTGCGACCAATTCAGCAAACTGAAGGATCGGCAAAAGTGGATGCTCTGCTCCATCGCCTGCAGGAGACTAAACGGGCAACGCCAAACATCAAGTCGGTCGTATTTTCGCAATTCACCAGTTTCCTGGACCTCATTGGCAAGTCTCTCCGGCGCCATCGCTTGCAATTTGTGAGGCTCGATGGTAGCATGTCGCTCAAGGAGCGAGCTCTTGTTCTGGAAAAGTTTCGCAGTGCCCCTGCCAACATGACGCTCATCATCTCGCTCAAGGCTGGTGGTGTGGGTCTGAATCTGACAAGCGCGAATCACGTCTATATGCTGGATCCGTGGTGGTCCTTTGCTATCGAGGCACAAGCCATTGATCGAATTCATCGCATGGGCCAGACTCGGGACGTGTCTGTGTATCGCTTCATCATAAAGAACAGTGTTGAGGAAAAGATGCTTAAGATTCAAGACAGGAAGAACTTTCTGGCGAGCAGTCTCGGTATGTCCAAGGAGGAAAAGAAGCGGGAGACCATGAGGGATATAGAGTTGTTGTTTGAAGACTAGAAGACTTTAGATAATAGGTTGCTGAAATGTTTTGTGAGGTATTTTGGTAGTCTACATGTGGATGCAATGCAGTGCTACAACTACTTCTTCTCTTCCTCCTCATCCTCTTCATCGTCATCCTCTTCATCATCTTCTTCCTCATCGTCGTCCTCCTCTTCCTCAGCTTTGGGTGCAGGCTTGGAAGGACCCTTCTTTTCTTGGCCGCGAGGCTTTGTGGGGTCGATGGTCTCCTGCGACTTGGCAGACGGGTTCTCGCCATCCTTTGTGACAGTATCTACCTTGTGCTTTGTTTCGGTGTTTGAGATGCCAGACTGCTTGGCCTTGATGTCGCCCGACGACACAGTATTCTCCTTTGCCTGCGACTGCGACTTGCCAGACTCAGTCTTGGCTTGGTCGGATTGGCTCTGGGCCTGCTCATGCTTGGCAGGATCGGAGCGTGACTGGGGGCCATGCACCTCATCGCCGACCTTCTCAATAGCCGCATCCCGCTCCTCATCAGTCTTCAGACCGACTTTGGCCTGTGCAGTGTGTACAGCCTTGTGTGCATCTGCCTTCTTGCCAGGTGGAGCAAGCAGGTAAGCGAGTGCAGGGACCGTGACAGCAACGGCACCCAAAGCCCACTTGGCATCACCGGATTTTCCCGCGGCATGCGATGAATTAAATCGTTTGCTGGACTGACGGGAAGTCTGCTTGGTCGCAGCAGCAAGATGTTGCCTGGTAGCAGAGAGGGACCTTCGAAACATGGCTTCTGCTGGTGTCTTGTCCAAGTGAAGTGACGTCTCGAGTGGAGTTGCGAAGTCTTCCGCGAGAACAGGAACACGTGCTTGGAAGATTCAGATGCAGGGACAACAACTACCCGTAGTACTCTCTCTGCTTGTCTGTGCTTAAGGAATATGATCCTGCTTTGATTGAATACATCTATAGACATGGACAAACCAAGTGCGTCTTGGGATGCTCTGGGCGAGCGCTTCTACTGCCGTCACGATTTGTATACGCTGTCTTGGCCCGAATTTGACTTTGAGGAGGTTTTGTATGCTGCTGCTCCCTACGGAGGCGCTATTGCCTTGACTCGCAATGATGAGCGCGTACAGCGTTACCGCGGGCAGACTTTCGCCAAAGGTGCAGTTCAAATATACAGCTGCACTGGTGAGAAAATACGCGACATCCGCTGGGAGGGTGTGTCCGTCGCTGCACTAGGCTGGACGGATGATGAGCGACTGCTTATAGTAGCACGTGAGGGACAAGTCAGACATTACGATCTGCTTGGTAATTTCAGTCAGTTCAGCTTGCTTGGTTCAGGCACTGGCGTACAAATTCGCGATTGTCAGTTCTGGTCGAAAGGCATGGTTGCGCGTACTACAGAGAATGTTTTCATCAAGGTGGATCACTACAACGATGCTCATCCACAAGCTTTCTCTGGTGTACAACTAGGAATTGAGGTGACTGCACACAGCTGGGCCATCATTGCGCCGTCCTTTTCACTAAGCCGGCAAGTGGAATGCATTGTTGCAGCTGGCAACACTTTGTTCACCCTGGATGGCAGCGAGCAGCAATCCCAGAACATCAGTCATGGCCCTTTTACGCATATCCAGGTTTCTCCAAACGGCCAATTCGTTGCGCTCCGGTCAGAAGATGGCAAGATTTGGGTTACTTCGGCAGATTTTCAACGCACTTTGACTGAGTTTGATGCATCTGGAGATGGCAAACCAGAGACATTGGCATGGTGCGGAAATGATGCGCTCGTCATGCTCGTTGGTACTGTTTTGACGGTCATTGGTCCGGCTGGCGATATTGTCCAGTACGCTTACGACGCAGCAGTAGGCCTTGTCACAGAGGTGGATGGCCTACGTATCTTCAGTCAAACTCTTTGTGAGTTTTTGCAGAAAGTGCCAGAGACGACCGAGCGTATCTTTGCGCCAGGAAGTGACAGCGCCGCGTCCATCTTGCTTGACGCAATTGACCAACTTGACAGCGGCTCCTCCGAAGCAGATGAAAGCATCCGTCTCATTCAGCCATACTTGGCTGATGCGGTAGACGATTGCGTTCGTGCGGCGGGCGAGGCACATGAACCTCGCTGGCAGAAGCACCTATTGCGTGCCGCATCATTCGGCAAAAGCTTCTTGGAACTCTACAATAGCGACGAATTCGTGGATTTATGTGAGATGTTACGAGTCAACAATGCAGTGGCGTATACCGATGTTGGAATCCCTCTCACACTGGAGCAGAGCATTCGCTTGACTCCGGAAGGTCTTCTCGATCGCTTGCTGCAAAGAAAACATCATCATCTTGCTTCGAAAATCTGTGCTCACTTGAAGCTATCCCCAGACGTGGTCTATGTTCATTGGGCATGTCTCAAACTTCAGAGTACGGTAGAAGACGACGCGAGCATTTGCCATTCTATTGTTGACAAGTTGTCGCAACGTAAGCAAATCTCGTACGAACAGATCGCTCGCACAGCCTTCCAAGGCGGCCGACTCAGCTTGGCGACTGAGCTACTCAAGCATGAGCCTCGAGCAGGTGCTCAGGTCCCTCTTTTGCTGGATCTCGAGGAAGATGAAGCTGCTATGCGCATGGCTATTCGCAGCGGTGATCCAGATTTGCTAGAACACGTCGTCTTCCGCATGAAGGCGAAACATCCACTGGCTGTGTTCTTCCGCATGATCAATAACAAACCTGCAGCCGTAGCTGTTTTGATTGAATATGCGAAGAGGCATGACACCCAGCTGCTGAAGGACTTTTACTACCAGGACGATCGCAAGGTCGAAGCGGCGCTCTCGGTGCTAGCAGAATCTGTTGAAGAGACCGAGCGGCAGCAGCAGTACAACAAGGCACGTTTGGCGATGAAGATGCTCGAGAGTGCCAAAGAACATGGCCTAGAGCAGCGATTGTTGGAAGATAATGTCAAGCTCTTTCAAATCCAAGACTCCCTTGCCAAAGATCTTGGTACATCCTTTGAAGGAATGTCACCGATCGATATCATTATGAGGCTGTTGACGACCGGCAGCCTGTCGCGAGCCCAAAAGGTGGCGACCGCCTTCAAGGTCCCCGAAGTGACGTTCGTCTGGCTGCAACTACGCACATTCATAACACAGCGTGAATGGGAGGCACTCGAACGATGGCTGTTCAGACTCAAGAAGTGTCCAATTGGCTATGACAAGATTGCTCGAGAGATACAACAGGCTGGGAACAAGAAGCTAGCAAGCAAAGTGGTTGCCTTGTTGTCCAATGGTCGTGAACGCGTCGAGCTGTGGCTTGAGCTTGAAGATCCGGTTGCAGCAGCGCGTGAAGCCCTTCGACTGAAGCAGACGGAGCTCTTTGAACAAGCAAAGCAGTCTTCTAGTGGGAGAGACTTGGCAGAGATCGAGGAAATGGCCCGTAGAGCTGTAACAAAGTAGCCACATGGCAAAGGCAGCTCTACCATCGCGGCTGCGATTTTTCGATTGCGGGTGTTTTCAAATCCAGATCCTCATTTTGATTGCCAAATGGATTGTTCTCGTCTTCCTCTTCTTCCTCCACCTCTTCTTCCTCCGACTGCTCCGATTCGTATTCGCTATCTGATGCCTGTACAGGCGCTCGAGGCCGCGTAGGCTTTCGAGGCGGCACTTCGTGTGTTTCGTCTACGCCATGTATGCCGTCAACGTAGCGTCGTCGCAGATCCATGTCATGCTCCTCATCCGAGTCAGGGGCTGTTGCCACTTGCTTGTAAGTGTCAAAGAGCTGTAACGCAGCCACCAAGTCATCGTTCGTTTGCAACAAGGTGCCTACCCACTCCTCACTCTCGATGCCAGCGACGTAGTGTAGCACTTTGCGCCGCTGTTCCCTGCAGTCCTTTTCTGATTTGATCACGAGAGGCATTTTCAAGAAACTCGCATCCTCCTTGTTGACGTGCTTCAGTGCATTTCGCAAATTGGTGGAGGCTTGATTCGCAGCAGCAATCGTTTGCAGGATCATCGGCTTTTCCTTTTCCAATGAGACTTTGACTGGCGCCTTGGATTTATTCTTGCTGCTGTTACTGCTGCTCCCACCACTGCCAAAGAAGGAGCTGCTCGACTTTGCCTTGATTGGACCAACAGGCTCCACATAATTGTACTTGGCCGTGGGCGATTCCGTTTGTGGCCTTCTTGCAGGCTGTTTGGGAGTGCTAGGTCCAGATGCCTCCATACTAGGCTGTCGACTGTGACCACGACTCTTGTTAGGGACATAGTCATCCTCAGAATCAGGCGTCGGCGGACGCACAGCAGCTACAGGCTTCTTACGTTTCGGCAAAGCGTCTTTGAGATGAGCCACCGCTCGCATTTGTGGATCTTCCTTGAACTCGTCATTCCAACCAATAAACATGTTGGCTAGTCTGATTTTGACATCCTTGTCCGTCAATGGATCTGTTGCCAGGGTGCGTAAACGCTCGAGCAGCATTTCGTCCCCAAAACGGCGTTGAAAGGACTTGCCGCCATTGGCCACGAGTGCCTCCAGTAGAACCAAAGCACGCACAATTTGATGATGCGATCCGTACTTGAGGCGTTTCCTGATGGCGCGCGACGCTTCAGTGGGTCCTGTCGATTGTATCTTGACCACTTCAATGAGTTCCGGCAGGCCAGACAGGTCATCCTCCTCGTAATCACTGCTCGTGAGTCGAATGATGCGCTCAGTCACGGCCGTGTATGGATGTTCATCACTGAAGAGGCCCATTGCGGACTCTAATTTGGCGCGTTGGATTGAGCAAAGTGACGTGCACGCACGGATCTGACCGAATGTGGAGTTGCACAATGCAGCAATCTGAGATCACAACCTACACACCTTTTATCATTTAGCAGCCTGTCTATTGTATTTGCTAGCATGCAGTCGATCGTTGATAAGCTACAGCAAGTGACTGCTCCATTTACTTTTTTATCCCAGGCTGATGTACCTTACAAACGGCCTGAACCGCTCAGCCTGACGACTGCCGAGAAGTATGATGCTGAACTCGCACGCCTCAAACAGGCTGAATACAGCCAGTCGTTTGATGCTCAGAGTCGACAGGAGGCAGATTCCGTACTACTACAAGCTGCAGAAATTGTAACAGAAATGTCGAAGCATGACGAGGTACAGCTCAAAATGCTCGACAGTGAACATCTGTACCTGTCAGTCAAGGAAAAGATACATGCAAGTCCTGTGCATGCACTCCTGAAAAGAATGCCAAAAGGTGCACTCTTACATGCACACTTTGATGCAAGTGTCGAGTGCAGCGTGTTGCTTGAACAGGCACGACAAAACAAGCATTTGCACGTCAAGTTTGATCGGCCGTTACGAGCCAAGGAAGGCTGCTGGAATGCTCCCATCCCAAGCTTCAGGCCGTTCAAGGAGGTGCAAGGGACAGAGCCAGGTATAGACTGGTGTCCATGGTCGACGGTTCAAAAGACATGGTCAGATATCAGTGGCAGTTCCGGCTATGATACTGCAGACGCCTGGCTTCGAAGTGCAATCGAACTTCAACGGCATCAAGTCGAGCCTGCAGAGCTGAGTATCAATGATGTCTGGGCTAGCTTTCTCAAATCCTTTGGTATCATTGAAGGTCTACTCTTCTACGAAACGGCACTTCGAGCGTATTGTTTGCATCTCTTTGAGCAGCTTTTACAAGATGGACTCTGTTATGTCGAATTGCGTGTGAATTTCGCAGTGGAGGGCGTCTACTCAGATGATGGCAGTGCGTTGCATGGTCATGAGAAAATCATTCGCATCATCGATGCTGCACATACCGAGTTCAGAGCGACTCTTGAAGCTCGCCAAGAGGGACGCCACTGGGTCGGCTACAAGATCATCTACTGTGGTCTCCGTTTCTTTGAACCAAGTCTCGTTGCGCAGCATCTGAAGGCTTGCTTTGGGATGAAGCGCAAGTTTCCAGAGATCATTTGTGGCTTTGATTTGGTTGGACAGGAAGATACAGGACGTCCATTACAGTACTACAAAAAAGAACTGCTTGAGTTTAGGCAGATGTGCGCTGCAGAGGGTGTCGAGTTGCCCCTTATTTTGCATGCCGGTGAGACGCTAGCGAGCGGTCATGGTGCAGACGACAACTTATTTGATGCAATCTTGCTGGGTGCGAAACGTATCGGGCACGGTGTCTCTTTAACACACCACCCGCTTCTCATGCAACTGGCAAAGTCACATGGCATCTGCGTTGAAGTGTGTCCCATCTCCAACGAACTGCTCCATCTCTGCAAGACCATCCAATCGCATCCACTACCGGAATTACTAGCGTATGGCGTTCCTTGTGCCATCAATACAGATGATGCCATGATTCTACAGAATACCATGACGGCGGACATGTCACAGGTCTTGCTCTCCAACACACGCTTGGATCTCGTCTCTTTGCGAGAACTGGGGATGGTGAGTATTCGGCATAGTTGCCTGAGTGAAGCGCAAAGGGTGAAAGCGCTCGAACGTTACAAGGAAGATTTTGCAGCATTTTGCGGCAAGGTCGTTCAGGAACAAAGCACAGGAAAATAGATAAGGAAATAGAAGGACTTGGGTATCGCATGTGTGCAGATTGATCGTGCTAGCCATGCTTATGATCCTGCCAGAAAAAAAAGGAGACGAAAAGGCTTCATCGCTGACGCTTGTAAAAATGAAAGAAAGGTGTGTCGAACAGGGTATGCGGTCAAGCTTGTGCATTAATCAGTTGCTGCTCCCGCGCCAATCGCTCCGACTCCGTGGTGGCCGTTTCAATCTCTTGTTCTTGATCCTTTGAACTAATCTCACACCACCACTTGTGACCCGTCCAGGCTTTACTCTGACACTGCTTTGAACAGTACTTGGCACGCCTACATCGTCGACACTTGGCAAATTGCTTGTCCTTTGTTTCCCACTTCCCGCACTCGAGATGCGCACATTGTCGAATGCCACCACGCTCGAGATCCTTGCGACAGGTATTCCGCATCACCACCGCTGCCCAATACGTAGCATCTTGCGTATTGATGGGCATGGTGAACTTTTCAACAATGGAAAACAAATTATACGGTAGTCTGAGGGAGTCCGATAGATCCTCATCCATCTGTTCAAAGCGCTGCTGCGGATTGATGGGTGTAGGGAGACCGGTTGTTTCTTGCTTTGTAACATACTCGAATTGTTTGAGGTTGCGACGAAGGGAGGGAACATCGTGTGCTCCTGAAAATTGCGAGCGCAGATTTGGGTATTTGGTGAGGTATGTCAGGATCCGTAGACACCAGACAACGTCCATATCATACGACGCAGGTGCACGTTGTGGTACTGTGTCGCGAGCTGGAAGACTCGCTCCTGCTGTTGTGGTGGTCGTCGCTGTTGCTGCTGGTGTCGTTGTAGGCAGTGCCATACCAGGTTGAGCATCGACTGAGGCAGCACGCAAGAGTTCCTCATTCGCAATAGCCGCCGTTGCTACAGGTGCCGTTGCCGTCTCACCTGCTGGTGGTGCTGGCGTAGGTGTGTCTTCAGTCACATGGAACGTATCCGTCACACCAAAACGATCAAACAACCTTGCGACTTCCGGTAAGACCGGCGGATGCGGTGCAGTAGGCAAGGTCGTATCTGTCGAAATCGACTCCACCGCTGCGATCCTGCGAATGGGCGCTGGACTCATGGCACGCGACCCGGCTTGTCGTGTGAGTGTTGGTGTTGTGGCCCCATCAGTGCTTGTTCCAACCGCTGCTTCTTGTTGGAGTCTCAATACAGGCGCTGGACTGGCAGACGCAGAGCGAGATGTACGTTCCGGTGAAACACTAGCGCGTGGCGTTGTGACAACGGCATCCTCCGACTCACTGGCCGTTGGATTTCGATAAATGCTGGAAAGTCGTGAAGGTCGTGCTTGTTGCGCTGTGGAGGTTGCAACAACAGATTGTCTGCGTTGTATCTCGCGGGGCCCACTCAGATCATCCATGGGTCGTAAGCGACTGTCAAGAATGGTTGAAGCAGGTCGGGTCGCGGTGGCTGTTGGTCGCGCCGGTGGGACTTCGCGGGAGACACTCGTTTCTCTTGAGCGAGATGTCGTTGATGAGGATACTTCTCGCGCAACAGTCGGGTCGACGGGCTGAGCAGTCAATGCGGCGACTGCACCGACACGCGGATGCCGACCAAATGCGTAATCTGCTTCTGACCGAACATGCCGCGATGAGTCGTTCTGCTGTATAGGCGCCGGCGGACGTAGCGGTGAATCTGTGTCGACCGGTTGTTGGGGCTGCTCGGTATGTGCGACAAGCGCTGCAGCTGCACTATTGCGCCGTTGCACCAGGACGGGTCTTTGCTGGGATGCTGTGCGACTTGGTGTGAATATACGGGCCGGTGTCGATGCACCGACAGATTGCCTGCGCGGGCGCCCAGCAGGTCCTGCCGTTGCTGCCTCGACTGCTGCAGTGGCGCGTTGCTGTCCCCATCTCTGCTGTATGTCTGCTAGCGCGCCCGTTGTCGCTTGAGTCTGTACGACGGGCATTTCCACTCGCCGGGCTTGATTGGACGCTTGTCTCTGCTGCAGCTTCTTCATGGCGCTGCGATAGGCATCCGCATGGGAGGCGAGATCTTCGAGGGCATGACAGAGCACGGTGACGAGTACCGGGATGATGCCTGCTTCAACGAGCCTGCGCCTGACATGCTCGGAGCCGCGTGCTGCGAGGTATACTAGGTCCAGAAGTGCCTGTTGCCACTTGCGGGATTGCCAGGGTTCTAGCCTGCGTTTGAGTTTACCCTCCTGAAGGATGCGGACGAGTCGCTCGATACCGCCGTCGCTGACGAGTGCATCGCGTACTTTTGGGGATGACTGGACGAGTGTGCCCAGGTGGGTGAGGGATGTGAAGAGCGCGTAATCTGCGCGTGTGTCAAGGGCTCGTCTATCGTAGAATGCGGGTGTGATGGCGAGGACTGCGCGGTTATGATGGGGCTGGCACTGGTCTGGGTCGCGCATAGCGCTTCTTTCCTCTTCTCCTCTCTACTACTCTGTCACCTGTGCGCTGTACAATGGGAGAGGGAAGGGGAGGTTTGCTGGCTGGGGGGGCGGATGGTTGAGAGTGTGCTGGGTGAGTAATCCCTTTCCTGCTCTTTCCCTCTGCCGTGTTTCGCCCTCTCCTGAGTGTGCGCCAGGCCAGCTACCAGGAGGACTCGGGACGGAGAGTATCTAGCTAGAGAGAGACAGAGCATCCAGATAGGTAGAGAGAGATAGTCAGAGTAACGAGGGACCCGGTGGATGCCTGGCTGGAGGTCGACTGACACGAGCTACGGGCAAACAGTGGTGCTATAGAGTGCTATAGAGTGCTATACAGTAGACGGAGATAGAGTGAAGAGCAGGATGACCAGGGCCAGGACTCTCTTAGTCTTCTCCTCTGCTTCCAGTCCACCTACCTGGCTACTGATCCCTTGCCCAGCAGTGACTGAGTAGTATCATTCCCTTGTTCTCCAGCTTCACCCACACCAGAACCAGCACTACTCATAAGCTACAGCGACTCTCGTTTCAGCGTCATTCATGAGCTCCAGCACCTTGTAAAGCACGGTGTATCATCTATCACTATGGCAGACCCACCCGAGCAGGGAATCAAGAAGCAACCAACAGTCAGGTTCAGCGAAGAACTCCCCCGCGACGATACAGCAGCCTTGGACAGACCAGCGCCTGGTAGAAACACACGCGGGCCAGCATCATGGACAGCTGCCAGGCGACACATCTTTACGCGGCAACACAGCGATCAACAAGACACAACGCTCGATATCCCGCTCGAGGAACGGCCGTCTGCGCTGACACCACCGCGTTCATCCTTGTCTGCGCCGACAACAGGCATTGAGGAGAGCGTCCATACGCGCGGGGTTTCCTCAACAGCGAGTATCCTCAGTAACAAGGAAGATGGTGAAAGCAAGAAGAAACGGGGATTGACGAATGCATCATTTAAATCAGACGCAGCATTGCCCTTCTACTCGCAGTATGCGTCCAAGTATAGCAAGAACCCTGCACTCGCTCGCTTCAAGCAACATACGCGCAAATTTTATCGTTGGGCACTGCAAATCAAGCACTATGAAGCAGATCCACTCGGTCGCAATTTGCTACTGGATGCGGGCAATGAGGTGCCATTGCTGGAACGGCTCTCGCAAAAGCCATACATCAATAACGCCATCACTTCATCGCGCTATACCGTTTACAACTTTCTTCCTCGCCAACTCGCCTTTCAGTTTAGCAAAATTGCTAATTGCTACTTCTTGGGTGTGTCCATTATGCAGATGATTCCTGGTTTGTCGACGACAGGTACGTACACGACCATCATTCCGCTTGCCTTCTTCATTATTCTATCAATGGCACGCGAAGGCTATGATGATTTTCGACGGCACCGGATGGATCAAGCAGAAAACAACAAGTCCGTGCAAGTGTACCGTCGAGGTGGAGCAGATCCTTGGGTTACCATCAAATGGTGGCAAATCAAAGTTGGCGACATTGTTCGACTCAAGAAGAATGACTGGATCCCAGCTGATTTGTTCTTGTTACATTCTTTGGGTCAGAATGGTGTTGCGTATATCGAAACGGCTGCACTCGATGGCGAGACGAATCTCAAATCAAAACGTGCCATTACGCGTATTGCTGAACACACTGCATCGTTGGACTTGCTAGGCGACTTCAAAGCCACCTTGCATTCTGAATCGCCAAATCAGGACTTGTACAACTATGAAGGCACCATTGAGTTGGGTGATGAAAAGCTACCCATCACGAGCGAGCAAATCATCTATCGCGGTAGCATCATGCGCAATACCTCTGAAGCATGGGCAGCAGTCGTCTTTACCGGTGAAGAAACAAAAATCCGCATGAATGCGAGTAAGAATGTACGCACCAAAAAGCCAGCAATCCAAGCCGTCATCAACCGGATCGTTGCCATTATCGTTTTGTTTGTTATTGGCTTGGCCATCTTTTGCACTGTTGGTTACTACATCTGGCACAGCAAGACGGAGAAGCGGCTCTGGTACTTGGCATCAGCTCGCCAGCTGACATTCATTCAAGTGTTCGTCTCGTTCATTATTCTCTACAACACGATGGTGCCACTATCCCTTTACGTCTCGCTCGAGATTGTCAAGCTCATACAGCAGATTTTACTGCAGGAAGACATCGACATGTACCATGAACAAAGCGATACACCAGCAGTGGCGCGCACTTCCACCATCAATGAAGAGCTAGGCCAAGTCTCGTATGTCTTTACCGACAAGACGGGAACCCTCACAGACAATGAAATGGTCTTTCGCAAAATCTCAGTCGCTGGACACGCCTGGTTGCATGATTTGGATCTCCAACGCAGTCGCGCTCACGAGCGTCCATTCCTGTTGCATCGCTTGAAGAAGGGAAAAAAGTCAATCAAGCGTGATCAACACTTGTTTGGCAGTCGCTCCAACTCTATTCATGTTGCTGAAGCAGCTGCACAGCATCATCCTGCACCACGCAGATCGCTGGGCAATGCGATGGGTCGTCGCTCAACCTCTAGTTGGCACCATGCAGCGACTGGTGCAGCAACAGGTCCTGCAACAGGTCCTTTACGTTCAACGCTCGATATGCTCGATTACATTCAAACGCACCCACACGCTGTCTTTGCGCGTCGTGCACGTTTATTCTTATTGTCGATTGCATTGTGTCACACTGCATTGCCAGAATTCGATGAAGGCGAGACAATTCCGCGATTCAGTGCTGCTTCGCCCGATGAATTGGCACTCGTCAATGCGGCTATGGAAATGGGGTACATTGTCATTGACCGCTCTGCTCAACAAATCAAGTTACAAACGCATCCAAATGGCTTGGACGAAGAGCCTCTAGAGGAGATCTATACTGTGCGCGATGTGATTGAGTTTTCATCAGCTCGGAAGCGCATGTCGTGTGTTGTTGAGTTTCCAGATGGTCGACTCTGTCTCTTTTGCAAAGGTGCTGATTCCTTCTTGATGGAACGTATGCGGTTACGTGATTTGGCAAAACGCAAATGGCTTGAAGTGGAGCGACAAGCGCAAGATCGACAAAGTATGGAAGCTGAGCGTGCTCGGAAAAGCTTAGCTCGACCGAGTGTTGCGTTGTCGCGTCCGAGTATCTCTGGTAACCGACTTGACATGATTCGTGACTTGGATGCCTTTTTGGATCGTGCGCGAGAGTCAGTGACACTGGATGAAGCGGGGCCTAGTGGTGGCATGCCTGTTAGGCAATCTATTCAGCTGACACGACAATCGATGCAATTGACACGGCATTCCATGGCGTATGGTGAGCCGAAATCACCATTGCAGCGGTCTGGCGAGGATACCATTGATGATTTACTCGTTCGCAATGAAGCTGCCGTTTTTGAGCAAACATTCAGGCATCTCCATGATTTCGCTGGTGAGGGTTTACGTGTCCTGCTGTATGGTCACCGTTTCTTGACACCCGAGGAGTATCGCTCGTGGAAGAAAGTCTACGCTGAAGCACAAACGAGCTTTGAGGAGCGTCAAGCGAAAATGGAGCAAGCTGCTGAATTGATTGAGACGGATCTGGACTTGACTGGTGCAACGGCGATTGAAGATAAGCTGCAAGAAGGTGTACCCCAAACTATTGACAAGCTGCGACGTGCTGGCATCAAGATTTGGATGTTGACGGGTGACAAGCGCGAGACGGCCATCAATATCGGTCATTCGTGTGGTTTGATCAAGGACTACTCTACCACCATCATCCTCGACAAGGAAGACCCTGAAATGGCTGGCATCATGGCGACGCGCGTACTAGAGATCATTGATGAAACAATTGTGCACTCGGTTGTGGTGGTGGATGGCATGACGCTCGCCGTTATTGAGGAGGATCTCAGTCTGAAGACACTCTTTTTGGATTTGGGTGTCAAGGCTAATAGTGTCATTTGCTGCCGTGCATCGCCTGCACAAAAGGCATTGCTCGTGCGGCATGTACGCAAGCAAGTCAAGGCTTCCATCACACTGGCTATTGGTGACGGTGCCAATGATATTGCCATGATTCGCGAAGCGCATGTGGGTATTGGCATTGCTGGCAAGGAAGGCTTGCAAGCTGCTCGCACGTCCGATTACAGCATTGCTCAATTTCGATTCTTACTCAAGCTGTTGCTCTGTCATGGTCGTTGGAATTACGTTCGCATCTCCAAATATGTGTTGTGTACCTTCTACAAGGAAATGCTACTGTTTATGACGCAAGCGATTTATCAGCGATTTGTTGGGTATACGGGCACGTCGCTGCACGAGTCATGGTCACTCACTCTGTTCAATACGCTCTTCACATCGCTTGCTGTTATTGGGATTGGCGCCTTTGAGCGTGATCTCAGCTCAGCAACTTTGCTCGCTGTGCCTGAACTCTATGCCACCAGTCGTCTCGGTAAGGCCTTTGGTATGCGCTTATTTATTGGTTGGATGGTCTTGGTCGCCTCTCAGTCGGTGATTGTCTATTACTTGGCCTACTACGCATATGCTTACTGGGTGACCCCTGATCTGTATCCCTTTGGCGATATGGTCTTTACTGCCTGTGTTGCCATCATCAATATCAAGTGTCTGTTCCTCGAGATGCACGTCTGGTCCGTCCTCAACTATGCCTTCTTCTTCATCTCCTATGGTGGCTGGTGGGTTTGGACCATTGCACAGAGTCTTATTTTCGGTCACCAGTCCATCTATTTCGTGAAGGATGCGATTCGCCTACAGTTTGGCCGTCAGCTTGGTTGGTGGGCGGGCTTGCTGATTGTTACGGCGATTCCGTTGCTGATTGATGTTGCTTTACAAGCGCTTCGATCTGCATTTCGGCCGACGGAGGAGGATATCTTTAGGGAGTTGCAGCAGGATTCCGCCGGGAAAGCGCGGCTGGAGGAGGAAGCGGCGATGGAGCTGCAGAATGGTTGGATTGAGGGCATCTTGAACAATCGGGGCAAGCAAGTACAGCAGCATCACGAGGGGAACGAGGAGGAGGATGAGGAGATGGATGTGGGTGGTGGTAGCGGTGGTCAGGGGAACAAGCGTGTTTCGATCAGCACGAAGGAGGTTGCATGAGCGGGGTGAATGAAGAGATGAAGAATGATTAGACGGCGGTACAAGCGTGTTGAGTTGGATGTATGCGTGTTCTGTTTGTGACTGCTTCCTGCCTGTTCACGTGCCTGAATGGCTGCCAATTAATGCGCCTGCTCAGTGCTCAGGTCCTGCTGCTGTTCTGCTGCTGCGGGTGAGAATCGAAGTTGAAGATCGAAAGTTGAATTGCGCCCCCCGATCAAGCTACTCACTCTCTCTCTCTCTCTCTTTCCAGGCTTCCCATCAGGAGACACACGCAGGCAAGCAAGGCCGCACCCTAAATCGCGCAACATCCCCTGACACGACAGCCTGCCAAGCTTTCCATTGCAGGGCCCGTACTTAAGGTGCAAGGCCCAATCAACCAAGTCTCTGCTCTCTTGCAACCCTCGACATCTGCCTGTCAGTACCGCAAGTCAAAAGACAGCGCCAAGACAGTGGTTCTCTCAGTTCTTCAAAAACAAGCACCGCGTGTACGACTCAATCAAGGCTCGTCTACTTGTACTGTACTACGGCATCTGCGAGGCGCCCGACGAACTTTCGTCTTTTAAGGTTCATTACATTGTCGCAGGGCCTTTGGTCGCTCCACAACGCATCCATCCAGGGCAAAACGCCATTCTTTGTGTCGCATAGCATCGTTGCTACTGGCATTGAAGTCACTTGGACTTCCAGGATCGTACGCCACCCACGATACAACCCAATAGACGCTCCCTGCAGATCCGCGTTGAGTTGTCCTGACAGATTACTGCATTTCGAGTCTCGACAGTGTCGACACACACACCCTGGCTCACGAATTGCCTCCGGGCCCCTTCCCGGGTCAGGGCCTCCCGCATGGTATGCTCCAAATCTCCAATCAACACCCCCAAAACTTTGGCGCTAACAAACCCAACCAGAAAACAGTGAGACCCCCATGCAACAGCTGTACGGATTTGACGCTGCTTATAGCAATCACAGCGCACCGCCTATGCATTCACCTTACCCGCACGCTTCAGCCACAGGATCACCACCCTCTTCTGCTGAATCTTCGCCACTAGGTTTGGTGAATGGCTTGCCACGCCACGGTCGAATCAGGGCGCAGTCGCTCACGACAAAGCTTCAATCAATGGTGGGTGGCAAGTCCACTGCACACATCACACAGCAACAACTCAATAAAAAGCGACAACGCGCGACACCGGAGCAATTGGCTGTGTTGGAGGAAGCTTTTGACGTCAATCCGAGTCCGAATGCAAAGCAGCGTGAAGTCATCAGTGCTCAGATTGATATGACGGAGCGTAGCGTGCAAATTTGGTTCCAAAATAGGCGTGCCAAGACCAAGAGCGCAAGTAAAAGGACGAGTGGCGCACACGATGATAGTTATCAGCATGCGCGGCCTGGTGCTCCATCGCGCTCCTTCAGTATTGATCAGAGGATGCTGTTTGAGCATGAAGCACAGCATCTCGGATCAAACGACGTCACTCGTCTCAATTGTCGCTCATTGACCATCGGCAGCTGGCGACGTGTCGCATGCACACTCAGCGATCTTGTCTTGTATTTTTCACATCACGAACCACGTTTTACCTACTACATCAACTCTGGCGCTTCGGGATTCAAGTTAGAGTTTCCCTTGACCGATATCTCCAAGATTGACCTGCAATTCCTCGATGGTCAGACGAGCAAAGAGCTCGGACGCATCACACTCACCATTGTCAAGCCACCCGTCTTCTTTATGGAAGTGCCCGGGCCTGGTACGTGGAGCCAATGTACCGACTTTACAGAGCACCAGCAAGCAACGCTTGTGCACACACATCTACTGGTCGGGCCATACGCGACCCTCAAAACGGCACTCATGAAGATGGCTCGCTATCATCCTTCTGTTGCTAGTGTCATGACCCTTGCTGATGTCTTACAAAGTCAGCCAGTCACAGCGACCTTTCCAGTCTCGCCCGATCGAGAGCTCTTTGCACGTGCTGGTCAACAAGCAGCCTCTGCATTGGAGCAAGAATCCAATGCAGCCGGTCAGTTTGCTCGTGGCCCTGGTATGCATCGACGGACTCGCAGTCGCTCAGCGCCTATTGCACTTGATTTCTCTTTCCTCAATAATGAAAATGTGGGTGGCATGCCCAACTATAGCTTCGGCCAGCGCAGTGCGCGACCGGAGATGAATTTCGCTCAGTTACAGCAAGAGCCTACTCAAGGCTTTGACTTGTCCATGTCTGGAGACCCGTATGCGGCTGCTGCATTGAGTGCATCACAGTCCATAGCGCCCGGCACGGATTATCCAGAAATGACCTTCACACCGACAACGAGTTCGACGCCCGTCTTTCCAGATGGTTCATTGATTCCGGGTTGGTACAACACACACAATGCAGCAAGTGGGTATGCCGAGTCGCCACTCCTCAGCGGCAGTGGTGTGCATTCTGCACTCGCATCACCTATGCTGCCGAGTGGTAGCCAATATGGCATGTCCTCGCAACCAAGTCTTGTGGCAGGCCTGCAACAACAACACGCGCAGACCCTCAATGACTTTTCAATGGGTGACCCAACAAATGAGCCACTCATGCATTTCCCTGCACAAAGTATGCCGGATCTATTGAATAGCATTCCAGAAGCTGAAACCATCTCGCCGCCCTCGCTACAAGCGTCACTCGCCATGGATGGCAGTACGGGTGGGCATGCTGCAAAGTTGGATTTAGGTGGGACGCTGAATGCCTCAACGATGCATGGAGCTGGTCTTCAGAATGCACAGTTGGCTGCCATGGTAGCCATGAATATGGAGACGAATGCCATGATTGTTCAGCAGGCTCAGCAAGAACAAGAGGATTTGCAAATGCAGGACCACGGCATGCAATAGTCAGAGCAATGCAAAGACGCGCATCAATCGTTGCTTTTTTCACCTCTGGAGGTCGGGAAGGTCAGCGCATTTCATTACCCAAATTTGTTGGCAGTCTTTTGTGAAGACTTACTTCTGTACATAGGCTTTCTTGTCCTTTCTACAAGTACAACGTAGACGTTTTCTACTGTAGAAAACGGAATACCAACCTCTCAAATCGCGTGAACGCTCCCGTATCCACCAACACGCCGCGTTGTAGCCAGATGGAGTGGGCACCCATCCTATTCGCCATCAATATGTCTGTGAAGAGCCGGTCGCCAACCACGCACACCTGTGAGGGATGGGTAACTTGGGCGTGCTCTCGTAGATATGCCATCACTTCATCACCACAGCCAGGTTTCCGTTGTTCATGCACCAAGACATGTGGGCCTCCAAGGTTCTCTTGGAGCTGAGAGAGATCATTGGAGGGCCCATTGACTCCGCTACGTTTGCTCGGCAAGCAACCGGTTGTATTGCTGACAATCAGCAATCTTGCGCCTGGATACTGTTCTTTGAGTAAGGAGAAACGAGATTGGCACGAAGCATGGACTTGAAGAGAGTGAGGCTCTGCGAAACAATTGTCCTTATCCAGTACAAGTGCACGAATATCTGAGAAGCGTCTTTTTGCACAATCATCCACAATGGCATGTGAAGCAAGTGCTGCAGGTATGTCTTGTGGTATTTGAGAGAAGCATTGCAGAACTAGACTTGGTCTTAGCTGAGAAGGGTTGAACAGACATGACAAGCCCAAAGAGATGGCCGAGTAGTTCATCGTTGATGGTGGCGAGAGCGAGACTTCATGGCCATGGACGTTTGATGCCGTCGACAGATTTTCAGATGAGCACAAGCGCCAGCCCTCTTAAAAGAGATGATGATTCTAGCTTCGGACCAGCCGGCATGAGTATGAAGATTAGTCTAATCTGTCTCTTTGAGAGGTCTTGAGGGCTCTCAAACGAAACAAAGCTTCAAACAAAATTTGAGGTGAACACTGCTAGTTCAGAGGATCAGAAAGACCTTCGTCGTCTGTCTGAACCTTTCATCGCTGCCCCTCGTTCCAGCTCGCAAAGCGCGGATCCAAGAATTTGTAGTAATCCGGAGCCAGCCACGTAGCGAACTTGACGGGCGCCTTAGCAGCGTAGAAGTGGTTGGTTCCCTTGTAACGTCGAACGCCGTCTCCTGTCAAGTTGTAATACGTATAGTGGGCGTCGTAGTGGTGATCGTTTTTCTTCCACCGGGACCATCCAAGTTCACTCCAGGGCTTCATCGGACCGTCAATGAAAGTGTTCTGAATAGACGCCAAAGCCCACTGCTTCCAATCACGACCCAAGAAAACATGATCGTCCCTCCATTCCTTGCCCGGCGAAAATTCAATGTGACAATTGTCCACAATGCTGCCTGGATCCTTGTCATTTTCTCGTCCTGAGGCAAGAATGAACACTTGATCACGCTTCCCTGAGTTTGCAATCTGATGGTTAGTCGTTCATAGTAGGCAGCCACTTTGACTTACAGTGATTGTACTATCCGTGACGACCAGACCAGCTCCCTGCAGACAGTGTTAGAACAAGGAAGCAATAGCTTGCGAAACACACCTTATTGGAGATCATATCGACGATACTAGTGATGTTCCCTCGGATGAACATAGCACTACCAATAAAAAGATACCAGACATCTTGCTCACTCATCATGCTGCAGCCATAAAGATATTGGTACTGTCCCTTGGTAGACAAGGCAGGAGCTTGGTTTTTTGTGCCGGTGTTTTCAATTTTCAAGTTGTACACGCTGATGTGGTATCCAGTCAGTGTCAGTGTCGTAATGCTGTTGAGGCCTTGCTTGGAATCCGGTGTATCGAAGGTCGCGTGGTGGGTAAGGTGTACCAAGTTCAGAGAGTGATCACACATGTTGGGAGTCTCGCCATAGACAGTCACAGAATGCTTGTTCTCGCGGCCCTGAACCAACAAATCGAGGGTGGATTTTCCAGCGTATTTTCCACGCTTGATGAAGATGATGACATCTTGGGTCGGAGTCAGTTCAGCTGCCCTCTTGAAAGCTTCTGGCACCTGAGATTAGCTTGTGTGGATGGGGTAATTGACAGATACCGTTGCAAAAAAGTTGCCCTTAGACTTGTGAATGCCGATGTCAACAACAAGAGCACCCGCAGGTGGCTCTAGGTTGGGAATCACAGCACCACTGACGCACGCGTCACCGTGAGCATTACCAGGAGGACTAGCGTGGCGGCTGATGCCACCAGACGGCATGACAGATCCATTCTTTGAATGGTTTGGTAGGATGTGATTGCCCTTGTGTCCATTACCACCTTTCCGGCCGTAGACGTGGGTCTGAGGCAAGCTTGCTAGTAGGACGCTGAAAAGTAGCCCAATGGAGCGGCCCATCATTGTGCTGATTAAATAGCGATTGATGAGCTGGCTGGAAGGGCAGTGCTTTTATGTCTTTGAAATCCAGGGGTAATTAATATGCGGATGAGGAAAGGTGTGTTTGCCTCCGTTTGCACCTGTGGCCAAATAAAGATTTCGCATAGGGCAAATGATGCGCCATTGCGCACTAATGGCAGTGATGAGTCCGGGAGGCGAAGCAGAGCTTGCAGTGCGAAGCAAGTCCCAACATTGACATGATTGCACAACAAGCAAAGACTTGCCGATTGAATTTGCAGGCAGGACCCGAAGGCGCAAATGAGAAATATGATGTCAGCACTGCACCTCTACAGTTGTCTTTGACGCCAAACCATCGATCCACCTACCGCATCGGACATGTCAATTCATCGGGGCTTGATGTTTGTCAGAGTTAGCGCGATGCTCAAATTAGACGCATTTACGGTATGTAATCGAGATTGGCGGATATGCGAGGCTGTAGTCGTAGGTGACAGACACAGGCACGCAGGGCAGCTGCAGATAAGACTTGATTCGAATAGGGGACAAGAGTATAGCACTCTTGCCAGCTAAGACTAAACTAAAGGTCACGTGCATGAGTGCTGACGTGGCAGAGAGATAACAGCGGAAGCAAGTGATCAGGGGATGCACTTGAATTCCTAACACTCCCTCTATCTCGATAAAGCGAAGTGCTTAGACGAGGCCGAGAAGCAGTCGTTGCGTCTCCAATGCAGGACGTGGAAGGAGCTTGGTAAGGAGATCGGCTTTTTGCAGTTTTGTGCCGACGTAGTGTAGCTTGATCTTGCCTTGCTCAATCAGGGATCGAGTGTGATGGTACTTCACTTCGATGTGCTTACTCTTGGCGTGAAACACAGGATTGTGTGCCAACTTCAGCGCAGCCTGATTGTCCCCAAATAAATTGATGGAACCGTCGGAGTTGAGCACATTGCTGATCTTGATGCCGAGCATGAGCTCGCGCAGCCAGAGAGCCTCTTTTGACGCGTTGAAGAGGCCAATATATTCGGCTTCCATGGTCGATGTGGCAACAATGTTTTGGCGCTTTGACTGCCAGGTGATTGCAGCTCCCCCAAGCATGAACACATAGCCAGATGTGCTCTTCCTTGTATCCAGGCACCCTGAGTAGTCAGAGTCAGAGTACCCAGCAAACTCGTCGTTTCCGTCGTATCGCAGTCGCAAATTGCGAGTCGTGAACAGGTACGCGAGGACGCCACGAGCCAACTTCATGTGAGAAGTAGTCGGCTTGGCAGAGAAACGACCTAGAACACCGACAATATAGGCAACATTGGGTAGTGCCGTCAGTGGTGAGAATGGTGCCGACACTGGCTGGCAGGTGCCTTGGATGGCAGTTGGCTAAGCCGTGGTCGGTGGCGATCGATTCAATATAGGTGGATTGATCGAGAGTGTATACGCCGTTGTTGTGTGAGACGCGCATGCCGAGAATGGAATTGGCAGGGCCGAGATCGGACAGCTCGTAGCGTTTGGTAAGAGCCTTGAGAAGATGCTCTTTGTGCGCGATGTCCGAGAAAGCCATCAGAATGTCGTCGACGTAGACGCAGAGCAAGGACGCGTTTGTCTGATGCTGATAGATGCCAAAGTCGTGCATCGAGCGTTCATAGCCAGCAGCAGTGAGGGTGACGTGCAAATCATCGTTCCAGGCTTTGCCAGCTTGTTTTAGACCGTAGAGAGCCTTCTTGAGCCTAACGAACGGGAAGTTCTCGTTGGAGAAACCTGGAGGAGCGATCATGAAAATCTCCTCAAACAGGTTTGCATTGAGGTAAGCGGTGGCAATGTCCATCTGGTGAAGATGAAGCTTGTAAATTGAAGCGAGTGCGATAAGCATGCGCACAGACTCCAGTCGAGTGACTGGAGCATACGTCTCGTTGTAGTCTACGCCAGCTTTCTGAGAGTAGCCCTTAGCGACAAGACGCGACTTGCGCTTGTCGAAAGTGCCATCAGCGAGGATCTTGTTCTTGAAGATCCAGCGTGCCCCAATGGCCTTTCGGCCTGGAGGTAGCTTAGCGACGTACTCAAAAACTCCTTTGCCTTCAAGAGAGGCGAGCTCGCGTTCCATAGAGGCACGCCATTCAGGTGCGTCAGAGCGGGATAGAGCTTGTTTGACAGTTACAGGAGCTGGGAGAACATCTTGAGCAGTAAGCATAAAAGCATATTCATCAAGCTCGTCATCATTAGTAGTAACGTCAAGACCGCTAGTAGCGATAGCTTCGAGCTGCTCATCAGTAAATTCGACACTTGCAGCATTGCCGCTAGCTATAGCTTCGAGCTGAGCGTCTGTGAGCTGACGAGGATCGACATCCTTGTTGACAGACAGTTCTTTTGCCACAGCATGATCAAAAATGACCGAGTGGTTGAGAACAACTTTCCCAGTGGCAAGATCTAAGACTCGCCAAGCTTTGGAAGTATCACTGTAGCCCAAAAACATAGCTTTGTTGGCGCGCGCATCCCACTTGTCCTTGATTCGCGGGTTGTGTGACCAGCAAATGGTACCAGGAGTCCTCATATGCGAGCAATCTGGTCGTTTTCCATACCACAGTTCGTATGGCGTCTTGTCGAGACCAGTATGAGGCGAACGATTGATGGCGTAGACGGCTGTGGAGTTCAACTCAGCCCATAAATTGCGCGGGAGAGGACCAACCGTCTCATCAAGAAGCGATGAGCGAGCCTTTTCGACAACAGTGCGAATGTGGCGCTCTGCAACACCATTCTGCTCAGGCGTATGCGGAACAGTTGTTTGGTGAGTGGTGCCTTGCGTAATGAGGTGCTGGCGAAAGCTCCCCTTGAACTCGTTACCTCCATCAGAGCGAACAATTTTGACTTTGTCGCCAACGTGATTGGTGGCAACAGTTTCCCAAGCTTTGTAGATGTTACAGACGGTGTCTGCAGTGACATCTTTCAGCATGTACGCCCAAACGTACTTGGAAAACCCGTCAACAATGATGAGAAAATATCGTGCATCATTGATAGAATTGGTGCGCATTGGTCCAGCAACATCAATGTGGACTATGTCAAGCCGCTGAGTGGCAGAATTTGCCACAGAGGGAAAGCTCGAGCGCTTGCTCTTTCCAGCTGCACAGCCAGAGCAATCGAAGTATTCCGGGTAGACCAGATCGTCGGGAAATCCGTCGACAAACTTCGAAAGTCGTTTCATGTCCTTGATGGACATATGGCAAAGTCGTCGGTGCCACTCAAGGGCATCCGTCGGTGCCTTTTCCTTTGTGAAAAGGGCAAACTCACTTGCCTGAGGCTGGACTTTAGCAATTGTGCCGTCTAGGACAAAGCCTTTACCGACACGCCTGCCAGTAGCGACGACAACACTGTCTTTGAGGAGGGCTGGTCCATGTTTGGCCGAGAACAGTACGTCAAAACCGTCCTCATTGAGTGCGCTCACTGATAAAAGATGTTCAGTGAGATTTGGCACATGCCAAACTTTGGACAAGGGCACCAAGCTGGTTTGATCTGGCACGGCAAATGCAGCATGCCCAAAACCAGCGGAGATCATCTCTTCGCCATTGGCGGACGTGATGCTAATGGAAGCATCATGAGAGAGATCAGAGATCAACTCTTGCGACGGTGTCATATGCGACGTGGCACCGGAGTCGATCACCCAGCTACGTTCAGCTAGGGTTGTTTCGCGAGCAAAGTATGCCGTGTTGGGATTTGGCTTGCCCTCAGACTGTGATTTTGATTCAGTTGGAGGGCTACTTTGCTTCGTCTCAGATGAAGGCTTGTGAAGAGAATGCCTTTTCCTCGGCTTCTTTGAAGACTTCTGCTTCAATTGAGACTTATGCTCTTGAGCGAGCATCCCTTTTTCCGTTGATGATTGGTAAAGGGTTTGGGAAGCGTCAGCGGCTGAGTCTGCCAGAGACTTGTGCTTGCCGTGCGTCTTGAGATAGTCATCCGACTGTATCTTGAAGCGCACTTGCTGCACAAAACTGCGGATAGAGTGTGGTCCATCCGAGGAGAGTGTGTGCAGCGTGAGGTCCTGCAAATGGCCTGGGAGTTTGGCGTAGATCATGGCAATTTCCATGTCTTCGTCAAACGTCTTGCCGGTGGGATCAAGGCTGCGCAACTGGGCAATGGTGGCTTGAACGTCCACCATCAGGGTCTCAATAGCTGAAGATGTGGTATTGCCAGGAGGCAAAGAGAGCTTATTGAGCTTCGTGACCAATTGCAACTTTCGCAAAGTGTCAGGCTGCTTGTGTCGAGACAAGACAGTCTTGAAAGCAACACAGGCGACTGCGATGTCTTTGATTGCTTCCAGGTCAGACCTGTCGAGACCTCCTTTCAGCAAGAAAAGCGCCTTGCTGTTCTTGTCCCAAGTTGGTTCAAGATGCGACCATTCTTCAAAGGTCGCAGGTGCAAGATACCCCTCAGAGTTGATGTAGCACGGACCAGTGTCAGGCTTTGTGCTTTCATCCTCGCTTGATTCCTCCTCCATCGATTTGGACTTGGAGCGAGTCGAGGGGGCGCTATAGGCTTTTGGGGCCTTAAGCTTGTCATCTTTCATGAGGGCTTCGAGAGCGGCGATACGGGCCTCAGCGTCTTCGTCGGCCTTCTGCATGGCGTCTGCGCAGCGTATTGCTGCTTTGACGCGGCGTGCGTGTATCTCCTGAAAGATGTAAGTCTCCACGCCAGCCTGCTGAGCGACAAGCAGCAGCTCATCCTTCCAAGCACTGAGGCCATTGCTGATCCTCTTGGTGTTCCTTAACACCGCGTTGCTAGACGGGCCGGAACGTTGATCCGAAGCAGTAGCGTCTTGCTGCATAGCAACAGTGCTCATAACCTAATCGAGATTGGCGGATATGCGAGGCTGTAGTCGTAGGTGACAGACACAGGCACGCAGGGCAGCTGCAGATAAGACTTGATTCGAATAGGGGACAAGAGTATAGCACTCTTGCCAGCTAAGACTAAACTAAAGGTCACGTGCATGAGTGCTGACGTGGCAGAGAGATAACAGCGGAAGCAAGTGATCAGGGGATGCACTTGAATTCCTAACAGTATGCGACGCAGCGAAACGTGGATAGTCGAGGACATGCGAATTGAGCAGTGGGCTGTGGCTGTCAAGCTAGATATAGGAGAAGAACGTGTGCATAGAGGTGACTTCAGCTGAACTTGATTTCAGCTGGAGAAAACGTGGTCTTTCGCGACTCCTTCAGAGCCTAATGATTCGACTTCAGCCTATTCAGCACATGCATGATGATGCCTCCTGAGATGTGTCTGTTCGCAAAAGATCCCAAATGGACTTTAGGTAAGCAGATGACTCGTGGACTTGCGCAGAAAAGTGGGAATGTATTAAAAGACAAGGTGATACTTGGACAGGATGTTAAGCCTGATTAGTCTGGATGTTGAGAAGACAAAGCTACATCGATGGTGTAGCTTCAAATGAATTTAAAGTCGTAGAGCGCCGGGAAGTCTGCTCCAAGGAGATCTCCGGGTGCAATGTAGTTGCCTTCCTTCGCATATTGTGTGAATTTGCTCGGGTCCGGGCCACCCTCAATTTCGAGCCAAGTGAAGGAAGTCTGTGCAAGTGCAGATTCTGGATCGGATGTATGCATAGGCTTAAACCCTCCAGGAAACCAGGCTTCAGGATCGCCTGTGAACCTCACAAGTTGGTACTGTGCCCTAGCAAATGCCCCCCAGGCGCGCCCGAGATCAGCATGGCCAGGTTTACGGAAGCCAGGTCCCTGAGTCGGTCAGCAAAGCAGCTTGAATGATTGGAAATGACAAACCAACGTGACTGTGCAATTGTTAATCAGAATGAAGCCAGGGTCATCGGCGCTGCGCCGACCAGGCGCGAGAATGTGAGCATACGATCTTGTTTCGCTGGATGGAATGACAATATCGCTGTGAGTAATGACTTGATTGGAACTCAAACCAAAGATGAAATCGGTGATCCCAACGATCAGGGACTTGACGACGAACTGACTGCCCTTGCTACCAAAGAAGGTATCTTGCTCGCCAATCAACTGGCAAGCATACACCCCCTGGTTGAAGCCAGAGCTAGTCAAAGCAACCGCTTGAGAATCTTGACCACCTTTGTTTTCAATGATAAGGTTGTAAAGGTTGATTCCATTGCCGTTGGCTATCACGGTGGACGTGCCGACCAGATCCTCAAATTGACCCTTTACAACGTGCCATTCCGAGCGGATTCTGACCACATTGTCCCTGTAAGAACAGATGTTCGTGGTCTAGTGTCAGTGGCGTTCTGAGTCAGAATACAACGATACCTCGCCAAAGATCTGGATGCCATCGCCTGAAATGGTCACATTTCCTGTGTATAGGCCTGAACGAATGAAGAGGCGCTTGTGTTCAGTTTTCAGGGCAGCGTCAATACCTTCTTGAACCTGAATGTGAGCACAATTGAAAGACATATGAGCCATACAGTCATGTAGTCGCCTTCTCCTGGCCTTCCAGAGACAACAATCGCGCCATTTGGTGGCTTGACCCTAGAGATGACCATGTCCTTCTCTGTGCAGGCGTAATCATAGTAGGCGGCAGAGATGACAGAGGCCAAGCCTGCCCAGAAGCTCAAAGAAACGAGCATTTCAAGCGAGTGTGATGTGGATACTAAAGACTCTCAGGACGGGGCTTATCCCCTTTATAGTCACTTTTCGCGATGAACCTCTACCTGCAGCCAGTTCCGATGCACAAAGCGAGCAATTATTTGTGTCTCGCTTCAGAGTGGCTAATTATAGCTCGCAGCCGGGGGTAGAATAAGACAAGAGTGCCAGCAATGGCCCAGCAGTGCTAGTAACGCCAGCATTGGAGCAGTCTTGATTCTCGTGCGCTGGCTGACAAGCAAGATCGCTTCATCAATCGGAAACAGAGGACAGACAAGGAGGATCAACAAGCTCTTGTATGGCCATACTGATGGCGGCTACCTCCATTTCTGGATGCGTCGCAGCTAGATGATGCCGCCCCTGATATCGGTGGGGTTCGACTCAGCCTTGAGTCCCTGTCGAGTCACTGTAGTCAGAGTAGAAGAGTGTCGTCAGGGGCCCTTTCACGTGAAGCCAACTCGCACGCGCAATTCTTGCTCTTGGCTTCAACTTCAGAAAACGGAACAAGACACAGGCCAGCTACAGCGTAGGCAGAGGCATTCACACCGTGTCCTGCCCTTCACCTGCCCATCGCAGACGCGTTCAACAAGCCTACACGGTATATATTCTCCAAAATGGACAGTGAAGCGCGTTATGTCAACCAAGAGCGTCGAGCAAACTTCAAAAATAAAGGTCTCTTCAAGGGCGATGAGCTGCGCAGGCGTCGAGAGGAGCAGCAGGTCGAGATTCGAAAGCAGAAGCGGGAAGAAAATTTGACCAAGCGTCGCAACTTGGCGACCGTGACTGTGTCTGACGATGAAGATGAGGAGCAAGATATTGGACAGCTCGAGTCGCAGCTCCACATTGAGTTGCCACAGATGATTCAAGGCGTCTTTTCAGACTCGGTTGATGTGCAAGTAGAGGCAACCACCAAGTTTCGCAAACTGCTGTCGAAGCAGCGTAATCCGCCCATCGAGAAGGTCATTGAGTGTGGTGTCGTTCAGCGGTTCGTGCAGTTTCTCACAAGCCCGCACACGCTTGTCCAGGTACGCTATCCTACATACGCGTGGACTTCACTAACAGTAGTTTGAAGCAGCATGGGCCTTGACCAACATTGCATCCGGATCATCAGCCCAGACCAAAGTTGTGATTGAGGCTGGCGCTGTGCCAATCTTTGTGCAGCTCTTGTCGTCTGATGAAAGTGATGTGCGTGAGCAGGCTGTGTGGGCGCTCGGCAACATTGCAGGTGACTCGGCCGAGTGCCGTGACTTTGTGCTCAACTGCGGAGCACTGCAACCGTTGCTCCAGCTACTACACGACTCCAAGAAGCTGTCAATGCTTCGCAATGCAACCTGGACGCTGTCCAACTTTTGTCGTGGCAAGAGCCCACAGCCAGACTGGGCCACCATCTCGCCCGCGCTGCCCGTGCTGGCGAAGTTGTTGTTTTCCGTGGATGAGGAAGTGCTTGTGGATGCCTGCTGGGCTGTCTCTTATCTGTCTGACGGACCGAATGAGAAGATCCAGGCAGTCATTGAAGCCTCTATCCCACGCCGCCTTGTGGAATTGCTTGCCCATTCTGCGACAAGCGTTCAAACGCCTGCATTGCGGTCAGTTGGCAATATTGTCACTGGTGACGATATTCAGACACAGGTCATCATCAACTGCGGTGCTCTCCCAGCGCTGCTCAACCTACTGGGATCGACCAAGGAGGCTATCCGTAAGGAAGCATGTTGGACCATTTCCAATATCACTGCCGGCAACTCTTCACAAATCCAAACAGTCATCGATGCGAACTTGATGCCACCACTCATTCATCTACTGGGCAGCGCCGACTTCAAGACCAAGAAGGAGGCTTGTTGGGCCATCTCAAATGCTACCTCTGGTGGCCTTGCCAACCCTGATCAAATCAAGTACATGGTGAGTCAAGGGACCATCAAGCCACTGTGCGACTTGCTTGATTGCCTCGACAACAAGATTATCCAGGTTGCGCTCGACGGTCTAGAGAATATCCTCAAAATTGGCGAGGCCGAAAAGTCACAGACTGGTGGCCAGAACCGATTCGCCCTCTACATTGAAGAGGCCGGTGGTATGGAGAAGATTCACGCATGCCAAAACAATGCGAACCAGGAAATCTACCAAAAGTCGTACACCATCATCGAACGCTTCTTCGGCGACGAAGATGAGGATGCCGAGGATGCTGAATTGGCACCACAAGTCAGTCAAAGCGGTCAGTTTGCGTTTGCTCAAGGCAATGCGCAGCAGTCGGGCCAGTCATTCAACTTTGGCGATGGCGGTATGCAAATGTGATGCGCTACGTTGTTTTCTCCTGCATTCTTTGCTCAAAGAGCACGGCTGTAGACTCGCTTCTTGACATGCACTCTCTTTCTCACGACTCATTCGTCGAACACATTTGTTTTCCCTCGTACCGAGGCTGGCAGTCAAGTGTTTGCAAGATGCAAGCCCGCCTTTTTGCTTACTATCCTCGCATTTACATCTACATTGACTCATTCATCTCCAAACTAGTCTAATGCTGCGCCTTGGTTTGCCAACTTGTCTGCCATTTCATTTCCCTGGATGCCAACGTGAGCTTGCACCTTGAGCAACTTGACTGTTCCCTTTCTATCGACGATTGCATTGAGGCATTCTCTAATCAGTTCGACATTCTCTACTGGCGCGCCTTTGCTATTCAGCCAATTGTTGCGCGCCCATTTCTGATGCCAACTCGTCAAGCAGGAGATGCTGTACTGCGAGTCAGAGTAAACGACAATATCGAGATCCTTTGGCACCTGTCGCACTGCTTCAAGAATGGCAGTGAGTTCGGCTCGTTGGTTCGTTTGTCGTGCACCCAGTAAGCGGCCGGCAAAGTTGGCGGGTGATCCTTGGTGGTGGTAGATACCGTAGCCGGCTCGAGCATGATACTGACCATTGCCTCGACACGAGCCATCTGTATAAATGACGATAGCTTGTCGTTGGCCAGAGGGAATACGATCATTACCTTGGAAATCGTCTTGCGTGAAGTGCGAGTCGTGATGTTTGGGGCCTTGCACATCTGCAGCTGGCGCAACCTCGAGGTTGCCAACCTTCAGAGCTTCTCTTTCCCTCGCAGGCGCAGGAGGCTCAGGTCTATTCGGTTCAGGCTTCTTCAGCTTGGCTATATGGCCATGCTTGTATGCGCCATTCACTTTGAGATACTGCGTTGCTTCGGCCTCTGTTGGGAAGGACTTGAAGAGCGCACCAGGAAATTGGCTGGTCTGCCGTTCGCAGTCGGCCCACGAATGAAAGATGCCAGTTTGGTGACCACGAGCTACAGCATAGACTTTGTTCTTCTTTGCTTTGCCCATGCTTAAGATTTTGAGCGTGTCAAGCAGTGACTGGAAGCTGAACAAGCGGCGTTGTTCAACAGAGCAAGGGTGAAGCTGCAGATGCACGCGTTTCAGTGATTGACGAGCGGGTCAGGAGAGCTTGAGCATCTGCAATCAGTGGACAACTATGCAAGATCAAGAGTCTGCGCAGAGCAAAGAATTCTCTTGTAGTTGTGTAGATTCTGAAGAGAGATTCAAGCTTGGAAGTCTTGGTAGGACAGTACATGTAGAACGGCTGTTCTGCACTCGGCCAAGCCAAATCCTTTGATTTACGCAATCGAACACCACGAACAGTCTGCGAACAGTTCGAGTCTGTTCGACCATGGCTGCGATTGCCAGAACCAAAGGATTCGTCCTTCCTTCTTGACCCTGCAAGCTGACTGGCAAGAAATCAAAGACGTATTGGGCAGAGAAAGAGAAAGGTTTCAACGTAAGGCTAATGATACTGGATATAAAGCTAGGCAGGCGCTTAAGATTCGATTGATCTGAAAGAGTATCACCAGGCACACTTCGAGTTAGTTGCATGGCACGTTGACTTTGATGATCACTTACATTCATAGCTCACTTCTTGCCCTGGCCAGAGCCAGCGTTGGAAGAAGGGCTGTTGCTGCTGATGAAGTCTGCGGCGGCGTGCACGTCCTTGAAAGACTGGTGGTGGTTGTTGGAGTATCCATCCGTCTGGGCCTTGGCTGACTCCCAGCTGGTGTAGATGCCAGGCTCCCTTCCGCTGCTGACTGCGTAGTACTTTTGGTTGTTGGACATGGCTGCTGATGATGGGTTGCTAGAGACAGACTGCTGGATTATATAGCCATAATAGCCCCCACACTGAGATACGGGGGTCAGCACGTGGACTCGCGTTAAATTCAGGGACAAAGTGAAGCAACGAAAGGCTACGAAGGCTACGATACAAAAAGGATACAAACGGGATACAAATAGTGTTCAAAAGGAGAATGCAGCTCGATCGCCATGCACAGTACTCACGCCATCACTGTGCACATCAGATTGAGAAGAAGCAGAGCGATAGCCAAAGTTGCTCTCCGTAAAGCTGCTCACCATGCTCGAACCCAGCTGCACCCAACCAGCCTCAAGCTCACTCGATTCCTGCCAGAGTCCACGGTGTGCGAGATAGGCAGCGGCATCCAGACCGATGTTGTGTGTCTTGCGTTCGATTGCCTTGACTGTCAACACGACTTTACGATCCTTTGCAAGATTGAGACACGCACGCACCAGGTCGCCATTCACAACGGGTTTATGTTTTGCATTGCGCCACTTGTTGCTTTGCCATTTCTTAGCGTGCACCATCAGGCAAGCGAAGGCGTATCCAGAGTCGGTACAGACTTCCAAGGCTGTATGCGTAGGACAGGCTGCAATGGCCTTGAGGATGGCAATCAGCAGGGCGCGTTGCTTCGTGAGCGCATCATCACGAATACGACCATAGAGATTCTCCAACTTGGCCGTCGTCCCATAGTACACGCTATAACTGGCGCGCGCCGGCCAGACTCCGAGTTCTGGGTGAGGGCTCTTTTGGTAAGCAGCACCGATATATGCGCGCATTCCACCGGTATGAGGACGTTCAGCAGGCATAGCGACTTGCGTGGGTGGTAGGGCGGTTGTTTGTTTCTTCCCCGCGAGTGCAGCAGTGCGCATCCAAGCTTCTGCTTCAGCGAGTGAAGGGAATTTCTGAAAGTCGCAGTGGGAGAAACCGTCTACTTGGCGCTTACAGTCTTCCCAGGTTGTGTAGAGGCCTGGGACGCGGCCCTGTTTGACTGCATAGACTGCAATGACCATAGCGCACTAGTCTTCACAATAGACTCAAAACGAGTGATGCCAACGAGCGTGGAGGTGTGATGGGGTGTGTGGTGGTTGAGGTGGGAGAGATAACGACAGCACACAATTGACACTGCAACTTGACACAAAGGCTGAAGCAATCATCATTGAATCATGCCCTTTGAGCGGGATCTCTCGACTTTCTTTGACAAGTCCGCACAGCTACTAGAAGCCTTCCCTGATGTATGCTTTATTTGAAGTGTCTTGCTAGTATCTAACTTGCTCTTCTGCTAGGCAATCTATACACTCGACTACAGCAAGCACGATGCCACCCGCTCTAGCATCACGGCGCGCTTGCATGACGACGCAGCAGGTATCTGCCTTAAATTCAAGACTGATAAAGTATTGGAACTAGGACGCTTGATGGTTGGTAGTACAAAAGTATCACAACGACTCGCGCAACTCGATGAGGAAGCGTGGGATCGGCAACAGGCTGCATTGATGCCCGGTACTGGTGAAGCGCAGGGAGAGTCAGAGATGAAGGATGCGAGTACGCCTGTTGCGTCGGGGGAGGCTGCATCCACAGCATCAAAGAAGAAGAGTAAGCCTCACAATAAGAAATGCGAGTCTAACAAATGCACAGAGAAGAAGGGTAAAAAGTAACAAAAGTCGCGACGCTTCTATAGTACAAGAATATGGATTCTGACAACTGCTTACTTCTAAAAGTCCTCCTCAAGACTGAATGCATGTCCATCCGTCTTTTCACCCTCACCATCCTTCTTCTGTGTGCCTGCCATGACACCCGCCTTTTGGTAGTCACCGACACGCTTCTCAAAGAAGTTGGTCTTGCCAGCGAGTGAAATGTTCTCCATAAAGTCAAATGGATTGCTGGTGTGATAGAACTTTTTGTTGCCAAGAGAGACGAGGAGTCGATCAGCGACAAATTCAATGTACTCGCGCATGAGCTTTGCATTGATACCCAATAAGGGGCATGGTAGGGAGTCTGTGAGGAAAGCCTGCTCAATCTCAACAGCTTCAGTAATGATGTCTTGTACCTGTTGCTTTGAAGGCTTGTTCTTCAAGTGACTAAACAAGAGACAGGCGAAATCTGTGTGGAGACCCTCGTCACGAGAGATGAGCTCATTGCTAAAGGTGAGTCCCGGCATGAGACCACGCTTCTTGAGCCAAAAGATGGAGGCGAACGAGCCAGAGAAAAAGATTCCCTCGACAGCAGCAAAAGCCACAAGACGCAGTGCAAAGGTAGACTCGTCGTCTGCAATCCAGCGCAGTGCCCAGTCTGCTTTTTGCTTGATGCACGGGATTGTCTCGATTGCATCGAAGAGGTGCTGCCGTTGAGCTTGTTCCTTGATGTATGTATCAATGAGGAGGGAGTAGGTCTCTGAGTGGATGTTTTCCGCCATGATCTGGAAGCCATAGAAGCATCGTGCCTCTGGTACTTGGACTTCGTTGGAGAAACGCTCGAGCAAATTTTCATTGACAATGCCATCACTGGCGGCAAAGAAAGCGAGGACGTGGGAGATGAAGAAGCGTTCGTCGTCGTTGAGCTTGTTCTCCCAGTCGTGCAGGTCCTTGGAGAGGTCAATCTCCTCGGCGGTCCAGAAGGATGCTTCTGCCTTTTTGTACATTTGCCAAATCTCGTGATACTTGATGGGGAAGAGGACGAAGCGTTTCTTGTTTTCGGCGAGGAGGGGTTCTTCCTGCTGTGCGAGGAAGTCGCGCTCGTCCTGCTCCTGCTTTGCCTTGAACTTTGCGACGGCATCGGTGGTGCCTGCCTTTGCGAATGCGGACTTGAGTGACTTGACGGATGCCTGTACGTTGAGGTCTAGTGTGTCAAGGGCTGATGCTGCGACCTTTGAGGGTGTGATGTCGATGGAGGGTGCCATCTTGTGTGTGTATGATGGATGTGGATGTGGATGATGGATGGGTTGAGGGAGGGGAGGGCGCGTCTTTAGAGGAAGCGAGAGAGAGAGGAGAGAGGAGAGACGCGTTTTGTTGTGGGAAGGAGAAGAAGAGAAAAAGAGACGCGAGCCAGGAGGAGGAATGGGCATTTGTTATTTCTACAACTACAGTCCATAGTCTACCATCTGCTACTTATCTTTCCATCTATCTACTCACTCATATATCTATTCTACGTTCTATCTCTCCCTCCTCCCTTCTATGCTGTATCTTCTGCGGCTGGATCTGGGTGGCGAATTCGGGTTAGGCTAAGTCATGCAGCAGCAAATGAGAGAGAGAAAGAGACGCGACGCGACTGATTCTCCTGGCACGCGATGGATTCTGCTATCAGATGATCGAGACACTGTAGTAGACAGACACAGCGTCATCAAGTCTACGATGCAGTCTCATACAGTCATAGCTTCACACTCTGCACCGTCCGCCCCTGACACACAGCCAGCCGACTCCCATCACCAAGCCAACTCAGCGAATTCACCTCACCCTCCCCATGCCACGCCAGACTCGGCTCCTTGATTCTTGAGGCCGTTGTCGATGCTGCTGCTACCCCCGCCGCACTGCCCACACCCGCTTTATTCAAATCCCAAATCAACACTTGCTTATCGTCGCCACCTGTAGCCAGCAAATGCCTACTCCCAGGCTGCCACCCAATAGCATTGACAGGCCCACCATGCGCATCCAGCGTCAAGAGTGCTTGTCCTGGTTGTCGAATATCCAAGATTAGCACCACACTGCTATCTGCATGGAAACTCGCCAGCAAATTTGCATCGTGTGAGCACGCAGCTAGCCGTAGGAGAGGTGACATTTTACCTTCTTGGCTAGGACTGCTGCCGCCACCTGTTGCTGGATGTGTTACATGCGTCGTTGCAGGGGTCGGTGAGGTGCCTGTGCCGGGACACTCATACAGGATGGTGGAGTGTTCGAGCGCACGCAAATCAAACAGTCGTACTGATCCATCTGCGCCGACACTTGCAAAGATATCGGTTGCATTGCACGTAAAAGCAACATCAAACACTTCCTTGTCATGTGCAATGAGTTGCGTTTTCGCCTGTCCCGTATTCAGGTCCCATACGGTACAGGTGGTATCCACAGATGCCGTCACAATCAGTGATGGATCCATTCTGTTCCAGTCAAAGGACGTCAATGGCGCAGGAAAGTCTGCTTTCGTCTGCTTCGTTAGTCTGTGATATACCTTGCAGAGGAGGTACATTGCCGAGGAGAGCCTGTTGACGCAACACATCAGGCTTATCAGACCCACTTGTTTCTGCTGAAAAGAGACGTAGGTACTCAGCCGTGGTTGCAAGGAGTGCCGGTTCTCGTCCTTCTGGTGTAGGCTCCCAAAGTAGTTTCGTGGGTGGGTAGGGTAATACGGGTCCTGACTCTGCTTCTTTGATGAGTTCACCATCAAGACCATGACCTAGGACTTGCAACTGATTTGTCAGTCAATGCGACGAGCACCATGGAGCATCAACATACGCGATTCCCTGCATCATCCGTGAATGAACCAACGGCAATCTTGCCACGCGCACCACCAGCACTCATAGCATAATCAAGCGCATAGCACGGCCATGGCAGTCTCGCCGAATATCGCCTGCCACTACTAGCACCACCGCTGCCTGTTGCGTGCTGAGGAGGGGCATGTGGAGGTGGGACACCGAATTGCTTGCTATACGACGCAGCCGAGAAGGAATTTCGGTGACTTTGCGGTATATAGCTTGCTCGGCTATAGCCCTGCTGAGCCATCTTTTGGCCTTGACCGTCTTGGCCACCCAATTGAGCGCTTGAAGCTGTGAATGTTGGGTACTCCCGTTGCCGGTTTCCATCGCGCCCGTTGTCGTTCAATAAATCTTGTTCAGATGGGAGAGAGAGGAAATGCTACACAATCCTAGTTGTATCCTCGAGCCACTCCTGTCCGCCCTTCAGTCAGCACAGAACTCTCCTTTCCAACAGATTCGTCTTCACCACGCTCTTCTGCCATTGCATGATCCGCACCTAACCCTGTCCATGCCTTTTTATTGTTCAAAAACGCAGCAGCAGGACTTAAGACGCCACCAACGAGACCGAGCTGTGTATCACTGGATACCTTGAGCAACGCAGCATCAGTATCTGTTGCGTGAGAAATGGGTCGCATGGGCCGGGCTGTGGACGCATAGGTTCCCGTCAATAGACTGAAATGCGGTGCATCCATATCCACCTCCTCCACATCCTCTTGTGGCGTATTCGCTTCAGGCATCTGCATCACCTGCGCAAAATCCGTCGTCCACCGACCCGTCCAGGCAACAGCTTCTTGCGGTTTCGCAGCCAATGCTAGCAACAATTCAAAAGGCGTTGCAATAGGTTTGTAGAAGGCTCGACTGCCTTCCATCAAAATGGCATGCTCGCCACAACTCACAAGCACAAACAAGTCAACTTCTTGGAAATTGGCCATCTTTGCAGGATTCAACTTGCCCATTGCAAAGAGGTATGGTTTCTTGCCAGCTTGTCGAATGCGTCGTTTTAACTCTGTAATGAGGGGCGCATAACCAGACACGCCTAATGTACCAACCACAATGCCAATGACGCCTGCATCGCGTGCTTTTAGGACTGTAGCATACCGTCTTCTGAGGGCTGCATTTTGTAGCGTTTCTCCCTTGAGTGTACCATGTATTGGGTGATAGCTGTAACAAGACGCAACGAGCGCCGTGTGTGTCATGAGTGTCGTCGTTAGCGTTGGACTCGGTGGGCCAATATAAAATAGTGTGTAATCATCCAGTGTCTTGCCCTCCTGCAGCGTGTACAGACGACCAGGCAGCGTCGAAGTCCTGCGAGACTCCTGTGTCTGTAGTTGCAGCAAGGTCTCTACGACCTGATACCCTGCTTCTCTCAATCCAACAGCGACAGCAGGCTGTGACGACATGTACGTTGACTCCGTCACCAGCAATAGTGGCGACTTTCTGGGCAATCGCCGTTCTGCTTGCTCAACAAGCTGTTTGATATCAAGCGGATACCGTCCAAGTACATAAAAAATGGGCAGCTTGGCAGTCGGAGACAAGCACGCTCGTCCGAAATGAACGAGTGCTTGCGCATCGACATGTTCGGCTGCAACTTCATCCACGCAGCATGAACCATAACTCGTATCGCCCAAGACGTAAAAAGCAACAGATGGCAGACGTCTTTGCAGTGCAGCTGTCACTGCTGCAGCGTCTTTGAGCAAGTTATCGGGGAATTGAAGTGCGACACGGCGATAGTCTGCTGCTGCGAGTTTTGCAGCACATTCATCGAGTTCATAGACATGTCCCAGGTCAGCTGCTGCTGTAGCAGGTGTAGCATCTGTTAGATCGAGCTCTTGCTGTAACACAGCTTCATCGTCATTAGAGAGCGGCACTGCACTCGACAAGGATTCTGACATGAGGTGGTCAGCCGACAAATCTAGCTGCAACAAATCAAGGTCACTTTTTACAGCTTCTATGCCATTCAAGCAGGCCAAATATCACAGAGATAAAGTAAACATGGCAATCATCACAATAGACACAGAAGGATGAGGAGAAGAGGAAAGTGTATGTTTCAAAGGTGTATAGAAATCGGCATTTACTTGGGGGCCTAGTAAAGTTAGCAACCATATTCAGCAAGCAGAACCATACCTCCTTCACGGACATGGCCATCTCTTCGCCCATAGCAGCGACAATGGTCACGAGCAAGTCCTTGCCATCGTCAAAGTCAGCCTGGATCTTATCACCAAGCTCGCCTTCAGGAACACGGACGTCATCCTTGGAGGTACCGTCGTTGGTCATGAGGTTGAGGAAACCATCATCGACATTGACGAGCTGGTACTCAGATCGGATGACATTGGGAACATCCATGTTGTGGGTGGAGGGGGACAGGTCCTCGAGCTTCTTGCCTGTGAAGATGTCTGTGGCAATCAAGTGCACCTTGGCGTGTCCGTGCTTGCCGGTCTTGGAGGTCGACATGTCAATGATCTTGCAAGGGCGGCCCTTGATGACAACGTGACCGTTCTTGCGCAGAGCAGAGCACTGCATAGGGAAGGTGAGCGAACCTCCGGCATTTCCAGTCTCGAAATCTGCGTTGAGCTCTGCTTCCTCAGCTGCCGCGGACATGGTTGAAGTGAGTGTTTTGGGAAGGGGTGGTTGTTGTAGGAGAGGGTGGTGTGAAGAGACCTTGTTGGCTCGATGGTGCTGCCTGTGGTGCTTTGACTTCTCGCTCTGAGACTGCGAAAATTTGGAGCGCACGTGAACTGGGCCGTGGGAAGAATGAGTCCAGTATAGACAGCATAGACCGAACCACGTATAGAGGCAACTGCCATCTCCCGGGCTTCCGGCCCAATGCCTGGCATGGACGCTCTCCAGGCGATACTGGCCAGCTCAAGTCTCGTCAAGTCCAGCTCGGCCATCAAGACTGCCTCCCCAGACTTGGCTGCTCCTGCTGCTACTGCTGCTTCGCCTACAATTGACAATGCTGGCCATCAAGACGAGGCTGTGCTACGGCTCGTTGAGCTCAAAAAGTCACTTGAAGCATGTGATCAGATCTTGGCGCGTGTACAAAAGGATATGGCTTCATTTCAGACTGATCTGGGTGCTGTCTCTGCAGACATCCAAACCCTGCAGCAAAAATCAGACCACCTCTCTGTGCGTTTGCAGCGCAGAAAAGATGCTGAAGCCGTTATTGGACCGGCAGTTGACCAGAGCATCCTCTCACCCGTGCTCATCAAGCAAATTTTGGAGGCTCCCGTTGATAAACATTACCTCAAATACATTGAACAGCTCGAAAGCTTTAGTTTGCATGAAAGCAAGCAGTCGCAGATAGAGACGAGCTATCCAGCTTCTGAGGTCGACAGCCTCTCCAATGTTGCCGTTGCAAGGATACGCGATTACTTCGTCAATCGCATCAAGGCATTGCGTGTGCCTCAAGCCAACGTTCAAATCATACAGCAAAGCGGTCTGCTCAAGGTGCGAAAGTTGTATGATTTTGTTGCGAGACAGCATACAACTCTGTCAGATGAACTCATGCTAGCATACTGTATGACCATGAGATGGTACTACAATGCCTCCTTTGACCGTTACCAGCGCGCATTGACCAAGGTGCCGATTCATGCACTTGCCAAACAAGACTTGCTTGGGGCAGAGGAGGTAACACGTTCGATGGGTGGCATGTTCCAGAAAGCTCCTCAGGCACCGTCAGTCTCGACTTCTGTGTTGGCGCTCGGTACGCGCGCCAAGTATCTGCACGACACCACAAGCGGCATCATCTTGGCGCACCTTGCCGAAACCAGCAAAGAGCCATACTTTCTCGAACGCGTCTTTCGCTCCTATGTCGTTGCCCTGATTGAGAATGCATCAGTTGAGTACTTGTTTATGCAAGAGTTCTTCAAGACGAAAGCACCGCGAGTCGTCTCAGACCAATTCAGCAAAGTGATGGAACCACTCCTACAGAGCGCCACTCAATTTGTTACAAAATTGATTGACGGCTCGCTCGATGCACTTGCTCTGCTGCTCTGCATCCGTGTTGTTCAAAGCTGTGGCTTTGCGCTGCAAAAACGCAAAGTCGCCGGTCTTGGCGGATTGCTCGATGGCTTGCAAATCACACTTTGGCCGAAACTCCAACAAGTCATGGACCAACACGCTGCTGCACTTAAAAACGCACCTGTGAGTCTTGCTGCTGTTCAGGCGTCAGCCCGTGAACGCCAGCCACTGTCACTGACCCGCAAATTTGCCGAATTTTTGGCTGGTATCCTTCAGCTTTGCCGAAGTAGCAGTAGTGGCGATAGTGCTGGCAGTGCACCAGGCGCACAAGCAGAGGAACCCGTTCAGCACTCGCTTGATCGGCTGTGCCATGACTTTGAGGGGACTCTTGCACGCATGGCTGCGGCGTGTGACCCCAAAGTACGGACGGCCTTTCTATTTCGCAACTACTTGCATGTCTCTACCACCATTGAGCAAGCGACTGGTGCTATGGCGGAGTCACACAAGGCACGCTTCAAGCAAGTGGTGGATTCCCTTAAAACTTAATTGTACACTAAGACAAGTTGACGAAATTGAAGCTGGTGCTCCTGTGCGCCTACAAGACCGCCTCATAGAGTGCGAACAGTAACGTGATACTGCTGCCAATGATCATGGTCTCCGTACCGACCGTCATCTGGATGAGTGCAAGCTCCTTGATACCAAAGTACGAGGCCCATGTCGTGTTGTATGCAAGGTAGACCAACAGCAACTTGGCAACAGCGAATGTCACAGGGTCAGCGACATACGAAGCCTGTGTTGGCTTACGACCACGACGAGGTGTGCTGTCAGCGCGCAAGTTGAACAAAATGGCCAAGAAGAATGGAATCAACTGGAATGCGTACCACACCAGCACTGGCTTCCAGAATTTATCACCAAGGAGGAAAACAAAAACATCTGGCAAGCTGATGGCACCAAGTCCTCCGAGTTTGACTTCCCAAGAGATTGGGATTAGTGCCTTGGCGAGACGCAGACCCTCAATGGCGATACTACCCAAGGCCACGGTCGAAACGCGTGAGAGAGAAGCGCGGACGTTGTTTGGCAGCGCCGAAACATTCTTGGGCAGATTGTTGGCGTTGAAGACTTTGCTGCTCGTGTCATTGGCCCATTGAGCCACCTTGGCGGGCGACACCTCGATCTCATCTGTTGCATTGTGCAGCTCTTGAGAAAGTTTGTTGACGCGCTTCGACACTGACTTCTCGACCGTCTTGAGGAGTGACTTGCTGTTGAAGTCGGAGTCAGAGTCTTCACTGTCAGGTTAGCATCGACACTCGCAATCAGGATCATACGTTGCGTGCGCGATCGACTTGCGAGCTTTTCTGGCAGTCGATGGCGAGGCTGGCGAATCGAAGTGCTCAGCCAGCTCGGGAATATCCTCAAGGGCAAGCTTCTTCGAATCGAGGTAGTTGGAGAGTCTATCCTCGAGTTCAGGCTTGAAGCCGCTCGCGTCCAGGTTCAGCTTTTCGAGCATATCCTTGAGTTCTTGTTTTTTGAAGTTTTTGAGGGACATCTTGGAGGTATTATACAGTCGAACTTGAGACAAGTTTGCAGCTTGATTGAGGGCCGATATGGGCGAGGACCGTGTGCCTTGGAAAACGAGCGTGTGTCGTCTTGGGTGAAGAGGGCGATGTTGGCGGTCGCTTTGTTTTGATTTCGTCCGCGGCCACAACAAGCGACAGGAAAGAAGGCCTAGGGCAGCTATGGGTCTATGAAGAATCCACGCAGCATAATTGAGCAGGCAGCTATCATCAGGAGACCTGTCTCCGTAGTTGTGCATTTTTTTCTTCTCCAATTTTTGTGACTGCATCAATTTGGGCCCATAGAATCATAGATTCATAGATCTGTGTTCAGTGTCTTGTCGTCCACTTCAAGATCGATATCTAGCAAAGCTGCAGCTGCTTACTTGAGCATCACTACTTTGATGAGCGCATCTGCCCGTGCTGGCTCAGGCTTACATATCAAAGGCTTCTCACGAGCTGTGTTTCGTCAATCTCTCATTGCATTGTCCTGGCTGCCACCAGTCATCTTCTTTGAAAATCATCTCTACTCTGTCGCTTCTGTCGAAGGCATCTCTATGAAACCCACCTTCAACCCGGAGTCGAATCTCATGCGTCGAGATCTTGTGCTAGAGGACAAGACTTGGACGTGGCGGAAAGGCACTAATGGCAAAGCTCTCTTCAAGCGAGGCGATGTCGTCACATTTAAGTCACCCTTAACTACAAAAGTAGCAGTCAAACGCGTCACTGGTATCGCAGGTGATATTGTCAAGACTAGACCGCCGCGCGAAGGACGTGTTGTGACTATACCTGAAGGTCATGTTTGGTATGCTTCACAAGCTAAGCCTCACACGCTAACTTCAGGGTCGAAGGCGATGAACAATTCCACTCGCGCGACAGCAACGAGTACGGGCCAATTGCCATCAACTTGATTGAAAGCAAACTGACCAAAATCATCTGGCCTCCAAGCAGATTTGGTGACATCCCAGAAGGTGGTCGTGATCCTCGCATCAGCAAGCGCAGGATGAATACCGAGGGCAACGCGTCTGATTGGGAAGAACGTACTTTCCACGCTTAGCTGCACAGTACTTTACTGTAACCCATACGATTTGGCACCCATCTCAAAGAGCCTCGACACGGCTCTGCCAATGGCAAATTTGACATCGCTCTCGCCAGCACCGCCTGTTGCTAAGCTTGCTGGCAGTCCCGTCGCACTCCATTCCATTTCTCCAATGAATGTCGACATCATGCTCGAGCTTGAGCCGCCTCCTTTTCTCACGCTCATCTCCTTTGCCGCTTGGACTGCTTGCTCTGGTGGTACAATTTTGGAGAACATGTCGAATAGAGGCACAGAGGATTGACACACGACGCGCGTTTTCGTCTCATATGCAAGGTCAATCAGGGTGATGAAGCGTCGAATATAGTCCAGCTCATCCTCTCTGAATTGCCGCAGCCCGGATAAATATAGCACGCTTGCTTTATTACACAAAGCATAATAGTCGGACGACCCTAGATTGTTCTGGCAGAGCTCCTCAAAGGTCGCCTTCACAATACATTGGTCTCGCGAATAGCCGGATGCTGGGCCGGCAGGCACGACACAGGCATGCACGGCTAGTTCGCGACCCATCATGACCTTGATGATGGTTGGAATCAGTGGCTCACCTTTGGTCGATTCTTGTAGAGAGGCCTCAAAAGCATCTTGTTCGGCAAAGAAGACGGTGTCGCGTTCGTCTTCTTTGCCAGATGTGCGTAACCGATAATCGAGTTGCCCTTCCATGTGCCAGACATCGCATCGCTGTTGCAATTCTTTAATGAACGGTACAAAGAGCGGCCGATTGAGACCACGTTCATAGAGATTCTCTGGATGCCGGTTGCTGGTTGCGACCATGACCCCGCCAGCTTGCCATATACCGGCAAACAAGCGTTTGAGGATCATAGCATCCGCAATATCACTGACTTGGAACTCGTCGAAGCACAAAACCCGAGATTCCCTTTTGACAAGCTCAGTGCCAATACCAAACAAGGGATCTCCTTGATAGCCAGATTGAGAGCGTAACCTGTGCAACCGTGTATGGATGTCCATCAAGAACTCGTGAAAATGGACCCGCCGGTGTGATACTTCCCTAGGTATAGTATTCGAAAAGAGATCCGCAATACGCGACTTGCCCGTGCCGACGCTGCCATAGATGTAAACACCTTTGAGCTCTTCGTCCTTCTCTGAGGTGACCAGGGTTGTTTGTAGCAACCCTAGCCTTTCAGCCAATGCAGCTTGAGCTTTATTTGGCGTCAACTTTTGTGATTCAAGGAGCGCTTTATATGCTTGAATAATGGGAGCTCTGCTCATTGCAGCCAGCTTTGCATGGAGTTGTCCAGAATGTAGCCTATTTCGAATTTGTGGAGTTGTAATTTCAAGTTTGCCCTATGACGGCGCCAACTCCTACTTCGTCGTGATGAAGCAGACTTGAGCATAGCTTGAAAGTTGAAACCATATGATTGGATATGTACTGGAACAAGGAGAACCCTGGCACTGTATATGACGTCTGCAAGCTGTCGAGAACAGAAGCGACCAGGTTATGTGCTTCCATCTGAATATCCGCCCTGTGATCTGGCCTCATGTCATGTTGCCCCTAGATGGTACCTGAGGCAGCTGCTATGCGTTTGACAGGCTTCAGAGGGGCAAGTCAGTTAATAGAGAAGCCAAGTTATTGATGGTAATAGCTATACACGTGCCCGCTACCAGAGCGCGGCCTCTTTCAACTAAGCATTGATCTGGTGCATCCAGACCTCCTGTTCAGCACGAGCACTAAAGGTACTGGCGGTCAAGATACGCTGCATCTGCACATTGTCGGTAAAGAGAATGTCTCGGGCCACGAACCACCTCAGACCCTCAGTGCAGGGAGGCGATGTGAGGGAACCCTTGTATGTCCAAAAGTTGCTGAGACGGTCTACCTCACTGATGAGCTGAGACAGGTCGACGGTGGCATTAGAACGAGTTCGGTCCTCAAAGCCAGGGAAGACGTTGCCGAGCATAGTGAAGAACGTCGAAGGTCGTGTCGAAGGATCAATGCGGATCGCCACAACTGCCCTCTCCTTGCCTGCAGCATTCTTGTGCACCAAGTGGAGTTCAGCCTTTGCACGTTTGCCAGACACACTGTGGTCCGCAGGGCTGTGAACGTGCCAGCCAGCGAGGTAGACAGTCTCGTTGTCGAACGACAATGTGTTGAGCTCGGCGTCACGAGGAACAAAGGCAGGGCCATATCCCCAGTTCAGGATCTCGCCTGCGGTTTTTGTGTAGTTGAATGTCGGAATGTGCTCGAGAGAGAAGCCTTGTGTGACCTCAAGAGGGACTGGAGATTGTTGCGTTCCATTTTGACATTTTCCGTACAGGGGATTCACCTTGCCCCAATTGTATGAAGCCTCATACGCCCAGTCGTTGCCTTCTGCACGTTTGTGAAGGTGACTAGCATCCATTTGAGAAGAGTGCACAAGGCTTGGACATGCAGACACAGTGGACAATACTGAAAGGAGAATAATCGAGATCATGTTGTAAGTGTTGGGAGTTGCTTGAATCGAGACTGGGAGGAGGATCCGGGCTCCTTTTATAGTACTTGATCACGTTCAAAACATAATATCGGTCTCAACCAAGGCGTGCCACCCATCAGGTCCTGCTGAGCCTCTTACTTTGGATCAATCATTGGATTGTCAACAATGTCAAGGCGACATCAATTGACTGTCGGGAAAGCAGTCAATGTGATTTCTTGTGGAACGATGCGCATGCCACGTTCAGTACGAGTACTTTGTTAAAGACTGCAGTCAGCTCAGCCAGAGCTCAATTGAGTTCGTTATCCGAGCCTCCCGTTAATAGCAGGCTGAGCAAGAGCAATTACAGACTACAGTGTGCGCGACAAACAATATTAGGCAGCATGTCGAAGGTATAGACCGCACTGGCCCGTGCGAGTGTGCCGTGTACGGTGTACGTAGTTGACACATTCAGCATGCGCAGCAGTTGCAGCCAATCTAGATTCAGAATTTGCTGCGCGCGTTGAAATGAGTTTGACAGCTGCGCATTGCAAGTTGCCACAGGCTGACAGGCTGTGTGACAGGCTGACAGCTGCGGGATTCCACGCATGTTTGTACCACAGGCTGTGCGAAGAAGCTCAAGGCGTACCTAGTACTGCGATCGCTAGCTCTAGCTAACTATCTGAACAAGGGTCGCATAGCTCGTGCTGATCAGAAGCCAGCAGTGCAAATGTCCTCGGTATGACTGAATGATATATTTGTATAGTTCTGAGAAGTCATGAAGATCGCGGAAGGACATTCCGAAATCCGGGGCCTGCGGATTCGTGCGGAAACACTTTCGGAGCGAACGCTGGTCGATGGCTCGTAACTTTACGATCATCCGTGCAACTCCCTGACAGACTGTGACAGTAGAGACTGTGGAGTCAGAGTCTCTGCAGTGTCTGCAGGGTCTGCACTGAGTCTGTACCATGCAAGCAGGCTGAGCTCGAGCAGCGCACATTGAGCAATTCCCTTTGTACGCAAGCAGACAAGCTGCACGTGCATCACTCTTCATAGACCATGAGCCGGTGACCACAGCTTCTAAGTTCTGGCCCGTGCTACTATGCACGTTGATGCACCGCCTCTCATCACTGTCACCGCGGTCGGAGTCTCGACTTCGCTGTCGCTGTAGGAATTGCCATGGCAACTAGCTCTGGAGACGCCACCCATAGGTCTAGCATGTCTCCAAGCTATTGTACAGACGATGTCGGCAACATATGAATCCATGCGAATCTGTCAGGCTTTCCCTTGCCAGCACAAGCGGGCTTGAAGCGGCTGCGAGCAAGCAAAATGCAGATGCCTCAGCCTTGGCGAAGCTGAATGCTGCGAAAGCCGTACACCAAGACAAAGACCAGCTGGTTAGCGCCTCTTGCCACTGCTCTTCTTGTGAAGCACCTTCTTGCGCTTCTTGAACTGCGCACCGAGCTCGGGCGAAGGTCCCTCCAATGTCTGTTGCTCGTCTGCTCCACGTTTACGACTTCGCTCCACGAGCGACTGCTTAGGCCCCTGAAAGTCATACAACTCTTGGTCCAGAACTCGGAAGTCCTCGCCACCATAGACGTCATCTGTGCGTCGGCCCTTCTTTTGCTTCCCAACCGTTGGCAATCGTGTGTAGTTCTCTTCCTCATATCTATCGCGCTCTGCTTGCTTGCTGCGATCATTCGCAGACTGCAGAACAGAGTTGCCCTGACGACCAGATGAAATGATGTTGGTACCAATGGAAGGCTCTGCGACAGGGGCAGCACTGAGCTCAGAATCAACAAAGTCTCGCAGCGTCTTATTGGGTTGTCTGCGACGTGCTTGCGCCTCTCGTGCAGGTAAAACCGAAGCAATCTTTGGTGGACGATAAATATCATCTTCAGCATCGCCATCGCCATTGGATGTCTTTTCTATCACCAGACTTGATGGGTTGGGCTTGAAGGCCAGCGCATCTTTAGAAGCTGCATCCATATTCGTGAGCTCGCCCTCACGGTCGAAGCGTTCAGCTGCTCGAATCACCTTGTCCATTTGATATTTCAGCTTTTGCTCAATAGGCTTCACACCACGATCAAGATAGACGCGCAGATCGATTAGAGCATCTACCACAGGCTTGTGCTCCTCGTCACACAAGTTCTCGGCGCGCGACTTGAGCAAAATATAGTAGACCAGGTGTTCGAGATAGGAGAGCAGTAGATGCGATTTGAGGTTGAGCAGTGAGATGCCATCTTTGGTGCTTGAGACATCAGATGCCTTTGGAAGCGCCTTACCCGCTGCTTCGAGAGCTGCTGCGATGGTTGCAGAAGTATCTGCCATGCCGTCACTGGATCCGCAGGCGAATAGTAGAGAGTGTCGCTGCAGGTCTCTGGGATGCGCTCGCGACTCAAAAAATAAAAATGTTCACACGATGGACAAGCACAGAGGAAGGCTACTATAGAAATGTATTTATGCTGGACTGCCCACGACTGTCAGGTGCATACTCTTGAGGTGTGTGCCCAGCTTTCGCCCCTTCACGAGTACTGGCTCAAGAGGGCTGCCTTCCGCTTCTCGAGCAAGACAGCCTCAATTTCTGCGTTGGTCGGCAAGTCCTCGGGCTCTGGAATATTGACCATGTCCCATCTGCTTCTCCGATCCTCGTCATGTTGCAGATTATTACGCGCCTCGGCTTCTCTTTGAGCTTCATAAGCAAGTAGCTTAGGGTCCTCCTCATCGCGGAAGCCAAAGTACGCAGCATCCAAGTCAAGTTTGTACAGCTCTGTGTGCGTCAAACTCTGCTTTGGCGGTGCTTTGAGTTCGCTGAAGAGTTCTTTGACGCCAGGCAGCTCCTTAGCACGGCCATAGTACTTGTAGCCCTTATGTGAGCCAACAACCCTGCCTTCCGCATCTGTCAAATTGCCTTGGAAACGCATGTAATTCGTTCCACCCAGGTTCTTGAGTTGCGACTCCCACATCCATTTTTCCCTTTGTAGCTTGTTGATCTCATCGTTGAGCTCACGGAGCTGATAGTCTGTTGCCGCTGGGTCATTGATCTTCTCAACCTTTTGCGAAGTCTCCCGTACCACTTGAGAGCGCCATTTTTCGCAAGCAGCTATTGAGGTGACCTGCGTGATCGCTTTGGGTCTTCCGCCAGAGCTGTTGTTGGTGTGATGCGAACGAGACTTGTTGTGCATCGAGATGCCCGTGTCCTTGTTTCTCGACATGGCCAATCACCAGGCCGCTCGCACTTCGTTCGCAGGATGGTCAGGAGTCTCAAGCTTCTACGATCAGCACTCCTGATCACGACCCTTCGCGAAGGAATCTCCGGCTGCAGTCGCACTGCTACCTGCGCATGTTGTTTGCTGCGTCGCAAGTCTTCGCAGCTTTGTTAGCAAATTCAAAGCGATTTGCAACACTGCAGCAAGCAAGCAAGCAAGCAAGCAAGCAAGCAAGCAAGCAAGCAAGCAAGCAAGCAAGCAAGCAAGCAAGCAAGCAAGCAAGCAAGCAAGCAAGCAAGCAACAGCAATTCGTCCTTTGACCATGCAACAGCTGCAGCCGCCCATACTCTGATCCCCGAGTAGAGGTCCAAGCTTCTATTTGCTCTTGATCGCCCTTGTTGCTCCCCAAGTCAGCTTGCGGCCATCACGTTGTTACTGCATACAGACCTGCGCTTCCTAAACCCTCTAAGCACGACCTGCTCCTGATCATCGCTTTTCGCTCTTGAGGATAGGCTCGTTGCCCAACATCTTACGCTTCTCACTCACAACTTCAAGATACCTACTCAGCTCAAGACTGACCACTCTTACTAGACAAGAACGTCCAATGGTTGCCGTTTCTCCGTGTAAACCAGACAACTTGCTGCTCTTTGGTGCTCTCAATGCTATTGGCCACTGGCTAGCAGGAGATTGGAAGGCTGTGGATGACACGGTTAGGCAAGGTGCTAGCAGTAGTCAGCTCGCCATTGCTGAAGACTCCAGCACGGCTCGCTTCCAGGGTGTTCTCGACACAAGCAAGCTTGGTGGTGCTGGGTTTGCAAGCCAAGCAGCAACATACAAGACCAGTCCCTGGGATCTTTCTCAATACGATGGAATTGAAATCGTCTACAGCAATGGCAACTCCTTCAACTACACCCTGAACATGAAAGACTATCTGCCAGAACAGCCTATAGGTGGCCGAATGCCAAGTTCGACTGAGTGGGCCTTCACCTTTGAAGTGAAGAAGCCTGCTTCTCACTCTATCTCCAAGTCGCCTGAGACTACTACTATCTTCGCCGCTTGGGAGGACTTTGCGCCCTATGAGCGCGGCAGGCCCACGACGACAACTAGCGAACTGAAGAAGGACCACATCGTGCAATTCTCCATCATGGCTCGCAGCTTCTTTGATAGGCAATCGGGACCCTTTGGAATTACGCTGCATAGTATCAGTGCCGCCTTTGACCCAAAGAATAGAAAGACCCAAACTGAGTGTCTCTAGGAAGCCAATCAAAGTTTGATATAAACTATACTGCCATATGTCTAGATCATCGAGCAGTACCTCGACGCAAAGCACCTTTCAAGCCTGCGCAATATTTAATTCCTTGACGAAGTGACTTGTCTAGTCAGTGGGTGGCGGCGGTTGATGAGTCTGGCAAGAATTTGACGGAGCAACCGCTTTACCCCTTGAAATGCTACAGGAGCTACAGCTTCGCAAGTGCGAAAGCGGCCATTTCGCCGATACTACATCACCTGTCGATCCCTTTGCTGTCGGGACATCTGCACCATGGATAAAAAGCTCGTTGAAGTCCCCGAGAAAGGCCTTCCATCCTTGCATCAAACTAAGGCCCTTCACTCAAGATGGTAGCATTGTCATTTGCCTGCACTCCATTTGGTCATGTGCTTTTTGGTGCCTTGAACAACATTGCAAGTAGCAAGCAAGCCTGGTCTCCAGGAGACTGGACCTCTGTCAATGATCATTCTGTGGGCGGCCAAAGCACCAGCACCTTTGTCATTTCCACAACAAACAAGATTGTCCAGCTACAAGGCTACCTGGACTCATCCAAGCTGCATCACCAGCAACCCAACATTGGTCACGCAGGCCAGATTACCACAAACAGTAAGAAGGTGTGGGACCTTTCTGAGTTTGAGGGTATCCAAATCCTTTACAGCGGAGGCGACAATCACAACTACACGCTGAGTATGAAGGACGTTCTGCCGACTGTCCTGGCAAATGGCCATGAGAGGAGCACTATCGATTGGGTGCACACCTTCACTGCTGAAAAGCTCGAGGTGCAGGGGGTCGGGCTTGAGTCCCTCCAAATGCAGATGCCAACTTCAGTCTTTCTTGCGTTCAACAAATTCAAGCCCTTGTATCGCAATCGCCTTGTTGAGAATGCCCAGCCCCTCAATACAAAGCACATCCGCAGCTTCAGTATCATGATTCGCAGCTCCGACAATGATCGAACCGGGGAGTACAGCATTAAGTTGCACAGTATCAGCGCTGCTCATGCAGGAACAGTCTATCACACTGAGAACTTTCAATGCTAGTGGAGCATATCGAAGACATGAGCAGAGACAGACGTAATGTTCTTTCCAGTATCTTTAGTCAAGTATCCCTCCAATATTAAGGAAATCTTTAATCACCAGGCCGAATGCCTTGCCTTGACTATTGCTTGATGTGCGCAAGTAGCGGAAGCCATTGAGGGCCAATGCCCATACAGCGCCTTGTAACATAGGCCACAACAAAAAATCGACGAGAGTCACGCGGAAGACACTCCAGTGGGACCAGTCTGTTCTGTTGAGTGCCGTCAAGTAGGTCTGTTCGAAGCGCAAATCAGGTATGGGAGTGCCGTTGAAGAGGACTGGTTTCGGCGGTCGTGCGCCAGGCTGGACTTCATCAGGCAGCTGTGCGAGATCGTCGTCATCGAGTCCCTCGATGTCTCCGCTGTAGACTTTGATGGGCGCCTTGTCAGCTGTTGTTAGCGTTACAGTCATGTTGTCAAGAACTTACCTGATGTATCTGGCTGTATCTGTGGATTCGATTCAATATGGGTGTCCTGCGCAAGCGTCTCGAGAAGCGATCCGACGAGTCCCTCTGCAGTTGTTTCTGAAGCCATGATTTGACTCTTAGATCTTGGTGCAAGTCGCGGTCAGCTGGAGGCCTTGAGTCAAGTTGAGTCGCGCAGCCTTCAGATGACACTTGAGCATCTTCCGTCGATGCAATGCCCCATATGTTATGCTACATGTCATGAAACGCTACAGGTACAGCTCAGCACCAAGAAAAGACAGCCTCGGCACCATGCACAGTCTCAAGACGCTCAACAACAACCTGTCTCGTGCTTGCTTCCTCCTCGTGCATCAGGGCATAGCCAAGATCACCGAGATCACTCTCTTCATCACCTCCAAAGCGATTCGCACCGGACTTCATGCCAAGCGATAGACCACGAGCACGAGTACGCTGTCCAGGCTTACTCCCATCTATTGAAGCACGACTAGCGCCACGTCCCATCTGCTGTGGGCGCTGACCTTGTTCAAAGCTCGATCTGCCGGTATAATCTGAGGATGAACGGGCCAATTCCATGGAGGGTTTCTTGTTGGGGAGACTGCTTGCTAGAGGAGCCGGCTTGCTGCTTTGTCCATTAAAGTCAGGCAGATCACCCACCATGCCAAGATCAATCTCATCTGCAAATTCGTGAAAGATGGCTTGCTTTTTAATGCCCTCTTGCGGTGGCGCTGAAGCTTTGCTCGCCTTTTTAGAAGCCACAGTGACGGGTACTTCCATGATATCTGTCCAGACATGGAGTCTTGGTCTGCGAGCAAGCTCGAGTGGTCCCTGGTCGCCCGATTTGAGCGTCTCGAGGACATTCCAAGCTTGCCCCTTCAATACTGCCATTTGCTTTGCGAACATTTTCTCCTGGTAGTCTGCGTCTTGTGAGAACAAGCCCTTAAGTTTACTCGTGGTATCACTCCACCAAGCAGGATCAGAAAGCAATGGAAGAAAGTGCTGTCGAGTTTTGGCAGAAAAGGGTTGGCCGATGAGAGAGGCCGGCAGAAAGAGCCAACCAAAGGGGAAGCTACGCCACTCATCTGGGTGTTTCCAGGGGAATGCGAGCGAATTGTCGATGGCGCCAAGTGACATGTATTCCCCACCTGTGCTTGCTTGTGTATGATCTGGCGACGGCATCGATGTCCGGCTTGGCGGTCTGTCTATTATATCAGTCTGGAGTGTCTGTGTCGAGGCTACCATCTCGACTTTAGCCTTGCTAGTGGCGGTGGCAGGCGTCATTTTGAGCATCCAATTATCGAGACCACGATCCGTGTTGCGCATGATGTAGTCCAAAATAACAAGCTTCTCCAGTTCTTCGCGCATCGACTGCATCAGCTCTGGTGTCCAGAATTGCCGACTACGCGGATTGGCGGTAGTGATGGCATTTTGCAATTCTTCAACCATGAGATCGTCCTCATCCGTTTTGCTTCCCACACAGCTTGTCCAACTACGTCTAGGACCCACAGATGCTGTTTGTGGTGCTGCATCTGGCCAAGGATGTTCTTTAAGGAACTCGGTCGCATCTTGGAATCCCTCAAGAAAGACCTGAAAACTGCCTTGCTTGGCTGGTAGGGGTTTGCCCTTGTTGACGTATGCACGGCGATCAAAATAGTCGTAATTGAAAGAGGTTGATGCGAGCCAGACAACATCTGTTGGCGGGACAATATTGGACTTGAGTTGTCTGTCAAGCAGGCAAGCAGCTGCTTCTGAAATGTACGACAAGTTGGGAATGAGACATGAACGACCAAAAAAGCACGGGAAGAGGTTGCGATGCAGCCACTTTGTCCATTTAGGATTGAGCTGGCCGTAAGGCTCCTCGTTCTTTGGTTTGAAGATCCCGACCACTTTCTGTTGCCGATTGATCGCAAAGTATGATCCACTGGAGCCCTTTGTCACGAGACGCGGCTGAATGCCACTCGAGATGGCACTCCGTACAGAGTCAATGACGGCATCAAAGTCCGCAGCAGACATGGACTTGGAATCGCTCTGGTCTCTACTTGACTGGACCGGCTCAATTTTAGGCGTAAAGACAGAAGTGTGTATCTCTGCTGCAAAGCGATCAAAGTTCTTGGCACTGGAAGATTGTTTGACCTTGATTTTGTGGAACCAATCTTGCAGCCTCGCATTGATTTGCTTGAGATCCACAATGTTGTCGAGGACTGTGTTGTCTTCTTCATCTTCCTCGTCGCCTTGATCGCGCAGGCGCATGTATTGTTGTGAGCTCATGGCACGCGTCGTCAGGTTGCGCTATCCAACGGGAAAGATGATTGGGCTGGACTTTGTTCCCTCAGATGTCCAGAGAAGGTAAGAAGAAGCAATTTGTCAGCCAAGTAGTAGCTCTTCAAAGCAGCTTGATATCACAGAGCCGGCTTGGTAATTTTGGTTGTTGCTGTTCCCTTGTGCTTTCGCGTCCAAAAGTTTGAAATTTCGCTGACGTGTCTCTAGCCCGCAAACCACCACATCCGGACAATGAAGTTCTCTCTCATTACCCTTCTGACGGTCGTCCAGGCTGCTGTGGTCGAGCTCACAGACGAAAACTTTGACGAGGTTGTGCTTGATCCAACCAAGAATGTGCTGGTGAAGTATTTCGCACCCTGGTGCGGTCACTGTAAGAGTCTGGCGCCAATCTTTGAGAAGGTTGCGGAAGACTATGAGCAAGACGACGACATTGTGATTGCCAAAATCGATTGTGACAAGTACAAGACAATCGGCACCCGATTTGGAATTCAAGGCTTCCCTACTCTCAAGTATTTCCCAGCAGGCGACAAGACACCCGTTGAGTACAACTCTGGCCGAACTGAAGAGGCCTTCCTGGAGTTCATCAACGAGAAGACCGGCTCCTTCAGGCTCCCTGGCGGCGCTTTGAATGCCCTGGCTGGACGTGTTCCATCGCTCGACTCGATTGCCCAGAAGATTGGTGCTACCAAGGGAGAAAGCTTGACTGCTCTACTTGCCGAGGGCCGTGCTGCTCTCGACGACTACGCCAAGGAGGCCAAGAATGACATCTACAAGTACTACTACCGCGTTTTGGAGAAGCTCGAGACCAAGCCCGACTGGATTGACACTGAGTACGCTCGATTGTCGAAGCTCTTGCAAAACTCATCGGCCCTGGCAAAGGAGAAGCTTAACGAATTGCGTCAGAAGAAGAATATCCTTGAGGCGTTCTTGGGACGCGAGGCAAAGAAGTTGGTTGGCAAGACGGACAAGGAGGAGCTTTAGGTTCTCTTTTCATAGTCACACACGCTACAGTAGACATTCAGAAAAGTTATGATTTTAATCTCTCACCAGTGCTCACACGATTACTATCAAAGCTGCTTTTTGCGCCGCGTCAGGTGCTCTACATGAGATAGGACCTAGTGCTCCCCTGTGGCTGTGGCGTGCTTCAGTGCCTCGATAGCTCTGACTTTGGTTTCTTTCCAATCAACAACAGGCTCAGGATAGTCGAGTGCTTCAAACTCTTGCCGTGTGCAGCGCTCGAACGGCGCAAAGATCTTCTTGTTGTCGAGGTCCTTCAGCTCTGGACACCACTTGCGAATATACTCTGCTGTCGGATCATTGTTTTCACCTTGCGTTGTCGGATTGAAGACTGTGTATGAAGGCTCCCAGCCTTGACTGTTGTTGGACATGTCCCAATCGATGAGATGTTCGGCAAAGTAGCGCTCGCCACGTCGATAGTCGATGAGCATGTTTGTTCGTAGCAGAGAAGCTGTGTTCATGCGAGCTCGATTGTGCATCCATGCTTCATGGTTCAGTTGGCGCATACCAGCGTCGACAAGCGGGAAGCCAGTCTTGCCCTCACACCACTTTTGATAATTGTCATCCGCTTCTTTGCCTGTTACATAGGCTACTGCAGCCATCTTGAGATTTTGAGGCATGTTCATGGATTTATGTGGGAAGACATACGTCAGCTGACGGTAGTACTCTCGAAAGACGATTTCTCGCACCCAGCCACTGATGCCTTTGCCCTTGCTACCGGAAAAGTCGAGACTGTTCTTGTTGCGTTGGCGGCACAGAGCTAGTGTTTCTCTGACTGAGATGGTACCAGAGCTAAAGTAAGGCGACATGCGTGAAGTTGCGTCTGCACTAGGCTCAGAGCGTTTGAGGTGGTAATCTTTCGCCTTGGTGTCCAGAAATTTCACAAGTCTCCTATGCGCCTCCTCGTATCCAGCTGGCCACAGTTTGCGGATACGGTCGCGTTCTTCATCATTCTTAAATGTCTTTTCCTTTGGGATGGTGGGCATCGGCGATTTGAAAAGCCCCATGTCCTCGAGCTTTGCGTGCTGCTCTTCCGAGTTTGGCGACGGCGGAGGCACAAGAGAAAGAAGCGAGTCTCCATTAGCAGACATTTCTGCAAGCCAAGCCTTGTGGTAGGGCGTGAAGACTTTGTGTGGTGTGCCTGAACCGGTCGTCAGCGTTCCCGGGTCTACGGCACATTGGTCATGCATGATCTCAAAGCTGGTCTTGGCATCCTTCAATTTGCGAGCTAGTTTGATGTCTCGCATGAGTTCATCATGCTCGTACTCAAAGTTGGCAAAGACATGGGAGATGTCATTGTCTGCAATGAACTTGAGCACATCAGGCACCAAACTCTGGCGCGTCTCAGTTTGTAGAATGTACAGCGGGATACCATCCTTCTTGAGATCTGCCTGCATTTGCTTGATGGTTCTCAGGATCAAGTCAGTGCGAGCAGGCGAGGTGCCATGCCATTGCAGATGCGCAGGTGAATGGACATAGAGCGTCACAAGCGGGGCGTCTGCCTCTTCAGCCTTCTGGGAGGCAGCATGCAGGGCCTTGTTATCTTGAATGCGCAAATCTTTGGAACGGAACCAGTGCAGCACATTTTTCGTCGTCTCTGGCAAGACGTTGTCTTCTAGTGCTTCGCCAAGCGTTCTGTATGGGTCACTCTCGTCAATCTCCTTGGCCCGTTTGATCGTCGGGCACTGCTGCCACTCTGCCATGCGCTTACTCATACTTGAAAATTGCCTGAGGGAAGGTCTAAGCAAGAGCAGGCCGTGTCGCATGTACTGACTCCCGCTTCTACTTGTGGTGTCGTCTGTCGGCTGTAGATAGATGATGTCAGCGAGATCTGGCGAGATCTGGCAGGGAAGCGTGAGACAAAAATGATCATCTGCAAACTGCCGCGCAATGACGATGAACTGCCAGCATCAACTCTCTTCCCTTTATACAAGCTGCCATGTCGTCTGTGGACCAGGTCACCCCCATCAAAACATTCAAGAAGCCAGTGCGAAAGCCAACGCGTCAAGGGTCCATCTCACGTGTGGAACCGCCTGCGCCAGGACCCGCTTTTAGGATCGCCATTGTTGGTGCTGGAGGTAAAGCCTGTCTTTGGCATGTTGAACAGTGAGCTTACATCTCTCAGCCATCAATTTCGGTTCGGTAGAAGGTCCATGGAATCACAGTTTCAGAATTGAAAAGTAAGCCCTGCGACGCCTTCTGCGGCAGCTAATCAGTCTAGCAAGCTCGGCACGCGTCTTCTGGTCACCGCTTTGATTGATCCAAGCGCCGAGAACAGGGAACGCGTTCTCAAGATCAAGCGAGAATCTTTTGTGGAGCGTGCCTACGCCAATACCAAGGAATACAACAACATTGAGGAGTACCTTGCCGACCTCAAGGAGGAGGATCGCCCGCGAGCGGTCATCATCGGCTCGCCTCCTCAATTCCACGGTTCTACACAGCCTGGTAAGGATGTCGAACTTCAATTGACCAAGGCTATTCCAGGCGTTGCACTCTTCGTTGAGAAGCCCGTCACCATGTCTCCTGCAGAGGATGCCTATCAAGTGGCACTCCAGCTTCAAGAGCAAAAGACCATTGTCTCTGTGGGTTATATGTTCCGCTACTTGGCGGCAGTGACAAAGATGAAGGAGCTGCTCCAGGATAAGCAGGTGACTGGTGTGATTGCTCGCTATGTGTGTTCTTACGCCAACATTGCCAAACCCAGTTGGTGGACGTTCAGCCAGAGTGGTGGCGCCGTCGTCGAGCAGGCCAGTCACTTTGCTGATTTGCTTCGTTTGTTTGGTGGTGAGGTGGACTTGGACTCACTCACTGCTACATCGGTTGCGTGGGATGACCCTGCCGGAAAGCTTTCTGCCATGCCCATTGACGAAAGTAAGATCCCCGAACACGACCGCATTGATCGTATGACTTCTGCTACATGGCGATTTGAGGACTCTGGCGCCATTGGTTCTCTCACGCACGGTCTTGTCTTGCAAGGCACCAAGTATGATACCACACTTGAGGTCTATGCAGATGGCTACCAGCTGCGACTCGTCGATCCATACAACCAGCCTCGTCTGTATGTGCGCTCGCCTGGCGATGACAAGGAGGAGACATACCAGTTCCCCGAGGACGACCCATACTTCACGGAGATTGATTCATTCATTGATGCCATTGAGAGCAAAGACCAGTCTCTCATTGCCTCATCTTTCGAAGATGGCGTGCGAACTTACGAATTGACTTGGGCCATCACGAACGCTGCACGCGAAGCTCGCGCTAAGCGACAGGCAAAGAAGGCCGGCAAGACTGCTTGAATGCATGATGCGCATGATTCGTTGATGAATGATTAAAGATAAACTTAGAGATAAAAGACCCAGACAGACATAGAGCTAGCTGAAGGAGACAAATTTGCTATCGATTGGAAGACCCGTCTGTGGATCGATACCGGCCTTGCGCATCTTGTCTTGAAGCATCTAGAGTTAGATCAAACCTATACAGGATTCGACACATACGATAAGACGCGCCTGATCAAAGTTGCACTTTCTCTTCTTCATAATGTGCATCACTTCCTTGCGTGATGTTGCATCCAGGCCATGCCTATCATCTCCGGCTTCGACGTTGCCATGCAGGTCGAAATCATCAGATGTCAAGCCACGCTCAATGTCGTCTTCAAACGTCGGGAGCGCCATGTAGCGCTCCAAACGTGCACGCAACGCAATTGGCAAGTAAGGAGACCAGTATGCGCGTGTGACGTAGCCGACACTGGCAGCAATGATGCAGATGAGGCAGAGCGTGTATAGGAAGTGTGAAAGTGCCATAGCTTCAGGTGCGCTGATCAGTGTTTGAGCAATACGACTGTCCGAGCAGCTGAGAATGATAGAAGCGCCTAGCTGAACGAAGCCCTGCTGGCAGGCGCCGCTGGGGAGCAGTTGAATTAGTGGTTGTAGGCTGGTGACATCTTGGCGCAATTGTTGAAATACTGACGGTTTGACCATCAAGCAAGAAATCTATGACGGGCCATCAAAGCAGTTAAATAGCTGAATCAAATAAGACGATTGAAACGACAACGGAGAATGCATCAATGATATTCTACGTTTAGATACAAGAGCACCTAAGCAGAAGCAGCGACAGCCTTGGCGCCACGAACCTTCTTGGCTGGGGCATCCTTCTTTGGCTGCTGCGACTTGATGATGGCAGACGCACGGCCAAGCTGCTCGTAACGGGTGTCGACACGGTAAGCCTTCTTGATGGTCGCGCCGTAGACGTTCTCGGAAATACCCTTGGCGCTCGAGCTACGCAGAGTGGCAGTGATTTGCGACTTCTTGGGGCTGTTGGCTGACTCGGCCTTACCCTTGGTCAAGAGCGTGACACCCTTGCCGTTCTTGCCGGGCTGCAAACCGACAGCGCGTGTGTTGGCAAGGCCAGAGTGCTTAGCATTGTTCTTGTTGGTCAATGCATAAGGGTCGCGGCTGAAGGGCTGGGTCTCTGTCTTGCGCTTGACTGTTTGGTCAGTAAAAGAGAGTTGAATGAGCATCAGCAGCCAAAGTAGCATAGGCGTAGGAGGAGCAAGCAGACTAGCTACGGTCATACATTGATGCAGAAGCAATTTTGTAGCAGCTACTTTGGATGCAGATGCGACTTGGAACACCCACCAATGAACTTGTTGTTGTCACGGATGACGAGCCAGATGAGGTCGTTGGATACGTTGGACATGGTTGCTTGCTGTGTGTGTACCGTGCTGGCTATGGCTTGCTGCTGCTGCTTGCTCGCTGGTGGTGCTGCTGTGGAGCGTGCGACGAATTGGGCTGCCGTTGTGTTTCTTTGTGACTGCGAGGGGAGAATAATGAGAAGACTTACTACTACTACTAGACTACTAGCCATCAGTGCAATTGACACAGATGCCAGGACATAGCTGCTTCTTGTCTATTGCCGACCATCTCGAGGCTTCTTGTCTGCCTTGGCAGTTAGCAGCGGGAGAGAGTGATCCGGTAGTTCTTCTTTTGTCAGAGCGCATAAGGAAGCCATGACACCTCCGTGTCCTCCCTCGCCGAGCCTTGTATTAAGTTGTATGGCTTCCTTCTCAGCAGATGTCCATCGGACCTGTCTGCCTCGTATGCGGTCCTGCCTACCGAGTGTCGGGTCCCGGGCAATGTCGCATGCCGGGTGATTCCGCGATTCCTCTTGTGTGTGTGCCCATCTCGTCGTCCTCCCTGGTCTCCGCTATAAGACGACGACAGCTCCCCCAGATCATCCACTTACCCGTCGAAAACACCCTCGAAAACACATCTACAATCATGAAGGCAGTTGTTCTCGGAGCTGGTGGCGGTATTGGACGTAAGTGTCTTATTCCTGACGTAGATTGTGCGCAATTGGCCCTCCACATCTACTTACCGGTCACATTGCATTCAAGACAATGACTGACGTCTCAGAACCTACCTCGTTGCTTCTCAAAAATTCTCACTACGTCAAAGAGCTTGCTCTTTATGATATTGTCGGCGCACCCGGTGTTGCCGCTGATTTGAGCCACATTTCGACTCCTGCCAAGGTCACGGGCTACCTTCCCGCTGACGATGGTCTTAAGAAAGCCCTGACTGGCGCCGACATTGTTGTCGTACCTGCAGGTATTCCCCGTAAGCCTGGAATGACTCGTGACGATCTCTTCAACAAGAACGCCTCGATCGTCCAGGCTTTGGCCGAAGGTATTGCTCAGTTTTGCCCCAACGCTTTCATCCTCATCATCTCCAACCCAGTCAATTCGACTGTGCCTATTGTTGCAGAAGTGCTCAAGAAGCACAACGTCTTCAACCCAAAGAAGCTCTTTGGTGTGACCACACTCGATGTGGTTCGTGCCAAGACCTTCACTGCCGAAGTTGCCGGCGGAAACGCACACGACTACTACGTGCCTGTTGTGGGTGGACACTCTGGTGTCACCATTGTTCCCCTTCTCTCGCAGTCTCAGCCTGCCGCCAGCATTGAGGGCGACAAGCTCGACGCGCTTGTCAACCGTATCCAATTCGGTGGTGATGAAGTCGTTAAGGCCAAGGACGGCGCAGGTTCTGCCACGCTCTCCATGGCATATGCCGGATTCAAGATGGCAGAATCCATCATGAAGGCTGTCGGTGGCGAATCTGGCATTGTTGAGCCAACCTTCATCCACCTTGACGGCTGCCCAGGCGGCGATGCCGTCAAGACGGAGGTCAATGGCCTCGACTACTTCTCGGTGCCCGTTGAACTCGGACCCGACGGTGTCAAGGAGGCTCGCTCATACGGCAAGGTAAAGCTTTCCTTGATCTTACTACAGACACTAATCAACAGATTTCTTCTTACGAGCAAAAGCTCATCGACGCTTGCTTGCCCGACTTGCAGAAGAACATTGCCAAGGGCGTGGAGTTTGTCAAGGGATCGGCTTCCGCAAAGTTGTAACTCTTTCCCTCCTCTGTGGCTGTTGCAGCTCATTGGAAAATGTCTCGAAATAATGTCTAACGGTTCCTGTAGTTGATTTTATGCGCAGCCATGTTGGCAGGTCAAGGTTGTAGGCAAGCGATAAAGTATAGACAATGCAGTATCTTGCCTCTCGTCATGATGTTCGTTATTCCTCCTTTGCCAGCATTTTGATTTGAAAAGTAATGCTTGGCACGCCGTTGGGAGACTCGGCAACCACTGTGCACTCACGGCCAAGATTGGCCAACGCACCACGGATCATGCCGCATGGGAACCATAGATACTGCTGTCAGTGAAAGGCAACCGCAATCGAGAAGAGGGACATACAAGAGACGCTAATTTATCTGTTTCTGGCCGTCCAGCCCGTGAACTCATCTTTGAAAACCAACGAAATTTGTTGTCAGTCAAGACGTAGACGCCGCGATGATTGGTCTTGAGATTATCGATTTGCTTAGAGAACAAGAGCATCCATAGATCTTTGCACAGGAACTTGATGCAATCGAGCGAATCAAGTAGCAGTGGGCGGTCTTTTGAGAAGCGCTCTGCGAGCCCATGACCTAGTCTATAGCCGCACATCTCGAGCTTTATCTCAATCTCGTCTTGCCGCGCAAGCGCAGCCACATCTGTATCCATAGGCACACTCGCTGGAGCAATCGAGCTGACTGTGTCGTCATTTTGCTCTTGTGGCTCTGCTGCTGCCACGCGAACAGCAACATCAAGCACAGGACGCGCCAATTGTGCATCTGTCAAGCGATGCGTCATGGCCATCATTTCAATCATGAGTAGTTCTTGCAGTGACCCGTTCACAAGCTTGGGTCGTATCTCGGCCATAGCACCGAAATCAGCGGATCCAGCCTTAGCAATGAATATCGTTTGTGCAGTATCTGTACATGCATATGTTCTACGCTCGAGCGAGGTGTCGGAGTCTACGAGATGGTACAAAATAATGCTAGACCATGTCTCGGCATCGGCGTTCGACCTTGATGTAAGCGGCGTAGCTGAATGCTGTGCTGCTGCGGTCCTCACCATCCTCATGCTTAAGAGCTATGAAGGACAGCTCTTCAAATTTGACAAGCGTGCCCTCCACCTCGTCCTTGATCAGGTCATGCTCGCAGGGTTCCTTCTTGACGGCAACTTCGTTGAGCACAAGCCTGTCTATTCGCTGCTACAGCTGATCTGCATCGAGGTCAATCTCGCTACTGAACAGCTCATCCAGCTCAGGATCTTCTGGCAACAAGGAGCTTGTCGCTTGTAGGGTAGGTGCTGTGCCATTGCTACTTGCCACAGGCTGCTGCCGCGCAAGTTCGTCCTCGTCTTCCTGTCGACGATCGGAGGCTGACTGCTCAGTAATGTGAGAGCGTGCCGCGCCTGATTTGAGTCTCATGTGCGCTGCCTCGGCTTCGTCCACTTCAGTGTTCATCGACTCTTGTCGCGCCAGGGCTTGTGCTGTGGGCTGATCTGATGTGGAGGACACTTGGCGTTGCAGTGGTACTGAAAGATCTTGGGGAGCGCCGTTGCTAGTCGTGATTGACCCATTTGTGGCAAGATCTCTGTCACCTGCCACTTGCGCTGATGGTGGACTCCGTGCGCGCATATTATCAATGCTCGCAGCTCGTGGCGCCTCAGACCCAGCAGGAACAGGAACAGGAAATGGATTTGCTGGTTGTGCTGATGGTGAAGAAGACATTGAAGAAGCGGAAAAAGACGCATTGGTCGCTTTAGCGCTATTTCGCGCGGCTGCCACTAACGCAGCACGCTCAAAGGGTCCCATGGGTCTACTAGATTGCGGACGTTGCTGTACAGGAGCTTGTATCGTTACATGCGGTCTCTTTGCGGGTGGTGGCGCTGGTGCTTCGTCATCTGTGTCTGAAGTCAGGTCAATCACCTCGACGGGCGGTGCTTTCCGCTTTGGCGTGTGTGTAGAGGCCGGGGACGCGGAGCGCGACGACGCCACCTCGAGTAAGCGGGACGGGAGTGCTAGAGGTGGATTCAGACAGACACCATCCAAATCAAAAATCTCATGCTTCATGCCATTCTCGGCAGATTTTTCAGGTAGTTCCACATCCTGGGCAGACTTCTCCTGAGGAACTTTCCAATTGCCTTGCGGATCAACAAGGATCGTATCGACCTCAGAATCGACTTTTGACAAAATATCTTGGAAATAGCCATCCACCACGATACTGTGTTCATTGGGTATGGGGATGGTGCATATTGGGCAAGTCCAGGTGGGTGTTTGTTCGTTACTCATGAAAAATACTTCGCAATCGAAGCATTGATTGTGCCGACAATTGAGGGACCGACAGGGTAAGGTGATGCGCGTATACGCGAGCGGATCCTTCAAGGTCAAGTCAAAGGAGCTCATCTCAATATCATCATCGTCCGGTCTGCGGAGCTTTGCAAGGACTGATTCCTTTGTGAGATAGCGACCTTTTCTAACGCGTGCCACCAAATCTGCAACAGAGTTCTTCTTGACGAGCGCTACCTGGTAGCAGAATTTGCGTGTAGTGCCCTGGTAGGTGAGATCAATTCGATTGCTGACGCGTGATGAGAGTTGAAGATGCTTAGTGATGTCTGCTGGCGGCACAGTTCCTGGCTTTCCCTTAAGACCACGCAAGTTTGCATTGATCTTTTTGCCATTGCAGAGGAGTTCTGAGGGCGTTGGGAACTCTATCGGGACTTGCATGTAATTGGATGACTGCGCTTCGGCTGAGAAGACCATCATGGCATACCCAGGCTCCTCGAGCTTCTTTAGTTGTTGCTCTTTCAGCATGAATGTGGTGGTCACAGTGTTTCTCGCAGCAGCTATTGTTAGCCTGAGGTCTGGTGTGCATGTCACCTACCGGTACAATATGCTCTTTCCGAGACCTTCTCGAGCAGCGTAAAGAAAGGACTCTCCTTGAAGCTGATGAGTTTCTGCTCTACTAACGCTGGTGCGGCTGGACGCGGCGCCTGTACGGCTGCTGGTCGTGCAACTGCCGCTACGTTGTAGCCAGGCAGGGGTGGGCGCGCTTGCTGTGGTCGCACTTGTTGCCCAGTAGGCAGCTGCTGCGGTGGAACAACGTGCCCTGTTCTTGCTTCACGTACACGATCCAGAGCAGTTCTAAGCGTTTGATATGCAACGACATTATTGGTGTTTCGCCAGGATGCGATGCTCGAGAGGAGGCGATCAATGAGTGGTCGCTTGTTCCCGTATGTAGAGAGACCACCTGGCAAGTGTTAGATACAGCCATTCGATCGACATAGATATAGAGTACTGACAAGCTTTGAGGACTTCCTTGAGGTCAGACACGAGCAGCCTCGACTCTATCTGACGCGAGAGTATCTGTGAGTCGGCAAATGGATCTGGTGCGCCCGACATGGCACCCGGAGCGTGACCGGGTTGAGTGAGCTGTTTGTCAAGTGCTTGCCCTGCCCAGTTGACCTGCCTTCGCTGTCTGAGGAGCGTGCCAGGTCTGTCAGTCTGGCTTGAGGGTGTTCTGTGGTCATGATCTGTCGCGCGCTCTTTCCACTTTCTTTTTTCCGCGACCAAGAGAGTGAAGCCAGTGTGCAAGCTACACGTACAGCAGGGAGCCAATCTCTAGTCTAGCTTCATCACCTACAGCACAATGGCAAAGAGTATCCGCTCATCTACCAAGATGCGCTTTCGAGCAGTCAAGCGCAAAGACAGAAGTATTGTGGAAGACCAGCGCCTAGCGAGACTGGCAGCGAGGCTAGCCAAGCGCAATAATCTAGCTACAGCCACCAATGGAGCGGGTGAGGGCGATGCGGCGATGGAGACAGATGGTGTGCTGGCAGATGCGCCTAAGGACACGGCTATGGAGGTGGACACCAAGAAGGTGAGCACGTCAGGGTCTCGTGGCTCTGCGCGAGAGACATGGAAGGGAGGCAAGTTCCTGGCCAAGAAACGGTATGCCCCATGCGACTGTATGTGCCTTCGCCAGACTAACAAGTGCAGGTCCAAGAGTGTCCTGAGCGACAGACAGAGACGGCGCAAGTGAGCGATCTTACCATTGCTTTGGAGAAATACCCTTATAGACACCGTACTGTACTCTCTAGCATCGTCTCTTCCTTGTTGTCTGTAGGCCTGGCTCTGTCTGCCTCTGCCTGTCTCTGTCTGTCTCTATGCCTGTGCCTGTCTCTGTCTCTGTCAGTTGGCGCCCAGAAGCAAAAAGCAAAACAGAGCAGCAGCAGCAAACAAGACAACTACTCAATCACTCTCTCTCTCTCTCAGTCACTCACTCATCCAGAGTCCTGACCAGCCCTTCGTTTTGGATCCCAGGCAGCAGCACAAGACACGCGCAGGATACATTAGCACTCGTGAAACCGCTGGAAGCGTAGACTATCCCATGTCGCAACATGGACATAGCGCTGCAGGCAACAACACGCAAGCCAAACCCATGCCTCCCACCCATATACGGCCAAGGAAGCGCCCGCTCTACATCCTGACATGCCTGTCAACAGTATTCCTGCTGCTAGTCGGCTATTCCTTCAAAATGCGCCAGCAGGACGTCAAGGCATGTCGTATGTGCTACATGTACCCATCCTACGAAAGGCTCAAGGGGTTTGATCTCGAACACACTCGCTTAGCGAGCAAATATGCGCTCTACAAGTACAGAGATACAGAGTACGACCAGCCAGAAGAGCTTGGCGGTGTCCCTGTCCTCTTCATACCTGGCAACGCAGGCAGCTATCGTCAAATCAGGCCCATTGGTTCAGCAGCAGCCATGCTGTATGGTGAGAGACTCAAGCAAGGTGAAACACACGCCGGTAGTCGCTCGCTTGACTTCTTTTCTGTTGATTTTAATGAAGACTTTTCTGCCTTCCATGGTCAAACCTTGCTGGACCAAGCAGAGTATGTTAATGCAGCTGCTGCATACATTCTGTCACTCTACACGGCAGCGAGAAAGAGCCCCTCAGATACATCTCAGCCAGATCCCATCAGCGTCATCTTACTGGCGCACTCAATGGGTGGTATCGTGGCACGCACCATGCAAGTCATGCCAAATTACATGCCAAAAAGCATCAACACCATTGTTACCATGGCTACGCCTCATGCTATTCCTCCAGCGCCATTTGACCCACAGATGCATGCAATTTACGACCAAATCAACGCTCACTGGAATGCGTCTTTTGCTCTACCCATCGCTTCAAATCCCCTCAAGGATGTGTCCCTTGTCTCAATTGTTGGCGGAGCCCTCGACTTGACAATATCGTCCGATTATGCGACATTAAGAGATATCACTCCGGCAAGTCATGGCTTCACGGTCTATACCTCTTCCATTCCCATGGTCTGGACTGGCGCAGATCATCAAGCGATCCTTTGGTGTGATCAATTCAGATCCGCTATTGCAGGCGCTCTACTCGATATCGTGGATGTTGGCAATGCAGAGCAGACGGTCGCGCTGCCGGAACGGATGCGTCTTTTGCGACACAGACTCCTCAGCAGACTGGACAGGCACGAAGAAGTCATCAATACCGAGCCTGCTCGCCAGTCTGTTCGATTCTCGGCAGATGCACCGGGGCAGTCTCGTCCTGATTCGGCAATAGTCAGGACGTTCAAGATTGATCCTGAACAGCCAATCAAAGCGCTATTCCCAATACAAGATGCTGGCATATTTGAGCTTCTGACTGACACTGCAATGTTGAGTGTGCTTCTATGCCAAGGCGATGCCTCACCCGAGCGTCCACACCCAGAATTATCTTGCGTTGTAAGCTCCGCCGACTGGTCAGTTCTACCGGGACGAGGTGACTTGGTTGAGGAGACTGAGGAAGTGACGGATCGCCTCTACTACACGAGCTTCACTCCCTCTCAGTTGGCAAATCGGCACATTGTCATCAAATCCCACGGCGCAGGCACATTTTTCCGCGCTGGCTTCGTACCGCTGTCGAGCTCTCGACAGACAGTTCAACTAGGCATCGCTCGCATTGCTCTTGATGGACTGCGCGTCAAATTTGACAGTAGCCAACTTGTAGCGCAGACCTTGCATTTGCCAGATCTGAGCAGCAGTCTGCTTGCCTACACAGTCAGCTACAAGACTTCCTGCGATGCACACAAGGCTGTCGTCAGGCAATCCATGCTGGATCCAATCGAGGTCAAGTTTCGTCACGGCAATGGTCCACACGAGATCAGTTTGTACGGGCTCCCACCCTTTTTGAAGCCACAGTCTCAGCATAGTTCTGGATTGTCCCTTCAGTATTTTGCTGATCCTGATTGCCTTGGAGTGACTGAAGTAAGTCTTCATTTAGACTGGATGGGGTCGCTCGGCAAACTCGCCATGCGGTACCGTATGGTCCTCGTCGTCTTCTCCACTGCCCTGGCCTTTGCCATCTTCCGGCTACAACTCGCTGTGTATGCTGAATCAGCGGAATTTATCAGCTTTCAACAAGCCTCCAGACTATTTGCGTGCTCGAGACTATGGAAGCTCCTTGTTGTCACGAGCATTGCTGCATACGTCCATGCCCATGCATTCACTGCAAGTATTGTAACGACCGAGTCCTGGCACCGACTGCTACTTGGCACTCAAGACCCTTTCTTTGCGCCTCTTGTGCCCCTCTTCATTCTCGTCAGCTTGGGTTTCCTCAACCTCCTGACAATTGCAATTACGGTCCTGGTTGACCTTGCAACGCTGCTATACAAAATTCCAGCAAAATACTTATTCAAGGATGATAATACACCTCCTCCTGGCCGCAGTCCTCGACGCAGATTATGGACAGTCATCATTCTACTCGCTGTTGTTGCTACCATGGTGCCCTACCAATTTGCCTACCTTGTCGCGTGCCTAGCTCAAGCAGGCTCAACAGTCAGAACGCGTCATGCAAGTCAGTTACAACGAAAGCCAGGGCATGCCGTAAAAGCAGCGACCAATGCCGATGCCTACAACTTTTCAGTGCTGGTTCTGATGGTGTCTGTGTTGCCTGTTAATTTGCCTATCCTTGCAGTCTGGGTACGCAATTTGACGGTACGCTGGTTGACGCCTTTTTCAAGTCATCACAACATCCTCATGATTGCGCCTATTGTGCTACTTGTTGAAGCAATTGCCAGCAATCAAATGCTCCAGCCCAGCAGTAAACCGTGCGTCTTTCTGTGCAAAGTGAGGTTGCTAACAAACAGATTCGATCAAGTCACCGGATGGCTATGTGCTGGCGCTGTGGCGTACATCCTTTTGTATGGCGTCCTCTACCCTTACCTCATCCACTACGTGCTCAACTGCACTGCACTCCTTTTGATTGTGCACACACACCTAGTCAAGGTGGCGGCTGTGCCGGTTCAGAAGACGTCAGTGAAGCAAGAAACGATTCCAACGACATGAATAGTAAAAACATACGTAATCATAATCTATGTAAAAAAACTGGCACCTTTTACTGCTTAATCTGGTACTTCTTCACCAACGCTTCGCAAATGCCAACAAATTCATCGCACAATTCATCGCTCTCAGCAATGATATTCATTTGAGTGACGCGCATGTTTGACCAATACTTGCCAGTGATGTTTTGAACTTCCGGTGCTGAAGCGACATACGTCTGCGTGGCTGCTCCATCAGGTAAAGGCCTGCCAACGAGAGCGTACACAATTGGAAAGATGCGACCAATGGCATTGTCATACTTGGCCTTGAAGTCAGTGTTGACCGTTCCAGGGTGCACGGCATAGGTCGTGATATTGCGGCCTTCTTTGGCGAAACGTCGAGCCAGACCACGCATTGTCACAACGACCATTAACTTGGAGGTGCTGTAAAACTCATAGCCCTGCATGTTTTTCATATTCTTGTAATCTTCAGCGGCTGAGAAGGAATAAGTAAACTTGGAGGCCAGAGAACTCAGACCGACGATACGCGCTGGAGAAGCTGCAGAGCTGGCTTTGTCAAGCAAAGGCAAGAGGTTCTCGACAAGAAGAAAGTGTGACAAGTTGTTGGACTGGAACATGGTGTCGAAACCATCCTCCGTCTTGCCAGCTGGGCAGTGACCGATACCCGCGTTGAGGACCAGCACATGTAATTTCTTTTCTTCCTTCAGCAGCTTGCTCGAGAGCTTGTTGACGCTGTCCATTGAGCACAAATCAAGATGCTCAAGCTGCACAATGGTGCCGCGAGGAGCAAGCGTTTGCAGCTCCTTCAAAGCAGCTTGACCCTTTTCAGTGTTACGAGCTGTGATAATGAGCTTCGATGGCTTCATGACAACCAACTGACGAGCATTCTCCAAGCCCAAGCCAGTATTGGCACCAGTAATGAGAATGACTTGCCCAGACAAATCTTGCCTAGGTGCTTCGAGGTGAGTGTAAACGAAGCGTTCAGTCAGAAAATCACGGAGAATATCATAGGTTTTCCAGAGAGCAGACATGATGAGTGAGCGATTGACTCGTTGTATCGAGCTTCGGATGTGTTGCAACTTGGCAGATGACAGCATGTCGGGCGGAGCTCACACAGCTCGAGTTCATCAGATGGCGCCCGATCAGGATGCTTGACGTGCCGCGTTGATTCAGGAAACGCGGGTGACAGAAGACCTCATCGGACACACTGATACGATATAACCCTGGAGAAATGATCGTACAAGCCATCTAAGTGCCAGAACGCTTAGCTAATAATCTCGCCTCCCGCGTATGCCTCACGAATAAAGTCAAAGCACACAAGACTGCGACTGAGCATCCCACTGCAGTGAACACAAATGCATCTCGATAGCACCGCACACCCACATCGCATTTGTGTGTGACTGGATCTGAGTGCAAGTCGTAGATACGCCCGTACAACAGGTTGAAGAGGTTGCCAGACAAACCAGGTGCAACAGAGACCAGTCCCCAATTGAAGCTAAAGTCCTTGACGCCATACTTCTCCAGTGTCAAGACTGGGCCAACGCCAAACATTGTCCCGTATGCGCTCGCGAGGGCCGAGGTGTAGTAAATGAGATTGCTGGAGGACGTATTATGGTAAGCAGACACCGAGACGAGCACAAAAATGACGGCTGAGCCCAGCAGAAAGGCTGACCGTTGCAGCCGAATTCTGGTCTTTGCCACATCCGATACGACACCACCAAAGATGCGGCCAGCGCAATTGAAGAGGGAAAGTACAGAGACGTTCGCGGCTTGCAGGCGCTCAAGGACTACTGGGTCCATTTCCGCAAGTGAATTTACCTCAGCCCGATACAAGGCGACGAGATTGTTTCCGATATTGTTGATCCACATCAGGCCACAACCAGAGACTGTCATTAGCAGGCTTAGTGCATGTAGAATATTTACGAAGACCGATAATTGTGATCATCAAGCAAAAGTCAAGATGCTTAAACAACGCCCAGCCGGTAACCTCTGCAAAGACTTCAGCCTCGGTATCTGGGAGGATGACACTGTCGATGACCGTCGGAGCTTCAATTTCGTCCTCTGCTTCATCGTCAGTGCCATCAGCAAGGAGCATACCCGATTCTGGCTCATCGTCGCGTGTTGAGAAGGACTTGCGACGCGTGCGTCTGTTTTCTTGTAAATTGGAACTTGGAAGCTTGATGCAAAGCGAGCAGAGGAATAAGCCGACTCCGCAAGTGATTGCCAAGGTCAAAAGATAGCGCTCAGTATGGCCGACGAAAAAGAAGTGGGCAATGCGCGAGAAAACAAAGGCACTCAGTCCATATGAGGCAATGGGCAAAGCCTAATGTCAGCGTTTCAGCTGGATGACGCGAGATAACATACTGTCGCGCTTCCGCGATTCAAAGGATAGCTCTTGGCCGCTGCATTGAGGGCAGCAAGGTTGCCCAGCGCCGATCCGATACCAGTGATGAAGCAGAAAAAATAAAGCACGATACCACCGTGATTCCATTCAACGCGATATGCGTATTGTAGACCAAAGTATCCGAGAAAGAGACATAATGCACCGCCCATCAAAGGAAGGCGCAGTCCAAAGCGATCGACAAGCTTCCCTGCAAAAGGACTCATGACATACACGCCGAGATTGCCTGCAATGCCAATTAGATTGATGGACAGCGCAGATAAATGACATCTGTCGGAGAGCTGGGGTGCCCAGCTGCTAAATGCATAGCCTGTGCCACTGAGCAGGCCAACAGTAGTCGCCGCCGCGAGCGTGATGGGCCGCTGTGATATCATGCTCGAATGCAAGCAGACATGAAAAGGCGCAAGATGTCGTCGACAGATGCAGTGTCCTGGCGCGTTTGAGTTTGAGGCGATTTGTCCAGATGGGCAGCGATCCAGCTCAAGGAATAATCGAAGTCTGGAACCGAATGAGTATGCTATGAAGGAGCGGTTCGAAATGGTATGAAACATGCAAGGAATGCGTTACTTGACCTCTGGTACTGTCGCCAATGGGTCCACCTCTTCGACAACAGGAGAGTCGAGCTTCTTGTCGAAGCTTGCGGTATCGCTACTTGTCGATAAAGACGTTGCAGAACGCTTCTTGAGCCTGAGAGCCCTTACGACACGATGCTCAGGGTTAAGTTCCGCGAATCTCATGTAGACCAGAACAACAGTGACCGTTACCCAGTAAAAGATGTAGCCAATGACGCTCGAGTAGAAGCCAGTGTTGGTCCAGCCAAAGATACTGTTAAAGACCTGCCAACCACCGTTGTTGGGGTCTTTCAGCTCAGGATTGCCAAAGTTGACGTGCCAGATTGTGTGCCGAATGTTGTAGGAGCCTGGGCCGGCGCCATTTTCAGCTGCATCTCCGCCAGTCAGGTTGTTCCATTGGTTCATCTCGAAGAAGGTGATGGAGCGAGAGAAGAGTCCAGCCGCAACGAGGTACAAGAGCCAAGTAGAGGCAATGAGGAAGTATTCGATCTTGAGGAACCTGTTGCTGCGATAGAGGGCGAAGCCAACGAGAAAGCCGGCTAGCAGACCAGTGATGACGGGGATGGGTACTGATTTGGCAGGGGTGCTGAGACCAACACCACCAACGAAGATGACTGCCTCGAGACCTTCACGCAAGACAGTGATGAAGGGAAGCCATGCCATGGCGTACTTGATGGTGAACTTTTTGAACCCAGACCGGCCAGTCTCGTTGCTCTTCTCTTCATACATGGCAGCAAGCTTGGTTGTCCACTTTGCCTTGAGCTTGTTGACCTTGAGCATGGCAACACCCATGATTGAAATGAAGATGGATGCAATCAAGCAGAAAACACCCTCCCATATGTTTTCCGACTTGGCCCAAATGTCATTTTTGAGAGAGTAGAACGCGCCGAGGAAGCCGCCGCCGATGATGAGGCAGAGCAAGAGGCCCAAGGCCGCACCCACCCAGACTTGCCGAACTAGTCTCTTTTTGAGTTGAGCACTCTGCACAACCGTGTCGACGCCAGGCAGGGTTGCAGTGCGGTCGATGAATGCAAGCAGGATGGAGACGATGATGCTAGCCTCCAAACATTCTCTGAAGATGATGAAGAATATTGGTACGCTGAAGAAGTCTTGTGCCATCTTGGGCTATCGCTTGAGCCGTTGGAAGGCCACAGGGGAGTCGAGCTAGTTGCAGGTGTGAGGTGTTTAGTACTGAGTCGGTGGATACTCCCTCAGCTGGGCCCGTCGAGCCTTTTGTTGAAGCGGTGCAGGGTGCAGGGTGTGACTCGTGTGAGGGAGCAAAAGAGCGAGGTCAATCAGATATGGCCCAGGGAGTGATCTGATAGGCGGCCTGCAAAATGAGCGGTCGGGGAGTCTGGCCCTCGCGCGAGTTGGCAGCATACATACGCGTGACTTGCTCCTGTAACAAGGAGTGCACGGACTGCGACCAAAGCCAAGGTGCTCGCTCCTATGCAGTCTGCTCTCGATCGTAGGCTTATACTAGTACATTCATAGGCATCGATCCTAAACGTAGATGGTCACACACGGTATCATCCACCTGTTTCATCCTGTAGGCTGGCTGAGGCTGCCAATGATCGTGCAGCTCCGGAAGCGACCTGTCAGTCTGCGAGCCAACCAAATTGCAATCTGATAAACTGCAGACTCAAAGGACTCCCCATTGCTCCCCAAGGCAAATTTCCTTATCCGATGGACTGCTGCTGCACCGAGCGTTGTAGCCGCTGTTGTGCAGTGCGTGACCACCGAGTCCCTTTCACTACTTGTACTACAGCTCCCCCTTGTCGCCATCCTGCAGACAGAATTTGCTCACTGAGGTATTTCCGATGCACCTACCACTCGCCTTTCTGGGCCTCAGCGCTTTGGCTCATGCGGCCGTAAGAGAGATCGAGTGGAACATTACCTATGTCGACGGCGTATCGCCAGACGGCTCTGGTGTCGCGCGTAGAGTCATTGGGTACAACGACGCTTTGTAAAGTGAGCAGAGGCTAATACCAGTGTCAACAACCAATGGCCTATTCCTGCTCTAGACTTCGACTATAAGGACCGGGTAGTCATCAAGGTCAACAACCAGTTGCCCGATGTTGGTGAGTATCTATCAGTGTGCGAGCATTCTTCTAATAGTAGACACATCGCTGCATGCACACGGCATGTTCCAAAACGGCACCAATTGGGCGGACGGACCTCAAATGGTCACCCAGTGCGGCATCCCTCCTGGCGGCTCGATGACATACAACTTCACTCTGGAGCAAAATGGCACGTACTGGATCCATTCACACACCCAGGGTCAATATCCTGATGGTCTTCGGACGCCAATGATCATCCACAGCCCGGAAGAGGCACAACAGTACGACGAGGAGTTGACCATCTACTTCAGTGACTGGTACCATGAGAGTATGGTTGTCCTCAAGGATGTCTTCCAGTCATACACGAACCCAACTGGTGCCGAGCCCGTTCCAAAAGCCGCCCTCATCAATGATCGGGTCAACACGCAATTCTCCGTCAAGCCCAATACATTATACCGTCTGCGCTTCATCAATCTCGGTGGATTTGCTGCGTTCAGAGTTTGGTTCGAGGATCACGACATTGAAATCATCGAAGTGGACGGCGTGGATGTAGCCCCAATGAAGGTCGATGGATTCACCTTGACTGCTGCACAGCGTACGTCAGTCCTGCTCCGAACAAAGAACGCAACAGACCAAAATTTCCCCTTTGTTGGTTCCATGAATGAGGACATGTTTGATCAGGTTCCAGAGGGCCTAAATCCGAATGTCACTGGCTACTTGGTCTACAACTCGGATGCCCCTCTTCCTGTGGCCAAGCTAGTGGACGAATGGCCAACCTCGAATGACTTTGAGCTGGTTCCTGTCGTGCCAGAGCCTGTCCGTGATCCTGGACATCGCATCACGTACGATGTGCTGTTCGACAACCTGGCAGACGGAGAAAATTACGCCTTCCTCAATGGCAAGACATACAAACCGCCCAAGACTCCTACGTTATTGACTGTCAAGGCAGCCGGTCAGCTCTCCAACAAGTCTGTCGTGTTTGATTCTGCGATCTATGGTGAGCACACCATCACCGATATTGTGCCACACCTCCAGTCTGTCGAGTTGTGCATCAACAACTACGATGCAGGCTTCCATCCGTTCCATCTCCATGGCCACAGTTTCCAAGTTGTCAAGCGCTCAGCAGAGGACGAGGGTCCTTGCCCAGGTAGCGACAACACAACGTGGTACGAAACCATCCCAGCCAACCCTATGCGTCGTGATGTCCTTCAGGTGCCACCTGGCGGTCACGCCGTCATCCGATTCTACTCCGACAACCCAGGTATCTGGCTTTTCCACTGTCACTTGACCTGGCATCAAATCTCAGGCATGCTGTCACATATTTTGGTCGCTCCCGACTTGCTGGCCTTGCAAGACGTGCCACAAAACACATATGACAATTGCAAAGCGCACAACGTCAACGTATTGGGCAATGCTGCCGGCAAGTCTGACCTTTATGACTTGTCGGGTCAAAATGCTCCTCCTGGACCGCTCCCCGCCGGTTTCACACCACGCGGCATCGTTGCCATGTTCTTCACCATCTTGGCTGCCGTGATTGGAATGGCTGCCATAGCTTGGTACGGCCTGGGCGAAATGAAGTCCAGTCCTTCACTGTAGAGGTCTTTCTTGCTCCTACTAAAGCAGTCATGGCCCTGCATCATTTCTTTGCATTCATGAAATCAAACAAGTTCATCTGCCTGTAGAACAATACTTCTACAGCTCTTTGTGTTCTGGCAATCAATCTATAGCTATGCATACGTCTGGTAATAGCAATGAGACAATATAACCAGACCATTGATTCTATCGTTATCTATTTTAAATGCTAGAGCTCATCCCGAACATTCTCTGCAGCAGGGGTTGCTTCAGGCTCAGGCTCCGGAACTGCCTCTTTGGCTTGAGGCTCGTCAGCTGGCAAAGGCGAATCACCAGCAACTGGCTCTTCAGCCTTCTTTGGCGTGGCAGTGGGCTTGCTAGACTTGGTCTTGCTCGCCTTGGATTTTTTCGGTGGCGTTCGACGTTGTTGGAACTTGTAAGTCACTTTTTGAATAAGCGCCATCATCTCTTCGCTGACTTCAGCCTTTGCCGAGTCCAAGTCACGGACGAGCAGCACCGGGTCTTCGGTAGCGGTGAGCTTCGCTTGCTCAGCAGTCTGGGCCTTGAGCCACGCCTCCTTTTCATCTAGCAGCTTCTCGAGCGGCACAAAATCAACGAGATCATACAATGGCTCCATGGGTGCTTCCAGCTTTGGTTTGGCCGACTCTTTCGGGTCAGCGCTACCAGTCTTGCTTGCATCAGCTGCACTGTCCTCCAAAGAGTCTTCCTCCTCTGTTGAGGCTGCTGGAGCAGGCTCACCCTCTGCAGCCTCGGAAGACGCAGCATCAGCTACAGCTTGTTCAGCAACCTTGACGTCGTACTCCTTCTTTGCCGTTGCATACTTGTCAATCTCCACCTTCTGGCCCTTGACAAATTTGCGAGCGCTGTCGATTTGCTTTTGCAAAGCGTCAATGCTTTCGGGCCGCTTGGCGGCTTCTTCTCGGCGAGACGTGATGGCATCGATGATGCTCGATAGGCCATATCGCTTCTTGTCAAGATCCTCGAGGGAAGCATTCTCACCATCTCCATACATCCACTCGTTTGCTTCAGCAGCGAGTTTTTGCAAGTTGCTCTGCTCGTCTGGGGTTGAGGAGGTCAAGAAGGACTCGCTGTCGAGCAAATCACGCACGCGGTAGACATGTGCTTCGAGTGAGTTACGAGCGCTCTCACGAGCCACACGGTCACTGTCCAGGCTGTCGAGCTTTCCAATCTTGGCGAGAGACAGCTGAAGAGCTTGAGCATCCGAGGTCCAGCCTTGACTGTATTGGACAGTGCTGGAAATGGCAGCCGTCTTGATGACACGTTTAGCAACTTCGGGAACCTCTGTCTTTTTTCCTTTTGCGGCTGTTGTGCTGGTTGAGTCCTTACCGCCAAACCAACCTTTGACCTTGTCTGCCATGCCGGGTTTTTCTTCATACTCGCAATGTGCCTGCACCGTGCTCAGTCGAACAATACCAGAGTGGTCGAGCTTGAAGGTGGCGCTGATTTCGACTTTGAGACACTCGCTTGGCATTGATTCGACTGCCTTTTGGCGACCAGTCAGAGAAATCTTGGCAAACCCTTGCTGCGCCTTTTGTTGATTGTAAGAGTAAACCAGCTCGAGCTCTGCATCTGATGTACGACCCGTCAAAGAAACATTTCGTTCCGTACCATAAGCGGTCCCGCGCGGGAAGAGACTGAAAAGCTTGCCGTCGAGGCTGTACTGGAAGTCAAAGGCAGTTTGGTCAGAGACAACCAGCTCCTTCACCCTGAATTGTCCACTGAGACCTGCGCCACGAAAGACGGCGCCCATGACGGCTGCCTCATCGGAGTTGACATTACGAGCAAGCTTCTCTTCCGGTGCAACGCTAGCAAGCGCCGTCTTGATGAAGGGCACTCGGGCCGCACCACCATGGATGATGATGGAGTCTACATCTTCATGCGTGACGCCAGCAGCCTTGAAGGCTTCCGTGATGGGATTCGCAACAAGCGGAACGAGGTCGGCTGTGAGCTCTTCGAGCACGGCGCGCGTCACTTTGTATCGGAAGTCAACATCGCCATGGAGTGATTCAACAGAGGCCATGGCTTCGTTGTTGGCGGATAGGATCTGCTTGACTTTTGTCGCTTCCTTCATGAGTCTGGCTAGTCCGCGTGGATTGGTGGCGAGCTTACTTCCGGCTTGCTGGCTGTGGAGTTCATCAAATTTGGAGACGAGATGCTCATAGAGACGCTGGTCAAGCATGTTGCCACCATTGTTCAATTCAGCCCCTAAGCTCAGCACTTGCGCATAGGTGATGGTCTTGTTCTTCTTGGCCGTATCCTTGACAGAGATTCCTGAAAGCCTGACGAGTGTTGCTGAGGTGGAGCCGGAGCCCATGTCGTACACGAGGTGCATCTGCGAGGCATTGAAGGGCCGTGCCTTGGCATAGTCAATAATGACGGCGGTTCCATCCGTGACGAGTTCAAGTGGTCGTAGACCAGCGAGTTGAGCAGCTTCAATGAGGGCGAGACGTTGATCCTGGGTGAAGTGAGGAGGGACGGTGAGCACGGCATCTTTGACCTTCTCTGATGCCATGAGCTCTGCATTCTTGCGAATGTTTTTGAGCTGCATGGCGACGAGCTCTTCGACTGTGTAGCTTGTGTCGCCGACCTCGAATGCCACGGTCCCTCTACTACTGGCCTGCATCTTGTTGGCTGGATACAGCTGGGCATGACGCACAGCGGCCTCACTGGTGAGAGTCTGCCCAAGAAGGTTCTTGAGGTTGAAGAAGGTAGCTTCTGGGTACCTTGCTGCGAGTGCGGCTGCGTCACCACCATACAGCCGCTCCTGCTGCTTGAATGCGATGACGGACTGCTCTTTACGCTTTGTGTCTTTGGTCAGGACGATCTCTAAGGGGATGCCTGGCTTGACAAGGGCAGCCTTTGTCCATCCTGTGCCGTAGTCGATGGCGAGGACTGCGGCCTGAGCTGCTTGGAGGCAGAGGAGGATGGGCGCAGCCAATTGGGCGAATTGCATGGTTGATTGGGTGTCTACGATGCAGAGGGCCGGCAGTTGTAGTCTAAGATGTAGATGTTGGTGTCTTGTATGTCGCGTAGTTGCTGTGCTGGCCACTTTTGAATTTTCCCGCGACTTCCAGCCACAGCAGCAGCAGACCTCCTTGCTACACTCAACTTCCTTCTCTTTCTTTGATACACTACTACCTCTCTTCCAATCGAGTGCAGCTCATGTCGACTGCAAAGAGACAACGTAAGAGATAATTTCATCAAGGTGCGCATCATCTTACTGACCCCAGACATCCTCTCCAACACACCGGCGCATCTTCCCCATGCGACGCGACCCATTGTCCCCCCAGATGTCCAAGCCACCCTCGAACGCCTTGGCATGCGTACACGCAAAGGTATGCACACAAACAAACTTCGTGACAGTGTCTAACAACAGCTATGAGCGACCATCAGTTCAAGAAGGATCTGCAGCAAGCGCAGTCCATGTATAGCGTCAACTCTGCCATGCCGCTCTGGACGGGTGCGGGTGGTGCGACGAGCGCGAAGAGGAGCAAGAGGAAGCGCGACACGCCCTTCAACCAGATTCGGAGTGCGGCGCGCGATCCGTTTGCTGCATTCAAGGCACAGGGACGCGCTGACCGAGCTGCTGCTGTTGCTGTTGCTGCATCGATGGAGCAGGTTGCGGGTGTCAAGCGCAGTCGAGATGAAGCTATGGAGGAGACGGAGGCGGAAGAGGAGGAGGAGGACACGATGCATGAGGCGCGGTCGAGCACGATGGAGATCAGCTGCAATGCGTTCTTTGAGGACCCGCCATGGCTGAGTTCGCAGGCGTCGCTGATGGAGGATGATGCGATGCTTGGGTGATGGTGCTGATGACTTGTATGGATTGTGTTTATGACTGCTGTTTGCCTGTGCACGTGCAGATAAATAAAAAAGAGAAGAGAAAGCAGTAAACGACGCTGAACTACGCTGGATACTGGCTATACTGGATACTGACTGGACTGACTGACTACAGAGTACTGATACTGGACACAGAGCTACAGACAGCTACAGACACTACAGACAGCCACTGACAGCTACTCACACAAGCCATCACATTCACTCTTCACGACGCGTCACGACCAGCCCTGGCTCTTGTCAACCATGTCCGGATGGCAACCAGACTCAGGCAGCCTCCAGACATTCACTCAGGTCCTCGCAGCCTCCCTCAGTCCAGATAGCAAGCTCCGCACAGGCGCCCTGGAACAGCTCGACATTGCAAAGTCAAAAATCCCAGACTACAACAACTACCTAGCCCACATCTTCCTCCACCCAGGCGCAGCAGAAACAAGCCTCAGGTCAGCTGCAGGATTGCTCCTCAAGAATATCGTCCGCTTCGAGTATCCAGAGATTCCACCGCCCTCTTTGGCCTACATCAAGGAAACCGCTTTTGCCGGCTTGAATGATGGCGAAGCACTCATTCGCTCCATCTCGGGCAACTTGATCACAGCAACCATCCACCGTGGCGGTATCCGCGAGTGGCCAGAGGCTCTGCCCCGGCTCATGCAGCTGCTGGACGATTCTAATGAAACCACATGCGAAGTAAGCTCATCCTCCACATGCATTAAAGCAAGCTGACCACTTATCTAGGGCGCACTCAGTGCACTTTCCAAGATTTGCGAAGATTCAGCCTCAGAACTCGACAAGGACTACGACGGTCAACGGCCCCTCAACTTTATGGTACCCAAGTTTCTCGCCTTCACAGAACACCCAACCGCCAGGATCCGGGCAGAGGCACTCTTCTGCCTCAATCAATTCATCCTCCTCAAGTCGCAATCTCTTTTTGCCTACATTGACCCCTTCCTCACACGGCTATTTGCCCTCGCCACCGACCAAGACACGGGTGTCCGCAAAAATGTCTGTCAAGCTCTTGTCATGCTTCTAGATGTCCGCCCAGATAAAATTGCCCCAAACTTGGGTTCCGTGGTAGAGTACATGCTCTATTCAACGCAAGATCAAGACGACCAAGTCGCACTGGAAGCTTGTGAATTTTGGCTGGCCATTGCCGAACAGCCCGACCTGCAAACTTCGCTGGAACCTTACCTCCACAAAATTGTACCCATGCTCCTCAAAGGCATGGTCTACACTGAAATGGATTTGCTCGCTCTTGGCGCAGACGAAGACGATGCGCATATTGAAGACAGGGCAGAAGACATCAAGCCGCAACATGCAAAGTCAAAGCTCCACACGCAGACAGAACATACGCACGATTCCAATGGACCCAAGGGTCTCAAGTTTGGTCAGGATGATGAGGAAGAGGAAGAGAGCGACGATGAGTATGATGACGACGACGATGATGATCTTTATGCCGAGTGGAACCTTCGCAAATGTTCCGCAGCAGCCCTCGATGTGCTGTCGACTGTATACGAAAATCGTCTCCTCGAGCACTCCCTGCCTCATCTCAAGCAAACCCTTGGCTCACAAGATTGGAGGGATCGGGAAGCAGCCGTGCTCGCGCTCGGCGCAATCGCAGAAGGCTGCATGACCGGCATGATTCCTATTCTACCAGAACTCTTCCCGCACCTTCTTAGCATGCTCAAGGATCCTCGGCCGCTTGTCAGACAAATTACTTGTTGGACCCTCGGTCGGTACGGTCGCTGGGCAGCCCACTTGCCTGACCAGGAGCGCCAGCAGTACTTTGAGCCACTCCTCGAAGGCCTGCTCAGTGCAATGCTCGACAACAATAAAAAGGTGCAAGAAGCCGGTTGCTCGGCATTCGCCGCTTTGGAAGATCAAGCCGGCATTGCGCTCGTTCCTTACTTGCAGCCAATCTTGCAGCTATTCGTGGCAGCCTTTGACAAGTATCAGCAAAAGAACTTGCTTGTCCTCTACGATGCAGTGCAAACCATGGCAGATGCTGTTGGTCCTGCACTCAACAAGCCAGAATACATTGATCTGTTGATGCCTGCTCTCATCAAACGCTGGACAAACATCGCAGACGACGATCGCGACTTGTTCCCTTTACTAGAGTGTCTTGCTTCCGTGACCATTGCCCTCGGTCCAGGCTTTGCGGCGTTTGCACCGCCAGTCTTTTCCCGTTGCCTTCAAATCCTACATCAAAATTTGGCTCAAATAGATGCTTATGCGAATGGAGGTATACCGGACATGCCAGACAAGGACTTCCTCATTACGGCACTCGACCTCCTTTCTGGTCTCGTTCAAGGACTTGGTCCAAGTGTGGCGGAGCTGATAGAATCGACACAACCACCCTTGCTGCAATTGTTGCTCCTTTGCTTCACAGACCCCGTGGCCGAAGTCAGACAATCTGCCTATGCGCTTCTCGGTGATCTGGCCATCAATTGCTACGACTGCATCAAGCCATACCTCGGCGAAATCATGCCGAATGCCCTCACTCAGATCGTCATTGAGACAGATTCCATCAGCGTAACGAATAACGCAATCTGGTCGTCTGGAGAGGTGTGTCTTCAAGCCGGACCCGATATTGGCCCGTGGGTCGAGCAGCTCTTCAAGCAGCTTGTTGGCATTGTCGGTGCACAAAAGGTGAGCATTACGGTGCTTGAAAATGCTGCCATCACACTGGGCAGACTCGGCTGCAGTGTTCCCACACAAGTTGCGCCCCACCTGGATATGTTTGCCAGAGCGTTTTGTGCGGCGCTTCGAGATGCAGATGACAATGACGAAAAGAACTCTGCTTTCCACGGTTTTTGCCAGATGATTGCAACCAACCCGTCTTCTCTTGCAGGCTTCTTCCCGGACTTTGTGAATGCCGTTGGCCGCTACAAGGAACCTTCGCCAGAATTGAATGATATGTTTGGCAAGATCCTTACAGGCTACCAACCCGTCTGTCAGAATTGGGAACAAATTGTCGATTCTTTGGAACCACAGGTCAAACAGACCATCAACACAAGGTATCACATCTAACTGGCAATCTTACGCAACTTCCTTCTTCACTACTGCGGTTCTATCCCAGCGGTGTTGGCTGTCTGTCTACGATATTCGCCGTCGCAGGATAATGATTTTGAGCTTATCTTGGTTTCGCATAGGGCGGCACTGACAATGGTGAATCCTGTCGGCCGCATTGCATTTTGTATGTAGACAATGCTGATTAGCAATCACTTGAGCTGTATCTTTCATGTTTGCCTTCAACACTCTCAGTATTGCTGAATCTGCTTGACACGTGTTGTATCTTTTCGCGGTCGCGTCTTCGTGTCTGTGGCGACGCCTGCGCAGATTTAGACGGCACATCTAGAGATCTAATGGTCATTAGCCACCCTCACGCTTGTCGCGCTCTGACTGTCTCATTGTGCTAAATATCTCATTGCAATGCAAAATGCCTGCTCTTGATGCATCTAACAGTGATGCTGAAGATAACGAAGGCTTCGACCAAGAAAACGTCGAGGAAGATGCTGCTCTGCTCACCCAACTTGTGCCGGACCTCTACTCTGAAGGACCTTCTGCCAAGCGCCTGAAGCTGGATCCTCAACATCGTGTGGAGCTAGAGCAATACAAGAAGCAGGAGATTGACTTGGACACACTTAGAAAACGCTTGGCTGGACCTTCAGTAGCAAAGCCGGGTCAAGAAGGAGTCGATCAGGACAAGATCAATCAAATTATCTATGACGCTTCGCTAGGATCCAAGTTCTTCAACAATGAGAAGAAAAAGGATGAGCAGCTGACGCAGAAAATTGAAGCTACTTTGGCAAGAGCCCGACAGATTACACAGGGCGACCTGTCTGCAGATGAGCGCCGCGTCGATATACAAATTGCACAGATTGAATCTACCATTGATCTTTCGCAATACATCATGCACATTGATTGCGATGCATTCTATGCAAGTGTCGAAGAGCTCGACAAACCTGAACTGAAAAATGTACCCATGGGCGTTGGTATTGGTGTCTTGACAACAGCCAATTATGCGGCTCGCAAGTATGGTAAGTCTTCTTGATATCTGATGATAGCTCATCTTTAGGTGTCCGCTCTGCAATGCCGTCTTACATCGCAAAACAACTTTGTCCACGACTGATTTGTGTTCCTCTCAACTTTCCTCGCTACATTGAAAAGGCAGAAGAGATCAGAGCCATTCTTAGTAAGGCTGATCCCAATTACCAGGCCGCATCGCTCGATGAGGCGTATCTCAATATAACTGGCTACGCAAACGCCCTGAACATGTCCCCGGATGATGCCGTACAAGAGCTGAGAGCAGAGATCTTTCAAAAGACGGGTTTGACGGTATCTGCAGGCATTGCCGCAAATTCTCGCTTGGCAAAGATTGGTTCAAACATGAACAAGCCCAACGGCCAATTCAGGCTCGCAAATGACAGACGAACCATCATGGAATTCATGGGGGAATTGCCTGTGCGGAAAGTTAATGGCATAGGCAAGGTCTTTGAAAGGCAACTCAACGCCCTCGGAATCGAACGCTGCCGGGATATCTACACACATCGTGGTCTTCTTTCCAGATTGTTTGGCGAGAAGAGCTTTGACTACTTGCTCAATGTGTATTTGGGAACAGGCTCGACGCATATTCGCCCCTCGGCAGATCGCGAACGGAAATCAATAGGGACTGAGTCTACCTTTCGCAGCATCTCTGATTCAGGGCGTCTACGCGAGCAGCTACGCCATACAGCAGAAGAACTCGAGAAGGACTGCATACGCGCAGACTGGCGTGGCCGAACGCTGCATCTCAAAATTAAGAAGCATACTTATGAAGTTTACACCAGACAATGCAGTCTCCCAAAGGCCATCTACAGGGCTGATGATCTCTACGCATACAGTCTGCCTCTGCTGGAAAAAGAGTTTCCCCTTGATCTTCGCTTGATGGGTCTGCGCCTGACGCATCTTTGCCGGATATCCAAGCCCGACTTGAATGGCTTTTTCGGTGTCGGCCAAGTACAAGACAGGGATTCAGCTATCCTGGCCGACAGGGATGCGACTTTCCAGGCAGAAGACGAGGAGCTGCTCGAGGGCGACAAGGACTTTGTGTCCGAGCCTTGGTCCACGAGTTCAGATTCAATCAGGAAACAGGCAAAACTGCATGCATCCATCTCCTCAGCGTCAGACAAATTACAAGCTGTAAGCGTCTGTCCAATTTGTAATCGACGCATTGCAAGCGATGTCAATGAGCATATTGATGCATGTCTCAATCAGTCTGCTATCAGAGAAGCCCTGGCTCAGGACATCTTGATGAGCATGCCAGACAAGGTTGCACCTAGTCTCACTGCGATGAAATCGTCCAAACAGGCACAACCGACCAATTCGCTGAGCAAATGGTTGAAAAAATGACCGTAACCTGTTTGTAGAGATGTATGATCATGAATGCTAACAATGGCTTGACTATGCAACAACTTTCAAATGCTACCACTGAGCAACGCTTCGATAGCGCCTTGAACAGATCCACCAGACCTTCTCAGCGCCGAAACGTTTTGTTCAAAGTCAAAGAAACCCATGTCGTTCAACTGGCGCAGCTGCTCTGCATATCGTTCCTCGGGCGGTCGTGTATCAGCAGGCGCGTTTGACGCTGGCGAGGCACCCAACCCTCCCATACCGCCCAACATGCTCATGAGAGCCGGGTTCTGCATCATTTGTGAGAACATGTCTGCGCCACCGGCACCACCTGCATTCGCAGCTCCTGGACCAGCAGCATTTCCTCCCGCGCCTTGCATCATCTGCATCATTTGGCCGATATCAGGCAAAGTTGTCTGCGGACCTGTGGCATTCGTTGGATTTGTGCCAGTACCAGATGCCGTGCCAGCAGCAGCAGTATCTGCATTCGTAGCAGGTCCTGGAGCAGGGAAGGCTGCTGGCTGCGCGGGACCACCTCCCATCAAGCGCTGCATCTGGTTCATCTGCCGGATGAAATTTGGGTCCATCATTTGACGACGGAACTCGGGCGACTGCAACATCTGCCGAACGTAGGGCGGCGCATCTGTCAATTAGCATCAGTCAATAAAGGACATCAATTGATGTGGACTGCCTTACCACGGAGCTGCGGGTTGGAATTGATCATTTGGTCGATAAACTGTGGATTTGAAAATGCTGCTTCCATTGCTTCACGGACACCTGGCTGCGAGAGCATCTCTGCCATATCTTCCTCACCGCCAAAATTGCCGGTCATACCTCCGTCTGCACCAAACAAGGAAGCATTGGGCAGTCCGATCTGACCCGCATAGCGCGCACCTGTCAGCCCAGTCAACGGATTGCCTACTCCTGTTCCTGCACTCATTGGGATTTGTGGCTGTGCGGCTGCAGGCGACGAAGTGCCTTGTGCATTTGCTCCAGCTGCCGCCGGTGATTTGCCCTGCACAAGGTGAATGGTGTTGCCATCCTTGACTTTGTACTGATCCAACTTGTCATCGTCCTTGGATAATACCCTGCCAGAATATATGAGTCGCTGACGCGATGCTTCGATCTCAGAGACTTTGGAGATTTCTTCCTTGAGTTCCGCTACCGTCTTGTCTGTATCGAATTGGACGGAGTACTTCTTGTCATTGCTCGCCTTGATGTTGATTGTGATGGGCGCCATCAGCACAGAGAGCGGCAGAGGTTTACTGCAGCGACTGGAGTCAGACGAGCGAGCAGTCCGATTGAAGACTTGGGGGCGTGCTGAGTCGTCATCCATGGCCGCCGCTGTCGTCGTCGCGCTCTCTCGCTAACCCTGGATTTACTTATCTACCGCTGCACAGACCTGACATAGCTACACAGGGATACTCCCCCTCTGCCTACACAGTCCATCGTCACCACTGCTTAACTTTGCTTGCATTGTACTTTTCTGCTTGCCTACTGAGATTAGCGCCCTTGCACGGCCACCAGATGCTCGCAAACAATTAGAAGGCTGCTATTTGATCGCTCTCTCTACTGCATCAGGACCTTGACTACCACAGGCCGACTATCTTCTTACAGTCGCAATGCCTACGCTTGAGAATGCTCTGATCCGACGGGCTCGGACAGATAAGCCCTTTCAGCAGATTGTTACGACTTGGTCCGTGGTCCTGATGGGATGCGACCGCTTCATTCGCGTCAACTTCTTCTTCAATCGCCTGACAAACTGCCGCGCCAGTGGCTCAACGGTGACGCACTTGCAGCATTGGCTGCGTCAGACACTTGGTCAGACTGCCGTAGGAATCAAAGTTGGAGACGTCATCTACAAGTCTGATGAGCAGATGATGCGTGAAAACGTCCTCAAGTCCAATGAAGCGTACCATGTGGTCTACGAAGACTACACACCGAGCTACTCGGTCTCCATCGAGTCTCCACCACTCTATACTCGCATGTTGCCACAGCTTCCAGGATACAACGATGAGACCGGCATTAGACACTGTACACCCACCTACTTTGAAGAATGGGTCTATTACACTGCGATTCCCCTTGTATGCAAAACGATTGACTTGAAGCTGTCCTTTGGTCGCAAAGTGACCATCGAGCTCAACAATAAACAGACGGCCTTCAGGGATAATTTTCGCAATGCTCTGATTCTGTCTGCTGGATACAAGGCACAAGGAATCGCCCTCGATGATGGAACCGTGCTCACGTCTGATGCCATCTTATTTGACCCTCGGGTTGAGAACTTTGCTGTATACAGAGTCGTGTATGGCTCTGCTCATATCAAGGCGCTACAAGTAAGACCACCATCTGCAGACACTCATCGGCACTCGGCACGGGCTCGACATTCGCGAGAAAGTGCGAGGGATAGCTTGCGACGCATCAGCACCAGCACCAGCCGCACACTTCACCGTGTTGCGTCGAGTACAAGCCGCAACTCTGCTCAATTGGTTCGCATGCGTGCAGACAAGCGCCAATCAGAAATCACAACCATAAGTGCCTCGTGCTAACCACTTGCTTTCATTCAGCGCTAGCGATAGACCTCTAGAATCCTATAGATTTGCTTTTAGACTGCGACGTTGCTCTCAGACCATGTCTTGAGCGCAGCAAATTTGGAGCGTTCAACCTCGCCCATGCAGCCGACTTTTGCAGCAACATCCACACCGACAAACAACGCTTGCCAAATCTTGAGAACTGCCTTCATATCTGCTGCTCCATCCGTAGCACTGGGGAAGCGCTGACGCATGATGTCCTTGACATCTGCTGGTGATGTTCCACCCAACGAAAGACCCAACCACTGCTTTGCGTATATCGCCAGTCCAGCGTCATGTGAAACTTGGAAAGGCCTCTGAGCAGAGGAAAGCGCTTGTAGGATGGCATCATCTCGCTGAACATGACCGCCGAGAAGCAAGGAAATTTGGACCATGTCGTATAACTGAGCAAGGACATTTTGCATCGCTCGAGCTATACCGAAGGCGACAAGCATGTTCCGGTCCAATGCGCCTTGCCAAGGAACCTCGCTTTGAGACAGAGGGAGCAAGGCAGCCAGCCGAGCCATGTTACGAGCGTTGGGATTCAATTCGCCAGTTGGGTCATCTGCGCTGAGATTCGACGCTGGTGCGGGATACTGCTTCGAGAACGCCTCAAATTTGATTGCTCTCACTTTGAGCAACTCGAAGCTTGTGCAAATGGGAATTGCGAGCTGTGGCTCGGCAGCCCTGAGAGCGCCAAGAAGGGCTCTTCCCCAACCAGACAGCGTGTGGTCTGGAAGAATGTACGAACGCAGCTCGAGAAGTCGGTACATCACAGTAGCCTGAACTTCCGAAAGGGAAGACACCTTCTTTGCAGGCTGAAGGCTGTCCTTCACAGCACCCGGATCTTCAAGAGCCGCGAGGAGGCTCTGTATCGAATTTGGATCTGCGACCTTGTGCTTCTTCATGAAGCTGGCGTCAATGCTCCACTTCTGCAAGCCTGCTCTGAGAGGTGTCTCGAGTCGCTCGATTTCGAGAGGAAATTGGGTACGGTCATGATAGAGAACTGGGTAAACAGACTTCTTCTTGAAGTACATGTGAAGTGCTTTGTCCGCAGTCAAAAGATCGATGCATTGCATGCGATGATCAGACAAAGCATCAAGAAGTGCTCGGTACTCCCTCGTCTCACCGGCATCTAGTGGAGTCGTCTCTTGCCACTTGCCGGATAGTAAGATATTGAGAACGTCAGATGCGATGATACCTCGTGACAGGTAGTAATACACTTCCCTGGGCAGACGCGGCCCCACGACTTCCGCAGTACCGATTGGTGCGTCCTTTGCATTCAAAAGGATCACATCGCCTTGCCGATTCAAGACAGGGTGATTCTTGAAGAGGACGCGAGCACGAAGCCAGCGCTCTACATATGTCGGATCGCTCTCCAGCAGTGGATTTCCTTCAATCGCCTGGTAACCGGTACGGTTCTGACGAACAACATCTGCAGCTGCTCGAATGCGCAAAGAATTCATCTCTGGAGGGTTGTGTCGAAGCAAGATTGGAACAAGAGAGCAGTAATCATTACCCGCGAACAGGAAGGCATCGAGAAACTGATCATCTGTCAAGCCACCCAGACCCTGCTGCAGCACGACAGACCGCTCACAGTATGACATGCGACCTTGCTGAAATGCGATGTCCAAAATGAGACGGTCGATGCCAAATACCAGTGCATCTGCCGATGCATACACACAATCAAGATCCGGCATCCCACCATTTCCTCCTAGCTCTCCCTTAGCCATAGCGCATAGCTGTGCGTTTGCAAAGTAAGGAGCCACAATGAATGAAATTGCCTCCTGTTTGAAGAACGCCATCAGGCCAGGACTTAACTCTGCAGGTCGGACCAGAGCGGCAAATGCGGCCAATGTCTCTTCATTGCGTCGCCTTTCCAGCAATTCAAGAGCTTGGGAACGCGCGTATGCTCGCGCTTCATGCGGCGCATCGTAGTCTTGAGGCACCACCAGCCCTGAGAAGACAAAAACCGGTGTGACCTCTGCTCGTTGAAGTACTACCAAATCCTCGCGAACTAGCTTGTACAGCAGCGGGCTGATCCCTCCCCATGGCGTAGACAGAGGCGTCTTGCAGAGTTGTATCGTCCGCCTGAGATAGTGGTCCACTTCAATGCCAAGTACGCATCCCTTGATGGCATTGAGTGTCGTGGTGGAGGCCTTTTCACGCACCAAGAAATCTAAGCTGACGGCGGGCATCGATGTAATGGAGACAAGGAAGTCAATCAGCCTTGGTGTAGAGAGATGTTATGCTCAGGAGTGAGCTTCGTCCATGTCGTGCCAGATCAAGGCGCGTGCGGGTGTTTCTTCAGATGGCATATGTGTACTCCAGAAGTTCACACTTCAGAAGGCAGTTCAAGAGAGAGGCTCTGCATCACAGCATGAATACGAGAAGCTGAGCATCTGCGCTGCTTGAAGGCTAAGAAACAAATGACACACCTGAGATTCTGCTTTCAGCTTACAGGCAGCTCTCTGAGCATCCTATCAAAACTTGGGCCCAGCTTCCCCTTGTTTGCGGTCAACAGTGAAGCAAACGCAGCATCCATCTGCTTCATTGTGACAGCTCGAATGATCAGGCCTGCCATGGAACAAATGTCAGCCTCCAGCTTGACGAGAATCTCATCTCGGGCACTGTCCTCATCCACCGGCAATTCTTCCTCACCCTCAGCCTCGTCATCACTGAATTCGTCGTCAAGATCAAGCGACAAGGCGTGAGCGAGAGCTTCAACGTCGGCCGCTTCCTTGGTGCCAGCCATGCTACCGAAGCGCTTTGTCGCCTTGATGAATGATTGTGCGACAGCCTTTGCCGCTTCCCCGCAGTCCGCAGATTCGACATTTGATTCTTCGCAGATCGCAAAGATGGTCTCCAGCTCCACAAGGCTCGGTGCAACGTCTAATTGTCCTGCTCCAATTTGCTCTTTGTACAAGTTGATCAGCCTGTCGCGCAACTCGCGAACTTCCTCTCGCAAGTTGGATTCATTGCGTGCGGCCTTTACTTTCCACATGAAGTAATTGCGCAAGCAGATTCGGGCAGCATTCGCAATCGGAGCATTGAAAGTTGAGCTAGCGCGTCTGATGACGTCGAATACTGCCTCTGGTCGCTCAAACACGGTCACACAATTGTGCAACCCCGAGAGAATGCTCATGCGCAGTAGCAGAGATTCGAGAGACACACCGGGATCACGGGCTAGCAGTGCCTCTCGTACTTCGTGCATAAGATCCATGATGAGGTCCTCCACGAATCGTGCCAAGCTCTCCTGTGAGGAGAAGTGCAATAGAACCTGCCCGACGGAATACAGCAAGAAGGGCTCGCCATGTGTCATGAAGAATCGAGCAAGCGATGCAAGCTGCGTCTCAAACGCCGCTTGGGCGCGTGCGTCAGCAAAGGCAGTGCCATCTACCAAAAGACAGAGTCGCGCGATGGAATTGACTTTGCTTGCGTCGGTATGCCTTTGCAGCAAGTCTCCGACACTTGAAACAATGGCACCACGAAGAATGTCCAGATCTTCTTCATCATCCATTTTGCCGTGTGCCAAGGAAGATTCAGCTACTGCGAGAAGGATTTCCAGGAGAACGCCTTCTTCTGCACTTGTCGACTGTAAGAGGGAGTTTTGCTTCTCGTCGATAGACTCTTCCTTCAGGATGTAATCCGAGAGTATTTGAAACTCGAATCCAGCCAGGCCTTTGATGGCTGTTGTGGCAGCTAGATTTACGGCAGTGTGTAAAGGCAACAGCGGTGACTGTATACTTGCTGAAGAGGCATGGTTCTTCTTACCCGGTCCACAAATTTGCAACAAGGTGGACGCCATGACTTTGAATGGGACGACCACCGCGGCGTCACTCCCGGCATCGCCACCCAGCGCGTCATCTACAAGGGCATCTGAGCGCTCTTGGAGAATGCCTTGCAGAAGAGGCCTCGTGGCATCACGAATGCGCGGCTCGCTGTCAAGGATGCATGACACTAAAGACTCCAAGTCGTCATCCTCAAGCAATCCACGTTGCCTCATTTTATCCGCTGTTTGCAAGGTAGCACATCGCACGGCTATATCGGCATCAGAGAGAGCCATGGCCAGGATCCGATCCTTGAATTTAGAAGTGAAGTGGCGAAGGTTGGCCGTGAATTCCTCGATGCCGTACAGTTTGGAGAGAGTCCTCACCACTTCCAAGCGCGTGGCTGCATTGACATCAGACAATATCCAACCGAGATAGCGTAGATAGGCACCCTGGAAGAACACAGAAGGCAGACGCTGCATCCAGAGTCCGAGTTCCTTGATACATTCGCTCCTTATTTTGCCATCGGTATCTCGGTAACGATGCACAAAGACACTGTCGAAGTAGTTGTTGATCATGGTCTTAATCTCAAGAAAAACACTATCCTTAGATTGCAGCGCCTTTTTGTTCGCCGCTAGCTTTGCATTGCCCTTTTGTCCAGATGTCTTTTGTAAAGTTGTCTGTTGCTTTTGGAGAGTCGCAATCTCGCGTAGCAGAATGGCGTGGCAATCGACCAAAGCTGTGATGGTTGCCAAACAAATTGCCGTCGAGGTGTGCCTGAAAGCTCGCAAGGTCGAGGATGACATCGAGACGGTCCAAGTCTCAAAAACTTGCATAAGTTCTGACTCTTGATCAAACAAGAGCTTGCGGTCGCGGCATTGCGAAATGAGGTTCTGGACAAAGTCACACAGCTGTTTGCGGAAGACTTTGAACTGTTTCTCGCGGGATACGAGAGGGTACGAATCCGCAGTCAGTCGCACCTTGCTCCGATCGGTGCCGGTGAGGTGCTCCTGCAATTGCATCAAAGTTTCTGGCACAGTTTCCACATCTTCAATATCAAATGCCGTGACAGTCTGTTTGGTACCACATGCATTCAAGATCATCTGCACGAGCTGCGTCATGCTCTCTGCAGGCTCGTCCCTGTAGCTGTCCAGAAAGTCGGAGACCAGGGTCTGCAAGGATGTCTCAGGGTCGATGATGGCTTGATAGAGGTCACAAACTCCGCTCTCCGGGTCAACATCTTCATCGGCTTCACCCGAATGGGCTGTGCCCTGCTGTGATGTCTTGCGCTTTTTGACAGGACGCTTTGTTGTGCTCCTCGACCGCTTGTTAAGCGACGCGCCGACCTCTGAACGAACATCCTCCTCGTCTGCGCTGTCTTGCGAACTCAACTCGTTAAGATTCTGTGCTTCTGCAACAGCGACGCGTGCCGACCGCCTGGCCATGTGTGCTTTGGTGAAGGAGAGCCCCGGGTGAGGCGCGTCTTTACCGTCGCCGTCGAGGAAGTTTCGCGTCGTCGCTGCACGTGCACAGAGGAAACGCAGAACATTTGACTGCTGCTGCTATTATGCTATAGTTACTGTACTCAATACATAGAGCCATGTCGAAGGTCCAGGCTACAAAGGACGTGCTTGTCAAGCTCATTGTTCCTGCAGGCGGCGCGAGTCCATCTCCTCCCATCGGCCCAGCTCTTGGTGCTCGGGTACGCATTGACCCATGAGCTCCATGAGATGCTGACATTCAATCTAGGGTGTCAAGTCAATCGACTTCTGCAAGGAGTTCAATGCCAGGACTTCCATGTACACGCCTGGTGTGCCGCTGCCAGTCAACATCACAATCAGACCAAACAGAACATTTGCCTTTGACATCAAAACACCCTCGACCGCCTACCTTCTTATGAAAGCTGCGGGCATTGACAAGGGCAGCACTGCGCCTGGGACCTCGCTTGTTGGCAAGATATCTATGAAGCACGTCTGGGAAGTGGCCAAGATTAAGCAGAAGGACACAAAACTCCAAGGGCTGGAGCTTGAAGCAATTTGCAAAAGCATCGTCGGCAGTGCCAAGTCTCTTGGCCTCGAAGTAGCTCCCTAATCACTCGCAAGGCTGCCTCTGTCAGGTCAATCATGAACACGCCCCAATCCTATGCTACACTGATATATGGCGTTATTTACTGCTCGCGCTTGATACGCGCCGAGGGCCATTCCAGGCCGTTGTCCAAGCCTCCTTGTGGGCTGCTCAATGAGCGCCGCTTATATTGCGCTTTGGATTGTCCGTGGTCATCCGCCTTCAGCGATAGATCAGCACCTAAATCAAATCCAGGCAAGGACTGCTTGATTTTGTCCTCGAGAATGGCTGTCCACGGGTTTCTACCGGGTCTCAGTAGGCGCATCAACTTGAGCACCTCGGCAAGATACCTGGGCGCCTCTGGCGTTTGAGCATGGACTGTCAACTGTAAATCACATACAATAACATCGACAAGCGTAGATGCAATCTCGAATAGCTTCTCCACAAGTCCTAACCCGTGAACTCTCAGAACATCGTGCGTCGTACTGGATGTGATTTGCAGTAAATCCCGGCAGACCAGAACAGGAAATGTAAATTGCAAGCTGGTCTCGCTTGCGGTTGATGATAGGAGCATTCTTGATGTACTCAGCTGCCAGATGATGACACGCAGCCATTGCTGCGAGATGAGAATGTCGACTCTTTGTACTTCTGGGATGTCCAACGTATATGGTAGCGCATCTTGGAGCTTGCTGTGCAAGTTGACCATATAATCTGCTGAGACTTGGCGTCGAGTATCGTTCCACAGTGTCAGAAAGTCGATATCGATTTTGCTCCACAACTCGACCATGTGGCGGAACCCGGTGAGGTCGTCATCCTGTTGCGTATCATGATTTGCCAATGATGGAAGATCTATGGTTGGCTGCATCGACAAGCTGTGGTGACGTTGTATTGCGTATGCTCGCTCCGTGACGTACAAGACCCAGAAAGTTCGTCTTCTGTAACCCGCAGTCGTGCAAGACGCAATATTCTTGTATGATTCCTCGTTGTCCAAGCCGATGAGTTGTGCAAAGGTGATTGCTTCACGCAGGTAGAACCAGGCCGTATTATGTATATTTCGTCCAAAAAATGTTGCAAACAAGAAGAAGGAGATGTGGACACTGTCCAGCGTCGGCGTTTCGACGTAGTCAATGGCCTGTCGTGTGCGCAAAGTGACTCTAATCAGTTCGTCGGCAGATCGGTCTAAGACTTGTGTGTACACCATGGAACACATTGAGAGGATCAGACAATAGCGTTCTAGGGTGACTTGCTCCAAATCGACAATTCTTGATAGCTCAGACTTGTCAATGATAGGTAGCACATAATACAGCTTAGAGAAGAAGATTGCCAACGTATCTCTGAGGGCATCCTGCGACAGAGGACTTCTGCGAGGTCTTGTGTGTCAGCAAGAGCCATCATATCCGGATTTCTTACTGCTTCAGCTCGTGCAGCACGGATGCTTTACTTCCTTTAGGCCCTTTCTTGAGCGGCACGGTCTCGTACTGGGAGATCTTGTCAGTACCAGCATTTTTTAACACAAGACGATGCTTCGCGCTTACAGTACAAGGGAGGCTTGCATTCGTGCAGTTCTGACAACCAAGTTTGTTGAGGCCGTCTGTTGCGATGCATTTGATTTTGCGCCGACGACATTGATCACAAGCTCTGCCAGAAGACATTGAACGGGAGGCTTTGCTGACGGCGCAAGGGTTCTTTTGGTATGCTGCACACGCTGAAGGGTCGCAGATGATTGTGCTAGCGTTAAGTCATGAACGTATCGCAGTCGCGTTCTGTGTGCGACACTTCGCACCAATCAGCCTGAGGAGCTCCGATATGTGAGGGCAGGTTCCGTGATGCTCCAAGTTGCGACGGCCAGGTAAAAGCGACCTTTTTGGTAGCGGTCGCAGAAGGGGCGTCGATCATGCGTCGTCGCGCTTCGTCATGCACACAAACCTTGTACATCGACACACGATCAGGGAGGCCAACGCTGAGATCCGAAGTGTGATCTATTTACATATATATCACCTGTCGTAATACGCCCCGCGCATGCTGTGTACGTTGTAGCGCTGTCTCTGCGCCGCAGAATGCGAAATGTGCTCAAAGAATAACAGACCTGTATGAGCGGATCAGACGTTGCACCTCTTTACTCATAGAGGGATCTGCTGCATGCACAGCGATTGACATGAGATTGTTAAATCCTTCAAGCTGCTCGCTGTTCGCAGATCCTACGTCTTTGAATCCCATGGACCAATTTCCAAAATCTCTCTTGGAGAGCTTGCGCTGCAGAAGTGGAAGGACACCCTTATGCCTGGGGTCCGCTTCGATCTTGTCGTATAAAGCCGTGACGGCCGCTTCATCGCCCTCGAGAAACTGTATGATATTGCCCTCGTGATATAATAGCAACCCTGTGATACCGTTCGAGCTATTGTTACGCCTAGAGACCTCGAGGATTCGCCTCAATTCATCCTGGTCATATAAGGTAGTCGCACTGGAGAGGTATACGAGTTGATGTACTTGTTCTGGGGCCGTTGAACTCATGTCGACGAGCGAGACTTGCGCGAAGTCGCCTACACTACTGTGCCGAATACGTCGGTGACAGGGCGAGACTTTGATGCGCTGGTGGGTTGATCAAAGCGCGCGCAGTGCCCACGAAGAAGAGAAGGAAGAGTAGAGGCGTTGCTCCAAAATGCGATGTATGAGGTCGAGAAGAAAGGTTGCCAGCTCAGAGAAGTGGTCATCGGTCTTTGCATCTGTGGCTGCAACCCGAACAAACTTTATCCGGATGGGGCAGCACTCCCAAATGTCACAACACTCACCGCTTGACAGGACTGTGGAGGAAATATCAAGGAGGCGACAAATTGCGATCGGACCAGAGCGTGGAAAGAGATGGACGACGGCTTAATCACGTACAGTATGTATGTATGGAGTCAATCAGAAGAGCCACTCAAAATTTCCAGGCATCATATTTCATATCATGCCGCTCAAGAATTCGAGGACCGTGAGTCAAGCTGCAGTCATAGTCATAGACACTGAGCTAATTGAGCATGCGATAAAATCGTGGCTGAAGGTACACCAGACCGTACCATTCGGCAAAAATTGCTTGCTGTTCCATGATGTCAAAACAATATTGCACCTCGTGAGGAAATAGTTGCGGATAGCACAGCTCCTTTAGAATATCCTGCCGTTAGAGAAGCTCGGAGAAGGAGATTGCTTACCAGCGTAACGAAACCCTGCTGCAAAAAGTGATGTATCAGCAGTGACAGGGCTTGCTTGTACCTCATTTGATCAACATGTCCTCGCACATCGATCCAAAGCATAGCTTCTTTTGTCGGCTTCAGGCTCGATCGAGTCACGGAGCTGGGTGGAGTATCCACACGGAGGACTATTTCGAGCATGACAGCTTGAGATTCTACTCCCCGCAACTTATACCCGTTGTTAAGTAAACGGGATTGGAAATCTTTTTCTGAGAGCGACTGAGGAGTCAAATCCATTGTAGTGTCTTCTGCCATCTCAACCACGGCTGCCGTCATGCCATCGCTGGCGGTGCTTGGGTAGGACATCGTCCAAGTAGCGACCATGTCCTGCGTGGCTACTTCATTTTCAAATTTGGCAGCTGCTGCAAGTGTATCAGGAGAAATGCAAAGTTTCTCGAAGTTTGTAAGGTATCGCTCGGACAACTTGTACGATTGTCCTGGTACTACCTCGACGGAGCTGCCCTTGTACGTGACCAAGACTGTCAATGCCTCCAGGCGGTTGACTGCGCGTTGGATTGTGTGCTCATTGGCCTGATCCAGTAAAAGTTTGGCACGCTCCTCGCGCTCGATGTCTTGATCTTTGCTCATCATTAGTTGTCGAATTCGAGCTTGACAAGGACCAAGTTCTTCATCAACCTTCGACTTGGGCAGGTAAGCGGGATTGTCAAATGCGAGCTGAAGCAGCGTCTCCTGTTTCACTATTCGAGAAGGGGCCCCGTAGGCCTGTCGCAACTCGCTGGCGACGTCCGCAGCATCTACAGGTTGGAATGACTCCAAGAGATGGGTAAGACTTGTTTTGTAGAATTCGTGTACTGCAGTTGTCTTTCTCCTTTGCTGACGACGTGAAAAATCGACATAGGGCAGCAGAGAAAAGCTTGAATGGAACTCGGCAGGAACTGGTTCCAAGATGCCGCCTAGGACTGCTTTGTTGTAGTCATCGAGGAAACTGCTGCTTTCAAGCATACCTATCAATTGCTGGAAGTGTGGCTTGTTCTTGATCGCCATGAATCGGCGTCGGAGGAGACTCACTGAGTTTCCTGGAGCTGCAAAGAGGGTGGCCACCATAGACCAGTCCACTTTGCTGTGCTGCTCGCTCTTCGGAAAAAAAATCATGCTCAGAGTTGTAGCACGTACGCACAAATCGTCTTCTGTGCTTGAGTAATCATACTTGATGCGTCGTGGACGCATGTACTCGTCAGCATCCGACAACTCTGCGGCATCCTCCCCAGACTCGCGAGCCAATTCTGATGTTTTGACAGTTCGGCGGCTTGATCTTTTCTCCGGCTGCGCGAAAGATGCGTTCAGCTCATCCTCATCCGTCGACTGGGCACGTCTGGTGAGTCGCGAACGAACCTGACGCTTCCTGCCAGGAAACCTTTCGAGGCGACAAGAGCGAATGTCAAACATGGTTCCTTCCCGGATACCCTTAGGCGACAACCGTCTTGTTGCTATTGAGCCATGTTCGTCATCATTAGGTGCTGGTTCATTGATATCCATTTCCACACGCTCCCTGATGGGCAAAGCACGAGTAGAAAGTGAACTGAATTTCCTATTGTCCTGGAAAACGCTCTTTTTGTACGCCAAGTAAGCTGCACTTCTTGTATCGACTTCCGGCAAGCTGATGATAGTCCTTGTTGTCAATCTATTGGCGTATTTTGCTGCCCCTTTCGACTCACCGCTTTTGGAAGGGAGGGACGGAGTATACGTACGCCCATGAATCGTTTCGCGCTTAATACAGCTTTGCTCCAGTAACGTATCCAGGGCTCGGTTCAGCGTTTTCTTATCGATAGAGTAAGGGACGTGATACAACTCGCGATTTCGATCATCAAATGCTTCCAAAAGCACAGCACCGTGACAGAGAAAACCTCCGTGAGATCTTAGCACATCGAGGATGATTTCGCGCCTGCGAACCATTGGAGCGGGAGCTGATTTTGCCACGTCCAAGGGAAGTTTTGGATCTCGACCATCCGTTCGATAATTCTCAGGAGCTCCATGATCGTCACGGGGTCCAACTAGAGCGCCGCTAGGTTTCATTGGGTGCCCGCCACTGCCCGAAACCTTATCAATGGTCATGTTCATAGTTGCAACGAGTCGTTCTTGCTGCTCGCTGTACGGTTGAGAAGCCAAAGTACCCTCACGACTCGAGCGAAAGGTTACAATCTCCGGTTGATTCACTTGAAAGGCCGAAGCTTGCTTCAAATTGAGCATAGTTGGCTCAGCAGTGTATCGAAAGTGGCTAAGTTTGCCTCGCATATCTGCAACCGATTGCACTTTGAATACCTGTGGCGAAGTGGATGGCGTCATATTCACGTCGGGACCCGTCAGCGAGCGCAGTACTTCTTGCAGCGGACGCGCCCAGGCAGAGCCAAGTGTAGACTCGCCAAGTGAACGCGCATCACAGCCTGATTGACCCGACCGAGTCAGCGCCTTGATAACATGCGAATCGACCGTCTCTGCTCTCCCAATCCATAGTTCATCTGAGGGAACTAGGGCCGCAGCTTTTGAGAAACGAGATGGGTCGAGCTCTTTGGCGGTCTCTGGCACATCAACAGTGGAGCCGATATCGTCGATATCGGATTGATCAGAATCTTCCAAGTCCTCCTCTGCTGCATCAAGCGTTTCTTCCTCCTCGACCAGTGGAACAGGCTTCAATAATTTCACGCACCTCATGAATCCGTTGTTCTCGGTAGGGTAGAGGACCAACTCAATGTAGCCCTCGCGGGCAAGCGTCCGAAGCTGCGCTTGATAGCGTCTCCTAGCTCGTTTGTCTGAATCTCCAAGAAGGCCCAATGTTCGCGCAAGATCGAGTGACGTCCTCACCTGATTTTTGCTGGAAGCAAGGATGTCAGAAATTGTTCGCCTCAGAGATACATAATCGAACTGGCCTCCATGTGCGCCCGACGTAGTGTCTCCAGAAAGCCTGAGGTAGTCCTCGACGAAGTGGCGATGCACGAGCCACACTGTCTTGGCACCCTGGAAAACGACTGGAAAAGAGCAACTGCGAGTCAGAACAAAGATTGATGCATGGGAGGGCAGTCTTACATGTGGCCCAGAGCAACGAGGTCCTTCACCCTCTTGGGTACGCTACGCAGATCCTGGCCGGTCAGCCTGCTGAGCTCCGATCGCGGCACGCCGGTCGCCCTAGACCGCGATATATGCGACAACAAAACAAACTGCGATTTTGCGACCTGTAATTTAGCTGTGAAGTCTTGACATGACAGCGCATACGCTTGAATCCCGCGGACGGCCTGTCAGCGTCAACCACTGAACGGATTCGGACGCCGTTACATACACCATTGCTCCATCCGCGTCCAATGCGTCCAGCACGTCAGTGTCATTTTCGAGACGCCGAATGCCGTCTTGCTGTGCTAACCAAACGTTGATGCCCTGTCGCCGCGCCAATCGAACCCACAGGAAACGCTTTAGAGCGCCGTCGACACACATTCCTTGACCTTGTTGGCGAAAGAAATCTGAGACAAAGGTCCAAAGGCGTGGTAGACTCGCACCGGTAATTCCATCCAGAGCGACTTGTTGCACCACATAGTCAAGGCAATCGTCCATGAAAATCGAGAGACAGAAATGATCTCAATCTTATGTGAAGCGCGCCTGTCTTGCGCAGGTAGACTGGGTCAGCTTGAGCGCCCCTACAAAGCACTGCGAAGGGAGCTCGAGGCTGACGTATGCGGAAGCCCAGTCCCCTTTGGTACTGACTTGAGACGTAGCTGCCAGTCGATGCTTGTTTCCTGTCCTCAACCAAAACAAAAATTTATGCCGCATCATGATGACCCCGCGCGACTATTACCACTCTTATTAGACACTCTACTACTTGACTTGTAGCCTTTCGGACTACAACGAGCGACGCGCCAACGTAGGCATATCCAGAATTTGCTATCTGCTACAATACATACGCGCGCCAAGGCTCAGGTGCCGTTGCTTCGAAGCCCTTGATCTCTGGTCCCGGCTTGGCTGCATCAGCTCATCCCTTGCTCTCTAATACAATATTTGCTGCATGAACTGCAACCTGGCCGCGTAAGAACGTTGTGCGAACCATCCTGTCGTACACAGTTGGCGAAGGCCTCCTCGCAGCTTGGCCCTTCAAGGCATGACTAAGGCGGCGTTAAGCTACAATGACCTTACGATCAGTTTCAAGAAATGCTCTGGAACTATTCCTCCGCCTCTGGTCGGCGCCAGTGTCTCGGCACTAGGAAGCAAGATCTTCGTGGTTGCTGGCCGCCTCGTGTCCAATCGCCAGATGACAAATGATATTTATGTTCTCGATAAACCGAGTGGGCGATGGGAGCGACTTCCTTCCGGTCCTCAACCGCCTCCAGCGCGGTACTTTCATTCGGCCTGTGCAAAAGGTTCACGCATCTATATCTTCGGCGGTATGGGCGCAAAATCTGGCGCAGAAGGGGCTCTCTGCGTCTTCAACGACCTTTCCTGGTACGATGTTCGCGCTCAGCTGTGGAAGACTGTAGAGGCTTCGCCGGTTCAACCTCCAGCTCGATACGCACATCTTGCTGTCATTACTGATGAGCAGCTCATTGTCATCGGTGGTCAAAACTTGGACAACCACTACCTTCGCGATCTTGCTCGGTTTGACCTCCGTCGACAAGAATGGCTGCCCCCCACTCAAATTGATCCCGAGTTCGGCTCATATCGATCGCTAGCTGTGGCATTGGATACTGTAGATCAGGACAGGCCAAAGATGAGACCTTCATGTGATACGTCTGAGTTGCAAGATTCCGAGCGCGCAGGCCAGGTACTCTTGTTCTCCAATTACAACTTTGCAGATGTACATCGAGACCTCTACAACATCACATCAGGCAACAGTGGAGTCCCTGAGATTACAGACCTTTCTAATCGCCTGTGTGGACAGACTTTGCCACCAGGCCTGCGCTTTCCTTCCGGTTACCGTTGTGGACAGCGTTATCTCGTCGTATCAGGTGTCTACATGCTAGCGCACGATCAAAGCCTTGAATTATGGTTACTGGATCTCGACGACTTGAGCTGGATACCGATCGATACAGGGACTGTCGGTTCCAAAGGTTCTTGGAACAAGGGTTGCTTCTGCGATTACGACAACACCTTCATGATGCTGGGTAACATGGATCGATCATTGGCCGAGGACTACAACCACCGTCAATCCAATTTTGAGCACATGGTCTCATTTGATTTGGAAGCGCATGGTATCTACTCACCTCAACGCAATGACCTGCCGACTGCTGCCATTGAGCTTGGCCTTTCGCAACTAGCCGATGGACTGAATGCCGATCTGGATATTGTGACTCAAGAACGCACGATCATCTCTGTTTCCTGCAGAGTATTGTCAGCCCGTTGGGGCCTCTTTCAAACACTGATTCAACAAGCAGACGAGTCCAGTGATCCTGACTCACCACACAGGCGCACTCGACCCGGCTCGTTGCCCATGAGCACGTACACGAAACGGCACCCATACGGCGATCGGTCGCGATGTTTGTACATGCCATACAATCACGCGACTGTCTCGGCATTCATACGCTTCATCTACAGTGAAACGTTACCGAGCTCTGTGGACACATCGGCGCACAGTACTTGTTCTTTGCTTCTCATGGCCGTCTCTGTTGCCGATCACAATTCGCCAACAGTCGAAAATTTGATTGCGCTGTGCAAGGCGCGATTGCATGGCATGCTCGATGTCCACAATGCGTCGATGATTTACGAGACGTGTACTCTGACACGGCACACTGGACTGCAAATTCGTGCACTGCGACTCATGCTTGCATCAAGGAACGATATCGGGCAACACAATGAAAGTGCGTCCTTAGCATAATTCCGAGGCATTGCAAATTATAGCCGCTATTCAGTGGTTGATATCTCCCATCGCTTTGTTATTTTTAGCAATATATGCTTGAATTCGCTCCATCTGTGCCTTCTTTTCAAGGACCAGCCTACCATGCGTGTGTGATAGAACAATGTTGGATCCGTCTTCTGGGCAGTAGAGAAAGCATCCAAACTCTTGCCAAGCTGCGAAGGCCTCTTCTTTGCCTTTTGCCTGCTGTATACCCGTGAGATAGCATGTGCCGAACGAGTCCTCGAGAAATTGACCCCTCTTACAAATACGAGTGGCAAACACCTTTTGATACGTATCCACGTTGCATAGATGAGGTCTATCAAAGAAGTGCATACATGGCACCAGACCCAGACTCGCTATTCGTTCCATGCTGGGGTCTTTCGAGAATTGATCGAAAACGCCCTGAAAGTTTGCATGAGAGGTGACTGTTGTACTGAGATAACGCTGAGTGCCCCGCGTGATGAAAGTGATGTATTGCACAGCTGATTCTTGTAGCATAATATCAATGAGATCGCCCATACTGTCCAAGCAGCATCTGAAAATCCAATCGTGCTGCAGAACGAGAACTAGAGGTGTGGCAACAAACTTCAGTGCAAGGTGCACGGCCCAGCCGAAGCCCATGCGACGGTCAGGCTGCAAGAAGACCACCCTTGACTTGAACTGCTCGTCTTGAGGTCTCGAGACTGATGCCTTGTGCTCGAACCAGCCTGTACCTACTGGACCAAATAGATTCTTTACCCTCGAAATGTATTCTGGGTATACATTGGCAATTTCTGGAGCAACCCAGCCTTTTTTGAGACGAGATTGCTCAGCCAGACGACTTGGCGTGTCAAAGACAATGACGAGATTCGCTTGCTTCAACACTGCGGGGAGAGAATGTAGGCTCTCCTCGAGGAGTTCAGTCGATGGGCAGGACGGTATCGGCGATGTTGTCAGAATGACCGTACAGGAAGAGGTCATCAGTCAAGATGATCAATCTATAGCTGATGGAATATATGAAGAGGTTCCCGAGGCATGACGAGCTGGTAGCAATGATTGGGCGTGTGCGTTTGGGGTCGATGTTGTCAGAAGCAGCCTTCCTAGCCCATCTGTTTGAATCGCAAAAGAAGCTGACTGCCGAAAGAAAGTTTTCAGATGCGCTCATCACCCATTAAAACCACGTAGCTACAACACCACTACAAACACTTAGTGCTCGTCTATCATTGCTCGTATGACTTCAAAACGCTTCCATATCGAGGCAAAAGGACATGTCGGTGACGCTGTTGAATGTATGCGAACGAAACATTCGCACCTTCGTGCGACCAAAAGCCCACTGATCTAAACCAAAATCTTGGTATTACGGAGCATACAGGCTACATGATAAAACGCTTGATCCTCTAGAAAGCGGAGCAAGTGGTAGGTTTTTGACACAACAAGAAAATATGCGGAAAAGCAGGTCCCCAGACCGTTCTAGGAAGTTTAGAGAATCGCAAGTTCCCACCATGGACGATCGCCAAACGTCCACGAGCAATTGCGCAAGGTAAGGCAGCATGTTTAACGAAAGAATGCGCCAATATGCAAGCCATTGAGATCACCTAGCTTGGCCTTGGAAGGTATCGACTTTGCCAAGATGCTCATAAAATTTGACCTACAGAGGTCTCCGCAACCTCATCTCCAGTGTCGAGACGTGTGTCGTGCTGAAGAAGCGCAAGCCAGCCTGTGTGACTGTCAAGGCAGGCTGCCAAGCCAATTGAACCGTTGTCCGGGCTAAGCTCAAGACCGACGCACAACTTATGCTTTTGGGAGTTATTGGCATTGATTTCAAATTCAAGTGCCAGGTTGACGTCCCAAAGAGGGCTTAGGCTTACGAGCGTGTTGCTGGAGAATTCAAGATACTCGCTGATAAGATGGATGCAAGCACTCTCACAAAACATACAGAGCGCTTCCCGAGTCGAATGATAGCTTTTAACTTGGGAGGACGTTTGGTTTGTCTGATACAGTGACATGTTCTTGTCATCTTGAAGGGGCTCCAGCGCCAGGCTATATGCGATAACTCACTCTCTCCTACAGGCAGGTTTAAGCATCCAGGTTCAAAAGGAAAGTCGACAGTCCTGAAACCGATTGAAAAGTCTGAGGGGTTTGGAAAATAAAGAGCCCAACATACGTGCCAAGATCTATGACGATTGAGCAGCCCAAGGAGCAATTGCAAGAAGCCTGAGATATTGGCCCCCAATCTGAGATCAATGACATTGTAGAGCACTGGTTGTACAAAAGACTCCGTGTGACTGGATCCAGCCGCTGGGATGACTACCAAGGCTGGTCCAATCTTTAGAGATTCGCTGGCTCTATCTGTTGATTCGAGGGATCACTGCGGCTAGTCACTTTCAGTTCTCGAATTGCTTTTGTTCGGCTTATTATTCACTTGGCTTGTACAACGATGAAATGCTATTCGTGGCGTCCCTTCTTGACATGTCCGAGCCTCTCTGAGTTATCCTGTGAAACCTGACGTTTGTGTGTGGACTCCGCATCTTCATTCGTCGAAGCATCTCGCTGAAGACCGTCACTCGTTGACTTGCTCGAGGTGCGCGAGATCAGCTTGCGCATGAATTCCTTGCAGTAGGTTTTGATCTTTACCAACTTTTCCTCACTGAAGGCATCGACACTCGGTTTAGGGCGAGCAATCTCCTTGGCAACAAGAATCTTGACAATTTCTCGTGCACGCTTTTTGACTTCATCCTTGCCAAGCGTCGCTTGATACTTCGACACAAAGTTCGGCACGACTCGGGCAAATGATTTCTCTAGGTCTTTATTCAGCTGGTCTTGAGTTCTTGATGGATGCATCGCTGTGCCCTCTGCGAAGGCCCTCGCTGTTGACCCATTGCTGTTCAATTGGGAAATATCTCGCTTGCTTCTGACTTTCGGGTCATCATTCAAATCCCGAGCTCTTTCCGAAGCCTTCTGTGCTTTTTGCGCCTTGCGAAGTTGATGCTTTCGTGCCCTCTCAGCACGCTGGCGTGCTTCAGTCTCTAGGCGCAACTGTTCATCTGCTTCCTTTGCCAGGGCAAGGTCTGCTTGCTCTTGTTGCAGCTTTCTGGCAGCATCAATGATGGCTTGAATCTCATCTTGAGCAGGGACAGACACCGTTGGAGGACGAGATGGCTGAGTCCGCTGAGCATCCTCAGCAGTCGAGGGTCTAGGTGGACCCTGCCGTCTGATGCCTGTATGACGAGCTCTCTGCAAACGCAGCGGAGCTGCAGGGCCTGGGCTGGGTTCTGAGGGGGATGAACTGGAAGGTGATCCGAGCTGCATGTCTTGTGGAGCCAAATTAGCTGCGGAAGAACCCAGTCTCCGTGGGATACGATATGCCATCTTGAGCTCACCCCACAATTGTAGCAAATCAGTCGCCAATTCCCGTACGGGCTCGAGAGTGCTCTCCGATGTCGCGATACCCTTGACATGCTGCTCGATCTTTGAACTCGAAATCTTGTTTCGCGTCACGCGAGGCCAGGTGTGAAGAACACGAAGGATGAGGGTTGCAATCTCTGAATCAGCATGGTGCTTCTCGAGCTTGGAGCCAAGGGTCTGATAACCATGCAATCTGATGATTGAGGAGTGTATACGGTCGTCTTCTGCCGATAAAATGCGCTCAAGCAATTTCTTGAGCAACCAGCGTTCAGTAGGTAAGACCAAAGTCGCCATGATCTTTGGCACGTCAGACTCCACGACATTGCGCGGGGTCAAAGTATTGACATAGTCTTCGTCATCATCCTCTTTCTTGCGGCGAGCTCGTCGTGGAGCATCTTCCGCGTCATCTGTATCAATTCCCAAAGCTTCCGCAACATTTTGTGGCAACTTGTTTGCCGCTTCTGTCTGAGTTTTGCCACCGATGTACCCAAGGCAATTTGGTTCTCCACAGTAACAAGGCGTAGCTTCTCCACCGTAGCGATCGACGTTGTAGTCAAAGGTCAGCTCTTCGCCGATGATGATATCCCTTTTGCAAAAAATGCCCATCCGCATCTTGCTACCGACGACCCATTTGTCCACATAACAGTTTGGCCTGCACGAGTGATTGATAAAACGACCATACCCACCTTTCTTCGTCGCGTCGATATACTCTCCCTTTTGCAGCATCATAAAGTAGAAGTGCTTCTCGTCCTGATCCTTGTAGTCCTTTTGGCGCTGCCTAAATTTGCGTTCTCCAATGACCTCGCCGACGTACTCGTAGACAAATGACCCACGAAGCAAATCTTGCATGGCTCGTAAACCATATCCCTTCGGACCTGCATCAATCACATCTACATCGGCATACTGTCTGCGCTGGAAACGCTGATTTTGACAACCCTCACCACAATTGCACTCATCATCGAGACACTCAATCGACGTGATGCGGTTGATACAGTTGGATTCTGAGCCACAGGCGCCATTGTAATCTCCATCTATTGTCAGCACAATGAATGTCAATGTTTCAAAACAAACCAAACTCTGGTTTGCAGTCGCAACTCATGATTTCTTCCTGGCCAGATTCGCCCATATCCTTTGACTGATAGATGCAATGTGATAATTCCAAAAATTCAGAAGCAGCAGCGTCTCTAGCACTGGGAGCGTCAAGCCAAAGCTGTGGCTCTGCGGTAGTCTCTTCAGGCTTGACGCGGACACGCTTGATGCGTTTCTCTAATCCAAGTGCATCATCCTCTAGCTGCTTATCATGAGTCCCTGTGAAGCCTTGCACAACCTCTGACTTGAGACTCGGCGTAAGATGCCGGCTTGCGGGCAATGATTCGCACTTGGAAGGATCTGTAGCAGCAGGGGAGCCTGAACTCGGGCTGAGTTGAACGGCCATATCGCCCTGTGGTGAGTCTTGGTCCTTGTCATCTTGCTCACTTGGAGCAGGTTTTATCCTTCGCGAAGCCGACATGCATACGGGCTAAACCTGCCAGAGAGGGTTGTGTGAGCAGTAAGCACGGGTGATGAAGCTTCACTTGTTCTGCCCAGATGTTTGCTGAGGAAGCGAGACTCTGTTCAAAACTACGCAAGATATCGAGCCACTAGATGGCCTCTTGTCCCTGTGAGATTGATCGGCTTGGTCAGCCCTGGATGGTTGAAGTGGTTGTGTAGATTGACAACTGATGAGGGAGCAGCAGGAAAATCACAAAACACGCGCAACGACCATCAGCGCGTGTACGACGCGCCTCTGGGTGGACGCTACGCTTTGACGTCGGACCAGTCTTCCAAGGAGCTATCGAATGCTCTGCACATCTCTTTAATTCAGCTGCAGGCGGCATCTAGTCTTTGAATCTTCGCAACGAGAAGGTTTCGAAGCATCCCCGCACATGCGCCATGAACGACGAGCTGACTTGGGTTGATGTGCAGCATCGAACGTATGGAATCTAGCGATTTTACCTAGCTGACGACCAGATTCACTACATGGCTCAACACACAGCTATCAAAGTCTGATGAACACGTCGCAATCACAAACCTCGCAACAGGACTGAGCGACGGTGTTCACCTCATCAAACTACTGGTATGTGCTGCCTCTCTTTCATTTGGAGCTCATCAATAGGAGAGTATCAGCGAGGAGAAGATCGGTCGATACAATCGCAAACCAAAGCTTCGTGTACAGAAGGCAGAGAATGTCAACATCGCTCTGGATTTTATCCGCTCGAAGAACATCTCACTCACCAACATCGGAGCTGAAGGTATGCAGTGCCCCGGATGTCCATAAACTAATAGGCACAGACATCATTGATGGCAATCTGAAACTCATCTGCGGCCTGCTATGGATGCTCATTTTGCGTTTTACAATCTCAGACATCAATGTGGATGGGCTTACGGCCAAGGAGGGACTCTTGCTGTGGTGCCAGCGCAAAACGCAAGGCTATGTTGGTGTAGAGGTCAGAAATTTCACAACGTCCTGGACTGATGGCCTTGCATTCTGCTCTTTACTGCACAGATACCGCCCCGACTTGCTTGAGTTTAGCAAGCTCGATGCTTCAGATGCAGTTGCCAACATGTCTCTTGCTTTCGATTTGGCTGAGAAGCACATCGGCATACACAAGCTCTTGCGAGTTGAGGACATCTGCACAAGTGTTCCCGACGAGCGCTCGGTGATGACCTACGTTGCCCAGTTCTTCCATGCATTCTCTCATCTTGACAGAGTCGAAGCAGCTGGGAGGCGTGTCGTCGTCTTCGCCGAAACAGTACAATCTTGCTGGACGTTGCAGCACGATTACGAGAAGCGCGCTGCAGCGCTCTTTGAGGCGCTTGAAGAGGTGACCAAGAACTGGCACGCTACTTCTTTCGACGGCACTTACGAGGATGCAAAACACCAATCGACTGCTCTTGTGAATTTCAAAGCCTTGCAGAAGCGAGCCTGGACGCGGGAAAAGCTCAGCCTCGAAAGTCTGTTCGGCGACATAGAGACCAAGTTGAAGACATACAAGATGGCTAGCTACGTGCCTCCTTCTCACCTTGCTGTTCACCAAATCGGTCGCCACTGGGAATCATTCATCGAAGCTGAAGGCATGCGCTCGAGGCTTATCAACAAACAGATGCGCAAGGTCAAAGAAGACCTTAGGATCAATTTTGCCGACAAAGCCAACGATTTTGCAGCCATGCTGAAGACTCTCTCGGTCCACTTGTCAAGTATGACTGGGGAGCTGGACCAGCAGCTGTCAGACACCGCCTATTTAGTCGAGCACATTGCACCACTCCAAGAAGCGCTTGGAGACTTGCACGAAGCGGCTGCCCAATGCGAACGAGCCAATGTTGAAGAAAATGATCACACGATCTACACGTATGATGACATGGAGTACGAATTCAAATTAGCGCACGAAGCCATCACCAAACGATACCAATTCCTGGAGAATCAGATAATCGCCAAGTCAAAGACCAACATCACTCCTGCACATCTCGAGGAGATTGATAATGTGTTCCGCCACTTTGACAAGTCCAGCTCCAACAAGCTCCAGGAGAACGAGCTTGTTGCTGCCTTGGCCTCTCTTGGACTTACGTACGACGACGCGGAAATGCAAAATATCGTCGCTGAGATTGGGGACGAGTCTGGTAAAACTGGCTGGGAGGGCTTCTTGAATTTCATGATTGACGAGCTTGAAGATCAAAGAACCCCTGAACAGGTGCTTTTGGCATTCAGGGAAGTGGCCGACTCAAAGGCCTATGTCACTGAGCTTGATTTGCGTTCGTCTCAGCTGCCAGAGTCTACCGTAGACTTTTTGGTCAAAAGTCTTCCGCCAGTGCCTTCGACCGAGCTCGAGCCGGAAGACACGGGCCAAATTGGGCTTGATTATGTCCAATTCATGGAAGGCTTGTTGTTCAAGGCTGTTCATACGACTTAGACCATACAGCGTAAGCGTGTTGCTATAGAGCTGATATCCATGGGTGACCATCTGGTCGAGCGTGTGACCCAAACAGCCTCGCCAGAACTCGCGTTGACTGTTTGGATGCCATTTGAGACGAGCGCAGCATTCGTGCGAAAGACTTGAGCTCCTGGGAGCTGCATTCGGCATGTCAAACACCGTGAGTACAACGATCATCGAGGTCCCGTTGCGCGGTGTAGACGATGTAGTCACAATTGATTGCTCGGAGCTTCCCGATGATCCACGAGACTTGTGTCAATTGCTCTCAGGCGAAGAAGCGCATCCTAAATACTGGATAAGACTTGCGGTATGTCTTTTTTACCTAGAGAAAGTCATGCTGATGATAGGCCGAGTACAGAAAGGCAGCTCTTACCGACCATGCCATTGACATCGTCAACGAAGGACTCAAAACCAATCGGGTCCAGAGTGACCGAGACTTTAGAGCCCAATTTCATTCGCTACTTGCGACGCTCTACATACAAAAGTCGCGAATCTCCTCGAGCGGACTGAGCAAGCAGGAGCCAGATGCGCGAAATAAAGAATATTGGCAACAACTGGCAACGCAATCGATCAACGACGCATCGAGACTCAATCCAGACTCGGTATCTAGTCTGATCTCGCGAGGAGTCTTATCTATGATGAAAATTGATGGCGATAGAGCCCTCGAAGAGGCCAACAAGCAATTTGACGCAGCGCTCAAGAAGAATACCCGCAATTTATTCGCTATGCTTGGTAAGGGACGTATCATGTACGCCAGGAAGAACTTCAAAGTGGCTCTTGGCTGGTTCCAAAAAGTTCTGGCAGCACAGCCAAAGTTCCGACCGGATCCTCGCATCGGCATAGGTCTTTGCTTTTGGCAGCTCAAGATGTTGGAGGATGCCACACTCGCTTGGGCACGTGCGTTGGAGCTTGATCCAGAAAATTCAATAGTCAGTGCGTTACTTGGCATTGCGAGCGTCACTGAGGCCTTTCAGCACGTGGGCGATGCAAAGAAATTCCAATCCCTTTACACTTCTGGTTTGCAGCTTGTTCTCAAAGCCTGGAAAGCCGCAGAGGTACCTATTGCTGGCGTAGTACTGGCTTCCTACTACTTCTCGAAAAGGAAGATTGATGGTCTCGTGCAAATTACGGAAAGAATCCTCAATCACACAGATCTTGCAGCTATCCGAGGAGACGCTTTTCTTTGGATAGCTCGCGGACAACACGTTGTTGAGGGGCACGACAAAGCAGCTCAATTTTACCAACTAGCTAAGCAGCAAGAGCCTGACCTTTTACTTGCCTCGCTGGGCATCGCACAAACGCAATTGATCCGCGACGGGGTGACAGATGCCAAGCTCATTCTCGAAGGCATTGCCGATAGGCATCCAAAGTGTGTCGAAGTGCTTTCTATGCTTGGCTCCATCTACACGCGCGAACTGGCTGATGCCAATTTCAAGGGCGACAGGGCTGTTCAAAAGTCGAAAGCCCGCGCTATGCTCGACAAGGCGATCTCGCTCATTGCCGATAGCCCCAAGCTGTCTTTCACGGATGCTGACCTTCACTTTGGCAAGGCGATGCTGCTCGATGAGGACGATTCATTGAGCATCATTCGAACGCTCGAGCAGGCTATTGAAGTCCAGGCAAGTCTTGACCTTACGATCTCGCCTGAGCTGTATAACAATATGGCTGTTGTCCATCATCTCGACGGCAATTATGACCTTGCGCACGACTTGTACAAGCGGGCCTTGCAATCTTGTGAAGAGCCGTCAATCGACTCAAATGACAGGCTGAGCGGCCTTCGAACAATCATGTCGTACAATCTTGGCCGATGTGAAGAAGATGCTGGCAAGCTCAGCGCCGCTCGGGCTAGTTATCAGAAGCTCATTGCGCAATATCCTGATTACGTTGAAGCACGAGCTAGGCTATGCTTCATGGATATGAAGGAGAACTCTCAGGTCGATGTGCAGACAGAGCTGGATATGCTGCTTGAAATCAGTCCACGCAACACCGAGGTACGAGCCCTTTATGGTTGGTACCTCGGACGCCTGCCCAAGGCTAAAGGTCTTCATTACAACGAAGATCCGGAGCGTCGACACTTCAACCATACATTGAAGCACATCGACAATTACGAACGGTTCTCACTGACAGCGCTTGGCAATTTTTACATTCGGCTTGCTCGCTCAATTCGTCCAGATTCTGACCAATTGAAAGAAGAGCGCAGGAAGCACTATGACATGGCGACCAAATTCTTTGAACGCGCTTTGCATTATGATAAAAATAATGCATACGCAGCGCAGGGTCTCGGCATAGCTTTTGCGGAACACAAGCAGCCGCAAAAGGCGCTCAATATATTCACCAAAGTGCGAGAGACTCTCCGAGATGATTCAGTCATTCTCAACATGGGACATTGTCTGGCCGAATTACACCAGCATGCCCGTGCAATCGAGTGCTACGAGATCGTTCTGAGCAATTGCCAGGGTTCAGCCGCGCTGTCGATTTATCAATGTCTGGGCCGCACTTGGTGCGCTCGTGGTCGTGAGGAACGCAGTGCGGAGAGCCTTCGCGAGGCACTCAAGTACACTCGCGATGCCGAAAAGCTATCTCCGGCGCCTGCCGTCAAATTCAACATTGCCTTCATCCGATTCCAGATTGCTGATGTGCTGCGACAGACACCAGAAGCGGAAAGGTCTGTTGCAGATTTGGAGGATGCAATTGCAGGCTTGCAGGCTGCCATCGTTGCTTTCACACAAATTGCAGACTCTCCTCAAGCGCCCTTCCCGAAGGAGGAGATCAGGCAGCGTGCAACAATGGGCAAAAACACGACTGTGCGCCAACTGGAGAGAGAACTACAAAAGCAAAAAGATTATGAGAGCAAGAACTCTGCAAAGGTCGAGCAAGCGCGGCGTATGCGGGAAGATGACCGGAAGCGCAAGGAGCAGATTCGCGAGGAAGCGCGGCTTGCCGAAGAGTCTCGCCAAGCCGCATTGCGTGAACAACGCCGCAAGATGCTCGAAGAAGCGCGTGCTTGGACAGACAAGCGCAGACTTGAGGATGAGGAGAATGAACAGCGCAAATTTGAAGAGCAAGAAGCGAAGCGGAGGCGCGTCGAGCGTCGCAAGGGCAAGAAGAGCAAAGGATACGACATTGCTGGCAGCTCTGATGACGAGGTGCCAAGGAAAACGGCCGAACGTCAACGGAAGCGAGGTCCAAGGCAGTCCAAAACTGTGGCTGCCAGCGAAACCGGTAGCCCAGGACCTGATCAGTCTGATCGCGGCGAGAGTCCAGAACGGACGAACAAGAAGCGAAAGCTCTACAAAAGTGCCGCAATCGTGGATTCTGATTTGGACGACGATGACGATGATGCCGCTTCAGCCCAAGCGAGTCTGGATGCTGGCGCGGAAAATGCACCGTTCAACTAGAAAAAGGCTTATGATGCCATAACCCTCTATATCAAGCAAAGCACTGATGGCTACGACCTGCCTCACATAGCTAAGCCGCACCCAATTTTGGCGCCTGCGCGGGCTCCATTCCAGACTATGAAACGTCTTTCAAAACATCGCAGTAACGCGGTCGCGCACACTAGCTTGGATGAGTACAAGGAACCTCATGAAGCAGAAAATTGTGAAAAGCGCGACACGGCCTATCTGGAGAAATTCTGATGACCAGCACCCCTGAGGGATGCCATCAAAATCTCTTCTACCTTTGTGGTCTACGACTCCAAGAATTGTCCATAGATCAAGATGCTCACGCGAATGAACGCTAGGCTGCGAACTGCGCCAATTTGTTCCACCGCACACAAATTTACAAGTCGACGGTGGCCCAAGACAGCCATGGCTTATGACTTATGCTGTTGGAAATATTGAAGCCATCATAGTATCATGATCATCACATTGCACTTAGGGTGCCTTGCTGGTATCTTGGACGACCAATACTGCCGATGCGTGTCGATGTTCTCGTAGAGCATGTGGCGACACATATCTTCGCGCCTGAGGATAAGCTGGACCGAAGCTTGGACCGCAAGATGGGTGCCAGCATAGCATCTATTGGCTCGCACTCCGCTGGGACCTTGTCAGCTGATGTCCAGCGCAAGGTAAGCAAGACCATATGCGCCGGCTGTCATGTTGCACTAGACGGCACAGCCGACCTGGTTAACGCGAAATCTTTGCGATTCACTTTGAGATCGCTTGTCCAGCGGATGGCGTTGAGATGTGTAACCACAGATCTTCGCAAGGACTTTCATGGACCGCATTGTAGGGCGATGGCGGATCCTAGCAGCGGCAATACGATACTTTGTCAGCTATGTGATGTGCTGGCCTTTTGTCCGCAGTGCGGTGCGATGTTTCGTGTGTTGCGTGGTGCTTGTCGTGCCTGCGTGTCGTCGTCTTGCTCATGGTGTGGCGCGGTATTTCGTGTGTTGCGTCGTGCTCGTCGTGCCTGCATGTCGTTCTCGTCGTCAGTCTTCTGCTGCTCAGCCTCTACCTCTGCCAGGCGCTCGTTGTGCCTCGATTCTCGTTGCCAGTAGGCAACCGTTGCGTTGTTGGACGTCATCACATACGGCGACTTGCAGGTTCTTGGCACGATGCTGAAAGATGGCAATGGAGATCTAGTTCGCTTGTGCCCTGGCAAGCGACGGACAGTCTCAATCAAGATGACGGACTGCCTTCCTCAGCTCGGCATGGTCGTGTTGTTTCCAGCAGACGGGATTGCCTCGCGGGTCCTTGAGTAAGTCATATGCGTCCTTGTAGTGATGAGCAGCGCCGAGAATAGCAATCCACTGCGTGTTGGTTGCCGCGTTTGTTGGCCACAGACACCGAACTTTGCGAGTGGATCAACCAGCTGGGGTGCAACTCGATGCAAAATGAGCCTTCACGCTCAGAATCGTCTATTTGCTCAGGCTAGCGCAGAAAGCTAGATTGCTTTTGATGATGTACGCGCTCCCTGCGACGCCCGAGCCAGGCCGAGTAACGATGTACTATGCGCTCGAGAGACCCCTCTGGCTTCGCTATCAGCCCACGGGTTCGACCTATTCGAGAGACTCGATCCTGAATTTGGCGTCAAGCACGGCCCTTAGGTCTAGTGCGAGCTGATTTGTGAGCTGACACGCCGGCTGATCATTGTCGGTCTGGCGATTTGTGCTTGTTTACGCTATTATCACTGAATCATCAGTGCCATCAGCATGTCCAGAAAGTCCAAAACAAGAGTAGGGTCGAGGGCAATATACCACCACGCAAGCGTCGTGCGGTGGAGTAGTCGAATCAATAATTGACCGATACGCCAGAAGAAGATTACATGCGACGCTGTGAACACAGCGATACTCGAGGCATGTCCGAAGGTCGAGAAGCCAGCCAGTTCCCGGTCCCTTCCTCCACTTCGATGACGGGTTGCAGCACAGATAATTGCGACCAAGGTGTGTCGTTGCTGCCTAACGGACGAGCTCCGCGTTTCATAGCAAGTGCGATAGGCGCGCGCCAGCTTCTTGCTAGCATCTCCGGCTTCGGTCAATTTCAGTACCGGCGTTCCGATAGAGCCTTTGTCTAGCGAATACACATCAGATTTAGGCCGCGCCAACAAGTCTTGCCGAGCTGGTGATTCCATGGTCTCGAACGTTTCGTCCAAGGGCATCGACAGCTCCCGCAGATCGCTGTGAATTTGCTCTTCGGTGCTGACCGCTTGAAGCTGGGAAATTCAATGCTTTCGAGCGCGGGGCAATCCAGGAGGACAGTAAACGTATTCGGCGCCTGCCAACATAACTTAGGCGCAAGGGTCGCGCGTAAGCACAACGGCCTTATGTGGAGGTGTAGGATCGTGTTGAGCCAGAGCGGTGTCTCTGCTGAGTCAACTATCAGATCTACGACAAGGAAATGTTGGCTGTCGCCACCGCCTTCAGAACTTGGCGCCAATATCTGGTAGATTCTGCTCATCCTACCACCGTCTGGACATCCCACAAGGACTTGGAGTTCTTCACAACATCAAAAAAACTCAATCGCCGGCAAGTTCGATGGTCTGAGCTGCTCACTCACTACAGCTTCAAGGTTGCGAACCGGCCTGGTCAGGGCCGAGGACTCTCGGATGTTTTGCGCAGGCAACTCTAGAGCGTGAGAGTTGTGCTCATGAGTTGACAACGCCGGCCTTAAAAGGCCAGCGCACCCCATAATTGAAACACCATCGCAATCGTCATCGTGTATGCATTTTGCTCAACTCCCTAGCCCAAGTCTCCGTCACCGATTCACGTGGCGAGCCACGGCCACAACGCTGCTCACGTGTTTCCTTCTGCCTTTGCTGACGCTGCTCGCTGTAGGCCTGCCTCGCCCAGGCCTATCTTGTCTCTTGCTCGTGTCTCGCTAAAGATGGACATTCCCCAGGCGTCTCCTTCTCCCCAATCAACACCATGGACCAATTGTGAGTCTTCGTTCTCGTCGTTGCATACGCGTTTTACTACTTCTCTAATCAAGACGTCCGTCAGAAGCACACATTCTGGACTTTCATGCGCACAATTGCCGTCAATTACTTCCTACCTTTGCTCGTTTTGATGACGGCGCTCGTCGCCTCGAGCTATCTGTCAACCTAGTAAGTGGTTCAGCAACGACAAGAACCCTGCTTACCACAGCCTTCCTTCCTCTGATTTAACGAAGGCCGTTCTGGAATTGAATAAGTCAATCCAGAAAATGACCGCCATCATTGCTCGTCGAGCTTGATCGCGCCTTCCGATCTTAGTGTGCCTAACCTGCTCCTCTGCCTTCGTATCCCCCGCGTCTTTCCCAGGAGGACTTCTGTGTACACGCAGCACAGTGTAGACAAAGCACGCTCACTGACGAGCCAGTCACTGAATGGACAATCTTGCAGGCACAGCAAGATCGGAAGTTGACGTCAAGCTCGACGAGCAATGATGGCGGTCATGTTCTGGACTGACTTATCCAAGTCGAGGACGGCCTCCGTCAAGTCAGACGAAGGAAGGTTGTGGTTAGCAGGGTTCCTTGTCGTTGCTGAACCACTTACTAGGCTGACAAGTAAGTCGTGGCGACGAGCGCCGTGATCAAAACGAGCACATGGAGGATGTAATGGACTGCGACTGTGCGCATGAAAGCCCAGATATTGTTTTCCTGACGGACGTCTTGACGAGGGAGGTTAGCAAATCGCGTATGCAACGAGAAGAACGAAGACTCACAATTGGTCCATGGTGTTGGTTGGGGAGAAGAAGACGCCTGGGGAACGTCCATCTTTAGGGAGTCGCGAGCAAGAGAAGAATGCAACGAACAAGGAGCGAAACTGCGACAGAGGACGTATCGCTGCTGCAGGGTAGAGACGATCAGTTTGAGATAGGTGCCATAGAGCTGGTAAGCTTGTACATGTGAAGCGGTAGCGAATGCATGGCGAATGGCTGATGAACAGAGCTTGTACTACTAAGACACGAACGTATTAAAGGGTGTTACTGTCGTTATTGCTACGGGAATGCTGTGCTGGCACTTTGTATTGCTACGGGAATGCTGTGCTGGCACTTTGTAGAGCACGCATTGGCGGTGTCGCACGCTCAGAATTCCCAGCGCACAACACTTCCACTGGTTCTGTATCCTCTCTGTGCGCGACTTACAAGCAGAGCGTTCCGGACGACGACGAAGACAAGATATGTAGACGTGCCAGATGCAGCGTTGCTTTGACTCAACATTGAAATAGGCGATGCCGAGACATGACGCTGCAGTGCAGGTGAGATGACAATGTCGTTGCGGAGGGTTGGCGATTATGCGTGCAAGCGTGTAGCGTATCGCAGACAAAACCGTTGCGGAGAAATGGGGATGATGCATAAGAGGGCGTGGCGTGGCGTATGGCTCTGGTTTGGCGGTGCGAAGATATTGAGAAATAATCGTCCATTTCCAGATCAGGGTTAAGAGTTGGTCGCATGTAGCTGGCATAACGTCGCTGGAGGCAAAGCGCTTTGAGACATTGCTGGAGGAATCGAGGCGTTGCTGGATAAAACAAAAAATACTGAGGCAATTGCTTGGAGTGAAGAAGGGATGTGAGCCACGATTTACGAGTACAAGCGGTCCCGTGATAATGAGTGCAGAAGTAGCGAGAAAATGCGTTGCGTATGCTTTGATGGTCCATACTGAAATGCGTTGGGTATGCTTTGATGGTCCATACTGCGACCAGTGCGAGTCGGAAGTGCCTTGCGAGCCAATTCGACGGCCGCAATCAATGAGCGAGCAGGAAAAGGGGTCGATGACATTGCGTATGCTTTGATGGTCCATACTGCTGTTGTGTTGAGACGTTGATTGTTTCAGGAGCTCATTGATGATGCGACGATCAGGGGCCCAAGCTGACACGCTGGCAGGTTGAGGACATAAGTAGAGCGGCTGCGCTGCCTTTAGTCTAGCAGAGGACTAGTAAACTCAAGAGGTAGTATGAGCCTTGCACTACCGCGCGCAATCGAGCCAACAGAACGGGTCAAGGAGCACCGCGTTGAGGCATTCAGCGGCATTCAGCTGATCCAGTACAACGGAGACTTTGCAAAATGGCGAGTCTTCAAAGACAAGTTTGAGGCTGGTGCACAATTGACTGGAGTGTTGGACTACTTGAAGAAGCCGAAGAAGGAGATCTCAGACTGGTCTGAGGAGAAGGAGATGGTGGCGCGAAGGGCCATCATCACGTCGTTCGCTGACAAGGTATTTGAGACGATCAGCGAGTCAATGGTCACCACCCCAGTCGATGAACTGTACGCAGCCTTGTGCGTGAGCTGCGTCATCAATACCTCGCAGCGCATCAAGGAATTGAAGAGGGACCTCTGGGCTCATGTTGCAAACGAGGGCGATGAACTGTACGCAGCCTTGTGCGTGAGCTGCGTCATCAATACCTCGCAGCGCATCAAGGAATTGAAGAGGGACCTCTGGGCTCATGTTGCAAACGAGGGCGACGACATCAAGGTGCACTTTGCCTTTGTGGATGGGCGAGTTGCTGAGCTGCGAAGTGCCGAGCATCATGTAACCAATGCTGAGCACATTGACTTTTTGTTGGATGGGCTTCCAGCCGTCACCGCCTGGAGCGCCTTCCAGAACGCATACCGAGCCCGCGTCACTGAGACCACGAGGGTGGACCAGGTCCGCCAAGACATTCGGCAACAAGCGGCAGTGCTCGCGAATGATGCACAGAAGCAAGCCAGCGCCCAGGCACTCTTGTCGCAATCGTCTGGTGGCAGGGGAGGTTGGAAGCGCAACGCTGGTGGCCAAGCAAACAAGAGCACTGGTCGAGGCAGTGGACCCAGTTGCTACCGATGCGAAGAGTTCGGCCACATCCGAGCAGATTGCCCCAAGATGCTTGTCGACAAGCCCGTAGAGGGAGGTAGTGAAAAGAAGTTTGTCGCTTGCATCGCTCCAGAGACACGAGTGAACGAGACCGCCACTGCGCTGCATGCCTATGGCTCGACGAGCGCTGAACAGCAAATCTCATGGGCTGTCGACAGCGGCGCTTCTCACCATGTGGTCAGCTCGATAGATCTCGTCCAGCCAGGCTCTTTGCGATCCGGCCGTGGACCTCGAAATGTCAGCTTTGGCAACGACACGTCGGAGGTATCGGAAGGGTTATGCACAGCAATCATTCCGACTATTGACGGCCCTTTGGAAATGCCTGATTGCATGTTCGTGCCAGGCCTCAGCTTTAACTTGCTGTCTGTCGGGGTGCTTGCTGGTATGGGCTATCAACTATTGTTTGATGAGAACAAGTGGCGCTTGATGTCAAAGCATGACGGCCGAACAGTGGCGGAAGGGCCGAAGCGCGAGGGTCTTTTTTGGCTTGATACACCTGATTCGTCGCGTTTACTGCACGCCAAAGCAACAGATGTGGAGCTTTGGCATAGGCGACTTGGTCATCCGGGCATTGTTTCAATGTTGCGCCTCGAGGATATGGTCACTGGCCCAGATATTGGAAAGCTTACGCCAAATACTGCGGATTGTACGGGTTGTCAAAAAGGGAAACAGCCAAGATTGGCGTTCCCGAAAAAGTCAGAGTCTCGTGAAACAAAGCTCTTGGGTCTCGTGCACAGCGACCTTGCTGGCCCATTCGTGCCATCTTGGTCGGGCAAGCGCTACTATGTGACCTTTGTCGACGATGCGAGCCGGTACACACATGTCTACTTTATCAAGCAGAAGTCCGAAGCATTCGAGAGATTCAAAGACTTTCAGCATGAGGTCGAACGACAAACTGGACAGAAGCTGAAGATCCTGCGCAGTGACAATGGCGGCGAATATGTCAGCAATGAGAATGACAGATACCTGCGAGAGATGGGTATTGTGCATCAACGCACTGTGGCCGAGACACCTCAGCAGAATGGCGTTGCAGAACGAATGAACCGCACGATCAAGGACCATGCAAGTGCAATGCTTCATGAGGCTGGCTTGAAGGACAAATTCTGGTCCTACGCAGTGCACACTGCTGTTCATTTGTGTAATCGCTTACCCACTCGAGCTCACGAGAGCATGACGCCATACGAAGCCTGGAAAGGTATCAAACCCGACGTCTCCTACTTGCGTGTATTCGGCTGCCGCGCTTGGGTGCACACACAGCAGTCAAAGTTGAAAACGTTTGTGTCCAAGGCAAGTGAAATGATTTTTGTTGGCTATCCGGACCAGGTCAAGGGATACCGCTTCTGGGACCCAGAATCCAAGAAGGAGCGTGTATCGAGGGATGCCACGTTTGTTGAGGACCAATTTGGTCGCAAGGGGATACAAGAGCAGGTGGAGCAAATGGAGACAGACGACGATGAAGTGCGTGTCGCTCCGTTCCTTGGCTCTGTGACTCATGAAAGCGAGGTGGAGGCAGAGATTGACGGCAACGCAGAAGGCGGTGAAGATGGCGACGGACGTGGTGATGACCAGAACGAGGATGCCAGCAACACAGGAGACGGTGAAGACGGCGACGGACGTGGTGATCACCAGAGCGACGGCAGTTTTGGCATCTCGACAAATTTGGACGACAATCTCTCTGGCCTCAGTTTGGCAGAAGGGGATCTCAGACTTAGTGACGGCGAGGAGGTGGAAGACTTGCAGCAGCTTCAGTTTGGCGGAGACGCAAATGGCAGTTCAATCGACGACGTAAATTTATTGGAATCGCTTGACATCGACGACGACAATTTGGCACTCTCTCCAGTGCTCGGTGCAGTGGAGGACGGCCCACATGATCATTTCTCGGATGACGATATCAACTTGCTTTTGGCCAGGGCTCGTGACCTGGCTCAAGATGATGCACAAACTGATGTCAGTGCCTCTGCTTTGATGATTGCGGCATTGACTGACGCACACCCTCATCCAGTCGGCAAGGATCCAAAGGACATTGTGACGCCAAAGAATAGACGCCAAATGCTCAAAAGTGACGAGCGTGACCTCTGGATCGAGGCAGAGCAGCGAGAGATTGCAAACTTGCTGGAACGCGGCACTTGGGAACTCGTCGATACCGAGCCAGGCCAACCAGTAATCGGAAACATGTGGCGATACAAGCTCAAATTGAACCCAGATGGCTCGATCGACAAATTCAAGGCGCGCCTTGTCGCGCACGGGGACCAGCAAGAGGAGCATGTTGACTTCTCGGAGACCTTTGCTCCCGTTGCAAAGTTCACCACGATTCGCACCCTGCTAGTCATTGCTGTCAACAAGGGTTTGAAGGTCTGGCACATGGACGTTGTTGGCGCTTACTTAAATGGATACTTGTCAGAGAAGGTCTTCATGCACGAGCCAATTGGCTATGAGAGTGGAAATGGCGCTGTTTGCCGTCTCAAGCGCACGCTATATGGTCTCCGACAGTCTGGTCGCGAGTGGTATATTGTCATGTCGGAGTTCCTGTTGTCCTATGGATTCCTGCGATGCGAGCATGAGCAAGGCTTGTTTGTTCTCAGAGGTGGAGATATTCGGCTTGTCCTCTATGTCGACGATCTATTGATGATTGCTGAGAACGACAGCGCCCTGGCTGATTTCAAACAGGCATTGTCAACAAAGTGGGACATGACAGACCTTGGTATTGCCACACAATTTTGTGGCATGGAGCTATCCTACGCTTCTGATGGCAGTATCACCCTGAGTCAAGCACGTTACTGTCGGGAGATTTTGAAGCGCTTTGGACTCGAGTCTTGCAATGGTACACACACACCAATGATGAGCGGCCTATCGCTCTCTCAAGCAACATGTGATCCCACACCAGCCGAACGAGAAGAGATGGCAACCATGCCGTACATGGCCGTCATCGGGAGCTTGATGTACCTTATGACCGCAACACGACCAGACTTGGCACACTCCATGGGCGTCCTAAGTCGTTTCATGGCAAAGCCGAGTTATGAACATTGGCGGGCAGCGAAGCAACTCCTACGCTATGTGCAGCACACGAAGGATGTAGGTCTTGTCTTCAAGAAGGGCGAC